AAAGGCCTGGTACAAGGTTTCTTTTTTCTTTCTTCTTGTACATCTATTTCCTTCTGCAGACGCGATCCCTGAACCCTTTGCGGACCAGCATCCGCAGGACGATCGTCCAGCGGTCTCCGAGAGATCAGGACACTGAGCAGCACCACGGCGGGCGTATGCGCTGCGTGGACGAAGTAGGGGTCCACTGATGGACCGTCCGTTCCTACCAAAGAAGGGAAGTCTAACGAGGATCTTCTCTCAGTCAAGAACCGGGCTCCGATCTCATTGATCGACAAAGTTGCCCGAGAAGTTCTTGACTTGAGGCAGCAGTCGTTGGCCCCTCACAAAATCATTGGAGCCATGGCCTCCCAGTCTGTAGGGTCTTTCAGCATACGAAGGACGGACAAACGGGTTGGTACTGGGATGTGCGACCACTCGTAGCCGGCGGAGAAAAGGGTTTCATGATGGAAGGCTGCAGGGCCTTCCTGGCATCTGGCGTGAAAAAGTTAAAAAAGCTTCTTTTCATCGCTAGGGGGCAAAAAGAGATTTTGGAACTCTCCACTTATCGGCGCTCCCCTCGTTCCCCGGGCCTTACCAGGCACCGGTTTGCTGCTTCTTCTTAGCCTCCGTTGGTCCTGTTGGCTCTTTGCCTCTTTGGTTTTTCCTTTTCCCTTTTTCCCACCCCCTGATGGTGGAGCCGAGTCCCTGGATGGGGTGGACAATGGCGTCAGACACAGCCTCCCAAGGCGATCGCCGCATTCTCCACCCGTAAGGGACCAAGGCGGATACAAATGGCTCTGAGGGTCGCTGAACGCGGGCCCGGTGGGTCAGGACTAAGAGCTGCTTGCGTAATGTCCGCCTTCTTGTCAAACCTTTGGACCGACTATGTAATTTGGATCAGCAAGTGTTTTGCCTGGCCGAGGCCCGTGGTGGTCTCTCTATCTCAAACCAATGCGTCGTGGTGGAGGACAGAAGGAGGTGGGGGGGAAAGGGTGGTTACATTTGTTTGTTGTTTTGGAGGTGCTCGTATCGAAGGTCCTGATCTTGAATAGCCGCATTGGGGAGGATAGGAGTTTCAAGAAATGCCTGCACTTCGTTAGTTACGGAGTACGGAGTACATAGTTACTAATCGGCTGTCCTTGTCATAAAATATGCCAATCTAAGAATAGCGTTAAGAATCCAAGCAGCATGATTAGTTATTGATAATTTGAGGCACAATGTACAGGACGAATGGTATTAAAAGACCAAATAAGAATCCAGTCGTGAGCAGGACCCAGCGAGTCATTGGAGCGTGGGTGAGGGTGGCCAAGCTGATTGGTCGAGGTTGACAAGAAGTGGCCACGAGTCGTCTGCATTTTGCGTACGAGCTGTCCTGGTATTTCCATTACGCGGTCCCGCAGTATTATTACTTGATCACCGTTCCCAATTCAGTCCAGGTGGCCTCTTACGCCACCGTCACCGTTTGTACCGGACGAGCCTCGTCAACCCTCCTGGGTATTGTACCCCCCGTTTTGGGGTCAACAGTCCCAACTCTGTTTGCAGCGGAGACTCCCCAGCGGAGCCTTTTCGCGACGGTTATTTTACAACTAAACAAGTGCCCTCATTTTACTTCATTTCCCAGGTCCAGATCTTCTTTCCAGCTCACTCTCTCGTGCCACAACTCGACTGCTGACTGCTAACCGGTGGTTCTGAGAGTCCACCCGAATCCTTTCTTTTCGCTCCCCAAAATTTACAGTACGTACTTCATTCCATCCCTTCACCTGCTCCGCTACTCTGCCATCATCATTTCTTCATCGTCCTCCCCCACGCTCGTTAGAACCTTTTTTGTGTTGGCGCATTCTTTTCCTCGTCACTTATTTTTTTTTTTTTGGGTCCAACTCCAATCACACTCTCGTTAACCAATTTCCGACACTCCTCAGTGTCCCTTATCGCCTTTTAATCTCCCCCCGTTCTCTCTACCCCTCGTGGCTTCCTCCGCCTTTAGCCAAGGAAGCCTGACCCGGCCCCGGCCCTTTGAATTCCGACAGTTTCTCTCCGACCAGACTCGAGTATTCACCACCATGAGTTCCGAAGGCGAGAAGGTCCGCGCCTCTGGCGAGACTCCTCGCGAGACTCTGCCCACCGTGAATCCCGCGGCTGAGAAGCAGGAGCCTCCCAAGGCTGCATTGCATCCCGCTGTCTATGTGAGGTGAGATTTGGAAACTCGCCCCAGGAAAAGAGTTCAAGAAGAATGGCAGGAACCTGGAGAAGACGGCATCATGGGCTAATACCTCCAATTCGCACAGTGTCTGGATCACTCTTAGTTCCTCCGTTATCCTATTCAACAAGCATCTTCTCGACTACGCCAACTTCCGTGAGTCCCCGAGTCCTTCTCACGCGACAACTCGACTTGCGTTTCTGACTATTGTGCTCGATCTCTATAGGCTTCCCCGTCGTTCTGACAACATGGCACTTGACCTTTGCGACCATCATGACCCAGCTTCTGGCCCGCTTCACCACCGTTCTCGACGGCCGCAAGTCTGTCAAGATGACGGGCCGTGTCTACCTCCGCGCAATTGTCCCCATTGGTCTGATGTTCAGTCTGAGTCTGATCTGCGGTAACATGACATATCTGTACCTGAGCGTTGCCTTCATCCAGATGCTGAAGGTATGTGTTTTCTGCGAATTTACACGCCACGGCAAGTTCTAGGACTAATTGTTTTCTGCCCGTATAGGCTACCACTCCCGTTGCGGTCTTGCTCGCTACCTGGGGCATGGGCATGGCTCCCGTCAACTACAAGACCCTTGGGAACGTCTCCATCATTGTCCTTGGTGTCATCATTGCCTCCTTTGGTGAGATCAAGTTTGTCCTGGTCGGTTTCCTGTTCCAGCTGGGTGGTATCGTCTTCGAGGCCACTCGTCTGGTCATGGTCCAGCGTCTGCTTAGCTCCGCCGAGTACAAGATGGACCCCATGGTGTCTCTGTACTACTTTGCACCCATCTGCGCCGTCATGAACGGCCTTGTCGCTCTCTTCCTGGAGTTCCCCCGCCTGACTCTGGACCACATCTATGGAGTCGGCATTTGGGTCCTGCTGGCTAACGCTATGGTGGCCTTCCTCCTCAACGTCTCCGTGGTCTTCCTGATCGGCAAGACATCGTCTCTGGTCATGACCCTGTGCGGTGTCCTCAAGGATATCCTGCTGGTGGCTGCTTCCATGTTCATCTGGAGCACCCCCGTCACAGGCCTGCAGTTTTTCGGTTACTCGCTGGCTCTCGTCGGTCTTGTCTACTACAAGCTCGGCGGCGACAAGATCCGCGAGTACACTGGCCAGGCCAACCGTGCCTGGGCCGAATATGGCAACACCCACCCCGCCCAGCGCAAGTTCATCATCTTCGGTGCTGCCGCCCTCATCTTCTTCCTCTTCGTGGGCTCCTTGGCTCCCAGCTACGCTCCGGGTCAGGTCGACCGCGTTAAGGGCATGCTGGGCGGTGCTACTTCCGGCAATGCTTAAACATCTAGACAGGCCCTCATTATCTCTCCGGGTGTCGCTCCGTATCTGCTGAAATGCATATGCATCCCATAACCGAGGATATTGAAGGGCTGGTGATTTGATTGACTTGTCGAAATCTTTTGAATGGACTTTCGGGGGTGGGAGTATCGGGATTGTTGTGCCACCACTGTTACCAAAAAGAAGGGAGAGAGGGCATAGTTGCATCTAGAAATTTCTTGTCACTTGGATCTTCTCTTCCTGTGCCTTCTTCTGGATCCATCTTTTTGCTCGGGAGCTGGCTTCGGCGGCATGCAGGAAATGGAGCCGTTAGCCTGTCTCCCATCCCGGAGACTCGCGTGATGGAAAACGGAGCGCTCTGGGCTTTTTTTTCTCTTTTTCCTTCTCTCTTTCTCTCTTTCCGTTCTTGCCTCGACCGCATTCCCGCAGTGTATACAGTGAGTAGGGACGGGTGTTTACTAGCGGTGTCTTTCCATGTTTCTTTGTTTCTCTTCTCATTGCTTTTCCCTCTACCTGTTTTCTTCGACGAACATTGATTTGAATGTTAGACTAGCACGAGCTCTGGTGTCGGTTTGCTATGGACTTGACTGGTTCTGGGGTTCTATTTTTTTTTCTCTTGTTTCTTTCCTTCTCGCTGTCTTCATAGTTTGACAATAGACTTTTTTTTTTCTGAAAGTTGGTTTGACGTTGTATTCGGGCTGGGGTGCTTCGCATGAGGAGGGATTTACGGAACATTATGATTGGTAGCCTTGGGGTGATAGGGTGATAGGGCGAGAGGGCGAGAGGGCGAGAGGGCGAGAGGGTGAGAGGTCCGCGAGAGCTGGAGATGGTGGATTACATACGACAATATGACAGCCCCGACAGCCCTGATGAGTATTCTTCCGATGACTGCACGACCGGCGGGGCCATCAGCAACGGCAAAATGACTGGCAGGAACCTTGACAGGCGACGGGGCTGGGCCAATGCTGGGCCCAATGCTGGGCTGGCTGGGCTGGCTGGGCTGGCCCTATGATTGGCCAATGGCATGCAGCGGAGCCCCACTCGCCGCAGCCAAACGACATCAACCAGTGCTCGGGGCTCCACTTGTATGGTTCTCGTATGGTCACGGCTGGTCGGAACTGTTCTACATGCCCGCGTACGCTGGTTTCGTACCGTTCCCTCCGCATTGCGGATCCCTCCCTCCGATCGCCTCAGATCGTCTTCCTGCGCTTCTTCCTCTTCCTCTTCTTCCTTCTCTTCCTCTCGGCCTCTGTGCACTCGCCTACTCCTACACTTTCGTGCCAATCATCTTCCCCCTCCCCCTTATCCTCGTCTGTCCTACCGCCATTTGGACTCTTCTTCTTTCTCTCATTATCCCACCTACCTCCTCCTCCTATACTTCTTCGCTTCCTCTGCTACCTCTTCCTTCCATCCTGCAACGTCCACGCTCTGAGCTCGTGATCGATATACTAGGTGGTTGAAGCTTATGGTGTGTTGCTCACTTAACCCAACAGTACAGTGCCTCTCGTCTGGGACGTCGCCAAGACCTTCATCATGTGTCCTATGATCCTCAATCGCCTGTCCGATGGTCCCGCTATGGTTCTTTCTCCTTCCCAGGAAAACGCCTTCGGCCAGCTCCCCTCCCAGTCCCTGTTGGATACCCCGACCAGCTTCCACACCTATACGGGGACCTTCAACTCTACCTTTGGCAGTAGCTACACCCAGCCAGCCGTGAATGCCAATGTCTCCGCTGCTCCCGCTCCTCCCCAGCCCTCTCGCAAGAGGTCGCGTGATGACGCTGCCTTTGGTGACATCCTCGCCGTCAACGCGCCTCCCATGCCCCAGCCTGCTCCTGCGCCCAAGGAGGAGCCTATCTATGGCGAAGGCATGGTTCTGCTGAATCCGCAGACGGGTATGGCTGTCTCTGCCGACAGCCAAACGGGCACCTGGTATGAAGAAAAGGCCGAGTCGCAGCAAGCCGCGGCTGTCCCAATCTCGTCGCGATCCACTGCATTCCACTCAGATGGTGCCGATATCAGCCGCAAAGCTCAGCGGCTCGATACCTCTGCGCCTGGGCTGGATGACATTGCTCTTGCCTCAATGCAGGAGCGTCTGAACGGCTCCAGCATGGCCGACCAGCACCGCACCGCCCCGTCCACGCCCCCAGCCGAACCACTCATTGACGATGCCACTCGCCTCCTGGGCATCAGCTGGCAGCGCGTTGATACCGACAACGACATGGCCCCTGCTGTCCGTGGCTGGACTAAATATATCGACAACCAGTATGCCGCCTATCTGCACGACTCGCAGATGCTCATGAAGAGCCGCGCGCTGAACGCCTATCTTGTCGCCGCCACGCCAGTGTGCGCTTTCTCACCGGCTTTCTACCTCTTCAACGAAGACCTCACTCAGGGTCAACTCGTGGCCTCCTCATGGGATGCATGCCTTTACAACCTTCGATCCACTCCTCCTCTCTTTGAAGGGCCGGCTCCTCTCGCGGCTGCTGGCCGCTCGCAATCTGCCACCAACCCCTTCACCACTGCCGCCGAATCCGGGGTGCCTCTTCTCCATCAGGCCCTTTCCAGCCACTCGCACTCGCCCTCTTGCGGCATGGACGCGGGAGCGGGACTGAACGGAGGCGTCGAAATGGGAATGGAAATTGACTCCTAAGCACTTCTCGCTCGATCATCCTCCACGCCCCCAAAAGTCACAATCGATCCTTAGAACTTGCGCAGCACCCGACCGCCGACCGTCGACTGTGGACGAAATTTCCTCATGCCGTTGCCCGATCGATTCGCTTGCTCGCCGCTTCGTGCTTCGGACTTGGTGCTTCATTCTGATTCTTTTTGATTACTGGATTTTTAGTCTTTTTTTGCTTTCCACGCCCGCGCCTAACTGACCCAGTTCGGCAATCCGGTTCAAAACTCACCCCAGGAGGGTGAGTGGGTATGGTGTTTACTGGTTTCTTAACTTTTTTTTCTTCTTTTCCTTTCGGTGGGGGATCTGGCTCTGGCGTCGTAATCTTCTTTGGGGGGGATTTGTGCTGCATGTTTCTCTTATCTCTATTTCCTTTCTGGCTTTGGTGTCTTTTTTATTTACACATATCTATATCATGACGCAAATGAAACAAGAGATTTAAAATTCAAGATTTGAGCTGGGATGCTGGGGAGGGAGGGCTTTTCGGCTCTTCTAGAATTTGCATTAGAATGAGCTAGCACAACACACAACATCCTGAGGTTGACAGTCGCCAGCGCTCACGAGCTAGTTGGTGTAGGCATAGTTCTTTGGCCTACTTAACTAGCCGTCAATCTACTGCTCTTGGTAAAGATCCATCTGTCTCGTATCACAGCGTACATTTGTAGTAAACTCGAAAACGGCGCCGCCGACACTCGCGGAAGTTAGTTTGGCTTCCTTATTCCCCCCGCCCAGTACAATATCAACGATCATATCAGCCAACCATTTTTCCAAAACAGGCTATGCACTTCTCACAAAGCCCATCCCAATCTACTTTTCTTCCTTGATGAGATCTTCCCGCACCTCCACTGGACTGGTACTCCCACTCTCCTTGCTAGTATTCTCCGCATCTCCACCCTCTCCACCGACATTTCCATGAGCGCCCAAAGAAGGATGTCTCGCGCGGTCGGTGAATAGAAAATCGATTTCCTCGAGAGTAAGATTTGCTGTCTCGGGGTAGAAGAAGTAAACAATCTAGTAGAATGTTAGTATCGTGGTTTAATTGATGGATCTGTATGGGTAGGAGATTAGGTAGGCAGGACTTGACGAACCGGGACAAAGACTAGATTCAAACACATGAAGATGAGGTAGCCCTTCCAGGCGAGATTCTCGATTAAAGTCGGGGTGATCATTACCACGAAGAAGTTCCATAGCCAGTTTGCGGAGATGCCGATGGCTTGTCTGGTAGGAAGGTGGGGAGGGTGATGTTAGCACGGCATTCATGGCACGGCAGATGAATAAGGACGAGATATTATGTGCGGTAGGACTTACCCCTTTGCACGGATATGCAGTGGCAAGATCTCTGGGCCGTAGACCCATGGGATACAGTTGACTGAGGCTCCGAAGATGAGCATGAAGAGGAAGAAGAAGGCGACCGAGGCGGAGGCTGTTGGTTTTTCGACGGATGTTCCTGGAGAATTTGTCAGGGATGGACGGTTTTTTTGCATAATTTAGGATCAAGAAGTGTGCTTTTTGTACCCTTGAACGAGAGTAGAATGGAAATCATCATCATGGATATGAAAAGACCGAAAGATCCCCACATCATGGGTTGGCGACGACCGTATCGGTCGGAGAAGAAGGTTGGATAGAAGGAGCCTGGTTACATTCCACGGTTAGCAAGGAAGTTCGAGGTTGACCGACCATGAAGAGAACATACCAATCACGAACATGATTTGAATAATTCCCCCGAGCAAGAGACTCAGTTTTCGGTCTAGACCAACATTGTACTGCAAGACTGAGGTCACATAGTACTAAGATGAAGGTTGCAACGATCAGCCAAGCCCAACCCAGAGACTCGCAAACTAGATAAACACCACTCACCACTACCAGGTTGATACCACCCATCTGATTCATGAATTGCATGCCATAAGCCAGTAGCACACGCTTCCCCGTCTGAACCTCGTCTCGCTTGAGAATCTGCGACCATTTATATTCACCATGTAGCGTCTCAAGCTCGATTGCTTCCAGGATACCCTCCGACTCAGAGACAATCTTTGGGTCATCGGGCTGCAGGTCATACACATCGCACAGAACCTGCATCGCCTCGTCGTGCCTGTTGTGACGGTATAACCATCGAGGACTCTCGGGCAGACTGCGCAAAAACCAACTCACATCAGCACTATATCCTCTGGGTACCTTTGATCAAGGGAAATTGGGGGGGGGGGGGGGGGGGGTTTACCCAAACACCAAAACAATAACCATAAAGGCGAAAATCATCTGGCAGGCAATTGGAAGTCGCCAGTTGATCGCGCCAGGGACATATGACATCCCGTAGTCGAACCAGTACGCAATCACGATACCAACGCCGACGAATAACGGTTCACTGCTCACGTACTTGCCTCGTTTCTTGGCTTCGCAGAGCTCGGACTGATACACGGGGACGGTGGTTGTTTCGATACCCGTGCCGATACCAGTGATGAAGCGGGCGACTAGTAGTTGTGCTCGTGAGAATGCTGTTGTTTGGAGGGTTGCGCCAACCTACATAGAGCGTGGTGAGATGGGTATTACGTGACTCTGAGTGACATTTCCTTCGGGGGACTCACGATAATCCACACCATTGCAAACCACATCGACTTTCGTGGACCGAGTCGATCGCCCGTTACGAAGGAGACGATGGTACCCGTGAAGCAACCCAAGTTGTATATCGATACGATGATCCCCAGGATTCCTGCGCTGGGGTGGTGTACGATCTCGAGGAAATCGTCATTGCCCACGATTCCAGAGAACACTCCCTGGTCGTAGCCTGAATAGAATACCATGATCAGATATGCCAGAGGAAAAACGCCACCTTTTCTGTCTATCATGTATTCGGAGGGAAATCCACGAGGGCTTACCAAAGAGAATAAACGCCAATTGGCAGGTAAACATAATCGCAATTCTGAGCGGCCGACCACGGCCGTATAGATTGAGCTTGACCATTGCGAGGCGATGAGTAGAGCAAGATTCAAAAACTTCTCAATTGTGTTCAAAGGTAGAGTAAGACAAGAAAGCAACGGCTTCCCGTGTACTATCTGCAACAAATACTCCCTTCCCCCCAACGAGGACCCCCGCTCCCTTTTATCAGAAGCCATGGAGTAGAGATCCAGAATCTGGGGATACTACGTCTTACCCCGTGCAACCGAGTTAATTCCCAGCTTGACCAATCCTCTTGCATGTTGCGAGGATGTCTCAGGGCCCTATTCTCCGGATTCAGCATTCCAGAGCGCCGGCTTTGTGTGCGGTTTGACAGGAGAGGGGGCAAACACGGAGTTTGGCCGGTGGATGATCGGTAAGGGTATGTATAAGCACTGTAGTAATCGGCGCAAGGGTTTCTCGTATGAGGTACTAACGGGTAAAAGGGGCAAAAGGGAGGAAGATATCGAGTTGGCTCGGAAGTTAGGGGGGGGTTTCCACCAAATAGTATTGGGTATACTTCTTTTCTATTCTTCGACTCATTGCCCTACACGACTTTTTTTTCCGTGTAAATACCTTGCTAGACGGATTTCAAAGAGACTAGTTAGATATCAAATCCCATCATCCTTGATTCTCGATTCATTTTGCGGGAGGCACACAATCTGGGGGAAGATACTAATCCACCGTGGAGAACTCCCCCGCATCTCACGGTCGGGGAGGAAGCCGATAGCCTCGCAGGCTCGGTAAAAAGAAGCTGAGGATCTGCAGGCGGGTGCATGTTTCTGGTAAGTGTCTGCTCAAGATTGAGCGGTTATGATTGCCGCATTTGATGAGCAGTTGGAGAAGTTGGGGAGACGTATGAGACGCGAATCATACTATACTCCGCTAGGCACTGCTCATTGGAGTAAGGCCCGTGCATTTCGAGGTGATGGAGGAGGCTGAGACTTGGGGATGTACTGATGGAAATGAGTGTATAGATGTAAAAGGACTCGTGATGCTGCGTACTAAATTATAGAAGTGAACCTACAGCATGGTGTTGGTGGAACTAAAGTAGGGGATAGTCTCTGAATCTTAGATCGTTTGTTTTAATTCTTCTATGCGAGGTGGTTCCCTGCGCTTGTATTGGTACACGGCTTCATCGCTAACTGTCCAAAGCGATTAAATTTGGCGCTTCGTTCGTAGAAGACCCCCAAATTGAGAGCCCTTCCCAGAGGATCGACTTAATCGTAGTCGTAATCACTGCCCGCATCGTAATAGTCATCCTGGAAGTCATTGTGGTATTCTCCCGCGAATGCATCGTCAACGTGGTCATCCTCAACCTCGTCTTCGTCCTCATCTATCTCATCCAGATCATTAGTTGGAAGACCACCAATCTCAGCTTCGGTAAGTGGTGTTGCCTCTGCAGGTTCATCCACAGCGGAGATTGAAGGAGCCGTGGCAGGTGGAGTGGGCTGGTGATTGGCGAATATGACAGGCTTGCTGGTAACACCCGAAGGGACTCGGGAAGCTGCCCGGGCTGTACGGCGTGATCGTGCTGGCTCGGGTTGGAGGCTCACGCTGCGGCGTGAAGCAACGCTCTGGCTGCGACTGCGACTGTCGCTTCGGCTCAGAGATTCCACCTTTGCATTGACATCGCCGGGGACGTCCTGGTCGTAGAGGTTGTCGAGGAGCGAGTAGTTGATCTTTTTGCTGTACCCACGATTCTCCAACATTCGTCGCGTGGCCTCTGCCGGAGTTGAGGCGCGAGAGCTGCGGCCGTCCTCACCATCGCCCTCGCCCTGGAGATAGGCTACGTCGCCCATGCGACCCTTCCGGCGTTTTCGAGGTTTGGATGTAGAGGGACCGGCAGTCGCTTCAGCAAGTGCACGCTTCAGGGCCTTCGCCTGCTGTGTGCGGAGGTATTCCTTATTTTCGTGAACCCAGATATGCTCCTTCAGTTCGATTTCCTCGTTTGAAAGCAGGCAATGGGCGACCTCGGGATCGTCCTCAAACTCAGCTTCATCGATATGAATGCTGTCGGAAACAGAGCTGACAGGTTTGGGCTCGATGATGCTCTCGACTAGGTCTGAACCTTTGGCCAGCATGGTCTGGATCTCTTCCTCAAGAGCGTTTTCCGACGCAATTTGATCCGCAGAAGGCACAGGATAAGAGGGGCGCCGAGACCCCTTGATTTTAGCATCTTTGAAGTCAGCCATCTCCTTCTCGGCATCCTCGACCGCCTCATTCACGGCTCTGGTAACGGAACCCCGTCGTTGAGGATCGTCAATCAACGCGGGGTCGATGGGAAGACTTGGAATGGCAAATCCATCGGCATCAAATCGTTGTCTTTGTGTTGATCCTGCGTCGCTCTCTGCGTATTCGCCTTCAATTTCAGCTGCAGTCTCGGGGTGCTTGGTTGTAGGTCGAATTGACTTTTTACCCTCACGGCCCCGGGTAAAAGAAGGTGGATCGTGCGAATTTTCCAGTTGCACGGAGCGGAATTGGTCCACAGTAAGCTCGCCACTCTCCGTCGAGCCGAATTCAGAAAGACGCTGGCTGATGGTAACCTCTGTGACCTTGACGACATAGACCACCTCGCGAATAGTGCGGCGGAAATTGTTCATCCGAGCTGCCAAGATCAATGCCGCACCACAAAGACCAGCGGGACGTCGACCGGTTGACATCCAGTCACGGTTCATTCGCTGAATGATACGGACAGCTTCGCCAGCGACTTGCATCGTGGCTTGCCCAAATTCAAGTTGTTTGGCGAATCGGTAGATCAAGCTTTCCGGGTCGATGGGGTTCATGAGGAAAACATTGCCACCCAGCCGAAGTTCGTCGAGAAGGGCCTTGTAAGTGCGACCAAGTTTGAAGACGTTGATCATCAAAGCATCCGCAAAGTCAATCAGCATTGCCGTATTACCATCCTGACGACGGCAAGCAATGTACAGGGCAACGCCGGCGACGGCCTTTGTCCGTCGACCCTGGATGAAGTTGAGGCCAACCGCAAGCTTGAAAACTTGACCAGCTGCTTTCACGGCACTCTCGGGGACATGTAGCTGTCGGGCTACTAGATTGATAATTCGATTGCCATTCTGCTCAGTCACCTCCCGGCTTTCCATACTATCACGATGGTAACCTGGTCCGTAGCTCCGGACATGGGTCTGGTCTGATCCGACGAAAGATCCTTGTACCACTGCGGCGCCAGATGATGTCTCGCCAAATGTCACCTCGGACACGATATTTGATTCGCTGATAACTGTACCGCACCCCGAGCAAACCTTTTGGCCTTCATCCTCGACGATGTGTGGAGCAGGACACCCAGGATTCGGACAGCTCTGAGTCTTCGGGTGTGTCTTAGGGCGTGCAGGTTGAGGGCGTCCCATCGGTTGTGGGCGTTTGATGGGGATTGAGCTTGGGGGCTTTAGACTAGCCAAGCGTCCAACCGGAGGTCGCGGACCCCGTGGGGTCACGGATATGCTCCCAGACCGGGACGCAGACATGGCTGCGGGTAAGAGGCGTATGCGGATAAGATATGATGGCCACCCGGATGAACTGCAGGAATGTTCGGAGCTTCTCCGGCGTTCAAATGGCCGTCAAGTAAACCGGTGGTGGAAGACACGGGGTAGGGTTGCGGGGCTCGTGCTTGTTGTAAAGATGAGAAGCAAGGGAGTGATGTCGAGGATGGAGGGTTCTGTCGAATATGAAGATGAGGGAGCGACCGATCTGCTTCCGACCAAGCGCTGCAGCGCTGTGTTGCCTGCAATGGTCTGCAATGGTCAGGAAGCCAGTCGCGCGACACGAGTCTAAATGCGCGTGTCTGGGATAGAAAAAAGATAAGTGATAAGGGTAAGGGAACGTGTGAGGTGGGGAGGCCAGCGAGAGGATGAGGTTTTTGCGAGTGGACGTCACCCGTGGCTCAGTGGTGGAATCACGTGAGTGATGATTTCGTTGGCGGGCGCACGTTCGACTCGTTCAGCTGGCAAATGTTGAATGCTTTGAATCGGTGGCCCCGCGCTCTGTGCGCTGGGATCAGAGGTGAAGAAGAGGATTTGAAAATGGAAGAAAAGTTGGAAAATAAAAGAGGGCTACTTTGAGTTTTGATTCACCTGTTCACCTCAGCGTTGATCCAGTGTCTCTTCCAGCTTGCCTGGACGCAGCTTCCAGAGGGTTCATCACGTGATGTTATCCCAAAAAGGACATATTGATTCCATGAATGGACTGTGGACTGTTGCCTTGCTGCCTGGGAAAGTGGCAACAGAAGTCACGGGACCCTGCATGTGTCAGGCACCAAGGCTACAAGGCACCCACTTCGAGTTTCCACGCCTTGCCACGAGCTCATCAGGCTCGTGCTGTAGCGGTCAGACACATGGAGGGTGGTTGACATTACAATATATCGGACTCCGGAGTAGATATCCATCCCTGGTGGCTATTCATTCCGAACTATGGAGGGGCATACCTGCATGAGAGTCATGGCGCTCGATGGTTGGAATGTTGCTTGCCAGGTTGCGGCATTTGTGCCGTTTTTGCCTTTGTAGTGTGTGCACCACGCGAAAATCTCGCATATTGGCTTTTCGCGTGTCGTCTTTCCGATTCCAGGTTGATGGGTTATCTGTTTTTTGCTTATCAATAACCCCGACTGACAATTCCATTCATGCTTTTCATGACTCTTTCCCCTTTATGATGCACTTGGCCGTGGCGTGGTTGCTGTTTTCTTAGGCGATCCTTAATATACCTGCCCGCTGCCCTGCCTGGCATACCACTTGAAAATCATTTCACACTTTGCTTGCCTTTAGCACACCTGAAGACTATCATTACGTCCGTCCTGACCGATATTATTATCACCCTCACTGAGGAGAACTTTGTGGCAACTGTCAATTTGTCTTTCATTTTTCGAGTCCTGGTGATCGCGGTCTGTGCGATCAAAAGCTCTCTATCTGTGGATCATGTCTTCCAACCAAGAACTTCATTCTAGTCCTCCACACACCCCAAAGATTCAGCAGAGCTCACCTTCTAATGTGAATATGACAATGAGGAGAAGTCTCTTTGGGGTGAGCAACATCCACTGTGCTTCGTGTGTGGCCTATGTCTCCGAGGTTCTCTCTGAGATCCCTACAGTGCAAGATATCGACGTGTCGATCTTGACCCATGAAGTGCGTGTGTCTCATGGAATCTCTGTGCAGCCAGGAGACTTGGTTGCTGCTTTGATTCAAGCGGCCTTCGAAGTCTATCATGTCACAACCTATGATGAAAGGGGAGACACCGTTTCCGAGCTCGATACGTCCTCGTGGACTCATCGTAGTTCGGTCATTTTCTCGCCTCGCGCCTCTTATTCTAGCCTCTCGTCCAACATCAAAGACCGTCTACACAATAGCCGAGAGAAACGACATATTGCCAACTGTGATGCCTGCAAGAAAGAAGAAGCTCACCAACTTTCTCGCGACTCGACCCAAACTGAATTTGGCACTCTCAATGAGAAGTCTCCCCGGGTTCCCACCTGGAAAGAGACCGACGGCAATGAACCGGTCCAACACGATAGAAACTGGGAACAAACACCAGAGAATACAGCAACTTACATGCCATCGTCGACTGCGACCTCTGAGACCCGAGTGGATCAGTCTGCGGACTTATCCATATCGATTCCGCCCGAAGTTACTGAGACTCTCCGATTACCACCAGCTGAGAATAGTGAAGAGTTTACAGCGCAGATCAGCATTAGTGGTATGAGTTGTGCATCTTGTGTCAACAGTATTACTGCGGCTGTTCGAGATCTTGATTGCGTCAAGGAGATTGCCGTCAACCTGCTCACGAATAGCGCCGCTCTCGTGTACACTGGGTCCCAAGGAAATCTTGACATCATTATCGAACAAATTGAGGATATTGGCTTTGAAGCCTTTGTTGATGAAGTAAATCAAGGCGCAAGGTCCTCAACACCTCAAACGGCCCCAGCAACCTATACCACTGAGATTGCCATAGCAGGCATGACCTGTGGCTCCTGTGTAGGCACGATCACACGAGGCTTGGAGGAACTACCTTTCATCCGCAATGTTTCTGTCAGCTTGCTGTCTCATAGCGGAAAGATTGAGTTTCGAGGACGAGAGAATGTTGATCGAATCGTGGAGAAGATTGAAGACATGGGTTACGAAGCTGCCGTCAACAGTGTCGATGCCGTGTACGCAGCGAAGGATGCCACCGAAACCATCCGAACGAGAACAATCTCGATCCGTGTTGATGGAATGTTTTGTCATCATTGTCCCGAGAAGGTCCTAGCATCTTTGGAACTGCTTCACAATGTCACCGCAGAAGAACTCCCCACTGAGAACAAGCCCATCCTCAGAGTCACGTATACGCCTGCGCCGCCTACCTTGACCGTCCGTTCGATCCTTACGGCCATCAATGAGGCCAACGATGCTTTCAATGCTAGCATCTACCACCCACCTACCATTGAAGATCGCTCCCGAGCAATGCAGTTCCACGAACGACGCAGACTACTCACTCGCTTGCTCTTTGTTTTCGCTGTCGCAATTCCGACCTTCCTCATCGGCATCGTTTTCATGTCACTCGTGCCCTCGCAGAACCCGACCCGGATGTACTTGGAGCAGACAATTTGGTCTGGCAGCGTCACTCGTATTGAATGGGCCCTGTTTATCATGGCAACACCCGTCATGTTCTACGGCACTGACGTGTTCCATACACGCGCGCTAAAAGAGATCTACGCTCTGTGGCGTCCAGGAAGCCGGGTTCCCATCTTGCGGAGATTTTATCGCTTTGGCAGCATGAACCTTTTGATATCTGCTGGCACAGCAGTTGCCTACTTCTCTTCCCTCGCCGTACTGATTGTTGACGCGGTGGTTGGAACCAAAACTAGCACTCATAGCACCACATACTTTGACTCTGTGGTCTTCTTGACGCTCTTCATTCTCGCTGGTCGTTTCTTGGAGGCGTACAGCAAAGCTCGAACTGGTGACGCTGTTTCATCCCTGGGCAATCTTCGGCCATCCGATGCGTTGCTAGTCGAGGCTCAGTCCGTGGATATCAATGCTTCTGGAGGAGTTGGTTCAGACCAAGTCACCCGCATTGGCATTGATCTCCTGGAGGTTGGCGATATGGTTCGCATTCCTCACGGTGCTTCTCCACCGGCTGATGGCGTGGTGGTCATTGAAGGCTCATTCCAGTTTGATGAAAGTTCTCTTACGGGAGAATCCCGACCTGTCAAGAAAACTGTCGGAGATCAAGTTTTCACTGGCTCAGTCAACGTGGGTCAGCCCGTGCAGATTCGCATCACCGAGCTTGGCGGATCGTCCATGCTCGACCGAATCATTGCCATCGTCCGCGAGGGTCAGAGCAAGCGCGCGCCCTTGGAGAGAGTTGCAGATCTGCTCACCTCCCATTTTGTTCCTGTAATTACCTTGATTGCTATTCTTACTTTTGTCATCTGGCTTGCCCTTGGTCACTCAGGTGTTCTTCCCATCGACTATCTTGACATTGCTCGCGGTGGCTGGACATTCTGGAGTCTGGAATTTGCCATCGCCGTCTTTGTCGTCGCTTGCCCCTGTGGATTGGCTTTGGCTGCACCAACAGCACTCTTCGTGGGTGGTGGTCTTGCGGCGAAGCATGGTATTCTGGTGAAAGGTGGCGGTGAAGCTTTCCAAGAAGCCAGTCGTCTCGATGCTATCGTGTTCGACAAAACTGGCACTCTGACCGAAGGGGGAAGCCTCAAAGTCACCGAACATGAGGTGCTTACGAAAGATCAAGAATTGTTGAAAGTCGCATGGACACTTGCCCGAAAGTTGGAAGAGAGCAGCAACCACCCAATCGCCCAAGCAATCTCTGCTTTCAGTGAATCCCAGCCCATGGTTAATGTTGTGTCCTTCGATATCCAGGAAATTTCGGGCCAGGGAATGAAGGGTACTTTCGCAGTGACTACCGAAAATTCTGGAAGCAGCGAACAGTATGAAGCTGCAATTGGCAATGAACGCCTTCTTCATAGTGTTCTCCCGGCCAACAGTGACACGTACTTCATCTCCAGTCTGCTCTCAAAGTTCCAATCCGGCGGTAAATCCACTGCCATCCTATCCTTGCGTCGCCACTCATCCAAATCTTCACCATTTGTCCCCATCATCATCTTCGCCGCATCGGACACAATTCGGCCGGAGGCAGTTAACGTGATCTCTCAACTCAACAAGCGAAATGTTGACGTCTTCATGTGTACGGGCGACAACCAGACAACCGCACACGCCGTCGCAGAAATGCTGGGTATTCCTCGTTCCAACGTCATGGCCAACGTATTGCCCGCAGAAAAAGCCAGCTTTGTACGACAAGTCCAAGAAGGCTCGGTTCACACCGAAAGAGTGAATACTCAAGGCCAGACGAAAACGCGTTCAATCGTTGCATTTGTTGGAGATGGCGTTAACGATTCACCCGCCCTCGCCGCTGCAGATGTCAGTATCGCAATGGCATCCGGCTCGGATGTCGCTATCAACTCCGCCAGCTTCATCCTGCTCAATTCAGATCTGAGCACGATTTTGCAGCTCGTGATTCTCAGCCGTCGTGTCTTCAACCGTGTTCGGATGAACTTCGGATGGGCTGTAATTTACAATTTGTGTCTTGTTCCCGTGGCTGCTGGTGTTTTCTACCCGATTGTGAGTGGCCATCATCAGATAGCCAATGGTGGGGATATGATCACTGTGAATGAACACTGGAGGTTGAGTCCAGTATGGGCTGCGCTGGCCATGGCACTGAGTAGTATCTCGGTTGTCTCGAGTAGCCTGGCCTTGAGGATTAATATGGGGAGTGTGAAGAGAGTGGTGGGTTGGAAGAGATCAGAGCGTGGTTAATAACTAGAAGGGTCTTGTACAGTTATGTTAAGCGTTCCTTTATGATTCCCGTTAAATCAAGTTTCATTCTTTGCATGAATCCTTTGATTTCAAACTAAGTTTATGTAGCATTACTCATCGAAGATGTTCATCACCCAGCTTCTCCCCAAACTTCGGCAATCTTCTTGCTCAATGCTTTGCCAAAGTTCTTCCGTCCTACGACAGAGTGTAGTTTATCTGACATTAATGTATCCCGCTGGTGGGGCTCCAGTGCCATGTATGCTTCCACGAGGTGCCGTGGCGTTGGCCATAGGCGCTGAATTTCCATCGCTCTCTCGCCAGTCACGCCACGGATACACATGAGCATCTTCAAGAAGACGTCTCGTAGGGATAGGGTATTGGACTTGGAAGCAAGGGCCGAGAATGTAGAGAATGTGACACCGTATGTGACTGCCGGATCCTTAGCTCGAAGTTCATCCAGTAGACTGAGATAAGACTTTGTCGAGGAGATGCGCCGACTTGGAATAACAGCAACAGAGGTTATGCTTGACGCGGTGCCGGATTGGCTAGGACAAGGCTCGTCACTAGACAGATCGTGTGCGCCGTACATTTTGCGCAGCAGCTTGGTCATGCGGGCGAGATATCGAATTGAGTCGTCGATAGTACGAGTTCGCTTCAAAAAGTAGCCGTTAACCACTTGCGTTGATGCGATGGCTGAAGCGGCCATCTCTTGATACTTCGATGCACTGCCGGTCGAAGCATCGGCGTGCGACACTGTGAATTCCTCAATGAGATAAATCACGTTCTTGATGCCCGATCGACCGAGACGGAACTTCTGCTCGTGGAATCGTCCATCTTTGATAGACCCAATGAGATCGTCGAGACGTTTTCTTTCGAGGATCCAATCGAGCATTACCTCGTCGCCTTCCTCGCCATAGCGAGCGAGATATGTAGGGTCCCGGCATTTGGCCACCCAAAATGCGTCGCCCAATTCCAGAGCCCGCACGTGTGGCGTGATGCCTTTTTTTATGAGCTCATCAGAGATATAGGCTCGGTCTTTGGGAGTGCGTACTTCTCGAGTATCTAGTACTAATTCAACAGTGAAATTGCCGGGAGGAAGTACAATAGGTTCCGTAGGGCCATCCACATGAGTTCCTTCACCAAGTAGGGGGGTGGGCTCTGCGGGTACCAGAATATCGTCGTCGCCATCAATTGGAATGGGCCTGTCCCCAGTAGCAGGAGCTATCTGCGACTGGTGGTTTCGAGAACTATTGCTTGTAGAGGCAGGAATATTCACGGAAGCGCCGGGCAGAGTCTTTTGAATGCGTTTGGCCACTTCCCAACCCTCCTCAGAAAGCATATACTTCCTGAGAGGGCGACCGTGTTCGTAGACAAGATCCTTTTGGACTAAGGTCTTCATAGAATTCCATGCGGTGTAGAACTTCGTCGGGTCTGGGGGTGCAGTGAACGAATTGTCACAATAAGGCTGCGCAACTTCTATCAGATGAGCTTTTGTTAAGCCTTGGTCGGCGTTCTCCCCTTGAGTGGCCAGTCCCAGCAAGAGCGCATACGGTCCCGACCGCAAAGCCGGCACATATGGCCTGGCCTTTCGTGGCTTCTTTGTCGGTTGTTCAGCAACACCTGTATCTGATGTCCTTTTGCTGCCTGAAAAGTTGCATTAGTTGGACGAGTCTTGGTGGAACAAAGTGGTCATTGCACACCTTGACCTGGGACTTGTGGCATGGGAAGTCCATTCTCTTGACAGTAGGCCTTCAGCTTCTCTGTCAGGCGCTCGCACAGTTTCGGACCTAGTCCATTCAGTTGCTGTGCTTGGGAGGGATGATCAAAAGCCAAGGGACACGCTTTCATCGACTCATATGCCTTCTTGTACCTGGACGTAGATTAGATATCGGGTATTCAAGCAAGGTACGCGTGGGATACTGACACTGTCACGCCTTTGCTGTTGCGCTCACGGGCTTGGTCCAGCCATTCTTTAATCCACCCCAAAAGTAGGGGGTTCGCACACTCCTCGCTCATGGCGCCCTTTCGGCCATCGGGGTACAGGTGAAGTGTTGGTTTGAGCGTCAGTTTGGTGGACGCGACGTGTAACTTCCCCTTTGGGAACGGATATGGTCATGTGACTGCCACAAGGGAAGCAATTGACGGAGCAGCAGGAGGGTGGATACTCGGAGAAAAGGAGATAACTAACCTGTATGGTTAGTTAACTAGTTATCCGCTAAGATTAGTCATTATTTTGCCCACATAAATTGCCAGCTAGGGGCAGTATAGCAATTCAGACTTATTGATATCCTATTAGTGCGTAGTATGATCCACTAAGCAGGAATTCCGACTGTTATAAGCCCAATTCGCCAGTAAGAAGGCTAATAATGTTTGCCGGCAAGTGGTTGAAAGATACATTCTAGCCACCCTAGCAAATGTCTTTGACCCGACTGTTGTCAGCAGTTACTCGGACGAGGAGCTTGTTACGTCTCGCTTCTGAGTCTCAACGAATTAGCAGCCGCCGGATTGAGGCACTCTAGCTACAAGAGGCTTTGGAGCAGAGCCTCAGAGAGCTTTCTATTTAGAATGTATATCAGGGGTACCTTTGGGTGTGGTCTTTTCCCAATGCGGTTTTCCACGCCCCATGCGCGAGTGCGGAAGTGACCATTTTTAGTTCTTAAGTTTCTGCGCTGATTTAATATATGATTTAAAGCTTATTTAAGGAATGGTGTCTTTCACAAGATATGTCGGACGCTATGCTTTCGTAGATAAAGCATGTATACCGTAACAGTCGAGTACAATTAATATTAACATCCAAGTGCACAAAACAAGAAGCAAGACAAATCTACTTAAAATGCATGTAGCTCTGATCAAGAGTAAGGCGCTAATAAACCCCCAAGCAAAGTCTGGTGACAACAGTGAGCGTAAAGGCTTCCTCGGACGGCCTCCGACAGTCCTCCTTAATGCGCTTACGGGAATCCAGGCGAATAACGAGCGGAAAGACTCCAAGGTTCCCTGCTTTCTTCAAGAGATGCTAGAGAAAAACCCGAAGATGAGCAGGAGATCCAGGCAAAATCCCGGCTATGTTCACTAGGGCTTCGACAACGACCGTCTGTTCAAAGCTTCATGCGATCACGTCCCCAGCCCGGACTGTCGGGGCTGTGATACGGCTGATGAGATTCAACGCGATCCTCGAGATACTACCGACCCCGAGATCTACTACGGGACTATCGCATCCGGGAACACGCTCGTTAAAGACGCCGCTACGCGCGATCGGATTGTTGCTGGTCATGGCCAGGATTGTATCTGCTTTGAGATAGAAGCGTCTAGCCTGATGAACTACTTTCTCTGTCTTGTGAGGTCTAAGAGACTAAGAGAGCGTTAGAAGTGTTATAATTAGGTTAGCTGTTGTTTCGTTTATAGCTAGACTAGTAAGTATAATGATAATCGAACTTACTATAAGTCCTGACTGCGAGTAGTCCAACAATAGATTGACAGTATATAGCAGACGACAGTCGCAACAAAAGCTACTACTGATTCCATCAGGTCTGACCTTTATACTAATGGGATTAAGCGCTAGCTTTGTCCCCCGGATCTATCTTTAAACGCTAACCATATGAGGACGCTCCGCTATGAGGGAATAGGCGCCTGGCTGCTCGAAAACCCCGTCTTCTAATCGTGGTACGCGGGCTCACGTCAACAGTTATGGCTGTACGGGCTCGCGGGATGTGGAAAGTCGGTTCTTAGTATAACCGTGCTTGATTATCTGGTGAATGGAAGCGACAGTCCTATTCTTAGTTTCTTCTTTGACTTTGCTCCCTTGTCAAATTAGTTTTTAAGTCTCCTTAGGGTTTCGACAATGCATAAATAGCTCATGCTCCCACCTGCTTGTAGACATTTTTTTCAAGACTAATATTTATTCAAAGCTCTCTCTTTCAATTACCATATGGCTTTGCCTTTGGCTCAGTCGCTTGCTTTCCTTTTCTTGTTCTGTTTAAATATGCAACTTTAATCTACCTTTTTGATTTCCTTCACCTGCCTGCCATATATCCTAATCTTCTCCGCCATTTCTACAACAATTTCTGACGCTTTCTTCTTCTTCCTCCGAGTCTCTCCTTAGCCACCTCGTTTACTTTTTGCGGTCGATATTCCTAGATATGTTGATCCTCGAATCTCCTGCCACTAAAAAGGCCAAAAAGCCTAGTTCGCATTCAAAAGGTAGACAGATACATACCACGTGAATCGAGCCATGCGGACGAACCGCAGTCTGGTGCGGGGATGAGTTGGCCCTGACGTGTTGCGGATTGTCGAGGCAGTTCTCGCAGAACCATTTGTTGCACCGGTGACACCAACCGTCGGTGAGATAATCGTTTAGTGAGCGATCAACACTTGGTGCTTGCTAGGTATCATTTCAGTTCGCTTAGCAAATGTAACACTCGACTGGTACATTGGAACCGAGCCCAAAAGCAGGAATTCAACGTCCGCTTTCTGGCCCCAAATTGCGGGTCCTTGGTGGGAACTATGTATGGCACATCACAGCCTTGTGGGCCCAGGGTGATGGTCGCCACTTCGGGTCTGAGCATGGGGGCCTCTGGGGGTGGGTTTGGGTTATCCTTGTCCCCTTCCTTGTACATGTTGACATTGTGTTGTGATCCTCGGCAAATGACAGCGTCAAAGGCGATTATGCTCTTGTATTTCTAGATCATCTGCGCCCAGCCCTCCTTGATACTGTGCTTGAAGAGCTTGCCAGTGGGGCTATACCATTCGTTCTGCTGGTGTTTGTGGATTGGCGTCGAGTCTTCGTTTTTGGCATCGGACGAATTGTTCGAGGAAGACTGCTTGGGACTCCAGGAGCTTCCTACCCGGCCACTCCACCAGTCTCTCTCTGAATCTGCGCCGGCGCACAATGGGTCGCGGGGCCGTATGTCTACTCGTACCCAACTGCCGAGACCCTGTGGGTCTCTTTATTTTAGGGTGTATCTCAAGTCGATAGTGCTAAGTGAATTATTATTTATATATCGTGTCGGTGTGCTAGACACTGCTAGTAGGAGTAATTAGCAGTAAGTGGGTTACCCATGATTGGCCTTGGGTACCTACCCATCGTGCACAGGTCTAATTGTGCTTTTCTGGTGGGCAGTGTCCTGTAGAAATTCAAGTAGATTTCAAAGTACAGGATTATTTAGCATCCATTCAGCCTCACTTGACAGTGTAGCAGCGCGGGAGGCTGAATGTGACATACCCACTGGGAAATCCTGTTCAGCCAACACACAAGCCCCACGGTCACGCCCTCGAGTACCCCAAGATCAATTCTGGCAGAAACCTGTAGGATCGTTTCCATCGACAAGGTCCGTGCCGTGGGGCTGAAAGGAGCCACCACTGCACATGGAAAGCTTATTGTAGATCCAGGCACCAAACAGGGCAGGGACGCGGGGTACACCTCAGGTAAACAGAACAGTGGGGGGGGCCTTAAGGTCGTACAGACAACACTTTCTACTCCGTAGTCAGGTTAGATTGCCAAGGATTTCATTCGCACCTCTTACAACCCTCGTACTCAAATATAGACATTTCCTATTTCGGTCTAGCAACTGTCGCGGTACCCACTTTCAACTGTGGAGGTCACATATACTCCGGGCACCAGAGAACCACTTATACGTCTGTCCGTGTGGCCGAGGATCAATCCTCTTTGCAAGTAGGCAAAATGCAAGGCTGTCAGCCTTGTCAATTGCGGGGTTTATACTCCGTACAGCAACTGCTATGCTTATCGTTGTTTATGGCCCGAATTTTATGCGAGTCAATGCAGTCCAACCACGGGCAATCCTCGGATAGGATCAATGATTCGCAGAAAATTTTATTTCGGGCGCGTTCTTGTTGATGGCAAGGCAGATCTACTCATTATTTTGATAGGAAGTGTGTAGTCCGGTGAGAAAGCCTTGGAATTGCATAAACCTATAAATACCCAGTCTTTCCCAGCTAGAAATTGAAGATTGTATAACCATCCAAGTTGCCAATATCCACACTGAAAACCAGAACCAAACCACCGCTGTTCGGTTCCCTCGATATACTCCTACGCAAGCCTCTTTTTTATTCAATATTACCTGAAAATGCGTGCCTCCGCCACAATCGGTGCTACACTTGCACTCTGTAGTGCTACGCTCGCGTGGGATATCACGTTTTACACTGACTCGAGTTGTGGTCAAGACAGTGGCAACTATGTACGAATTGCCATGAATTACCTTCCCAATCCCCTCGAGAGTTCAACAAATTCTTTACTTCAGGGCTAACATAAAGACTCTTGAACCAAAATGCAGGTCATTTATACTGGCAGTAAAGGACGCCCTTGCCACTGGCTGGGCGGAAAGCCCCTCAAGCTGGGCTAAATGTACCAAATATACGGATGGTGGGAATAATGGCCCTTTTGATTGCACCGGAAATGATTTCACGGACGCCTATTCATTTAATATTCATAGCGGCGATTTCTATCTAGCCGACGCTCGCTCTGAGGGCAGCAGAAATTGTTGGACCGGATTTGGCAGTTCTCAAAAAGGATGTCAGAGCATCCATGTTAGAGGCTTTGCCCCACAATCGGGTTGACGATAGATTGTTTGCCTCTTTACTGAAGTCTGATAACTTCTACATGTGTTGAATTGAACCACTGTCGTTACCATTTTGTCTTCTGCCCGATTCTTTTCCATATTTCATACCTGTAGTCTACTACTACTACTACTACTACTACTACTACTACTACTACTACTACTACTACTACTACTACTACTACTACTACGACGACGGAGATTAAAATCTTCTTTAGCATTCTTATCTATATAGGTGTTCACCTGGCACCACGCATTGATTCCTACTGGAAGGGTGATAGGAGAGAGTGGCCCCTACATCCTCCTCGGCATTATATGTCCCAGAAGCGCTTTGAACAGATTAAGCGCTATCTCTATATATCTCATCCAGACGAAGATGAGAAGCGATCGGAGAAGGATAAGAAGCAGTGGTAGTATAAAGTAGAACCTCTATCATCATCCTTCAAAGAGGCTGCGCACAAGCACTACCAACCAGGTTCAAATATCTCTATTGATGAGACTATGATTCGCTGCTTTGGCTGTACGCAGCATACTGTCAAAATGCCTAATAAGCCAATTCAAAAGGGTTATAAGATCTTTGCCCTTGCAGAATATAGCTATATTTGGACCTTTACCTGGACTAGTCACCTATGGGGGATTATAGATAACTTCAGATGGGAAGGCCTTAGCCCTACTGCATCAATAGTGCTAAATATGATTAAGAAGCTTCCTGGCCTAGCCAACCGCATGGCTGATTCGCCTACTAATCGCATGGCCAATTCGCTGGCCAATTCGCTGGCCAATCTTCCTGCGAATCTCATGGCCAGTTCGCATACACTAGCACCCTATATTGTCTATATGGATAATTATTTTACCTTAGTAGCCCTTTTCAAAGAGCTTCGAGATATTCAACGTGGTGCATGTGGTACTACCCGTCCTCAAAATGGGATACCTTCTTAGCTTATTGAGATAAAGGATTATATTAAATCTATCCTATGGGGTAGTTTATATACGACTGAGGCTAAAGGAGTACTCTGTCTCGCGTGATAGGATAATAATATAGTCCTACTACTATCTACTATCCATTCGCTAGAGATATACACTCCTACTAAGCGGAAGCGGCTATCAGCAACCTCTACGAATGCAGCTATTACGCGCGCTCCTTTGGTGATGAGATAATCAAAGATCTCGAGATCCCTACTGCAATTGACGATTATAATCGCTATATGGGTAGTGTAGATATTGTAAATCAGTATAGGGCTTCTTATGAAATTCATCGAAAGAGCGAGCGTAATTAGCTTCCGCTACTCTTCTTCTTTCTTGATGCTGCAATTATTAATGCATTCCGCATTCAATCAATCTATAAGAAGCAGCAGGGGGCTAGTGGGCTATCTCAACTAGATTTTCACAAGAAGCTTTATATGCAGCTTTTTGCACCTCCACCGATACCATTACCAGTACCCGATATAAACCACCAGCGAATTGAATTAGCTAGCCGAAAGGCTTGTGTTTGGTGTCAGTATACGAGAGAAAAGGGTAGAAGGGGCCAACAGGCTAATCGATCGCGATCGGGTTGCTTACAATGTAGCAGTGTAGCTCTACGTGCAAAAGGGCAGCGTTGGCGTGAATTCCATAGAAATAGCTAGCTTGAATTAGGCCTAATTGTTTACTTACCATACTGTGACCGTAGTCAGCCAATTATTACGCGATATTAGACATACGCTAGTATTAGCCTAATAAAATACGCTAAATGGACTTCCGGGACATACTAGGGGATAGCAATTCAAACTTGTTGGTATCCTATTGGTGCGCAGTATGAACCACTAAGCAGGAATTCTGACTGCAATCATCATTTAAGGCTGGGGAACACCTCAGAACGTGACGAACTAGTAAGTATAGATCTTCTAAAATCGGATTTTCTAGAGAGATGGAGTCCAATCATTACTTCAATCGTCCAACATTACAACCTGCCCTGGTGGTGGGGCATGTCCTGTTGTTGGTGCAAGAATGACGTCGACAACCCAGTTCCCAGGCAGCAAGAACTACTTCATATCCATGGCTGGAAACCCATGCTCAATCCGTAGATTGATCATATCCTCTCTTCATACTCCTCCTGGATCTCACGTTCAAAATTCCTTTGAATCGATTTTATTGCATTATGTCAAACGACGACGACGATATCCCCATTTGGAACTCCGTCACCACCACGGATCTCAAAGTCAATACAGGCGTTGATAATACTGAGAAACCCCCGACGCCAGACGGGCCAACAGATAGCCACGTACTATCGCAGGTTGAGCAAGAAGACAAAGGCTTGATTCAAAGAGCGGGAGAGACAACCGACATCACTGACGTCGGATGGAACAATCTCGCGGACCACACTGAGCCTCTGATTGCTGGCTTGTCAAATGAGGATCTATGGATGTTGATTCGACGATTTGACAAGGTATTCCTGAACAATAACACCTCGCCTACGAAAATGAATGCTGACATACCATCTTGTAGCAAGTCTATAATGTCAAAGCCGTTTCCGAAGCACCCCTTCAGAACCTGGATTTGACTCGAGCGGATGATGATGAGTTCTCGCCAGATAAGCTGCGAGCAACTATTGAACGATTTTACACCACAATATTTGTCAAGCTCACGAGTTTTGTAAAGCACATTGCGCGGTTACGATCTTGGAAGGAGACTCGAAGAACGGCAGTCTTCTGCGCAGTAGGTCTATTCCAAGACATGAAGTATCTTCGAGTCCTTAGTATCCACTGACTGATAATAGGTCTACTGTATTGCATGGCTTCTGGACCTTCTCGTCCCCACATTTTTCGCTGTCCTGATCGCCCTGGTCGTGTACCCACCATGCCGCGCACTCATGTTCCCACCCGCGCCCATTGCCTTAGTCGACCAAGAAAATGGTGGTGTTCAAAAGCCCAAAGCTGGAGTGCTCGGATCTCATGACAGTATAACGGGGGCTCCACAGAATTTCAAGGGTGAAGCAGCTGAGCAAGAGGCTAGCAACTTGATTGCAGGTGTTGCTAGCGTTGCCGTAGGTAGCGCGGCCGGGAAACACGACCAAGGGATACCAGACGATGCACCTTTAGAAAACTCTGTCCCTGATGCTACAGATATGGTCTCTCACTCTGCAGATGCTCGGAGCAAAGCACATGGCCATGTGCCGTCCGATCATCATGATAAAACTCGACAGCCTATGAAGGAATCCGTTATGGACGGCGCTAACACGCTGATGCAAATCATTGCCGATGTCACAGATGTGTTTGAAAAGTTTGAGAAGTCAGTATTTGACCTGTATCACCCTCTTCATATCTACTCTTTTGTTGACAAGCCCAGCGCCCTATCTCCCACGCCACCATTTCCACGAGTCACACCTCGCTTGCGACTGGCAGCTGTGTTGGTTCCAGCATGCCTTCTGTCAGCTTGCACCCCTATCTACTTATTCTCAAAACTGGCCGGATTCAGTGTCGGCTTTGCGTTCTTCGGTGATCCAATCCTTAGGCGTGGCCTAGCCATCCTCAACCAGGATTTCCCTCGTTGGCAGAAGATCTTCGAATTGCAAAAGCAAGTTTGTTCATATGGTGGCTAATTTTACTGTTCAATCACTAATAGCTCAATAGCTCGCTGCTCAAAGGGATTCCAACCAATGTGCAGCTTACTCTGACCCTCTTGCGCATTGGCGAGGCCAATGCATCGCCTTTGCCGCCACCCCCGACCTCCAGATGCAAACCTCCGTCCCGACCGGCCTCACTCCATCACGAAGAGCTTACATTAGGTGCTACCAATGAAGAAATTCACCGAGCGGTCACAGCTCAGCCAACTAACCCATACCAAGGACCACAATTGTCGCCCGAAACTCCCCACAGGAAGAACTTCGCCTCCAGGATTGTCAGTTTCTTCCGTGGAACTACTGCAACAGGCGTTGAGAGCAAACAAGTCATTGATCGAATGCGAGCAGTTGTCGGTTCTCACCATGCCAAGAACCGGGTTGGTGTTTTGCGCCCAAAGGGACGCACTGCAACTCCCGTTGGCCCTGTGGATTTCGACGCTCGATACAAGGGAACCCATGGGGCTGTGGTTATTGACTCGACACAGGAACCCCCCGTTCTTTACTTCACAACCGACATTCCGCAGACTGGAGATCTCTATGTGGGGAATCGCAAGAAAGGCTCTGTGTTATTCTCTGTTCCTGTTACGGATATCCGGGAAATGAGAAAGCTCGGCGGGATGGGCTGGAAAGGGAAACTTGTCGTCGGGTGGGCGATTGGTGAGAAGGAGGTTGTTGATGGTTTGCTTATCGTGGGCAAGGATCCCAGGCAATCATACCAGTTAACGGCCATGGGCATGAGAAATCAACTGTTCAACCGGTTGATTGCTATCGATGGACAGGTTTGGGCGAGCTTTTGACATGGCAATTCTGTGAATGCAGGCTGAAACGATCCCAGGTCTGGAGATAGTAAAAAATCTCTAGGTAGACCATTGGTGGACAAGACTTTCATCTGGAAATTTGAGCCGATGAATCAACATGCAACCTACGTCACCACGTGGAGTAATTATGCTGCAGTTCTGTCAATGTCACTCAATCAGGATCCATCCGTATTTAATCCGATCCGCTGCTATAGTTCATGTACAGAAAACACTTACGGGCTCTCAACCTAGACCTTGGCCTGCAGGCAGACATCGATCATGCGGTTCGCCGCGTTCAGTCGCTGCTCTTCAGACATGCAGCCAATCGAGACTAGACTGCTGAGAGCGTCAGCGACCCAATTCTGGCTGTCCCAGCTGTTACTGATGTTGTCGTGTACTGGAGTATTGGTGCAAGCCTTGTGGATCATCCACTTGGTGGTAGCATCGGATGGAGTGGAGACCGATAATAAGTCTGCGAGGTGCAATTCAAGCTTTTCAATCTCGGTTGTAAACTTGAAGAATGGATTTACACCAACGAGATGATAGAGTCGCTTCTCACCATCCTCATACTTGGCATAGATTGTGGCCTTCTGAGCTCAACGGCGTCGAGGGGATCGCCTTCGTAGATGGCAATGAGGGATCTCGGTCGGCATGGTCTCGATGGACTCGATGAACGGACAACCCTTATGGCACGAGACAAAGCAGAAACACATTGAGAAGTGTCACAGACACGTCCAACCTCAACTGAGGCCCCATGAGTGCCGTTGAGTCGTTCTTGCCGCCGAGTACCCTGAACCACCCAGCCAGACAGAAAGTCAACATAGTAGAAGGAACTAATTCTTCATGGTCGGACAACATGGCAGGCACACTCGTGAATTATGATTTTTGTTGTACAGGAACACTATCCATCGTCAAGTATAAATCAAGGTCGGTTATTTCTAGCTACCATAAAGGACTGCCTTCACTCCAACCAGATGCTCATATATATCGATACCCATGAAGCCCAGGACCAGACCGACATATTTGGAATCATGTTGAAGTGCCATTCCTTTATAGATCTCTATGACATATAAATGGCCCAAGCTTCCCGGTCGGGCGAGTACACCTTCCTAATTAGGAAGGTAAAGGTTAATAGCCTCAGGAGCCCCGGACAGCGTGCATTTTAAAAACCCCCACGATCCCTCCTTTCCAAATTTTTATTGAAAATACAATATCTATTCTCGTCACGGTCTCGTTCTGAAGTGGTGAGGACATTTCACATTCTATATGCATTCGCTAAATTGACAAACCAGAGAGATCAAGTCATGAATTCGTCGCTTCATCCCATACCAACTGCCCGGCCAAATCACAAGCACTATCAAGCCACAAGACGGACTTCAACTCCATCCTCATCTCATGCCAAGTCGACAAGCCCCTTGAGGTGGCATAAACCTTGAGTTTTTCTGCATACCAGCTCCTTTCCGATGACCACCTTGCTGCAATTCCGCCCATCATGAGACACCAAGAATGCAGGTTTTGAACTTCGGGTAATTCATGTTGAGTCACTTGGCTGTATAGTCGAAGCTCGATCTGGAGCATACGAGCGAGACTCGGCAGAGGAGCGGTTTGAGGTGGCAGGGGGAATACGATGCCCACCCCAAAGATAACTAGAGCCAGACGACAAGACTCATAAAGAGGATAGAAGCTAGCATGGGCCGCCCCAAGCTGACTTAATGGTAATAGGGACATGATGTGCCACTGAATGACGTTTCGGTAGTCACAGAGTGTGTCCATGCCCATCTGAATTCCATCTTGATACGCTTCGATGAGTTCGAGATGTATTCGCAAGCCTCGGAAGATTCTTTGCATCTCAGGGATTACATGCTCGCCTTCTGAGATGTCAGACTTTGGGTGTTGTGTGAAGTCATCAATGCCGAGTATGTCCTGCAGGGTCATGCGAGTGCCGGCACGGATCGAAATGTAGGGGAAGGTAGGTCGGGAGAGGGCCCGGCTAGCCCCTAAGATACCAGAACTATACTGGGTCATTAGCATCCGATCTCCCAGGATTTAAATGAATGCAGGCCATCACTTACAGTGATATCAAGGTGGCGAGTCCCGGAAGCTCGATCTTCTCCAAGCCCCCTCGTAGGGACACCAGTTGCCGTAAGCCAGCTTGATGAACTGGATGAGGCGACAAGCGTCCATACACGTCAAGCCATTGCAAGCTTCGCAACGGAGAGCCAAACGGAGACTCCCTCATGTCTTCCCATAATGGGTTCTCCAACTTGTTTGTCGCCATACACAACACACACAATATCAACGAATCAGTGGCGGCCTCGCAGGGAACCTTGATCGCACGGTTTATCCTTGCAATGGCGTCTGCCTCACAGACTGCCATCTGTTTGGCGTCCTCGGTACTGAAATGGCCGCGTTGCTTCACCAGCCATAGTGCTCTTCTGTGAGAGTATGATCCATACAATAGTGTACTATGGAGTGCTGCGTTGCAAGCCGAACTTGCGAACCATCGTTGTACGCCGATATGGTTTGCACCCGTGGATGTTTTTGGCATGAGACCCGGCCATAAGATGGACAATGCTTTATGACTACATGTCAGTGTAAGGAATATGGAGTTGCGAGGTAGGTTGGAACTCACAGTATTTGTTAGAGGTACTAACGAGATTTAGTGGCAAGGGCGATGCCCCAATGGTCTGGAAAGGGTCCAAGACGCCTGGGCTAATACCAGTCAGGGCCGCCGACGAGCCGAGGTCAAAATTCCCCGCTGGGGTTTGTTCATGGGTCGGTAGGTCCAGTTCACCTTCTTGATTATTGAAGAAAGCGAAGGGATCCTCCGCCGGTGGATCGTGTCCAAAATACGGCTGGTCATGCACCGCTGACTCTGGTGCTAGGTAGGAAAATGTTTCTGCGTCGGTCTCAAAGTCCTCCGATCTATCACCAGTCGAGGGTCCATATGTGTCGGAGTCCGTGCTTCGGCAGTTGTGAGAGGACTCAGAAGCGGAGAAGTTGTCGCCACCGCCAGTCGGTGGGCTCTCACGCTCACGCTCATGCTCACGTTCACGTTCACGCTGCGAATTTTGCTTTGCTTGGTGCCACCTCCATCGACCAACATGGGATCGGACTATCCGAAGATTGTCCGGTCGTTCCCGACTGGAAGATGGATCTGCGATGATGAAGTGTATGCCTGCCTGAGCCCGCGGGGACTTTTGCCTTTGTCTCGGCATAATTCTTGGAAAATGGCCCCGCTTGGATTTCTTTCCTCCGTTCACTAACAATCAGTCGGGGATCTCCAAATCCAGCAGTTGTATTGTTCTGCTTAGGGAGGCGGTGGGACTTTAGATCACGATGCAAAGAGTGCGTTTCGCCAGGTGCTTAATTTGAGCATTCCACGAGTCCGGAATAAGCATAAGGTCGGTCTTGGCGTTAGAATGACAAATTCTGTACCGGGGCTCGGGCCATAAGCCCAAGACCATCAGCATAAAGCCGATTTGCTTGGTACCAGGAAACATGCTAACCCAGACATATATCTCTTGCAAAGCAATTTCCGCGGCCTTCGAGAGTATTTCCTTTTGCCTCCTACTGCTGCCACCGGAGCGGGCTAGCGGAGTTTTGTGGAGAAAACACAGCCTTCACGAACTGTAACACGAGTAACGTTTCCTCTGCGGCTGAAGAAACCGCCTAATTGTGGGGCCAATTATGAAGTTTACATACAACAAGGTCGTGGGCAGGTTCCATTAATTTTAAACCCCTCCCTTATCGAAGATCTCCGACAAGACTTTACCAAATTAGAGATATATCGATAATTGCATGGCTTGCAGGGTGCTCAGAGTCGAAAGATGTAGATGGGAATTTGCTGAGGACAGTCTCTGAGCGAAAAAAAAAAAAAAAAAAATGGCGAAAAGTTGTGGTCCTATCACGGCTGCGCTCAATCTAGCGCGTTTCCTGGTTTCTCAAATGTAGTAGGCGGTAGACTGAATACCAGGAGATAGTTGAGCTGAACAATTTCATGATCCACCATCGACTCTTGGCACTTTTCACTCACTGAATACTAAGGAAGTGTAGCGGTAAGGTAAGTGGGGCAGGGTTTAGAAATTAATGGAACGTCACTGTGCAGACAAAACGGCCTATGCGCGTATAAGCTGATGAATCCTCTTCCCTGATTACATTCATATCCTATTTAAGACATGCATCTAGACTGTCCAACTATCATTCAGCGTATTTGGACATCATCTATAAACTCGGAAATCATCTCATTCTCTTGACCAGAAGCATTCTTCTTGCTAACGGTGCATCCAGGACTAGAAAAAAAGAGTTCACAGGGGTTCAAATGACATGCAGCTCCACTACTACTTAAAACTGAAACTAGGCCCTATATCGGCGCCCACGGATTAGGTATCTTAAACCAATGTCTGGTAATGTCAGATAATTCATTATTTCGTATCGTCCTTCTTCAAGCGGAAAAACTACGGAGTACACATTTCACCCTGCGTGGCATCGCGTGGAGGGCCGTGTTTATGCTTACCACATTCTTCTTGCAGCAACCCAAAATAGCGTAAACGTTTATTCGCTTATGATGCGCCGATCTATGGTCAAGAAGAGTTTTTCATGTTCCCTTTGTCCGTTTTGCGTTGATCACGGTCACTCCTCTCTATACTAGCGCAATATGCTTTGAACGTGTCTGCTAGTTCTGATGCTGATCATCATAACGGTGGTTGTCTTGTATTATTCAGAAACGACAAGAACCTTAATGTCTATAGATGAGATTATGACCGTTCCAATGCGGCTTTGTAGTCTCGCACAGTTTGCTCAAAGGATTCATCACGCTTAAATCCCAGAGAGATCGCCTGAAAATTATCAAACTGCGTGGGCCAAGACTTCAAAATTGGAACCAGCGCAGGGTCCTCTTTCTCCGTGAGGAGATCCAACTTGTCCTTGCCGCCCACCTTCTCCAGCGCATCCATCATTCCTTGCACAGTCACACAGATCCCCGGGACGTTGATCTGACGGATATGAGGAGGCACCGAGTCCGCGGGCAGACGCAGTGTGAGAAGGAGATTCTGGACGAGTGTCTTGGGCGAGCAGAGCCAGGACTTGAAGGACCGGTCTTCAATGGGAATGATACATTTTTTGCCATCTAATGGCTCGCGAATCATGCCGGAGAGGAAAGACGAAGCGGCAGCAGTTGGAGCACCGGGGCGGACAGAAATTGTGGGAAATCGCAGAGTGAAGCCATTGATAAACTTGCGACGGGTGTACTCATTGATTAGGGTCTCGCACACGACTTTTTCGGCACCATAAGAGGACTCGGGTGTTGGGATAACGCTGTCGGTCACGATCTCGGGCAGTGGTTGGCCGTAGACAGCCTGACTGGATGAATAGATGACTCGTACTCCAGGGCAGGTATGGCGAAGGACTTCGAGTAAGTTGCGGGTCGCATCAATGTTCACACTCATGCCGAGCTCGAAATTGGCCTCGGAGCCAGAGGACATTATCCCGTGGAAGGCATACACTGCGTCCAGTGAGGAATTGACCACATCTTTGGCAGCATTGAGGAGATCGGCCTTGACTGCCGTGGCATTCTCGGGATGGCGAACGCCCTTGGGGATGGGAGGTTGAACGATATCGGTCAGAATGACATGGTAGGAGGGATCATTCAGTAGCTCTGTAGCGAGGAGCTGGCCGATGAAGCCGGCAGCGCCAGTGATGAGAATTTGCATTGTTGAGTGAAAAGAGCCCCAATTGATGAAATCATCGGCTCAAGGGGGTTTGTCGCCGAGGCGAGTTTATGAGGACAGCGCGCGTTCTCCGCATTCGCATCAAGTCCGAGACGATCCGTTGTGGCTCCTCCGCACCGGACTTTGCCCGGCTGGTTGCCAGCGTTCAGAGTGGATCTGCAGTGTATGTGATCGGGATGGTAGTTGCGGTGTCTTGAGGTTCCAAGATGAACCTGTCGATTATATTCGAGTGTGTTCAGAGTGTGCAGTGTTGATCGGAGATCACGGCGATGGTGGGGGAGATGGGACGTCATTCTGTCGGACTGCTCTGCGGGAAGGAGGAATCCATAGTTCACGAGCCGCAAAAAACCACGTCGACACTGAACCATTGGGACACTGTTGAGCATAACCTGTGTCAGTACAGAAACTCTTAGTGGGAGGCCCAAAAGGTGCTGTTGCGCAGGACCGGTTGCCTCGGTCTCCGACGGGCACAGTCTTCAATCGCGAAACCCACTCGGCCTTCCCCGACTTTCTCCCTTTCTCCTGCCCCGCCAACTTTTGCCCCTAACCCGCATACCCGGAGCATCACCGACGGCTTCTTCCTCCAACTCATGGATGCCTCTACTCCACTCAAGCGGTCCTCGACCGATGCGGGCCTTGACTCTCCTCGCGAGTCGAATCGCTCAACAGAGTCACGACCAGTGGCTCCCAGGATATCCAAAGCCCGAGCCTGTACGTCGGCAACATCCCCCACATTATCCGACCGATCCACGTTTATTCACGACTGACTCTGTCTTTCCAGGCGCAGAATGCAAGCGACACAAGATTCGCTGCGAGTTCCGACCGGGCGAGAGCAATTGTACGAAGTGTATCCGCAGCGGCATCAAATGCATGGTGAACGACTTCTCCCAGAAATTCGTTGACGACGACGGAGTGTACGTTTCCCGGCGGAACCCCGCCTCCCTCCCTCCCTGTGCTGGAGATCGCAATCGCTAATCTCGTCCCTTACAGATGGAAGTCCCAGGCAGCAGCGAGCATGCAGCAGCTCCAGGCGGCAGTATCTCAACTTTTGCGACAAGCAGGACTGCCAGACCTCTCAACCTTTGGCGGCGGTGACAACCGTAACGGGCCCAGTCCGGCTGCCTCCCATCACGCCCATCGGCCATCCATCGATGCATCCCAATCGCACCACAATCATCATGAAGGACCGGGGGTAGTAATGGACGTCACCCGGGAGCCATCTCAAGAACCCGATCTCCAAGACCCGGAACTGGTCCCTGCGCCGATGCGGAGTCTCTACGAGGTCACCAAGCTGCGCAATCTACGAAATAACCATATCGAGGCACCCAAGAAGACACTACTGGAAGAAGATTTCATAACGCGAGGGCTGATCTCAGTCCACGAAGCAGAGGAATTGTTTGCCTACTTCAGTCGCACTATGAATCAGCTACTGTGGGGTGGAATCATCCTGGTGCATCGCGATCTGACATCGGTCCGCCGCGCCTCCACCCTGCTCTCAGCGGCCGTGCTGACCGTTGCGGCGCTGCATATTCCTAATCGGACAGACACGCTAAACCGATGTTATCATGAGTATGTTTCACTGGTGTCCAGCATGGCTCTCACGCGAGCACATACGTTGGATGATATCCGGGGCCTTTGCGTCGGTGCGTTCTGGCTATCCGAGCTCAGCTGGAAGCTCTCCGGACACGCTGTGCGGGTCGCGACCGAGCTCGGTCTGCATCAGAGCTACCAGCGCCTGACTCGCGGGCATACAGATCAATATGAACGCGCTCAACTGTGGTACTTGCTGTACGTGTGCGATCATCACTTTAGTATCGCTTACGGGCGGCCTCCCGTCATCCACGAGGACGTCGCGATCCGAAATTATGAGGCATTCTTGGAGTTGCCCATGGTTGTTCCCGGCGATATTCGGCTTCTCGCGCAGGTCGCTTTGTTCATGATTTTGACCGAGGCTTACCGTATGTTTGGGAGCGACACGGAACAAGCGATGACGGAGGCAGATTTTGGGCAACTGCGGGTATACAACGTCGCAGTGGACCAATGGCGATTACTTTGGCAGCCTCGGTCGGGTAGGTCTCGTCTTCAGGAGCTCCTCTCATTGATGATTTGGTTACTGATTTTCTTGCGTAGCTGATAGCTCATACGTGCGAACATATCCCTCAAAGGGAGTGGTCCTGCACTACCATTTCGCGAAATTCCAGCTCAACTCGCTTTCGCTCCGTGGGCTGTCCCCTTCCAATACCCCTGTCTTCTCCATGGACCGCAAGGAGTCTGCCAATATTGCCATCTCGTCGGCCATGGCGTGCTTGAATATGGTGCTCGAAGAGCCCGACATTCGGGATGCGATCGTGGGCGTGCCCATCTTCACCCATACCATGGTGACCTTTTCCGCGGTGTTCCTGTTGAAAGTTGCGATTAACTGGAACACCGCGTATCTCAGCATCAATGCGCGACAAGTGCGACGACTCGTTGAGCGAGTAATTGAGCTAATGAATTGCGTGTCGGCTGGTGACCGCCATCTTACCCGGCACATTGCACGTGGACTGGGCAAAATGCTTGAGCGCTTCGACTCTTGGGAGGCTGGATGGCAAGTGGGCGCTAACCATAACGGCAGCGAGGTTGACGTGCCCGGAGGCGCGAATGCAATGGCACAGGGATTCCCTCCGCCAGATCTGATCTACGATATGGTTGGCACCTACGGCTTTGGGCTCGATGAGAACCTGCTGGACCCAAGCATGGCGAACTTTGAGTTTTTGGCGCAGTAGTGGCCCAGTAAGACCAGGGGGGGTGTTGTTTGGAGGGGGAAATAGCAGGAGGCTGGCTTATTTTTGTCTTTCACCCCCCTGCGTAGCGCTATCTGCAAGCATGAGCGGGTCTGAGCCATTTTTACACAGCCTCTGACCCGAGGAATATTACTCAACTGCTATGGGAGTTTAGCCCAGGATTAGGATTAGGATTAGGATTAGGATTAGGATTAGGTGTTCTGTGTTCTGGAATGTAAATAGACCGTATTATACACGCACTGTCTACCATATGACCACGCCCCGAGTCTCCACCGAGTCTAAGCTCTCATCAGTACGTCTCATAGTTTGGTTGACGCTCTCCATACCTCTCATACCTCTCCATCCGAAGCCAGGCGTTCCAGTATGTAGTCAACCCCCATGTCGTCACCTCGTCACCTCCGGTTTCCTGCGCCCACCCTTGGTTAAGTTGATTCCTCCCCCCCCCCCCCCATTTGCGGGCAGCTTCGGTTCGTACTGCCACTGTTTCCCCTTTCCCTGCCTCGTGTTTTCTCCTCTTCCCTTATAAACTCGCACCCATTGCCGACCCCAATCTCCCAATTCCCCTTCCCCCCCATTTCCCCCATCTATATAATCGGGCCCATTTCCCGCCCCCTTGCCAGCCCCGACTTTGCGCCAATTCTCCTGAACCACTTTCATTCCATCTTTTCCTACACATTTCGACGCAATGTCTACCCGCAAGAGAAAGGCCGATCCCGAGGAGGAGCTCCAGGCCCTCCCTAGCGACGAGAGCGAGGAGGAAGAGGAGTAAGTGTTCAACCTGCGGGTCATGTCGCAGTAGAGCAGCGATTGCTGTTTATCTTCCACATCGCAATCCCTATTCCTGCCGTGCAATGTAAATTGCACGCGCAATGCCCATGCTCGCGTGTGCTTACGCCCCGTGGTCGCGCATTCATTGCGACGAGTCATCCGGGCTGAGATGTTCCCCTTGAAAGTGCCCGCTAGCGATCAAGTCACTAGTGCTAATTCGATGCGCGCTTCAATCTAGATATGAAGACTCAGAGCCCGATCTTTCGGACGTGAGTGACGAGGGCGAGGAGGAAGAAGAAGGTGGAGAGTATGATGAGAGTGAGGAAGAGGAGGAGGGAGAGGAAGAAGGCAAAGAAGGTAATTATCAATCTCAGGCATCGATATCGATGTGCTATCCACACATTTCACCTCAATTCCACTTTCTAACGATACGTGCACTAGGTCCCCCAGCCCACAAGAAGCAGAAGACCAAGAACGGCACCAATGGCAAAAAGGCCGAGGATGAGGACGAAGAAGAGCCCGCCGAGGAAGAAGAAGAGCCCGCCGAGGACGAAGGTGACGAAGAGGATGCGGATGATACTGCGGAGACTAGTGGTCCTGCGGCGGCTGCTGCGAAGGCCAAGGGCGGCGTAGTTCCTAAGGAATCGGATCTTCCGGAGGTTGATGCTGCTGCTGAGGAGGCAGAGTAGGCTTTTAGACCCGGCCTCCGGAGAATAGGTGAATAGTCTAGCTTTGTCATGACAATTGAATTAAAACGATCGCCCTTTTTTGGGGTTGCTGTACGATTGGATTCTTGTTCTCGTCATCTTCCTCCGATCTAGGATTTCCACAATATAGCTAACTATTGGCTCTGTGGGGATGACTACTCTAGCTAGATCTAGATCAGTCCATAGACCTGATGAGGAGGCTCTTTGCCCTACATAGGTCTGCGGGTTGTCTAGCTATACATATGTGTAGAGGAGTAATTCCTAGATGGGCCTCTATATCAAGTTCATAATATTGTCTCGTCGGCTTCAGAGCTGAGCTTTAGCTGCAACACCGCTACCCAACCACCTTCCTCGAAGCCCATTCTCCAATGCCCCAAAGACAGGATCAAGCTTGGGCTTCGGAACACTCCACACCTTCTCAAAGTCACCCCCTGTCGCAACAAAATCCCAATCTCCTCCACTATACGCTCCCATCATGGTAAACCCCTCAAGTGGAATCTTCGATAGCGCCTCCACCGGATTCTCGGCTTCGATCCCGTGTCCCGTCCCCGGGGACAATAATGCGAACTCAGCATCCGGCTTGGTATCATGTGTCTTATGAGCGACGCCCGCTGGGATGATGAAAACATCTCCTGCTTCAGCCTGTAAAACGACACCGCCATCTTCCCATGCTGACCCGTGCGTGTTCTCGTGCATGTCTGGCGATGTATCGGCCACACCGAAGCGGATCTTGGCTGTCCCCGAGAGCACTGCCATACACTCGTGGGCTTGGGAGTGATAGTGGGAGATTTGCGTGGGACCGTATCGGAAGATCCATTGTACATCCCATTCGTTTTTCGTAAACATGTCCCAAACTTCGACTGGGTCGCAGTGTGAGATATCGGGGCGTTTGGTGAGGACGCCCTTGTAGTGCAGTAAAGGCCGGGGTGAATTGGGGATGAGCCTTGTTGGCACTAGGTGATATTGTTTGATTTCGACCATGTTCGATGGCTCGATGGAATTCTGATAGGGTGTGGCGATGGACTTTGACTTGGAGACGAGCGTATGTGCTTCCCAGTTCAAGATGAATATTGCGTGGCTGAGTAATGTCACAGAAATGGGACTGGAAGTGGTGAAATCGGATGGGTTGCCGATGTTTTGCTGCGCAAAGCATTAAGCTACCGAGTAATTGATATGGATAGTGCCGGGTATATTTACCGTTCGAGGCAATATAACCCACCCAGGAGAGGGGCCTTCAACACCTTGCCATGTTAGTGCCCCTGACTTCGCAGCTCGATAAAGTCGATGAAAAGGTGAATGGGAATGTTGAGGAATGAATAGACCTGTAAAGAGGTTGGGATCCTCCTTGTATAGATCATTTCTATCGGACCGAGACCACCGATTTCATAGCTCGGTCCATGGCGCGTGTCTAACCACCAGAAGAGCATGCCGCGGAAATGACGAAACGATTGTTTAAGAAGGGGCTTTCCGTGACGAAAGGGGCCACAGGATGATAGTACTGAACACAAAAAGCGTACTGAATGCTGCGAGTTTGCCCTTTGACAAGGTGGCCATGGCCAAGGTCAGTAACCCTCGAAGACCGTTTACATACTATCATGGCTACGGACGCGCTCCCTAATTAATTACAGATGTTGTCCGGCATATTTTATGCTGACTTTGATAATTTCAGCGAGATACAATGGGAATAGCCCCGAATAATTCCGCAGTTAAATCGCCAAATCTAAGTGTTGACATGGGATATAATCCCAGTATTAGGTACTCCAGTCACTCTCCCCCACCATATGGCCTAGTGGTCTCCCGTCAGGGATTGACCTTTGGGTGTGCCCTGGAAAGGGCAAATATGTGATGGGAATAGATACAGGCCTCCAGTGTCGAGCATGTCTCCACAGATGGTCGGGCACGTCCCTAGGCGGGGAGAGTGGGCGGGTGGGCATGCGAGGTGGTGGCAGCACCACTTCGCGGACAAAGACTTTTTTGATTTTTATTTAATATAATCTTTCCTATACTTAGATACTGCCTTATAGAGATTAAAATTATCTTATTTAATTGTTAGAATAGTTACTGGAGGGTGTAGACGGATACTGTTCGTTAGGTGGTTGACTCTGGATGATGTACTTCGGCATCGTGGGATAGCGATGGGGCATCACTGTGAAGTATATAGGGAACGAGAAGGTTGGGGTTTCGATTCATGGGGACAGAGGCTCCTTTTCTATTTTCAGAATATCTGACATTTGGCATGTGGTCACCTGAATTAGACATGATGTTCGAGCGTATTGTTACTGTACAACTACCTGGCTTCTGCTTCTCTGGAAAAGCGGCATCGACAATGAGATCAACCATGTACCTATATACCGTCTAAGCTACATACCAAGTGAGAAACGAGAAGAATGAATGGAAAACTGGCCACATCAATGACGGTCATTAACCCTGCTGGCGCATTTCTCTACCTTTGCATCCCGAGATATCCTCGAGCCCTCGGCTGGTCCCTCAGGAATGCATATTTACTAGGTTCCGACTAAGCGTCACTACCACTGCTGCGGAATGTAGCACACAGTTGGCAATATTGGTGTGTGAGATCTAGGACGGACTGGGGCAGATTGGTCGACTGAACGATGCTTCGAACCTTGACGGCACCTTCGTCCTCGATCAGCTTCCGTACCAGGTACAAGAGTTCTGGGGAGAACTAGATAGGAGTTAGCATTGCACCTCAATTGAGACAAGGACGACGGGAGAGGAGACTTACCTCGGAGTACCAGCGATACTGCCAAGCGATCAAACGAATCAAGGCACCCAGCATGCCCCGAGTATCATTCCTCTTTTCGTACAGCTTGAGAAGACCGCGCATGGCCTTGGGCGAGAATCGAATACCTAAGCAGCTCTGGTAGGCCTCGATACTCTCATCAAAGTGGTGGAGTCGCTCTGCGAGTTCACCGAGGATTTCCCATTCGGTAGCCGACTTCTTGTATTCCATGGCTTGCTGGCGGAACTGGGCCATCTCGGTTCGCCAGATCGTGTAGATGCGGAGATCCTCGTAGAGCACCATGAACAGGTTGTCCAACCACCGCTCGCAAAGGCGCTTGTTCCGGAATTGCGTGTATGTGCTGTGCGAGGGGTCAGGCTGTTGAGATAACTAATTAGTAAATGACATGATATCAGGAGGCTAGCAGCCAAAGAGGAGCCTACATCATCATTCCCAGACTTGACAACCTCAGATGCCATGCTTTGTTCAGGTCGCTCGATAGAGCCTTCAACCTTCGTTTCATCCCCATTTCCGTTGGTTGCCGTCTCGGGGGCAGATTCTGCGGGACCAGGGCCTGAAACGGAGTCCGAATCATCGTCATCAGTCTCATCGTCATCCTCAATCGACTTCCCGTTCGTCTCGGCCTCGAGTGACTGCGCGGGTTTTGGGACATGCTGGCGCTCGACACGGTATTCCTCTTCCATAACAAAGACCTCGCTGCGGGTCTTGAGCAATTGATCCCATCCAATGGCGGAAACAATTTTGGTGAGCAGGCTGTAGGCCTTCAGGAACGTTCCCTGGTATCCAGCAGCATGCAATTTTCTCAAAGAAGGATGGACGTAGTCGTGAGGATCACCTTGCTTAGGCTGACCCTCATCAATCTCATCGAGGATGCTCTCAGAAAGAATGGGAAGCATGATGCGAGAAGGCTGTGGCATGCGCGGAGTATCCTTATCTTGGTATGTGAACATTGGGCACGAGTTGAGAGTTAAGAGTGCCAAATCCCACTGTTCCATGCCAACATACACTTCTGCCAAGCGAGCCCAGGTGCTGAACTCACTTGGCGCAGCAGTTACAGCCCGTTTTGCACACGCGAGCGCCATCTCGCCTTCGCCCTTGCTCTGGCAGAAGTCTGCCTGGCAATCGAGGAGAGCATAGTCCATCGGGACATCCTGTAGAGCATCATACATCAAGCGCACTGCCTGCACCTCCTCATCCGCCATGATTTGTACACGAGCTAGGAGTGATGAGACCTCCACGTCGCGTGTGCGCAGCTTCTCAAATAGATTGATCCCGGATGTGTAACGGCCGGTTGTGTAAATGTACTTGAGAATGCCAGAGGTCAAGTGATTGCAGACGGTGTTGGGGACTTGCGTTTCGGGGTCGGAGCTGAGCTGGCGACCTATGGCAATGTCAGAATGGACCAATCGCAAGCCAAAAAACAAAACCTTCACCAGACGTACCCAGGAAAAACAGCTTCTCAGCAGCATCCAAGAACTTGTGTTCCATCTCTGTGTTCGTCACAGGATTAAACCGTCTGACGCCAACAATCTTCTTGATAGCATCTCCGCTTCCATCATCTGCATACAGATAAGCCCTCAGCACGGCGCACAGAAACGTTTCCAGCCAGAGTGCCTCCGTAGCCACACGCTTGTCTCCGTGCTCATCGATGCAGTATGCCTCTAGACTACCTGGGATCTTGACTTCGACTCGCATATCAAGGTGGGAGAACGCATTGTAGCAACTGCGCCGAAATTAGCGACAGGGTTCGGACCGACGATAATCAATCAAATCTAACCAGTATATCCCCGACACAACTTTATGCGTCTTATCGAGGGGTGAGAATGTAAGGGTGTTGACATAGGCGGCTAAGCTAGCGGACGAGGAAGCATCGATTCCGGTGACATGGTGGTACACGCCGGTCTGCCAAAAAGAGCATCAATTGTCAGTAGCTTTGTACAAGAAGAGTGGAAAGAGCATCGAGCCATACCTGGCGGGTTGAATTGGCCTTTGGTTGCTTCACTAAGTAGACCAGGTCTGGAGGACCCAATTCCCGCAAGCTCTGCAGCGACTCCGTGCGCGCATCGACCGCAACGAACAGTTCCTCCTCCTCATGAATTCTAGTCGATTCCAAAGCTGTCAGTTACAGATCATGCAAGTTGCGCAGCTCTAGTTCCTGTCCAGAGCGAGCAATGGCCATGCGCATGAATCTCCGGGGAACACGTAAACCGGGGGTGTTTTCAGGAGCACATACTCGGGGACAGCGGGCGCGACCATGGCGCCTGCACATGTGTTGTAAAAGAATAGTAAGAGCGGTTCGATATCAGAGATAGACCAAGAAAAAGAGGCGTTATTCGAGGTCAGCGCTGTCGGGGGAGGGGGATGTTGTAACTAAACAGCTTGAAAGAGCTTCAGGCCATCAGGCAACAAGGCGGAGAGAGGGCGGCCTTGCCTGATTTGGCAGCCAACGCGTGAACCGCGATTAGCTTGCGCTACCCCATCGTCCTTGCGTGTCTTTCTTTGATCGCCGTACACCTAGCCCAGCTGTCGTCAGGGGTATCGGCGATGCATCTTGCTACTCTCACATTCGTTTATTGTCCTCGAGAACAAACTCACGGGAAGCTGGCAACATGGCAAGCTGGGTCGCACTGAACGTTGAACCGGATGATGGGATTGAAGAGGAAGTCGACGACACCAAGGAACTCCAAATTGAAGAAGCTCTGAAGCTCTACCAGAGTGCTCTGAAGCTTCACTCACAAGGTCCGGAGTATTACCCTCAAGCAGCTGAAGCATACGACTCTTTGCTCAATTCCGAGATCTTCAAATACCCCGAGTCCCTCTCCGATTTCAAGCGGGCCGATGTACCAGATGCGCAACCAGCTACTGTCACCACCGACGACGCTGGCGCTGCGGCAGATGCAGTTGCAGAATTCAATGTCAACGATTCAACATCCAGCCTTTTCCAGACCCTCTACCTCTCCTATAAGAATCATGGCAAATTCCTCCTCGATTCGTTGCACGAGACTTTACGGAATACCCCCAAGGGCGCCGAGACAGAACCGGACACAGCGCAAAAGACGGCCAAGGCAACGAAGGACGCGGTGCAATCTTTCGCGGAGGCGCTTGAGCGTGATGATACCGACTTGAATTTGTGGAGACAGAGCGCCAGACTTGGTAGTGCTCTCCAGAGCCATCGCCTCACTCGATTCTGTCTCGAGAGCGTCCTGGCGGATGATGATAATCGCTTAGAAGTGCGATCGACGCAACTTGGTCTGGAGGAAACATTCTCGGAAGAACGCCTGCGGAGCACTCTCCAGGCCCTTTTTGACGGACTGTCCGCGGCCCAGATTCCCGTCAAGAAGCCGAAAAGGGCGCTCGAGAAATATCTCAAACAACACGCTGATTTATATTCTTACCTGCCTACAATACCGACCGATATACAACTCCTAGATCCGAGCAAAGGCCCTCTCGCCCTCTCAACCTCGCGCAGGGAAATCAGGCCGCCAGAAGCAACCTGGGAAGCGGTTGGCAAAGCCCTTCTTGAAGCACTAGATGACGAGGAAGATGCTTCTATTGCTGACAGCCCGAGTAAAGCCATCTGCGTCGCCCTACCTCCCAAGAGTTCTGATGCGCTTGATTCTCTCGAAATTGAGGAAATGGACAAAGCTTCCGAGAATGGTGCGACAAGCAAGATAGATAAGCTCAAGAATGAAGATGTGGATATGCTCAAGGAGGACGAGGAAGTCGCCGAGACTGAGAAACCTGCAGAAGACAATGCACTGGATCAGCCGGCAGAGGAACAGTCTGCAATTGATCAAAGTGCAGAGAAACAGTTGATGGAATCGCTGGAGCGACAATCTATCCACCCACCCGAAACACAAGCTGCCGACGATGATGCCAACCCCGAAGAAGCAGAACCAAAATCTCCCTCTGATACCCGCAAGAGATCATCCACATCGGCTGCCAACGATGACCAGCCTGAGGGAGGAAGAATGAAGAGTCGACGAACGCGAGCTCGGGAGTCGAATGCTGATGCGTTGGCTCAACCTGACGAAGTCGCTTTTGATCATGAAAAATACTACGAAGACCGTTTGGAGATTTATGTCAATGCAGATGATTGGATGTTCAATACCCTTGGCTCATTGTACTCCAAAGTTGGGATTGAAGCTTTGGGAACGATCGAGACACTCAGAGAAAAGGTAGCGGCCTTGAATGATTGTGACGAGGCTGCTCAAGAACCCGAGACACGGCTCATCCAAGATCTGCGTGGCATATCCAAAAATTGGAACGATGAAAAGTCCCGTTCAATGCAGCAAAAAGACGACTTGTCTTCAGTAAAGGATATCCAAGGCTCCAATAAGTCAGGACTGTCTGTATTCCTTGAACACTCGAGGAGTGGGTCTCGGAAGACTGTGCTTCAAGAAGAGTTAAGTTCGGGAGAGGAGCTATATCGCTTTTCAGAAAGAGTGAACAGCAGCTGGCTACACCCCCATCAGACCGTGTACGAGTGGCTTCAAAATCTCCTCATGCCAGACATTGAGGAGGAGCCTTCTAAATGGCCTGTCATGAAATCAACATACACGTCGCTTTTGTGGTCCAAGGTACTCAAGGAGACAGTTGTGGAACTTCTGCTCCGCGAGGACGAGTTCATTTTTGCAAGGATGAGCGAGGCCGCCGCACTGACTGAACAACGAGTTCTCGAGTCAAGCCCCGAATCTTCCTTTCAGTATCAGAAAAGCGACTTTTGTCAGCTCGAGATGATGCAGTCCATCTACGAACTTCACTTGGATGTGTTTGTCTCTATTGAGAACACTGGCAGCGAAGAGAGTCGAGGTAAACGACGGGCCCAGATTGATCGCCTTGCCAGATGGGGCATACTCACCCGATCGGCTTTGGACATCCTTCTCGACTCCTGTCCGTCACCAGATTGCCGCCAGAACCTGGCTCTCCGCCATCTGTGGGCGTCAACATTTCATGTGAATCTTGCCGGTGAGGCTGAGCGAGAGCACATCTTGATTTGCCTTCAAGACCTCAAGCACATACTTCTGGCTATTGGGGACCCCTGTCTCACTCTCTTGAACAACCCTACCATGTCGGAGCTGTCTGCGGCGACGGTTGATCATGAGGTACTCAAACTAAAGTGTATGGACTTCTTCGCCAAAGTTTTCAACCCTGAAGATGAAGACCCTGTATCTCTGATTGAAGCTATTGAGCCAATACTTGAACCTTCATCTATTGAGTATGCAGATGGATCCCCGGAGCAGAACGATGCGAATGACCCCTCCTCTCTACCCAGTGAAATGGGTGCGTTCCTAGACCGGGGTGATGCCACACTACGACTGTTCTTGTGGCGAAGGCTTCAAGAAGCGTATCAGGCTATTGATTATCTACCAAAGGTTGTGTCATGCTATCTTCGAAGCATTGAAATCATAATGAAGGAGCTAGAAGACCCAAAACATCTCGAAGAGACGAGTGGGCATCGGCAGCTGACCTTGCTTGGCTGGCTGAAGTCGCTGGATGCGATCATGGGGAAGGCTATTCCACTTATTCTTAACCAGGTCGAAAAGGCCTATGAGTGTGTTGATATGGAGCACCTTCAAGCTTCAATTTCAGCAGCAGCCCGTCTCTCCAGACTCATTCATACCTTCGTCTTGTACGAGGATTCCATTCGTGTGGGGCAAATTTCGGCGCGTGAATTACGTGGATCACTAGCAAAATCCTTCGAAAATTTCAAGGAAAGGATGCGAGAGCTCTATGTCCGCTGCTGGATCTTGCAGTATACCCTGTTCGTGGAGGCAATCTCCCAGAACAAAGACCTCTTCGAGGAACCACTGGAGGATCGCATTCGCGTTCTTCGGTCTGTGCATAATGCGCTGGGTGTTCGCTCCATGTGCAAATACTCCCAGAAAAGATTCTTAAAACTCATGAAATCTGAGTTGCTGGATCTCGAGACTAAGGGTGATTATGAGTTTGATATCTGCCAGGTGTTATTGGATCTTCATGGCATCAAGTTCTCTCCATTCGATGGAACGTCTGACCACAGATGTTCCCCGAAAAACTGGACCGTCCTACTGCCATCATGATGATCGACTTTGTGATGAGGCAAGCACAAAATATGAACATGAAGGACTTGTCGAAGTCTGACCTGAAGACCACTATCGAAAAGATGCAACAAACGATTGTTCCGGCTAAGATTTCATCGTCACCTCAAATGTCGTTTAATCGGCGGGTCTTCCATGGGTACATCAAGGCCGCAATTAATCCATCTATTCTCCTCCGCGCCGTTCAGGGAGTGTTGGAACTTTCAATGCTGAAAGTTCCGGGCGAGAATGCTCAAATTGCCGCCAAGGGATGGTATTTCCTCCTTGGCCATGCCGCATTGACAAAGTTCCGGTCTCAGAAGCGCCTCAGCCCCGGCTCGACCACGGAGCTCGACGACGCTATCAATTTCTTCAGACTGGATATTGACCATGGATCCGGGCGATGGGAAACCTGGTACCGCCTGGCTCAGGCGTACGATACCAAGCTCGAGGAAGAGATAACGTGGACGGCGGACAAGATCAACAACAACCGCAGTGATTTGGCAGCTACTCAACGATATGCAATTCATTGTTATGCCATGGCCGTTTCAACAGCGATGAGAAGTGCGGAGCCCAACAACGAGACCCGAGCACTTCTATCAGACCTTTACACTGATTTCGGAATTCGGATGTACTCTTCCTCACGTGGGCCGCTCTCGATGGGCGCCTTTGGTCTTTCAGATTTCTCTCGCCACTTCAGTAGCGAAGAAAGTCAGCAAATGTATAAAGGCCAACCTTTCAAGGAAATGTCCTCATACTCGGTGTGGAACTTTGCCTGCAACCTCCTCAAGAGAGCACTTGTGGACAAACCCAAACGGTGGATGTAAGTATGAACCTTTGACTGCTATTCCGACGAGGAGGTGGAGCTAATGAGTCTTCAGAACACATTATTTCATTGGTAAATGTCTCTGGAAGATGTTTAGCTGTGACGATTCCAAGAGGACGACTTCGAAGCGGGTGGAAATGCATGATGTTCTAGAAGCGTTTCACGATGCTATTTCGAGCCTCCCCAAGAGGAAAGATTCCCGTGCAGACCCTATCTTTGAGCCACATTTCAAGCTTGTATCTATTGTTCACAAGCTGGTCCTCCACGGAGACATGACTGTAAGTCTGAGTTTCAAAACTCGCCGCGCCGTATCTGACATCCATACAGCCGGTCGAGGCTAGCCAAGCGCTTCAAGCTACACCTTGGGCTCGCAAAGTAGATGAACCGGAGAACATGGATGGATGGAAGCCATACATCCTTGAGGTCGTCAGGAAGTTCAAGAGCGCCGACAAGTCCAACTGGCACCATCGGATGAGCGCCAAGGTAAATACCATCTTTGTCAGCTTTTGACAATTTGTCCAATCTTCTAATGATGTTAGGCTGCCCATATTCTCTATGATGACGAAAAGAATGCAACTGCTGCTGCCGCTGCCAAGCAAGAACTTTCACAGATCTTCACCAAAACGCTTACCATTCAGGTCTGGCGACCCGAATTTGAACGTCCGGGGAGGCATTTTGTGTATACCACTCGCTACGTGTACTTTTTCGTCAGCCTACTGGATCAGCTGGATGATCGTGCAAGCTTAGATCAGCTGCTACGTCGCGTGAGAAAGAAGCAAGGGGACTTCATCGATCACACTAAATTGTGGGAGGATGTCTGCTTGACTTACGCGAAGATGATCCGTAGAGCCGCGAATATTAACGAGGGCCACGAAGAGGGTGTGTTCAAACCTATTGGGTGGGAAGAATTCTCGACCAAAACAGCTCGGCTGGAGACTTTAACGCAACTATCTCCAGACAGTCTTCCCCTTCTGGAGCTGATCCGTGAGTCTCTGGAGTTGAAGAAGCTGAACAATAACTTAATGAAAGTTACCATGTTCGAAGACCTCATTGCAGATTTGTACGCCCGTGTCTACGAATTGAACATGCCCTTGCTCATTGAGCAGGCAAATGAGGAGAACAAAGAAAAGATGAAGGTCGACCATCTTCTCATGACAGGAGATGCGAATACCGAGACATCTACGCCTGCCACCCCTCTTCCAGCGTCTGATACTCCGGCACCTCGAGGTAGAACCAAGGGCATTGCTCGTCGCGATGTCCAAAAACGCGCCGATACGATTGTCAACCTAAAACTTGGCCCGCGAACGGCAACGAGCAAGTTTACTGCCACGGCTGACACAGACCAGTCTTCCTCCACTTTACAGGGCCCCAATGCATCCTCGGCTCCCACTTCAGCCCCTCGTGGGCCAGGGGAACAGACTTCTGGTGCGGGCGTGCAGCGGAGCGATCACAACAGCTTGAATGATACTGCGGATGAGAGCGATCTGACCGATGTCGATGAGAGCAAGCTTAACAAGATGAATTCCGAACAGAAATCTCTATTCTCCAAAATCCATCATGCCGAAACAGGTGATGTTGAAACTGAAACTGAAAACGATGGCGCAGACGAGGGAGAAGGGGAAGGAGAAGATGAAGAAGTCGATGAAAACGATGATGTCGAGGATGAAGATGACCCCACGGCCACAGAAGGCGAAGCTGGCGGTCAAGACGAGGAAGGTGATGAGGAAGAAGATGACGAGAATCAAGATGAAGATGAAGCTGGCCCAGATGGAGATGAGACCAAGCTCGATGATGATCTCGAAGCCACCGACAAAGAGGTCGATAAGGATGACGACGAGCCTTCTGAGCTCGCTGAAAATCAACCTGAAAACAAAGACAGCGATGATGAGATTGCTGAAACCCCGGACCCAATGGATCTCACTCCTGCTTGAAAGCTTCACGCTCCATCATTTTCTTTGCTTGTGCGACAACGGCGGCGTATGGATTGCATGTACAAGGGTTCCCTCTGGGATGTACTGGTGGCGTTGGAAGAATGGAAGATATTCTATACTGTATTTATTGATACCAACCGGATTTTTTCATTGTCGCTTTCATTTCTTTCTCTTGAGAATCAACGACACAATAAGGTGTTACATCTCCCGGGATCTGCGTATAGTCAAGTAGTCATCTGTAATTCAAAGTCCGATTATTCAGGGGCATCAACAACACCAGGAGGACTCAGTGACAAGAAAAGAAGATGAATATTATCTGCAAGATATCGACAGTTGTACAACAATAGAAAGTAGAGATCCCATGAATGACCAATTAGAACGCCTCAACCGAGAATATCCTTCCCTGCCCAGGGGGTGTATCTAATCAATCCAGCTTGCCAAGAAAAACAATGAAAAATCAAATCGTAAAGTCATTACAAGAATCAATGCGAAAAGTCTAGATCTCGCTCTCCGGTGCGAAGTCCCACTTGCGAGTGGAGATCTTTCTTGTCTTCTTACCGGGCGAGGAAGACTTTGGCGTGGGAGATGGTGGCGAGAACATGGTATCCGTAAGGTTGAGCTGGTTCATGCGTTGCAGAGCATTTTCAATATCACTCTCCCGGCCAAGGCGGTTGGTGGTTCTGCTAGAAGATGACGGGGCATTTTTTGCCCTAGGCTTTCGAGTCGGCGATTGAGACAACATTTCGCGCTCGAGGACGGCCAAGCGGCGACGAAGCTGCTCATTTTCATTTTCCAATTCTTCCATTCGGTCGTTTGTTGACTGCTCAGGGTCTTCGTAGATACTGAAACCACGAGACACCAGCTCAATCTTCTTGTCTATGTGGTCATCGTTGCGGCCGATCTGAAGGAAATGGGATCAGCAAATGTATGCATGCCGTAGGCTTTAATGGACACAAAGCAAACTCACCTGTTCATCCCATGCCGCCTGCCAGCGTTTCCTCTCTTGTTCCATTTGCTCATCCATATCAGCCCAGCATTCTTCACGAACCTCTTGTTCGATCATCATGCATCGATCTTCAGCAGCTTGTAGTCTGAGCTCAACCTCAGACCGAGCAATCTCTTCTTCTGCCAATCGCACCGCGATGCCATGACAATCTTTTGTCAGCCTGGCGATTTCTGCCATGGCACGGTCAAGATCCTCGGAAGACGCATCGTTCGGTGAAGTCCGACCGCTGGTCGTTCGACCGCGAGCAGAGCCCGCAGAAATGATTGATTCGGTCAGAGATGGAACGCGTGGCACTGTCACTTCGCGTGCTAGTGCTGAGTAGCGTAATATTTGAGAGGTTGCATTGAAGTCCCCGACTGGATCAGCAGTCACAACCATGACAGCTTTCTGCGGATATTGGCCCCGAGACATCTGGTTGGATGAGGGGAAAGAATTAGAGAATAGGAGCTCAGTGAGTTTGCACTGGCGGTAAGGAACGAGGGCAGTCTAAAAGATTTAGCAATTGCTCAACAGTCAGCTTAGAAAGGGCTATTACCTTGACTCCATCTTGCAGGTTGCTTTGCATTTGCAGACATTGGCCGAGGTACATCAAACTCTCGTTAATCTTACCAGCCTCTGCAAGAGTTGCTCCCGCGGTCTTCGCAGTTCTGGCTCGCTCAGAACCTATTTATCATTAGATGCAACACAAGCCAGGCAGCGGAGCAAGGATAAACGTTACCTGCTAGGTCAACCACGGTCAGGGTATTCCCTGTCCAGAGGGCCTCGCCATGCCGCTTGCTGTGTACCAGCCTCTTGACCTCGAGACAGAAAAAGCCATGGCTCCGTGAGCTAACACTATTAGCTCCAGTGCCTGTGACCTTGCGTTCTGTCAGCCCGACATCGAGGATAGCCAAAGCCTCCTCGTAACTACTGCACGCAATCTTGCGAAGACCCGCGACTAGCTTTCGGTCCGGAGATCCTTCGGTAGGTTTGAATAGCAAGGGACGCCGTCGGTCCTTCTGGGCGTTTCCGCGGGACATGGTGTTCCCTTGACTAGGTACAATAGAGGGCGACAGCAGATCGAAGATGCGGTCGTTATAAACCTCATACATGGACACAAGTACAACATAGTCGGGGCTTGGATTAAGATCCACGGCCAGGTGGCTTACGTCGGGTAGTCTCGGGGTAGTAGGAGGTCGTTCGCGGGGCTGGCGGCGAGGGAAAACCAATGCAGGCGTCGGCTCCTTGAAGACATAAAGTCGTGATTTAGCTGAATGGTTCTCGTGAAGATTGGGACGGGTAAAAGGGAGAGGGTTCAGAGATCCGGGGTCGATCCTTCTCGATTGCTCAGTTGACAGTGCGTCAAAGGCGATTTGATCCATGCCATTGGAAATGTAGATGCGGCTGGGGTCTGGCCTGCGAAAGCTTCCGGGGATTGGGTATGGACTGGCGAGACCTGGTCCAAGTACAGGTTCACGCTTGGTCGGCGATCCTCCATGGAAATTTGGGGATTTGGGGCTCCGTACCGTTGATGGGGTGTGTGCACGAGATGGACTCATGGGAGTTTGGGCTCTCGAGCTACGACCAGCGCTGGGCTCGCCGTAGACGGCTTCCAGGAAAGTCTGGGCCGAGAAGAGCTGGGCCTCTGAGGCGTCCGACGCGGCTAATGAGGCAAGCATTAGAGGGCTGATGCTTCCATCCTCGCATTTCTTGGTGGGCTCCAGAGATCGAAAAATGACGTCGAGTGCCATCTGGGTAACGCCTCGTTGCGATTTAGACCCAAGAATGGTGTGACTCTGTCCTCACATACACTGTCAGCTGGTATTCATACCCATATCGGAACCAAGGCCAACCAACCTTCCCACTTCCTGTCACTCCGAGTGTCGCAACCAATCCATCGCGGCCTTCCTTGAGAACTCCTCTCACAATGGATTCCATTCCTGTGTCATTGAAGATGTCCAATTGTGTTGCATTTTCTTCGAATACCTTTGTGAAGCCGAATTTCTCAATCGCACGTTTTCGCGAATCGTTAGGCGGTTGCAGGGTAATATGGGTCGGAACGGGCGCGACGATCTCTCCATCATTTTGAGACGCCTCTGCAGGTTCAACGGTCAAGAACCGTTCAGAATCATCATGTCTTTCGGTCATCGGGGGGCGCAGGCGCAGATAGACCTGAAACAGCGCATTCTGGGGCTTTTTGGATGTCATCTTGACTCTGGTGTTTGGGTTCGACTCTACCATCAAAAAAATTGAGTGTGGAGGTTAAACGCTGTTCGTGAGTTCAGTAGTAGTGAGTCGGCAAGTCGAGACGTCAAGTCAACACCGCCTTTTCCCAACCCGGTAAGTCGCGTGTTTCCCCGGCAACCATGTATTCCAAAAGTCACGGGACCGGGATGGTTCTGTATGTTGAACTCATCAATGATGTTTTAAAAGATAGGACGTTGTCTAAACCATCTCACAAAATGATTTGAGAGACACTTAGAAGATCGTTTGAAAGAGAGGAAGCTGAAGCGGATACAGCCCGACCTTTTCTTGAAGACTCTGACCTCTTTACCCGGACATAATTATGAACTTCTTTTACTCCTTCGTTGGGCATACTACTGCCCCCTGACCAAGATTGTGAACAATTATTAGGCAAAAGAGAATGGCAACATCGAGTGCGGTTAATATGAACTCGTACAGAATGTTTTGGCGATTATTAGCCGCAGTTGGCCGCCATGGAATGGAAGTCACAGCCTGCCTTCAACCTTTGATCTGCCAGTTTTTCAATATCGCCAACGAGCGATCGAGGATGCTGTTGGTATTTTGTGGTTCGAGCGATGGTTGGTCGAGGTAAAGTATGGTTGCAAGATCTCTTCTTCTCGTTCTGGGTCCATGCCAGTAAGCTTTCTCTATTCGGCCTAAGCCGCAGTCGCACTTCCTTTCCTTTGGTGTGAGCATCGTATCTCCTCATAGAGGCAAGCTCGTATGACAGTCATATACCCCCAACTTACCCTCGTCTCAGCCCAGGAAAGCCTGTTTTTTGCATCATATAATTGCGCCCAGCTAAGCATCGCTGGACGACCAGAAGCTAGCTCATCTCATGAGACCCACGGATCGGCGCTCGGACCCAAACATCTCCTCGTATCTGGGCCAAAACTGCTGCGCCTTGCCAAGTTTCCAACGCTTGTGTGGTTAGCGTGACCCTGCACGCTCGTTGGAACGGGTTCCACTCCCTTCCCATCTCAGCGCGGTGATTCGCTGAGGCAGCCGGATCACTCCCTTGGCTGCTTCATGCAATCTGACCCAATCTGGTAATCTCGTTTTCGCTTGTTTGTGGCCGTGAAGAATGGCGGAGTAAGGCTGAAAAGGACAATACTCCTCACGTAGATATAAAGCTCATGAGAATTCAGCAGGTATATAATGTGGATCAACTGGACTTCGAGTGTCCGCTCCTTTCCATCTCGACGCCGCTGTTCTTCTTCCATACTTTGAATACTTACCGAAGACATTTTGTTCTTCTAACCAGAGCGACCATGCTTGAGTCACGATCATACCGTAAGTGATTTGAATGAAGGTTCAATACCTATAGAAGATGTCAATCTGACATCTAGCAGAAGAAGGTAGTCTGTGGTTCTACGCGCCGAACAAAGGTGCCGCCATTGCCTTCGCGATCCTCTTCGCCATATCGGGTACCATTCATGCCTATCAGAACATGTAAGCAAGGACCACTAGGTATCAAGGCCTTTCCTTAACTTACACGCTGACAACCTCCTAGAAGGTACAAGTCCTGGAAAGTGACCGGTCTTCTACCATGGGCGGCACTTCTCTTCACCGCAGGGTTTATCATGCGCACGATTGGCGCCTTTGGTCAATGGGGCAACGTTGGCGTATTCATTGCTAGCCAGGTCCTCCTTCTTGTTGCACCGTAAGGATTTCTCGGGCCCGTCTGACTACCTCGTCAAAGTATACTGATCTTGATCATTTTCAGGCCTGTCTATGAAGGTGCCAACTACTTCATTCTTGGACGAATGCTGTACTATATCCCATACCACTCCCCCATCCATCCAGGCCGGGTATTCACCACCTTTGTGGCGGTCGGCGTTGCCATTGAGGCCATCACTGCGAATGGAGCCGTCCGAGTTGCGGGTGGCGATTCCACACCCTCCTCAGTGAAAACCGGCAAGGCATTGCTCAAAGCGGCCCTTATTCTGCAGATCGCCTTGATGGTCGCATTCATGGCCTTGGCTGGAAGGTTCCATCACAATTGCTCCAAAGGTCGAGTGCTCAACCACAAGATCAAACGCACCCTGATCGTCCTCTATACCAGCTCTACGCTCATCACTATTCGAACCATCTACCGTACTGTCGAATACTTCACTGCGGCAAGCTTGAACACTTACACTGATATCCAGCATATCAGCCCAGTCCTGAAGCAGGAATGGTTCTTCTGGTTTTTTGAAGTGGTGTTCATGTACAGCAACACGACCTTGCTGAATGTCTTCCATCCCATGCAAGCATTGCCTCGCTCGAACAAGATCTACTTGGCCGAAGATGGTGTGACTGAGATTGAGGGACCAGGATATGATGATCCCCGTCCCTGGTTCGTTACGCTCGTTGATCCATTTGATATTTACGGTTTGATTGTTCACCGCGGCAGGAAGGAGAAGTACTGGGAGTCGAGCCAGGCACAGCAAGGAAATACTTCTCATGTTGCGCAGGAGGCATAAAGTGGCTGCAATTTCCGATCATTCGATTGTCCCAATTTTTGCACGATGTAAACTTCTGAGGTGTTGACTTATCCCTTGGATTCTTTCTCGTTCTATTGCCTTTCGCCTTTGTATCATACCCAAGATAGATTATCGATAGTATTGCTATAATTTACGATTACAAATTGACATCGTGAGTAATCCAGAAATACTATTTTGATACTTATCAAGCTGAAGCCTCAACATTATATTTGCAGACTATATAAAGGGCCTTATTGCTTCGTAATATGGATTCTCGACGCCTGAGCGACGTAGCCAATCAAACCTGGTTAGACTACATGGATAAAAGTGCGGCTATATCGGGTCAAAGGGAATTGCCCGTTATCAGTTCCTTGAAGGATCATTGAGATAGTTTGACCGGCCTTTGCGTCTTCAGGGACCATAATGGTCGCCGTATGGTTGCCACGGTCAGCCACAGTCACAGTCCCAGGGTATGTGCCTTCTTCGAAGAATTGCCACCAGGTTGTGGTGACATTGTCGAGATCCGGATCGCTAACTGAACCCGCTAGTATCAATGTCTGCCCAGGATGCGCATTTACTGCAGTTCCATTCACACACTCAACCATTGGCGCATGGTTAGCGCGCGTATAGTTCGCAGTCATGGTCCACTGGATACGAGCCGCAAAGTCATTCTGGACAGCGGCAGCCCAACGATTCGTTGTATAGTAGGCAATCTCATCGCCGGTTTGATTCTTCTCGCTATCAACCATCTGCCACAGGTTTGGAGAAGTGCTGTTTTGAATGGCACGGCCGCCCCAGCCACCGAGCGCTGGGTTAGCGGGGTCCTGGAGGCCGGTCGTCAACAAGGGGTTGTACACCACGTTGTCTCCCTCGGACAAAAAGTCGTATGAACCGGTGGACTTGCACCATTGACTTGACGACTCCAGCTCTGTCAAATTCCCAAAGACATCCTCGGGGTCACCTGGCATCGACTGGCCGTCCAGCCAAGAACGATAGAGCTTCCCATATGGACCTATCTCAATATGTGCCTTGATCCAGTCGCCCGAAAAGTACTCTTCATCGTTGGGATAGCCACGGACATTGCCCTGACCCTGGCAGTTGTATCCCCAAGTCTTGTATCCAGTCGAGAGCTCCTCAACTCGAATCTGTGGCCAGTGGAGAGCGATGTAGTTTGCGTATGTCTCATCCTGGAAGCCACTGGCCATTATGACAGCCTTGTGAGAAACAGTGTCTCTAGTTTGATGCCACTGCCGTGACTTCGAATATTGTTCCTCGATTGCCTTCAGCGCACGAGCGATAGTGTTGGTCCCACCCCATGCCTGCAAGTACAAAGGTCGTGGGTCCTCGTCCAGCAACAGTGAACGAATAAGATTCGAACCGTCGGTGTCATGACTCATTTCGCCCTCAAAATCAATATTGCCTATTCTGACCTTTGACAATAACTCATCCGGCGTGGGGTAGAAAGGATCATGGCAGTTCAAATTGGGATAAATATCAGCATACGCCTGCAGGACTTTATCCTGAATGGTCCGCGTACCGGTCCAACGCCATGCCCACTGGGGGGTTTTGTATTCTCTGCCGGCTAAGAAGAACTTGGTACCATTGCCATCGCCGGCCCAGTGATACCGACTGGCTGTGTATATGATGCCCTGGGTATCGAGTTCATTGGTGTAAAGTAGGTAGCGGACCAGGGAAGCTAAGTCGTCTTGCTCCATGTCAGTCGTTACGACTGTTCGTACCATTTGTGACCTTTTGGTGGCATATGCCTGGGCTGCAGGCAGCGCGGTAGCCACCAGGCCAGCCGCGAGTAGAAGGTAGTCCAGAAACAACATCTGATGAAGAAGGGTATTGTGCCCAGCAGTATGTAGTCTTAAAACGCAATTTTCTTCAACATGATGCAGGCAGAAAGCTTATTGAATTTAAGTAAAACCTATAGTCTCTGTCATAACGTAGGTTGGCCTTGCAGTGGTTATTTTTACCCTAAATTCATTATCATTATTCTATTTCTCATGCGATGTGGGGCTCTCGTCAGGAAAGATCGTCATAGGCGGCAAGATATTCCCTTCACGCGGTGGAGAAGTTTGCTTCCCACTGCGGGGAACATAAGGAAAGTTGAGACCCTGGATATTAGCGCCTGTCGGAACTTCTGTGGTGGTGCTTAAAACTGCTTTATTTGGACGTGATGTTTACGCTCCCCGGCACGTCCAACTACCGGTATTCTCGTCTCAGTGCGGTCGGAGCGTAGATTGCCTGATAGAAACCTATGGACTAAACGAATAGCCCCTGCTAGAGCCTATTTGTTTGGATATTTTATCAGCGTACTAGGCGGAATTCGATGGTACAATTCGAAACAGGTCATAGTAAGCGGGATATGTGATTCACAGGCAATCGCTTCACTTTATACACAATCAAATGTCATACTCGTCCTTTCCCATTTCCTCTTGAATCTCCCAGCTATACCTTGCAAATCGACTTCGTCGCCGGATCCTCTCACCATAGCACAAAAATAATGGAGGCACGATGCAAAAGACAGTCGCCACGGCTGCCAGAATAGAGACCGCAATATTGGCTCCCATGCCATTGAACATTTGGTTCGTGAATAGCGGGAATGCCCCGGACAGCATGCCTCTCAGGAAGGCCACGGCAGCGGTAGCACTTGCAGAGTAGCTCAAATAGCTGTCTGAAATATACCCATATAGCACAGTGTCCATTTCCGTCAAAGCATACCCGACCAGGACAAGAGAGAGCGTTGGCACGATCCACTGTGTATCCGGCCCTGGTGTCTTGGGCGGAATGGTCCAGCCAAACCACCAAAGACCAATAGCTAGGAATGGAGCTCCAAGTGCCAACCCCACGAGCTTGTCTTCCGGCCTGATAGGCTTGCCTTGCATCCGGCGCTTGTTGAAAATGTAGCAATCCAGAATTCGAGTGAATGTGCTGACACATGTCCCGAGCCCGATAGCCATGAACATGAGAGACGCTTGTGACGCAGAGAACCCCATGGATTGATATATCGGCTGTAAAGCTTCGGTGAAAATATAGATGAGGGACATTGCAACAGAAATCATCATGGCGATCGTAAATATGATGGGCTCTCGGAAAAACAGCTGCGCTGGACGGAAAAGAGCCTCCTTGACGAAAGTTTGTAGGTTTGGAGAGTGATCATGGTTCATTGCAGGCGGTAATTCCGGGATCTCGCGACGCATTCGATCAACTTCACAAGTCAGTATGTAGGATGACCTAGATTCTCGGAGAAGGCAAAGGAGGCAAGTAATGCCACCAATGATGATTGCATATGTGTAAAAGACCCATCTCCTAGAATTCGTTAGATGTGGGCTGTCGATGAGAGGGCGGGAAATTCCTACCAGTCGAGAAGTTCGATGACGTGACTGCTCATTATTGGTCCAATAATCAACCCAATATTTGAAGCCACTGTCCAGAAGAAGACAACCCAAATACGTGCCTGCGAGTTGAACATATCCTCGATACTCCCACCCACAATGGTGCTAGGTACTGCTGATAGCAATCCCGCCAGAGATCGCATAACGACAGCCCCAGTAAGGGACTGTGATAATCCGATGACAAGACAACAGACACAGCTCAGACCACTACTGAAAAGATACATCTTTTTGCGGCCGAAAGATTCAGACCAAGGTGGGAACAGCAAGGTGCCAATAGACTGGCCTAGAAGAAATCTGTAGCATGATTAGCTCGTTTTCATCGCAGAGTGGACCTATACGTAGCATAACAGCTTACAGTGTCACAAAGCAAAAGGTTGCAAAGGTATGATCCAGATGATATTCATGTTTGGCTTGCGCTGCTGCCGCTGCCTGGTGCTGTCGTTAGATCTTGCCTTAATCGCACATGTTCCTGGGGACTCACTCCGGCCGTACTGCTAGCAGTTCTGTTCCCGCAAAAGGAAGTTAATATTCACTGGGATTCGATTTAGAGGAGGGTAATCATACATAAAAAGATCCAATGCACAGATAATTCCAGTATCATATGTCTTGCGTAGGACAGACCAGTTCCTTGGATGTTTGGGATTCTCTCTTAGCCATCGTACAAAGTTTCCGTCTGGTGTTATCTCAAGATGGTGGTTTCGTAGATGTTCTTGAAGCGAGAACTTGGTCTCTTCCATGGTATCATAGGAGTGGCATTTCATCTTGGAAGTCGATAGATTGACGGGTTCATTCTGCTAGCAGATAGTGAAAATCGTCCAAAGCCTCTTCGCAAATGAGCGGAAGAGAGCTTGACACGATCGCCCCAGGTTACGTCTTTTACGCAAAGCACATTGGCGAAAACAGGGGTTCCAATTCCGAAGAATGGAGGATCGTTCCCTTGTGATCTACATGCAGAACAAAAGCTCCGATTATACCACCAATAGTATGACTTAATCTCCGACTTGTATGGAACAAGGCCTGCAAGAAAGAGAGAAATCCAGGCAATTTACCACGACTGGTCTCTGTATTCCTCACACGTTATTTTCATCCTCGCTTCCAGAAACGCTGTCGTAATCTTCCTAGTTCTTTATAATCGTAAACCTGGGGTTTTGAGTTCCAGGGATAGAGAATTATCAGCATTCTTGGTGGAATGAAGGGGCCTACTCTCCGGAAGCCCATTCATGTACAGTAGCTTGATCGTTAAGGTTTTGGAGAACTAAGAGAGTGTCTTAACATCAAAATGTGATGTCAGAGTTGACTTAGGCATGTTCTGGAGGACTTCAGTGTGCCATGTGCCATCACTTGACTACGCCTCCAGATAGCTGGAGATCTCTATATGTCCTTAGGGGATTTGGTTCCTTCTGTACTAAAATTAGACACTCTGTAGTCCTTTCAGATAAAGGATGCTTTTCTGATTCACCTTTTCCCTGTCCTTTATGAAATGGATAAGTATTCGAGGCTTTTAAGGTTGCGTGTTAGTACCCGAAGTGGAGGTCCTCAGGGTGGTGATGAGGTATAGAGCTCCGGAGGAGATAGCTTCCATAGGGATGGCTTCACATGCGAACATCACTGATACTGCCTTGTCGGTCCTTCAATGCTCAGATAAATGTTTTTTCTTCAGACCTAACCCTCAGGATCAAACGTACTAAATAGCCACAAGATGTGAGGCATCTTGGATACTCACGTGACTATCACGGGGCGCGCAAGTGATCGAGGAATACGAGGGGCGGGAACTGGGAACCAATGGGCGTGCTCATTTACAAGCAGAAAAGGCATGATGGACCGAATCAAATGGGCGGTGAGGCTACGGTCGCTTTGCTCAGGGGAGTGCCTTTCGAATCTGGCCTTAGCAAATCAATTACTCCGTACACTCCACCTAAAGGACCTGGGCATGGCCGGCATACGAGGGTGGAGGGCTAGCGGGTCACCACATTGAACTATCAGAATGGTTGGCGTTCCTTACAGCAAGGGCTGTTTGCTCTGCCTGGAGCGACGCATCAGAGTCAGCCGTTCCTCCCACTTGACTAGTTACATGACGCCTGACACGAGGCTGACTTCGGATTAGTGTGACCAGTCTATTCCACACTGTCACCAATGTCGCAGGTACGGCGTGGTATGTCCTGGGTACAAGCGTCCCTGGCAATTTCAAGATGAGGGACCGCGTCTCCAGAAACGCTATCAGAAGTTCTCAGTCACCAGTAATCATAACTTTCAGGACAACCCTCAGACCATCCGCCGAGGTGGCTCTATACGAACTCATCTCTTTGCCAATGCTTCGATCGATGAGCGTGTTTATCCAGCTTTGATTAATCAATGCTATATCAGCCAGCAGCCGCGGATGTTCAAGGACTTTATCTGTGCTGCTTTTCCCACCATGTTCTTTCATAACGAATTTCGCTTTGGAGATGGCTTCACCTTTCCAGACTGGGTTTTGAAACACTTTGGCACGAAGCCGTATTATGATGCGTCCGTCTCGTGTCTATCGGCGCAATACCTCGCGCACCTCACTGGAGACCCGAGTATCAATCACTTTAGCCGACAGAAGTATTCACAGGCTCTGGCGGCAGTCAGGCAAGTTCTTAATTCAGACGAGGAAGCGTCCTCGGATGCGCTGCTGCTAGCGGTCATTCTTCTCTCTTTCTATGAGATGACTACGCGGACCACCAGAGATGCCTGGGTGTGTCACTCCAGAGCGGTAAAACATATAATGCTGAAACGGGGCATGAATCTTCATCTCACTGGCGCCGGACGAGTCTGCCATTTTGCTTATAGGCCGTTCCTGATTGCTGCTGCGATCCACGAAGGCGAACCATGCTTCCTGGGCGAAGACGATTGGCAGGACCTGGCAGCCTTTCTTCGTGCGGAAGACTCTCAAAAGCAGAGCGAGTGGTCGCTCTACATCGATGCTTACGAAGCAATTTTCATGGAGCTGGTCAAGTGTCCCAGATATATCCAAGAGGCACGAGAGGTCGTTTCTATTGCCTCTCCAAAAGCCCGGGTCCTAGAACAGTATATTGTCATGACCTGTGATCGACTCCGCACACTCAGTGACGAGTTAAGATCACTGCTTGCATCATATAATCAGCGGAAGCTGGGCATAGTATGCCGTGGTTTCATTGGCCCGGAACCAAACCGATTTCCCGAAACGAGCCCATCATTACTCCTCAGCGCCGCGGTCAATACCCTCGGTATCCTTGAGCAACTCCTATTCCGATTGAACACGCCTGTCTGCATCGACGAAGAAGACTCCTCTTCGAGCAATGTGGCGCTATCACCCATCTCCCAAAGTACAAGCACCAGTAATGCTAGCGGCCCATGTCTTGACTTTCGTCTTGTTTGCGAACTTGGAGAGGGGATTCAAAAGGACGACCCTCGAGCCTTTACGTGGCTTGATCGGGTCGCCGGGTCAATGGGACTCTTAGGGGCGAAAGCTATCCACTGAAGTCTTCTTGAGACGAATTTTGCTATATATAATTTAATTTGTGAGCTTTCTATCCTCTTTTCGCATGTATCAACAGAATATTCCCCATGTTGTTCTAATTTGAGAGACACCCCACACAGACATAGATCCATGGCATTCAAGAGTTGTAGGATATGTGTTGTGTACAGTTCATGGCCTCAAATCCGAGTCAACCCCAGTCACTCGTGCGATCAAGGCGATGGCTCCTTTTAACCTCAGTCCCTAGCTCATCCGCAAAAGGTTTACGAGCCCAAACCCTTCGTCTATTAGATTCTGTCAGCGACGATGTTCCCGCAAAGCGCACCACAAACTTACGCTCTTTGATAAATGTGATGCCGTGGATTTTTCAGTTCCGCGCGCATTTTCGCCACGTAAACATGGACTTCCTCCTTCGTCCACGGCTGTGGGGATCCAAATTTGGTCAGCAACCACAAGCACCATCCTTCCATGCCGGACATCCAGTGCTGAAAGTTGACCACACCGGCTTCCTTAAGCTTCTTGTCTCTGGGCCATGGGCCGATGGGCCACTTATGTTCCTTCTCGTGGATATCTACAAAGCCGGCTTTGCGAATATTCTCCGCCATGGTATCAATGGCATTCAACTCGCGGCCCGCCTTTTTTGCACACTCCATTGTGTTGACTCCCCAAGTATTAAGAATACTATCCGGGGGAGACTTCCATCATCGCACGCAATCACTGGAGAAGCCTCGAGTTGTTCAATCCAACCACCAGGCTGCAGATTACTAGATGACCAACTTGTCAGGGATACAACTGAGGATGAGGCATCGCAAGGGAGCTTACTCATAGCATTGCTTGTACACCCGTTCCCATTCCGTCTCGGTGAAGGATCCGATCATGATTCGCATGTGAATCAAGTCAAATGGCTCACGCCATGTCCACTCTTGCAGGGCGTCATCGACCTCTAGAATGCAGTTTGGTGGCATCCAGGATACGGGAGGCGGGAAGAGATCGACCCCACGTACCGTCGCTGAAGCTGTTTAGTACTTATTAATTTAACCTGTATCCGGCACTTACCGTTGGGAAATGTGTCGGCCACGTCACTGAGACTGTGGTCAGAAATCACTCATTCATTAGAATCCATCCAAGAACATACATTGCCCAAACACCCTTTCCAGTCCCTAGGTCAAGTATGTGTTTGGCGTTGCTACCAATCGGAGATCGGAAGAGCGGATTCGATCTATCTGAGTCCAAAACAAGCGCTACTAGGTGTCTGCTGAAGTCAGAACTGTCTGAGCATCCCCGCAAAATAACGCACCTACCCTGCTTCGTAGGTCTCGAACATCTGATCATCTGATGGGACGCTGTGATTAAGTATTAGAGGTAGGATATGATATTAGGATGTCAATCTTTCGTACAGATATCCCTCGTCTCGAAGGTTTTGATATCTAGGGTATAAAGATCAGCTGCGGGATCCAAACACTCTCTAGTGGTACCAGGAAGACTTGCCGCCGGCCATTTTCCATCAAACCTCGATAAATTGACGATCCGATGGAAGTTGTTTCCCTAGAATAATTCAGTATAGACTAGGAAGACACAAAGTCTCGTAGACAAGCAACAAAAACGCACGATTGCCAATCATCGGGGTAGTATTCGCCATCTCTGACCTGATATAGATTCGTATCCTAATTTGAACATTAGAGAGAAGACATGTCAATGACAGAGCACCTTTCGAAAGAGTCATGCTCACCACAGCGATGATTTGGTCCGTCATGATCACCTTTTCTTTGATTCACCCAGGCACACAAGGAAAAATGCCTGGAAAAAGGGAGGGGGCCGCGGTTTAACAAAGACCTCGCAAGTTCGCAACGCAATCCTAGTGGGGCCCCGGACTTCCGATGCATGACCGTTGCACATCCCGCGACGGCCCCCTCTTACGCATTGCGATTTAGTGGATGCCGGGAAGGACGCGCCGTCCCGTCGAAGGCTGCCGCCACGGTTGGCTGCGGGGAGCAGCACAGTTGAATCCTGGAGTTGACAAGGTTGACACCAGCCTACATTTGTATCATACGCCGAATTTCGGCAGATTTCGGAGCCGAGTTCAGTATCTTCAATAGAAGAAAGAGAGCAGATATATTAGCCTGCTTTGCCAGCTCCCACTACCCTGCTCCTACTACCACTTAGTGTAGCGTAGCTTTATGCGGATAATATGCCAAAGCACTGATTAGGGAATATAGCCCCCGTTCATCTTGGCTCCGTTACATGGTTTGTTGAAATTGACTCGAATGGATCCACCGCATGTGAGTCCGGATTATTCTAGTAACATGTCAAAAAGTACTCTGGGCCCACATATGTCACGAAGAAATGGGTGCCTAGAAAATTAGCATCTCTCGCGGCACTGAGTCGGAGCCTGATCGAAAGGACTCAATTTTGTCAACCCTATTGCACTTAGGTAAGTTTTTAACCTTTATACTAACTAATTTTTTTTTTTATCCTGGCTTTCGCTAGTGGGCTGGACGAACAGAAATGGATCTCTTGTGGACTATGTAAAGGCCGGCCGGCGTACACGGAAATGCCTCAATTGGCCCGCCCCAACGTTGCAGATAAATTTTATCTTGCTCGCTTCATCGTGCTTCCTCCGATACCATGTCCGTTGGCCAGCAGCCCTGGAACCGTGGCTTCTACTTGACATAATGGGCTGATAGGATGTGTTCGAATACAATCGATGAGTTCCTACACATTCACCAGGAAGCTCAAGAGATAGGCTTGTAGCTCAACAGAATCAAATTGAACGACGGATGGGCCAATTAAACTATTTCGTGCGGTCAATGATACAATAACTCTAAAGTTTGTTTACTCTCCACGATGCGGTGAGTACTCCTGTTCTGGTAATCGATCGGACGAGAGCGCCAAGAAGGCTGACCGCCCAGCACCTCGGGTCGGCGAGGCCACCTCTCCGCAATATTCTGCCAGCGCGGCAATAACAAAGCTCTCGAAGAGCACAGCTGGTCCCAGTCCTTCGTGCCTGGCAGTCTACCCATCATGCTATCTTCACTCTCCTCCAGCTTGAATAATGCCCGCACCTCCGTGGCGCAGGTGCTCAACTTTGCTTTAGTATGTGTTGCTCCTGATTCCGGAACCGTCCTCTGCTATACGGACCGTCCTGGTACTCCCGGCCTGCCAGGATAGGGCTAACAACGTTTTTCTCTTGATGAACAGGTTCTATCGACTGCCTTTATGCTATGGAAGGGATTATCAGTGGCGTCTGCATCCAGTTCCCCCATTGTGGTCGTCCTCTCGGGTAGTATGGAGCCTGCGTTCCAACGCGGTGATCTTCTGTTCCTATGGAATCGCAGCCCTCGAACGGAGGTGGGAGAAATCGTGGTCTACAACGTGAGTATCTCCTCATACTTGCATGAGCTCTGTGTCTTGCTGACATTGAGAAAAGGTGCGCGGAAAGGATATCCCCATCGTCCACCGCGTGGTTCGAAGCTTCCCCGAGGTCGAGGCAAAGACAAAGAAGGTCAAGGAGATCACAGTGTGAGTTTCTAGTCATTGAATCTCCACAACGAGCTGTGCGCTAATTTAAACTACAGTGACTCGGCTCCTTCTCATATGCTGCTGACTAAGGTATGCTCTTCCACATTAATGTGGTCCTGGATCTTGGAGCTAATCTCGTGTGCCTCTCACTAACAGGGTGATAACAACCTTGCCGACGATACTGAACTGTGAGTTATCCCCTGTAATTTCCATTTTTCTTCAATGAGATTCTTATCTAACTATTTATGTTATCTTAGCTATGCACACGACCAGGATCACCTTAATCGTTCCGAGGATATTGTAGGAAGCGTGCGAGGATACATCCCGATGGTTGGATACGTTACAATCATGCTATCGGAGCACCCGTGGTTGAAAACGGTACTTCTGGGTATAATGGGCTTGATGGTCATGCTTCAGCGGGAATAATTGCTGTTTAGATAAGGGTAAGAAGGGTTGATAGCTAGCCAGGAAAGGCTGGCAAGATCCATCTCTCGTAACAAATATATCGAGCCATGAAAAATGCCTCAAGTATCACCTGGGCAATATCTACGATAGTTGTGCTGTAGTTATCAATTGGTATGCCAATTGGGCTAGTAAGCTTTTTGGGGACTGGGTTGGACTGACGTCCTCGCCCACAGCCCACCCCACTCCGCAAGCTAGAAAGCTTCCAAAGCTATCAGGGCCCCCTCCCCTCATTTTCCCGCAAAGTCACCATACGACCGCATTTGGGCTCGCCAGGAGACTTCCAGGGTCTTTGATTGCCTCATTCACTCGCTTACAAGGGTCTCGTTGTTGCGCGTCACTGTCGCCCTCATCGCCACCTGTTTTCCTTTATCCACCACCCCGCTCCCTCAGCACGCGCCCCGCTACGGGCTGACCGCGTTCGACAAGATGGGCAGCCAAAAACGCATAGCTAAGGTATGACATTCCTTGCTGCTTGCTATTTGCTCCCACGCGTCGCTTACTTTTATGTCACGGATAGGAGCTGAGCGAGCTCGTCGAGTCGCCTCCCGATGGCATCACCGTCGAATTGGCCGACGAGGCCAATCTTTACAAGTGGAAGGTGTTTATGGAGGGACCAGAAGGGTCACCATACCAAGTACGCTCTTTTCGAAATACCTGGTGTCCGCGATAGGCCCTCCTCCTGCCAGCACCCCAGACTGCTCGCTGAAGCAGGCGGTCACATCCTCTAAGCGAAGAGCTGTTCTAACACTCATGGTAACCACTCTAGGATGGTAAATTCCTCGTCAATCTCACTCTCCCCACCGAGTATCCCTTCAAGCCGCCCACCGTCTCGTTCGGAACGAAAATTTATCACCCAAATGTCACGAATGATGACAAGGGGAGCATGTGCTTGGGAATGCTACGGGCGGACGAGTGGAAGCCTAGCTCCAAGATCGCAGCTGTACTGCAATTTGCACGGCAGCTGCTTCTGGAACCGATGCCCGATGATGCTATTGAAGGACGGATCGCAGAGCAATACAAGAACGACCGGAAGCGCTACGACGAGATAGCGCGGGAATGGACGCGGAAATGGGCTGTTTCTGAGTAGTTTTGTGGATGATGGGGGAACAGGATCATTGTTTGAGCCTTGAATTATGATATGATTCCGTTTGAGCATTCTTGCGAGATATCAATGTCGACATATTTGCTCTCGCCTATGGCTAGGGGCGAGACAGGCCTGAAAAGCAACCAGGGACCTGCGATAGTCCCGTGCGATGAACATATACTATTAAACAACGAATTTCCGCTACCAGGAGCTGTTTGTTCCGCACCCTTCTCGAATCCATTTCGCTCAAAGACTTGTAGGCATAACCCCGACGAGAGCCTGGTAGTCTTGCCGGAATCTATCTTATACTCAAGATTCCGGTTCGTCCTCGGTGGGGCTAGTGCGGAAGATAGCCAAGGCACAAAAGGCACCATGTACCAGTACTTCGGGGTCATAGCTGGCATAGTACTAATAGCTAAGTTAGCTAGTCTGGATAACCCGGTTCAATAGCGGAATTATGCCTCGAGCTGTCGTTGCTTCCCCGCAAATGACCCCACGAGGGGTCGTTTGTTCCGTGGTATCTGGTTGGTTCACGGCTCCCTAAAGTGGTTCCCATTCCTCCTCGGGAATGTAGTTGCTTGGACAGTGTTTAAATATCAAGCTTCTTCAATCTGCTGCTTTTGTTATTTATATCGACATTTAATGAACAATGGCAGTCATCTCTGAATCAATATCATCTGCGTCACAGCATATCGAGGGTATCCTTCTCCTTCTCGGCGTGCTCTATCTGACTTCCAATTACCTCACTCCAGGGGTATGCTCTGTGCCTGGGCCCTTTCTTGCCAAACTATCCAATCTGTGGAGATTCATCGATGTCGCAAATGGCCACGCTGAGGCGACCTTATACAAATTACATCAGAAGTACGGGGATTATGTACGTGTGGGACCACAGGTAGTGAGCGTACGAGATTTGGATGCCTTGAAAGTGATCTATGGCATTAACAAGGGCTATCGAAAGGTAAGATGTCCTTGTTATATAGTACCACACGCGCTAAGCCACATACATCTTGAAGACACACTTCTACCATGTACAGCAGCAATTAGCCAAGGGGAAGCCCACTCCCACACTCTTCACCACGACGGATGAAGATTTCCACGCTGCTATTAAACGGCCTATATCAGGAGCGTACTCGATGAGTACTCTGACCGAGTTCGAACCCTTCGTCGACAAGACCATGCATACTCTGTTTAGGAAGTTAGACGACTTTGTGTCCCGGAACGAGGTTTGTGATATTGCAGTCTGGTTACAATACTGTAGGTCTCTTTCCACCACTGCGTGTTTTATTTCACTGAGACACAATGCATGGTCGGTCCTTGGACTAACATCAGCAGACGCTTTCGATGTGATCGGCGAATTGACGTTCAGCAAACCGCTGGGATTCTTAGAGAAAGGGACCGATGTGGACGGCATCATTGCGGCTCTTGAGCATATGCTAGACTACTCTGGAAAGGTATGATCCACCATGCCTGTAAGCAAAAGGAATCTTCCTGAAGACTCTATAGATTGGTCAAATGCCATGGCTTGATTATCTCTTCATCAAAAACCCTTTGAGACGGCTTATTCAAGGAGGCTCAACGGGCGCGGTGGCTCGATTTGCGCGGGCTCGCCTAGATGAACGGTTAAAGGACTTGAAGCCGGGAGCAAAGAAGATTGACAGTTACGCCCCTTCACGCAGAGACTTTCTTGCACGTTTCCTAGAAGCCAAAAAGGAATATCCGGAGGTTGTGACCGACAACCAGGTCTTTTCATATACTGTGAGCAATGTGATTGCTGGCTCCGATACTACAGCCATCTCGCTCAGAGCGATTCTCTACTACACCCTCAAAAGCCCAAGGGTCATGGCGAAACTATATGAAGAGCTCACCACGGCCTATCGAGAACGCAGAATATCCATACCAGTCTCCTGGAAGCAAAGTCAAGAAGAACTCCCGTACCTCGATGCAGTGATCAAGGAAGCGCTTCGCCTCCATCCAGCGGTCGGGCTACTTCTCGAACGAATCGTCCCCACCGGTGGACTCCAGCTTCCCAACGGAGGGCCATTTTTGCCGGCTGGCACCATTGTCGGCGCTAACCCCTGGATTATCCACCGTCACTCCATCTTCGGGCAGGAAGTCGACTCCTTCGTCCCGGAAAGGTGGTTGCAGATGGACGCGGAGTCTGAAACGACCTTCTACGCGCGGAGGCAACAGATGCTCCGAGCAACATTCACATTTGGCGCTGGACCGAGGACGTGCATTGGGAAGAACATTAGTCTGTTAGAAATTTATAAGCTGGTCCCTTCTCTACTTCTAACATACAAGGTGAGAGACGCGGGAATTGACCCTCTTCCGGGCACGTCGAAAATATATACACCATCTAACGCGTGGTTCCTGCAGATTGAGCTTGAGCATCCGGAGAAGAATTGGCAGACCGTCAACGCATGGTTTGTGCGTCAGAAACATATGGACGTCAGATTGGCTCGCCATGATTTTCTCTAGATAACGGTATGCGTGGTATGCCGTCTTCGAGTGCTGGAGAAATAGACATGTTGATTCTGACACACCGGCAAAGAAGAATTAGCGCTAGGATGACGCCGACATGTTCGTAACCCCGCAAAATACCTGAGAATGGGAAGTTCAGGAGAGCCAATGGGTGTGACAGGTCTTGCGGCGCCGCGTCGCGTCGGCGGCGGGAAAGGGGGTTGAATTGAAAACGAGGCTTGACTCTTGCATTGCGCTTACATTTCTGTACATCAGGAGCGAGCCGCCAGGGTGGATCCGAGCTAGAGTCCAATTTGCCCAGCCTATCAGGAACCGTTCAACTGGCAAACGGGGAGCAGGGTCGGAATTGATTGGTTCAAGGCCTACAGGTTTCTCAACCATCGTTCGTTCCAGATACAGTGGCAGTTCGATTTTCTTTCCTTTGAGAGGTCCTTCTCAATGATATCTATCGAATCGTCCTTTTGAATGGACAGGTATTAGCTCTGGAGATATCTTTTCTGGTGCATCTGATGAAATGATTTTGAATTTTAGTCGGGACTCGATTAGACCAGTAAATCCAAGTTTGATAGTCAACTTGCTAAGCCTTCGATGACATTGACAGGTCGATTGCTCTAAATGAGCGTGCCGTGCCATATGTCATAGCTGAGCGATCGTCATTTAACTCTTTACCCGTACGTTTCTAGAACGAATGGGGTCTCGGAGGTGAAGCCGCAGCCGAAGCTCCGATCCTTCTTCCTCGGTTAGGGGATGGCCTAGGCCTGGAATTGGACAGGTTAACGGAGATTTTTTGACTAACGTTCGATTTGGAAGACAGCAGCATGACCAATGTTGGATTGCAAAACAGAGGCATTATATGAGTCCTTTGTCGTTTGCGGTTAGGGGTAAAGGTGTAGACCATACTACTGTATCCTTGCTACCAAAGATGAACAACCAGCGGATGACCCTGATCGACAACGCATCTATGGTCGGCTACTTCCCGGGAGATACCCGGGGAGCCGTTTGCAATGCCTTTCAGCTACGTTAGGGCCCTCGAGCAGGTACTGGGAAGGGGAAGCTATCGTTCACACTCTGCATACTGCACAGGGTGTAGCCATGGAGACACAACAGCTAGCCAAGATATTGCATTATGTGATGGTGTGCCATCCGGACGCGCGAGCCGTCATATTTAATATGATTGAGTTGGCATCTGGCGTCTACAGATTAAATCTTACACCATCTGACGACCAAAAATACGAGTCATCAAGGAAAATTGATTAATCTCGATCGAAGCGAATCCTGAAACCGCCGTCGTCCCTTTACGTCATGTGACGCTAGCCTCAATCGGGTCTGTTGATTTTTGTCTCAGCTTCGTCCGCTTCTTTTCCGGTTTCTTCATTCCACTCCTCTGGCAGGCTGTGTCGGGGTCGTCGGCTTTTTTTTCTTGCTCTTCTGTCCTTTCCGTGGCTTTTCAATTGTACAATTCCCTCCTGCTGGAACATATCCAGCGTCCGACGAGCTACCCGCTCAACCCTTTTTCGCTTTCCTTCTGCTTCGCCCGTGCATTCTCAACGCCGACGCCTCGTATACATACACGGGTTACAGTGTACAGTGTACACCGAACATCTTTTCCCTTCCTCTCTCCTCAAAACACTCATTTGCACCTTTCCTACGACTTCAAGGGTCCTCGACTACCCTCCCATTGATCACAACCTCACCAGCCACGAAAACCAATGTCCAGCGGGATCTGGGTGCTAGCTCGTGGCCATGGTCACAGAAAATGGAAACCCTCGATACCCTCTTCCCTTGGGTGAATCTGACCTGCGTGGTCGTCGAAAGATTCCGCATCCACCGCGGCTGGACCCTTTGAAGATTGATCCACGCGCGCCGCGAACCGTAAAATCGACTCCGAGATCGTCGCCGCGCTCTCCCCACTACCCGTACCACCCGCGTTCGCAATCACCTCTACCTCCTGCGGCACCAAATACGACAGATGACCGACCCTGGCTCCCGGAATCACTCCGAGCGGGCTCACCGCAAGGTCGAGAAGAATGGAGAGCGAAACAGAATTCGAGCCACGCTCCCCCTTTCACACCACCTCCTGACCGAACGCCTCCAATGTGGTACCGTGATAACGACTTGGACCGACCGAACCATCGCAAGGCTCCGTCGGCCAGAGGCGGGCTACGCATTTCCATGTCGACCTCCCGACTCCATAGCAGACGGCCACGGCCGCAAGTATCCCCCGATCGTTCCCAGGAAACCGGGGCCCATGGCCTGCCATTGCCCCGGTTCCCGTCGAAGGGACCGGCCGACGATAATACCCTTCGGACTAGCTTCAACTCTGCCATGACTTCGCGCTCTAGCATTGAACATCATTCTGGTACCGAGCGGAGCAGTGTTCTGACAAAGAGCAGTTCAATTACCGATCTATCACCAGACACCCCCGACGCACCTTATGGGATGGACGGTGGCATGAGCGTGGAAGATGCGATTTCTATGTATCTTGACGGTTTCAGCGATGTGGCTGAGGAACCCTCATCGCCTACCTCGCGAGCCGAGAGCAAGGCACCCTCAGTTACACCTCCTCCGTCGAGGGATACCTACCCGGAGGAGGTAATATTGTTCCCACCAAGGACGACCTCTCTTGAACATGTACCCCCCATCCATCCACCTCCGCAGTCAGATTTGCCAGAGCCAGACTTCGTCGAACCTGCATCATCACAACCTCATATCCCTGAGCCTATACTGGAGTTTGTCTCTCCACCACAGACTCCACCACCACATCATGTTACCTCCGACTCTGCCCCTCCAGACCCCATTCTCCCCGACAAGGCATCGCCTGACTCACAACCACGCCATCAGCGACAGCCGTCGAAGATAATCATACCCGGGCCGGTTCCGCCACCTCTCACATCCGCGAATGCCACACGTGATGAATATGGTTTTCGAAAAACAACACAATACGTGACTCTGGATCAGTATGAAGCTTGGAAGGGAACGTATTCCAATTATGCTGCGCAACGTCAGAATAAGTGGCTCGAATTGCTCAAGGAGCATGGCCTTCAAACCACCAACCCCACTGTGTTTCCAGCACAGTCCTCCAAAGTTAAACGTTTCGTGCGCAAAGGCATCCCCTCCGAATTCCGGGGCGCTGCTTGGTTTTGGTATGCCGGCGGGTACGAGCTCCTGAACCGCCACCCCGGTCATTACGATCAACTCGTGGAGAAGGTGATGGCCACTCCCAGCAATGATGACAAAGAACATATTGAACGTGATTTGCATCGCACCTTTCCGGATAATATCCACTTCAAGCCGGATCCTGTGGATACTGGAGGGCCTCAAAACTCGAATGTCACGACTGAGACCCAAATGATCCAATCATTGCGCCGAGTATTGTACACCTTTGCGCTTCATAATCCCAAAGTTGGCTATACCCAGTCACTCAACTTCATTACCGGCATGCTCCTCCTATTTCTTCCCGAAGAAAAGGCGTTTTGGATGTTGCATATCATCACCTCTGTGTATCTGCCAGGTACCCACGAGGTCAGCTTGGAAGGTGCAAATATCGATCTTTGGATCCTCATGGTCCTTCTCCGAGATTCTATGCCCCCTATTTACTCTAAGATTGCTAGCATAGATGGATCCTCCGGTCGCGGCAAAGCACCTGCCCTCACTGTGAACTCGCGACTCCCTGACATCACCCTGGGATTGACCAATTGGCTCATGTCCATTTTCATTGGAACGCTGCCTCTCGAAACAACGCTGCGAGTCTGGGACATTTTCTTCTATGAAGGATCCAAGACGTTCTTCCGTGTTTCGCTTGCAATCTTCAAGGCCTGCGAAAAAGATATCCTTGGGGTTTCAGATCCCATGGAAGTATTCCAAGTCGTTCAAACAGTTCCAAAGAGATTGTTGGATGCCAACGCTCTTCTTGAGGATTGCTTTGTGCGACGCCATCGTGTGGGTCAGGGCCGCATCGAAGAACTGCGAGCCGCACGACGGGTCGCAGTTCGACAGGAGAAACTGCGGCGCTCGGTTGCCTTCAATAAAGGCCAGATCCAATCTGCGACTGACAACTTGCTAAATCGTCCACGCAATGGGGGGCCCGACATCGAACAACGGGTTGCTATCTCCTGGCGTAACCTCAAGCAACATGCCTTTCACAGGGAGCCGACCCGTTGATCGAGTTCTTTTCTTTTGGGGTCATCTTTGCATAAAGATCTGCACGAGTGCATGAGCTGCACCGACCGGGCAATGAGAGTTAGACCAAGGCCCCAGGTGCTAATTGTTTGTTTTCTTAATTGTAATTGGCCTTGTCAAATCAACAAGGCATGTCAGGCACCTCGCAGCACAATTGGCGGGGGAAGCCCTTGCATTTTATGGGCGTCTCGAAGGTCTGGGAAAAGGCATTACACGCCTCGCATATGGCATATTAGATATCCTGTCTGCATCTTGTATATTTATGTTTCGTTCACTTTCACTTTCTTTTCTTTCTCCTCTCGCATTCTTGCCTTAGCTGTATGTACAAAAATCAACCGCCAAGATCTGCCCAGCAGGCAACCTGCTTGAGCCCTTGGCAAAATTGAAAGACTCAAAACTAGGATTTGCTGTGGTACGAACTATTGGGTCCTTGAACCCTACAGGGCTGATCATTGGGTCGATCGTGGTTCCTCCGCGGCCAACCAGCGGTTGCACCTGCATGTCGTCATGGATTCAAATGCGGAAATAAAGCTCCTTGCATTGCCCACCTTTTTTGCTCAACTTTTTCATCTTCTTTGCTCTTGCTAAGTACTTGTTGAAATTGGCAAGTCGTGATCGTCGCAGCTTGGAGCTATGAGTGGACAAGCTGCTAGTTATTACGACCCTGGCCAGGGCTTCGAGGGTCAGGGTCAATCAGCTCCTTATGAGAAAAAGAACGAAAACTACACGAATGGCTATGATCACCGCAACAATGGTAATTACCAGCCGCCGGTCAATTACCAACAACAACCAGCCAACGATCAGCAACCTGGCCCTGAGCAGAAGCCCCAGCAGCCTCCATACCCCGATAATCCGCCCCCATACAGTACCTTCGATGAAGCTTTCAAGATTGAAAAGCCCAAGTACAATGACATCTGGGCGGGTCTTTTGGTAGGTTTTTTTTTTTTTTTTTTTTTTGAAATATTGTCTTGCCAGAGAAGTCGCACAAAAGTCTCCAGCTAGATAGTAGTGTAATCGCGCAAAGTAAATATGCTAACTCTCATCACAGTTGATTGCTGTCTTCCTGGGCTATGTCGCAGTGTCCGGATTGACCATCCACAAGTATGCCTCCAACAAGGGATTCAGTGGGGATGGCATCTATGGCTCTTCGAATGATTTTTCACTCAACACAAACACCTTGGTGCTGTTCATCTTCGTTCTTTGCGTCGCTCTTGTCTTCTCATGGGCGTATTTCATGGGCGCTCGATACTTCACGAAAAGCTTTATCTGGGCGACGGGTATTCTGAATATCGTTTTCGCACTCGCCACGGGAATCTACTACATTGCCAAAAAGCAATATGGAGGAGGCATCGTGTTTCTGGTCTTCGGTGTTTTCGCGATTTTTTGCTTCATCAGCTGGATTCCGCGTATCCCTTTCACGGCCTTCATGCTGCAGACCACCATGGATGTTGCACGTAGCTATGGACACGTCTTCCTTGTCAGCGCCTTGGGAGGAATAGTGACTGTGGCATTCGCCGCCTGGTTCTCGGTAACCTTGGTTTCGATTTACGTCGCCTATGAGCCCGACTCCTCTGGCACCAATCCCGCTTGTGCGAATGGTGGTTGCAGCACCGCCAAGGTGATTGGGTTGACAGTGTATGTCACATTCGCCATGTACTGGTTCAGCGAGTGGATCAAGAATACTGTCCACACAACGATTGCTGGCGTATACGGATCGTGGTACTTTTGGAGCAAGTCCGCAGGTGGAATGCCCAAGGGCTCAACTCGCGGCGCCTTCCGACGGGCAACAACCTACTCCTTTGGCAGTATCAGTTTTGGAAGTTTGATCATCGCCTTTATCAACATGCTTCGCCAGGCATGCTCGGTCGCACAACGACAAGAAGCGGCTCAGGGTAATATTGTCGGCAGTATCTTCATTTGGATCTTGGGATGCTTCATTTCGATGCTTGACTGGCTCGTCACCCTGTTCAACCGCTACGCCTTCTGTCACATTGCTCTCTACGGCAAAGCCTACATTCCAGCAGCTAAAGATACCTGGAAGATGATGCGTGACCGCGGGATTGATGCCCTGGTACAAGACTGCTTGATCGGTCCTGTTTTGACCATGGGATCGACGTTCGTCGCTTACGTCTGCGCTTTGCTGGCCTATCTCTACCTGCAGTACACCAAGCCTGCTTACAACGCCGATGGTGACTTTACTCCTGTCATTATGGCCTTTGCCTTTGTGATTGGCTTGCAGGTGTGCCAGGTCTTTATGACTCCTATTGGCAGTGGAGTCGAAACGATCTTCGTTGCTATGGGCTGGGATCCTCAGGTTATGATTAACGACCACCCGGATATCTATTACAAGCTGGTACAGCTATACCCCCGTGTGCAGCAAGCTATTCACGCTTGAAGTTGCTTGCAAATTTGGGTTAAATGGCATCACACCCGTTGCTGGATGCCTGATCAGCGACTTAATTGGTTACGAAGTAGATGTTGACGTCTTAAATAGCACTGTATTTTAATTCAAGAATGGTACTCATATTTCATTGATCATTACAACCTCGATCCTGACAGTCAAACGTACTATGTTTTACAAAAATAATCTCAAAGGTACCTGCAAAGAACTCCTCAACAAGAAAGAAAAAAGATTGGAAGCCTCTAACCCATAAACGTATACCAAGTAGCTCCCAACAGCATTCAGCCCATTATTTGCTTACAGAGCAACCATCAGACCCATGACGGCAGCAACACCGAGGGCAGCAATACCGCTCTGGATGGCATTAGTCTTGGGTGCAGCACCCTGGAAAGTGTGGAAGCGGTAGGCACTAGCACCGCTGGGGGTAGGAGTAGCAGCAGACATCTGGGAGCCAAAGATGACAGAAGAAGAGGCGGCCATCATAACACTGTTGGAAGAAGCAGGAGTAGAAGAAGCAACCATTGCGCTCATGCTGCTGCTCATAGGGACATTTACGGGAATCTGGGAAAAGTGCATCCGGTTGTTGGACAAGGGGGTGCTCTTGCAACTGTACTCGGTGCGAGTCTCAGTCACATAGACGACACGGGGAGCGGCGTAGTCGTCCGATGAAGGACTGTAGGCACGCTTGTTGTCCTCCATCACGCCGAAGTCGCTGGCGGGCTCCATGGGGTTGCTGGCGTGGCGGGCTGGGGCGGCTGTGCTCTTGCTGCTATTGGAGCAAAGGGAGGACTCCAGCTTGGTCAAATCTAGTATTTTATTAGCTTGTCAGTTGAGCAAAAGAGAGACTAGGAGTCGATGTACCAATGCCGGCAGTCTTGCAGGCAGACTTGGCCGCGTCTGACAGCTCGGTGAGAGCATCCTTGTTGGCGCAGAGGCACTCGGTGCTGCTCAAGTCGGTGCAACCGGAGAGAGTGGAGGTGTCAATGCCGCTCAGGGCAGCGCTCTGATCTGGTTAGGATTTGGCTTGTGAACAAGATTATAGGGTCACGTACAGCACAGTTGACGAAGTCCTTGGTGGTCTGGGCGCTGACCGCGGCCGTACTGGCGAGGAAGAAAGCGACAATGAACGAACGCATTTTGAATTGGAGTTCAGGAAGAAGATTGATTTAGAAGACTGGAAAGAGAACTAGTTTGAAGAATCCAAGAATCGAACGAGAAGGTACTCTGTAGGAGCAAGAACATCAGCTTCGTGGCGGCCCTGGGCGTCAGTGTTGATTTAAATACAGAGACGCCATCATAACAAACAGTACACATAATTGGCCCTTAAACGCCCCTTGATGCGATTGACTGGGTGAAAAGCCTGTTATGACGTGAGAAGCATTCTGGAGATGTTCCAGTAGTCAAGGTGATGGGGCTCTGGTCGTATGAGACAAGCTTCGACTGGTATCTGGTCGAAGTCTTCGCCCCAGGAGTCGTAGTAGTGCACACATAACAAGACCTCTGCACTGCCTGTGTTGATCTTTGTGGAATGATAAAAGAATGTGCCAGTTACCATGTTACCTGTTGTTGACTCGTTGTGCCTGGCACTATCCCTAGATACCCTTTTCTCCGAGGAATGTTCATGTCAACTCCCAGCTCATCAATTACTGTATGATTCGAATACACTTATTAGTGGTTCGGGATTTTCAAAAATAGAGTCTAGAGAATCTGTCTGTCCTTGAAGTTGGAAGGCTCGAAATATTGACAACGAAGTTGGATTGATCTAATTCTACTGCATTGATACTACACTAGAAGAACCGGCTCCGGTCACCAGACACGGGTTATCACATACTTCTAATCACTCCCTATGACCATCCTCGCAGGTAGATTAGCATTCTGTACAAAGCTCAAGATTGCTGCGATGAAACGGAGCTATGAAGCCTGTGTAGAGCTCGCACAGGATGTGGTTTGAAGTTTTTGGGTGTCGCAGGATGAGAATGCCGCATCTTTCAGGTTGGGAACTAATGTGCAGAGTCAAGAGGCTGGGTCTTGGTTCTTAATTCGTCCATTTGAGAAGGATGCCTGCCCATCTCTTTTGCTTCTGACACATTTAGATGTCTCTAGCCAATAATCATGTTGACTGTGCCGGAAAGGGCCTCAAACCATCTAGCAAACCGACCGTGTTCCTTATGAGCCTAGTATATCTAAATAGGCTGTTTTCAACCCGATTTTGAAAAATCTTGAAGTTGATCTAGCTGAAGCCTGCACCAACGAAGGGTAGGAAACCTACGTGAAGGTCAGCGAGAACAGGATTGCTTCTGCACAAACTGTGAATGTTCGTTAACAGAACCTGAATTTGCAGATACTACTAAATTTGTTATGCACGTATGAAAGCCCCAGCTACTTGAACCAAGAACGGAGGCATATGAAACCTTGAATATGATGAAATTAATTACATGGAAAAGCTGAATAAAAGATGCCAGGGTATTATGTATGAACGTCCAAGAATCCACATGTCAACATTCAGGTTTAATACCTATGACCCGATGTATAATGTACTGGTGTTTCAACGTATGAAAGAGGCCGTGCATCGTTGGATGGAACGGGAAGCTCGGCAGCAAAGCTTCGGGCATCCATCTCGTGAGGTAGAGGAGCCAACTCGTGTGGTAGAGGAGCGGCTTGGAACTTTTGATCTGCTTGGTATGCATCGACGGCTGCGTATTTGTGGTAGGAGGCCCCACTGACTTCGGACGGCGAGGGCAGATCGCTCATAGGAGGGGCAGAGGAAGGAGCAGAGGGCGGAGGTGGTGGTGAGGCCATAGCACTGCCACCAGTAGGGGCTGGTTCGTATGCAGGTTGTTGATTCTGCTTCTTCTTTCGCATCAAGAAGAACATGAAGATGGCTGCTCCGATGCCAGCCAAGCCCACTACTCCACCTACCACCCCTCCAGCGATCGCAGCAGTGTTGGATGAATGGTGTGCAGTTGATCCTGAGCCAGATGCCGCTGACGATCCTGTTGCGCCAGAGGCAGCACCTGATGAAGCGCCAGTGGATGTTGGCACGTTCCGATTCACTGAACCCGTGGCGGGCCCGACAGCACTGTTGATGTAGTCTGAGATGAAGTTATCGTTCACCACTGATCCGTATACAGATGCCACTGTAGGAATCCCGCTAATGTAGCTGAGACTCTTACTGTCTGGAATGTTGTTCGAGTATGGATGGGCCGTCAAGTATAAAGTCTGGGTGGTGTGAATACTGGAGCACCCGAAGTCCGTAATGGATAGCTCGGGGTAGGTCCACTCAACGCAAGATGCGGCCGTAGACTTCGTGCAGAAGATCGCGAATACACCCGCCGAATCAGTCAGAGTGGGAGTTGCGGCGAGTTGTTCGCTGTCGTAGCAGGTCGTCTCGAATAGGCATTCTTCGGAATAGGCATTGTTGCAGCAGCCTACCATGGCGGGATAGTTGACGTCCGCTGTGTGGAAGACGCATTGTGTGTAGCCGTAGCATGCAATCTCGGAGGCTAGAAGAGTCAGAAACGAACACTTGCATGGATTTTATTGAATAGTCAAGAGTAGGAGTAACCGCGTACAATAGTCTAGAATTCCATCAACGAAACCACATACGCTGGCACTTGCCCATTCCGTGTATGTGGTGGTCGCTGGGTAAGCGGCACTCCCAGTTGCAGAGACGATACTCCCAGTATAAGAATCGTTATAGCCATCACGTCGATGTAATCCCTTGACGCCAGTGTCTACCCAGGGTGTCGCTTCAGGGAGATCCGGCCGCAACGAATCATGGGCGGCAGGAGTCGAAGAAGACGTCGGGAACATCGCAGCCCGAGTTAATGGGAATAGTGAGAGGGCATAGAGCCCTATTGACTGTTTTTGAACCATCTCAATAGTGGCAGGTGGTGAAAATTCGTGAGTGTGCGCGCGTGGCGCACGGCACCAGAGTCCCCTATATACTTCAGAGGGCGGCCGATCAAGACCCTCTGGGCTCCGGAGCTCCTCATTTCCCGACTAGTCTTTAGCTTGCTTTTTAAATACGGAGCACGATCGTATAGATTTTGCTAGGCGTTGGCCGGAGAATCTCCACCTGCTCGCTTCTCAGCCTCGTGTTACTGGTGAGTTTGTGCCTTAGCGTGAGCCTAAGGCTTTAGTATCCAGAACAACTGGGTGAATACGAGGTCGGCTAAGCAGAAGATTGGATGGGTCTCAGGAGTGTGATTTCCGATGCCCAGCTCCGAGGATCGGGAAGGATGTTTAATTTCCCATCTGTTTGCCATCCTTTTGGGCACCCTTTCGACTCTCCTATCGCTTCACGGAAGAACTCCGTTGAAATACGGTGAGGACGGAGTTTAGTACTGTGGAGGAATAGGGGTCCTGACTCCATGACCCACATAGAGCCTCCACGAGGAGACTAAGGCCCGGAAGGGTCATCGATCGAAAGTCTAATGGCTCATTGGCGCCCAGAAATCACAGCCCTGAGAGGCTGAGCCTAGGGCGCTTTGGCCCGTCGACGGAAGGTAAACGAGGCCCTATCGCATGCGCTGTCTCTTTTACCGTCCCCCTCTGGTGTAGGTACGACGTGCCGATACTTAGACACACGGTGCTGTTTGCGTGATTCACGTACAGAGGGTGATAGAGACGAGCATGAGCCCGACCTTCTGAAGTGTTATATCTCGCTTTTACTACTTGACCTATTTCCTTTCCCGGAATGGTGGCGTTGGAGTGGAGAAATCGCCCCGAGCTTATACCCTCGGGAATCAAGACGCAAAATGAAAACAATTTCAATGGGTATAGTAAGCCAGACAATTACTCCCGTCGCTCTAGAGCCCCAGATATAAGAATTCCAGTCATGTCCCCAAATTAACCGAATTTCTTCCGAGACCAGCTCAGAATTTCTCACTCGTCACGCAGCGCGTCAAATGAACCAGCAACCAGGCCAGTATTTTAACCATCAAGGTCAACCCAGTGACCAGCATATTCAGTCCGAAAAACAATATTTTCAACAAAGTCCGCGTTATGCCAGGAAGTTTCTCGCCTTCTCGCGACGAGCCTTTGCCGTAGCGGCCGTATTTCTCAAGGTCGAATTCCTCAACCACAATCTCTTGACCTTTTTTCGTAGTCCGCACTCGACCAGACGGTGTGGAATTATAATTGTCCAAAAATTTGAAGAAACTCTTCCTCTTCGGCGCCCTCTCCGCTTTAGCGTTTGCAGCTTGAATTTGGGACGCGAGCTGAAGACTCTCGGCGTAGTCTTCGCGCTCCGCCTGGGTTGTGATGAGTGGCCCGCGATACGGTGCCCCAATACCCTGTCCTGTGAGATAACCTGGCTCAGTGAAGCTTGGCGATTGGAGTTCCATGTCTGCCAAGATTGGATTCGTAGCTTCGTCCGAGACTGCAACCGCGAGCATGGCTGCAATGAGCGAGTCAATCGCATATAAAGAAGGGATAGTGGCAATGACAGCAGCGGGTGCGACGGTCAGTGTCCTAGTTGCAAAGTCCAGAGATGCCAGTGGCTCGTCCGAGTCGGCGACGGGGAGGGTCGAAGTGCGTGGGTTGGCAGCTTGCTGTGCTGCTGCCAACGCCGTCGACGATGGTGGACCAGTGACGAGGATTGTCGGGGCTTGATGAGGCATGGCATCAGTGGAAGGCGCAGAAACAGTAATGTACAAGATTCCCGAAGACTTGGATCGCACGGGAGAGAGGGGAATTCCTTCAGCTCCGACTAGCCGCGGGGGTTGTCGTTTGGACAGCGACGGGTGCCGAAGCTCGTAAAGCCTCGAGTTGCGGTTCCAGGATAGACGGCAGGACTCTTGCGCAGCGGCCCGTCTGAGGGCATTATTCTCAACTTCTGCTGCCTCAGATGGAGCGAGTTGATGGAGCTTGCTGATTTCGATTGCTTGTTCAATGGCAAGCATGGCGGCTAATCTCGAAAAGAGAAGTGCAACAAGGCCATCATGGGGATGCTCGCGGCGTCCACGGTCTTCGAGACTCAAAGCCATGATAGGCACGTCACTATTAGGTTTGCATGGGGCTCCACGCGAGATCGATAGTTCGTCATTTTCATAGGTCTGTAGGGTGTAAAATGGCTGTTGGGGATTGCCAAATGTGAAGGTCGCCGGTGCAGTTCTTAATAATAGTTAGCCAACGACCACAGGATGTATTAGGGTTATGAATAGAATACCTTGCCATATGCAGGTTGAATGTTCCAGCAAGATTTTGAGGTCTCTGGCCATTCGCAGCTTCCCACAGCATCTCCAACTCATATGGAGTCGAGTATCTGATCTCCTCCGAATCCGAGATGCCATTTGGAAAGTTCAACACACTCGCGGGGACAGTCTTGGGGCCCAACACATGATCAATCTCGGAAGAAGTAGTCAGAGTCAGTTGCGGCCTGCGTGACTTCTTTGCAGGCTTTTCATCACTTGACATCTGGGATTTGATCTGATTGTTTAAAGGGAGCCTTGGATCCAAGCGAGGAAACATCGATCTCATTGGAATCGGTGAGACAGATGATTGGGAAGATTGAGGGGAAGCAGTTGAGCTGGTAGTGTGATTGCTGCTGCTACTAGTGCTCACACTGCCTTGTGACTGCGAGGCTCGTGCAGTAGTGTTGTTTTCTTGACGGCTCCGGCTGCGAGGGGACTGAGTAGACTTGGAACTAGGTGATGATTCCGCCACAGCAGGGGATTTAGACCGCGTATTTGGTGGATGAGATGGCGGAGGAGGAAACGAAGAAGTGTCCTCGATGATTTGGAGCAGTACAGACTCGGCTTTGGTGGAGTCTTTGATCTCAGTGAGACAAATCGGAGATACAGGCTCGACCTTCACAGCTGGTGGTTTCTTGATACCTCTGCGAAATGGGTTCTTGGCCGCCTTTGCCTCCGGCGAAGGCGGAGGAAATAATTGAAATTGGCTCATTGTGGCAGCCGTATTGTAGTACTTTGATCCAGTTGTTTCCAGTACAACTGCACCAAGGGAGGATATGGTAGGCTCGTTCGGTCTGCCGAGCAAGCTTGACAGGAGACGCGAAAGAGCGCGAACAGGGGAAGGGATGTTTCGACTGACATATACCCCATGCCCATGGATAAAATCTGCTGGATCTTGCGAAATCGTAATAAGATGTGCTGGTGCTCACCAGGCATAATATGTGACAGTCGCTATTTTTGGTGTAGGCGCTTAACAGCTGCCGGTTGTGATTGGGCCGCCGCGGTGGGACGAAGATGCCAAGTGCAGAACGGCGCTACCAAGAGAGGCGCTGATTGGCGGCGAACCCTTCGAATACATTAATAGTGAGCCATTCTGACCACAGATTGGTGACTGCACTTGTGCAGGAGTCACACCGTAAGCTTTGTTGCGCTGAGAGTCAGCGCATACACAGTAGGATTGGGCGGCACAACCCCCGAGGGGAAGGGGGGTTGTCGGTAAGTGAGGATATCTAATATACATTGACCTAATCATGCAGGATCATATTTACATCATATAGTACAAGTTTATTCGCTTCGACCCTGGTCATGCTCCGAAGCCTCATCATGAACAGAGTAGGTAAGTCCCTCTGCCATGGCGATCGCGCCCGCCATATTGCCCTTGTTGTACAAAAACAGCCCTTGCAGAGCTGCTGCGCTTGTGCTCTTCGATCGGTCAGCTTTACGACCCTGCTCATCCTCGATCAAGCCGAGATGCTGCAGCCGGTCGAGGAAAGTCTTCCGGTAGGAGCCTTCAGTATCGATTTCTTCATAGAAGCGATCCCAAAGACGGCCGACCTGATAGCGCGTCACTTCTCCGAGGCGCACTGTCATGTCTACGCGCCCAGGGCGGACCAGGGCCTCGTCCAGTCGCTCGACATGATTGGTCGTGAGGAAGATAATACGTTCCTCGGCGCTGGCAACACCGTCCAGCGCATTCAGCAGACCGGAGAAAGTGACGTTCGCTCCGCGATAGCCGTCGGCGTCGGCTTGAACCCGTCGATTAGAGAACGCCGCATCCACATCCTCCAGCAGAACTAGGGTTCGATTTGGAACAATGGTCAAGAGATGGTTGAGCCGATCATCGGTCAAGCCCCGCTCGCTAAGGTTGAGAATTGCGATATCGTAGTCCAACTCCCCCGCTAGCGCCTGGATAAATGAACTTTTACCCGTCCCAGGGGGCCCGTATAGGAGGTATCCTCGTCGGTAAGGAATTCCACGGTCATGGTACCACGCAGAGCTCGAGATGAAGTCTTGGGCATCATCGACAATCCGCTCCGAGACCCCCTCATCAAGCACAACTGATTCCAGAGGACGCTTGCGTCGAGGATTGCCGAATGGCCGCCATTCCGTTCCCCAACTGTTGTAGATTGTTGTCTTCCCCTCATGGGATTTGGCAGCGTATGCATGAGCTTCTGTAAAAAGGTCTTCAAAGATATGTCGTTGAGAGTAGAGGGTAGTCAATGTGATGGTCTCCCAAGGCTTTCCGGTTTGGATGTCGCGGGATTTGGATTCTCGCACTCGGCTCACAAAGACAAACGCGTTTTTGTAGCGAAGAATGTGTTTTCCAGGACCTGGTACCAGCGAGAAATGGGTATGAATAGCTCCATTCGAATGTTCCACCTTCGAAGTCTGGATGGAGAGGTGACGCATGCCGGGGGTCATTTTGTGAAGGAGCCGATCGATGAAGCCGGTACTGTTCGCGGCTGTACGGGTGGTGTTGAGCTGCGATTGCTGATAGAGTGTCATCCAGTGAAGAAACCATGGATATGAGTCGTCCTTGATGCTGATCTCCACGTCCACCAGCATTCGGCGACGCAGCAGAGCTGCGCCATGGCGGACTCCCCTCTGTGCAAACGTCAAGCCTGCGCCCAGCGCTCCGAGGCCAAAACCCTACACGCGAAAATTTTTGTCAGTAATCAAAATCCCTTGCGACACCAACAGTCATCGAAAAGGGGTCACATACAGCCGTGAACAAGGGATTGCTCGTCACTTGCGAAAAGAGGCTGCCATCGCCTTTCTGTACTGCTTGTTGCACTGTTGCCTGTCCTGACGAGGATGCTCCTGTCCTCTGCTGCAAAATCAAGTCTGTCGCAGATGCAGCAGCTGACGGTGCTACATTGGAAGCACCATTTGCCTCCATGCCGGCCCAATCGAGTTGAAGTTGTGGACGCCAAAAGGTCCGATCGACGATAAGAAACATTATCGGAATCGGAGTTACAACGGGCCGAGCAACGTTAGTCGGTACGGCGACCGATATCGTCCAATCACAAACCCCATATAGTCGGCGAAAGACTAAAGCACTAAGGGATTCTACGATTTTGAAATCTTAGATATACTCGAAAATTATCTTGTCAATTATTCTTATATCAATCGAGAGATGTCACTCAAATTATCTATGGCCCAGAGAGGCGGTCTTTAAGCTGCAAGGCACCGCCCTGGAGGAGAGCACATGAATGCGGGTGACAAAGGAAAGGATGGCAAGCCGATGGTCTGAATAAATACGATGAAGTATTTGTTTAAGTGGACTTGGTCTCCCGTGTTCACACTTGCACATCGTGAATTCAAGTAGGTGCGTTGTCATTAATAAATCACTATCCGCCTCCTATGTGACCCAACTATCGTACAGTAGATGATGCCCCATTGATATGGCACCAGTTGCCACGATCAAAACTCCCGGCTCTCTCCAATATCACAGACATCGAATACTCCCTTCTCAGGTAGACCGAATTTCTTCAGCGCGGTCTTGAGCTTCTCCGGTGGTTCGAGCACATCTTCCTCAGTGAGTACCCAGGTACCCCAATGCATACCCAACGCCTTCTTGCATTTGGTATCTTGGAAAATGTGCACTGCATCGTGTGGATCTATGTGCACACAACTGAGCAGATGGCGTGGGGCGTATGCACCGATGGGGATCAGTCCCAAATCAAATGGCCCACGGAACTCACCGATCTGTTTGAAAGCTGGGCAGATGGGGAAATCGTATTTGGGATCGTGATCGTCTTTGCCCTCGGGTAGCTTAGGGACGGAGCAGTATCCGGTATCGCTGGGTTTGATTCAGTGAATGTCTCAGGGATAATTCAATTTTCAGACATACCCTATGAAGTAAAGATGTTTACCCCCAGACTCGACGGCCCAAGAGCCCCAGAGCGTCCGATGCGGATCAAATGGGGTGCGAGCTGTGACATGCTGGCAGGGAAGGAAACCGATCCGCGCCTTGATCTCTGCTGTCATAGAAGCAGAGTCTGAGTCAGCCTCGACTTTAGCCTCATTTTGCTCCAAGGGCGACAACGTGATGTCGCGTCCATCCCACCAGTCTAGCTCGGTGGCCTGGTGAATGCCGCAGCTCTTGAACCAAGCCTTTAAATCCAGTGGAACAAAGAAGTGGCAGTTTGGGTGTCGCTTTGCAATCTCAGTGACGCCAGTGTATGAGAGATGGTCGTAGTGGTTGTGAGATATGAAAACCGCGTCGATTATGTGAATATCCTTGATCTTGCATGGTGCATCTGTGAATCGCTTCGGCCCCAGCATGTTGTATGGACCGCAACGCTCTTCTAGTACGGGATCAAAGAGCGCCCGTAAGCCACCAGGGAATTCAACATAGTAGCAGGCGTGTCCCAGCCATGTTGCGCGAAGATTGGGTGTTGCTCGACTCGGAAGAAATTCTGGCTTGCGGACGGGGACTGTCGGCGCAGTCGTATTGGGGACATTTGCTTTGCCCGTCAGGCGACGCCTACATAAGGAATCAAGATGGGTCAGAATAAGAGACTTATAAATCGAATCCTTGGCGATTGAACTTACACGAGAACCTCAACGGAGGTCTTCATGGGGATATCCTCCCAGGAGCTGGAAGTAATCATTTGATCAACATCACGATCTCGCGAGAGATACCAGAGTATATAAGGTACACCACTTACTCCCAAGGGTTTCTGTAGCCCGATTTCGCATGGTGGCTCTTCGCTGAAGCATCTTCTGGGGCAGGCCTAGCCGGCGAAGTAGCCACACTGAGGGCATACAGCACGCCCGTGGTGGTCGAACCCATTCTGCGCATAGGGGAGTTGGAAATGCGCCAAAGATTTGTCGGTTGACAAAACCGAGGGCGCTGGAAGAAGCTCCGCATCGATGGAAACCTTACCATGTTTTAAGGCCACCAGAGTACCCTTCGAATCGAAAAGCGCGTGGACCCTATACTAGGTGTCCCGTTCGGTGATTTGGGAATTAAGGTGCTGATGACGGAGGAGGGAAAGCCATCAACAGCTAAGCCCAACAACTCCGTATTGGAGCGACACCTTCCCCGACAGCTCCATATGAGCCCCGTTTCCCGGCTCAAGATCGAGATCAGAATCATGATCGGTGATGACCGCGTACTAATAGCATATAGTATGCTTACGCAGGTTACTTGTCGCTGGTATGACGGCCGAGTCGCCGACAGCGGCCATAGCAAAAGACTTTAATTAAGTTGATGATTGACCACACTCACAGCTATACCTTCTATTATTGTCTCATGATTCTCTACAATCTAGGTCAGAACTAATCTGGTAGTAGAGTGGTAGTAGCTTTAATTGTCCCAAGCAAGAAATCACGGAAAGTCTAGCTAGATCCGGGTTAACCTCATTTGTTTCGAAAGAACTTTCCATTTCTATGTAGCTTAGGCAAGATCCATCGCTCTATCTTTCACCAACTCCTTTCATAATAATCATTTGTTTCAGACAAGACTGTAAGATTGATGAAATGATTTTGAACCCGTCATAGTATTCTCCGGTTTGTATGGATGTAGTCTTCTGCTGCCTTAATGCTGTGGTCGATCTGTTTGCCTTGTTTGTCTTCCCGTTTGGGTTTAGTGTCAGGGAGCTCCCACTTTGGAAATTTGGGATGCGGGCAGCGTTCAACGTGGATCCGAGTTGGCTCCTTTTCTGTGTCCATCGGGAGTGTTCTTGTCCCATCTGCCTCAAGTTCACTTTTCACCTTTCTCCGATACCACACTAGACCCTCCGCCAACATGCAGGCTCCAGTGGTGGTGATGAGTACGCTGCCCCTCATCCCCGTTTATCGTTCTACCGGGTGTTGCTAATCCGCCGAATAGACACCAATGCTGGTGACCGTCAGGTCGGTCGCCGCGCGCAGCTTTCGAACATTACTGCTGCTAAGACGTATGTAATGCCTAAAATCTATTCTACTGCTGATTTATCATTTCAAGTGCTAAATATATCCACCAGCGTCGCCGACATCATTCGGTCATGTCTCGGACCCAAGGCCATGCTGAAGATGCTGCTCGACCCAATGGGTGGCATTGTGCTGACCAACGACGGCCACGCAATTCTTCGTGAGATCGAAGTCTCGCATCCCGCTGCGAAGAGCATGATCGAGCTCAGCCGGACCCAGGACGAGGAGGTTGGAGATGGAACCACAACTGTCATTATCTTGGGTACGGATCGGATCCCACTTAAGGGGATACTATGTGGATGCTCACTGACGTCTCTATAGCCGGTGAAATGCTCGCCCAGGCCCTCCCCCAGCTCGAACGTAACATCCACCCCGTTGTCATCATCTCCGCCTTCAAGCGCGCCCTAGCCGACGCTCTCCAGATCATCGAGGAGGTTTCCGTACCCGTTGATATCCACGATGACAAGGCCATGTACACTCTTATCCAGTCCTCCATCGGTACCAAGTTCGTCTCGCGGTGGTCGGATTTGATGTGCGGCTTGGCGCTCCGTGCAGTGCGGACGGTCTCCTTTGATATCGGTGGTGGCAAGCAGGAGGTGGACATTAAGCGGTATGCCCGCATTGAGAAGGTCCCCGGTGGTCAGATTGAGGATTCCGAGGTTATCGATGGTGTCATGGTCAACAAGGATATCACCCATCCCAAAATGCGGAGGAGAATCGAGAACCCCCGCATTCTACTGCTCGACTGCCCCCTGGAGTACAAGAAGGGCGAGTCCCAGACCAACATTGAGGTCTCCAAGGAAGACGACTGGAACCGTATTCTGCAGATTGAGGAGGAGCAGGTGAAGCACATGTGTGAGGCTATCTTGGCCTTCAAGCCCGATGTTGTCATCACCGAGAAGGGTGTTTCCGGTAAGTACAACCAATGATGATTTTAATGATGGTTTTAAAAGGTGCCTTCCGTCCTAACTTCCAGCCTACACCAGATCTTGCACAGCACTTCCTTGTGAAAGCCAATGTTACCGCTCTCCGTCGTGTGCGAAAGACCGACAACAACCGTATCGCCCGTGCCACCGGTGCCACCATCGTCAACCGTGTCGACGACATCCAGGAGTCCGATATTGGTACCCGCTGCGGTCTATTCGAGATTGAGAAGATTGGTGACGAATATTTCACATTCATGCGCAAGTGTACGACCCCGAAGGCCTGCACTATCCTCCTGCGTGGCCCGTCCAAGGATATTCTGAACGAGATCGAGCGCAACCTCCAGGATGCCATGGCCGTTGCCCGTAATGTCATCTTCCACCCTCGTCTATCGCCCGGTGGTGGTGCCATCGAGATGGCCGTCTCCGTGAAGCTTGGACAGCTGGCTCGCTCTATTGAGGGTGTGCAGCAGTGGCCATACAAGGCCGTCGCTGATGCCATGGAGGTTATCCCGCGGACATTGGCCCAGAACGCTGGTGCCAGCCCCATTCGCGTGCTTACCCGCCTCCGCGCTAAGCACGTCGAGGGCCACACCACCTGGGGTTTGGACGGTGAGTCTGGAAACCTGGTTGACATGAAGGAGTACGGCGTGTGGGAGCCTGAAGCTGTTAAGCTTCAGAGCATCAAGACCGCAGTCGAGGTAAGCCATCTACAACCCAACCTCCATAAACCCAGTATGCTAACTGTTTATAGTCTGCATGCCTGCTCCTCCGTGTCGACGACATTTGCAGCGGCAAGTCTGCACAACAGGCTGGCAACGTTGGTGGTGGCGAGGAGTAATAGACGAGCATGACCTAAAAAAGAAGAAAAAAGAACAGGAGACAATGATCCATGGACTTGAGGTCCGTACATATAATGCTACACGACTGCCTCTGGGGTGTTTCTTTTCTGTATGAATATCCTAGACCAAAATAAACTGTCATATGGGTATCTTCGTATAATATTGTTACAAGTAGCAGCTACGCTGTCTCTCTCCAAACTGATCTTCAATCTTCATCATGGATAATCACACCGGGCACCTCTGCCGTCGGATGTCCCTCACCACCATCCGCAGTAGTATGATCCATATCCCGACTCGGAGGCAAAGGCCCTTTAATCGATGGCCCATCAACATCCATCCCCCCATTCCCACCATCCTTATCCTTCTTATTCCCACTCCGCGCCGCACGCTTCTTCTCCCTCCTCCGCCGATTCTTCTCCGTCTTCTCCTCATCCTTCCGCCTCGCCTCTTCCCGCTGTTTCTCCCACTCCGCATTCCCCTTCTCCTTGTCGACCTCGGACTGCATCAGCCGCAGGCGCTCGTACTCGCGTCGCCGGCTCGCTTTGTAAACGTGGAACTCGCCGGAGCCTGCACCCGCGGATGAACCTTGCACATTGGCAACGATTTCTGGGGGCGGGGCGAGCGAGGATGAGGTGCGTTCTTTGGGGGCGTTGGGGAGACGGAGCTCCTTTGAGGGATCTTTGAATAGGGTTTCGATTTGGTTGGCGTGTTCGGAGACGGGGGTTATGGCGCGGCGTTTGGTGGGCCGTTTGCTGCGCGGGTCGGCGCTTGTAGGGATGGACTCGGGGCCTGGTTCGGACATTGTAATGGTACGGTAGAGTGGTGTGTCTGGTAGAGGATGTAGAAGACACAGGCGCAGTTCGGACGACCGCGGCGACTGGGTTTGTGGTGATAGAAGTTGCGATTGGCGTGGTTGCGGTTGGAAACGCGGTGTAGAGTTCCAGGCTAGAATAGCGGAAGCTTAAAAGCAGGGCTGGTATGTCTTGAGATGTCCTTGCAGAAGGGGTTCCAGAGTGAAATGGTATCGGTAGAGGGGAAATAGGTGGTCATCGATGAAGAAAAAGACGACGACACGCTCGGGGTGGAATTGCGACACGCTAACCGTTTTCGGGCAGGCTTCTCTTGGAAGTATAGCGTCCACTGTTCAGAAGACCCATCGTGCCTGTTAATTGATAAAGGGAGAGGAGAAAATCATAGAGGACTTATTCCTATTTCTTTATCTTGCTCTTGTTTTAGAATTAACAGAGTAATGTATCGACGAAAATGTGTCGAGATGAGGTTCAAGCTCACCTGACGCAGTCTCCTACGGTCGCTACAAGCAAAAAGTCACGCATTTGAGCGATGGCAATGGCGCTGGCAGTGATGATTCTGTATATATTCGCAGCTCAATAGAGACAATTGCATTCTAAATAAATTCTCATACATCTTGTAATGGCCAACCTGGAAGGTCAATGAGTGAGCATCTCGCTTTAGTTCGAGCAGCAAGTTGCCAGTCAACCCATCCAACCTCTCAGCTAAGTTTGTAAAGATATAGATGATCTATTGTCTAATCCGTTTTTTTTTACTCCAATACAATGGTATTAAGAAGCTATAGTCCCATTCAAATGCTTAAGCCTCCTCCTTGATGAACTGTCTTCTCCATAGAGAGATCGGGTTGCTCTCGTCAAAGAGGCGGCAATAGCTCCATTTAGCTCCATTGCCGCCTAGAATCAATGACCTTTGGTGTCCCGGGGACTCCCTCATATTTGAAGGCTATTTAAATGTCTGATTAGCACCTAGAGCTGAAGCTGGTACTCTGTTTGATTGTTGAAAGTTTTCGCAAATACCCAGTCCTTGATTTCGGGGTGCTGCCTCCAATTTGCCTGGCCTTCTGCCTCTGCACCTCCTCCACCACATCACTTCACTTCTCCCCTTTCCTCTCACACCCACTCAACTTCTTCCTTCTCAACCCAACCTTTCTCCAAACACCAGTTTCTACTATCGAGAACTGCGATCAAGTGGTTCTTGCTGGTGCTCTCTGAGCACCTTTCCCTTTCCCTCTCCACCTCACATTTTCCAAACTCTTCTGACCACGACCCGTCCACCATGCCTTATCGCATCGGTAAGACTCTCCCCCTCTCTCCCCCGCTCTCTTTCCTCTTCTGCTTTGGTGTCGAACTACTTTTGATGTATCTTCCCGGTTTCTACGGGTACTTGTATTTGCTACTGAGATTTGGCTATGTTGCCACAGCTCTCAACGCGTGGATGCACACGGAGTGGAGTCGTGATGCCCAAGCTGTCCATCAGTTGGCCCGTGCTCCAGGAAACCCAGAGATCGTCTTGGGTCCTTGTTGATGCTCAACGTCATCTCGTGAGATAAACTATGATTATTTCAGAAAGCTGACTTGCTCTACAGAGGTTTCCCCGAACAATCGGGCTGGTTGCAAAAACAAGGAATGCAAGGATGAGAGTATCAAAATTACCAAGGGCGAAATCCGTGTCGGGACCTGGATCGAGACCGACAACTTTCAAAGCTGGAGCTGGCGCCACTGGTGAATTTCTGAAATAATCATGCCTCTCCAATATCCAAGAGTTAATTTCTTCTAGGGGTTGTACCACTCCACTCATTCTCTCTCACATCGTCAAAGGTGTCTTCGAGGAGGACAAGCTGACCGGCGATGAGAACTTCGAGCTCATCGATGGCTGGGAGGATCTCCCTGAGGTATACCAGGATACTGTCCGTGAGGCTCTCATCCAGGGACACGTAAACGATGATGCCTGGAAGGGTGTAAGTTCTTGCTATTGATCTGACCCTACCAGGCCAGAGGCCTTGAAAGGTACTTCTTTGCAGTTATCATTTTGCTGACAGTTAATATCAGGACCCGGAATGTAATCGCCCCGGCATGCGTGGCTTCCGCATCCCATCAAAGAAGGCGGCCGCCGCTAAGAAAGCCGTTTGTCATGCACAACTCCTCATTATTTGCTGGGACTTGGACTGACACGCTAACAGGATGTCGAGGACGCGGGCGAGGAGGCCAAGGATGAGCCCAAGAAGGATAGTGCTGCTACTGGTGAAAACGACAAGGATGTCAAACCTGCCAAAGAGGTCAAGAAGGCTTCTCGCGCCAAGACCAAGAAGCTTGCCGACGACGAGAAGGTTGACGAAGCCGATGAGGCCGACAATGAGGCGGAAGAAAAGCCCGCCAAGGCAAAGCGAAGCGCTCGTGCCAAAAAGACCGCGGCGAATGAGTCTGCCAACAAGGAGACTACTGAGTCTACTACAAAGGCCAACGCCAAGGCCAAGCGAGCTCCTCGTGCTAAAGCTGCTGCTAAGGAGGATGCAGTCGCTGAGACTCAGCCGGCCAAGCGACGTGGCCGTCCTCCCAAGTCCGCCACTGCCACCGAGGAATCGACCAAGCCTGCTCCAAAGGGAACCAAGCGCAAGGTATCCGATGATCTGGATCAGAGTGAGACCGCTAACAAGCCTAAGCGTGGCCGCAAGAAGGCTGCGGTGGCCGAGAAGGAGACCGAGGAGCGGGCAGCTACCCCAGAAAAGCCAAAGCGCGGCCGCAAGAAGGCTGCCAAGGAGTAAAATTCCTCCAGTATTCTGTCTGGTTACTGGTCCGGTCGACCAAAGCTCTACCTGCCTCAGCCGGGCTGGATGTGGATCTGTGCTGCGTTTTCTAGGGGGCATGGATGTTGGAGCGGTTTCTTCGTCTCTCGTGTACCTGGGATGAATCTACTTCTCCAAGGTCCTGAATCCTCTGAGACGTCTCGACGGTCGTTTGTTATTGATTTCAAGGGTGGTCTTCTACTTCGCGTTTACTCCATGGTGGGCGAGAATGGTGCATTGGAGAATCTTGTATGAATATTTCGAGGCCCGTCATATCGCGTCTAAGGACTGCAATCTTAATTCAAATTGGATTTCTTAACCGTGAACCTTTTTTTCGTCAATCTGCTAAAATGGTGAATTAGGCTTGACGATCATAGAATATGGTCATGCATTCAGAAATCGCTGCTCAAGAATCGCCGGGGATGATGAGCAGTTGACACCTAGATAATCCATCTTTTGTGGCTATGGGACTGCCTGGGAACTGTTATTCTATCTCATAATACTTCTCGCAATCGATACGTCCCAGTCTATGTTCTTTCATAATTCTCGTCATGTACTGGAGTCTGAAAGGCCACAGTGAACCCCTTTCTTTGCACAACAGCATAACACAGTCATGCGAAGCACCCCAGCCCAAATGGAATCCACATGTATCCTTTGTATAGACCACATCTATAGTAAAAAATCTATTTCCAAGCCTCTCACATTCATGTAAGAAGATTGACGTATTGTAGTAGATCAACGGTGGCCGAGGCATCAACAGCCTTGATGGCAGCAGCAAAGTATGGAATTTCCACACCATTATAGTCACAACTGTGACCTTTGACATCGATCGTGACGTCGCCACTGTCTCCATCGCCCCAGACAAATTCTCGAATGAGCATGGACTCGTCCACGTTTCCCAGGACAATGGCGGTGGTGTTCACCTGTTGAAGCATCAGGTTTGGGATGTCGACGTATCCTAGTTTTGAACCGCCCATGCTAAGGTTGAAGATGACATGGCCCTGGGTCAATTAGTATAACTTGTTTTTCTTTCCTCCCGTCATTCATGTCTAGAGTTCAAGGGCTTACCATTTCAACGATAAAGGGGGTTGGGTTCTTGAGGGCAATCGTGGCGTTGAAGTTGAACCCATTGACTGGTGGATTCATGAGATCTAGCTTTGTGATGTTGAAAGCGCCTTGTGAGTTCACAAAGTCTGGAGACATGGTTAGGGTATGCAGTGAAGCTCGATGGGACGCTAGCTCGTACCGGTAACATTGTAGCCTGTGCACTCAAATGGTCAGCGTTGACGGAAACTCTTTGTATAAGGTTTCATATCTTACCATTCATATTCATCGTTTTATGAATATTCAAGTGAGCAGTTGGAAGAGCACCAAATTTCAAGTCCGGATCGCCCGTAACCAGCACTCCAAAACTCTCGTTTGTCGCAGCCGCAACAGCCAACTTCGAGAGACATTCAACACATGACAAGTCAAGATCTTGATCGATATTTAGATTCGCACCGTTGTCAAAATCAATCTGGGGTACTGGGAACACAGCAAATTCCTCGTTGGTAGCTGGGACTCGAATGCTTGCATTGAACGCCGTCAAATGCCCGCTGCCGCTAAATCCACCACCCATACTGAGCTTCTTCGACTGACTGACGTGGAAGGACGTTGGCCGTGGGTTAGTGATAGCCAGTCCCTCGTAGTCGAATTGGTACTTGTTGATATAGTCGTTTGCAAAGCGAGGGATGCCAACGTAGACACTGTCGGGGTTAGCACCGGTACCCACCAACATGCTATTGGGGGTGTAGGACATACAGAGGAAGAACAGTCACTAGAACAATACAACAGAGTGCTATCACATAGACCCACCACCTCTTCTTCATGTGTGTCTTGAATCGTTGCCATACTGTTGGCTTTTTCGCCAGTGCCTCGGTCGCGCCATTCGTATCAGAGCCAGAGCTATCTTCAAGGTCAGACTTTGACATCTTTCTAGTGCCGTTTTGACTGATTTCGTTGATATCCAGGTCGAAATTGCTCTGTATCCTTATGCGGAAATTTCAACAAGGTGGAATTTAAAGAATGTCCTGAAATGTAAATAAAGTCCCCTGCCCATCGTATTGCGCGAGACGTCTGAATTATGGAGAAGAAGACAAGAGGAAAACCCCCGACTGGACTGTAAAGACTCCGGGGCGCACTACAGCTTTTTGAACCAGCTAGGGTCGCAATTCCCCGTGGGGGCGCTAGCTGATGTCAAAGACAGATCCATTTCACATGTGAAGCCCAAATTCGTTTTAGGGCTGCGTATTCGGCTTCCGAATACGCAGCCGCAGATCGATCGGCGTCAAATTGGACCGAAAGGGGTAAATGGCCGAATGTTGATCTTTGACCTAATGATGATAAGCGACACACGAGAGGGACCTCGCCTCCATAACATTTGGCCATTTGATTGTATCACGAAGATCGTCGTTTGGGTCAATCGGGTGGCGATGGCGATTGTTGATTTCGACCTGTTGAGTCCGCGTACTGAGAGCTTGGATTACAATAGTTAGCCATGGGCAGTGAAATGGTCGAAATCCACCTCCAAATCATGTTCTCTCATTTTTTTTGGGTATTTTTCGAGATATATAACCATCAAATAAACCATTACCAGCTAAACTGAAAAGCCAAAAAAAACCGAAAAGCTTCCCGAATCTGTTGCCCTTCAGAAGTCATCAATGCCCCGTTCACGAATCTGATCCCGCGGATTCGCATATCTCTCCTGGTTTTTGCGACTGACCTCGGAGCGCATCCGTGTGATTGAATTGTATAGATCGGGTAGGTCCTTCATAAGCGCCCAATAACGGTGAGGGCAGTGGTAGTAGATCAAATCCTGTGTATCCGCAATGAACTTGATCAGCCAATCTTGGAGATGGTCTGTGCAAGTGGCATTTTTGAATACTACAGCAGTCATATCTAGCAGTGGTTCTAGCTGAGACAGGCCCGGGTATGAGTTCCAGGCGGCCTGTAGCTTGAACGTGATCTTTTCCACGAGGTCAACCATGTTCAAGCGGCGAGCATAAGAATAGAGTCTCCCCAGCCGCACGATCTGCTCCTGAAGATCTGTCGAGTTTGTGACGCCATGGAGTTGAAACTGACAGTGAATTCCGAGACAGTCGCCGATTTCGAACTCTTCGGCTTCGTGGGAGCTAATTTGGCGGGCAAGGGAGATCTTCAGTAGCTGCGGATCGAATTCTTGGGTCTTGAGGAAGGAGATCAGCTTGCCAGCCTCAGGCTCTTGAACGGTGGAAACGGCGCGAAATATAGCCCGCAGTTCCCTCGAATCTTTTTCAAGGAGAACATGCTCGATCATGGCTGCCAGGGTCCAGGTCCTTTCGAAAAGTGAATTCTGCTGATCGACCAGGGAATTGTTGATGCTCTCAATTGGCTCTTCCTCCTTCTTAGGCTGCACATCTTGCTCTAGGACCTCTGCTCTTATCGTGTTCGATGTGGATTGATTCTGCTCAAGTCCCGAGCCCCTAGCAGATTCCGCTCTTCCAACGGGGAGAATGGGGAACGTGAGGGAGCTAGGTCGATCCACGTTTTGATCACTTGAGTTATCCAGGGTCTTAGATACTGACAACGAGTTTGTCACTGCCTGTACCTTTTTTAGCGGCTCTCCTTCAAGTTCTGCTGTATCGGGTTGATCATCCGTGTGGGTAGACGAATCTTCATCTAGATAGTCATCGTCCATAGTGGTAATTCCTTGGACCATGACATCGAACCCATCTGGTAGAACAAGGCCCAAGCTCTTTCCACGCTTGCCCTTTACCAAGGACTCTTTCTTGGCCATGCTTTGCCAGAAGTCTATGCCTGGCTTCCTTTCAATAATTTTGACCAGTTCCCAATAGATCTTTGCATCACTTGTATAATCCTGTCCGTTGACGTTGTGGACGAAGATACGAGGAACCTTGTTCCCGAGGACGAAGAAATCTGCTATTGGAATCCAGCGACTAGCAAGTTTGTTAACTAGGATACCTCTCTCGCAACCACCTCGTCAGTCTCAAAACAGGTGCAGTATGAATATTTTCTAGGTTGTCTAGTGGTTCCGAAAAGATCTCTCAAAAGAGGTATCAAAAGAGATTCCGAAAGAGGATATAAGGATGATACATAACAGAAAGTGTGAGGTAGAACATCTGACTTACCATAGATTTCTTCCGGGGAGATAGACCGGATACACGCGCTTATCGGCATCCACCGTCCACTCACCCGATGCTGGCTTGGCTCCTTTGGGTAGCCTATGGAGACCAGGGGCCGCCTTGAAATTGTCAGGAAGCATGATCGCAATCCAGAGATCTGTTTTGTAATTGCGCACGCTGTTCTTGTACCGAATGATGAAAGCATCGCCGGGGTTGAGGTCTGCCAGGGGCGGGACATGGCGCAGTCCTGCTGTGAGTGGGGCGTAGTTGGCCATTTCTAGAGACGTGTGTGACCTCTACTTGATCGTATGATGAGGGTTTCTTGGATGAAAATCACTCTTCCCGTGTACGATCCTAGACCTGTAGTGCGAAAATGATTAGATCTCGAAGTTAAACCAAGCACAAGTCATGCGAATCGCATGAGCCTCTCATGACATCTTCACCTTGAAAAGCCTCCCTCGATCAGAGGGGGAAGACTCACCTTGATTCGGAGAATTGAGACAGAGATATCAAGGGAAGAGGATGGGAGAAATGGTTCGATAGGTAGTATCAGGGAAGTGGTAGAGAAATTGAGCAAAGGGGCTCGCAGATATCAGTAGGCGATACTTCCGTGGAGTAGTGCGCCGTGACTTTGAGCTGGTGGTGGAAGGAGGGAAGCGGGAATTGGTGAAGGAGGCTCTGGAGGAGCGTCTTTCTGAGTTAAAAGACGACTTTCCGCGTGTGATTCTGAACGTGTTGGAAGCTGTTCAGAAAGAGTTGTCTGAATTGAAATAAGTCAGATACTGAAAAGAGAGATAGTTGTGGATGAGGTAAAAGAAATGAGATCGTGAGAAAATGTTTGACAATGAACTTGGTCCAGGAAGGGGCAGAAATGACGCGCGATGGTTATATAGATCCGGTATGACGCTTCCTGTAATGAAAATTTGATCAAACGCTGGACTAGGGATTGGGAGTGCGAAATACCTGGATGGAAGTTGAGTGGGATGTAGATGAGAGACCCGGCAAGGGCGATGTCAATGGACGAGATATGATAAAAGGAGAAAGGTTGATGGAACGGAATTCTGCAGCGGATGTGGATGAGTTAGGGAAGGTAGCCTTCCGGACTGTGGTTGTAAAAGATCCTTTGAAACTTGACAGGAGATGGAGCGGGCTGCTCAGCATGCTGAGCTGACCATTGTTCAGGTAGAGGTGAAACAAATTGTGGAGGCTTCACCAATTGACACATACTCTGATCGGGTGGGAGACACTCGGGGTAATGAAGAAACATGTCGAGCTTTATGTTAAGTAGAACAGAACAGACCCCAAAAGAATATGACAGTAAATAGACATGATACCAAGTACGTACCTCAAAGGCGGAATCAGGAAGCAATAGATGCCTTCTAAGATGAAACTCTCGGCTGAAGATAGATCATGGTCGTATGATCGAGATGTTTCGAGGACATTCGTGCTTAGAGGTGACATATGAAGGGGTTGTATTGTCTGACGGCATTAAGAATGAAGAAAGAGAGAGAACTTGAAGAATTTTAAAAGCACAAGATAGGAATTCTAGTTAGGTTGATGATATTACAAGTGGTAACATTGGGCTACAAGGACGCAGATCAGAATACTTACCGTGTGCTGTGCTTGAGGGAATCCTTGCGCGCTTTGATTGATTATCAGATCAGATGCGAAGCCAAGAGTATTCTGGCTTATCATCAGAGTATATGACGTTGTCAATAGTATTGGGGTGTCTATCGCGCTGAAACAGCAGTATGGTGAGCACCCAGATTGCGTATGGAAGCCGCGATAGGATATGTGACCTAAGTCCAGGGATTCTATACTACCAAGACATTTCTTTTCTCCCATATGAACTTGGTCTACACGATGAAATGCAGATACGGAGGACTTACAAGACTTACAGAAACAAATTTTGAGGTGGCCGGATTTCTCATTTCCTATTTCTCAATCATCATGGGGCGTTTGGCCCAAAAGCAACACACGGTGACAGGTCACCGTGCACTCAAGGAGTGGAGACATGTCGTCGACAAATTAAATAACGTGCAGAACGCAGACGCAAAACGCATGCAGGCAGCCAGTGGAAATGCTGTTGGGACTCAACAAATCAAATCAACGAGTGAGCGTATCAATCAATGCAAGTCACCATACGCCGGGGAGCATCAATTAAAAGTGACTAAGGGGGTGGTTCATTCAAACCATCAAATGGCGGCCAACCTCGATAGAAGCGAAGAAGTCGATTTTGCTGTCAAAGCAGAAATCATGAATTGGTTCAAAGATCAAAAATCGCAGTCAGATAATGCCATTCTGGTTGAAATCAGCATGCCTCCCGAAATCAATTTCAAAATCGAAGTCGCTTGAACTGAGACAAAAATACAGGCGATGAGACGACCGATTAGAACAACCCACGGTTCCGCTTGGGGCTAGATAATGAAGATTGTAAGCATCCATGAGCCAGATTCGCAATAATGACAGGGATAAATGACCAAAAGACAGACCAAAAGGCAAAAAAAAAAGCAGACGGGAACAGAAGGATCCTACCGGATCTCCACGAGGTCGTCCATGTGGTTGCACATTGCCACGAACAGATCAAAAAACATCTTGCCACCCATCTCCATTTCCATCTGCATGGTTCCACTTCTCTTAAAAGTCCTGCGAGTGCGGATGATGAGAGCCAGGTAGTGAGCGCGCAGTCGAGACTCCGAGTCCGGTGTGTTGTCATACGCATACCGAGCAGATCGCAAGATCACGTCGGCTGGAATACCCATCTGAAGGCCCTGCTTTCGGAGAGCAAGGCGCTTCAGGTCTTCCAAGCCGTACTTCTCGGCAACACAGTAGACCACCGTGTCACGGAGCACAACGTCTCCTACTCCAGGGTGGAAGAACGTTGCCTCGCTCGACCCGCGGCCTCCGTTGTTACTGGTATCCTGAGCATTCTCGAGGTGCCAAGAGTCTCGACGCTTGCCATGCAGCAGGCGTGGATAATAATCGCCCTTGTACAGATACTCCAGAACACAAGACAGGATTTCAGGCTCCCTATTTGGTTCGTAAGCTTGGTTCATGCCCATAGACTAAGATCGCTCTCACTCGTCAGGTAAAGCAAGTTGCTTTGAACCGTTTTCCAGAGATTTTTCTTTCAAGGCAGTGCGAAAATACGGCGAGATAGACAAGACATCCTCGTGGGCGGCGAAAAGACGCTGATCCTGGCCGGCCACCATGGTGATGATGGGGCTAGTAAGTGGGCTGCAACGAAGGACATTAGCCTTGGCTTGATATGGCACTTTACTATTCGAGATTTACCACCTTCCCGCTGACGAGGTTTCGCCCTTGTCCATACTCTCCTGCATCTTGTCTTTCGCTTGCTCATCGTATTTCTTCCTGGAAGGTTTGACGGTCTTTCCTGCCCGGTTCTTCGAAGAAAAGGAACGTTTGAACATCGTGAACACAACGAAATGTGCTTGATTCAAATAGCTACGAAGTTGCGCAGGAACCCTAAACGATCAGAAGGAGCGATACGAGTTGGTCAAAAGGAAGGAATAATCGACGCTGCTGATCACACGAGCATGTGAGGGTCGGAGTCTGGAAGCCTTCGTCCGAAATAGTCTCCCCGTGTCATCAAGAGACGGGTTGAAACAGATTTCGGGTGATGGCTTAGCATTCGAGAGTCCTGTGAGAACTCACGGCGCGGGCTTGTCAACTCTGGCAGGCGTGAGAGAAGAAGAACCAAAGGAGGGGGGTCACGGCGCTATTTAAGACACGGGGTCAGGTGATATCAACTGCAGGTGCCTTCATCACCCGGGCGCAGACCAGTGCAAGCCAATGGAGGCCAAATGCAGGCCAGATACACACCAGGGCTGGATGACTGGGATCTGCCTGGCCTCGTTGGCAACTGGCGTTCGGACGGTGGCGCTAAAGGCCGGCGTCGTATTGGCGGGGCAAGTCGGCGATCGGCGTGGGGACATGCACGGTCGCCTGCTCTTATCTGAGGCGCATTCTTGGAGGTACATATCTGACGGTATTGCCTAGGATTACGGGAGGAGTGTAATGAGTTCAATATAAAGCGTATGCATAATCTAGTCAATTTGATACGTTTCATCGAGCACGTAAGTTGCAAAACAAAGATAAAGACAACGATTGCGGGTCATGTTGAATGGCCAAACATAAAATCTGAAGTCATCAAGTTCCCAATGTGGTACTTTGTCGCCAGCGAGAAAAGTAGGCTTTTCAATAACAGATCGAAGTTCAGTGCTGGCTCCGTGGCAGGGAACCACGAACCACTTCACAAATATCACATCCAGGTCCGCATCAGGGTCCGCATCCAGCGAAGCCCTGAGTGATTCCAAAGCTCTGGAAATGCCCAGCTGTAACGCCGTACTGACCGTTTCCAGCAGAGCAACCAGTGTCACGTTCGCCTGAGCACTGTACACAGGTCGTCGCGGTACCGGAGCTGTAGTATTCCTATAGTACGGACACAAAACAAAAGATATAAGTAATGTCACTCAACATAGGAGTAAAATGCGCAAGAGTAATGACTTACAATTCCATAGTGCTGGAAGGTGTATGGCGACTGGACATACATATTCTACCGAGATTGCGTCAGAAGACATGATTGACTCAATAGGAAGTCAGTTCGAACTTACCGGAACTCCATCGCCAACATTGTTACCTCGGTTCAAAGTACCGTTCTGCGCGGTCCCAAAGTTGGCCCAGGCCGTGTTTCCAATCGGGAATGCAGCCATGGCATTGCTGGTGATTGGGGTTCCGGGGAAGTTTTGGGCGAGAGCCACGTAGGAGACATAAGTGAGCGCCCCACCAAGTGAATGGCCGGTCGATTCCAATGTGTAGTCAGGGTACTTCTCTAGGAGGGAGCTCACTTCGGTGATCACAGAATCGTGCACGGAAGCCCAAGGGTTATAGACACCTCTCATGATCTGAACTCCAGAGGGAAAATTCACTCCGGACAGAGTAGGAGTGACCAAGGTAGTATCAACATCATTGAGGATATCGGTTGCTGAGCTTTTTTAGTTTCTGGCACCACCAATAAGAAGCAAAATCCCTGTACTCACCTGTAGTTGAGCCTCTCATAACGACAGAGATCTTCTTCTGCGTTGGGGAATATCCAATGTAGCCCTTAATTGTTTAATCAAGTACTCTTTATGATTTTTGGACTTTATACTCACCTGGGTATCAGTAATGCCGTTGTAAATTTGCTTGGTAATGGTCACATCAAAAGCAGTTCCCAAACACCCAGTGTATGCGGCAGATGATAGCTTAGCCGCACGCTGAAGAAAAGGGAAAGCCGTTGGGTCTATATGAATATTGTTAGCTATATCATCCCCGTTGTCATTCAAGACACATTCACGGACCAGATGTAGCTCGCTTCTCGACTATCGGGGCTGCTGTAACATGGGAAGCAAAAGCAATGGCCACGATGAAAGAGATGCCGTTGGAAAGCATTTTGAAGAAAAGATAAAAGAATCCTCTATGTTCAATTGAGAAAGTATGTCGACTTCAGAGAGCAGAACCAGTTCTGATTTATTCTGATCGAGTCCAAGATGGAGATACTCGCTTTTTATATACTTTTCTATTGCTTCTCTGGCTCAAGAGCCCATATGCCAGCCATCGAGCGAATCGTAGTTCTCATATCATTGTCACGATATTTTGCCGGCGCCACTGGTGTAAAAGGAAACAGGTATACCAGGATTAAGCAATTTGATGAAAAAAACTTTCGGAGATACCTCCAACCTAGGGTTTCCCCCAGATTTTCAAAGGCGGGGAAGCCAGGCTATGCCCAATCATTGAATGGAAAAATGGAGAGGCTCCAGCAAGCCGAGGAAGTAGAATTGACTTCCAGGGTCATTGCTTGCATTTCCTGCTCCGCTCGGGCCATCTTAATATCAGGACCTTATTGACACATCGAGATTGATTGGGTGGAAAGCTTGGACATGCGGCGCAGATGCACAAGAGTCTGGGCGTGATATTGGAGGGCGAGTAAAGCCCCAGTCCTGATGCAGCTAATGGAGGACCTTATTTTCTCACCATACAGCGACTTATCCCACTTTCCGGTCCAATGGCAGCGCATGAGGCTAAAGAACCTCAACAGAGAGATACGGCGTGGTGGGTGAATCGGCCCGAGTCCTCCCGTTTCAGGAACAGATCTCTAAGGTTAACGGTATTTTCCAGGCTACAATAGAGCTTTCTGAAAATAAAAAGGGTTCTGATGATTTGTGTCCTGTCCTCAATTGGCAGCTAGTAGTGGCTGGGGTTTGGCAAATTCTATAGGTGGAGTTTTCATGATGAACGTCCGCGGACGATATACCGACCGGCAATGTTTCATTTCAGTTAAATATATGCCGAGCTATAGATATTTTTCCTCACTGCCGGACTTTGGACATTTCTTCTAGTTTAGGATATAGGTAAGGTCGTATTGCATCCTCTAACCCCGCTTCACGAAAACAGCTCGGAGATGATCAACCCACTGTGCCCTGTCTCGATTCTAAATTCCTCTAGCGCCATGTTTATAGATTCACTAAACCCTGCTAGCATCGGAGATTGATACCTATGAGTGAGATCACAGGACTTTTCCACATGATACTGATGAAACTCGTATCTGCAAGTTTACATATTCGATCGGACAATAAGCGGGGTTCAAATATATCTCGAATTACAAGGGTGTTTCTTCGAAGCGCAGCTTGATGCCAAGTCGGCACATGAGGATTCGGCATTTAAGACCGAGGTCAAAGACTAGGCGCAGACCGGGTTCTTGTTGACGGAGCTCACCCCGAAGCTTAATGTCTTAAACAGGCTTAGTGTAACTTTATCTATACGATTTTGGATTCATCCCAAGGCATTAGTCAAGAAACTTGATTTATTCTGTACTTCAACTTCAGTCTAGCCCGTTGTTCGTATATTGTGTTATTCCAGGCGCAGGAGCTAATGTGAAAAGCAGGTCACGGCGGGGGAGGCTGAATGTCGCTTACGCGCAGCCTAGAAGCATACCACCAAGATAAATATATCTTTCATGGCCTCGAAGATTTCCGTGCTCCTCCCAAAGAAAGGATCATTATACTATACAGATTGTTCGGGTAGATATGTTACGGCCTCCCTACTGGTTACTAGCGGGCTAGAGGAAACCTATATAAGTGTCCGTATAGCTCGACGTACTATTATCAATCATGATGGAAAGGACGTGACCAACCAGGCATTGATGTCTAAGCTCCGAGAGAGGGGATTCCCGCCTAGAGTGTGGAAACACACTCTGGATACATTCGACCAAATACTTTGCTAGCCGCTGATGAGACAGCACTAGAAAGCAAGGAGATGGACGGAGGATTATGAGGTCACCGTAAAACATTCTTTGGTGGTTTTTATCGTGGAGAAAAGGTCCTGATTCGGGACTATACTCATTACGGTGCCGAGAGCCTGTGCATTTTTATTAACCATATTTAAGATTGTTGAATCGGAATCATTAAGCATACTCTTTGTGGTATAAGGTTTACCGCTTTCCCTCCATTGTAGACAGCGGATATAGCAGAGCAATCCTCCTCTACGTAGATCTGAGAGATCATCTGCGTATCGACACGGCTTCTCGGGCGGATAATCGCAGAGCACTCACGGAAAGCGCCACATCGGGATGGAACCTTTAGGACCCTTCTGTGGCGGTGCAACACATGATGTGGCGGTGTGATGGACAGACTGTGGGGTTTGTCCCGCATGCCAGCCACCGGTGATATCATCGCTCGCTTTCCAGGAACCCGGAAGGACCATCCAACAATTTCATCTCCAAAGTCATCTCCAAAGTCCTGGTCGATCAAGACACCACTGTCAATAGTCCTAAGCGTGTACATGATTCATCTGCACCTTTAGCCGCCATACCAGGTGACCTGTCAACCAGGCGCCCGTGCAAACCCCCTGCCTCCACGGCGCCCTATCGCGTTTCAATAATTTGCTTCTTCAAGCAAACTCCCTCTTTCTCCTGATCTCCGAGAAACTTGATTCAAGCAGGATACTGGATGGCGATGCAATATTTCAACCAGATTAAAAACCGGCGACGGTCATCCCAGATCGTGATTCCTCCCAAACCCGTCTTGACTGCGGAGGATGAGGCCTTTTTACAAAAGGTCACGTCCGACCCGGAGCACAGGCCAAGCACTGCAGCCCAGAACGAGTCAGAGGGCCTAACAGAGAGCTCCCAGAAGCCCACTGTTGACGACGGTGCCCTTGATGTTCCACTGCCTGCTTCTCCAGTAGAGGAGTTTGGAAAGGAGCTTGGCGAGGAAGACAGAAAGGCACGAGAGCAGCCTAAAGATATTAGGACGAAGTCTGAACCTACCAAGCCACATGATGCTCCCGTAGCAGAGAAGAAGAAACGATGGAGCACGATGTTCTGGAAGAAACCCACCGATACGAAGAAGGTATGTAGTCCCATGCTTTAAGGACGCTCGTTCCAGCTTGCAAGGCCTCTAGATACTGATACCCCTTTTTTGCCATAGAAGAAGGGAACGACTCCCACGGACAAGTCAAACGCTGAAGCATCCGCCCCTCCTTCCACGACAACGGCTGCAACAGATGACGGAGAAGAAGCGCGAAAGGACCAGGAAGACATGACTGATATTTTAGAACGCTTGAACCTTGCCGCTGACAACAATCGGGTCTTTTCAGTCAGCGAAGAAACCCAGGAACTGCTCCGCAAGTTCAAGTTGATCTTCAAAGATTTGATAAATGGTGTTCCAGCAGCCTATCATGACCTGGAAATGTTGTTGACGAACGGCAACCGGCAATTACAAGATACATACACCAAGCTACCGGGGTTCATGCAGAAGCTTATTGAGAAGCTTCCAGAGAAGTGGACCGAATCCCTGGCTCCAGAGATGCTTGCTGCTGCCAGTGAACGTGCCAGTCGGAGCGGTATCAACATGGAGAACGTGGGCAAAGCAGCTGCAGTTGCAGCTGCCGAAAAGGCGGGCCTTAACGTTCCAAGCCTTAAAGACCTTGTCTCTAAGCCTGCAGCAATTGTCGGCATGTTGCGGTCCATTATGCAATTTTTGCGGGCTCGTTTCCCGGCTGTCTTGGGCATGAATGTCCTCTGGTCGCTGGCACTATTCAGTAAGTGGTCATTAACCAAAAACACTTTTTTGGATTGAAGTGTTGATACTGATAATACACAGTTCTTCTTTTCGTCCTGTGGTACTGCCACAAACGTGGCCGCGAAGTCCGTCTGGAGAATGAGCGGCTGGTGACAGACGAAGAAATCAAGAAGCTGAATGAGAGCAGTACCGAGGGCCAGATTCGCCCGACCGAGACCTTAACAACCACCGCACCCCAAGGTGCTTCCGCTGAGGAAGTGCGTGAAGGTGTGAAGAGAGTAGAGGAAGCCAGGGCTTCAGCGGTTGATGTCGCGGCTGCCTCTGATCCCGAGCCGGAGACACAGAAGGTGAACGATGAGACCCCTCAACCGGCTGCATTCCCAACACGGTCGAAGTCAAAGCTGGCTATCTGGACTCGATCCAAGCCTGAACCCACTTCAAATAATATCTCGCCTTATCCCGGGACCTAAGCCGGGGAAGATATAGTCAAAAAGATGCTCAAGTATGCTGTCAGTATGGAATCACTGTGATCTCAAGCTCAACGCTATCGATGGATTGGAGAGAAGACTGGAGGTCTATGGCTTTGAGTTATACCAGAACACGATTGATATGGCTAGACATGGGCTGGGCACGGCGACGATGACGATAGATGGGACGATTTGGGTTTGATGATTGATAACGAGAATAGTTCAAGTAATACCAGATACATGAAATCCATAATGCTCATAGGTACAGTCATTCCACATCTATCACCTAAACCTATCTTCCAACAGGAGTGGAATCCAACCCTAGTACTTCGGTTGATGGAGGCACTGGTTCGAGCTACATCTCTCCCGTCGGGCCCAGTGTATTGTTTGTCATCTGCCTATGTGAGCCTTGTTGATCGGATGACATAGAACGGTAGCCTTTTGTACTGAACACAGAAACAATGTACAGTATCATTGACACGGAACCATTAGAATAAAAAGAATGTTTATATCTGTCCATGACTCCTGGGAGTGTAGTTCATGCAACGTCTTCGTGCCAACGCCCAACGGCGCTCAAGAATCCGTATGTGGAGAACTGTAAACAGAATGTTCTGGTCTGCTCTATGGAGTTGTCATTTATCGCGTTGGGAGCTCCATAGAAACGAATTTTCTCGAACCTCGGCTGCTGATGGACCCCTTGTCTCTTAACTGTATTCAGATTAATTGACTCCATACATACAGTACTTGGTGTATGGGCGTTGGGTAATTAACTGCATCTTCCGGCTAGGAAGAGAATGAACACGGTGGCGCTTCCATAGAAAAAATTACGGTATCATTTGCAACGGGCAAACGCTGTTCTCCGAAGCGCCGACTTAAAAATAGGCTAGCAGCGTGAGGATTTTCTCACAGTGGAGCTTGGGAATTGGCGCTTGGGAGAATTTTCATACTGTATCCACCCCAGCCACTGCGGGGGCGAAGATGATCTTGCAGGAGACGCACGAGATGAAGGGCAGAAAGACGAAAAGTGGCACAATTGGCACCGACACCCCTTGCGCTAGATTGGGAGCCCATCCCGTGTTTTTGCTGTTGTTCTCACGATCTTGGTATCTGTCCCGCGGCCCAATATGTGACAGGGACAGACGATCTCTCTCATGCAGGTTGCCGCGCCTGCCATGTTGCCCCCCCCCCCCCTGGCTTACCGCCTCTTTCGAGAGTAATATTGTACATGATAACAGGAGTATGAACCGGAGCAGTTTACCACTAAGTATTACGGAGTCCTCCTACTGCGCAGTCGAAGCCCAACAGACCACAGAAGACCCGTCAAGCTGGGCCAGAATGGAGAATCCCAAGTTGCCACTGCGGAAAGGAAAAATCAAGACGATGAAAGGATTCGACCAATAGGAAGGATCCGAATAGCTAGCTTAATCGTGTCTTCCATGTCTTTCTGGGGGGCCAGACCACTGAGAGTGGTCGAGTCATCCAACAATATGATTCATCTTTTGACTTCCTTTCCGTGTGCAGGCATCAACGTCTGGTCGGACGATGAATCATAGGGTTTGCACGGGTCATCTTCTGTACCCAGCGGGAAGGGAGGGGCTGCCATCAATAGCTTGTTAGTGTTTGGGCTTGCGTGCTGTAGGAGGAAGCCCAATCAGCCCCTGTTGGCCTCACATGCCTCTCCGTCAAGACTCAAGAGACTGGATCAGAGCAAATCACAATAAACATCCATCCAGTCATCGAAGAACTATAGTCATCCGTATACCTTTTGTCCTCGAGTCTGAATAGTTCTATTCTTCCGGTGGCAGAATGGACCCGCTGGATACCCGGCCGAAGCATGCGCTTGTTTTGTCCTGGGAGCTGGTCACTTTTTTTTTTTCTGCCCCCTCCCCTCTTTTTCACCTCCGTCATCAAGTTTTCGATTTTTATTTTTAATTTCATCTTTTTTTCTTTTTTTCGCCTTTCCCCAATTGAATCCCTCGTAAATGTCTTTGTCCTATCCAGTCATTGATCTAATCGAATCACCTGATCATCAACTCATCACTTTGTTGAGTCACCCACAGTATCCCCCTCCATCATTCCTTGCCCAAAGTAGAATGTAGTCGTGCAAGAGCAAGCATCATCTCCAACTGGCTCTTTTGCAGATTGCAGCGCTACGATTGGCGCGAAAGATGCGGTGAACTGGCGCCAGCGAATGGGCAGGCTTGGAGGAACGGCCAGCGGTGCAGTCGCCAGCCAATCAGCATCGGCCTGGACCATCCCCCCGGGTCCACTTCCGTTTTGGCGGGAAAAATCGATGGACCGACTGGGCTTTTCGGCCGCCTCGATGATTATTATCCTCCCCTTCCCGATCGTCTTCTCTTTTCTTTTCTTCCCCCCCTCCATCCTTCCCCCACCACCAGCCTTTTGTCCCAGTCGGATTTTGATCCCCATTTCTACCACCCTTGTACAACTGTCACCTACCAAATATCGTCGAGAATTCCTGCCAAATGGCCTTCGCTGAGCTGTAACCCCCCCACTGGGAAGCCTGTTCTCGCCGGCTTCCCAGTCCAACAGCTCCGATCCTCAATTCCCACTTGACGATATTTGTTTCCCTCTTTCGACGCCCGCTGTGAAGCGTCGGAATTGCCCCCCAGTACAGTCCCAGAAGGAGCACTTCAGCGTCCGTGCTGGACTGCAGGTGCTTGCGTGGTTTCGATAATCAAGGCTTGACGCTCATCCCTCTCCCATCCGACACCCCCTCGACCTCCCCCGATACCTCTTCTCCTATCCGTCCGAAACGAGTCCTCCTCCAATCTCGCCCACAGTTCTTCGGCAAAAACTGCGTTTCTCATAGAACATTGCGAAGATAAACCGCATTCCTCTGACAGCCTCTTCCTCGACCTACAAACGACTTGATCTACCTGTGAACTTCTATCGTTCCGTCATCCACGATACAAAAGTCTCAATTCATTCAAAAAGAAGATACACCTTGTCCGCTATTATGCCTCAATCAAGCCCCTTTGCCTCAAAGCGGACCCCCAAGGGATCCTCCAAAACTGTTCGTCCTTCGACCCCGGACGCCAACATTCTCCGACAACTCGACATGTCCCCCAAGACGGCAAACCAATCCAAAAAGCAGAATAACGGTCGGATGGGGGGACAGAGCTCCTCTGGCCGGAAAAGACGGGCATCCACTTCTTCCGTCTCTAGTGTCTCGTCTGTTTCATCCATCGACGACCTCGACCTTGAGGGCGGCCTCAGTGACGATTTGGATGACTCGGAAGATGATGCAGATGATGAAGAGGACCGCCCGCGGGCCGTCGCCCCGTCCTACGGTCGTCGTCCATCCACTTCCCGGAAGACGGGGCGCCAGCCTGCCAAAAGCAAACGAAGACGGGTCTCTGACGACGAAGACTCGGACAGTCATTTTATTAGCGCTCCCAGCGATTCAGATGACAGCTCTGATGACGTTTACGCCGCAGTAGACTATATTACCGACGGAGATGATGAGGAAGGTGATATGGAAAAGCTCGAGGAGCTCATGATCATGGAGTCTGAGAACAAGCACCGTGTCTTGCCCAGCTCGGAGATCTCTGAGACCCAATGGGTCGGTTCTGAGATGTTTGGTGACTCTATGCTCTTACCCGCTGCATCCTTCTTTGATGAGGAGCAACTTTACAGCGCCATGGAGACCTTTGGCGAAACCGATATGGCTAGTGAGGCCGTGGAAACCCCCGTGGCTCGGCGTGTCCATTTTGAGGAGCGGTCGGACTCGTCTTCCGATAGTGATTCTCACTCCGATGACGAGATTCCCAGCGACTTCCTCCAGCAAGATTCCCTGGACCCCCAGCTGCGTCGCATGATCGAAAACGACAACAACGATTACCACCGCAGCCACCGCCAAAAGTCCGAGGAGATGTATGGCGATGGTGACTACGGCCACGCAAATATCTACCACGTTGAATCCGAAGGAACATCCGAGGGCAGTCTCAGTGGTTATGAGAGTATGCTGGCTGCCGATTCACGTTTTAATGGACTAGTTTGCTGACGAACCCTTTTTTAAAGCCGATGATGGTGATACTACAGATGAAGACCTGCCTCCTCCCGCTACTATCACTCACCCCCGTTCTCTTCTTCGCCGCGACTCCACCGACTCCCTGGTCGCCCCCGGCGAGGACAAGACGGACACTGTTCCTCGCCGCCGAGGCCCAATCATGGGAACCTTTGTGGCCGATCCAAACAAGCCTGTTGCGTTGGTTGACTGCACTGGCAAGCACCTCGTTATCATTCCCGCATATGCCTCCTCCCGCCACGACTGGTTGGACTCTGCTGCAAACAGCATGCCCGGGACCGCCAACAACAGCCCTCGTCAGACCACCCTGCAATTGATTGATGAGAGCGATACCGATGCCCTTGCATCCCCAAACCAGATCGATTTCAGTCCCATGTTGGCGTCCAGCGCCAATCTGATGATGACCGCCCTCGGCAACGATTTGACGCCGGGTGGGCAGGTCATGGGTCCCCCTGAGGCTTTCTACCCCTCGCAAGATTTCACCATTGATAGCTCTTTCGAGGATGATGACGAGGATGATCCTGAGGCTGCCCTTAATGTGGACGATTTCATCGACTTTGGTAATGGGTCCTCCGATGAGGAAGATAATGACCAAGACATCTTCAATGGTTTCGATGATGACGCTCTCATTTCTCCTATGGCCACATCATCTATGCAGCCCATGGGTACTCCTACTCCTACTCGCAACTCAGAGTCCCAGGCCAACAACGCAGAACGCTTCCTCAACCATTTGGACAAGGGTATTGTCACGGCCTTCCGTCGCAACCACAATCGGTATCAGGCACTTCTCCGCCTCCCTCAACATCGCGAATTCATGCCCGCCAACTCGCCCTCGCGCCCCGCCAGTGTGTTCCGACACGCCAAGCATCAAGACATGCGCACTCCAGTCCGCAAGCGCAAGGCCAGTGGCTACGCTGGTGGCGAGGCTGTGCGACGCAAGCTCATGGATGCCCACCGCCGCACCCAGCTCCCCTTTTGAGCACCATCGCAACCTCCTCCCACTTGTTCTGACCCGTACAAGTCCATCTGCTGGCTGAGCCCAGCTCCTCCCTTAACGATTTCGACGAAGTTTGGATTTTTCCTCCCAATATCGCATGATACACACGGACGCTGTTAAATATGTTTCGAGTCGCTGGCAGACTTGGCCCCGGGAGAGAGTCGATGTTTTTTCTTCGTGTCCGGAATATGGACACCTAGAAGAGGTCTTTTTCTTTGCGTCGAGGCGAACATTAAACCCGTTTCCTTGGTCCATAGACAAGATCAATCTTGCCCTTTTCGTTTTATCTCAAATAATAAAATGGAGGCAGATTCATTGCGCCCTCCCCGCACATTTTACGTTGCTTACCCAAAACGAAGATCGATGGATGATGGCTAATGGCCCAAAAGTTGATCCATGCTTGTGTTTCGCATTGAGTGAAATTTGTTGCCAATGTTGATTTTCATTCTTTCACCCTTTTCCTCCCTAATTTTCTTATTGTCTTTTTTTTCCCTTGCCATGTACATCCTCGCTGTGTGCGGGGTATGGTGATACCTTTGAATATCTTATGGAGTTAACGTGAGGTTTATATTATTCAATCATTTATTCATTTCAATGAGTCGTTAGTAGGCCGGATTTGTAGAGTAGACACCGCTGGTCCTGTGTAGACTCTGCTTCAGATTATTCAAAAGGTCCGTTGATACGGGCATGCTCCAGTCAAATGTGCTGTTTCCTCTATAACTAATCCCAGCCAACGCTTTCTCTCTTCCCAACTGAAATTTTCACTTCTCTTAGCTGTTCATACCTTGAAAGACCACGTCTTTGACTTAAAAACAAGGGGTATTGATCCTCGAAATAACCACAAAGAAGCATTGTGCACACTGGCTGACTTGAGCACAATCAGCCTTTGTCTTCGATATAGAGACAATGGCCCATTGTTTGCGTTGGTCGACTTGAACAAAAGCTCATTGATATGAACCAAGGGCCCGGAGCGACAATGGGTTTGTAGCATGTACCAAGATAAACGATTGCAGAATAATCATGTCTCTCTCGGAGACATGACTCTACACAACATCGAGTACTTAACATGCCTCATTCTCGTCCTCATTCCATCAAATTAGCACCAATTCATCAAATACTCTCCAACATCCATCACTACCCATTGACAAGAACCTTCAATAACCACCTCATCAGGTAAAACCCCTACAAAATGCAACTCCCCCAATCCCTTCTCCCCCAAACAAACCAACCCCCAGCCCCAACCCCTATGCCAAAATGGTCCTACTTCATCCTCGTCCCCCTCGACGACAAAACAATCCAATCATACAATACCCACAAAGATCTCGAAATCCTCCTCAACGCAACCCACAAAACTCTAACCCCAGAAAACACAGACGTCGAAACCGTTCTCGGAGACGGACCAATGGCCCCGGGGAATATCGTGTCTATCAGAATCGACCTTCAATATCCCTTGGATGATGAGGTGGATGTAGATGGGCAGTATAGATCGTGGCTTCTGGGACGGGCGGCCTGTGAGGTTGAGGATTGGATTATTCGGTATCGTGAGCTTGGTGAGGTTCCTGCTGCTTTTGGGAGTCTTTTGGCAGATATCTTTTTGGCGGATGTTTTTTGATCGTGGTAAGTTGGGATTTGGTGGGTGATATGTACTGACAAGTCGCAGGGCTGGCTTTAGGGTTTGTGTTTCTGTAGTAGTTTACGGCTTATACTGCTAAGGGTTTGGGTAAGTGTTTAGTTATCTGAATCAATATTATTAACAAACAATGTTCATTTTGGTTTCTCAAGAGATAGTAGGAGGCGCAGCAAGTAGATTGAATCTGTAATTAGGTTAGCCAGCATATGTGCATATAACTATTTTTTCGAGATTATCAAAAGATGGAGTCGTTTTGTCGGTTCTAAGCCAGCTTAATGTTATATGCGCTACTTGACGCTCCATTGAAATCAGTCTTTGGTACTGGGCACATGTCGTAATTTCAGTCGAGAATATCTAGTTACATGTTCCGTTTCCCCATACAGTAGCAGGCTGGGCAATGTCTTCTCTCTTCTCGAGCAATAATGCCTACCACTGCTGTTACCTCAGAATCTATACACGCCTTGAAAATTCTCGGCTAGCCTTTGACTTCAAGACAAGAAGGGGGATTGTTCCTCGAATAGACACAAAGAGCGATTATTCGCCCTGGTCGACTCTAACTATAGCGTGTTGTTGAATCACAATGCGTTTGTATTACATATCGAGACAAAGGGATTCCAGAAATATCTTGCTGTCATTCTCTACAGCTCTGTGTGGCCTCGAATATTTAAACCCGTTATTCTCCTCTATCTTCCTGATATAAAATCTAAGGCTAGAGCCCTCTACAATCTTCATCACCGCATATCTACAAGACCCCTCAACAACTCTCTCCACGCAACCTTCCTGCACTCAACATCGCCCAAAAAGTCCAACTCGAAGACAATGACAATGTGGTCCTATTTCATCATCGTCCCCCTCGAAGAGAGGGCTATTCGGTACTACAACACCTTCCGTGACCCCGAAATGCTCCTTACTACAATCCGTGACTCTCTAAACACCTTTAATAGAGATGTAACCATCGTTCTCGGAGATGGTCCAATGCCTCGAGCCGGCCGTGCCATCCCGATCAAAATCGATTGCAAAACTCCTATGGATGCAGATGGTCGGGATAGACATTCGCTCATTGCTGAGGGTGTTTTGACCGTGTCTGACTGGCTCCAGCGGTTCCGTGAGATTGGTGAGTTCCCCCATGTTCTTGATCTTTGTTTGTCGGAACCTTGATTACAGTCATTCTCGAAATCAGCTTGACCAATACAGACTGAGTAGCTCTTTGCTGGCCCCTCCGCCAAGTCCTTAGCGCAGATAATTCATTGAGCGACTCGCATTAAACAATTACATTATCTCGTTCGTTCGTAGAAAGAAAGGGGTTTTTTTCCAACTGAATAATGCGGTTTCTCCCTACAAATCTTTCATTCAAACTCCCAATTGCCCGCGAGTGTTCATGGACAATCTTCTAAGATGATCCACCCGAGCTGTGATAGAACTTGACAATCCTGCGAAGACGCACATTCAATACCTAGCCACTTAATTTACGAACACGCCATAAACCGGAACATACCTTGACAAGCCCTCCTTCAGGGTTTCCACTTCCACCGAGAATATGATGCGGAACCAGCCTGGAACCTCATTATGATAGGCATAACCTGATGACATCTTCACCCCAATCTGTAATAACCGGCGGGATAGGTCCGATTCTGCGGCCCAGCCATCTTGATCAGCGACAATTGTAGGATCTAAACACCTAGAAAGGTCAATCCACAGAAAAAACCCCGCAATCCTGCAGGAATAATAATGGTTAGTCATGCACAGTTTCAATCCTAGAATTTCACAAGTCAATAAGAAGGAAAGACCTACCCCCCTGGAGCAAAGGGGATTTCCGCCTCTACTAAGACTTGTGCCGCCAAATCCCGATGCGAACGAAGTAATCGGTGGCTTTGCTGGAAAAAGTTCTTTATGAAATAGTGATCCTCGAGAATGATAGTAGCAATGCTACACGATATATTCGAAGGCCAATGGAACCGACTAGATGAGTTGTCCGTGCCACGCCGAGGGTAAGATAATTGCTGTATCAAGATAATGGATGGCCATAAGAATCATTCCCACTTACCTTATGGACAATGCAGCCTGCAAGAACCTCTGGTTCTGGCTGATCAAACATCCCAGTCGTAAACCCGCCGCGGCGAAATCCTTCGACATTCCGTACAGCACATGAATTAGGGCTGGATTCACTCCAATATCGGCCGGCTCGATTGATAGAACAGAAACAAAGCCATCTGTGGAACTCTCCTCTTCGTAAACCGACAACGCGTACACCTCATCGCTGATAAGGTGGATCTGATACTTTTGACAGAACTGCAGGAGCGCCTCCAGAGTCTCGCGCGGGTAGCATCGACCGAGCGGGTTATGAGGGTTGCAGATTAGGAGAGCCCGGACTGATACTCCGGACTCATCTCGTGCTTTTAAAAAGGCTTCTTCATACCGAATCACAGCACCTGGACTGAATGGATCGCCCCCTTGGAAGGAAGTGTAGATCAGTTGGCAGCTGGAGGGAACGGAGAAATCTCCGTTAAAGGAGCCGTAGATGGGCTGACCCAGTAAAATCCCGTCTTTAGGATCGGTTAGACAGAGAGCACAGATTGCGTTTAGGCTCGTTACGCCACTTGTGAAAAGGATGTTGTCCAATGTGATCGGCGAAGCAGGGTGAAAGTAGGTAGTAATTAGTCTAGCCATGGCTTTTCGGAGACGACTGGAGCCGAAGGGGCCTTCATGGTATGTGAGACTTGTACGGTCAAGGCCTGATGCTATCTTTTTTAACATTTGCCTTAGTTCCCTTGTTTCCTGCATAGGAGGATGAGATTAGTAGTCTATGTCCTCACCTGCGTGCGAATGTAATCCAGGATTACGCCTTGCATCACGAACTAGCATCCCTTCACTTAGTATATGCACATCCATATTTTAGTATCACAAAGGGGAGGTTTGCGTTACTGCTTTACATTTTCTGCATTGCTAAAAGACAAAACGCCATCTTTGTTGTCTCTATCGAAGGGGGTTTTCAGGGAGCCGAGGTAAGCGTTAGCCAACCCGGCCTCGGCATACGTTTCCCCACGGTTAGAAAGCATGTTGCAATGGTTGATAAGTTTATTGCTGGAATGCAAACGTGCTTCAAACGGGCAAACTTGCTGGAATCCAAATGGAGCTCTGTCAAAGGTGGAAGACACAAGCACTGGCTTAGGTATAATAAGTAAGTGCGGGAACTCTGACGCGGGGTTCCAGCTTCAAGCGAGCGGGGGCAACATCCGACTAATTCCGTGGACTATCTTATGTGGCTAGGAGCTGTAACATACAAGGCGTATTTTACTGCCACTTCACTTAATACCGGCCGTTCAATGATTGATCTGCGCTAAGGCCTTGGCAGTGGGACGGAGAAAGAGAGTCTCAGTGTGTACTGGTCAAGGCAATTTCGAGAATCACTGTATGAGGTGTTTCCATTCATGTCGAGTCTGCTTAGGGAGGCGATTCATACTTGAGCAGGTTTGTAAGTTGTGCAGTTTGATAGTGGCTTGGAACTATGAAAAGTGTTTCGAGTCCTTGGACATGTTGACTTGCGCAAAATTGACAGAAGAATTACATTTCCATAGGTAAGTTAGAATGGAGGCTACACTACAGTTGAATGCTTTCAAAACATACATGAGTTTCAGCTCCCTGTTGTCAGACAAAGAATGTTACTGCATCTTAGCTCAAAATATAATACATAGATTCGGACTTTTGAACTGTCACTCTATAGAGAGAATCTACTGCCCATAATGGGGGAAGTTTTAAAATTGTGCAGGCTTCAGAGAGGGCTCGAGAGACCTCAAGGAACGCTGAGACCGGATTCAATGAGAGCTCTGCTATTAGCCTGGGACTAGGGGAGGGACCTGGATTGAGTGAACTATTGAGCCTAAGGGTCGGATAAAGGACTTGATTAGGATGTTCTTAGCATGCCTCTCTTATTTTTAGGACAATTTCGCCGCCTTGGCCGTAAAACGCTTGAGTTCCTAGTTACCCAAGGAACCAGTCTATTCAGATATCACACGATGTGTCGCCTCATCCCATACCCATATCATATCCCGCTTGCGATTCATCTTATGCGCCCCTGACGTCTGGCATATAGCGGATTTTTCGGACTTCCGATTAAGCTCCCTGCAAGTTTCAGGTGTCAGTGGACTCTTGGCCCGCGAGTGGTCGATGTAGAAACTACCAAGGGGGCTCCATCTTGTACCTGTCAGGAACTCTCTCGCACGGAGCATATCCACCACGGAAAATTTACCACGCGAGCTGGGGTAGCTCTATCCGACAGCCTAAAGAAATCGTTTGGCACTAATGGTCTCAGGAAGCCGGCCTATATACTAGCGGGCATTAGTACGGAGTAGTGGTGAACTACTACATAGAGAGGTTCGGTTCCTAGCTTTAGCGACAAGCCTCCCCCGCTAAGGAACACCCTAGCAGGGAACCGCTCGACTGAGCTAGTCATGGGCAAGAAACCGTGAACTATGCTGTCCCCATGTCATTGATGAAACGAGTGCGACTCTTCGAAGAAAAAGCAAAAGTAAAAATCGTCACCCTGCAGGGCTGCCGAACAATAATGCAACGTTGCTTAAAGCGAAACAGCCCTCGTTGGATAGCTGTGCTCGTGCAGGTAGGTTTTCCCCTGAAGCTACGAGCAAATTCAAGGTTAGAACGAACCACTGACTGGAAGAATTGTGTGGCTAGAGTTCCTGTGGAAATGGTTAGGATTTTCCGGAATACATGTTCACTTAGAGCGCCAAGCGATGGTCGTAAGCGGGTCCTATTCGCCGGTATTTTTAGAGGGCGCTTTAGCCTGCAAACAAAGCAATCGTGCGACACCATCAGGGGCAGCGAGCCTTGCCCTTAACCACGAGCGTTGATATTCGGTTCGTGAAACAGAGTGTGATCAATTCATGCGAAAACAAATCATCGTACCTGGGGGGGAACTCAGTTGAGTGGTGTCTGCCAATTTCTGATACAGAGAATATATGGAAAGCCGTCGAATACCCAGCCTGATGCGACCCCTCTCGTCTCCAGCCCAGCAGGTGATGGTTCCAGTGGAGCAATCGATCGGGACTTTGAAGGTGGAGAGGGCCATCTTTGGCATCGCTTCCAACACAACGGATGCAGGAACAAAAGACTTGCCATGGCTAGCGCCGGGGCCAAGATGGTCTAACCAGTCAGGGCTGTACCAGCGGCCACTCTCCCCCGCCAAGGAACATTAGTGCAAAGGGTTCCTTCAACTGTAGTCCGGAGTTAGCGGCACTTGGAAGCGTACGTAAGTATTGAAATGCAGTAGGTGAACTAGTACATAGTGAGTAGGACTTTCAAAGGTCGTACAAGATTGCCCCTGCTTGGCATGAATCAAGTCCAAAGGCTCTTTCACCTCATTGCCCCGTTCCGTTTCCTCCGACGCCACACGACCCCTGGTTGCGATCTGGCCGGGTCGAGGTTTTGTTTACCCCTGGCTAAGGAAAGCAAAAAGTCTGAAGAACAGTACCATGTAGAGTGCTGACAGCCTGACACTGTAGCTGAGCTACGTTGCTTTCGTCAACGTTGCTTTGGGGTCAAATAGCAAGTATCGGATCGACCGGCGCGAAGCACGCTGGTTGGGTGGTTGTAAAGCCGCCCGGTGCTACGAGTGTATTGCATACTCCGCCGACAGGATTCAGCATGATGATCGGTGATTTAAACAAGCATAACCATAAAAAGGCACGCGACGACCGGCAGTCACCAAGCACAAGGGGAAAGGAGAAATTCATGTCACTTACGGTACTCTCTACTCCGTACTCCGTACTCCGTACAGTCAGACGATTGGCCGTGGGGCAGTTGGAGACCAGCCTGGCCCAGTCTGTCTACCGAGAAGTTTCAGGGCGAGACGCCGGCGGCAAGCTGGCTTTCCCACCCTGCAGAAGCGGACCTAGAGGATGCTGGTCTTTCTGATCGGTCGCTCCCCGACGAAGTGGATGGCAGACTTGTAGGGTAGCAGAGCGAAAGCAAGTTGACTGATACACGCCGTATGGACGGTGGAGATGCCCTGCTTCGTCGGTTTCTACATAGCAATCCCGTTAGTCAATGAAAACAGAATCCATGTAGGCTCAACCCTGGCTCCCAGATTGGCAGCCGTCTCGGTAAAGCCGGGAACGAGGACCCAAGTGGGGAACTGAAAGAGATGGGCGGTGCAGCTCGGGAAAGAAGAAAGCGATGATCGTAACCTGATTTTGACCTGATGAAGTCAAGCATTGACACTGAAGGTAAAAAATCTGTAGGGCAGGCTGGACCATCCAAGTGCCGATCGCATCGAAGACTTTGGACTCGATTGTTATTCGGTCGGCTTTGTCTCTGCATGCAAGTCCATGTCGATCTGGCGCCAGCCTTTCGTTCATCACATCGGCCCTGACGAGCCTTTGAAAGAAAGCGCAAGGGTGAATTACCATCGTCCACTCAAGGACTGCAGGGACTCAGGGACCGTTTGAATGGGGCGCTATTTTTAAAATCCATCCCCGTATCTTGCCCATTGGTCGCAGGGGCCCAGGGTCGTCCAATATAGTGGGTGGTCATCGGTGGACGGATCGCACCGGACGCTTCTGAGCAAGTTGACTGGGTCTTGTTTAGGGTATCTCTGATGTCGGCGCTAGACCGTGTTGCAGTTACTCCAGCCAGTTCCTGCGCTAGAAGCATGTCCGGTTCGCGCTGAAGCCCAACCCTGGGCTGTTTTTGGGAGGGACCCCGTTTCATCTGCATGTCTAGCGTTGAGCCGATTGGCGGACTAGAAACGCCTTCAGTAACGAGATGTCTTACCATTTGCCAACTCAACCATTCTATACCTCTCGCACCGCTAGGAATCCGTAGAGGCAGCAACTGTTGCCGAACCAAGCTGTAAGCCACCAGGGGGAGGGAGGCAGGGTCTCCTTTGTGTGGGTTGTGAGTTATGTGGAATTGTGGATTGTGGTTTGTGGGTGGTGGTTGCCAATTGGAGATGGTTGCAGTTGATAGAAGAAACGAAAGTAGCCTCAACGTCTTAAAAAGGCAGCCTCCCCCTCCAGGCACCACCTGCCAGTAGAAAGTTGTTTGACTTCTCCATTGTCTCGTCTTTTCGTTGTTTTGCTTCTTTTTATATTCCTTCTTTTCTCTCTCTCCATCTCGTTTCGAAACTAAACACATTCGCTCGAGGGATTCCATTCCCCCAATTTCATCTGGGAATTGCCTCCCCATCACTCGTTCCGATTGTTGCTGGTCTGCAATCTGCCATAAGAGTCGGTCCACTGCTCACCATTGGCCCTCTTTCTTCGTCGATTCGATTCTTTCTCATCGTCCAATTACGTCGCTCGTTGACAAATCAACGTCATCATGAAGGGTGCTACTTCTTTCGCTCTTCTGTCGCTTCTGGCCTCGGCCCAAGCCACCTTCGATGTATGTTCATATGCCTGTGAATGGAAGCGCAGAAGGCATTGTTTTTATGATGCTAATATCCTTTCTATGATCTCTAGTATTGGGGCTCTGACAAGTGCTATTCCAGCCCAGGACGCAACCCTAACAAGTGTAACGAGCACCAACAGAAGGGCTTCGACTGGTCGGACCTTTCTACTGGATCGTTCTCATCTTACGGTGGCTTTGACTTCTCCGGTTTCACTTGCAGCAACAGCTTCGGCTCCGGCCTTTCCAAGCGTGCGGTACGTTCTAGTTCCAGCCAATGAATGATGTCTTGGATCAACACTCCGGTATACTGACTTGATATATTGCAGGAGAAATGCATCACCGGTACTGCCTCCAAGAGTGGAAGCTCCTCCTCTTCCTCGGGCAGCAGCTACTCCTCATCCCCTTCGTTCTCTTGCGGCTCTGAGGAGAGTGGCTTCTCTATCACTCATTTCCACATTTCTACCGACAAGGACACCGATATGAACATTGTTTACAGCATGCCCGACGGTTCCTCTTGCCGCAACACTGCTTCTTGCTCGTCTGCTGGAACTACCGTGAGTAACGACCAGTGTGGTGGTGCTACCTCGGTTTCCTTCGAGCTCCCTGACCACAGTGACCACGATAGCTGTGGCTTTGGGATCTACAGCGTTGGCTTCGACTGCACTCCCGGGACCACTTCGTCCCTGCCCACGCCCCCTGCTTCCACTAGTAGCACTTCGTCCTCGATTGCTTCAGTGCCAACTGTTTCGATCCCCACTGCCTCTAGCCCTGTTGGTTCAACTGCGCCTGGTGTGCCTTCTCCCTCTGTTCCAGCTGCAACTTCGCCTGCTGCTACCTCTCCAGCTACCGGTATTACCCCTGGTTCTAGCTCTCCTCCTCGGTGGACAACATCTACTGTGTACACTACTAGCGAGATCACAATCACTAGCTGCGCTCCGACTGTTACCAACTGCCCTGCCGACTCTACCACCGTGGTGACTTCGACAATCGCCATCTCGACCACGGTGTGCCCTGTAACTGAGACTACTCCCGCCGCTGGCGAGTCTACTCCTGCTGGATCTACTCCCACTGCGACCGGCCCTGCTGGTCCTAGCGGTAGCTCTCCCGTTACCTCTCCCGCCCCCGGTGTCAGCTCTTCTCCCAGCTCACCTTCCGGAACTGTTCCTGGTGACTCGACTGTTACTATCGTGACCTACACAACCACTACCGAGTGCCCAGTTACTAGCACTGTCAGCTCTGGTTCTTCCACGACTGTGATTACTACTAACACTATCTCCACCGTGGTTGTAACCTCAACCTCGACCGTCTGCACCAAGTGCACGGCTAGCTTCACCACTCTCCCAAGCGGTGGTGAGACAACCCCATCTGGCCCTGCTGCTACCAGCCCGGCTGGGTCGTCTACTACTGGTGTCAGCCCTACCGAGACGGCGCCTGGCTCGGGCGAGTCTAGCCCTGCTCCCTCCAGCTCTGTCCCTGCCAGCTCTGTTCCTACGGGCGCTAGCGCTGGCTCTACCTCCGTGCCTTCTGAGGATACCACCACCTATATCACTACCTACGAGACTGTCACCACTTGCCCCATTACCAGCACTATCAGCTCAGGCTCTTCGTCGACTGTGATTACTACCAGCACCGAGTCCACTATCACCGTGACTTCCACTCGCACCGTCTGCACCAAGTGCACTGCCAGCGCCACCGCAACTGCTTCGTCCGGCTCTGGTTCTACTGAGACCTCGCCTGTCTCCAACCCTGTGCCAACCTCTTCTTGCCCCAACGTCGTGCCCCAATGCATCAACACCTGGCTCACTCTTGTTCCCACGTGTACCTCCAACAGCGATGCCAAGTGCTTCTGCCCTAACAAGGACTTCACCGACAAGGTCATCTCTTGTGTCCAGGCCTGGGGTGCCTCCAAGGAGGAGATCCAGAATGCTCTGTCCTACTTCACCGGTATTTGCGCTGCTTGGGTTCCTACCAACCCTGGCATCGTGACTGCTATCCCCTCCACCATTACCCTGGTGCCCACCGTTGTTCCTAGCGGTGCTAGCGGTGCCACTGCCAGCGCTGGCATTACCTCTGCTCCCACGCCCCCTTGCACTACCATCACCTACTCGACTTACACCGTGACCGTGCCCCAAGTCAGCTTCTATACCTCGACTGCCTCCTCGGGCTCGTCTACCACTGTCGGTTTGGTCCCTGCCGCACCCAGCGGTGCCTCTCCCGCCAACACTGGCAAGGTTCCACCCCCAGTTGCTGCCTCTTCCACGTTGGTCACTGCTGCTGTGAGCTCCACTCCCTACGTCAGCCCTCAAGCCACCGCTAGCGCCTCGCCCACTGCATTATTCAACTCGGCCTCGACCGTTTCGATTGCTTCCAGCCTCCTTCTGGGCTCTGTGGCCGCCTTCCTCGGCTTGATGCTCTAAATGTGCTATGCCTTGCCATTTCATTCTCAAAGTGATCTCTCTTTTGGGCAATCTATGCCCCGTGTGACATTTCTTCAATTTTCTTTTACATATGTGCTCTGAAATTTGATCTTTGTGTCTTACATATCAATGTGCAGCTCAGCACCCGAAATTTTCCTTTCTGATCTTTTCTCAAGTCTGCCCGACTTTTTGTCTTGTCGACGCTCGCATCGCTGATGCCTGCGTCAAGTACATGGTGTGAGTCGTGAAAGGACTGATTGATTTGACTGCCCACCACGAGGGAATTTGATTTTGTATTCTAATATTCACTCCCTAATTGCATACAATAGACCTCGTGAACCGTTTAAGTGAATAAACATACACGTAGATACCCATAGTACGGCGGCTAATTGCGGCCACTGACCAAAGCTTTTGATCATAATCATCAACTAATCTTGCCCTTAGCCTTCTCTTGCTGATGGGTATCTTTTCAGTCCTCTTTTCAGTCCTCTATTTCCGTCTGCTCCCTGGGCACTCATAGTTGCTTAGGGATCTGCTCACCCTTCACTCGGGGTACTCAGGTTATACAATAATGTGGGATGTCTTCATGTCTCGTCTTTTGTCTTATCCGATCATAGCCGCCAATTCCAAAACAGGAAAGGTCATTCTATTAGTCGGGTTTTCTTTCATATCCATTCATATTTAACCCTTCAATCTCGACCATCTTAGACATTTAGAACATCATACATAGTACACAGTACATTTAATCTCCACCAGAATTTCCTCCCGCGGCAAAGCCCGCACTTCCACAGTCGTTCGCGCCGGCGCAGTATTCCGATCTGGCCAAATGTAATTCCACTCTTCATTCATGTCCTTATAGTCGTCCTTCATATTGGTCAAAAAAACTGTTGCATCGACCACATCGCGAATACTCGCTTTCCCCTCGGAAGCACCTTGAATGATGGCGTCGATGTTGGATAACACGGCAGCAGTCTGCTGTCGAATGTCGAAGGTGATTGTCCCATCTTCTGAGCGTGTAGCTCCAACGAATGTCCCATCCCCTCGGCGGGATGAAGTCCCTGAAACATAGATGTATGATCCTTTGCCGTTGGGGGATGTTATGGTTCGTGCGTGAGGGTAATTGGCAAGTCCTTGCGCTTGGGCTGCGGGGCGGAAGTACGCAGTGCTTTGGGACATCTTGATCGATCGAGAATGTCGATGACGAGACAATTTTGGTTGGAAGGGTTACAGAAATATAAGATCAAGGGTGATAGATAATTGTCAATACTATGAACGGATTTTCCATATTTTGTGATTTATCTTGCCCAACTCGTTGGTGGTTTCACCGGATCCCTCCGACCGGCCCGATATCCGACCCGCGACGACATCCGAGAAAGAGGAGAGCTGTTTATCGAACGTGAAGAGTTCGCAAGTTCGTAAATATATCGCGGCTCTGAGATCCTCCCTCACGCCCAATGCCGGATGCTTTCATGCCCCCGAATGCTGTGCCCAGTTCACGCACAAGCCAGCAATTGACCCATACCAGGCCAGCATCGATCCGCTCTCCGACTCGGCGCATCCGAGAGAGGTCTTTAGTCATGAGAATGCTGGCCAGCCCATTGGGATTATCATTGGCGAGTTCGATGGCCTCCTCCTCTGTATCAAAAGGAGAGACCGTGACAACCGGTCCAAAGATCTCGTCGCGCATAATCCGGCTATCGGTTCGCACGTTGGTCAACACGGTCGGAGTGATCCAAAAGCCCTTCTGGGGCACCTCTGATGGAACTTCTCCAGTGAGAAAGTAGGCACCTTCCTCTTTGGCTTGTTTGATATAAGAGGAGATCTTGGCATAATGCTCGCGTGAGACGACCGGCCCAATGGCCTCTCCACAGCGGTAGGTCTCTCGGACATATTCCACAAACGCGGCCAAGAACGCGTCGTAGACAACGCGGTGAACGTAGATTCGAGAGCCACAGAGACATATCTGTCCGCTATTTTCGAAGGCAGCTTGTGCAGCAAGTGGTACAGCTTCAGTCAGATTGACATCGTCGAATATCAATGTTGGATTCTTTCCACCGAGTTCCAGTGACAGATGCTTGCCAATATCGGCTACAGTATCCTGTCGGATGCGGATTCCTGTGGCAGTGCCACCAGTGAAGGAGACTCCTCGAATACGAGCAGACTTGACAAGAGCAGAGCCTGCGCCAGGTCCATCTCCAAAAATAATGTTCATTACACCAGGTGGGAGTTTGGCTTTTCGGAAGACCTCTGCCAGCACTAGGTTGGCAAATCAGTCTTCTATCGAAAGTGGATTGTATGAAACAGAAGCACTTACAAAAAGCGGTCATACTAGTAACCTCACTCGGTTTTGCTACCCCGGTACACCCAAATGCAATACAAGGAGCGATCTTCCATGTCAAGAGATAAAGTGGCATGTTCCAGGGCGAGATCAGGGCGAAAACACCCACTGGCGACCGATGCTCGTAAGTCATCGTCGACACCGACCCATCAACATACCGAACAGCACCTTCTTCATGAAGAATATAGGTTGCAAAATATCTAAAAGCGATCAATATCCTAGACTTCACCTCTTATAGCTGAACAAAGTTCTATCCACCAAACATGTTCACATACTGGAAATTCGTAATTGCTCGGTCAACTTCCACACGAGCACGACTAAGCGTCTTGCCTTGATCAATACTCTCCCAGACCGCGAACACTTCTTTTTTCTCTTTCAAAATCTCGGCGATCCGAAGCAGGATTTCTGAACGCTCTTGTCGCGAGGTTCGTGACCATGTCGGGAACGCCCTTACGGCAGCATCAACGGCATGATCGACGTCGGATAGCGCACTACGAGGGATCTGTGTTAATAACTCGCCAGTTCGCGGGTTAAATGAGTCGATCCAGTGAGAGGGTTCGGTGTGCTCTGTAAAGTTGTTTCCGATGAAGTTCCGGAGTGACATTGGACTGGAAAGACTGGCCAGGTAGGCGTCGGCTCGGTCCGTAGTATCGAGTCTCCAAAGCGAGGAGATGAGATCCATTTTTTTTTAAAAAAAAAAAGCCGCGATAAAGAATTCAAATGCTCGTCTACTTTATCTCACGGTCATAGCATAATCTCAACTTGGGTAAAGGATTTGTTATAAAGTAGCATGGGCGTTCCGATACACTAGTTCGCATCCGCCTGCGGAGAGTCATCCGATTCGACGTAGCTGCAACCTCCGGTCCACCAGTGATGAGACACCAGTAATGAGGTTGAGTTTAATGAAGACCGAAGAGAGGACCGAATACAAAATCAAGAAGAGGCATTCTGTCTGTCAAAATACTTGATCAAAGGCTATCAAGGGGATACATTGAGATAAAATTCATGCCTGTGATCAGCTCAGATAAATTCAATAAGCGACTAACTAGATACACGAAATCTTATGGCCTGGCCACATATCCCCAAGCCCTAGAAATTCAATCGCATTGCCAGCAAGCATACGCGCTCTCGTCTCACTGGAGAATAACTCGCCGACCCTTTTATCACTACTTAACATCTCGCCTGGGTTAGGCATCTCACCAAGTGGAAAAGGGTAGTCGCTCCCCATGACGATCCTATCCGGACCAATCTTCTTACAAATTAGCTGCAGTAGATCCGGATCATGTACCAAGCTATCAATCCAAATATTGTGTTGATGTGATTCGAGATAACTCTGGGGCGATACTCCCTCAGAGCTATGGGCGACCAGGTCCGGTCGACAATTGTAACCGTGCTGGATACGCCCGAGAAGGGGCAAGTAAGCTCCACCAGCGTGTGCAAAGCAGAATCGTAATTTTGGGTGTCGTACTAAAACACCTGATGAGAGAATGCCGTGAATCGAAAGTGCAGTCTCACTTGGCCTAATACAAATACATTTTTAGACAATTTTTCAGCCTTCGTGAGTAAATCAGCAAGTTACTCACATTCCAATCAACCATGCAGACCAGTAATTTCCCCATCGGCTCTTATTCTCCCTTTCCAACTCGTATCCGAGAGGATGGACAAAGATAGGCATATCCAGTTCTTCGCACGCTGCCCAAAATGGATTGAACCTGGGATCATCGAGAGAGCAACCGTTGATCTCAGTTCCAATCTCGACCCCTTTCAACTCTAACTCGACTTTCGCTCGCCGAAGCTCAACCACAGAGCTAGGAATATCCTGCAGCGGAACTGTGGCAAGGCCAACAAACCGGCGAGGATTATCTCTGCAGACCGATGCGATGTGATCATTCAAGTAACGAGCCAACGCCGCTGCAGGTTCAATCGGTTTGTCGTATGAGAACAGAATAGGTACAGTGCTGATGACCTGGACATCTACCCCGGTGACATCCATCTCGTTCATCCGCACGACAGGATCAAAACAATTTGGCTCAACTGTTCGGAAGAATTTTTCTCCAACGTACATGTCGACTTTGCTCGATTCCAGGCCAGTCTGATCCGATGTCCCATTACTGAAATCACTGTGTGACCGGAGCGTCATCCAGTCCCCTGCATTTTTGTCTGGAGACCCGTGCGATTTTGAGAAGTCAGGTAGATTTGGCGGCATAATGTGCGTGTGCATATCAATCCGGAGAGGTTCATTTGGATTGCGAGGTCCATTACTTCCCGTCCATCGCTGTTGGCCGGAAGTGCAAGAACAACAGCTCGAGTTGATCGTCATTTTGCTGAATCTATTTCGGGTTATCAAGCGCTCAAGGATTGTTGACTGGAAGCCGAGGACGTAAATTATATAGATCAGAGCACGTTGTCGTCACATTCAGACGGGAATGGGTGGAGATGGGGGTTCACCAATCACGTTTTAATGACCTGGAGCCACTTGAGACGATTTTTTTTGAAATGCATTACAAGCGTTGGGTGACCAATTTACTTCATTTGTTTCAGTCGGCTTCCCATAGCAAGACTCTGTAGCCTCGGATCTATCCGGTCATTCAATCGGATGCCGTTGCGGGTCGGCTACATCCTTGCCAAGACTTTGCCTGGCAGCGTGGGTCACAATACTAGCAACAAATATGCATGAATGCGGGGGAATGGGAAATCTCTGCTTCTATGCTATTTGAAGACCTATTTTATACCAGTGTCATCTCTTTCCTAAATAGCCTGAAGCATCATCGCCGTTACTCGCCTCTGTTGTTTCTAGAAAAGTACCATGGAGCCACAAACGACACCCATGCCTTCAATTCCAGGCCCAATCGGCTTATCTTCTTGGCTTGCTATGAATTCTGAAAATTTAAAGCCACCGGTGAATAATATGTGCCTATATTCAGGAAAAGATTTTATTTTGATGGCTGTTGGGGGGCCAAACACGAGGAATGACTATCACAGTAAGTCGACTGAAAAAGACGTTCCAAATGTGCCTAAATCAATGCTGATGATGTTAAATCAAGTTAATGAGACAGAGGTAACCATCCAAAAGTCGAGTTGAATAAACAACATCTAACTTCTTGGGATTTAGGAGTGGTTCTATCAGATCAAAGGAGATATGCTCCTGAAAATCGTTGAGAATGACTATTTCCGCGACATTGTGATTCACGAAGGTGAATCATTTCTCTTACCAGGTACCATAGTTGCGACTTCTTCTTTTCCGTTTTTTATTTCCTGTTCAACCAATTCGGGTGCATTCTACTTACCTTCGGTCTCCATAGGAAACACACCTCACTCTCCGAGGAGATCAAAGGACACCATAGGCCTTGTAATGGAACGAGCTCGCCCACCTCAGATGATCGACCGAATACGGTGGTACTGTGATAATAAAACGGCACATGGTACAGTTCCCACAATCATAAGGGAGGAGTCATTCTACTGTGCAGATATTGAGATACAGCTCAAGGAGGTTATTGACAACTGGATGGAGGACGAGAACAGCAGAAGATGTGGTAGCTGTGGAGAGATCTCTTCTAGTCACTGAGCTTGGTTCAGGAGCTTATATAATTGTGGTAATTTATTAAACAGATAATCAAATGCGAGGATCATTGTTTTATCCCTGGAGGGACGTAGATCAAATTACCAGAACCTGGAGCTTCACGACGTGCAAGCAAGGCTAGTAGAAATCATTTGCATTCATATCATCATCACCGCATTGTTAGGCTTCAGATTGAGAGAAAAATTGATCGATTGAACCCATCAACATTGCATCGCCGAAGAAAGATGTCGATAAATCTTCCAAGTTGTCTTGCCCCGGAGAAATATCAGGAAGAAGCATATCTCCGGTCATAATCATATGGTCCATTATGGGACAGTCGGTTGAATCTCTTAGTATTGGAAGCATCTCTAGAGCCGAGAAATCGTTGGAAGGTGGCTGAAGTTGAGAGGTGGGTAGTGACAGTTTCCTCCGCTTGGATCGGTGTTGGGAATGATCATTAGGCTGGCTATGTTTTAACGAATTTGACTTCTGTGAGCAATTGGATGAGAGTAAGCTCTTTGGTGAGCCATTTGAGGGCTCCAGTGGCAGATTATTGATGTCCCGTAAATCAAGCGAGGTGTCGGAGAGTTGATGATACACTCTGCTAGCTCGTGTCTCCCCTGTAAGAGTCCTTCTCGTTTCAGTCATCTGCCCGAAGCAGTCAAAGGTTTTGTAAAACAGATCATGCTTGCTAAGCTCTGCCTGAGTGAGATGCATGTCCTCTTCAGTCAAAATTTGATACTTCTTGATCTCAGGCCACTGAATCTTCACCTCTCGTAGCATGTCCAAGCCGCTCTCAACATCTGGCCAGGCCTTGTTGGTAAAGCTCGGGTTTCGTGCTAAGCGCATACAGTGCAAAAGGACTTTTGCACTTGCGAATATGGCGCGACTCTGCTGTATTACGAAGTGACTGGCCGGAACGTGGGCAACCACCTGTGGTGTGACTTTGATGCAATTGGATGCAGCCTCGGCACAGCGCAATAAGACCTCTGGCTCGGCAATATTGAAGCGCTCAATAAAAGTGCGATAGAGGAGGACAAGACCAATGTAGTATGATGAGACGGCAATTGTCTGAAGTGCAAGAGGCCCTTCTTGAGAGTTTGAGGTCTCTATTTTGGGTAGGACTTGACGTGTATAGTACTTTTCCAGCTCTGCGTCGTGTTTTTTCACATATGATCGAAGTGTATCCTTAAGCATTGTATTCCGCGAGGATTCTGCCTTCCGAATCAGCCTCACAGATCGATAAATGCGGCCCATGGTGATATGAAAGTCTGCGATGACCGAGAACCAGCGATCCACTTTTCCTGCGGTCGATGATGCGATGTAGTCTTCCCCATCACAAGATTCAAGATCACTCTCAGCATCATCAATTGCCAATGGCTTCAGCAGCGCAGTTGATAAGGAGCGATCTAATATGTAGAGACACCACCAGAGATTGGTATGTGCGAGGCGTAGATCTTTGACTTCGCTAGCAGCATCAATGCTATCTTCCAGATCAAAGCTTTGATATAGGCGAATTGCATGTCCTGCAGTGACCCACGCATCATTCACTTTGCCTCGCTCAATAAGGTAGAGGCTGAGAAGTCCTTGGGCGGCAATAGTATTGATACCGGCTAAGGGGCTTTGCTCGTAGGATCTTCCTGCACTCAGTAATATCGCATGCTGATACAAGAGGTCCGCAAGATCTACCCATTTGTACGCTTCGAAGTCTGGCTGGTCAAAGACTTCGTGAGTATCCGGTATTATCGAGGAAGCAACCGCCAGAATAGCGTAGAGAAGAAGTTGAAATTCATGATCGGGAGCACTAGGACCATTGTCTCTGCCACTTAGCGACCACAGATGATACTGTTGTCGGAACCTGCGATGGGAAATGATTGGGAAGATGGGGTAGATAGACTGATAAAAGTAGTCGATGAGGACTTGCAAGAACGGCTCTTCAAGCCTTGTTACGTCGATTGGCGTATTTTCCACATTGTAGCGGTCGATGTCTGAGACATCAACCATCTGTTCATCGCTGGAGCGTGTTATAGGTAGATGGACTTTTGGAGGCCGTTGTGGTGTTTGGACCGCCGCATCTATGGAGAGTGCACTCGGGAAACCCGCTGGCGGGTCGGAGAGCGCACTCGCGTCGGGTGCAGTGGGTACGGAAGTGGCCGACTCATCCCCCTCGCCATGAGCGTAATGGTCAGCTTCATTTTGATTGCTGGTAGCAGTCACCGCAGCGGTCTGTACTGGAATGGCCTCCTCCCTGGCCTCCAGTCCTCCAGATTGATGTCGGAGTCTTTGCTCCATGAGCGATATACGACTCTCAAGTTTCAACACATACCTAAAGCCAGAGTTAGTCGGCTTCTCTAGAGTGTAGATAGTCGAGCGATCGTGATGAAGTGAGGAAGCACTTACTGGGGATCTACCAGTCTCATATTGCTATGAGGTTCGACATAGACACATTCCGCCTTGTTGCGCGTGCAACTTTGACAAGGATGCTCCCCGTCGCATTTGACCTTCTTTCTTCGACATGCTTGACAGGCCCGCCAGACTCGCTGCCGCTCATACATGGTGCCACGACAGTCTCATGCTACCGATGAGCGTGATGGGGTTTGAGGGAAATGGTAGAGTCGAGATCCGCGGCGTCGGACGGTCGGATGACTATTTCCCCCGCTCTAAAGCGGAATCCGTTCCGGGAGTTCGCTGCTCGTGCCGTAGTATATGAGACTATGAATTAAGGTCCATGGTCTATTGCCAGTTGTTCGCTTGCAGACCATATAAAAGCAAACGGCATTATTTTAATGGGATTCCTCTAAAAGGGCACGAAAATCGACGGCTATGATTCGTCCCTTCAATTCCTGCCTTGAGCCTCATCCTTTGGTTCCGTTTGTCTGTCTAGTATGATCTGCTGCAAACTTGCAACGGTAGCTTTCAGATGTGTAAAATCAAGAGCATCCTCTCCCAGTTGTTTTTCATTTCCTAACATTTGAGGGTTTCTATTATATGGCCTCTGATGTGTCCCAAGACCAGAGGGTATATTCTTCAGCATCCCAAAAGTAATATTCACCCCCTGGCTTTGCTATTTCAAAAAGACGAAGCTAATTCTGAGGGAACTTGGTCATGTTACGAAAATCCCCCTGCTTGTCCAAAGTCGGCTCCCGTGGATTGATCTTCCATTAATGCAGTTTAACATCCCGTAGGATGTTCTGCGCGCTCTGCAGCGTGAACGACAGCCGTCTTGAACCGACATAGTATGCGAATCCAAGGTTTAGCTTCTCTGACGGCACTCCGTTAGCCTTCCTTAGCTGGTGTTAGAAAGACTGTCATCGCGTGAGGCTCCCCAGTGTCGAACGTCACTAGAGTTGATGTATTCACTAACACCTGCCAGATCAACCGTCGTCGAAGATCTTCGTAAGCGGGCTGGACAAGATACCAAGAACGGCATCGCATTCATGTACCTTAAATACAACCAACCCGATCAAACCTTTGAAAATGACATCGAAAGCCTTCTACAACAGTTACTTGCACCTAATGGTGGCCCGATGCCAATCCGAGAACTGAATCATTTTGGATTACATCATCCTAGTCCACAATTAACACCCAAAAACACATTTGAGGGCTCTATGAAGATCCTTTCCCCAACAGACCTCTGGGGAGAGCGCCATGATCGACAAAAAGAAAAAAGGCGTGTGGATACACTATGAAAAGATGGTCAGTGTGATAAACATATTTCATGCTTAAATAGAGGCAATGGTTCTGGACGATCAGCCCCACTGTTCGAGAAGCAAAGATGATCCTTCGATCAATACGGGGGTGGCATCCCTTTTCATTCCCCGACTGGGACATATGCAGATGCACAACCCAAAAAGCTTGGATCACATAGCGACTATTGAAAGTTGATCTGCAGTTAGGGGATTTTGCCTTTACCATGTCGATATAAATGACAGGCCTGCGGGATATGCGTACAACTCGCTCGATATGGGTCGTTGTCCTCCAGCTCCAAGAACATAGTGTCATCTCAAAGGATGAAACGTCAAGTTCGACTCCGGTAAACAGTTGCACAAAGATAAGTTATCTGGAGAGGTTCTCCGAGGCTAATATCAAGCTAGCGCAATGGAATCAAGGCCAATTGAAGTCAATAGTCGCGAAGCGGCCGAGTTCCCGGTTTTTCTCCTTGGAGTTCAATTTGCAGATAAGGTCCTGACGCGATGCAGCCAGCCGTCAATACTGACACAGGGGGTACATTGACTATAGGCAATTTTTCCAAAGTCTATTATGGCATCTTGGATCATAATACTCCCTCGATTTCATCTTGGCATCTACTTGCCAACATGACGCGGTCTACCCTCGAAAATAAGCAAAACCATGATAGATTGGTCGACCAGACGGGACGCTTTATTGTGCACGGGATGCCAGTAACGCCACACGGTGTGACTTTTTCGAGTCAGCCAGACTCTCTGGGTGATGGAAGTGATTTGAAGTAAAAGCAATCTATGGCCCAGAAGCCTAGCGGCCCCGGGCCATGCCCAAAGTGGGGGGTTCGAACCGACTTGGCGGATTACTGGGGAGTGTCAGAGTCTCAGAGAGTATGGAGAGCATTAGTTAGAAGACAGGGTACCGTGCCATAGATCCAGTGACAATGAGAGAATTTAGTTGTGTTTAGTAATAATGATACGATTACAATGGGCTGACAATCGCTTTGTCTGTCTCCGTGGAGGAAATTACAAATTACGTAGATTGCTGTCTGCTTGTTGCATTGTGGCGTCGTCAGCGCGCCCTTCTAAGCACCGCCAACCACGGGGTAGGACCGGGCGAACAATAGTTCTCCGGTATCCAAAAGCCCTATGATACAGTATATTCTATCCATGGCGATGGTGATCATCGGCCATCCTGCATGCTTTGCATGCGCAAAGTAATTTCTTTATTTCTCCATGGAGCGAGCATTAGCCCATCCCGAGGTTGCGGATGGCGTTCAATTATCGGAATTGCTTCCTTGCAAGAAAGCTGACTGGCTTCGGCCCGTCAGAAAGGTCCGAATGGAAGAAGAGAAGGCTGTCATGCAGGAGCCAAGCCTCTTATCTGTTGTGTCGGTTGAAAAGAAAAAAAGAAAAAGAAAAGAAATCACAATAAGTCATCATCATCCGCAGTAAAGTTGTGAATGATTGAATCGGCTGTATGCATGTGGGGCCCTAGTGGCTGAAGTGGGACCAACGAATATGCACTGATAAGCTTGTGGGCTGTGATAGGCCCATGGCCTTAATGCAGGACTGTAAATCGACAACAGCGCGATGAAGTGATGGCCATACATCTTCCACGCGATCCATCATCTCTTGGCTTTGTCCAAGGGGGGAAAGGATCATCGATGCATGGCAGCTTACCAGGATACGCTTTGCTGCTGCGACTCGGTACTTCTGCCTCTGGGCAGTACAATGGACATTGAACACTCGAGTCTTGGACCAAATTCCACGCGGAAGCCGCTATCAAAACTGGATCATTAAATGCTGACCACATTAGCTCATCACCAATAGTGAAACTAATCATGCTCTTTCCCAAACTATCGACTGAACTCCGGAGCTCCCCTTGCGGAGGTCCAGATAAGCATCGCTCTCGGCCAGTAGGCGTCCAGTGCCACTCCGAGGACCACTCCAGAACAAAGTTGACCGTTGGCCCAGAGGGAGGGTAAACGCCAATGTAATCAATGTGAAAAAATGGAGACAGCGCTCGAACCTGGCGTGAATGTCATACCTTGCCGTTGACGATTTTAATAATATCGTGGTGGATCGGGGTTTTATAGTGAACCCCAGTCGCTCGGTGCACCGCGCTCTATATACACTCCGCACTCTCTTTTCCTCTTCTGCTGTACTACTATTACCCACTCTTAGTCGTTCATTCTTTTCCTTCTAACCCTCTTCTCTATGAATGATGCTTCAACAACCATGGCTCAACCCTACCCCTACGAGCCCACCTCCATCTGGTGGCCCGAGGACCGGATTAAGGCCACTCTCGACACGAAATATGTCGTGAGCCGCCTGCGCCCCGAGAACGTCCCGCGCCTCTTTGACCTCCCACGCTGGGGCGAGGGTCTCACTAGCGAGACGTACATGGAATGGATTCTGCTCAAAGCGGGCCGTCTCTTCTTAATCCTAGAGGCCATTGGTATCCCCGATCGCATCTTTGCCCTCGTCGACGCATCCTGCGATGACGATGATCTCCCGGTTGCCGAGCAGAACGTGGACCGGCTGTGTCTCTCGCCGGTGGGGAACGATCTCGCCCTCGACACCGAGTTTTTCCATGCCCAATGGCGGTATCTGGTGCGTGGACTGGCGGAAGGCGAGCATGTCACATACACGCAGAACGAAGGCGTGCCGGTGGAAGCTGTGCAAACGGCGATTGGCGTCCAGGGCCGGGAGGACTCCGCCGATAAGGTCGTGCTCGCCGGTGCGGTATGTCGCATGTACCTGCGTGCGCAGGTCCAAGTCGGCGGCGCACCGCATTTCTTTTCCACGGCAGAGGTGCTCGAGGAGATTCGAGGTCTGCGCAAGCTGGTGCATCCACATCTCATCTCGATCTACGCCTCGTATTTCGTCGATGATACCGTCTGCGCCCTCTTCACAGGCGCGGAAATCGACCGCACTCTCTACAGCTTCCTGACGGATGAACCACCGACATTCAAACAACAGTCCAAGGAATTTCGTCGCCAGACCTTGATCGCTTGGCCGCATTGTCTCGTATCGGCTCTGGCATGGCTTCATGCCCGTGGCCACGCGCACGCTGCGATTCGGCCATCCAACATCCACGTCGACCCCAATTTCAAGATCTACTTTGGCCAATTCCAAGCTCTAGACACGCTTTTCCCACCACCCCGACTCAATGACCTAGAGGCATACCAATACTCGGCGCCAGAACGCTGGGTGCGCAGCGCAGCACCAACCATCCAACCCTCTGTCCCCAGCAAAACCCTCCTTCCCTCCGGCGGCCGTACAGGACGCCGCAAGAAGCCATCTCAACAACCCCTATCAACTGTCAGAGAGAGTAGTCCCCCTTTGTCTCCCGACTACGCACGCCCAGACTCGGCCGCCTCCAAAGGCACGGTAATCCGCATATCACCCTCGCGCTTCTCCCTCGCCATCTCCTCCTCTTCCTCTTCATCCTCCGCGGCCTCAACATCAACCTACACAGACAACTCGCGCAACACGCGCAGCACAGGGCTCAAACCCCACCGCAGCGGCCTCTGGAGTAAATCCAGAGCCTTCCTCTCCACACCATCATTAACATTGTCCAACTCCTCCAAATCATCCGACTCTTCCTACTCCGCCTCCTCAGTGGCATCAACAACCTCCCTCGCCTCTCCACCCCCTTCCCGCCAAACTCATCCCCCACTGCCCCAATCCAATCCCGCATCAACACCCTCCAAACCCCCCCCTCCACACATGGCACTCCACCCAAACAAACCCAGGAGCAGCAGACCTCTTCTCCCTCGCAGCAGTCATCCTCGACATCATCACGCACCTCTGCAAGCGAAGCCTCTCCTCCTTCGCCTCGCACCGCTCCGCCCGCAACCGCTCCGCAGGTCGTGGCGGCGGTATGGCAGATGCATCGTTCCATCTCGACCGCAACGCGGTCCAGGTGCAATCGTGGATCGCACTGCTAGAAGGCGATGCGTTGAAGCGATGTCGGCGGGACCGGGGTAGTGATCGTGCGTATCACGCCGTGCCGCGGATGTTGATCGTCCTGAGGGCGATGTTGGCCGCGGAGCCGGAGAAGAGGCCGCCTGCGCGCCGGGTGATGAAGAGCTTTGCTTCGGCGATGCGGGAGGTCTCTGGCAAAGGCGGGGAGATTGTGTTGCATTGTTCCGAGGTTGAGCAGGATGAGAAGAAGAGGCGGCGGCGGGAGGCGGTGATTGTGCAGCCGGGGAGGAAGATGAAGCTGGAGGAAGAGGTAATCGTCGAGGAGGAGAACGAGCTAGAGGAGCCGGGGATGCCGAAGGAAGAGGCTTTTTTAGACGAGTCTTCGTCCGTGTCTGATTTCGACTTTGGATTCTCCGATGTGGATAGTGATAGCGAGCCCAATGAGGCCTGGGGGCATGAGCATAAGGTCGATGTGATCCATCGGTCAATCTCGGAGCTGGAGGTGCCTATGCAGGCCAAGCGTGTGACACCACATCTATCACTGCCCAGTCTCGATGTGCATATCCGCGGGATCGAAGGGTTGACCTTCCGCAATGGTTGATGGGGGCCAAGTTGCCTGGATGGATTCTGGCGACTCCGCCTGTCACTATAGGGGCATGGGATGGTGGATTCGCGCATTGTACTTCTATACCTGTTGGGATGGATTGTATGAACGAACGACTGGACGAGATAAATACCTAATGTCTTACCCTGCTTAATAGAGACTCTATCCATTCCATTGAATCAAAATTCGTTTGTGTGTACTTCGTACTGTGTATCGTCAAGACTGCCCGGTAATAACTAGACAGCAGCTCAGGAAGGATGCATTGACATATGGCCTGGGATTAGCTTATTACTTCTCGCTTCTCTTGACAGCTGAAAATGTTATGATGAATGTAATTGAATTGTTAGAGACAGAGACACTTGGTGTACTGTGTAGGTCTCAAATAAACTCATGTCTATCCTGTTATAGCAAGAATGCGTATTGATACAAGGTTAATTCACATCACTGCCAGCCAAAAGCGCAGTGTACTTCGACTCGCTCCCTTACAGCCAAAGGGCAACGGCTCCCACGCCAGCGGAGAGCAGCATAGAAATCATCAGGAGATGACCGGGAGCCGAGGAGCCGTGGACTCCAAAGGTGCTGGCAGCGTTCTTGGTGGAGCTTGCGCTGGCGCCGGTACCAGAGGCAGTCGAGCCCTTGCCCGAAGCCGTGGCAGCACTTCCCGACTTCTCCTCCTTGTAGGTCTGTCCCAGGGTGGGGAGAGGGAGCTCGGGTCGACCGCCCAGCCGCCGGAGGTATAAGCAGGACACTCAATGGAGGAAATACTGCCTGTCTCCTTCTTGTAGCTTGACAGAGCAACTCCAGTCGGGTTCAGCGTCGCCCAGTGGGACTTGAGGTTAGCAAAGTCAGGCGACACCGGGGTTGGTGTGCCCTTGCGGGTGTAGCCATCTTCGACAATGGTGTTGGTCGCAGCGCTGACCGAGGGGCCGTAGTTGATCAGACCATAATCGTTGGTCTCCTCAATCCACTCGTAGATAATCGCGCCAGACCAAGTACCAGACATCTTCGAGCCAAAGATAGAGTCCTGGTCGTCAAAGGTTCGAGGTGCAGGGGTGTTGCAGCCCGTCTCGGAAAAGAAGATGGGAATGGGGTAGTCCGTAGCATTCTTCTGCAGCATGTTGTATCCCGAGACCTCGTAGCTGGACTGGCCGCACCACTCGTAGGCATTCAACGAGTAAAAGTCCAGACGCTCCGATTCGTTCTTGGAGCACGCAACGTAGTTCTGGAGCATAGGGCGAAGGTCGGCGATATCTGCAGCTGAATAACCGACGGGGATCTGGCGGTAACCCTTCTGATCTCGGTACGCCTTGATATCGCGGGCAGCCGCCAGAACGTAAGGGGCAGCGTGGGAGCCATTCGTCGTGGTCAGGACTTCATTGCCGACAAAGACACCAGCAGTGTTTTCGAACTGCTGGAACTCATCGAGGACCTCCTTGAAGCGGTCCAATTGAGTCTCGTTCCAGTGAGGGGAGGTCTATACGCGAAATGTGGATGATGATTAGTGCCAACTTGTGTTTCACTAGGAACAGGAAATCATATAGCCCTTACCTGCTCGATCTGGGTTGTGAAGGTATCGAGATCAACGAAGAGGTAGATGCCAGCATCCGCAAAGGCCGTCATGCAGCCCTTGTGATCACCATTGGGGTCCACGTGGTACACTCGAATGGCGTTGGCGCCCAGCTCGGACATGCGCACGATATCGCGCTCGCACTGGGCAGTGTCGATAAGCGGATCGTTGGGAGTCAACTGATAGGCGATACCTGCCAGTGCCAGCCCAGTTAGCAACACGGAATTTCCGGGGCAGTGCGATGCGAAGGTTGGCCCAACGTACCCTTGAGGTAGTACTGTGTTCCATTTTCATAGAAGAACTTGGATCCGACCGCCGAAATGGTTGGAATCGCGCCCACAGTCGCAGCCTGCAGGCCGGCCAGCAGCAACGGGACCGCGGAGAGCGCGAGGGAGGACAGCATGGTCAATGGTCAATGATAAGATGCGATCGGGAATTCGGGTATCTCTATAGATCGTAATGCTCGTAAAAATTCTGTGTGAATGATTGGAAATGCAAGAAGAAGAAGAAACGAATGTAGTTCTGCACTGGACAACGAGGGAGTCACTGGCAGTTTGTGGTCGCGTTTGAGGGAAAGAACCACCTAAGGGGGGCTCGAGAACAGATGAAAGTCGAGCAAGGAAAGTGCGAGAGTCAGGAAGCGCGACAGAACTTGGCAGGGCCAAGGCGAATACTTGGACGAGAGACCTTGGCAACTGGTGTTCGCAGATTGCCAGTAGCAGCCACCACCCAACTAGCGTGCCATGGGTGTTCATTCCGGCCCTAGTCCGCGACTTGCCAGGTGCGCGCACAGAGGCAGGGTGGTTTTTATTTGGGTGAAGGGCCAGGCATATGGATACAATTGGTTGTGTAGATCAAAGATGAGGACAGTCCATCGCATATAACATATGGAGTGTGCTGCAGGATGTACGGAGTACATCGTCCAGCAAGAATCGACGACCGTTTGAACTGTTTGGGCCGTTTAGACTGTTTGGTGGGGCGCGGAAGACCCCGAATTGTGCCTGATTCTGACCGCCTGAAACTGTTCATTGGTGATTGGCCATTTCTGCCACTGGTGTGATTCACCGCCCTCGTCTTATGTCTTCCTGCCTGAGGTGTAAGATCTCCTTGGCCAAATGCCAGCCCCTGAAGGACAATTGGGTGAAGTTTCCCGTTGTGTCTTTCTGTCTTTCAATGCTTGCTGCCAAGTTTGAGCTTATCTGTTGACGACTGCTTCATTTCTATATTGTTCTCCGATGTACCCCGTGGTCAACTACCTATCCCGTGCAGCATACGGAGTAGTTGCGCAAGACACATCTTCATCGGATTTCCTGACGTGATGCCATTAAAACTATCTAATTGGCTAGCAACTGATTAAATAATCGGCTTTTTGCTCTGTCTTGCCACCTCTATCTAAAGTTGGCCTGTACTTCTGTATGGCAGCTCATATCTTACCTCTCATCCGTTATCGGCTTTAGCCACACTACAATAGTTGCCCTAACCCTAGCCCAATTTCAGTGGAAGTGCGGAACATCAAAGTGGCCCCGCATGACATCGTGTGGCCGCGTGGAGTCTGCGTGTACCCATGTACTCCGGATCGAGCATGTATGCCATCATATGTCGTGCTGTCATGACGACCACACTACGGAGGACAGAGTATGTACCACGTACTCGATATATTTCCACTCCACTGTAGTAAGTTTGGGGGAGAAGATGCCATAGTAAACCGCTACTCTATGTATAACCGGGAACCTAGGAGAAACTCTAATAATCTCAGAAAGATTAAGCTTCTCCTCGATAAGCGAAGGAACGTGGTCAACCAGGGTGGCACAGTAATCTAATCCAGTTAATCGAAGTTGAACTCTCTTGGGCGAACATGAACAGGACTTGAGACTTTTTTGCTCCTCCTAAGATCATGGCCAGTCCGGAGTCTGCCGAGTTCCACTTGAATATCCATTTTGGATTTTGGATTTCTCCTCATTTCCCCTCCTCTCCAGGCCGTGCCATCATTGCGATTAATAAAAAGAGGGATGTCTGACGAATCTTCTCCATTCCACCATGTATCGGAATAGAGGATCACCAGAGGGTCGCACCAAAGGGAAACAAACATGACGACGCAGAATAATCAACTTCGCGCAATAATAAAAATCAAGAACAGAGAGATGAGAGTGTGCGGTTCCACCGAATCCATCCCGATCTGGGCTGCCAAAGGGAACCCTGTCAATCCTTGACTTGTTAAGCATGGCCCGATGGAGTCCTTTGTTTATCGACTGGCTCGAGTCGGGAGGGATCACCCCCTCGAAGGCTTCTAGATTCTGGATCGCTCGCCGATTAGCGGTCAGATAGCGTTCGCCCACCCGCAACCGAGATATCGTGACCATCAGGGGCTGCCCGGCAGACCCCGAGGCCATTGGGTATGGAAGAGGGAGGGGAGGGGGGTTGGACTCTTGGGCCGCGATGGGCTTGCCGATCGGGAGGAGGAGCTTGCTAGCTCTGCTTCCGCGCCCGTATCAATATCGTGAATCTGCCTATCAAGTTTGAGAGCATTCCCCTCATTGTTGGCGTCAATGAAAAGTAGCGAGGATCGGACCCTGGCCACGCTGGCACTGGTGATCACCGTCTGGACGATGCATCGTTACAGTTGGTTGCACGGTGAGCGAGTCGGAAAGAGATATCAGAACGGAATCAAAGACATCAAGGCGTCTCAGTGGCTTAATAGATAGGGCAAATGCAACGTGCTGAGTGGATAGGGGGAACGAGTGCTATCTCGAAGTATAGAAAGGGCTCCAAAGGGCACGAAGGCACGGTAGCAGACTGGCCAGGGTCACCGCCACGAGAGCCCAAGTACAACAGCACACCACCACCAGCCAGATGATACCACGCCAAAGAGACTTCAACGAGACTCCAAGAGACTTCGTCCAGACCGGCCAGACTCTGGAAGCCTGTCCACTTGCCCCCACCCATTCCGACCATCTCCGCCAATAACACTACAGAACACCGTCTGTGGTCGTCAGCAGTGGGCCCCAGCTCCATTACGATCGACTGCGTCGACCCTGGACTTGACCCTGAGAGACTGCGAGTCCTGCCCCAGCTTGGCCTGGCACCCGTTCCAAAGGCAAATTGCGCGCTTCGATCTGCAATCCCCGTTCAACTCGCCTTCATGACGTTAAGGGGGGAAGGGCCCTTCCCGACCTTTTTAAGCTCACCAGTTTTGGGCTATAATAAAGTCCTGCCCGCATCCGGTCTCCCTAAAATTCCTCCCCACACGATCTCGCTGTTTCTTTACTTCCTTTCCCCCCCCCCCCCCCCCCTGAGGGCCCAATCTCTCCTATGATCGCATCTTATCGACATGATTCTCTAATCTGGTCGACCCCATTCCAGATCACATTCATATAACCCTTCCCAAAAAGAAGCAACCAAAAAGGGGAGAGTATCTTATTTACTACACACACGACCTCGCCGAACATGTCGAGCTGCGAAGCTACTTCCCCTTTTCGGGTTTCCACCCGCGATCTCCTCCAGTTGGAACGCAATGAGGCCTTTCGCGCCATGCGGGAACAACTCCGCCGCCAAGATTGCGGTATGGAAGGGCCCAGCTTCTGCGCTACCCACCGCCACCTATGCAGCTCCGCCGAGCAAGAGTCCTTCCGCCTCCATCGCGATATCATACATACTCTCCTGGTCCCCCTCTTCCTGATCAACCACCAAGCCGAACGAGTCGCTGCCCGCGCGCTGCCCAGCAAGAAGGGCGCCGAACCCGAGCGTGCCTTTAGGGGCGAGGCCCGCAGTGCCTTCGCCTGGCTCGCGTGTATCCTGACGGAAGAGCACGATTGGTACCTGACCGCGCGGTGCCCGGCCTGTATCGTCCTGCATGTCCTGCACTCCGAACCCACAATCCGTTTCGTCACCGTGGCGGCCCTACTGGCTGGGCCCCGCTCCGGCTTCGACTGCTGGCTGGCCGCTCTGGAGACCGCGGTGCGCGAAGACCCATTCTGGGGCGACGCATTCTGGCCCGAAATTGAGGACCGCGCCGCTCGTCTCGCCGAGGGTGTTCAGCAGCTCGTCCGCCAGTGCCACGAGCTTCGCACCACATTGGACAGCTCGACCCTCGCTACTCCAACGCTCGTCAAGGCCTCGAACACCGTCTGCGAACGTTCCGTGTCTACCTGTACCATCCCCGGGAAACCCTCCAGTTTCGCTCGGAAACAAGTTCGTCTTAGCCGCGAGGAGCAACGTTATCGGTCGTCCCTCGTCTGGAATTCGTGGAACTGCTCTCAGGAAATGCGTCAGCCATTGGGTGGCAGCACACCAACTCAGTCTCGCCGCCGTTCCATGACCTCATGAATGGCCCCCGGAGGGTTGTCATGGGCATGTTTTGTACATGGCCATGTATATTTAACATCATCTCTCCATCGGTGCAACTCATCTTTGACACCGAATCCCTCACCGCGGAAGCTGGCTCGGCTCTTGGAAAGGGCATCTTGGCACCTTTTCCCGCGGATTGGAGTCTTGGGGGTGCGGAGACCATGGAAATTCAACTGCATTTTCTCGATATCGCAGACACATGGCGTCCTCCCCGCTCCCGGCTTCCCCCTCCCCCTCCTTACCGATTTGCGACCGCGAGAATTCTCGCAACGCAAGGATCGACCGGGGCAGCTGTCGCTGCCCCCGCGACCCCTCCATGATGGTGATGGGCATGCAACCATGATCCGAAATTGGTCGATCAATCTCCATCACCGGGACATGTCGGGCAGCGTGGGAAATCCTGGTTGCACGGCGCCGGGCCACAGTCGTCGTACCGTAAATTGTGGTCGTCTTGTGCGATCCCGCGAGTGCCAACCAGCTGCCATCTACCATCTACCATGCCACCTATCATCTGCTATTTGCTGCCAAGGGTTCGCAATTGTGCTTGATTTGACGGTGACAATTACTACCAGCTTAATAAAATACTAATTATAATGATAATTGAAACAAGTATGCTGTCTCTCATCCTGTTCCTGCAACTCTCTTAGGTCGTTCAAATGCCGTACAATCTGTTCTGAACACCCTACTCCTCTCCTACTACACTGTCTACTCTGCCACCAATTTCCACATCATCCCGCCTCTGGGACTCAGTATTATGGATACAACTATATGGGGAGTACACTATGGATAGAATCCACGGCGGCCTTGCAAAACTTGAAAAGCCCATCTAATCGCGACACTTAATAAACATCCCAGCGATCAGTGGTCCGTGGTCGACCATCCTCGTGCCTCGTATCTCAAAACTCTCCCACGTAAGAGCTGACACGTTTTCTGTGCCGCGGGAAGTGGCAAGACTCTACTCTATCCGAGACCCTTCGGTGGAGCCGGGGAAATAACCCTGGACGGCGAACCAGATCGTGGCCAACGGTGGAAATTAAAACGGTCCAACGATGTTGAACCTTGTAGGCTGCAAACTTGTTGGATGGTGAAAAACGTGAAATGCTTGACTGATGGGGACAAATTGACTAATTTAATCTAATTTAATATCTGAAGAAAGAAGAGTGGATTTGAACTTAACTCCAGACAAGCAGGGATCAGGGAGGGGCCCCTGTCATTTGTGCTTTAGTGTCCACTCGGCCAGACTGATCCGATCGATGATGGAGGGGCCAGGGTTTCTGGGGGAAAGAAGAGGAACATATGTATAGTACGGAGTTTATGTAGTACAGTGGCAGTGGAATATACCGAGGGAATAGAGTACCGAGTACATACTCATCTATTGGAAATCAATGTGTATCTGTTTAGGGAAGTACTCTGGAAGATGAAAAGTCACCATCAATACATCCATTCGCAAGGTATACCGAGCGATTAAACGGTCCATTCAACATGAGTAAAACTATATTAAATGGCGATAATAGTGGGCTGGTTATAGTACTGAAGGAAGCTATGATCACCCAGGCCGCTGGGGGGAAGGGCCGGTGCCGTCAATAACTACCTTTGGCAACCAGGGATACCAAGCCCGCTTCGATCAAATCATACCACTGCAGGTGACTCGAAAAGGGCAGAATATACCAAGTTGACCAACAGAGTTCGCACACCTCGGACATACCAGGCAGGCTTGTCTATTACCTGGCTACTGGGACCAGCCCCGCGACGCCAAAAGGAAAAGTAGTGCAGGAAACCCAAGGGAGGCCTGACCCTCCCCCTCAGTGGCGAAATCGCCCGATCTGGCCGGAAACGTCTGTGAACCAGAAATGGGGGTGCTAGATCAGGGAGGACGGCATAGCAGTTAATGAGTGTGCATACATGCTGGGTTTCTCGGGTAGATCGGAAATTTGGGTAGGTACGGAGTACAGAGGGTAGATACTGGAGTCGTGGTTGAGCAATGAAGTTGATAACTCGGATGGTCCAACTGTGTTGCCTGTCGGATTGGTCGGCAACCAGAGGAAAGAGATTTCCTCAAAAGTCGAAGGCCCTTGGTTCAGGTAATGACAGGAGGGAATGTCGAGGAGGGAAACAGCTGTTAATATAACTGCTATAGTTTCATGTCAGTGCACTGAAAGAAGAAGCGAGGAGGGGGCCCATCCTATTAATGATCGGACCCCGGTTCATCAACTCGATGCGAAAAAGGATTTTCCAGTATTAGTATGAGTAGTGCTGCAGTGCACACACTCCACGGCACTCTGTCTCCGTAGAGGAGTGCTACACTGTGCAACGAGACTCCGTACATACGGAGGATGATCGCCCCCGAGTGGGACTTGGCCAGGCTTTGGACCAGAAAGCCACCGCCCAACGGGGCCAGACGGGGCACCTGACCAGCCAATCACGGGCTAAGTCACGGGGCCCACCCGCCACGGCCCTGTGTCTAGACTGGGCCTCTTTTTTCTGCCGTAGCCTCTGTCTGCTGTACATACATACCGTGCAGACTGGGCATACGAAGAGGATGTACGAGCATAGTCCCTCGGCCTGGCTGGGTGGGATTATGGAGCAAGAACAACAAAAGAGAAGGTGTAGACAAGTAAAAGATAAACAGCCCAGCGAAAGCCCTGGATCCAGCCGAGAGTCCTCTTATTCAATAAAATCCCCATCGGGACCACGACGAAACCTGGATCCGATGACTCGATGACTGAAGGTCTAGAACTTGGCCCTCTGCCCGAGTCTGGACTCCTCCCGTACCAGATACCTCTTCTCAAGCGGTGCCCGTCATACTCTGTCCAAGTACCCGCTACGTCCGCCTCATTTCTTTTCGTCCTCCCTTTACTCTCATTCTTCAACTCGTCGCTCCCTCCTCGTCTACCCAGTTCTCTGTCTCGATCTTCCTGCTTTATTCACACACAAAATCTCTCGACATCATCCAGCTACCTTCATCACTCTCCTCCTCCTCCTCGTCCTCATCCTCTTCCTCCTCTCTCTCCCTCCCGCGCCTCCTCCTCCCTCCCCCTTCCCATGCCGTCCGCTGTCGCTCTCCACCCTCTCGACCGAACCGACTGGACAAACTGGATGAACCCTAGACAGTGCAATGGACGGTGTGGCCCTGCAACTGCCCTCCTAAACGACCCAAGAAACATGCATACCTCCCGCACAGCCCTGAAAATTGATACCGACCGTCGCTTCTCTCAACACTCCGCTCTCGACTCGTCCTACGACGGGCCCAGTCCAGCCAAGCTCCGCCGACGAGCATCTCAAGGATCCCTGCGCACAAAGCCTTCCCCCGTCTCCCGATTTCTATCCAAGAGCAGCGTGGCCGTCAACTTTCCCTCCTGGGACCAACGTAGCTCCTCGTCCGGCTCGCCGTCGCGAAACCGATCGGCCGATTCCCGATTGCGCTTGTCCAACACTGTGTCTCGCGGGCCGAGACCGTTGACGGCTCACTCCCACTCTCCGTCCACCTCTTCTTCGCCGTGGAACTCGCCTCCATCTTCGTTCCAGTCGGATTATCCGTCTGCACTGCCGCCCACTCCGCCGGAGGACGATAGCCACGTTGCGTGGAACCCCAAGTCGGAAATGTTGCTGTTTGATGATCATCCACAACGGGAGCCAGGTTCCTCGACCATGATGGATGAGGGTCGCGGGATGGATACTTCGTCAACTGGTCGTTCTGATACTTTGAGTAGTCCATCCGACCGGTCTTCCCATGGATCGTCGAGCTCGGGTGGCAGCCCCGGTCCTCATGACGAGATGGATTTGCAACAGGACGTAGGATCGTGGCTGGACCATGGTATCAACGTAACTGGTAAGCAAACTTTCTGACAGTCATTTCTAACTTTCAAAATCGTCGGTTGTTGGGACTGTTACTTACTGGACTGGTAGTATCATCGTTGGGAGTTTCCAACCCGCGAGGCGAAGCCGTCAAAATTGTCTCGCAAACACTCCCATATCCCCGACCCTCCGACCAGTCAATCTCCGGCCCGAGAAACGACAGCATCTTCTATTCCATTGTCCGAGCTGTGCACAACCACCTGCAGCCAGGCCATTCCCCATACATCAATGTCACCCACGCGGTCCCCGAACAATTCAGTCTCTCCAACCTCCCCCACTCCCCTCCTAGTACCCCTCGCTCCCCCACGGCAGCCGATGAATACTTCAATGCGACCGTCTTCTCCAGTGCTGCCGTTGTAGGAGCCTATCACGACTACCGTGGGCCGATCCAACGGCAGATCGCCCATGCTCCGATGCCCATTGTTCCACCTTACAGTGTGCATCTCTCCGTCCTTGAGCGGTACCTTCCTCCACCATCAGCACAGGAGTACCGCGACGTTTTCTGCGCCACTCGTCCTTCTTTCCTTGTTGATCGCCTCTGCGAGCTGTCTCCGGATGGTGGTTCGCTTCTCTTCGTATATCCCACGAAGAAGGGTGCTTCGACTTTCAAGTCTCAGTACTTAGGCCCCCTTCTTGACCCGTTGCTCCGCCAGCTGGTTGTAGTGAACGGCCTGTCCGCTGATGTGGGCCGTTACCTGGGCAAGCTCTCCACCGTCGCCATGATGGACGACTTTGCCACGATGAAGGCCAACATCGTTGCCCTCTGCGAGGATCTGAGTTCTTCATCCTCGCAGTTCCAGGTTGCGGATGCCGGCAAGGCCAGTGTCCATCTGGACCGTGATCACTGGGTGGAATGGTACATCCACCAAGAGAAGGCCCGGATGAAGGAGGTGCTCTCCCTGTATTGCCAAAACGGCCGCCGACCACCGGTAAACAAGGCTCTGACCACCGGTGGCTCAGGCGGCCTTATACCTGACAAGGAAGTGAGTTCTTCCATGCTGCTGGGTGAGATCTTCGACGGCATTCGCAAGCGACACTATGGCGAGGACAGTGAGCCTCGAGACGGCGTGGAGCTGGGTGTGTTCGTGATCCGACGAACTCACTAATCAATACCCTCCGGTCCCCTGATAAACACAGTTTCCATTCTCCCACCCTTTCTTACACACATACCCAATTTTAAAGCACAGCAAAAATGTCCCCTTTTTCCCCAGGCAGCCTCAGCGTGAGGCTGCGACGAAATGTCATACCGGACCCTGGCGAGTGGTCCCTCGGAGTTGGTTGTTGAATCTACTGTTGTCTCGCTGCCTTGCTTGCCTAGCGCCTAGCCCATTGTCATGCGAGGCCCCTTTTGCATTTTCCCCCGGTTGGATTGAAACGAACGTGAATACCCATGATGTTGGTCCCCTTTTTTTTCTCTTTCAGTGGCAGGTTAAGATGTGATGATTGTTTCGGTTGTTAGATTCCTGGTAATGGATATTTCGACATAAAATACATGATCCAGTACACCAACGAGATTATATTTTAGATGTCTGGAAGAGTGTCCATAAAGATCGTACGTGAATGAACGAATGCATAGGACAAATTGTCTGGTGAGGCAGCATCCGAGAGTAGTCTTCAATGCCCGTAGTACCAGAGGCTCAAATCCTTTATGTGAGGCAGGCCATTCAGGCTGCGGTCTCTTCCAATCGGGAAGGAAGAAAAGTTTGCATGATGCCTGCACCTGCGAGGTTAATCGGACGCTCCTTCCACGAGAAGGCAAGAACAATCACAACAACACGTCCACGCTCGTTGCCTGGGATAGCTACCTTGGTCTCCTTTTTCTCCTTCTCTCTCGGTCTCTAAAAAAAAAACACTTAAACATCCTCCTCCCCCTCCCTTTCTCCTCCTTTCTCTCACTACCCAAACCGTCTTCAGTACTTCGACTCCACACTTCTACTTCGTGCCGGTCAAACTTTGATCCGACAACCCAACGCAAGCCCGGAGAGTTGCGCATGCTTCAGCACTGCTGCTTTTCTGACGACTGAACAACCTCTCTTCTTCCCCCTTCTACTTATTCCCTCACAACTTCTCGTTCGTCTCATAGATTGCCTCCTGCGCCAGATTTGGCAGCCTTCATTGACGTCCCCTCCAGACCACCTCCCGCACCCACACCTCTCTTGTTTCTTCAACCCATTCCACCACGACTACCCGCTCTTCTCGCACCTCTTCTTTTGCGCCAAGTTTGGCGGCTATCATTGGCGCCTACTCCCTCGCGTCTCCCGCAATTACACACATCTTATTTCCTCATTCATCTCAATGGCCTACTCACCAGGTCCCCAATCCCCCGGCGCTGGGCCTGCCCTCCATGGCGGTCTGACCTCTCGCAACCGCTCAGCCAGTCCTCCCGGTGCATCTGGGACTCTCTCCAAGAGAGATAAACGTCGAACTGCACTGCAGGAACGACTCCACGACTTGACGGCTACCTTCTCTCAGAACCGCGATGCCCAGTTCCGCCAGCAACTCCACTCCCTCCAATGCGACATGACTCTCATCAACAACGCCGACCCATACCAAGCTGGCCCACTGCCAGACTCTTCTGAGGACATCGCGAACCTGATTGAGGAAACCGTCGGCGGCGGTAAATTTGCCAAGGAGATGGCCAGCCTCTCTGGCACCTGGTACTCCAAGTTTGTTCAAGAGATCAATAATGTCAAGGAGCAGAAGGATGCAGACCTTGCACAGATTATGGTATGTTTTTCTCTCCATTCATTTGGCACACATGACTTATGGATGTTACATTATTGCATCCTCGATCCTTCTCTTTACTTGCTTTTACTGATCATGGCATTATCTCTCGCAGAACCGATACCAGAACAGCCTTGAGCGACACCGTCGCGAGTACGATTTCCGGGTACACTTTGCCAAGGAGGAGTTCAACCAGCTCTCCGGCACCTTGCGCGAGCGCCTCATACAGAGCATCTCCAGCAAGCGCTCCCGCCTTATGCGCGAGAAGGAGCAACTTGACATTGCCGACACCAACGCTCTTCTCCTACACCCCAATCAGTTCAGCATCACCAACCCCGCCAGTCCCGGTGGCCTCCATGGCAACCGCAAAACTCGTCACACCCGTCACCGGGTTGACCTGGACGAGCTGGGTAATGGCATCGTCGCAGAACTGAACAAGCGCAAGCGCAAGGCGCCCGAGGAGGATACTGGATCGCCGGTACGGGACGCAGGCGGCGTGACCCCGGCCGAGCGATCCAAGGCCTACCTCGAGAAACAGTCGGCCCCCACGTACTCAATCCAATCTCTCTTCACCGACAAGGAGCTCAGCGCACACTCCAACCAGGCCCACGTCGCGACGGTCCACTTCTTCTCTACCTCCAAGCGCGCAGACCAGGGGCCTGGTGCCGTTACCAACGGCAGCAACACGGAAACCGAGGAGACACCCGATGGCACCGGCCACGAGGACAACGGTACTCCCAGTGCTACTGATATGATGCGCACTGCGAGTCAAAATTTCCACGTTACTCGGTCGACCCGGGGCACGGCTGCTCACAGCGCTCTCAGCGCACTGGCCGATCTCGCAGACAAGAATGCGACGCGCCCCGCCCTGCCCTACCATGTCCTCTCCAACTATCATGCCCGGCCGAACGGCAACGCGCCTCCGTTGACCTCCCTCCTCAATGAGGAGGTCGACGACGACCTGTCGAGAGTGGATCGGCTACACAGCAGCAAGCCGGTGGGATGGATTGACGCCTCCCTCCTCGACATGGTCGTGGCGCCGTTGCCGTCCGAGCCAGTCAACGGGCACCCGCCCAACCCCGACCGCTTCACCTCGCTGCACCCCGACTTCCCGTCGGCTGTCGGGATGCAACTCCAGCCCGCACGCTCCAATCCTGGTGCGGAGATGTTCCCTTCTGTGGGGATGGAGCGCGAGCGAAGCAGTAAGCGGACGCGCCACCACTAAAAAAAGGTGGTCGCGATCCGTGGGGGTTGACGGTGTGATAGTTGGATGAGTGTATGATAGGCAGGGGTCGGGATGTCTCTGGGGTGTTGTTTGGAGTTGTGGTAGCTCAGTTTGGCGTTTCTTTATTCTCTCTTTTCTTTGAGTACTCGCGGGGATTCGGCTACGTTTGGAATGGGAATTGGCGTTGGGGGTGGGCTTTGAGATTCTCACTTTCAGATTTGAGAATCGCTTTCGTTTTTGTGTTCTTTTTTCTTTCTTTCCCCTGCATTCCCCGCAGGTACTGAGCCTGTTTGAATTTCAGTTTTTTTTTTCTCCCTCCAGCCTGTGCAAATGGTAGACTCTACTCTGAAGACTCTGCAGTGGTTTGTATAGATCGAATGCGGTAGAAGCGGTCGACACCTGAATAATCAGGGATACCTCGGCATGACGCCATCGGCTTGATAAGCTGGATAGCGAAAGTTTAGTTATCGGAATCATCCATGCCAGTCTACAGTCTACAACTCCAGTATGAACAAAACGAATAATAATTTGTACAAAACGTGGTTTGACTCAGCGATCGGGCAAGCTTAAAGTTAACAGATGAGGTGATTTCGGAGAGATATGGAGTCATCAGCTTTGTTAAGCAATCAAGAATGGCCGTTGAGTGGCTGCTTCTCCGCATATCTCGCCGAGATGACAAATGCGACAATGACGAGGTTGCTCACTAATTGACCCGTATTACGCCGGTTCATGAAAAGTGACTGTTGGTCCAGAGAATATTTAAGAGATAGTTGTGTCCTGCTGAAGATAGCAATTCTCAACAGAGCGTGTCAATTTGCATTGTTCTGCATTTATACTTGTCTCAGATCCTCGGTGTGTTGAAGTATATCGACTCAGCGACTCCGAATATCACCAACTGCAACTTGTCCTAAGCACAACGACTGTCAAAATGTCGACTACAACTATAACTACCACTATCACTGCTACTCCTGCAGAAGTAGCACCAGACTACGTCCCCAGGGGCGCAACAAGCGCCGACCTGACCTTCTATGCACCACCGGCCGACAACTCCGCACCCTTCAACTACGTCGAAACCCCACCCCCAGGCCAACCGCAACGCAACTACGGCGAAGACACCCAGAAAGTCTCCCTAACCGACATCCGCGGCACAGAAGACGCCTTCACCCTAGACAAAGACTCCTTCCAAGCCCTCCAAAACATCCCCTCCGCCACCACATACACCACCTTCGACTCCGACACCTCCATCCGCGAAACCTACTACCCCGAAGTCGAAGCCCTCCTCCTCCAGCACATCCCCAACGCCCACAAAATCATCCTCTTCGACCACACAATCCGCCGCGCAAACCCCAACGCGCCCCGCCAACCCGTCAACCGCGTGCACGTCGACCAAACACCCGCCGCAGCCCTGGACCGCGTAAACCTGCACATCACCGATCCCGCCGAGGCAGAAGCACTCGCACAGGGCCGCTACCGCATCGTCAACGTCTGGCGCCCGCTTAGCGCAGAGCCGGTGCAGTCGTCGCCGTTGGCATTTGCGTCTGCGGCGTCGGTGGAGGAGTCTGATTTGGTTGCCATTCAGCATCGGTATCCGGATCGGAATGGTGAGACGATGGGAGTTCAGTTTAATCCCGCGCAGAAGTGGTTCTATTGGTCTGGGATGACTGGCAGTGAGAGGTTGTTCCTCAAGTGTTCGGATTCGAAGGGGCTCAGGGATGGGGATGTTGCGCAGTGGGTGCCGCATACGGCGTTTACGGATGTGAGGACGCCTGTTGGGGCGAGACCGAGGGAGAGTATTGAGGTTCGGGCTTTGGTGTTTGGTTGAGAGAGTGGTTTGAGGGTGATGTTTGGATATTGGGATGGATCCAGTTGCTGGGAGGAGTTGTGTAATTTTTTGAGGTTTGATGATACATTGCAAGCTCATTGTGAAGGATATGCAGCGAAGACGATATGTGATTTAGTGATCTGTAATAATGAATTTTCATTCGATTTGTCCAGAATTCTCTTCGAGGAATATTGCACTACGCTGGTGGACTGGTATGTTGACTTAGATACAGACTCTAAGGGCTGTACTTTAGCATGGAATGACTGTATACGTTTGTATACATCCATATTAGCCAATAAGAAATGGAGATTACAGTGACAGCCATTGCCACGCTCAGAGACACGCCTTGGAAATCGAATCGCCTCCCATTCTCAGTCCCCGGGTTAGGGCTCAATATCATGATGATGAAACTCGGAATTAAAGGCCGGTCCTACCCAACACGTTAATCTAAGGTTGTAGTTTAATCTTGCGATGAGCATAACTTTTAAACATACACAACTCAGTCTGCATGTACAAACATATCAATCCTCATCATCCTCACGCATCCGCATATACATCCACCTAAAACCGTTTCACACCCACCATGCCCCGATCATCCAGTGACACAGCAACCTCCTCCGGCCCATCTCAACACCCTTTTTTTCGTGGTAATATTGGCCCTCCTCTCCGGACCTTCACAGACGCCGCCGCTGCACCAGCAGCCCGTGTCCGCATCCTCCCCGCCATCAAACACGACCACCGTGAACTAGAAGCACACATCCACAAGATCCTCCAATCCACCGATCCGGACGAACAAACCCGCTACCAAAACCAATTCATCTGGGAACTTGCCCGCCACACCATCGGCGAAGAACTCGTCGTCTACCCCGCGCTCGCCAAACACGTGAAAAACGGACAAGCCCTCGCCGACAGGAACCTCAGTGAACACCAGGGCTTGAAAGAACAGCTAAAGAGTTTCCAGAGCCTCTCGACGACGGATCCGCGATTTAAGCCGGCATTGCAGGGCCTTTTGGAGGATTTGGAGAAACATATCGAGCAGGAGGAAGGGGAGAATTTGGTGCAGTTGGAGGAGGAGCTTTCGAGGGCGGAGAGTGAGGCGTTGACTAGGTCGTTGGATCGGACGAAGATGTTTGTGTCGTCGAGATCGCATCCTACGGCACCGAATAAGCCGCCGTTTGAGACGGCGGTGGGACTGTTGACGGCGCCGATTGATATGGTGGCTGATTTGTTTAGGAAGTGGCCGCATCCTGACGGGGAGTAGCCGATGGGGAGGAAGAGTTCTGCTTTTCGCTAGTGTGTTAATTACTGGACTTATATAGAGAGTATAGATATTGCGAAATGTGCTTCATTATCGATCTCAGTCTAGATTCCACGTATTATCTGAGTACCGTAGTCGCCAGGTATTCTTAACCCTGGCATGTCAAAGCAGTCGACTCCGCCGTCGCCAGCGTGGACGCCCATTGCTTACTTTTGTAAGCGACGCAATTTAATAAACCGATTAGTATCACTCTTGGTCATCTCACAATCCTCATTGGTACCCATCGTAGTCTCCAACGACCGGCGTCTCTTCCACGCCTTGCGAAACTGATGCCGCTCTTCCTCCTGCTGTCTGGTGCGCATCAGCATAAACCCTTCATGGGCAGCTTTCTCCTTGCTCAAAGTTTGAATCTTAGATTTAGTGACAAGCACATTAGAATCAAATTCACATTCATAGTTCAAGGGGCTGAGGTGTGGTTTGTATGTATGGGGGGGATCTTGGCAGAGACGATATTATCTACTTCCACGCACAATTGGAGATCAGCACGACGAGAAAAGAAAGACGTACATAGGCAAGCCATAATTCCTGTTCCGAGCTCCAGGCCTTTTGACATCTGGCAAGTTGCTTCTCAGCCATGAGAAGTTGCTTCTCCTGTTCGTTCGTCCAGCGACATTGACTGCGGACGATACTCGACCAGCTCACCACGCGAGCAAGCCGGGCCCGCGCAGACGACGCACTGCTATGCGAGAGACGGCGGGTATCATGCTCCACTTGAGATTCCGAATCAGAGTCCGTCTCAGATAACTCGCTGGTAGAATCCTCCGGACTCGTGGTCTGGTCTGGGCCCGGCTTCACCGCTACATGCAGGGCGTGCGAGACGTCACAGTGCAGCGAGGTTGGGGCCGGGATATCGGCATCGTGAGTGCCGAGATGAAAGTGCTCGTGTGAGTCACGATCGGAAGTGTAGATTTCGATATCGCTCTCTTTTTCTTTCCCTTTGTCGGTGGATAGTCGACGTTTCCAGGGCAGGACGAAGGGAAAGGCCCGTTGCACGATAGTAATGACCGACATGGGCACGCTGTGGGGACATAGATGCCGTAAGGTAGAAAAAGAAAAGAAGAAAGGAGTATATCTTAATGAGGGTCGATGGGTAGAGAATGTGATTTTCTTCCGGAGAAGTCCACTCCCAGCCATTTATAATGTCTTCGTCGTTTCTCAAGGCTTGTACTGTAGTTCCTGCCAGAATCGATACCTCAGGGGACGAAAACGAACATGCAGCGGCGATTTACACCAAAGTGGGGTTCGATCAGATACGTCTCCTGCTTGGCTGTCCACGCGAGAGACAGGAGAGTCTCGGCGTCTTTGGTTGGTCCAGGCTCCGTTGCTGGCTGCAGCTTTGGTCGAGACTGCAACGGATGCCCAGTTTGCGCGTTGCGCGGGTGTACCTCGAAGGCGTGAGTAATTGTACATGCGTTTGTTTGAGTCCAAGTCTTCGAAAATGTTGTCGTGGAACTGGTTAATCCTCTAGGGAAGTAGAAGGCGTAGATGGGCTTCCATGGGTTGAGATAATCTGCAGTTATGAGATCTGTTACTATGGTCAAGTCTCTACAATATCGCCGCCCTTGCGTTGTTCATGTTCGCCGTCGGGAAAATAAGGAAGCAAGAGGGACGATCCGAGCGTCCGTGGCTAGGTCTTTCTGGCAAAGTTGCAGCATTCGAAACTCCATACAAGATGTTCGCAGGTGCCCAAGGATCCACTTCAGGGATATGATCATTGTTCAATTGTATAGTGCGGTCAAAGGGGACAGTGGTCCCCTGTACATACAACATGCTCGAATACCAGTCAAGTCCATACACAAGATGGGAAACCCAATGTCATAACTCAGTCCAAAAAGAAAAACCGTGAGGGAATCATAAAAAGAACATAAAACAAGAGAATGAAAAGGCAAAACACCGGCGTAAGTAACAAGAACCACGGACTCCGTTCCAAATGCCCAACGACCCAATCACGACCCCCAAAATAAAAAGACAAAAGGAAAAAAAAACCGGATCAAAAGCAAGTATACATCCATCTGTACACTTTCAACGCCATGTATCAACAGACGCCCCCCGCGCCGACTTGGCTTTCTGATTCTCTCGGATCTGCTCGCCAATAATGATGCTAATCAATCTCCGGTGCAGGTCAGCTTCGGTCCATTCGACCTGCCCACTGCCACCATACTCGACGTCGGCGCGCGAGAGATCATGCACAAACCGATCGATAATGGCAAACTGTACCTCGGTGATAGGGACCCCATGATGGCCGTCCGAGGTCCAGATCCAATCACCGATGATCTCAGCACGCCCTGGCGCCTCGTGGTAGGGGAAACGTTCCGGGGAGCGCTTTGCCATTCGGTAGACGCGCCGAAGGGCTTTGTAGTGTTCATCGGAAAAGTAGCCGAATATTGGCAGGGGTCTAGGCCGTACTGATTTGGTATGATCATCGACCATTTCTACAGGGTCGGCCCCGGCAAGATCGTCTTCCATAAAGTCCTGTTTGACGATGCTGCCTTCAGCATGAACCTCTGAAACATCGTCTTGCACATCATCAAAGTCGCCTTGCTCAGAAGAGTACTCTTCCTCCTGTTCAATGGAAGGCACATGACCATGTCCATTCAATCGCGGAGGACTAGCCGACTCTTCCAGGTATCTTGAAGGCGATTCACTCGAACGATATGAAAGAGGCGCTTGTTCATAGTTCTCGCGAGTTTGCTTCGCTGACTCGATCTCCGCGACTCCCACCTGATTCTCCTTGTCATCATCCTCATATTCGTCCTCGGAAGCTGCCACCGAACTGGAGCTGTCATCCTCATCTCTGTTGGGCGCTTTGAGCCACCGAGGTGTGAGACTAGTAATTCGCTGGAACCAGGTTGATGCCGGGGCATCCTGGTCTGATTGGCGTGGAGGCTTCGGAGTAGCGGCTGCGGCATCCGTATAACCGGGTTCGGTCCCGTGAGCAGCATCAGAGAAAATTTCTGGCTCATCGCGCTCCTCTTCGATTCGCTCTTGGCGAGAGATATTGTGTTTAAAGGCAGGAGAATAGCTAAACTCTGCTTCTGATCCTATTTCTGGGCTGGACTGGGAGATAGGCTGCAGGCGCACTCGCTGACTCTTTCGGGTAGAGGATGCGGATTTCATGGCTGATGCAAGGGGAGCTCCAGGTTGGCGGCTCGGCATATCTCTCGGTGTGCTTGTGCCATTATAGTAGCGGGCACGATTTGGGGTCTCCTCTTCAGCGAGAATGGCAGACAGATCGACATCCTGATCGCGTAGCTTTCGAATATGTGTTGGAACCTGGTGGAGGCCATCGGGGTGCTCCAAAGTCACGTAAGCCGGAGATGAGCTCAAATGATCTTGATTGCTAGAGAGGCTCGCGACTTTCCTCCAGGGGCTGGAAGCGTCCTGGACGACGTCCCTCTGGGTCCGACTCTCAGAGTGTTGCGAGAGGTTGCTTTGATCACGAGCCTCCATTTGCCATATGTCGTCACCATCATCGTCTTCATCCACATGTCCATGCTCCTTTTCCATATTTTGATCATGTACTGGAAGCGGGACAAGTGCATGCTCAGGCTCAGAGTGGAAGGTATCTTGTCGCCATATGTCCTCAGAGCCATCGTCGTCATCTTCATAAATTGGCTCCTCCTCCGCATGTATTGTTTGGGCCGCGGCGGGTCGGGACACACGTACAACATCCGGCTCAAAATTCTCAGGCTCTTCGTCGAATGATACTTCATCTGGGGCCTCCTCGTAAACTGGCCCCTCGTCGAGGAGCCGCTCATCAATAATAGGCTCGACCTGAGTCTGTAAATGACCAGAGGCATCCTTGGGGTCCTCTTGTGGGATCTCCTCGTCGCTCTCAATATGTATGAGTCTTCCTGAATTGATCGGGTCCCTAGCATGACGACTGACAATTTCGCGCTCACGTTGCCACTCTTGCTCCTGCCGTGCTCTTATTGAGTCGTTTGTGTTGGCTCGCGGGGAAACTGTCTGCCGAGGTTGAACTGATACTACCATGGGTTCATCGTCATCTTCCTCCCCCTCCTCTTCCTCCTCACTCTGATAATCACCTTGCCGATCCCCCATCGGGTCATCATCCATAGGGACATCTTCACCCTCTAATTCCTCAGCTTCTCTAGCTTGCTCTTCCGTTGCTAGTGCTTGACGCATCGCGAGTTCTTGTCCAATTCCAAGAGCAGCCCGCAATTCTCGCTGCGTAGCAGGACTAAAGCTGCTGAAGACACCCTCAAGGCGCTTCTTTCGACTTGCATTGCCGCTTCCTGGGACCTCGCCCTCGCGGGGTCTGAATGTTCCTTGAAGGGCCATGCCGACACGAACTACCCTGGCCAAGCTGATTGGCGTTCTCCTAGGTGTGTCGTCGAGCGGCTTTTCCGGCGAACGCGTCACAGGAAGCTCAGGGTAGGAGACCTGAACAGGAGCTTGCGCGTTCGTAGTATGCCGCTTCGGGTCGGCGCGTGCTAGGGCATGCCGTTTAGGAGAGGCCGTTTGGGTCGCTGGGCTTGGCCTTGCCGAGCTTTGAGCATCATTGCGGAAGGTATCAATTGTCCCTGACAATTTACGCTTCAACCGGTCACCAATACGTCCAGACTCTCGTTCTTGTTTGGAAACATCTGAATTGACTTTGGTGCTGGACCCGAGGCCATATTGCTTCGCGGATGGCAGTGTGTCCAGAGAAACCATAGTAAATCCTTCGCTCTCCATGATCGAGTCGAACTCTTCATGCTCGTCCGTGGGATCCGCCAACGGCTCGGTTTGGTGCTCATGATCTGTGTTCGTCTCTCGGGGATCGTCTTGAGGCTCCACAGCCTGCTCCCCTGGTTGATTCTCTTCATCGGCCAGCGACGAAGTCGGGGTTGGGGTCGGGTAGGTACGTGGAGACACAGTGCTGCCACCACGGCGTGAAGATCTTGCGGATGAGCCTAGTCTTTCTCGGGTAGGTGACGGCATCTTGGAAGGAGTCGAGTGTATATTCTCGTCATTATCGAGAAAATGGTGTTCGGTAGCGCCGATGACCGGGGTATCGTAGGTAGCTCTGCCGTATTCATGAGCTGTATTGGTCTTCTGGTTCTGCGCATGTGCTGGAGTTGGAGCACGAAGGTTTGCGACAGGCAAATCATCTGCACCGAGGGAATCGCTATCTAATCCTTCATCCGTAGTAAGATTCATGGGGCTCCATTGCCGATCGGGGTTTGCGCTGCCATCGGCTGTTATATCCATCGGACTAAAGTGTTGTTGCGGTGGCCCTATCGTTGGAGTAGGCTCCTCTTCTGGCTCATCCTCGGGCTCGTCTGCTAGCATCGAGATTACTTGCGCCTGCGGCTTTGGCGTACCCCTGCGCGGTCGTCCCGGTTTCCTTTTTGGCGTAGCTCCCACCGGCCCTGGGGTATTCCCTGCACTTCCGGGCCATGGCGAGCCATTCTGTGATTGAATATTTGATTTTCGAGGACCGCCGCGCCGTTTGGCAGGCGTTTTTTGTTTCAAAGGACTCCCGTCGTCTTTCAATGGAACCATAGTCGTCACTGTCGCGGGCCGTAACCGTTTACGCGACGGGCTCGTGTTGCCCTGATTCTCCTCGTCCTGCGTCGCCTCGAGCGTGACTCGAATACGCCAAGGGCTCACGTTGCCATCTTGTCCAAATTTCTCCGGCGAAAGTGACCTTTGGCGACCATCAAGTTTCATTGTAGGCGACCCAGGGAGTAGGACATCGTCGAAGCGAATCGAATGCGCGCTTCTCGTAGGACTCAGTGTCACACGCGGCCGTTTCGCGGGGGTCCGTTGTCTTTTCACGGTCGCAGGTGACAGCCAGCTCTGGCGACCTGTGAAGGGCTTTATCGGGGACGAAATGAGATAGTCGGCATCGCCTGGAGGGCCCAAGATGTCGGGGGAGGAGCTCTGGCTGCGCGACGTGATTGACATGGCGTCCTCGGACAATGGAGTCTTGGGCACGCGCGTGCCACTAGGGAGGGGGAGAGGGCGCCCCTTGTGGAATGTACCGAGGACAAAAGTAACAATGAGCAGGCAATATGTACACGAGCAGATCAAATACCGCGGGGCTATGGCGTAAACAAGTCTCCCGAAGCGGCACGAGTTGGTGTCCACCTGGAGACCTTCGGTTGATCAAGTGGATTATGTAATCGTGTCCCAATCAGGAAAGCATGTAAATATTCGGGCAAGAGCATGCAACTATATTGTTGCGTCTTCTGTCAAGCTTTCTTTGTGTCCAAGGTGGGTCGTGTATCAAATAGACTTTCGTCAATTGTTATAGGATTCTCACAGCCTCGGCATCTTTTCTGGATCATCAAAGTACTCGCATTGTACAAACCCCTACGAATCACCAAGATATCACTATGTACATACTATACCTCGTCCTCGTCGACCTGTACGTCACGCACCCGATCTAGCTCTGTTCCACAAACACGAGCAACGGCATGCACGCATTCGCAGAGCATCTTGACATCCTCCTTTGAGACTCCAACTCTTCTACAACCCCTGATATGCCAATACGTCATCCGCGGAAGATTCTGACCCATCACAGCGGGTAGGACCATGATCTCGATATCCAGGTCATCCAGAATCTGGCGATCGGATAGACACAGCCCATAAGCAATATCGCAGACGGCAGATCCAAAATCGCGGTGTTTTCTGAACATGTCGAGTAGGGCCGGCGTATTCTGGGCGTATATTTTCTGCAGCCACGCCATGCCGCGATGGTGGTTTGCGTCGTCGTACTGCCATCCCTCACGAGTAAAGGGCGGGTCTCCATCCTCATCTGGCTGCATACAAGAGATGGAGATGACAGCTTCGGCTGGAATCCCCAGTAGTGCAACAGCCTTAAGAATCACCTCGTTAAATCGGTGAGTCAACGTCCTTCGCTTGCTCGAGGCATCGTACGGAGGTTTGCTGATCAAGTGCAAGTACAATTGGCCCGCCATGGACGGCTCTGAGCTTGGGATGATAGAACCTAGTGCCGTGAGATACCATTTTTCAGTCGGAATATCCGATACTTCGAATCTGGTCTCGATCTCGCGGAAGAGTTTACGGCATCGTGGATCAACCGAAACGCGGTCGATGTCGGGAGAGTCACTTTTGGGCATGTTTAGGACAATATGTCATTCAACTCCCGTGCATATCCACAGAAACAAATTCAAAATGCCATAATTCAGGAGACGACCACATTGAGGAGATCATGGAATTTCGCCTAGTCGTCCCCATGACGCATGATTCGAGTGACCTGGCGCGGAGGGTGGCAAGCCACGGGTTTCTTTTCCTCACGCATGGCCAGACCAAGGGTTGAGTTGGTAGGGCAACATCAAACGCCATGACTTTGAAATGAGCATAAAGATCAAAAGGTGTGCGGTACTTCTGAATATTGAAATTTGCTCTCGGTTTCACCAGCTTTTATATTCTATTTCGATCTACCAGAGGTTGATAATACGATACCACCGAGACTGGAGGAATGGCCAATCCATCGAGAAACCTAGTCGCGTCACTAGATCAATTCCATGTCGATCCATCTTCCTTTATCGACCTAGTTTATACCGACTGCGCAGATGCATGTCGGCACTTGACATTTCGCGCCGGTTTCTTGGCTTCACGCTATTACTGGGTGATCAACAGGGGCAGCTTCAAAAGCTAGGATGACCACTGGTCATGTTGATTATTAAAACTAGAACTCTCCAAGCCTTTTCCTCCTGGGGGGGATCTGATCTTAGCTATTGATTGCTCCTTAACATGGGAAATGCTCTAGCCCGTGCCGCGCAGTTTAAGATATGTATAGATATCCGAGATGTAGATTTAGTGAACACGCAGTATCGAGTCCCATGGCCACAGTGAAATAGGTCCATTGTGTAGGAGCATTTGAATTTCCGTTCCCTTCTTTCTAGCATAAGTTGACAATTAAGCTTCTCTCGTGGTAGTACAGTAGAGCCCTACGCGGGAAGCTTGAACCAGCCCAGTGCAGATCTTTCCTGCGCAGAAAAGAACGATCACTCATGCCATGTGAGCGGCTGGCAAAGAGGCCCGTATCACTAAAGTTGAGCTGATCGCAGTCCATGATACCACACGAGGGCGCCTTGACCTTCTATGACTTCAAAATCAGGTTGATCAGCATTACCCCGCGCCTTGGATGAGCGCGGATAATACGTCCAAGCTGCCCCTGCTACTTTGTACCTGGCAGCACTATGAAAGACGTGGCACCAGTTATGAAGCTCTGGTTTCCGCGTGCTGGCAGGGTCTTGCCGTCTAAAGCTTTGACTCTAAAGAACAGGCTGAACGGACTCCCGGGTCTGACACGACGTGCTTCTCGCCCGGGTGATTGAATGAACACACCAAGATGACTGCCCATGGTTAAATTGTTCCAAGGTATCTCTAAGCGATAAGCGAGCAGCCGAGGGCGTTGTCAGCTCGGAAAGTAGCGATTTAAATGTCCGGATACCGGGCAGCTCGAAAGGGATATACTCCGGTTGAGTCCACGACCAGACGAGGGCCGTCAGACCGCCGTGGCATCGCAAACAAGACTCGCTTCCTGCTGGAGAATAATCGAAAATCATCAAAAATCATGATTATCCAGGGAAACCCCAAATAAATTCGTTGTTATTTTTTCCAGAGAAAGCAAAGTACATACTAATCCGTAAGGGATCGGCATTTCCGTTCATTTCTGGTTTCCACAGCCAGGGATGATGGGCATTCCACCCAATCCTGCTTCTTGGACTAGGACGAGAAGGGGCTAAGCTCCATTGCCTTTGACGGAGGAACTACCACTGCTCCTCCGTCGGCAATCGACCTTCGTATACTCCGGACAGTCGTAGATTAAAATCTGCGTAGGGTCCTCTCCCCCCAGAGCACTCCACCGGAGTTTTGCCGCTCGTGCTTGGCTCTCGCGGGGCTAGCGTTGAGGTCACATTTTAACCGTCCCGTTAAGATGCGCCTCGCAGAGCTTGATGGCGACCCACTGGCGGGCCTAAACAAAGCCCACAAAGCCACTCGACTGGATCGGAACTCTGAATGTTTGGGATCCAGTCCCTCAGGCTAACCTCAGACTGGACTAGCGTCATGCGCTTCTCCGCTCAACCCCAGCCTCACACCTCACATTGTCTCCTGAATCCATGCACAATTGCAACATCCCAGCCTAAACAGTCCAAACTCTCCTCTCCTCGTCTTTTCGCAGACCCCGACCATCCCCGTTAATCCTGTCATTCTCCACCTCGTTGGATCAAGCCAATGGTGGTCTCTGATCTCTTCACGTCACTGCTTTCGGATAATTCGTGATTGTTGGGACCCTCAGACCATCGAGCTGCATCTTACCCCAGTTTCCTGAAGCCTGGCTAGCCTTTCCTTCCCCCTCCCCCTAGCGTCCAGCCATGCGGAGACGAGGTTAGCGGCGAATGACGATGATTACTACGATCGGAAAGGAGCTTCCAATTCCATAAAATGCGCAGCCCTCCCCTCCGCTGCATCCGCTCATTCCTGTGTCCGGCGCGTGTTACACCTCGACTCCTCCTTGTTTACTGCTCCCTGTTCCTTACAGTCACTCTACTTCTGGGCGTCAGGATGCATCTCAAGTCGTACCTCGCAGCTGCCATTTATGGCCTGCCAGCTCTGGCGCATGCCGCGCCCTCTCCAGCTTCGGGTTCCTCGTCGTCGGCTTCAAGTAGCTCGAGCGACCCTCACTTCAAGACCTACACCATCAAGGCGGAGAATATCACTGCCACGCTGATCCCTTACGGTGCCCGTCTTACTTCTCTCTTGGTGCCAGACCGTGATGGCAACGAGCAGGATGTCATCGTTGGCTACGATGACCCTAAAACCTATCTTCACGACAGTGAAACCAACCGCACTTTCTTCGGTGCTGTCGTCGGTCGCTACGCGAACCGTATTAAGAACGGAACCTTCTCCATTGATGGCACTGCTTATCACATCCCGGAGAACGAGAACGGTGGTCGTGACACCCTCCACGGCGGTTCTGTCGGCTATGACATGCGCAATTGGACGGTCACCTCGCACACTGACTCGGCCATCACCTTCAGCCTCTTGGATCAGGGCTTGGAGAACTTCCCCGGCGACGTGATCTCCTATGCCACCTTCAGTGTCTCCACCCAGAAGTCGGCAGAGAACCCCAAGGGTCTGCCCCAGCTGACCACCAAGCTTGTCTCGCTGGCTCTGACCCAGAAGACCCCCATCATGCTGGCCAACCACCTCTACTGGAACCTGAACGCGTTCAAGAACCCTACTATCTTGAACGACACCCTCCTGCAACTCCCTCTCTCTGAGCGATTCATCGTCGGAGATGGCATTCTCATTCCCACCGGCGAGATCGGCGATGTGGACACCGCCTACTCGGGTGCTCTGGACTTCACCGAGCCCAAGCTGATCGGCAAGGACATTGACAAGACCACCGGCCTGTGCGGCACTGGCTGCACCGGCTACGACACTTGCTGGCTGGTGGACCGCCCTGCTGCCTACGGCGCCGGGGACACGGTCGTCCCCACCGTGCGCGTCGCCTCCGAGAAGACCGGTATCTCCCTGGAGATTGCCACCAACCAGGCCGCCATGCAGGTCTACACCTGCAACGGCCAGAACGGCTCCATCGCGACCAAGGACTCGCAGGCCAAGCGTAACAAGGCCCAGGATGGTAACCCTGGCGCTGCCTTTGTTAACAAGTACGGTTGCGTCGTGTTCGAGACGGAGGACTGGATCGATGGTATCAACCAGCCTCAATGGGGCCGCCGTCCTTACCAGATTGCTGGCCCTGACGATGGTCCCGTCGTCAACTTTGCCACTTACCAGTTTGGTACCATTTAAAGAGGGGTTTGGTAAAGGGTCTCTCTGCGTTATACACGTGCCTGGAAACCGTAATATCCTCTAATTTTATTTATATTTTGGTCTGTCAATATAGGTAACTACGCAGGCCGTTGGCCCAATCATGTACATATCCATCCTTGGCAGCCGCACTTCATAGTAATCTGCACTCCATACCCCAAATACTTCCCTCCAGAGGACAAATCTTTGTGAGACATTGTAAGCGATAATCAACTTGTCTTCGCCCAACAGCGACCTGGAGATTATTTAGTCATTCTCTCTTTCTGCTTTTGTCACTGCACATGTTCCAAGCCACACCAGCCTCATCACGAACTTGCTAAGCTGGCGAACATGAGAAACCTCGATTTTCGTCAAAGCTCGCACAGGCATATTGCGTATCGTATTGGCAGCCGATATGAGAAGCTCCAGGTCAATCCGCGATTGTGCATCGAGGGGGTGAATCACGATATTGAGGAAGAGTGTCATAGTGGCCGCAGTCGAATAAAACGTGACGAACCTTCAGCTTCAGTTAGTATCCGTGGCACAGAGACCTACTACCCCAGAGAATACAATTGTGTGCGTACCTGAATGCGTCCTCTGCAATCAAACTGACAAGGTTTCTCAAACACCACAGCGTTGAGCGACTAGCCACCAACGAAATATCAAAACTCGAATGAACCACGCTATGCAGGTCTGGCATTTCGTCACTGGTTTCAACCGTGCATTTTCTCACCGTTGTATGGATCACGGTCATCAGGTGATGGTAGTCTAACTGTAGAGACATGCGTCGGATAATGAACGGGATGCCTTCATCGGTCGCATTTGGTAGAGTATTTTTCGAGACAAAGAGTGCAGGGCGGAAATTGACGGGGATGGAGAGTCGCCAGTGCTCTATCTCGTCGTCTAGTTGCCGAATATTTAGGAGGAGTTGATTGTCATTTTCTCGCATTGCTCGAGCGGATAGGAGTTGTCGGTAGACCTTTTCCTTTAGATGGCATAAATGAGGGTCTCCCGGGAGATGGGGTTTGATATTCGCTTGACTTTCCTCGTTGTTTGCCAATGACAAATTCAAGGCTGGTAAGTAGGCATAGTGGTCGTAATAATTGTCAGGCAAAATCAGGTCACAGTAGATTTCGGAGAGAAGAGGAGGGTTGCCTGTGAAGAGCGAGATATCTTTGTCGAGCATGTAGCATAGCCAAAATAGCGTTCGAATATGGCGAGCTTCCCGTTCTGAACTGGTATTCTCAAGGCTGGAGGAACTTGATGGTTGACACATGTGACCTTTTAAAGCGCAGACTATGCGACACGCAATGGATTGAAAAAAGGTCGCGCCTTGCCAGTCGGTACAAAATGTACGTTGTATTTGCTGACTCGATTATCAGCTTGTATACCCTCAGCAATCACTACACCATAAACTCACCAATATGATTGCCGCCTGTAGCGTCGGCAAGCTGACATCCTCGGCAACGTGTAATAAAAGACAATATGCCTGGGCTGCACACAAGTCGGCATCCATGGGAAACGAGATCTGCCTCGACATGGCTAGACGAGGTGCAATAGCTAACATGCTCAAAACACATGCCCTGGCCGAGACTTGCCTGAGGGAGCATAATGTCCCCTCTACAGGCTCATATGCAGTTTCAATCGTTTTTACAAACAGTGTCTCATCCAACACAGGGAAAGCGAGTCGGAATGAGGACTTGAAAAACGCGGTTATAACTTCCCGAGTCGCCTCTATATCAGGCAATTCGCATATAGCTTCTGAAAGAGATGGGCGAAGGGCAGAAGCTTCAGAGAACTGCATAATAGGAATACTGAAATCAGCCCATGACACCGGCTGGCCGGTTCTTTTGGAGATCCATTCGCGGCCTGGTTCAGAGGACATGGCAATGCCATTGAAGTACCAATTGGGCCCCCATTGCGTGGCAGATCTATGATTGCTGGCAGGATCCTCTTTTGCAGCAAGGCCATAGGAGCCAGTGGGCGTTTGGGCAAAGGTAGCGGGAGATAGAGAGCTGGCAGAAAAGACGGGGCCTTCCCTACCACTTGCTACGGTTGAGGCATGGGGGAAGCTGATTCTCGTATGGACCGGAGTAGTCGATTCTTCTGGGTAATCTGAAGCAACACGCGGTGACTCTGATGTAGGACCAACCCGCGACAAGGCACCTTCTAGCTCCTGAATACGTTGGAACAAGTTCTGTACATCACTAGGACCCGGAAGAGTGAAGCTTTAGAATCGAGTGTATAAAGCCGCAGGGCGAGGTATTAGGAAGAATTCAGACCTGTTACGCCGTTTCTTCCGCGGGTTCTCCCTCCGAAATGTGCATTCGAGACCACGCTCACTGCACCACTCACAAGGGCCATCTGGGTTAGGAAGTGAGCATTGGACCTGGATGGGAATGGAGTTAACATCCGCGCGGCTGATAAATTTAGAAACCTTAGAATAGATTCAAAGATAATCACCTTTCTTCTGTAACAAATGTCGCATGCTTTTTTCTGACGTAAAGATCTCTTCGGAGGCATCTAGCGGTCTCTAGCTGGTCATTCAAATGGTGTTTACTATCGGAGGCTGTGGAAATCTTCGGAGGATTCGGAGGCCGCAGAGATATCATGTGATGTCAGGGTGGAGATCCACAGGAATGTCATTGGCTCTGCGAGTGTTTCCTACTTGCCTTCCATGGCCAATAGCAGCTGTCCTCCGGTCCCCACTTCCCTTAAAGCTTCAGCTCCTAGCGGCGTTCGGAACCTGAGGACGCCGGATCGTGAGATGATCCTCTGGCCAATTGTGCACCATGATGCCGGAGTTTATCCTCAGGGTAGAACCCCTGGCTCTCCGAGATCAGTTTCAATTCTTGAGACAACACCTCCTAGAAGCCACGTGAACGATGGCCACCCGCAGAAGCGCGCAACCGGTGCCTGATGAGCGTACGCCTCTCGTCGTCGACCCTGGAAATGCAGAGGTTGCAGCTTCAAATATCTCTGGGGATGAAGGCTGTCCACAGAGCCAAATATCGACAAGAATAACCCATCGCCTTTACGTATCACATTTCCTGTCAACATGGAACTCCCGTGTCTTCGAGTTTGGAGCTGTCCTGTACTTGGCCACAGTCTATCCAGGAACGCTGCTTCCAATGTCCGCGTATGCGCTCTCTCGTGGACTAGTAGCAATTCTCTTTTCCTCGGCGGTGGGCCACTACATCGACGTGGGTAATCGTTTGCAGGTCGTTCGAGTTTCAATTGGTAGGTTTGCTGCCACTCGGAGATTGGCAAATGTTTCGAGCAACACCGCTAACTTCTTCTTAGTGTTGCAACGACTTGTCGTGGCTGCATCGTGTGCGATCTTCTATGTACTGGCAATTGGCTTTTCTATGACACAAGTGGTTAACATTTGTTTGCTGGCGACTCTTACGCTCCTGGCCTGTATTGAGAAGCTATGCTCTATTTTGAATATGGTATCCGTGGAGAAAGATTGGGTAGGATTACATGCGCCTGTTAATACTAATCTCCTACTGACAAAATATAACAGGTTGTGGTTGTTGCTGGAACTGATCATGCAGGACTCAGGAGTGCGTTAAGAAAATCTAACTGTATATTCAACTTTCAAAGCTAATCATTTGGCGCAGCAATGAACGCCCAAATGCGACGGATTGACCTGGTCTGCAAGTTACTCGGACCTCTTTTCATCGCTCTCATTGATGGAATATCATCAGAAACCGCCATAGTAGTCAACTTCGGAATGAACGTCTGCTCCGTCGTGGTGGAGTACTACTCAATCGCCAAGGTAAGACCTATGCTCTATCGTCCAGATGTGCTGGGCATTTTACTTACAGTCACTCTCAGGTGTACGATGAAGTGCCCGAACTGCAGGAAGCAAAGAAATCTCCTCCTAGACACCGAGTGGAATCTGAACAGCAAGGTTTCTTTGTGCGTATCTGGAGATCTGCCTGTCAAGGCGTACGACAAGCTTTCAAGGACTTCGGTTTCTATTTCAGACACCGTGTCTTCCTCCCATCTTTTGCTGGAGCTCTGTTATACTTGACAGTCCTGTCTTTCGCAGGGCAGATGGTCACTTGGCTTCTGTCCACAGGCTATGATTCAACGCAGGTCGCAGTTGCAAGAACTCTTGCAGTCGCATTTGAGGTACTGGCCACATGGGTTGCCCCTTGGCTGTTGGGAAGGATCGGACCTACTCGTGCTGGTCTTTGGCTGGCAAGTTGGCAGATTTTATGTCTGGCTGGTGGCTTTGCTATCTTTTGGCGCTTCACTAGCCAGCCTTTCCTCTCTTCATCTGGTCTTGTGGGCGGTGTGATTCTCAGCAGACTGGGCCTGCGAGGATTTGACCTCTGTGCGCAGATCTTGGTTCAAGAGGTGAGTCGTTTACATTGGATAATGCATATTCCGGTAAATGAAGAGATACTGACCTCCATTGAAATATGCAGGGTATTGAAGCTGAGGCCCGGGGCTCTTTCTCCTCGACGGAGGCTGCGTGGCAGAACCTGTTTGAGATCTGCTCTTATATCTCCACCATCATTTTCTCGCGTCCGGATCAGTTCAAATGGCCAGCCCTTATCAGCGTCATCTCTGTTGCTCTTGCTGGTGTTCTCTACGCAATCTTTGTCCGGATCCGAAGAGGACATTTATTACACCTGCCAAGTTGTTTCCCTCATGACCGCTTGCATCGCTCTGGAGAACGAGCTCTGGACAGAATTTCCTCCTTCTCCAATATCTGATTTTTGGCTTAGCAGAGTCAACAGCAACTCTGGCAACTTGACATGCATTTTGGAGAAGGTGTAAAAAAGGAGATGTGATCGCTTCGCATTGATAGAAGCCAGACACGGCGTGCAGTGTGGTTCTATATACTGTAAATTTACTCCTGACTGTACATATTCATATGTGTCCTGTCTCTCTGGTACATAGGACCTGAATCATTTTTGAGGCTCAATCATAAGCCCAGAGACTAAAACTTATTCTGAAGATTCTATAGCATTGGCGGCTTCCGTGGGAAACTTTTGTATCACAATGCAAATCGATGGTTAGATTAGATAGGGTGTATGACTTATTTATTGAGTCTGCATTTACAACCCTAGACTCATTTCCTTGATGCGACTGGTTGGGTACACCCAGCTTGAATCTAGGCAAATTCAACCCTCCAGACATCTCCGAGTCGATCATTCGACTCTCCCAGTCCACCATGAACGATAATGGCACTGGAGTCCTGAATATCAGCATCAAACCAACCTCTGGCAACTGGAAGTTCAGCGCCCTGCAGCTCCACTTGCTCCCACTTCTTGTTCTCAATATCAAAGGCCCACACATCACCCAACATCTTCCCCGCGCCCTGGTGGCCCAAGGAACTTGGATCTCGCTCTCCGAACAAATTAATCAGACAAGACCGGCCATTGACAGAGACTGGCAATAAGGCGCTAACACTCCGTGGCGATGGGCCTTCCTTTCCATCAGGTGCATACACGTGAGTCTCCCAAGAGTTTGTCTCCGGAGTATAGATGTCCAGGTTTCCACCTTGTTCAGTCTTTCCATCGAATCCATTCATGCGATACAATGTTCCATCCGCAAACGCAATCGATGTACCACCACGAGGGGGATCGAAAGCAGGTGCAAGCTCGGTCCATTCTTTGCGTGAGACTCTGAAAGCCCACAAGTCTGCCAGTCGTCCCGATTCAGGGCATCCAGCATGAATGTAAAGTGTATCTCTGCCGTCACTGGCCATGCAATGATAGCTGCGAGCAGCTGGGATAGCCGCCGACTTCGTTGTTGAGGGCTGAATCAGACACCAGGTTGAAGTGGAAGGATCATATTCCCAGATCGCGCCTTGTTCCTCGATCGGGGCCATTGCGACTCCACCTCGACCGGAGAATAGGTATACTTTTCCATTGAGGATTGCAGATGCTGTTCCCACGCGCGCGGACGGGGATTGGGCTGCTTGAGACTGGGAAGTTATCGAGGCTGTGAATAAGGAGAGAATTGATTAGCGTTGTTGGAATAAGGGTGTTCCTTGATGTAGCTCGCAGCTTACCGATGTCCAAAGACACGGCGTGCACGTGATTATCTCGAGGCTCACGAGGTCGCAGCTCTCCTCCAAAGATGTATGCTTTATTATCGACAACCGAGACAATTTGTGACGACCGCTGAAGGATTTCAGCCTCCAGAAGCTTGTGGCACTTAGCAGTGATCGCCATTGTGACAGAATGTGAATTGTCCCGTGCTGTACGAAAGTGTTTGAATAGAAATGACAACAGAGAAAGGAGCGAGCTGTAGCTACAAATACCCAACGGTAGCTCCATTAACTCGGCCATGGCAGGTGGGCCAGTTCGACGAACGTCATCCTGTCATCCCCAGTGATGGGGATCCTGCGAGGTTCCGAATCGCCGTTGCACCCATCCTAAAGGACGGAAGGGGTATAGAGACCAACCAATGATATTGAATCCTTGCCTTCCCCACACAAGAACGGATTGTTCACTAAACCGAAATGGACTAGCGCCAAGCCTCCTTGTAAATGGACGGCCTCCGAAGCCTCCGAAGGACCTGGCGGTTTTGATTTTACAGTAGAGCTTTCATACATCCATAGGTGTTGGTGAGCTGGCTAACCTAGCTCTATTTCCCGACAGCTTGTCTGACGATTTACTACATCCTCGAAGATATATTTCCGAATTGTAGCGTGCGAAGTGAAATCTGGCCTGCTTGACATCCCGAGTTGATGAGGCTACCAGGTAGATATCCCTGGTTTTGGGTACAATGCGCCGAAGTGTTTCCGAGCCGACACTCTGCCAGAGTATGGGAACATGTATCTTCCTGCCTGACTAACGCAATGAGCATATTATACGAAATAATCTACAATCTGGATAGAATGTTTCGCCCAGTTTCCCCTGTCCCCATTACAATCTCCTCCTCCCAGTAATTCGGATTGAATGTGATCCGGTTGAGTGGGTTCAAGCGATGGGCTCTATTGTAGAGATCCTCGTAAGCACGGCCATCATATCGTCCCAGTGCACTGCAAAATGGTTAGCTTTTGAGATAACTTTCCAGGTCGCGCGAGAAAAGTATTACCTATCCAAAAGGTAGTCGGGAATCTTCCACGAATCAACCAAGTTGACAGCATGTGGCCGAATCCGCGCCATCAATTCCTGGACACGGGACGGAAGGGTATCGAGATCGGACTGAGCCACAGCATTGCAGCGGAAAACTGTATTTGGAGGTTTGAATTAGCAATGCTCTGGCGTGAGCTCCAGTGAGAGTTGATCTTGTCTCACATTCGTATCCTTCATTCTCCATGGTATAAAGAGCAAAAAGGCGGAACAAGTCCCACAAAATGGTCTTCGCTGGGTTCGAGAGAGTATTGTCGGTTGACAAAGCTTCAAAGAAAGTGGCCACGAGTATTGACTGGGATTGAGCTAGTGTAAAGTATCAGCATGTTAACCGAGAAACATGGAGGATTGAGGCCTACCTTTGCTCAACTTGTGAAGCTGGATTAGAAGGCTATTCCAGTTTTGCTTCTTCAATACGCGCTGCTCATATGCATCGTAGGCCTAAAGATTGTTAGACAAGCTATCACCACAATCAACGAGAGTGAAGCATTCTGGACGTACTAAAGCCGTTGCTCGGAGTTCGAAGCTCTTAACGATATCTCGATCGCTCAATAATAAGCTTCGTCGGGGCTGGCTAGAACCGGCATTCCGTTTGTTCCGAATAAACTCCTTGAACCGAGCATCTGTCTCGTCTGTACCAGGGGCGTTGATTGACTCCACAGCAACAGACATCTTCTTAATCAGGTAAGCAGCAACTTGCTGCGTGATCATCCAATTATCACCCTCGACCGTGGGCTTGGAAAGATAGTCATTATTTAGCTGGATGAGACCGCTTCCACCACCGAAGCCGTGACCACCCATTGCGCGCCTGCAGGTCTCAATACCATCTGCAGCCAGCATAGTGCACAGACTCTTTAATCCAGAGGACATGCTGTGCATATGAGCTAAGGAGCGGAAATCACCGCCTTCAATGTCCTTCCGGGTCGCTTGATACACATTCTGCATGGCCAGGCCAGTATAATGAAGCGCAAATGCAGTTGCCAGCAGAGGGAGAATGCGGATTTGGACGGTTGGGTAGTCGAGAACGGACATTTCCGGCCCATTTTTGTCACCATCCCGGTCTTGGAACTGCCGCCGAATAGCAGTATACCGGACTGCTACTGTCACTGCTCTAGCAAGCACTAACCTCGCATGATGGACGATGTTTGCGCGGACATATGTCAGTGATCCATAGACCACGGCTGGTTGCTCTGGCTTTTTATAGGCTCCAGAATTGGGTTCAACACTAGAGTATCGGCATAACATTGCAGAATGAGGGATGCTGACCGTAATGTTAGCCCCTGGTTGCCTCAAAAAGGGTGAATCAAGTCCTACCGGAAATTATCAAAGAGCATATAGGCATTATCCATGGTGATATATCCGTATTTTGGCCCGATGTCTCCAATGACCACGCCATTCAGAGGTTGATGGGTTTTCATATCGCGCACTTGCACAATAAAAGGATGAGGGCCATGAGACACGTATTGTTCTGGCGACCCCGGCTTTGGAAGAAGCAATTGGGCAACGACGATGGCATGGTTGGCAACGCGACCCAAGCTTCCATTCCACCACTTGCTCGCCGTCAGCGTGGGACTGTGAAGGATAAACTCCTTGGTCCTGCTATCCCAACGTGCCTCGAGCTCCAGGCCTCGGACATTACTGCCGTGTCCAAGCTCAGTTTGAGCATATGCACCGATGATCTTCCACGATTCAATCAAGGGCATCCAGTAGGCACGCTGCTCTTCGCTTGCTTGCTCACGAACGGTTGTAACGAACATCTCCATGTGCAGGAAGTACGGGGAGACATCGTCAACCAAGTACTGAGCCATCTTGTAATCTTCATGATCCCACCGATGTTGGTCAGTCATTCGGCGCAGCAGCTTTGCGCGCGCCAGACCGAGCTTGAATCTTTCCACGCGTGACAGGTTTTGCTGTTTCTCCTTGGAGAAAAGCGGCTCTTTCTGCACGATAGGCAGTATCCGAGCTTGTCTCTCGAGGAAACCATCTGCTGAGAACAAGTGCTTGCTTAGCTCGTGTACCGAGAGATTGGACTGCCCTCGCTCGCGAGCGAGGGTTGTTGGTCCATCTGGCTGGGTTGGACGGAGCTTATCGGTGAAGTCAGGCATTTTAGTGGTATTGAATGCATCCACCCATGAGAATCAGAACTCCTCGACAACAGACGGCCAGCTTATATGGATTCAATATCCCCATGTTCATCTGTTTCCCGAATTTAACCTAGGCTCGTGGTGACGCTTGCACAAAATTCGCCGAGTGCCGAATGCCGGCCGGTCTTTCTGCTGCGGGGCAAATCGTGGGGAAGTAGCCGACTTGGATATCCTGCCAATTAAAGAGGGCAACGCGGGGAAATTCCGATGGCCACATCATTGAGTGAGTACTAATTTAAGAAGAAGGCTGAAGTGGAAGGCCCTCAAGATTCAACCCTTTTTTCATTATCAACGGCGGGCAAACGGGACAGACAGAGTTGAAGGATATTCGATAGCAATGGGTGACCGGACTCTATATGTACCCTCACACCTGGGAAGGAATGTACTTCCAAATCTGCCTTTCTTTCATAAGTTACTTCGATACGCTCAGCGCAAGCCTTCTCGCACAGCTGTCCGAGATATAAATGCAGGCTTGGAGAAAACATACCACGATGTGCTCTCCGATGCCCTTGTTCTCCGGGTCGAATTGGAGAAGATGATGAGTCAAAAGACTCGTCGTGACTTATCTGAAGACAAGGAAGTTTATATTGGCTTACTGGCTCCTGGTGGTTATGAATATACTGTGGGGTTCATTGCAATTCTTGCGATGGGCGCTGCAGTAGTGCCGATGGGTGAGTTAAATCCTGGGTGTGGTACAAAGATCAAGCTGACGTTGTATAGCTGCTGGTCTACCGGTAGAGGAAGCTTCTTACTTTCTCCACAAGGCCCAATGTGTGGCTTTGGTGGCCAGCACTACAAGCGAAGCGCTCGCCCAGTCCATCGTTCGATCCATGGGGGAGAGGAAAAACTTCCACATTCCCTGTCTATCCCCCATCGCATCGTTCTTCCTCTCTACACCCATCTCGGCGGAGGATGTCATTATCTCGTCAAACCGAATGCTTGATATGAACGGTGCAAGCGCAGTGATATTCACATCAGGGACAACAGGCCCACCCAAGGGTGCTGTCCAACGACGTACCTGGTTGACGGGCAATGCTGAGGCCGACGCGGACTTCTATCGCATCACTGAAAAAGATGTTGTGCTTCACGTACTGCCTGTTCATCATGCATCCGGTGTAGGACTCACCTTCCTACCTTTCCTCACAGCCGGTGCGTGTATTGAATTCCGAAGCGGGGGCTTCGATACTGCATGGACATGGGAGCGTTGGCGTCGTGGGGGGTTGACGTTTTTCTCCGGTGTGCCTACCATCTACATGCGCATGATGCGGTATTATGAAGAGAATATTGCCAATCAACCAACCGACATGCGCGATGAATACATTGCCGGGGCGCGCAATATTCGCACCATGTTATGCGGATCGTCAGCACTTCCTGGTCCTGTACAGGAATTCTGGGAGAATTTGCGACAGCTGCCGATCCTGACTCGGTACGGTGCTACAGAGTTTGGGGCGGTTATCAAGACAGACTTGGATCCTACAGGCACTCCACGCAACAGTGTGGGTCGAGTGGTCGAGTCAGTAGCCCTCAAGCTCGAAGACGACGGTCATCTCCTCGTCAAGTGCCCTTATATGTTTTCAAAGTAAGCCATGATCTTTCCGAGCACAAAGTTCAGTATGACTAACGTACCTTTAACCTACCAGATATCTTAACGATGAGAAAGCGACGAGGGAGGCCCACGATAAGGACGGCTACTTCAAGTCAGGTGACATTGCCCATCGGGAAGGGAAATACTATTTCATTCTCGGTCGTGCATCCATCGACATTATCAAGTCGGGTGGCTACAAGATCTCGGCATTGGACGTCGAGCGAGAGATATTGGGACTGGATTACGTTTCCGAGGTGATGGTGGTGGGCGTGGAAGACGAAGAATTCGGACAGCGAGTCGCAGCCACCATCAGTCTCAAGACGGACCCGAATACCACGCGGAATAGTCTCACTCTTGCTGAGTTGAGAGAAGATCTTCAGTCCAAATTGAATGGGTATAAGATGCCGACCATCCTGCGGCTGGTTAAAGGCGAACTGCCCAAATCTGGTACGGCCAAGGTGCAGAAAAAGATCCTGGGACCAAAGTTCTTTCCACCGAATTATCGTGACATTCCTGATGTTCAGGTGTGGAGCAAAAAGAAGAGGTCAAAGCTATAGATACTTATGAAGAACGCAGTTAGATGATAGACATCGTCAAACTTTCGCTGAAGACTAGGAAATAGACTCGGTGTTCGAATCATGCATTCACGTAGAATAGATATCTCACAAGACCAAATTACAACTGACTACATATTGTAGAATCATATCTTAGCCTTTGCAGGGGCAGTAGTCATCCGGCTATGGACATAGCTAATTCTTTGGAACTTCTTGATCGCATCACCCCACAGCTCCTGTCGCAGCAGCGCATAAACCCTGCAAGAATTATTAGCACGAAAATGTCTGCAACCTGCTCAAACCCCCAGACCTTCAGGTTGGGCTTGCATCCAGGAACTCACCCCATCTTCGCCTTAGGCGCAACCTTATTCCCGAGCTCAAGTGCAACATCAAGCATTGACTCCGGTTCGGCAATGGCATCAACAATGCCATCTTCGAACGCCTCCTTGCCGGTCCACTTATGTGCCTCGAGTAGCATTTTGCGTGCGATTTGAGGACGCAATTTAAGTCTCGGGAGGGAGCCAATTCCATCAAAATGCAAACCGAGGTTCACGGGAGGCATAGAAAAGAATCCTCGGCTTGAATTCATGACACGATAGTCGTGGGCCAAAGCAAGAGGACAGGCACCGCCAAATGTGTGGCCGGTGAGTAACGCGATGGTTGGGAATGGGAAGTCAAGGATGGTATGGACAAGCTAGCTGCAGGTTAGCATCATGTTTCGCTTGGACGGCTCTAGCTAGTTTGTGGCTTCTGGAATAATGGCATACCGGGTAAAAGCCATCCGTGTTAGCGAATGGATTTGTGTCCGCTTCATCCAGCTCGAGGCCCTGATAGATATCGATCAGCTCTCGCCGATTTACAAGGCAGTAGACCATTTATGCATACTGTGCACCAGAACTTCGCATCACTGCCTCGGGTGATAACAGCGCCTTCGGAGTCGGGACCCAACAGTCTCTCCACCGTGCGATAAGCGCGTATCAACTCCTGACAATACCAAGAATTCAGTCGGTTCTCTGGCGGTTTCTGCATCGTCAAGACAAAAACATTGCCATGTCTCTCGAGCGAGAGATTGCGAAAAGTCGGGATATCAGTCATGTTGTCACGTATGTCTGCCAACGAGATGTGAAGTTAGTTGAGAAAACAACACGAGTTGTTCTTGTCAATCTCATTCTTTTCTTTTAGGCGGCATCAGCGAATATCCTGGAGCCGAGCTTGAATGCTCCCCCGCACGCGCTGATCCCTCGGGCCCCCACAGTCTGCTAAATTCGCCGATTGCCGAATGCCGGAGGCACCGCCGGAGGCACCGCCGGACAGGTTTTGTGACTAAACGCTTTACAAGTCATTGCACTTATCACCTAGTTTCTCGGTTGATTTAAACTTGCTTGATGTGATTTTAATGAAGTCTCTACCCTTTTGGGACCTTTGAAAGTAGTTCTACCATTGAATATCGCCGGTCCATTCCAGGTCTTTGAACAGCCAATCACCCATGCCCTGGTAGTGATTATGAAAGAACTCATCGGGCATGTCTCGCGTCATATCTCCCATTGCAAATCCCATATGAGGGTCCAAAATCGTAGTCAGTGGTCGATATTCCTCTGTAGACGACATGGCATCTTGAGGGCGGGATTCAGGAAACTCTTCAAGAGGGACTTCTGCAGTCTCGGCAATCGGTGAAGCATCGGGTGGGTTTTGTAATGTAGTAGTAAAGTCCGAGGGCATAAAATAGTGCCAGGCCCAAGACAAATCTGGTCCAAAGTGTTCAAAATATGGCCGGTGTTCTCGTGGAAGCGTCAGCGAATGAGTCGGCTCTGACCTTGTCGTTCGTTGCTGCTTCTCCGCGATGCTTCTCAAGGCCCTAAGACTCCCTTTGGCAGAGGACCAACGTCTGGCAAGAACTTCTAGAGACAAGTAGATAGTCTCCAGGCTAGTGGCTGCCTTCTCCCATAACGCGGGTATGTTGCGACAAGAGAGCAGCCCGATGCCAGCGGCCAGCAAATGGAATGTGAAGATCGGGCCCAGGAACTGGATCTCATCTCGGGCCAGGAAGTCTTCGAATATGCCTGCTACAAAGGATGATGCGAGCACCACCGCTGGAGATGGGGAGTTTCCAGGACTGGGACGGCACATGATAGCGAGGCAGATGAAGTACGGAATATGAAGTTGGCGTGCTTCAAAACTATACGAAGCTAGAGTGTTCTGCCGGATCTCCCATTCTGATGAAGATGAATGGTGAATAAATAGTCGCAAGGAACCCGGAAGCTCTCGCGACCATCGGTAAAGACGATTTTCAATGTTTTGTCGCATGTGCCGTGTGAAGCTTTTCCGCCGGTAACACTGTGTGAGATGACCAAGGGCAGAACCAATCTCGACATACGCAATGAAGAGAGCACCATCTGAGCTGGAATCATCAAAGTCTTCCAGACACGGAGGTGCTAATTCACAATCATCTATGTTGACTGCAAGAGGACGCCCTTGTCCCGCAGAAATCAAGCAGTCCCTGGCCTAACAACGATCAGATCAGACATTAGATTCTATATCCCAATCCGTTCTCAACGATAACTTACAAATAGAGTCCACCATAGCCTACGCCTGAGGCCAGCTTCCCTCCTGTTCGTGGGTTCCTTGTGTAGACCAATCTGATGGGCTAGTCCTACTCCAACGTACCGCCAGAAGCCACTGGTATTTGTGGAGACGTGTTCAGGGCCTTCTGGATTATACCAATGCAAGATGCACACAGCTGCAACGACCGTAACAGGGTTCTTCTCATATCCGGACCAAAATAAGGCTTTTGCACGGCGGTAGAACGTATGAGTCGAGGCATACGCAGTCACGGCTGGCGCAGAAGTGACCCTGCTCGCTGCGACGAATATGGATTGTAAGAGAAGGATTGAAGGCTTCTGGGAGCCACTTTCTTCTAACCAACTACGCTCAACGATGGGCATCCAAGGCGAGCAGCGTTCCATGAAAGTATTGATCAGACCATCGCGAATTGCCCGGGGCGGGAGTTCAAATGCGCCTTGTAGTCGTAACAATTGGATGTCATCAGCAGAGGGGCCATCGGCCTCTCCCATAGGATATGACCTGGCTTGGTCTTCGTTGATGACCACAGTATCCTCAAAATATCTGGATCGTGCCATGAAACTCAGACTAGAAACCGACGAATATGGGTTAGACGCGTGAGGAGAGTCAGAGAATCTTGACCTCTCCTCAGTAGCCGAGGCATTCAGTGCACTCGGCTCATCCTCGGAGAGCTCAACCGAAGGTCTACCGGCACTAAGAGACGCTTGTTGGTGCACTGAATTGCCTTCGTTCCAAGTCAATCGGCGACGGTGTTGTCTTTTGTCCACAACTTCAGTGTCGAGCTCACTGTCGCTGGGTCGCTGGCGTTTCCGTTTGCGCTCTCGCTGGCTGCGAATGGGTTATCTAGAAATTCCCCAACTATTCCCAGGATGCGTATTCGCTTACCAGCAGGGCCATTGGTGCCGCAAGCAATTTAAACAAGAACTGGTAGAGCCTTGGAATATGCACCGAACCTACAATGATCAGCATGTCCTCGGCTATTCGTGGGAGCCCCGATCTGACCTTCTTTTTGTTACACGCGACACATGCCTTGGGCGCGCGCAATGGTGGCGGACTAAACTCTCTCATCTCAATGACTATCGCAAACCTTAGCCGTACATGCAAGTAGCAATGCACATTCACGTTTTAGCATCGAACGGGTCAAGGAAGGGTGGGACTGTCCCCGCATTTTCTGGTTCCGAGGCAAGTTGGGTTGGTGAAGTGTGGGGTATCTAATTGAGGTATCTTCACTACGTAACGCAGGTCTATCAAATGTACAGTACAACATCATGCCCAGCCAGCCAGAGTCCAGCTAGATCGATCGCCGGCTCTCAGACCCGATCGGCGATCAGGAACAGGAGGCTCAGAATCGCGAGTTGCTCCAGCAAGCCCGTTCTGCAAGAACTTCTCTCGCTCAATCTCGACCATGCCACGTAACTTTAAGCTGGTCACTAGACTAGCTCCAGCCCATGCACCTAAAGATTCAACTTCTCGTAGGACTCCCTGCACAGGGACAGGCATTTCTTTGTTCTGTCGGTGCAACTTTTGTTCAACAAAGTCAATCTCCGGCACTTCCTGAGAGGGATCTATCTTCTCGCCCTCGCCAGGTGTCTCTCCATTTTCACTGGTTGTCGGCTTCTGTTTCTGTCCATTAGTCTGAGACGAGATCCGCAGGTCTTCCATTCGTTGGCGTTGTCGTTCGACAGCATTGCCTCGAATCGCACTCCACCCATGTGTCTTGATCAGGGAAGAAACTTCTTCAAGGATCCTCTTTCGTACTCCAGGAATTCGAGCTCCACCACCCACAAAGACAATGCGCGACATGCATGTCCCGCGTGCATCAGGCGGTAGAGCCAGGAGGGTGTTGTAAACGAGCAGGGGTATCGACTTCTCCTCATCATCTAATTCGATTTCAGGAATACCAGTTGCAAAGAGAGCTATTTCAACGGGCTCTGCAAGGCGGGAGAACGGCACATCGAAAAATTCCTGAACTGGATTCACAGGTGAAGGTATTGAGACCGTATGAGCAGATTGGTACGGCTGTTCTCCATCCTTTGCGTGCGGCATGCACCAAGCGAACCGAGTGAGAACCTCCTCGCAGTACGAAAACCCAACAGAGATCCTATCCTTGTCCTCCGCCTCGTGATCCTCGCAAGAAGCCAAGCGAGAAAGCAGCCGTCCCATTTCCTGCTGAAGCAGCTTCATTGCCCTTGTGCTTCGCTTTGTGGTAATTTCTCTATACTCATAAAGGCCGGTCACCGTAGTTTCGGCCCATCCAAGATCCACTACAAGAGCAGAGCGCAATCCCGCAGCTGTCGCCGACATGGCCGCACTCGGAAGAAGGGTGATGCTAGGAAACCGCCAGCGGCTAAACAAGGTCGAGAGCAGCGATGAAAGCAACGGATGCGGCATGAGAGAGGGAAGGGCTAGGACCAGGCGAGACGAGCCAGCGTCCGTCAGGAGGTAATTGTTGTATGTTTCACGGAAGAGGCGCTCGATTTTGTCCTCCAGCAAGCCCAAATCAACCTTGCGAAGGTCGAGCTGCCACAATTCGTAGTCTCGAACCCAGTCGTCCGCATTGACAGGCTTTGGCAAAGGTCCAGTGCCTGCAGCACCCTGGATCCAACCTCGATAGTCCCCCACTCTTCTTGATTCCTCGGGACCGAATCCCACCACACAGACAGGTGTACTGTTTCCCTCAAACCCTGCTCGGAGCCATCGTGCTCCTATCTCAAGGATGATCGCATCGTCCTCGTTTCGAAACGTTGAGCCTGGTGACGTCGTGCTCGCAAAGGAGGTATTGCCTGAGCGTGGGGGTTGCTGGGGCGTATGAGGTGAGGACGGCCGCGCTGCCTGCGTATGACGCAGATTTGAAGATGCTGACATCTTGGGTTTTAATTGAATGGCTAGATAGCAATGCGTATTTTGCTCTGTTCGCAAGCTCGTATGCGTGTCGGGGAGGTGCCCTGCCCCTCGGAGGTCAAATATTCCGCGATACAAGAAACTAGAGTTAGCGGGGCACCGACCGATTGCTAAACTTCATGAAAGTGGCTTCTAATCGTCAGATAGAATCTTTTTTCAGTAAGGGGTAGCACTGACAGTAATGTGGAGAGAGTAAGGCTGATTGGTGAACGGGGTCGCGGAGCTGGACGCGCTGGTGAAAGCAACGGAACTTCTTCGGGCCGTGGTTTATTTACTTCTCACATTCGACCTCTCCGTCAATAACAACCTCACCATCCGCCCTGCATGGCCAAATCCTACGCCTACTGAAGCTACCAAGCTACTGAGCCCTGCAGCTGGCCTAATGGGTATTCCAGGGTATGTATTTTCAGTCATTTTCTGGGTTAAATGCATGATCGGAGTTGTGTTGTCAACCTTGATACCTTCGCCTAGCAACGGCCCTAAGGCGATCAGATACGGGCGCATTCACTACCTGAGGACCCCCAACTGACTGAAAACAGGCTCATTAACGCCATAGGGGCAGGAGAACGGGTCTCCCTGGCCAAAGTGTCCGGGTTGCACCTGGAAAGAACTGCGAGGCCCATCCGAGTCGCCGTGGATATCTCCATTTGGCTTTTCCAGGTCCAAGCATCGCGCGGAGGCAAGAATCCGGAACTACGCACCCTTTACTTTCGACTGCTGAAGCTTCTTGCTTTACCTATTCACCCGCTTTTCGTCTACGATGGCCGTCATAAACCCCCGTTCAAACGAGGCAAAGCAGTATCACGCAGCTCCGGCAATTTACCGATCATACAACGTTCGAAGGATCTCATTGAGCGATTTCGGTTTCCGTGGCATGAAGCGCCGGGTGAGGCAGAAGCTGAGTGCGCAAGATTACAACAGGTTGGCATCGTCGATGCTGTTATAAGCAACGACGTTGATGCTCTGATGTTCGGATCAACGTTCACAATGATGAATTTCTCGAACGAGAGTGGTAGCGGGAGCTCTGGTGCATCACACGTCACTTGCTACCATTTGAACAACCAGGGATTTGTTTCAAATATTTCCCTGGGCAGGGCTGGGATGATTCTCTTCGCTATGCTGAGCGGAGGCGACTACCTCCCGTCGGGAGTCGAGAAGTGCGGTCCTGGAACTGCTGCAGAAATTGCCAAGGCTAAATTTGGCGAGGATCTTCTTGAAATGGTCACCTCACATCCGCCAGACCTTGACTCACAACTATGTGAGTGGCGAGAACGCCTGCAATACGAATTGGATTCGAATGAAAGTGGCTATTTTGCCAACAAACACCCAGCAGTTCGAATCCCAGAGAATTTTCCCGATCCAACGATTCTCGAGTACTATGCCGAGCCAAAAGTTTCTACCGATGAGGAAATGACTATTCTCAGGCATCGGTTGAAGCAAGCCTGGGATCACGAAATTGATCCACTGGCGATTAGAAGTTTCGCTGCCGAGAACTTGGACTGGAAATATCGCTCTGGTGCTCGGAAAGTGATCAAAAATTTAGCCGAGCCCTTAGTTTCCTACAGGCTTCGCCGTCAAAGACCAGTATCAGCCATACCCGGTGGCTCGCTTGCGCCCGAATGCGACTCACAATGGCTCCAAAAGGTCTACAAAAGCCGCGTGAGCTTCGGCACAGATGGCATGACCGAGCTTCAAATTGATATGCTCCCGATTGATGTCGTTGGTCTCGATCTCATGGCTGAAGAACCAAATCCGCCACTTCCCCATCAGGAGACAGAGCTTGCACAAGACACGGCCCAATTTGGGGGTGAAGAAGACGATGCAGAGCTTGCTGTCGATGAACCTCAGCCAGCGATACCTTCGAAGACTCGAGTGACGAAACGCTATGATATTTATGCGGTTCAAAAAATCTGGGTCCTGGAGTCCGTCGCCAAGCTTGGCCTTCCCGCTGTTGTCAAAAGGTGGGAGGATGAACAAGCTGAGAAAGCCAAAAAGGATGCTGCGCCCAGAAAGCCGAGTACTAGACGAACGGGGCCCAAGAAGAAGGGGATTATCGATCCGGGAATGAAGCGCGGGAGCATTTTGAAATACGGAACCCTTACAAAGGAAAAGTCCGAGCTCTCTTCTTCGAACAAGTCGTACTTGCTGGAAAGTGCATCTACGAAACGACAACCGGCCTTGCTTCGGACTTTGTCATCTTCATCCCAAATAATAGATGTCGAGGATAGTTCTTTCACGCCGAGTATGTACTCCCAGCAACAAACCTCAGATCATATGCGTCGTTCTTCACGCGAGGTTGACGAGTTAATTGAGACGTTCTCCTCGCTGACGACCACTAGACCACCATCATCAAGAGTGAAGCGCCATCCAACGGCTGGTCCAGTATGTACGCGATCCCGAACTCAAACTGTGGCAGGTGGTGTGTATGAGCTCGACGAGTCACTCCCATCGGCTGTCGAGTCTGTTAGTGTACGAGATACCGCCCTTGCGCCAGCAAACCAACCAAGCTACCCAACCTCATCGAGAGGTTCAGCAACTGAAGCTGGAGCTGCCAGAAAGGATCTTGGGGCTTCCTCACGGAAGTCCAGGCAAAAGATCTTAAGTACTCCCCACGAACCCGACATATCTACCAACCCTCTGATTGATGCCTTCAATCTCGAGCATTTGGAGGAATCTATTGGTTCACTATCAATATCCGGAGAGCATGATGATCAAAAATCTAACCCCCAAACCCGCTCAGTGTGCAAACCTCTGGGATCAAAGATGGGGGATGGCACTTCCCCGCGCCCTTCACGAGCCAGACCTGTGAAAATTTCTCAGCAATTGGAACGGGCTGTGTCGCAGAAGGTCTCACCAATATCCCAACCGGAAATCGGAGCCAAGTTGCAAAAGGAACACGATGGGCATATCTTTCATGAAGAGATCATCTCCTCTCCCAAGAAGTCTCACGCCACCTCAAGAGACCGTTCGAAGACTTCTACGAAAACGAAGGAGCAGATCCCCATCAGAACGCGAACAAAAGGTCACATCGAAAACATCACAGTGATTAATGGCTTTTGGACGGTCGATACGCCCTCTGAGATAGGCACGGATTTGGTCAACTCAGATGCTGGTCGGACCAGCACTAGGAGCGGGGGACAAGCTGCGAAGAATGCTCGGAGGAAGCGTGTGGCTAGAGTGAGCATTGTGGACATTATTTGACACGACTGAGATACCTTGTTTCATTTCTCATTTTCTCTCTTCTAAATACGGTGTTGTATAGGATAAATGGGGCAACGCATAGCGATACGAAGGACACATAGGTTGCATGTCGGCCTCTATCCATCTTAATTCGAGAATTCCAGACCTTTAAAAGATATCAACAATAAAATTCGTTTTGGAGGTTACATAATTTACTAGTTCATGTATTGCCTTGCAATGCAGTGCATATTCCCTTTGCTTCCGGCCATATGCACTCATTTTTTATAATATTCATCGACCCAAGTCTTGATCTGTGCTACTTCAGCGTCAATGATCTTCTGGACGCCCTCATTTGCAGCACCGTTCTTCACGATAAGATCGGAACAGTGGAAACCTCCTGGAATAACATTCAATGGGGCGGAATCGGTCGACTGAAGTGGTCCTCCAGGGCGGAAAGAGGAGGAGACACCGGACGACCTCCAGGGATCATATTGTCTGTATTTTTATCAGCTCCAATCCACATGAAAATCATGGAACATGGGTATCATGAACATACCCATTGGCCCAAATCAGCCGGGTTGTATCGGTCAGAGACCAACCCTTCGTCCAGGAGTTAACCTCTGCTTCGGTCTTGCCTTTGGCGCTACCAAAGGTGAAACCGTTCACTTCGGGGAAGTAGAGAGAGCATTGTCTCTGCCAATACTCGGCGTTGACGGAGCGAGACACAAGACTGGAGACACCAGATGGTGCGCCACTGGGGAAAAAAGAATATCAGTAACAAGATACAGCCTCAGATAAGTAGTGACATACTCTTGCCAGTAGAACAATGGCTCATTACACAGGAACCACTGCCATTGTCGGTCAACGGTATTGTTCACCGAAATATCCGTAAAGATAGGGCTGGACGCATTATAGGTATCAAAGCACGCAGTGGTCGATTGATCAGACCAATACCCATAGTTCGCGCATGCTGGTATCACCATGAGTAAATGTAATGATCATGTCAGAAGTTACAACTCACAGCCAGGGAAGTAAACATTCTTGAACCATTTCGCATAACCTTGGAGCGCCTTGTGAAGGCCCACCCCATCCGGTCCGGGAATTTTACCGGTCCCATTCTCAACATTCTACTTGGACGTCAGAGTCATTGATGTACAATTTGATAGGAATAAGATTCTGTTGCATACCTCAATGTAATCGCAGAACTGAAAGAAGCCCGAGTAACCAGTGTAGAAGGTATTGGACTGCCATAGCCACGGTCCATTCTCCAAGGCACTAAATGGCGATACGAGTCAGCTTCTTTGTCAACTGTTAGTGAATATCGTGTAAATACCTGGCAAAGTCATCAAAGTGTTCTATATCGCCAAGTCCAAACATTTCTTTCAGTTTCTGGACCTGCTTGTCCGATCCCGACTGGTTGGTTTTGTCGAGGTAGTCCACAACTCGGCTGACATCCTTGCTACAGTTTTTGGGCATTCCTTCTTGGACAGGTGTAAAGTATTGCCACTGAATTCACAATTAGTACTGGTTCAACTTTGCTTGCTTTACCAGAAGAAAATTGAAACTGGGAGGATACTAACATAGTTATCGATGGCCTCGACGGGTGCGCTGGACGCATGATACGCCCAAAATGTTCCCGGGGATGTAGACTCGGTCCAAGCGGATAGGGCACCACTATAAGACCCTCCACTCAAGACCCATGGCTATTGTTTTCATATTGCATCAGCCAAGTGCTTTCAGCGCGGCTAGAAGAGAAACCATACCGCATTCTGAGCATTGCTGCTACCGTTCGTATCAAATGGAAGCTCGACATTCTTTGCGAAGTATGTGAGGTCCGCAATTGAGTTCTCCAAGGTAAGTTGTTGCAGGTTTTCCGTCGTCAGCTCCAGATACGGTGATGAGTCTCCCCAGTAACGGTCTATTATCACCGCAAGTCAGCTGTATTGTACTTCATCTGGATAAGAAGAAACTTACGCTCAAGCATAACCACTGCACCCTTGACTTCCTGTGCATAGAGACCAGTGATAGTTCGGTTGGTCAAATATCCCGTATACTGATCGGCTGCTTCTTCTCCGGGAGTGAAAAGGACCACCTGACAGTTGCCAAATTAACATACTGAGCAATTTCACGATGCAGACAGGAGCTGTTACCGGTGCGCCCGCTCCGTTCCACCAGGCCGAGTTCCACCAGTAACGTTGAGAAAATGTTCCCAAGCTCGGATTTTTGTGGTCAATTAGCTGCTGAAAGGTTGACTGGCCAGAAGTCGCACTAGAAGCAGCTGTTGAAGGAGGAGGGATAGGCTTCGGTGCAATCGCCGCATGGGCGATTGAAGCACCGAGGACAGGCAATGCCACACGAATTGAGAAATGCATGGTGAAATGGTAGGAGGTAGGATATAAGTTATACCCCAATGTATTTCTACAGGAGCTCCATAACAGTGGACCTGGATGTCCGCTTTATATGATCGCTTGATGGGCCCCCTGAGCCACCACTGCACACGACACTCATGGTAGTATTCTAGGTCCACAAAGGACCGGACGCTCCAATAAATGGGGCAGCATCTTGTGCCGGCACATCACCGGAGCGGGGTGGTTGTGATAGTGACTGTTTGGTGTTGAAGCAAGTACATACTATCACGCGATAGTTCTAGTGCAAAGCTAGCCGCATACCACGCGGGCCACCTGAACAACGATGTGATCGTTTCGATCCGCTGATATGGCTGCTACCAGCCAGTTTAATGCTTTCTGAAGTCTTACTTCGACTGAGGAAAATTCAGTAAAAAATGCTCCGTCAAACTCGCAATTCTGGCTTCGTTCAAAAGAATTGAGTGTGAAACCATCTCCCTTGGGAAAACCGTGCTGTAGCTAGTTCATGATACCACCGTCGGATGTCCGAGGCAACGGTTAGCCGAGAGACAAACTAAACCCGATCGATGCTCACATTTTAGTACTCGCTGATAGGTACTAGTAGTGGATGACACTCAAGCTCAGAACCGGCCCGGTAGATAAGATTCATGAAACTGCACTAGATAGGCAACACTGTACCAAGCATGCTTAACGCAACCAACCCCGCAAGACTCGGCCACCATCGAACGGACGCAGGAACAGTCAGGCGTTCTTCAGCAGACACTAATTTTCTCACCCGGTCTTTATTTCGCCTTCAATTACTATACCAACTATTGCGATCTTTTTCTCAGAGACTACGCCCACGGGAATACCTGCCTGCCCAGCCTAATCATCGACAAGAATGGATTTAAGTTGGCACCTCAACTTGGCTACTGAGTAAAATAGCAGATTGTTCCCTTCACCCTTGTGGCCTTTATTTTCAAGTCAATCATATCATAGAGTGCGGAGTGAATACTCCCAATTGCATGCGCAATGTTCCTCTCTTTCAGGCTCCACGCACGGAGTACCATCGGGTGGCTTCACACTAGCATCAGGAACGGCACAGGCTAATCCACTTTTGAGAATCAATTTCAGTAGCTGAAGAAGATACCAACCAATCGTCTTTCCTCATTCCATTCCCGGTACATATTGACCCATATTTGTAGGCCCTCTTGCTCTCAAGGAAAGATTTTCCATCGTTCAAGATGACCCCTCTGACCTCAGTCCTTTGACTACCCGACTATTCCTCGCTTTTTTTGTATCATTTGCTCCGCTGGCACCGCTTGTTGCTCCTCTAATGATACCACATCCAATTATAAAATCTTGACGGCCTCGACGGTACTCAATACTGCTTCCCTAAGTCCCTCTAATCTGTTTCCCTCGCGCTAGGCTCACATGAGATTGACTCAGTACTAAAACTGGAGTGATATTATTGTTCGATCATGGTCAAAGAGCCTTTATATTCTGAGTTCAATTAAATTCATTACATCATGACATCAGACGAACATCCATGCTTCCCCAGATTCATATACATATTCAATCCAACGTTGAGGCATACCTCCCACGTCTCGTAGGGCCCAAATCCTTTGCAGAAGTCTTAAAGCGTTGGTGACATTCTCACAGCGCCATATCGTCCACGAGTGTCCATAAGATTCGACAATGATGCTTTTCTGAGCAGGCGTCTGAGCCTCAGTACCGATGACAAATGTAGGCCATAACAGGCCCCTATAATGTGCATTTGATGGATCCATGGATCCAATACTTGAGACAATCGAGTCCAGCGAGCTTGTAGGATATTGCAGACCGATATCAACCTCTTCAACAGCGGCATTGAAGACCTGTGATGCGTAAATCTCCACTGCTGCTCGCCAAATCCTTGCGAAATGATATCTCGGCATCACATTCTCTGTTTTGCTTCCGGCGGTGGCCCACTGTATGGGAGAAAACTTTCGAAGTAGAGAGCATATGTGATATACCAGATCAGGAGTCTGTTCTTGATTTGACGAGGCGGAATTGATAAGCGACAGTGCAAAAAGGAGTTCTGCGGGGCATCCAGCCCACGTTTGAGACTCTGAAAGTTTCAAAACGTCGATCACTGGTATCGTGGTGAAAATAGGTTGGTAGGGCAGTTTAGTCTTGACGAATGTCGGACCAATAATCCCGAAGCTGCAATATGGAGGATTAGCTCGATCAATAAAGAGAGCAATTGGGTCCAATAGGAACAAACATGGCATAATTGGTATCAAAGCATTCGGAAAAATGGGGGATGGATGCCGCCAAGCCCCTGGGGAAGTTGAAGGTCTGCATGATCTTCTGTAATCCCTGAAGATGATCCTTCCAACGGTCTTTCCCCGAATCCATGAGCTCAAACCAGATCGACAACAATATCGACGCAAAAACCTCGTCAGGGTTCCTCAATCGGCCCCTTGAACATTGGTCTCTGAGGAAAGCTAGGGTCTTCTGTTTATGATAGAGGGCATCGTAGTATGCTGGCACTTGCAGAAGTTGTGTCGAGATTTCTGGTATGTTGACTCCCTTCAGTACATCCATGAAACTCCTATGCCCATGAGAATGGGTCGTTAACCGGCGTTGTGCTTGATGAAGGGCTGCAACTGAGACGACTGTATGGCGAAACCCGGGAGACGAGGGAATCAGTCGCATCAACTCTTTCACAGAGTTATTTGGCTCAGTTATATCTAGTACAAATTCATGGCAGCACTCCTGCTCAACTTATGTTCTGGTTAGCAGATTCCTTACGCTAAAATCCAGCAATTCCACTTACAGTATGCTATATACCCCCGTGTTGCAGCGGGCAAATCCTGCAGGTCAGGATCGACGAGGAGTCTGCTAATAGAGAAAAAATTCGCTTGGCGCGGTACAGTCTTGCCCATCAGTTTACCTCTGCTGGCCACACTATTTGTCCATCTCAGTGGTCGCTCTTTGCCATACCCCAAGCAGTGCTGTTGAGCAGCGGCACATTTGTGGCAAGTGGGTAGTGTCCGATCGCATTTCCATCGACGACGGCGACACGTCCAACAAGAATTATCAGCTTGACTCGAGAGATTCCAGTCCATATCTTGCAAACTGCCTGTGCATCTCAACCGTGAAGTCTGAGAGGCATGAATTCGTTCCATCGTACGAAGGCAATATTCACGAGGAAGATCGCGCTAATCCTATCAAGGAAGCCAAGATGCATCGCCCCACATGGTTAAAGGTCCACTGGAGATCTTACAAATTGGCGAGTTAGATTTGGTGTTTCTTGATCAGACAGCGTACTGGGGTTGTCGAGGGTCCACTTGCTCTGGGGAAGTGTATGAGCAACAAGCATAGATACAATGCATATATTCGTGAATTGTTGTAATGCTGCTGATATGAAAATACCATGGAGATGTGCAATGATATTTCAAGCCGCCGCCAAAATTTGTGGACCTTCTGAGCAATATACTGAAGCATGCAAAGTCATAGCACAATGTATAAATCAATTCAATGAAGCCCAACGCCCAAAAATCACAAGAGAAGAGAGGGGGGATCCACACCAGCAAGATAGCTTTGGTTATGTACCATGTCTAAGCCAGAAACCAGATCTGATGCAATGCCATGTCGGAGAGGGTAAATGTACCATCCGGTCATCTAGACATAAAATACCGAGAGAAGAGAAAGGAAATGGGGAATATGATAGAGGCTGGACGGGGGAAGGATCAAATATTTAGCCGAAAACTTTCAAGAAACCCCAGAGACCCAATCCACTCAGGACAGGAATCGTCAGGTTATCATCCCACCCCCACAGGTCGATGAACTCGCTGCCGGCGGCCACAATGCCAGAAACAACGCTCATCACACCCAGGGCCACAGAGCCAGTAATTGTGGTAGAAGTGACACCAGTCTCCCAACCCAATAGACCTCGAACGCAGTCCGGCAGCAAGTTCAAGCGACCCGTAAACATGAATGCACCCTGAGCATCATTCGGGAAGCTACCCACATAGGGGACAAACCAGCCCCAGAACGCTGCCGCCGTGACGACACCAACAAGCCAAGCGGCCGTGGTCCCTGCCAGGCTCTTTCCAGGCCGCAGATGTGGTGTATAGCGACCATAGAGACGGCCGAACGTGGATGCAGCGGTATCACACCAGCTCAGAAGAAGCACACCCATGACTCCGACATCCTTGGGGAAGAATCGCAAGACGACGTACGCGCCGAGGAGATACCAGATCACACCATTGTAGCCAGAGACCTCGGTCTCTCGCATGAGAGCACCCATACACCGAATGTATACCTTGTTGACTTTCTCCGAGCGATGGCGCAAGATGTCCGTGGCTGCAATCGGAACGAGTGCGGAGAAGAGCACTGGTGTGATTTGTGATGTTTGAACACCGCGGCTGTAGAGGTTGAGCGTCAGGAATCCGATCGAGACGTGCAGGAGCTTCCGAGGAATTTCATGGCGATGAATGAAACTGCGATACCGCGTGTGTAGAGGGATCAGACCGAGCGGTGAGGGAGAGCGCGAAATGTCGCGCAAGGAATCCGGTAGCTTTGGCGACAGGAAGCCGTTAGAGGCTTTGTTATCAGTGGCCGGGGGCGAGGCTGGAATTTTAGGGTTGGACCGCCGTTTGGGCCGACGGTTGCGCGAAGTCGAGGGTGTGGAATCCGGCGGGCTATGTGACCTCTCGGTACCAGAACCTTCTTCTGTGACACCAGACAAGTTCTGTCGACGCGATGCCGACCTCGTCGTCGGCGCAAAATAGCCATCACGTGCCTCAGATCTGTCGGACAACGAGGGCGAGGGCGAGATGACTCGGGGAGTCTCGGGAACAGTATTTGCAGAGGAAGACATTTCGGGCGTTCGTAGGGAAAACTGTGGGAGTGCTGGTGTCCAGATAAAACCGAGCAATGGTCGTGCAGAGGACTCGGCGTTGTCGCAGGCAAGACTGCCGCAGGGAATCAATGGTCTTCCTAACGACTGAATGATGGGCGATCGTCTGGAGGTGCGGTCATAGGAGGAAGTGTCAAGTCACCAAACTAAATCACGGTGCATGACTTGTGGCCCGAGAATATTAGGTCAAGGAGAAGTAAATCTGGTCAAGTTGCGGCTGTGCTGGCGCAAAAAGCAAGACGACCTGATGATCTGCGATCTCCTTTTCCGCCCAAAGCCGCTGTCACGTGCTTACTATCTAATCGATAACGGATTTTTTTTTCTTTGCGACTTTGCGACGTTGCGATCGGCGAAAGGTCAAACTTGTGATCCTTCTTGATTCGCTTGGATCACAAATGGCTCCCAAGGCCTCTACGTCCTCAAGGGCGTGGGATGGCCTCACGCCATCATTGTCGCAATGGACCCTCGATGCCGTGGCGTCGATGGGCTTTACACGCATGACGCCCGTCCAGGCTTCGGCTATCCCTCTCTTTATGGCGCACAAGGATGTGGTCGTGGAAGCAGTTACTGGGAGTGGTAAAACACTCTCATTTCTAATTCCAGTTGTGGAAAAGCTTTTGCGCCTTGAAGATCCGATCAAGAAGCATCATATTGGAGCCATCATTATTTCTCCAACAAGGTCCGTTATAACCACATAGGGTAAAACCTACGCACTCTTTCTAATATCAGTTTTTATGTAGGGAATTAGCATCACAGATCTATCAAGTGCTTTTGTCTTTGCTCGAGTTCCACCCTGCATCGGCTGCAGCGATTCATCCTCCCGAGGGCGATGCGCCTCGTCCGAAGTCTTCCTCCTCGGTTCTCAAAGTCGTCCCACAACTACTCCTGGGTGGTTCTACTTCTCCCGCGGAGGATTTGAGCACATTCCTCAAGAAATCTCCAAACGTGCTAGTTTCCACGCCTGGAAGATTGTTAGAATTGCTTTCCTCGCCACATGTTCACTGTTCACAATCATCTTTTGAGATGCTAGTATTGGATGAAGCCGATCGCTTGTTGGATCTCGGGTTCAAGGACGACCTGCAGAGAATTCTGTGTCATCTTCCTAAGCAGCGGAGGACGGGTCTTTTCAGCGCCAGTATCAGTGAAGCCGTTGATCAGATCGTCCGTGTGGGTCTTCGCAATCCTGTCAAGGTCGCCGTCAAGGTCAAGGGCGGTGCTGGTGCCGAAGACAAGCGTACTCCTGCCAGGTATATTTCTAACTATCTCTTCAATGTCACCGTGGGCTCTCACTAACTCCGCTCCAGTCTCCAAATGACCTATTTGACCACTCCTTCGGCACATAAATACTCCATTTTGAAACAAATCGTGACAACTGTCCAACCTACACCACAAAAATCGATCTTCTTTGTCTCAACATGCTCCAGTGTGGACTATCTCGCCATCATATTACCAATCATCCTAGGAAATGAATTCCTACTCGTTCCTCTTCACGGAAAACATGCTGCGAATGTCCGCCAGAAAAACTTCACCCGCTTCACTACCTCCACCACCCCCTCCATTCTCCTAACTACAGATGTCGCTTCTCGGGGACTGGACATTCCATCTGTCGACCTAGTTGTACAGATCGATCCTCCCTCTGACCCCAAAACATTCATTCACAGATGCGGCCGTGCCGGGCGTGCTGGGCGTCGGGGTCTCAGTATTGTCCTTCTCCACCCCGGTCGTGAAGAGGACTACGTCTCGTTCCTGGAGGTGCGCAAGACGCCTGTTGTATCTTACAGTCTCCCAGAATCACCAAGCGATAGCGATGCTGCTGCCGCAACCCAACTAGTACGGAACACGATCTTGAAAGACCGAGCTCTTCATGATAAGGGCCAGAAGGCATTTGTCAGCTGGCTGCGCAGCTACAGCAAGCACCAAGCAGCTAGCATTTTCCGTGTGGCCGATCTAGACTGGGAGGCACTCGGTAGAGCCTGGGGTCTTCTCAAACTGCCCAAGATGCCCGAGCTCCGTAACTTCACCGGAGATAAAACTCTGGGAGTCAGTATGGAATGGGACAATTATGCATACAAGGATAAACAGCGCGAGAAACGGCGCAAAGAAGTTATGGAAGAGGCTGCGCAGGGAGATGGCAACCAGAAGCAGGATTCGCGGAAACGACATGCAGTCGAGAATGCTTCTTGGAGCCACAACTTGGAGAGTCGAGAGAAGAAGCTCCAGCGCAAAGAACTCAAGAAAGCACGGAAGGACCAGGAGAGGTGGGAGCAGCTGCCGGAAGAAGAGAAGCAAAAAGCTCTCGAGACGGAGCGGATGGTCAAGGAAATCCGTCAGAAGAATGAGCAGCAGCTCCTATCAGAGCGTTCAGGCAATGCGAACCCCCTAATGGTGCAGGTAGTGGCAACGAATTCGAGGGGTTCGACTAGAACCGTGATGCCATTTTTCATCATCTCTGCTTCTTAAGAATTCTACATGGAGAACTCTACCAGATCTAGAGAACGTATAAAAAACCTGTGGCAAAGCTTCCATGCATTATCAAAAAAAGAAATTGGCTCGTAAACCCTCATAGTCTAGTCATAGAGTCCGTTTGTGGGGGGGGGGGACAATGACATTTTCTCATACTCTTGCATAATCAGACAAAAATGTCTCTATCCGATCGAATGATGACTCGAGGGAACGATCCACACACAAAAGAACATAGTCCCGTCACAGTGCCACAACAAACTCATCAGGCGCGGCTTTGTAGGCCTCGAACATGTTCTCAAAATATTTCACCAGGTCGGCTCCCTTTTCGGGCCAACTCTGTTCCACAATCGCTTCGGCCTCCGGGCAGATATTCAAGACTTCAGCATGGCGTCTGCGTGGCGGCCACTGGAGTTCATCGAAGTTTCCGTTTGGCAATATCTCCGACAGCCAAGCAACATCATCGGCTAGACTAGGCACGGCTTCGTTCACGGCGCTTTCTGTTGTGTTAAGAGCCGCTGCAGTCGAGGACGCTCTTATATCGGTCTCGGGGGCTAAGTAAGTGTTAGGAATTAAGATCATCCCCAGGTCCAAAGAAAGCAAGGGGGTTTAGGGCCAACGGCTGGTCAAAATTACGAACCTTTTAGTGGATCCGAAGCAAATGCCCCTGGGCCCAGAGGAGCTACATCTTCGCGTCGAGCATCAGTAGAAATTATGTCGGCGGTCGAGACTTGGTTTCCAGGTGGGGTCGCAACTGGATTTGCGAGGAATGATGAGCCATCAATGGACATCGGGTCAGAACGGAGAGGGGTATTATTCAGCGACACACCATTGAATGATGGTGAAGATAGCCCGGGAGCGGACGGTGTCGACGCGGTGCTATTCGGGATCCGGGTGGATTCACGAAGGCGACTTGGAGTTTTTGGCTTGAACAGCTCCGCCTTGTTGCGAGCGCGGCTCAGTGGGGAGGGGTCTTGCGCCTCGATGGCTTCCGTGCCGAGCTCGGAATCTTGGATCGCAGCTAATTGGGGGGTTGGTCTGTTAGCATCAGTCCCTACATATGGGCCACCTTGCGGTGAGTGCGGCTGAGGCCGTAGAGACGCAAAAAACGAGGCTGCATCGTAGGGAGAACGTGAAGGGGGCGAAGCAGAAGAGGCAGAAGATGACGATGAAGATGCATATGGATCCGGAGCCTCGAAAGTCCGACTGCGCTTCACGGGCGGCAGAGGCGTCTTTGGGGACGATGAAGAAGATGCATAAGGATCTGGGGCCTCGAAAGTCCGGCTCCGCTTTACAGGCCGCGGCGGCGAAGGCGGCTTTGGGGACGGCGACGGAGGGGAACAGGGATCGGACGCTTCAGATGCCCGCTTTCGCTTGATCGCGGGGCGTGGTGGGGTGGGTAAACGTGGTGATGGGATTGGGGACGAAGCTGCCAGAGCAAATTCTTCAATCGACCGTGATGTCTCGAGCCGCTCAGCGAACCTAACAGAGGGAGACGCGACGGAGGCACCGGACTCGCGACGTTGGGAACGCCAGCGCCTGTTGATTTCTTCATTCTGCGCAATTTCTCGAGCTTTTCGTCTCGCGGCCTGCTTTTTGGCGTCTTCTGCCTCTGCCTGCAACGCTGCACCTTCTGTACGCCGAAGTTCCTCACGCGCCTGAGTAAATGACCGGAGATAGCTGAAATAAGCGGAGGGCTTATTTCGCTTCTCCCGTCTCTCCTTGGAAGTTGTGGGAATCCTGTGGAGCCAGGAAAGGTCTGGAAGGGTTGAAGGGGTTCTTCTCCAGGCCCCCTGCGTGCTCAAATCACAATTGGGGAGTTGGTGCTCCGGAACAAAGACACCGTTGAGAATCATACCTGTCTGGGAGCTAGAGGAAGCTCGGCTTTGCGCAGTGGTTGTGTGACTGGAGTTTGAACGCGAGTGTGAGGCAGCTTTCTGGGCTTCACGAGTCTCCAATGGCTGGGTTGAGGCCGGAGGAGTTTGAGGGTCCGAAGGCGAGTCAGGGTCGGTCAGCAATCGGCTCGAATCGATTGGGGACAAATCGGGCGGTGCAAGAGTTCCTCGGCGATTCGGGATAAAACCGGGGGTGCGGATGGGAGGTTCGGTTGGATGAGAAGTTGTGCTCTGACGGCGGACCGATTGCTGGGTACGCTTCTGCTGCTTGGGGGGTTTATCAACGCGACGTTTCTTGGTAGGGGGGCACTCTCTTGAGCTGCTTTGGCAGCTTCTTCTTCCGCCTTTTCCACTTGTGCTTTGAGCGTTTCCCATTCTTCGGGTGTAAAATCCTCCTCGTGGACGGCGAGGTCGTCTTCATCAAGACCGAACCCACGACTCCGCTTGCGTGGGTTTGCAGTCTGGGCGGCAGCCACCTCGGATGCTCTGCTGCGCGAACCCGAGTCAATCTGAGAGGCTGGCGTGGGTAGAGGGGCTTGATTTATGGGCTTGTTAGGGGTAACTGGGAACGGTCTGGGGAGTGTGGGTGTATTAGAGGAAGCGTATTGCTTCCAGCGGGCAGCTTCATGAGCCGCGGCCGCGGCAGCTGCAGCGGCAAACTGGGCTGCTGTGATTTCGCGAGATTTGGCCTCCTGCTTTTGTTTTTCAAGTGCCACACGAGCAGCTTGTCGACGTTTGACGAATTCACGCTGAGTCTCGTGAGAATAAGCATCGCTAGAAGAAGGAGAACCATCGGCAGCGAGTAGCGTTCTTGTGTCTACAAACGACATACTACGACGTCTTGGACGAGGTAGAGGAGCGACACGAGGAAGGGGAGAAGGGGGACCTCGGAGCAGAGGAGCCATTCTCTGGGCTTTAGGAGAAATGGATGGGCCGAGGACGCCTGCTGGGGAGGGTTTCAATGTCGTGACTGGTGCAGCTAGGACCGGTTCAGTGGAAGAAGCAGCCACGTTGGGCACAGTTGGCTCAGCAACAGCTAACATCCGTGAGTAACACTCAACCTTTTTGAAAGTGCTTAGTATGGGCAACTTACCTGGCTGGTTCTCATTCTCATTGTCATGGTCATGAGTGAAGCGGCCTCTCAGAACTGTCCATCTTCTCGAGACACCATTGAAGATCCATCTGCTCCAGCCTGGAGAAACATCAGTACCCGCGGCAGGGGCGGTCATAGGGGCCACGGGGGTGGCAGCGGTCGCGCGCTTGGGGGTCGAGGGGGGAGTAGCCTCAGGAACTGAAGTCGCAGGGGGAAGATTCAGGGAGTCCTGCTCGTCGAGAAGATTCGTCTCTTCGCCAGAGTCATCTTGGAGCTCGGGTCGATTGCTGAAGGACAGGAGCTGTGGAAGACGGTACAGAGTCCGGCCGAGACTGCCACGGCTCTCAATGCGGCGAGAGGTGGACCTGCTGGCGTAAGACGTGCGAGACCGGTGGATCGGAGTGGCCCCTTGGGCACGCAGGACTCGGGACTGCTCGGAGGAAGGGGACGGCGAGGTTCTAGGACGGCGGTGGGAGCGGCGGCTTGGTACTGTTCCGGCGGTCCGCACTGCACGAATGATGGACATCAGTTCAATGTCGTCCAGAGCGGATTCTGGGTGGCCCATGTTCAGGTTGAATACGGGGATTTCCAAGGACCATCTAACTGCGGGAGCAGTGATGGTGGCGGACGGGGCGGACGCAGCCGAGGACACGACGGGTGCAGCATGGCTGCGGGTGCACAAGCTGGAAAAAGACCGCAACTTGGACATGAACCAACTTCTATGTTGGTTGCTGGGCTCCTTGGTGGAGATGGAGGGCGTCGAACTAGACGAGTCGATCGGCAATGAAGCCACGGAATCGACGGACGACGAACGCTCGGGGGGTGGATGGATGGGGAAGAAAGACGCAGGGGGGAAAACGGAGAGAAATGAAGGAAGGTAACTCACAAACTCCAGGAGTTGGAGTCGTCAACTCAGGGTCACTGGGCTCAATTGACGGGAGGACAGTGACAGGGATCTCAACGGAAGGAGTTGCGGCCTGTTCCTGGATCTCGAGGTCTGGGCGAGTCTGCTCGGCCACAGACTGGTCAGCACTGGGTCCTTCTGAGGGATTGCGCGATTCCTGCGCCAGGAAATCCTGCATCTGCGCGACGGTAGGCTCGTCGGCATTGGCTCCGTGGGGTTCGTCGTGTTCTTGGATGACGCCAAGTTCGACATCGGGGGACTCCACCTTTACACTGAGTTCCTGGACGACGGCACCCGAGGTGGTCTCATCACCCTCCAGCTGTTCTGGCTGGGGGTCTTCGGCGGGAGAAGGGGGGGGGGAGGTCTGGCGCGTCGCCTTCTAGAGTAAATCAGTCAGACACAATTCTTTTTTTGCGCCAGATATCTTGATGACTTACCTTCTTGCCGCGGGAAGCGGCCTTGCCACGGGTCTTGCGAGTCTTGGGCTCGCGGACAGGCGGGGCGGGTTGGTCTTCCTGCGGTTGAGCAGACGCAGAACGAGTCGCTCGGCGACGACGGGGAGCAGGGTCAGGGAGGCCCTGAACGGCGTTGGGGGAGTTGGGGCCGTAAGGCTTGGAGCGGAGGCGTGGCGGCATGGCGACAACACCTCAGCAGCAAGCCAGAGACCGAGAGGTTGACGAAGGTCTTGATGGTGAGTACGAAACTGGATGTGAGCGTGTAAAGAGGTTATCTTCAAACGCTGGTGAACGAACAGTGACGTGGGGAGAGAGAGAGGAGAGAAAGAAGAAGAGAAGGAAGTTAAGGCAGGAGATATTTAAGTTTGCCCATCAGCGTGTTGTGATCTGTTGTGATGGCGACGTGTTTGGGACAACCAAGGCAGGCGCGGTCGTTGTCTCCTTCCCAGTGTAGGCCGAAAATGTTATGCCTACCTTTTGTTTGCCTACCATGGGATTATGACAGTGACGTGCCAAAAATCATCGACTCGCGACGGGCAGAATACTTCCAGCCCGCAGGGCGGTGAGCCCAAAATTAAAGTGGTACCTCAGACATTGGGCTCCATCGTTGTAAAGTCCCGAATCGGCTCAATTATGTAGGTAGAAGGGCCCTAGACAGAGTTAGGAAATTTACCTCAATGGGTTCTGTGAAGCTCTGCTCTGATAAAACAGGTTCTGCCAATTTATAGTGAATCGGAAAAAACAATCACATTGCCAAGACCCATCAAGCCCATGGTGCGACTTGAGTAATTACCCATGATTCTAAAACTATAGAGGAAGGGAAGAAACAATGTCGATCGAAGAAAAACAGTGCTATTGGTACATTCACAACTATCTCTTCAGAGAGAGACGAATAGAGAAAATAAATGATATCTTGCTATGATACAGAGGCTCTAAAGAGCAATCTCGCCTTTCCATGCAGCATCAGACAACCCAAGTGTCTCCATCAAGTTCTGCCACCGAGGGCCGCCTCGTTCCTTCTGCCGGATGTACTGAAGAAGCTTCTGTCGCTTGTGAACAAGAACCTGGAGGTTGCGTTTGTTGTGCTTATCCTTGTTGGCGGTCTGTAGATGCCGGGACAAGTTCATAATCTTGACAGTAAGGATGGCGGCCTGCACCTCGGGGGAGCCAGTATCCACTCCAATACGGGGAACTTTCTCCTGGTGAGCAGACACAGATCCTTGTGGTGCGCTAGATGGCTTTGGTGGGAGGATAGAGTCGGTATTGTGTCGCCCAAATTGCTCAATACACCTCTGCACATTCAGCCGCAGGCGATCTTTCGTATTGCCATTGCTGAGGTTGACAATGCGCTGAATTGCATCCTCTGCAATCTGGTGCTCCTTCTGATGCAGCTCTCCGGCTACCTTCTCCAACTGGGGATCGGCGGTGTCACGATCCTGGTTTTGAAGCGGTTCCGTCAGGTCCTTCGAGAATTGCAATGCGCTGCTGAGCTCGTCCGGCTTCAAGTAATAGTTCAGACCTGAGCTTGCAGATGGAACCTGTGAGCCATTTTGAATCGCCTCGATCTCTTGAATAAATGTTGTAGGCTTGCTCTGGACCGGGTCGCCGAGCGAGGCTTCCCGCTCGGTCTGGAGGACTTTTTGGCGAGAGAGATTGGCAGCCTTACGCTGACGCGCCTGTGCAATCATGAAAAAGTCGGATCGCTTTTGAGGCTGGGCTTTGGCCTTTGTGGATGCTGATCGTAGAGAGGCATTGGTCGCGTGTGGCATGCCGGCGGCCAACGGGCGCTGTCCGAAGAAGGTGCCTGTCAAAAAGATTGGTATTAGCATTGGCCACGTAAGCGAGATTGATCGTAGGAATGGGAGGAATATTACCTGTCAGGGCCTTCCAAGAAGGCTGCACAGAGATACGCAGAGCCATGATGGCCAGACCGTTATCCTTTCAATATTGTATAGCCCCGGGACAAGCCTGAAGTTCTTCGCATCAACCTTTTGGTCGGGAAATCATGCGGCCGGTCGGCCGAGACTACACTAGTCCAATTCGGGGACACTGTAAATCCTGCCTCAGGCACCAGGGGTTCATGCCTCGTCACAGCGCCAAGACCAAGTTCCTTAAGTAAGCAAATACTGCCCTAGCCCTAATTCTCACAACCCGCAAGCGAAATTCTCCCGAAGCGCGGCGTGAAACATTTCGTGGTTCGGCTTTCGATCTCTTCCCTCCATCCCCACGACAAGAGCCAGACGATTGATCTTTCCAACATCATCAATCAATCAATCGCCCACCATGGCCCCCTCCCAGCTCCCCCGGTTTTCAACCCTACCTCGCAGGACATTGAGATGCTCCTTGCTGCTCAGTGCCACCTCGGTTCCAAGAACCTCCAGGTGCACATGGAGCCCTACCTCTGGAAGACCCGTCCCGATGGTGTCAACGTTATCAACATTGGCAAGACCTGGTATGTAGGCAGAATTGGATTTGCGACGCGATCAAACCTGGTGCACGGGAGTCTAATTGCGGTTTGCGCGACTGTATAGGGAGAAGATCGTTCTGGCTGCCCGTATCATCGCTGCCATCGACAACCCCGCCGATGTCTGTGTCATCTCCGCTCGTCCCTACGGCCAGCGTGCTGTCCTGAAGTTCGCCGCCCACACCGGTGCTACCGCCATTGCTGGTCGCTTCACCCCCGGTAACTTCACCAACTACATCACCCGCTCTTTCAAGGAGCCCCGCCTCATCATCGTGACCGACCCTCGCACCGATGCCCAGGCCATCAAGGAGGCCAGCTACGTCAACATCCCCGTCATTGCCCTCTGCGACACTGACTCCCCCACCGACTTCGTCGACGTTGCCATCCCCACCAACAACAAGGGTCGCCACGCCATCGGTCTTGTCTGGTGGATGCTCTCCCGTGAGATCCTGCGTCTCCGCGGCACCCTTGCCACCCGTGAGACCGAGTGGGACACCGTTGTCGATCTCTACTTCTACCGCGACCCTGAGGCTGAGGAGAACAAGGAGATCGCCGATGAGACCAAGGTCGCTAGCGCCGAGGAGGTTGGCACCGGTGCCATCGAGTCTGGCTTCGCCGGTGAGAACTGGGATGCTTCCGCTCCCGGTGCTGGTAACCCCGGCACTGCCTTCGCTGCCGCTTCCGCCGCTGTTGGTGCTACCTCCTGGGAGGCCGATGGTGCTGACTGGGCTGCCAGCTCCGCCCCCGCGGGTGGTGAGTGGGCCGCTGAGTCTCAGCCCGCCGCTGCCTCCGGTGAGACCAAGTGGTAAATGCCACATCGGTGGTTACGAGGATAGGCGTTGAAAAGGGAGAGACTTGATCTCGAATTCAAAAAGCCATGCCCGGATTATTGTACCGATTGCTCATGTCCCCCCACAGGACACGGGCAGCGAGGGGAAAAGCTCTTGTCTGTTCTGTCACGTTCAATTCCGTTGGCAACAATGGGATTCACACTATTTTTCCCGCACAATAAGCCCTTGACATGTCTATCCTAGTTTCTGTCAAATGATCCAAAAAGCAAGAAACTGAAAAAAAGCAGAAGAAAAATGAGCTTTCACCGGGAACCTTCCAGTCCTTTTGCATCAGTGGCCTCAGTCTTTTTTTACCAGCACAATTCTTTTTTTCGATTTAATGTTTGTCGCATCGGGGAGGAATAGCGATGACAACCATTGACCTGGCGCTTATGAGGGAAAGAGATCCAGTTGCGTTTTGTGACTGGGGGAAAGCCCTGTGCTGTCAATCAAACAAGGTGGACTTGATCGTTACCTTGGTTTCTCCCTGTATGTATCTACTAGTAATCGGAAAGGAGGTTGTGCTCGGTTACATTCTGGTCACGTAGGAGAAGCATTCTAGTAGATATGCATTCAACGTAAGCTAAAGTAAACTAGAGACATGGATGGAGATCCCGCACGTTCGGAGGATATCGACAGTGGATCACCCATAGGTATTAACCGTATGCGTTCCTCACGCTAAGATATGTGCTATGGAAGTCTACTAGTACATCGTTTAACCAACCCGAGAAGAGGCATAGTGTCAGATATCCTTTCCAGTTGTGCTACAGTCATATCTTGGCCTTCCATTGTAAGCACTGTTGTCGGAATCGGCGCAAGTTACCAGTCCTCTCGCATCGACTCAGATATCTAATCTGCGCAGGCGTGCTACTTAGAAAGATGAGTGCCTCATTCGTGATTTGATAGTTCTTGTCTCAAGAAATGCCTATATGATGAAAGATCAAAGAATAGTACAACCACCGGCACTCTGTCCACCGTTATCAGTGGTAGTCATGCCCGCCAGCCTCGCCAGATCTTCAAACGTCTCCGCCAGCAGTTCACCCGTTACTGCTGAGCACTCTGCATACCGGTCACAGCGGAGTTCTTGGGCAATACGGTAGGTCTATGCAGGATCGTCAGCTGGAGTCTTCGATATTCTCTAAGTTGTTGGCACATACCTCCTGTGGATAGATTATACCCTCGCCTTCTTTCCTGAGGTCCCGTTTCAATCCCAGCATCATGACGGGAATCCGCTCGCCATGGCCATGTTGGAAATAACGTATAATGTCGTTGCGCCACTATTTAGTGTGATTAGCGCTTTGTACAGGTTGAATGATAAGCATCTCCAGATAAATTCCTTACCCCTCTGAGCCCGTCTAAGGTCTGTCGATTTGAAATGTCAAATGCCAGGAGGACGACATCTGGATGAAGGCTGGTCCAATGCTGATTTGGGTTGGACGTGTCATATAGCTCCAATGTGAACTTCTTCTTTGAGAATCGTATATCGTAAATGAATGGTTGATCACTGTCCCGCAGGATCTCAAATTGGGTATCTGGGGTAGTCCCGGGCTGAGATGGTGCCATCCTCTTGCCACTCTTCAGGCGCCTGCGACCATATCAGTCTCTGACATCAAGGTGTCACTTTCTAGCTTTCAGTCCTCGGAGAGACACGAAGGCCCTGGAATTGGATCTGGCTTGACTAGTGACTCACGATAAGAGGGTGGACTTCCCACAGCCTGGGTCCCCCAAGAGCAGCATTGTGACCGTTGTTTCGGCCTCCGGAGACTCTGAGTCAGCCATACTGCTTGAGATATGATTATGACACTCTATTTCAAGTGAAAGTGACCATTTCCGTGTCTCTGGCTGCGAAATTGGTAAATTATGTGCAGAAATAAGGTTGGTGGTCGATGAGCGGAGGAGCTTCTGACTGGGTGGGATCTACACCGAGATATAAATGCTGCAGGGCCGCACGCCGTCAATGACGTCCAAGGATCAAGGTCAGCTCTAGTCTCAGTATTGGGAGGGGACGCTACATTGGAAAGCATCTATGCCTTGTATGTGATGTTAGCTTCTACGAATACAGTCGAATACAGCTTTGATTAGAATATACGAGGACCTGCTAGCATCTATGACATTACATTACAGAATATATTACTTCAAATACACAATACTCCGCGGACTTTAGTTTTCTGAATTTCTGCCCTCTTCAGACTAACTCGCCCAAACACGGGGTGGGCCGATTTCACAATCACTTTCCAGTGGTATGTGGAGACCACCATCAAGGTCCATTCTACTGAATCTGCTTCGAAGCCACGCCTCCAAACCGCAAGCGCGATTCCTGAGCGACCACCGCTCACTCAATCCAACAACCATGGCGGGCACCAGCAATGAGGAGAGCCCCGACTACAGCACCTGGAGTAATTCCAGCCTGATTGAGCGCATCACGGAACTTGAGCGCCAGCTGCACTCGCAGACCACGCAGTATACGGCACCAACCCCCGTGCTCGGCGAAGCCATACCCCGCGCACCGATTGCTACGGATGTGAGCGAACCTGCGATTCCTCTTGCTGATACACTCGCCAGCTCCTCGTCCTCGAAGAAGAAGCGTCTGCACTCTCCAGATGGCGGCGATATCTGTCATGCACCTGGGCGGTCGCGCCCTCATAAGGAGGAGCGTGGGTTTGATCCGTCGAAATATCAAACGCGGTTCATTGCGCTCAAGTTCGCCTACTTGGGTCAGCGGTACAATGGCCTGGAACATACCAATGGGAATACCACACCGCTGCCTACGATTGAGGAGACTCTATGGAAGGCGCTGCGTCGGACAAGATTGATTCTTCCGCAGACCTCGTCTCCCGCAGACGAGCCGGACGATGCCCATCCCAGAGAGCAGCGGCCCTACTCCATTCATTGGGATGGGTGTGATTACTCGAAAGCCGGAAGAACTGATCGCGGTGTGAGTGCTTTTGGACAGGTCGTTGGTCTCAGAGTTCGTAGCGCGAGGCCACAGCCGAAACCCAAGGCTGCGACTGAGCAGGAGGGTCTACAAGATGGTGATGCCATGCAGGTCGAAGAACCGTCTGCAGATTCGGACTGGGACGATATCGCGGATGAGATTGCCTATATACAAGTTCTGAATAGGGTGCTCCCCGAGGACATTCGAGTTCTCGCTTGGTGCCCTCACCCTCCCGAGGGATTCGATGCCCGATTCTCCTGCCGTGAGCGCCGTTATCGGTACTTCTTCACTCAGCCGGCGTTCTCCCCCACACCCGGCGCCTTTGGCTTTGAGAACCGCGCAGGAACCGGCAAGGGCGAGCGCACCAAATACCGCGAGGGCTGGCTGGACATTGACGCAATGCGCGAAGCCGCCAAACACTTCGAGGGTACACACGACTTCCGGAACTTTTGCAAACTCGATACAAGCAAGCAGATTGAGAACTTTGAGCGCATCATCTACCATTCTGACATCCAACTCGTGAACCCGAAAACCAACCCTCTGGGATATGTCGGCCAACCTGGATTCCAGATCACAGAGGACTTTGAAGCAGATGTGGACATGTTGTCTTCGCAAAAGCCCGAGCCTACCACTCCTCAGGTATACTCCTTCAACTTGTATGGATCTGCCTTTTTGTGGCACCAGGTGCGCCACATGGTGGCCATCCTCTTCTTAGTCGGTCAAGGACTCGAGTCTCCGTCCATTGTTCCAGAGCTGTTGGATATTATCAAAAATCCTCGGAAGCCATCATATGAGATGGCCTCCGATGCGCCACTAGTCCTGTGGGACACTATCTTCCCAGATGAGAGCACAGGTAGCCGAGATGATGCTCTAGATTGGGTTTATGCGGGCGATCCACGCCTCAACAAGAGCCGCAGTGCTAAGGGTGATAGCAAGTACGGCTTGAACGGTGCTGTCGAGAGCCTGTGGACAGTCTGGAGACAGCGCAAAATGGACGAGATCTTGGCTGGAGCACTGCTAGACTTGGTCGTCAGTCAAGGTGACCACAGCATGGTGACAAAGATGGACGGCAAGCAGGGAACTGGCAAGAAGCAGAGCAGAGGCGCCAAGATCTGGTTGGGAGGAGACGATGCTCGCACAGGTGGAAGATATGTACCCGTTCTGCAAAAATCGAAAACGGAATCTGTGGATGTCCGGAATGCCAAGTGGCTCGCGGCTAAGCAGCGTAAAGACGCCATCAAGGCCGCGGCGGTGCAGAAAGACGAGGTTTAAAAATGCATGTATATACTCACTTGTGAAGCAATGTATACTTTCAAGAGCCTAAAGTTGACAGAACTTTGAGCCTTCTGATGGAAAGTTGGTCTTCGCAGTAGATCCTCCAAGTAAATCTCCATTGTCTCTTTCGAATCAAAGATATGAGATATGACTCTCGGCGCCTCATGACTTCGCATCGTAAAGACAGCGGCGAGAGCCTCTCCACACTTCCTCCAAAATTTCTCGTTTGGGCAGCATTTTCTGGAATTGGTCAACTCACGCCCTAACAGAACGTATGCCAGCCAGGGGGCAACTTACAGGAAAGACCACCAAGACACCGGGCTCCCCCTCCACAATGACGGCCAGATAAAACCGGACCTCGAATCCTTTGAAGGCCTCGTGGATCACAATGTCCTGAATCTGCGTCGTAGGAATAAATCGTGTCGCAGCTGTAGAGAGATAGGTAGAGGAGGATGTGGAAGTCTGGATTCCAAAGCCACGAATGACCAGAAGCGATTCCTCTGCCTGACTGTCAGAACGAGTACGAGAAATATCCACACCTTTGTAGGCCAATCTTACCAGTGTAGCCCCTCTTGAAGACTCCGTATAACACCAAGGCGCTGACGACAGCAATCACCCAGGGGTTGTATGAGTCCACCTTGCGGCAGACATGCGATCCGAGAGTGCTTGACCATACATCTTCCCATGAAATGATAAACAAGCTTCCCTTGTCGAAGAAATGGCGTCGTAGCCGTGTGATCCCTACTACGATCACACAGCAAAAGAGCAATGCTCGCAGCAGGATCTGAAGACCAAAGAGGATCTTCGCGGGGGAACTGGATCGCCGCGTCGCATTCGAAACGGTAAAGCTGACGGTCGTCGGCGTAGGCCGCTGGACTGTAAGACGGCACGGCATGGTCGACGTGCGGGGGTTCTATGGGCTTCGAATCTAAGCCCGAAAGCCCTGACGATTCAATGAAAGCTATAAATTGAACACTGCCCGTAGTTGGCACAAACCGCGGAAGAAGCTCACCCCCGAACAAAACACACGCTAGTCCCCTTTTAGGCTTTTGGGTTTGCCCAGCATCTGCAACGCCCCAGTCACGTGTCACCAGCTGCAAGCCTCCGTTGACACTGGGGCTGGCCTATCGGGCACCAAAACCTTCCTTTCCCCTCTCTCAACCTCGCCAGAATGGGTGACCGCGATCGAAGCCGGTCTCCTCGCCGGCGTGACAGCGGCGACCGAGACCGACCGAAAAAGACGAGTGGCTTCCGCTGGAAGGAAAAGAGGCGCGACGACGAATCCCGCGGCGATGACCGCCGACTAGATCGTGGCTACAGAGACCGGAGCGACCGCCCTCGATCACCTCGGAGGGATCGTGATGGAGATCGACCTGGAGACCGATACAGAGACGGCGACCGCGAACGTGAGCGTGAGCGTGAGCCTCGACGACGTGACGACCGCGACGCTCCTCGAGAAGACCGCGAGAAAAAGGTGGAAAAGAAGGAGAAGAAAGAGAAGAAGCCCGTTGTACCGCAGTCGTCTGAGCCCATGATTGTGGTTCATGTGAATGACCGTCTGGGTACCAAAGCTGCGATTCCTTGCTTAGCTTCGGATCCGATCAGTGAGTGTCTGCATCTTTTGGAAGTCACCCACCATGCATACTAATCCAACCGCTTCTACAGAGCTCTTCAAGGCTCAAGTAGCTGCCCGGATTGGTCGCGAGCCCCACGAGATCCTCCTGAAGCGCCAAGGCGAACGTCCGTTCAAGGACCAGTTGACATTGGAGGACTATGGAGTGAGCAACGGAGTACAGCTTGACCTGTGAGCCTTCACGTTTACCCCCGTTCTCTGCCCTACCATGCTTGATGCTGACTGCTTTACAGGGAGGTTGGAACTGGCGATTAAGAGGAACCCATTGCATTGCCCATATGAATTCAGGATGTTCGGCGGGACAGTTCGGCGTTATCAAAATTCCACGGATCTAGGTCATAGGAGCGTTACGATGCTTTTTGTTTTCTCTGCGTCTCTTGTCTCATCTTTCCTTTTTTTCTTTCTCTCTTTCCTTTTGTTTTCTCCCATTGGTCTATGAGCCCTATGGGTCTATGGATAGGGTCGACATATACAGTATGGACCTATCCTTCCGGATCATGATCATATACCTCCTCTCTCCAACGAATGATGACTCAGCCGAAGTCTTCCACCAATTAGGGTTCCTAGCGAGACGTAGGTATCTCTCCAGAGTTCGCTTACCATTGCTGCATTGCTGCATTGCTGCATTCCCGCGGCCGTTTCTCCTGCGGGGCTAAAGCTGCCCGCTTGCACCGATGCCGCAGGTGGGCTGCCTGATTCTGGCCTGAGGCATCAGCCGGCAGCCAACCCGAGGCCGAACCGGCGGTCCACTCCAAAGAGGCTTTTTTTTGATCGCGGGACCTCACATGGGCAGTTTCTTTTTTCCTCTAAATGCCCATTTGCCTGATCGAAAGCACCCTGACTTTCTCGAGTCCTCCGCGATGAAGTGATCGCTTTTACTCTCCACTCTTCCACAGTTCTCCTTTCGCCTTCCTCCAGCTGCTCTTTCTTGCGTCGAGCATATCCTGCCGGCCCCAGTTTTTCCGTCCCCTCCGCAAGATTCCTCGCCCTCCTCCACCCGATCCAGCGCTTCCCCCTCCGATCTCTTCTTTTTGAGGATCTCCATAGCTCTCGCTAGCCATCATTCCGTCGGAATCACTCAAGTCGAACGCTATGGTTCGCAACATCGTCGTCATCGGGGGTAACTCCCACCCCCAGTTGACTCGGACCATTTGCGGTGTGCTTGGCATTCCTCCGGCGGACGTCCTGCTCTCCAAGTTCGCCGTCGGTGAGACCCGAGTCGAGATTCAGGAGTCCGTTCGTGAAAAAGACGTCTATATCATCCAGTCTGGTGGCGGCAAGGTCAACGACCACTTGTTGGAGCTTCTGATCACCATCTCCGCCTGCAAAACGGCCTCGGCCCGACGAGTCACTGCCGTCCTTCCTCTATTCCCCTACTCTCGCCAAAGTGATATCCCCTACGACAAGGCCGGAGCTCCCCTGGTCAAGTCTTCCGTGCGGGACCGTCCCAGCAATGGCTACACTTTTGAGAGCACTCCCCCCACACCCGGTCCTGGCGTGAAGAGTGAGGGTCTGGGCCTCATAAACGGCATGGAAAACTTTCAAAAGAGCCTTGCCAAGGCCCAGATTGAAGAGAGCAATGGCAGTCCGGTAAAACGGCGCCCCGCGAACGGGCTTCCGCGGAGTGACACTGCTGACTCTCTCAAGTCTTTGACCGCCAACGGCGTGCCCGAAGATTCCTCCAGCAACGCTTCCAACTCGTCCAAGATCAACTCTTTCCAGCCGCGACCAGGCTACAAGCAGTGGGTTGCGCAGGCAGGCACCCTGGTGGCAGACCTGCTCACCTGCGCTGGCGCGGATCACATCATCACCATGGATCTGCACGACCCGCAGTACCAGGGCTACTTTGATATCCCTGTGGACAACCTTTACGGACGTCCTCTGCTGAAGAGCTATATTCAGCGCAACATCCCCGACTACAAGCAGGCCGTTGTAGTCAGTCCCGATGCGGGTGGTGCCAAGCGCGCCACGGCCATTGCCGACTCCATGGGTATGGAGTTTGCTCTCATCCACAAGGTATGGAATGGGTCACTAGTGGCTCCCGTTTGCTAGGGGGGCATTCATCTAACCATATTTCCAGGAGCGCCGCCCTACAAAAATCACAGACCGCCAGAATGCCACCATGATGCTGGTCGGCGACGTCCGCGACCGGACAGCTATTCTTATTGACGATCTAGCGGACACCTCCAACACCATTACTCGGGCGGCCAAGCTTCTGAAGAAGGAAGGTGCTTCCAAGGTGTATGCTCTCGTCACCCACGGCATCCTGAGCGGCGATGCTATTGAGCGCATCAACGCCAGCGCCCTCGACAAGGTGGTGGTGACCAACAGCGTGGACCAGAGTGTGCACCTGCGCCGCTGCCCCAAGCTCGAGGTCCTGGAGGTCGGCCACGTTTTCGCTGAGGTGAGTCAGATACGTCGAAATTGTGCGGATGACGCCACTTGCATTTACTGACCGCTCAAACTCTATGTAGGCCATCCGCCGCGTCCACCACGGTGAAAGCATCAGCGTTCTGTTCCAGTATGATTGAGTTCTTCCTGTCTTGCCTGGGAGGAACTGGAAACAGATCGACTGAAAACTGAAAAAAAAAATTTACTGGCTTCATCTTTGACATCAAGCTGGCATGCTCTGAATGATTTTCTTTGGATCTATGGGCGTTGTTGTTGACCCAGAGTCACCTTTCTATTCATTGACTACCACAATTTTGTTATTTTTCTACAACATAGAAACCTCGGTCCCAGTAGACTCGGTGCTTCGGAGCGTGTTCTTGTATCACTGTGCTTCATGTTGCTCTCTCTCTCTCGTCCGGTCGCTGGGACAAGGGCTGGCTGCTTTCTATTCGAGTGATTGATTGCTTGAACTAGCTTTGTCTAGGGCTGCCTGCTTTATCTGTACATACACTACCTAGCTGAAGGATTGACAAGACACTTTTGATTTCTGTCATTTTATGTTGCTTTGCGTGTCTTGAAAAGACGATCATTTCCTCGCTCCATAGCTGGAATAACATACTGTGCAGAACGAGCGCAGGAATGTAGAAGCCTGCTGCTTAAGGAGAAGTAGCTGTAGCGTATAAGCAAGGGAGTTCTGTCGGCATTGCATACCTAGACAACAAACCTAAGGTTCTCGTGCTTGAGCACCCTAAGAAAGAAGAACGGTACAGTATATTTATTGAACATTTGAGCGGGCAGCAAACAGACTCTTACCGTCGAGAATTTTGAGAAACATCATATCTCGGATCTAGATTCTTGGGAACCCGCCTAGCTAAAGAGATTAAGGAAGATTTTGCTAGCTTCTCGGGACTGGGGGAGCCTAGCAATGATTGAACTGGTAACTGGGAGATAACTCATCTAGTTGATGATTTCTGCTCTTCTATTTCATAAAACAGATGACAGGAAAGTTGCCCAACGCCTTAGAAACACAAAAAGCCAAGAAAGCCGAAACCAAATGTGGCCATTGTCCTGGCCGAGGAATGTGATGCGCTGACTTTAATACTGAGAAAAGAAACGAACTTGGGTACTCGATACAAGGAAATCGGCTGCCCGCAGAAAAAGCAAATACACACAGCCATGGAAAGGGTAAGTACAGTAGGAACAAAGGTCATAAGATTTCCGGGCTTTAGAACACGGAGATGAAGTTGCCAATTCTCTCCTTCTGGTTCTGGGCAATGCACTCCGAAATCCAGGTCACGTTGCGGATTTCCTAGTAATCGTCAGCTTTGAAGCCCCGTAAACATGATTGTCTGGATAGATGGCTTACCTGCTCCTTAAGCTTCATCCACGCGTATACCACCGCTGGGGTAAACTGTCGGGTGAACACAAATTTGGACATCTCCATCTCCTTCTGGTAGAAGAGATCCTCCAGACTCTTGCCATCAGCAGGACCTCCACCCATACCACCAAGGCCGCCGCCGCCTTGGCTCAGGCCCACGGCGTCAAAGAAGCTCTTGTAATCGGAGACAGCACTAACAGCCAAGGCCACACCCTCGACATCCTCGGCACGAGAGAGCATCAAGCTGCCCTCCGGGTACAGGTTGCCGAATTCGGGGTATAGTTTCCTCCGCTCCTGCTTTGAGAGCTCGGTGCCGAAGGAGTTGAGGGTAATGTTGATAGCGCGGCGGTCAGCCTCAAATTGCAAGATCTCTGACATGATTTCTTGTGTAGGGCCAGAGAAGTCCGGGTGGGTTTGCACAAAGTTGTGGAAGTCCTCCAGGTAGTTCTTGTAAAGAGTGTTGCGCACGATCTCGATATTCAATTCATCCAGATCCTGGTGGCTCAGGCTGCCCTTGAAGTATGGGGCGAGTGGAGTTTCAATCAGCACCGAGTTATACAGCTCCTCGATGTTGGTTGCGACACACAGCACGGGCAGAGTCTCGAACCAACCGAGCGGGTGGCATCGCTCCAGGAGCTCCCGTGTGTCTCGCTCGTGCAGGGTACCGGTAATCAGGAGTGCGATGTTGTCGATCATGTAGCCGTAGGTGAGGTACTCGAGAAACTTGGCAGTTGAACCGACGGACTGTGCGACAAGGTATCGGAATTCAGAGACCAGCTTGTCGGTCATCTTGCCTGCGAGGGCGGAGGTGGGGGGGTTGGGGGGGAGAGAGGCAAGGAAATCGCCGTAGGCTGGGCCTAGCTGCAGCTTCACATCTATGATTATACTTGTTAGAACCAGCAGTCTATGGCCGAGGAAAAGGAATATATGTACCGTCAATGGTTTCGCATTGTGTCAAGTTGGAGTAGTTCTGGCCAGTTAGAAGGCTGTTCCGATAACCTCGGACAATGCCCTCGACGAATCTGGCCAGAGATCAGTATCATAAAAGTCCCCAATATCGGCGTATTCACTTACCCGCCATTCACATTGAAGAAGAGACCCTCCATGATGCGTGGAGTGGGACGATGATTTTGGGGAGGAACATCTGTAGCTCCCTCGACGCCGTATGCTGGCGGGTCTTACATAAGCCACAGCCACAGCCACAAGGTGTGGCTTGCGCTTTTGCACTTTTTTCTTCCGTGCAAAATTTCTAGATTTCTCCTCAACGGTGAATTGCGTCCACGGTCCACAAACCCCCCCCCCCCCCTCCTCTCGTCTTTCTTTTTTAATTTCTACCTGGGCCCCCTCGTCTTTTAGTTGAATTACCTGTTTACACAAAGCCCGCTCGCCGTGGCCGCCCACCATGTCGCTTTTCATCCTTACCGAAACCAGCGCAGGTTACGCCCTGCTGAAGTCCAAGGACAAGAAGCTCTTCAAGCGGGAGTCTCTCCCCGAGGATGCTAACACTGCCGAGGGCATCTCTAACCTGTATGTTCAATTACTACCCTAGCGAAAGCAAAATGCCCACCTGAGCGAGCAAGAAGCCCCGCGCAGCCGGCGCAAAAATTTTTGGTTGTAGTTGACAGCCGTACTGACTCTTTTTTCGCGTGTAGCTTCAAGTTGAAGAACTTCAAGAAGTTCGACAGCGCTGCTACCGCTGTGGAGGAGGCTGCGTCCATCATTGAGGGCAAGGTCACTCCCCCTTCTGACCGAGGTCCTGAAGGACCTCAAGGACGAGAAGAAGGCTTCTCTGGCCGTTGCCGACGTCAAGCTTGGTAGGCACCGCTGATCAACCCGTAAATGGGTATCTGCTGACTTCAATCGCTATTAGGAAATGCGATTAGCAAGGTGCCTGGACTCTCCCTCGAGCTCATTGCCGACTCATCCACCGCCGATGCCTTCCGTGCCATTCGTGAGAACTTGATCACCATCATTCCCGGCCTTGCTCCCAGTGATATGTCTGCCATGTCCCTTGGTCTGTCCCACTCTCTCGCCCGCCACAAGCTCAAGTTCTCCCCCGATAAGATCGACACTATGATCGTCCAGGCCATCGGTCTGCTGGATGACCTCGACAAGGAGCTCAACACCTACGCCATGCGTGTGAAGGAGTGGTACGGCTGGCACTTCCCCGAGCTGGCTAAGATCCTGAACGACAACATTGCCTACTCCAAGCTTGTCCTGAAGATGGGCATGCGCACCAACTGGGAGACCACTGACCTCGCCGAGATTCTGCCCGAGGAGATTGAGGGTGCCGTCAAGACTGCTGCTGATCGCTCCATGGGTACTGAGATCAGCGAGGAGGATCTTGAGAACATCCAGGCTCTTGCCACTCAGGTTGTTGAGTTTTCTGACTACCGCCAGCGTCTTGCCAGCTATCTCTCCTCCCGTATGAACGCGATTGCTCCCAACTTGACTGCCCTGGTTGGTGATCTCGTTGGTGCCCGCCTCATTGCCCACGCTGGTAGCTTGACCAGCCTTTCCAAGAGCCCCGCCAGTACCATTCAGATTCTGGGTGCCGAGAAAGCGCTCTTCCGTGCCCTCAAGACTAAGCACGACACTCCCAAGTATGGTCTGATCTACCACGCTTCTCTGATCGGCCAGGCTACCGGCCGCAACAAGGGCAAGATGGCCCGTATCCTCGCCGCCAAGGCCTCCCTTGGTATCCGTGTGGATGCTCTGGCTGAGTGGGATGAGGATGTCACTGAGGAGGAGAAGGCTGCTCTTGGTACCGAGGCTCGCTTCAACTTGGAGCGCAAGCTTGCTGCCATGGAGGGCAAGCCCATCAAACCCCGCGGTGTTAACATTGCCCCCAACGGCGCTGCTCAGCCCCAGAAGTTCGATCTGAAGGAGGCCCGCAAGTACAACCCCGATGCCGATGCCCTGGCCGACGAGGTTGAGGAGCCCACATCTGCCAAGAAGTCCAAGAAGGACAAGAAGAAGAAGCTGGTCGAGGACGTTGATGAGGATGAGGATATGGAGGATGCTGACTCCGATGATGAGCCCCAAGCCAATGGCACTGAGGACTCTGAGCTCGAGAAGCTCGCCGCCAAGGCTGGTCTCAGTGTCAAGCGATACCAGCGCAAGTTGGAGCGGGGTGAGATCACTTTCGATGATGCCGGCAACCCAACGGCAGTCAGCAAGAAAGATCTGAAGAAGGCCAAGAAGGAGGCCAAGAAGGCCGACAAGGAGGATGGCAAGAAGCGCAAGCGTGATGACGGTGATGACAGCGAGAAAAAGAAGAAGAAGAAGAGCAAGGGCGAGTAAGTTGCTTCATTTTGGTTCAAAAGTTTCGTGCAATGTGATGGATGGCTTTCGCGAATCTGTATGATATCACTTTTTTTGTTTCGCGGCCTTGCTCGCTACACGCATGTTTGGGGGCATTTCGAGGTTGATTTATCTGTTTCTTTGTTTTATTGGCGCACCCGGTGCTTTATGGTACAAGGCAGTACAGTTTTACAGCTGAATAATCTGTTCATACTTCAAATCTTGAATCATTTGTAGACTTTCGTCTGATGTAGTTTGCGTTTACCATGAACGACCTGCTGTATACCTCGAGGATAATGAAAGACCGCCAAGGACACCGCTTTCATCTGCCTGTCATCCCACTCCAGCCATCATCCAAATAGACCGCCTTTCCAACCGCCCATTCCTGCAGCACTCGATTTTGCCGGCACAATAAGCTTTTTTCTATCACTACTACTCTCATCTCCACCTCTCACAGCTCTGATCTGACCACGCAACACCATGAAGGTAAGAGAAATATTCCAATTCAATTGAGCATCACTGACCTCCTTGCAAAGATCCTTGACCCCCAAGCTGCAGTCCTCAGCAACGTTGAGGTACTGGCCTACCTGACAGCCAACCCACCCCGCCGCCCTCCAAGTCGTCCTCCAAACGCGCGACAATGGGTACCAAGTCCAGATCTAAGAGACCACAATACAGTCGTTAAAGAGGTGAGTGTTCACTATTTGAATCTTGAGTTATATACATGATTTCCTCGACCTCTATCCCAGCATGTCCCTCCAAAGAGCCCATCGCAAAGACATGGCTACAAGCCCACATATCCTCTCCCCACATCACAAGAGAAAAGCAACACCAAAGAACAATATCCGCTAACAACAATCTTCCCAGTTCCACAACTACGTAACCCGCATCTCCCCCCACCTCCTCAAATACCCCCGCTACACCGACCGCCCCAGCTCCTCCCACTCCCAAACCCAAGCAGCCATGACGCGAACCATGCGCGCAAACGCCCCAACCGCCGACCCCGAGCCCACCTCCCTCCCCCACCCCTCCCAAACCGAACCAACACCCATGGACCGCGCAATCCGCGACCTAGTACTTAAACTCCGACCCTACGGCCTGACGAAAGCCGAGGTCCTGACTATCATTAATCTGGGCATTGGGTTGTCAGCGGGTGAATCGGAGGACCAGGTTGGTGAGGCGAATGGTCAGGGTGTTATGGATCTGGATGAGGTTCCTGCTGTGAATGGGGAGGGGGAGGGGAGGAAGGGAGGAGGGGGAGGGGGAGGAGGGGAGGCTGATTATGGAGCGTTGGCGCTGTTTGATGCTGTTATTGAGGAGCGGGAGTATCGGATTTCGAATGAGGATCTTGTTGCTATTTTGGGGATTATTCGGGAGACGTTGACGGAACATTATAGGGGGTGAGTTGGGTGTTGAGGGGAGATGGTACTGTACTAGTTGAAGTGTGATTGTTGATTTTGATATCCCGAGGCTTAGTGCCTCAACGCCATTGGGTCGACCGGGAAGAATGTGTTTACGGATTTTTTTGGAGCTTGCAGCTTTTATTCAGTTATATGTACAACATGTAGAAAATAGCATTAGTATCTATCTATGGTACAACCCAAATGATTAACCGGAACTCCATGATGAGTAAAGTAGCCAAGATCCCGGCCACAATGCCATGGTCCTGGTGTAAATCAACAACAGTGGTATCGAGCAAAAAAGTGCAGAGGTTCTGCTAGCAGTGGGAGCTTGGACTGGCAAATCCAAAGCTTGAGATTCAACGAGGGAGGAGGCACGAAAAGCCTTGCAAAAAGCACACCTTCAATGCAGCGTTCAACAACAGATTAACCGAGACGATTCACGTCTCTAGAGAAATCCTTCCTCCTCCTTTCTTTCCCCTTGATCAAGTCTCCAAACTGGTTATAAAACCGGCTCATCTGGATCGCCATTCAATTCTTCCTCCTCCTTTTCTTTCCCCTTGACCAAGTTTCCAAACTGGTTATAAACCGGCTCATCTGGATCGCCATTCTCCTTGGCCCACGGACCAAGATCATCATCGAACAAGTCTCGCTCCTGGCCCTCACAGACTTGAGAGAGGGTAACCCAATTCTCGTCGTCTGTCCAGAGTCCGCCACGTCCACCACGCATGTCCCACCAATCCTGACCACCCAGGAGCGCAGACTGCGCGGCATCGAAGCCGTGCGAGGAGCGGACGTATCGCCGGAGCAAAGCACGGGCCCATGGGAAGAACCACATCTTCTCCCACCATACGTTGCGCAACTTTGGGTCCCCGTTGAGGTGGGCCAGGACCGGGACGGAGGGGGAGTAAGGGTTTGTCATGAGAGGGATGTTACTCCACGAGTGCTCTTCCGGGTTTGGAAGCTTGTCCAGGGTGGCGTTGTATTCTGGTAAGGTGGTTTGTTCTTTAGCGAAGCGGGTCTGGTTGAAGGGGTTTGGCAGGGCTGCAATGTCTTCTGGTAGAAGAAGACGGTGTTCTCGTGGAACGCCGAACTGGCCTTGGAGGAGGGAGGTTTTGGTGATATTGTTGAACTTGATCCACTCGACGTCGTTACGCGAGAGGATCTGGTTGAAGAAGAGCTGGGACTCGTAATCCACACCAATACCGTACTCATAGCGGTGACCAGATTCGAGACGGACACTGATTCCGTCAATATTGACTGCGTCGGATATGCCTAGCATGCCGTAGACCCATTCCTTGACCCCATTCACAGTACGAAGCCGTTCTAGCTCTCTGACGACTTCCTGTCGTCCGAAGATCTGGGTCAGAGCCTGGTAGTCGCTATGGTTCCGTTCCATCACACGGAGAACTTCATCATGAATGAGTCTCAGATCAGCGGCCTGGCCAATCACAGCGCCGGGATTCAACCATCGAGGACGATTCAAATGGCCATCCGGGTGGACATCAGTCTTCCATCCATACGCATCTGGTGGTAGAGTGGACTCTGGTACAGACACGCAACCAGGCTCGCTGTTCAAGGCACTGTAGCAAAGCTTGCTGGCCCCGAACAGAACCCGCTGGGTGTACTTTTGCACCAGATCGGGGGGAGCCCCATTGGGCTTTTCTACCACTGCATAGCCATACTTCTTCTGAAGCTTCTGGTTGTTCTTCCGCAAGAGGTCCTGGAACCGTTCCACCAAGACTCGCGGAGGCAGCTGGAAGAAAACATCCTGGGCGTCGACAACCAAAACGAAATCCTGGTCCTTGACTATCCGGCTATTTTTGAGATAATCTCGCACGCGAGTGATCTGTTCCACTGCACGCTCGAACTCGGTCGCCCCAGGCTTTTCATGGCCATAGCCGATCAACGTTGGAGGCGGATATCCCAGTATCATTGCGGACGTCATCGTCCGGCAGGCGCCGCGGGAGCCCCTCGTGGTCGGAACGAGGACATGGAGGTGGGGGTTGGTCTTGTCCAGATCGTGGGGGAGAGTATCGTTCACGGAGACATCTGACTTTCGAGGAAGAGCGACCTGCGCATCTTCGGGGCGTTCAGGGAATGGGGGACGCGATGGGAACTTAGCCCAGAAGTCTGGCGCGGGTTGTTGCTAGATATCAGACGATTGTTAGCACTCGCGCCAGCCTTTCGGCCCAGCATGCTCCGATGGGGGCATGTCCCATTCCACAGCCCCGTTGAGGGAAGAGATCACCACATACCCGAGACGAGGATATCATCCATAGCAGTAGCAAAAACGAGAGTACAGAAAAGGCAATTGCCTTTGTCCTATGTGTTCGTGGTCGATAATGGGCGGCCTGCCATAATAGCGTAGCGGACGGTTTGGCCTCGTCGAACTGCGAGAACGGTGTGCTAGACGACGCCATCCTGACGGAGATACACTCAGATGCGAGTGAGAGGGGACAAATTCAACATTGCGCGCAGCAGCCCGCAGCATGTAATGTTGCGAATGACGGGCGGGCCGTTTTCAGATGGACTTGAACTGGGAAGGCCACGCGGGAAGTACGCAATCGACAATTCGACGGTTTGACGTGACGTGGAGAGAGGGACTCGGTGATCGGCGCGCCTTTCCCGCTTCCGGCACGAGTGGCTCAACCAAGCATTATGACAAGACAGACATAGTCACAGAGTATATAGTAGGTTCTGACCAGCGCAGTCAATGCTAGGAGACAATTGGAACAATGATCCGGGGATCATCCCGGAGTAGTTATATACAGGCTTTTCTCCACCCTTTACTCTAAATAGATCTCCTCCCGCAGCCGCTGCAAGTTGCGGAACAATCCCCCCCCAGGCCCTCCACTGTCACTATCACGCCGCTGCTCCGTTCGCGATCGAGGCCCTCGCTGGCTCTGCTCGGCCATGGCTTGCTGATGCTCCAGAATTCGCCGTCTTTCATCCACGATCCTGGCTAGCGCATCCACAAATCGCTGGCGTGCCTTTTCCTCCGCGGAACCCTTCCAGACCATCGACAGATTCCGCAGCGCCTCGACGCGGCGAGTAGCTGCCTCCAATCCATCGCTACCGCCCCCGTCCCGATCCAGTAGTTCCGTTATCTCAGTTCGTATTTTCTTCATGACTTCTTGTCCCTGTTCTTCTTGGCTGTGGCCCTCGGCGTCCAGCTCGGGGCCCGACACGGAAATAAAGGACGAGGAGAAGGAGATTTCCGATGGCGGAAGTGGCCATTCCATTGCATCGCCAAAGGTCTGGACAACTTCCTCGAGTCGAGAGCGGACTTGGTTGAGGGTGCGGAGGTTGGTGATGTATTCGGGGTCGTTCGTAGCTGGAGCTTCCTGTTGCTCCTCGGTGGGCTCTGCATCTTCCTGCATAGGTGCGGTATCGTCGGTCGTCTTCTCTGTAGATTCCTCCTTCTTGCGACTGGTCTCGCTGGCATTTTCTTCCGATGTTGACTCGGGGACAAACTTGGTAATGTCCTCGCGCAAGACCTCGGTCAGGGTCTCAGACAGTCCAATTGTCTCTCCTCGTAGTACTTCCACCTCGTATGCTAGTCGTCCACCACTACGAAGGATCTCATCGCTGAGCTGGGAGAGCGTACTCGACAGACGGACATTCTGTGCGCTGATCTGCGAAAGCAGTGACTGGACTTGGGCTGATAGTTCCGTCAGGGGCACGGAGCCAGGCGTTCGGGAGGCATTGGGCTGGAAAGATGCTACTGTCAACGGTGACAGAGTCTCGTTGAGGAACTCGGCTGGGTCGAAGTTTGGGTCTTCGAAGTTGGGCGTCGTCTCGGACTGCTGGGTGGGTGGTTTCCTCCCAGCTCGCGCAGTTGAGCTGTAGCTTTGTGACACCATTGCCGATTGATTGTGGCTGCTCTGCTGGAATGGTTTCTGTGTTGGGTCGTGAAATATTGCAATAGTACCAATGTACTGGAGAGCGGGGGGGCTGGCCAGTTGTGTTGGCCGCAATCACTCCGCACCTTAACTTGGTTATTCACCGCCTTGGGGTTCAAGTAGAGATTCACCATCTTGAGCTCGCCATTCAATATGCTGTAGAGTTTACAGGTGGTAGATAAGGTAGTTAGTATGGATGCAGTCTATGCTATCCTCCGTTCATCGTCAGTTGTAAGGTTGGTATGCCATTTGCTCTGATATTCCTACAGAATTAGGAGCTATGGACGCAGTGAAGCTACACCACTATATATAATCAATCCAGTAGGCCGGAGAATATCCTACACTCTGTATAATTTCTACAAGTTCGAGGCTTTAGAGGAGATATTTGATTGTAACAAGACTAGAATTGTATACAATCTAACCCGGTAATGCAAATGAGATGGGGGTAGGCAAGTAAAAAACACAAAAACACAAAAACCAAAAAAAGAAGTGTGCATCATCCGTGAATCGAACACGGGCCTCGTCGATGGCAACGACGAATTCTACCACTAGACCAATGATGCTTCTTGATGGAATGGACTGTACAAAAGTGCTATATATGCTTACTTAAAGCTTACTCGTACTATGCCTGGCGAGCACGTGTCGATTTGTATTTCCTTGCACCTACCCAAATTGGACTTTCCTCTGCAAGTACTTCTTTCTTTATTCTTTCCCCAACCGCACTTGATCTTCCCGAGGAGATGTCGAGCTCCAAGGTGTCCACCAGTCCTGCACTGCCCCGGAACCAGATGCTGGTTGCCCGGTATCGCTTTGGGGGCTATGAACCAGTCACTGACTCGCGGTGTCTGTACGTCACTGGGCTTTTAGAGTTCCTTCGTTCTCGTTCCGCGAACAAGCTCACGCGGTCTAAGCCCCCCGATTGAGTTGGGAGCCGACCCGGGCAAATTAATCGCTCATCTGGCCTTACTGTAAGTAGGCAGACTGTAAGTCGGTAATGTAGACTCGACTAATTTCAAAATCGTGGGAGTGCCAACTTGACAGTTCCGAAGAATAATCGATAGATTCGAGGGACATTCATCCCATTCCCTTCCCCCCCCAAGCTCCACCTCAGCCTCTTAGCCAAGCCCCCTAATCCCAGTCCGCCTTGCAGGGCAGAACCCCACTAGAACTTAACGGTCGAAGACTTCTGGAAGACTGCGGGCCTTCCCCCAGGCCATGACGATGGCCCAGCAGATGCCCAGAAATCCAACATGCCATGGAGGTTCTTTCAACCTGTTCTCGTATGATATGCCATGCCAACGCAACGATGGCAACCTTCCATGACACTTGGTAGAAGAGGTCTAGGAATGGAAGGATTCTCGGCAGGGATAAGGTGTAAGTACATACTGTAGTCATAGTAGGAGTACTCCTACCATTACTCCATACTGTACTCCAGTCCTTCGTGCATTACCCGAATACGGAGTCGCCCAAAATGGACATCCCTTCTTATTTTCCCTCTCACAATTAGTAATCATATCCTCCTATCGTACTCGTAATGCTGAAAGCAGCAAGGCGATTCTTCGAAGTTGATCACGAACTGATAGTTCGGTTAGTCGGCAACGAGGCGACCAATGTATCGAGGCGGAGTGGAACCCCATGTCTCTGGCACACTGCGCCCGAGAAACACAGCCATGACAAGCCATGGGGGCGAGGCTGAGAAGGAAAAATCGCTGGGGGCATTGGGGAGTCGGGGAGGCAAAGACGCGTACGACTGGGCGAGAAAAGAATCCGGATCCGAAGAACCAAAGGGAGCTCTTCCCATGCGATGATGCCGGACTTTTGAGGCCCCACTTGCGGAGAAAGCTGTCCCTCTGGAAAGAGGCCCAAGTTCCCGTTCTCTCGCGGCCCATCGGGACCGTCGCAGTGAGCTGCTTCTGTTTACTTTGGACGGTTTCCCGCCCACGGTCGTTTGCCCGTTTATTTAAACCTTGCAGCACCCCCTCCTTCTCATCGCCCCCCTTATTATTACCCCATCCTTTCTAGAACTTCCATCTCTCTTGATTCCATCGACGGTTCCACCTCTTGCACTGTACTTGCTCGATCGTCCCTCATCTACCATCTATCTACACTTCGGAAATCATGTCCGTCAACGGTGCTAGCAGCACAGGCAAGGCCTCGGTCCATGCCCCAGCTGCCCCTCGCCACACTGGAGGAGGTCTGGTGAATGTCCAGCCTGCCCGCTTGGCGGACTTGCAGCCTCGCTATGCGTCGACGATCAACCACGATAATGATAACCCCGACGCGCACGGCTGGTATGCGCAGCTGAGTAAGTGGTCAATCCTATAACGAATTTAAAAAAGTATTCCTGCCATAAAATGCTAATCATCGCATCTTCCCCGTCCATCTAGTCCACAACTTGGGAAATTGTATCGGTTTCTGCGGTGCCATCCCCTGCTGTATCTGCTGCCCCAACCCATTCAAGCCTGTCGACCAGGGTCAAGTCGGTCTCGTATCCAAGTTTGGTCGATTCGAACGCTCCGTCGACCCCGGTCTGGTCAAGGTCAACCCCCTCAGCGAGCACTTGACTACCGTCGACGTGAAGATCCAAATTGTCGAAGTGCCTCGCCAGGTCTGCATGACCAAGGACAACGTTACCCTCAACCTGACCTCGGTCATCTACTACCAAGTCACCTCCCCGCACAAGGCCGCCTTTGGCATCTCCAACGTCAAGCAGGCCCTCGTCGAGCGCACCCAGACCACCCTGCGCCACGTCATTGGTGCCCGCGTCCTGCAGGACGTGATCGAGCGCCGCGAGGAGATCGCGCAGTCGACCGCAGAGATAATCGAGGAGGTCGCCTCGGGCTGGGGTGTCCAGGTTGAGTCCATGCTCATCAAGGATATCATCTTCAGCAATGATCTGCAGGATTCGCTCTCCATGGCTGCTCAGTCCAAGCGAATCGGTGAGAGCAAGGTCATCGCCGCCCGCGCCGAGGTCGAGTCTGCCAAGTTGATGCGCCAGGCTGCCGATATCCTGTCCTCGGCTCCTGCCATGCAGATCCGTTACCTTGAGGCTATGCAGGCCATGGCGAAGACTGCCAACAGCAAGGTTATCTTCTTGCCAGCCATGAACCAGTCTGTGCAGCAGCAGCTTGCGGCGGCTGATAATGCGGGCGAGGGCCCAAGCAACTACGGTGCCACGGACCACCACCAACAAGACGATGGTTTCCAGCGCGCGATTAACGCTCGCGTCGTCGAGAACATTTAAGCGCCCTGCCTGCATAATTTGAGTCGCAGTACAGTTTCTTAATGGCCGTTCCAGACTTGGTTCTATGACGATATGACGTTTTATTTCTCGCTTTGATATTTATCACGCTTGATCTTCGATGGGTGGTTAGTACTTGGATGGCAAGGAGTATCTGCCTTGCTGGCCAAGTCTGCTCTTCGGGCTTCTCTTGATGCTTTGTACTATGGCTGGATGCGATTCGGATCCATGACGATACCCACCTTCTTTTTTGCTTTGCTTCATGGTGATACCTTTGTTTATTGTGCGTCTCAATTAGCTTGATGGTTTGACATAGTAGCATAATTCGAAATTGATTTCTCAAATATTTTGCACTGATGGAATTGTAAACCTAGTAAATTCATAACAGACATGACTTTCTAGGTGGGGGAGGGGTGGGAAAACGGCTGGAAGGTGGTTGCTGGTTGAGCCGTCTGCCAAGAAAAAGGACCTGTACAACTTCACTTCAACCGTGGTCTTTGCATCTATCGGCCGAGGGACAGCATTACAGAACAGGAAAATAACTTACAGCAGACTAATTGTATTATCAATTGATCAAATAACAACTCTCCAATGCTATCGGTCTCTCACAATTCACCCCCACCTTCATCCTGCTGACGCCATCGGACTCCAACTTAACGCCTTGCACGAGCACGAGCCGAGCCATGCACGCCATTCAGATCGGCGCAGGGAGTCCTGCGGGGCTGACAGGCCAGGAACAATAAATTTAGAAGAGACACCCCTCGAAAAGAAGAATTGGGAAGAAAAAAAATCTCTGGAAGAATAGACATCTTTGCCCATTATCACTTCTCATTCCTTTTCATATCTCTATACTTCTCTCGCACATCTCATGCCCACCATGTCCGAACCAACCAAAAAGCAACTCATCATCAATGCCTTCGCAATGCACTCCCCCAGCCACCTAAACCCAGGCCTATTCCGCTACCCAACCGACCAAGGCTCCTCCTACAAAAACATCCAAACCTGGATAACCCTCGCGAAAAAGCTCGAAGCCGCCAAATTCCACGCCATCTTCTTCGCCGACGTCCTCGGCGGCTACGACGTCTACAAAGGTCCCTCCAATTTGTCGCCTACCATCCCGGCCGCAGCGCAATTCCCCATCAACGATCCGCTGTATAGCATTCCCGCAATGGCAGCTGCGACGGAGAGTATCGGGTTTGGCGTGACAGCGTCGACGACGTATGATGCGCCGTATGCGTTGGCGAGACGGTTCTCGACGGTGGACCATTTGAGCAATGGGCGTGTGGGGTGGAATATTGTTACGTCGTATTTGGATTCTGCGGCGAGGAATTTCGGGCTGGATACGCAGGTTGAGCATGATGAGCGGTATCGCATTGCGGATGAGTATTTGGATGTTACGTATAAGTTGTGGGAGGGGTCTTGGAGGGATGATGCCGTGGTTTGGAACCAGGGCGTGAATGGGACTGAGGTTAATGGCTCGGATGCAGGTGGTTCGAAGAAGGAGAGGAGCACGCAGTATGCGGACCCGACTCGTGTGCGCCAGATCGACCACAAAGGGAAGTACTTCCAGGTTCCTGGTCCGCACCTCTGCGAGCCGAGTCCTCAGCGCACGCCGTTCCTGCTTCAAGCTGGTACTTCGACGGCTGGGAAGGCCTTTGCCGCTAAGCATGCCGAAGCAGTCTTCCTACATGCGCAGAAACCTGAGCTGGTGCGCCCCTCGGTGGACAGTATTCGCCAGCAAGCCGCCGCACTGGGCCGGAACCCAGCCGATATCAAGGTTATTGCAGGGGCATTGGTGATTGTGGCTGAGACCGATGAAGCGGCGCATGCCAAGGTTGAAGAGCTCAAGAAATACGGTGATCGAGAGGGTGCTTTGGCTCTGTTCGGTGGTTGGACGGGGTACGATCTCTCCACGTACGCTGATGATCAAGACTTCCGCTTCGTCGAGTTACCCGCCGTCCGGAGTATGGTGAATCACTGGGCGAGTACAGTCCCCGGCACCGAGGGTGTGAAGTGGGACAAGAGGACGATTGCGGATTACCTGGTTCTCGGGGGTAACGGGGTCAAGATTATCGGCAGTGTCAAGACTGTTGCGGATGAGTTGGAGCGGTGGGTGAGTGTGGGTGATGTGGATGGGTTCAATCTGAGTTATGCCAGTCTGCCGGATACCTTTGATGATATCATTGAGCTTTTGTTGCCGGAGTTGCGTCGGAGGGGTCTGTTCTGGGAGGATTACGCTGTGAAGGGTGGTACGTTGCGGGAGAATATGTATGGCCAGCGGGGGCAGTCGAGGCTTCCGGAGGCTCATACGGGAGCGAAGTACTTCTGGAAAGCGGGTCAGGATGTGCCTCCGTACTCGTTGAATGAGTCGGAGTAGCTGGGTTGGTTGTTATATTAGCATGGCAGTTTTGGCGTGCAGAAGGGTTCTGGCGAGGAAGATGAAGATACAGGACATACATCAAACGTCCACGAGTATCTTTCATGTTTCGATAGATTTTAGCCGAACAAGTCTATATGTCCATATCCTAACCCTAAAAGATGAAAGATGAAACATAAAACTATGTCTTAGTATAACATTATCAAAGTTGTGAAAGAACGAACGTACTGAGAAACGGAAGGATTTTCGCCCCGTCGCCAAAAGAGTCGGCAACTTGAATTCATCCGCCGGGACATTATCCAAATCCAATGCACAGCAGATGCTCAAATGTTATCCATATACTTGAATGCTTTCGTTTCCAAATCAACCATACTCACGCAGACAAAATCACAAATGGAGTACGTCCTAATCACAGGATGCAGCGATGGCGGCATCGGCTCAGCCCTGGCCCAATCATTCCACGACAAGGGCCTCTATGTCTTCGCCACAGCTCGAGATATCTCCAAAATCCAAAATCTACGAGACCTCGCCAATATCACCTTCCTACAGCTAGATGTGACCTCCCCCGCAAGCATTGCCACAGCGTACAAAATAGTCGAAAACGAGACGAATGGCAAACTACACTATCTCATCAACAATTCAGGCGCGGGCTTTGTGATGCCCCTCTTGGACTCTGATATTGAGATGGGTCAGAGAATGTTTGATGTTAATGTTTGGGGCGTCGTGCGAGTAACGCAGACTTTTGCGCCTCTTGTGGTCAATGCCAAAGGAACGGTCGTGAATAATGTGTCGACGGCTGCGCGCGTGGGATTACCATATCAAGGTAGATTCTTGGACTAGGAGCGGTATATCGGAGAAAGATTTGCGCTGACAAAAACAAAGCATGTACTGCGGTTCCAAAGCCGCGATTCGACTCATGAGTGAAACGTTGGCACTGGAGATGAAACCACTGGGTGTGAAAGTGGTGATTGTCATCACGGGTAATATCCGGACGCGATGGTTTGTCAACTCACCGAGACTTGAGTTGCCAGAGGGATCTTATTACTCTTCCATTGTAGATCGGATTGAGATCTTTGCGAGGGGAGAGCAGGGCCATCCGCAGATGGAGTCCAAGGTTTATGCGGAGAAAGTGGTGGGTGATGTCCATGGTGGGGCGAAAGAGACGATATGGCGAGGAGCGCAGTCGACTATTGTTAGAATTGCCATGGCTGTTATTCCGACTTGGTTATTGGTAAGGAGAGATCTAACAAGCGATGAGCGTCATCTTACTAACGTAATCTAGGTAACGGTAAAAGTGCCGCCTCGGGAAGTCATCGGCTCCCGGAGCGAACATGAGCAGCTCCCTGAGCAGCCTGATCGCTCACCCTAATGCTCAGGCTGATCGGCCTATTTGATCTCATTTTGCCTCTCTACTGTATAGGGTCCTCCGACGCTAACCGCACTGCTTACTGCCTGCTTCTGGTGTTCCTGGGAGCGAAGGCTAGGATATGATCCACTCTCGCGTTGCTATAGTATCTTCCCTCTCCTTTCCTACTAGCTATTTGGTCGACTCAACCTGAATTTAAGCACCTTACTATCTATAGGCTATATTATTAACTCTTTCCTTTGTAATGCAGTAAATACTTCCCTTTTTCTTCTATTCTCAAAGTCCGGGGCTAGGCTCGTTCCCACATAATCTCGTGCCCTGCTAGAAGCCTTACCTAAATTAAATATGCTATGCTACGCAAAGGTAGACACAATCTCGGCCTGGGGTTTACTTTGAATAAGAAGTCTGTTAAGCGATCTATATCGATCTTATGTTCCTAGGAACGCTTCCTTTAGTCGACCTACTACGAGCTCAAACGAGTTTCTAATTAATAACATTAAATAGTTAACTAGGAACTTGTGTCGATTATAGATGTAGTCTTATTACGAGTTGCGTTAGCTATAGATCTGATATCGCGTCTTCTACCCCTCTGCTTTATAGTACAACGACCGAAGAGGTACTAAGGTCTAAAATATAAATTGCCGAAGAATCCTTTCCTTACGGTTTCCCTTGCTATCCTGTCAAGACTAATCTTAATTTCTCCTACTACTGCGACCTTCGGAGCTCGCGTGCCGAGTCCCGATCGCGACCAAGCAAGCACCACCACAACAATGATCGTGGATGATTGCACGTCAGTCCATCATACAACCCCTTCCATTTTACCAATTCCGTCCGCACTATCGTCAATCATACTCTTCATTGTCCTTCAGCATGCAGATGACCAGGAAGCGCCCACGTTCAAGTCCTGAAGCCGACTATACGACGCCTGCCTGCAATCAATGCCGGTCGCGCAAGGTCAGTCCTCTCCAGACGTATAGGACGTATGAATGGATCAAGTTGTAATCCCGCGCTATTCAGATTCGATGCGATCGTAATCAGCCAGAATGCTCCGCCTGTTGCAGAGCTGGTGTCCCCTGCGACTTTTCTGCCTCGTTCAAAAGGACCAACCCCGCCAAACAACTGTGAGAATTCCGTCAATATTGTTGTGCTTATGCAAGAAAGGGCCAAACCAAGACCTGACCATGCCAGATTGCATGACTTCTCGTCCGTCCTCGGCCGATTAGATGACGTGGATCGGTCGCTGGTGCGCTTGTCGCAGCAAGTCGAGTCCTTGACCGCAAATTGTACCGCGGCCGCAAAGCCGCTTGCCCTGCCCATCACCAACGATCAGAACGACCCAGAGATGGAGATGGAAGACCGGCCACCACAGGAGGTGACCTCGAATCAGGTTCTTTTGAATGAGGGGTATGGTGAGCGTTTGTATGGCTATCCTGCTGCACTGTGCCTGTTTCGCGCCTCCCGGAAGCTGCTGGGAGCAACACTGAATGCCAAACCCCCGTCGCTGCGTGGTCCGCTAGCGGAAAGCATGGAAAATGCCGTTTTACGAACATCCCTGCTGCGCCATTACGAGATTTTTCCGTTTCGAAAGGGTTGTACCGAGCCGCCCATCAACGGTGACCAAGGACCCCTCACGTCGCCTCCCCAGGTTGTCGTTTATTCCGTACTCGATCGCTACCTGAATCACATTAACCTCCACGTTCCTGTATTTGAAGCCGGTGACCTATATGGTACCATTCCGGATTGCTATCGCTCCAATGGTCCTCCCGTCCACGCCGCGTGGCTGGTATGTTTAAATTCTATAGTCCTGCTGACCTTGCATCTTGACGCTCGTGTGGCCCGACGATCTGGTCTCGACATGGACCCGTGGAGCAAGCATTCTGAGGTGATTGACAATGCCTTGAACAACTGTCGCCGTGTTTTGGCCGACTTGGATGCGCTGTTGCAGCCAGCTGTGGTCAACATTCAGGCGCTCATCGTGCTGGTAAGAAATAGGACCTCGTAGGCCATTTACGAATAGCCAGGTTGACTATTACAGGCTCTAGTGGCGCGAGAATTCTTTATCAGCGCGGTATTCGAGAAGGTCTGCTCTGCAGCCTGTAAATTAGCACAGTCTATGGGCCTCCACCGGTGCGTCGGGATGGGGAATGACAGTGCGCTGGAAGCCCGCCAGCGACTCTTCTGGATCCTGTACGCCATGGATAAAACTCGAGTCTTCCTCAGCGGACACTCCCCCGATTTGTATCTCTTTGACTCTGAGTTCCAACCCCGCCTGTCCACCTCGCATATGCCCGTCGCGTCACAACTCCACTCCGCCGCGGCACACATGATGGCTGTTTGGGAGGAAATTTATATCGCGCTATACTCGGCGCGAGCAGTGCGCTTGGGGGCACAACATCGACACGACCAGGTGGATCGGCTGGACCGGCTGTGTGACGAGTGTCTACCTCTGATTGCGTCGCAGCTGTCTCACGACCCCGGACTACGCCTGATGCAGCTAGAGATCAGATACTGCTACCATGTCAGCAAGATTCTGATCCACCGCTGCCATAGAATGGCCGAGGAATGGCAGAAAATCAACGAACATGCCGTTTCCGCTCTCCAGATTATCACTGATGTCTTCGAGGAGCCCGTGACACCAGGTAGCTGCGTGGTCCTGGGCCGGTAAGTGCTTTCACATTCCTCACATCCACCTCTGCTTGAATCTGACCGATTACTGGTAGGATGTTCCAGAACTACCCACTTGTTGCCTTCCACGACCTTTGTTTGCGGTACTTGACAGGGGAGGGCTCGGTTGACATCGCGGCCATGGTTCCGAGGCTGATCAACGTTCGCCGCCAATTGAGCTCCTTAGAGCATAAGGAGATGCCAAGTGCATACGTGACGAAGCTACATCTGGGCGTCGCTTGGTGCACCGACTTGATGAGCATGATTACCGACTCAAATGAGGCCTTGGAGCCAACAGCTTGCCTGCTAACCCCCTCGACTAGTACTGATATGGACAACTTTCGCCCATCTGCGTCGCTCGAGCATGAACATGCTACTTACTGGGCAGGTACTAGCAACACACTGACCCAGGAGCAAGCAGATATGTTGGGGGAGTTTGCCGATTACTTCTTTGACCCTACAATTTTTGAAGGTCTTCTCTCAGAAGGGCATTTTGCGACATAGACGGCGAAATCTGTGATGAGAAAGTTTGTCTTACGCTTCCCTCAAAAGAATAAAGGAATTCCGATTGTTCCGCCTATATAATCTCAAAGGAACGACAGGCTCCTCGTGTAGCCGTATATTATATGCTTTCTAGTACAGAATGCCAGTGAATGAACCACCTTATTGCCCATTGTAGACCGAGCATCATGATGCAGCAATTGCCCAGGTCCCGCTCGTAACACCAGAAAATGTGAACTTGTCTGGGCCTGCAATACTCCCCCTCCGATAGCTGGGCGCGCATCCCTCTGGACGTACCCATTCACGTTTTGTTGGCCGTCATACGCGACCACATTCGAATCTTCTGCCCAAAAAGATAGAATATGACTGGTACAGGGGCCATAGCGACGGCCAGAAATGCCAACAAAGTAGTCGCCCAGGGAAATCCAAGCCGGTGGTACATGGCATTGGCAAAGAGAGGAAATCCCGCCCCGAAGCAGCTCCGGACGACCGTGTTTGCGGATATGGCGCTATTCGCATAGATCAAGTACACGTCCACGATGTATTTCAGACCCGAGATAAAGATGGCAAACATCGATGCCGATACTAACCCCGGTGCGATGATCTCCGCACCCCAGTGAATACTAGGGTTGCTGGTCCATGCGAACCAGAACAGTCCGATGGGAAGTCCGACTGCGCCCACCATCATCGGCGGCAGACGCCGCTCTGGCACCACCTTTCCAGGCGTCGAGTTGACCTGGCGGGCGAAGGTCGTCATGGACCAAGTAACCATGCCAGTCAGGCCCAGGAGGATGCCGACGAAGAGACTCAGAAAGGAGAGGGAGCCGATCTGGGGTTTCCACCCACGTTGCTCTACAAATGAGATGGGGAATCCCTCGAAGAAGAGGAATAGCAAACCATAGAGGAAGCTCATATAGAGAGTGACGAGAATCATGATGGGCTCCGTCGCAAGGAGGGCTGCATGGAGACGAGTGGGCTGCGTGAGCATGATGGGTCGGAGGGGGGCGACAAGTTATACAACTTACTCCACGGACGTACCAAATAGATCTGCGCAAAAGACTTGAAAGTTGTCTCGCCTTCCTCCTCCATCTTACTATGAAGTGCCCAATTTTTGGTTTGGATTCGTAGTCGCGCCGCCTTGGCCGTGAGCAGCGTGGGTGCGTACGTCTCGGGTAGGACCACGCATGCGATGATGGAGAAGCTATAGGCGGCGATCATAGTGATCCACATGGTCCATCGCCAACCTAGATGGCTCTCTGTGATGAAGTCACCGACGATGGGCCCAATGACGGGACCCACAAAGGCCGTGGCCACGAAGCAGTCCAGCGAGATACCACGACCGACTACGGTATTCCACACATCCGTCAGGGCTCCCCCGTCACCGCCATTGACGACGCCCCAAAGGCGCCGCTGAAGAAGCGTGAGATCAGAATAGTATAGCAATTCTCCGCCACTGCGACCGGAATGCAGAAGGTCGAGAAGAGTATGACGCCAGTGAGGATGGGCCATCTCCTCCCGTATTTCTCAGACAACGGGCCGAAAATTAGGGGACCGGTGACAAACCCCTATACGCAAACAAGACCGAATGTTAGCTTGCTTATATATGTGAAGATGGGAAGATACCAATCCAAGGAGGACATGCCATCAGAAACATAGTAGTGGTCGTCAAAATGGCCACCTCGGAGCCAATGTGAAATTCCTTCTCCAGCGATGTAAGAGAGCCACTCATGATGCTGGACCCAATGTTGACAATCAAGGGTAGAACAACGAGTACCAAACTGATGAACAATTTGTACCGGGGTGACCAGTTATTGGGGTTCTCTTGGTCATCCGGCCCATCCCAATCTACCACCCACGTTGGTTGTGGAGGATCAGGGCCCGGCTCGGTGTCGGGCATTGCATCGACCTTCTCTGTGGGAGTTTCCGACATGCTGGGGTGGAATTGGAATGTATTTTCCTTTGCGAAAGAAAATTGAACAGATGTAGACAGGTTCAAGGTACATGCCCACCTATATGTACGCAACCTGCGGAGCTCGGCTGCCGCGCCCCGAAGAGAAAACACAGGCTGGAGGAATAATCCAACCAGATACCCTCAAACTTCCTCTCCTGCAAACGGTCCTTCTAAATCTATTCCATTTGCCTGGTCATTCCAGATAAATCAGGTATTATCTTGAGATTATCGTTCAATCCGTCACTAGTAAGACGATTCTAAAGTTTTGGAGGGCTTTCAAACTTATGGAACAAGGAAAAAGATGTAAAACGCTCCGTGATTGGAACAGGAATCAGGCTGAGATTTGCACTTGTATACAAGCTGTCAAGACAATCGTCATATTCTTTGAAATAACAGTAAAAAAAAAAATTCAAACATCCCACCATCCCTCCAAATGCGATCTCAAATCAATCTCCTCTGGCAGTTTCAGATGAGGCGTCAAGTTGGCATTCTCCGGCTCAAGTTCCCTCGAAGTCCATCCATTCCCAAAGAACGCAAACCGATTCCCACCACCATTGACATAAGAATACTCCCAATCCTCCCACCGAGGATCCCGACGAATATAATTTGCATGAGCCGCACTGCCGGGGAATAATCCGTGAATGCGCGCCCCAGGTTGCCCACCATTATACCACGAGCTACAATTGGCCGTCCACACCGTGCGTGGATAGAAAGAGTCGCAGTATTCGACAAAGTCATCTGTGGCCTGCTTTGACGGTACAATAGATTTGATACCCTGGCTGCGGAATTTGCGGACAACCTTTGCGATGTATGTCACCTGGTTCTCGACGCTGTTGGGGACTGTGCCGCTGTGCCCGGAGGAGTAGGGCCCACCAAGCCAGAGTAGGTTGGGGAAGCCTGGAGTTGCAAAGCCAAGGTAGGAGTATGGGAATCCGAAAAGCCCATCCTTTTTCCAGGCGGATTTGAGATCGATGCCGTTGGCGACAATGGAAAAGGGCGGGGCGTGGTCGACGTTTGCACCAGTTGAGCAGATTGTAACGTCAACTTTTCGTTCTACGCCGTCTTCCGTGATAATCCCGTCCTCTGTAAACCGTTTGATACGTGTTCGGATGTAGTTGACGTTATCCTTGGTGAGTGCCTCGAGATAGCCTGGTCCTGGAGTAGGGCGGCGACAGTTGGGTGGGAAGTCTGGGAGAATCTGGTCTGCTAGTTCCGGCTTGTCTGCTATGCGCTTCAGCATCAACTCGGTCCATTTGTCCTTCAGCTCTTGATTCTGTGCAGTGCCTTTGAAGATGGCTCCAAAGCGCTGGAAGAAGCCCCTCTCCACTTGCGTCCGATATTCGAGATATTTCTTAGGATCCTTGAAGGATTCCAGTTGGGCCTCGGTAAAGAGATTCGGCTCCAGTCGGCGCACACCGGTGTTTCCACTGCTGAAAGAGTCCGCAACCCAGGTGGGATTGCGAGCATAGTGGTCGACGTGACTCGCGATCGGCTGAATGGATGGAAGCACCTGTAAACCTGAAGCACCATTGCCAATCAGGGCGATTCGCTTTCCTTGCAAGTCGACGTTGTTATTCCAATTTGACGAGTGGAACAGCGGGCCTTTGAAATCCTTGATCCCTTCGTAGTCGGGTAGTTTCCAAGCATTGAAGTGGCCGATGGCGTTGATGACAATATCTACCTTTTCTTCGTAGACCTGGAGGATTTTATCAGCCGTGACTTCTTGAATAGGACACGAATGAGCACGTTACCTTCTCTGAGCCATCTACGTGCTTGATAGTGACTTTCCATTTTCCTTCTTCAGCAAGCCACTCTGCTTTTTGTACTTGTTGTTGTAGGCGCAGATACTGGTACACATTGTACTTGCGAGCTACGCCTTGCCAGTAATCTCTGATCTCTGCACCTTGGGCAAACTCTTCTGTCCATTGTGTGTTGGGTGAAAAGACCGATTGATAAGCATGGGCGGGAATGTCGCATCTCACACCAGGGTACGTATTTTCGAACCTATAGCTCTCTATCGTTAGAGTCGCAATCGACTTGATGAGAATAATACAACTTTGTTGGTGCCATGCAACCAAGTGAATTTGGCTTACCATGTACCTCCCTAAACGTAAAAATTAGTATTCAACCACATAAATTGGATATAGAGTTAAGTGTAAGAACGTACCACGTCCGCGTTCTTATCCCAGATACGAAGGTCCAGACCAGGCAGCTTGGCAGGAAGTAGTATCCCAGCAGTGATTCCCGAGAGACCAGCACCAATGATGCCCACCTTAATGGGCCTCACTTGATCAACGGGGTGCTCTTCCAGCTCAAATTTAGACTTTGGAGCTGCTTTATTGGATGTTATTTCATCGGTGGTACTTTCAATTGTCACCGAAGGCCCTTTGAATGGCTCCGTCGCCTGTGTGATGTAGGTGCTTTGCGGTATAGTCGCAATTTCGGGATTCTCCAAAAGCGCCATGATGAATTATCGAAGACGTATACTCGTTCCCGTCTTGCAATTTGAAGAGAACTGGGGATTGAGATAACGTCTTAAATTGGGGGTTCTAGCATTAATGTATGGTACGACCCCTCGCGGTATTCTGCACGCCATCTGGAACAGTTTACACGCCACCCGGAATCATAATTCAAGCTTGTAGCCAGAACGGGTGCCAAGTTAGAATTATCGCATGAAAGCCGATAGGTGTGGCCACGCTAGGATATGAAACTGCTTGATTTGGCGTTGCTAACACCATTGCCGAGGCTGATGGCGTCAGGGAGTTGGAGATGTACGGAGTATCTTGTGTCAACAACACCATCAACCCCACTGTAATCGCCATTGTGGGGTAAGCAGTATTATTGCGAATTACTCTTTTTTAATGTGTACATGGACCTCAAAGGACAATCTTGCGCGACTCATACTGTTTTCGGCTATTGCTGGTAAGCTACCGGACTGTAGCCGCCTTGTCCGGTTGAGCCTGGGCTCTCGGCCGATTCGAAAGGATGTCCAGTTCATTTGATCGATGACTATAGACTTAATGCAAATATTGACATTTTACCAAGTTTCTTTTAGCGAGATCACTTCTTCTAGCCCCAAATGATGTATTAAGTGATTGTTTGCATAGATCAGATAGTATTTTTTGAGAATTATGATTTATCCTATAATTTCCACAATAAGCTGATAGGTCTTTCATGGAAAACATGGCATACTGACACACAGAAAAAAAAAGCTAGCGACTTTATAGAGATCAGAAAGTCGATTAGTGGGGCACCAATCCCTTCGTAGTGGTCTTTGATAAGGCAAATCACACCCCTCCATTTTCCAAACAGAGCAAAAGCGATGTACAAAATGCGATTCACATTCAATAGAATAAGAGACTGGAAACAACACACATCGCAAAGGAACCCCTCTGCAGATTTCAATAAAAGTGTTCACCACAGGAGATATGATTCGAATACGATGCTCTTGTAAGGCGGGCGGAACGGAACAGCTTGGGCTCGGCGTCCTTCCGCCACACTTTAACCTCGCCGCCAATGACTCACATCAGACGATTCGTTACTTTGGGCAACTCAATTTCAATGACTTTCTGAGGAGACCACCTGAATACACAGTATTTTGAAATAGGCACTGCCATCGTTCGAAATCCCTCGAAGGCTTCGATCAATCGTTCGTTGCAGTTTTCCCATCATGTCCTCTGCCCCACCAACAGCCACAACTGCCCCTCAAACATGGACGCGGCCGAACAGCGAATTTTTCATCTCAAATAACCCATCTCTGCTGTCAGTCCAGGCAGTCAATGAAGCCTTTGGACGGGAATTCCTCTACTGGGGCAAACCCTTCCCCGAAGACGTTATGCACCAGATGCTCCACGGCTCCATGAGTTTCGGCGTCTACAAATCCGTCCAACCCCAGTCTGAGGGTGAGCCATTCTCTCCCACTGCAGAGAATACCGAGCAGATCGGCCTTGCTCGAATGGTCACAGATGACACTACGTTTGGATATCTTTCAGACGTATACGTGCTTCCAGAATATCAGGGCCATGGACTCGGGAAGTGGCTTATGAGCTGCGTCTCGGAAGTGTTTTCTAAAGAGAACATGCCCTATCTTCGCCGCATTATGCTTCTTACTGGTGACAAGCGGATGCAAGATTGGTATACCAAGATCTTTGGCATGGAGGTTATTGCACACGAGCGTCGGCCGGATATAGGGCAGGACTTGGTCTTTATGTGTGCTCGGCCGAATGCAAAGTCTTGATTATAAGAATCGACATGGCAGGGTATAAGACACTTGCATTTTTGATCTGTATTTAGCCAGTCTCTCCACTCATGTTAATCATACTTATAGAAGTCTTATACATCTCATTCATGTTCTCCAGGGCCACGTTCGGTAGAGCGAGGGGGCTCGGTATGTGTTGAACAATCTCAAAGACGGGCGAGATGAGTGTATATTCATTCCTTCTCCCTTCCCTCTCTTTAAGCGTGTTTGTCCTTCTGTCTCTGTCCATGAAATTTCCCATTTTGGTTAGCCTCGTTTGCTCAAGTTGGTTTATATTCGACTTCTCCTCCTCCTCCTCCTCCTCCTCCTCCTCCTCCTCCTCCTCTTCTCTTCTTCGTCCTTCTCCTCCCATCCCTCTCCATCCTCATTCCATCTCCCCTCATCCTCATTCCATCAACTTTTCTTTACCCATCCACATATTTCATCAACTAAAGCCCTTGAGAGTTCGTTTCTCATCTCGAAGCTGCTTCTGGAATTCTCAACCTATCTCTTCTTCTCTCGGAATGAGTTTCTCGGGGTTTGTTGACATGAGGTCTGGTGTCGCCTCACTGATATCACGTCAACACGGATGCGCCCACCCTCACTCATCGCGTCACCACCTCAACTTGTTTATACTCTCTCATCTTCTCTTACTTGGCCTTCCTCCGGGCACCTGACTGCTTCATCCCATGTCCATAACAAAGTAAGTCCCCCTTCACTGACCACATTGTGTTATCCTCTGTTGGTTAACTTTATCCCAGGGCCACAAAATGGGACCTCACCTGGACTTGACATGCTTACTGCTACGTGGTGAAGAGATCTACCTCATCATCCAAGCTCTGTTACCTCTGTGATGGGATCAAAACATAGCAAGTTTTACGCCATGTTTGCCCCACTTGGCATATTTACTGACTCGTCCCATATCAGCTCATCAACATTCACATGTGAACTCGATGACAAGTCTTCTCAACATCCCAAACTTGATGAGGGTCTTGACGTGAGAACATCAAATAGCAACATGCCTATCATGTTTCCTTACGATCTCTTTCTTTCACTAAGCCGACACACTGGCTGATATGAATCATGAGATCACGTCCATTCTTTGGTAAGTCTCAACCCAATATCCTCCCGACCTGATTGTTAACGATCTTTATATCATGCCAACAGTCTACAAGCCTTGTGCTTGCTACAGTTTACAATACTGAGATGCTCACGTCAACCTGTTGATGATATCACCTCAAGTCTTTCCGCTTTCGTCCAATGGAGAAGACCATGATACCTCTTTGAGCTTCATCCTCCCTACAACACCCAGCCGCAGCCCAAGGCCTTGGACATGCGATCTCGACTTTGGAACACTCCACAGTGTTCACCGTTGTAACCTGGGAAGGTGGAGGATTTACTGGAGCGGCGTGGAGGCACAAACCGCAGGATTGGAGCCCAGGGTGAGGAAGCACCGGGCATTGCGGGCGGAGTCCAGGGTGAAGAGCACCGGACAAATTTGGGCGATTACGAGACGAAGAAGCGTCTAATAATGAATCATCTCCTTCACATTCACAAAACTTATGGATGGTCTACAAATTCATGTGAGTTCCCAAGTGACGGTCTTGTTTATCTTCAGTGTTGTTTGATTTAACCAGGCTCTGGGGCAACAGGCATTCCCACAATCTGAGACCAAACTCCCCCTTCCCCTTCTTCCCTCTTATTTTCCAACACTGGCCAATTGTCAATCACCTACCGAGTGATCCCTTGACGTCCTGTACTGTGCTATTCCCATGACCCTCTGCTGGTCCGATCTGGATGGTTGAAGACATTTATTGAAACATGGTCTGACTGTTATCGCTCATCTGAGATATGATCTATCGTTGCGGCATAAATTGCCGATCTTATTGTGTACTACTTGATTACACTATAAAAACAAAAGAAAAATGCAATGAACTCATATTATCTCAAAAGACCAAACCTATGGACTGAGCTATTACCACGGCAACTGTAAAGGAGTTGGCAAGTCTTTTCCGAGGACGCTCTCGGCTGTGCCAATGTCCCTGTGAAAGATGATTAGTATGACCCTGCAGTGGAAATACGTATTCAACCTACCTTGGTCCCCTTGGCGCCCAATACTGGCCAGTCTTGCTCATGTCAAAGGTCTCAATAAACGCGGCTAGCGACTGAGCAGCTTCGTCGGGCGTGACAGCTGGTCAACAATCATCAGTACAGTCTCCAAAGAAGCTCCACTACAGTGTACACTAACCTCCACCATCATCCCAGTACTTGTCAAATCCAACACTCTTGGTCATCTCCGTCCGCATAAACCCCGGATGAACCAGACCCACCGCAATCCCATGAGGCTTGAGATCCAAACTCAACAGCTTCCCGACCATGTTCGATGCCGCTTTACTCGCATGATGGCCATAGTTGCCTCCACCTTCCTTCTCGTGCCGAAGCGTGATACTGCCACTCTCGCTGCTGACGATGATCACTTTACTCCCGTTATCCAACAGTCCAGCTTTAACCAGATGATGCACAATAAAGACCGGACTAATGGCTGATGTGGTGTACATCTTGGTCTGCTTCTCCCAATCGGGAGTGTCAAAGGTCTCGAAGCCAAAGTACCCCGCGGTGATGATGACGGCTGAGAATTTGGTGGATGCTGGGACCTGCGAAACTAGTTTTTGTCCGATATCGTGCTCGGAGACGTCAAGGTCTGTCAGCCAGGTGATTTCGGAACTTGAAGGAGGCGAGGAGGATCTGGAGGTCCCGAATACGTGGTTGGTTGGGTCTTTCGAGTACAGGGCGGCCAGGGAGGCCCCTAGACCTCGAGTGGCACCCACAATAAGGATGTTACTACTCATTCTGGCGAACTGTGTCTTTGCTTATCAAGTTCCTGGATGGTAGTCGAGTTAAAGCAGAGCGAATATTCGTAGTAGAATATCAGAGGGCCCAGCACTGCAGTGCCCAGTACTGCATCTTTGAAGAAGCGTCTGACGCAAGAGCGATGACGTAATGGCACGGAAAGCCGCACGCCATCACGAACTTGATGGTGAAGTATATACAGTGGCAGACACTGCAATACTGGAAGTGTCTCGACCCAATGACTTCTATGGCTGCTAGGCTGAAAGTATGTATGAACATGTAGTATAGCTGTACCGTCTTCAGCCGTGGCACCATACTGTACACACAGCCAACAGCCAACGGGCGTTGATTGGATCGGGTAATGGGGCTGTTATTCTCCGAAAATAGAAACTGGTTAGATTAACTTGTATCAAGGGCGATCATCGATGAGCATCACAACTGTGGCTCGCTTCGGTCGGCTATTGAGGTATGAGAGGGTTGAAGAACCGACTTGGAATTCAGTAATTCCTCATCATTGTGTATAAACGCTATTGAAAGCTACCTACAGTACCTACCATCTTCATATCGTTGGCCTGTCATGGCATCTGCTTGGAACCGAACGTCTGAGACAACCTCCACTCAACCAGTCCCCCCGCTGGCAAGGACTCGCTGGAGTCCATCAAGAACGAATGTCTCGTAGACCTTGGGGGCCAATTCGGAAGATAAGAATCGGTTCTGAGACAGCCTGTTCCCCGGATTCTTCACTATTCAGAATTCCCATCCACCTGAAAAAAAACGCTTAGTCATATGTCAAGAGGACCTAACTAACTAACGAACGTTAGCTGGAGCTCCAAGAGTGGCCCTTTAGCAACATTTTTTGGACGTAGCCTAGTTCTCGCTCGACGTCACTCCCTCACCTGGCCTCGCCGGAGCTGGTCATTTCTTGTGGTCCGCGAGCTCAAGCATGACCGGCTTCTCCAAAATACTGCCCGCGGTGCACAAATTCCGAGCTGCGCTTAACCGGAGGAAGGAGTCCAAGGATCAATTACACCATCGCGAGAATCCGGGATCCTCGTCTTCACTAGGGTGAGTGGCGCTATTGCTTTGACCCGTGCCCAGTGTTACAAGCCTTTTTTTTCCCTTCTTCTTCTTTCTGAACTCTCGCTCACTATTCGTCTCAACTGGTAATAGCCTCAACAATGCTGAACTTCCTCTTCCTCCATCCCCGTGGGGCCTACCAGTCGAGATCCAAATCCAAATATTTGCATACTGCGGAACCCCCGATTTCTACTCCCTGAAACTTGTCTGCAAGGCCTTCAATGCGCTCTTGTCCTCCAACGAACACGAAATCGTCCGCCAGTACCTGCGCCAACGCCGTCATGGTACCCTGCCCTCCCCGATCGACGACGAGCGAACCTATACTCGGAACCCGGAGGATGATGTCGTGCTCCTGTCGGACCTGTTCCCCCCGTCCAAGAGCGCAAGGGGAGGTCATCTCTACACCTTCAGATATCTCCATGGCCTACGGTCAAGGCAGAAGCAATGCTCAATGCTATGCTACTACCTCGCAGACCGGGTTATGGAGCGATTTATCCAGACAGAGCCCATCTTCCTCCGATCCTCCTTTCCCACAAGAAAGGCTGAGCGAACCGCTCTAGTGAAGAGAGGCAAGGCAAGCCTATGGTTCCACCTTGCACCGCTCATGTAAGTTGCGACTCGAGCACTTGAAGCGCGCACGCTTCCGCGACTTCATACTGAACGATACAGGTACTACGCATTATACTTCCTTCAATCCTACGCCTCTGCGAGGCGTGAACATACCAACATGCTCCTCCGCGAACACGAAGCCGGTCGGCTCTCGGTCCCGATCCCGATCGAAACGCGCCGAAGGATGTATCGCGACTTGCAAACCCGAATCCTCCAAGCACCCCCTTTCAGTAACACCGCCGCACTGGTTGCGACACATCACTGCATGCACTTGCTAGTCTCATATATCCGATACACGATGGCCCCGGAGGCAGAAACGGACGATTCGTGGATCAGCTCTCTCCTCACCGTATCGCCCTTTACTCGGATTGTCGAGTACTTTTCCGCCGAGATAGGCGATGGCGGTAACCAGCGCATGCAGCGGAAAGATTTCATGTATAATTTCTACCGCGACATGACGGCCTATGAGAAAGATCGCATGAATTCAGTGATCTTTGGTCGAGCGTCGGAACGCAATGCGCATGGTTCTGTGCGGGATTTGTGGTTTGATGCTGCGTCTAGAGAATTGACATCTCGACAGGCTATGCCACATGATGTAGAGATTGGTTGGACTTGGAACGGGATTCCAATTTTGTTTGGATGTCAGGACTGCAGGCCGGCTTCGGGTTGGCGGGCATGATGGCGATGATGCATTTGCATTGCTTTTGAGCGTTGTGGCGTTGGGTAGATGATATACTAGAACATCTGGAGTTTGTCATTTAATCTGATTATGCTAAACCCATTTACCACTATGTTTCCCTGTCATCTCTATATCAATCTACCTAATGCGTCGTAAGCTGTCAAGAAATTGTCCATATACGCAAATGTTTGTTTTGTTTGCAACCGAGGCGCGTCGCCGAATATCGACCGCGACAACGACAATCAGATGCCAGCCCTTTGATAGATGATCAACTCAAATTAGTGATGGAGCAAGCTTCACGGTGGCAACTATTCAATACCTCCTGGGCACTCCACCGCCTCTCCCCCTCCACCATGGCAAAGACTTTGAAACCATCCTCAACAACGAAGCCGCCTTGAAAGCCTACGCTACGCGACTACGCGACCAGCTCACAGGCGACGTCCTGGCAGGCCTCCATGCCGCCGCCAGCATAGCCGAAGATGATGCGCTATCAAAAACAGGCGCGCTCAGGGACTGCCGCTGGGAGTTCTTCGCGACGGGACCGTCGCAGGGTAACGCGCGGCCCAGGGCCTCGTTCCCGGGTATTCTGGTGACGCTGGAGTACGAGAATATCACCTACAAAGCCGCTCTGGTGGCCGAGGTAGGCTCGAATACGCAGCCGCGGAAAGGGGTTACAGCTTTGCCGCTCCTGTTGACTAAATTCCCCAACGCGCTGCGCCAAACATTCATCTCGTTTCTGCTGTCCAATTTCGATACGTACTGCTCGAATCTCAGGCTTTCTTCGAACTTTTTATGTGCGGCGCTGGAATCTTTTGTCGGCGGGTTGCCTAACTCGGATGTTGAAGATGTCGTCAAGGAGTTACAGCTTACGCTGTCATTCTCACCATCCATCGCGCCGTCATTGCGAAATCTCAACGTCGGCATTCCCCGTGCGGCGCTGGTTTCTTTCCTTCAAGCTGATGCGGGGAAACCAAAAGGGCAGAGTGTATCCCGAGCTCCGTTGATCGGGAATCTGACTGCTTATCTGGAGACACATCTGGCCATGAAGCTGGATCTGGATGGTTCACAGCAGAACAAGATCGCCAGACAGCATGTACGGCTGTCGAAGGCTGCGTGTGCTGCTTTTGTGCTGGGAGGCGAAGGGCGTATGAAGCTCATTCTGGATGCTAGACGAGCTGGACAGGGCGAGGATGAACACGAAGATGGGGATGGGGAGGACCAAGAACTTCCTGCTTTGCGGACGAGTGAGACGTTGCTTCGTGCTGTCATTCGGAGGGCTGTTATTGGGGATCAAGTGACTACGTGAGTCTTTGATCGGAGTTGGATGACAAAATATCAATATTCGATGGACATATCCAGCCACGCGCTTGGACTCGGATGCAGCTCTTTGAACGTGACGTCGCCGGTGCGTTCGACGGCAATGGCTCATTGCGGCAGCAGCTCTCTACGCTCAAAGCCATATGCACCGATGTCCTCTCGGTCATGAACATGGGATGACACCTTAGTTCGTTCACCACACCGAGACGACGCGACCAAAGAAGAACTATCCAGTGGAACTGACTTTGGGTGCGCCACAAGCCTGAAAATGTCTAATGGGACTCATGAAATATGAGTCGATCTGTCTACAAACAGACACCCATGGTACGGCCGGACTACGCACTGAGCTCGATGTAGAATCTGAAACACACAAGGTGCAATAGCCCCAAATAATCAGTCAATCATATCAAATTTTGCTCGCTCAGAAGTAAAGAGGCTCAGTAACAGCAATCATTCTGACAGGTTAATCTCGTGATGTACAAGAAGAACAATTTAAAAACTCGCCGCATCTTCGTTAGTGCAACGTGAACAAAATCAAAATCTACAAGGTCATGCATGTATGTACGATGTGAGGATATCAGACTAGATTTCAGTCTGTTCCTCAGTTTCAGCCAACCGCAGCGCCTCATCAACTTGAGGCACGAAATGGGTCAATCCACCACACTGCTCGACGATTCCACTTCGCTCCAACATACGGAACACATTGGAGTTGGGCACGCGGCAGAAGAAGACTCTCACGCCGTCCTCTGCATAGGCACGTACGATCTCATAGAGGACCTGCGTCCCGGAACCATCGATACTCGTGACGCCGTGCACGTCGAATATAATATTCTTATTATACTCCGCGGGACGCATACGCGGACGAGACGGATGTGTCCGGCTCGACCCGTAAAGCTCCAACCGACGAAGACGATTCTTCAAATCGCCCGTGTTGGCAAAGGTGAGAGGCTCGGGGATCTTGACGATCAGAGCGCCCTCGATTAGTTCGACATTTTCGCGTTGCAGTTCGGCATTCTCGAAGCGGGTGTTTGTGCCGGGGATTTTGCCGAGGATTTGAATACGAGGTTGGGTGGCGTGGCGGATGAGAATTATGACGGAGAGACCGATCCCCAGGGCCATACCAAGCTCGAGGGAGTAGAAGATTGTTGAGGTGAAAATTAGGAGCATGAGGACCAGTTCGGTCCAGCCGCGGAGGCGGAAGAAGAAGATTATGTCGTGGGGGCATTCTTCGACGAGGGTGTAGGCTACGACGGAGATCATGGAGGAGAGGACGGCTTTCTGTTTTGGATTACCACATTGATTCCTGGATAGTTGTAGGCTCAGTGGGTAGACTTACCGGAAGGTACGAGAGGTAAGGTAGCAGCACCAGAATAGAGACCAGAGTGATCAGGCTCAGGAAGATACTACTCATCGGAGTGCGTGCACCGGTTTGAACGTTGACCTTGCTTCGGCCATATCCACCAAACGCCGGGAGGGACATAAAGCAACCACCGAGCAAGTTGGCAACGCCCAGCGCTACCATTTCCCTGTTTGCACTCATGTGCATGCCTTGAATACCACCGGGCTTACTATCACCTAGTCCCTTGGCAGCGACGGAGGACTCAAAGAACCCCAAGAGGGTAATGATAAAGGCTTTGCTCATTGCTGTACGGATATGCTTCATGTGGCTGACTCGGAATGGCCAGTTGAAGGCAAACAGTTGGCTGGAGCTGATCTCGGTGTGTCCAAGGAGTTCGAGACCTTTATCCTCCCAGTTGAGGGTATAGGCTAGGACAGCTGACAGAACGACGACAATGAATCGGTCAGGGAAATATATCACTTGCGGGAAGCGAGGCATCATCCACTTTTTCAGGGTTCTGGGAGAATAGCGCGTTAGTTGAATAGCTCATATCCGAAGAATCAATTCTACTCACCGGAAGAACATGATGATAGAGAAGCTGACAAGCGAGACTGCCGCCGTGAGTCCGTGGCTACTCCCAGCATTGCGGATGATGAATGTCAGCTTTTCAACAGTGGTGCCATGGCTAGCACCGGCCTCCTTTGCTAGCCCAGCTAGTCCCAATTCAGGGATCAACTGGTCCACGAAGATGACAAAACCAATGGCCGTGATGAAGCCTCGGAGGAAAGGTCGGCTCAGTACATTATCCAAGAATCCAAGTCGAGTGATTCCCGCAACCAGGATCATAGTCCCCGCCATGGCAGTGGAGATTCCAATGATGATAGCACTTTCCATGAGGTCATCATCTTTCGGACTACTGCTCGGCATGCTGGCCTTGACAATGGCACCCGTCAGCAATGAGCCGGCGGCTTCTGGTCCAATCACTAATAGTGGGCAGCTTCCCAGGATCGCGTAAACTAACGGATGAATCACGAAAGAATAGAGACCATTAACGGGAGGCGCATGGGCGAGGTTGGAGGCCAGTGACAAGGCCATGGGGATGTAGATGGATGAGATAGTCAATGCGGCAATCAAGTCGCCGCGAAGGAATGACCGTCGATATTGACTGATCCAGTTGAAGAACGGAATGTAGTAGGATATATACCTGCAGGGAACCCGTTAGCCCTCTGACGACCAAAATTGGATTACGAAGACAATTCTCCCGTGAATAACTAGTGGGAGAAATCCGTGGCGATTTGCATACAATTTCTTATCTTCATTCATGGACAGCGCCGTAAAAGACGACTTCATTTGTGACGTATCTTCGGAATCGGGCCGAGATCCTGGATGGTCGTCTCCCCCGTGAGAGTGACTAGGTGCTGCTCCCGTTTCCCCATTGCCACTGTATCCAAAGTGAACGCTAGATGGTGCCGAGTAGTCCTGTCTCTCTGCACCTTCTGGTCGGGGAGAGAAGGTTCCATGGCTACAGCGCCGTTCACCGCATATCGGGTTCGATTGATGGTAGGACTCTAGTAGGCGAGTTCTTGCGCCTGGCTCATCGGAGGCGGTGATTCCAAGGCCCGGAGTTCCCCGTCCATCATCGCCAGAATTAGGTCCTGGAGAGGCCCTTCGGCTGTGGAAGATGTTGACGATACGGTTCTGGAGAGAGCGGTGTCCTTCCGAGTCCTGGCGGAGAAGGGGACTCGACTCCGACATGGTGGATTGTACCGAGATAGCAGTCAGTCTCAGCCTCGATTCAGTCACCAGGACTCAAGTTTCTCCATCCGAAACAGAAACGATTGGAAGAGAAAAAGGCGAGACACCGGCTAAGAGCCGAGGAAGGTCCTGTGGGTTTGCCGACCAACTACGCAAGGGCGGTGGCAGGAACGAGTTTCAGTGATAAGTGATAAGCGGGGGGAGTTGACATGATGAGCACCAGGGCCACTAGTACTGTACTACTTGTACTGTCCTCCTTCCTGGGTCAGTCCATGGATTGCATCCACCCAACCCGGGCAAATCATAGGGCCGCGTCTATTATTCAAGGCATGGGTGAGCTCGTCGGCTCTCTTGATTCGTCCGTGTGAATTTGCAGGCGGTGAGCTAAAAAGCTGGACAGAGAACGAAATCTACTCACTGAGGAGAACTAACTGATAGCAGTTAGCTACACGTCTGGAGTTATAGTAAATAACCAGAATCAGGTAAATCTTCAATCAATTGAAATCATGTCTTGGCTTGGTTCCATTTAGCAGATGCAATGATCATGCTCAAGCTCTAAGTGATAGAGTACAACATACATACCTGTAAAGGATATTTATAAGAGAAGATGCGAATCGTAAAAAGGCAGACCATTTCCCTCGAACCTGGCTTTAAATTTTGATCTATGAGTCTAGATACCTACCTCTAACGACGTTCTCTCGACGCCATTCTTCCTGCCCTCACTTCGCCCTCACTTTCATATCACGTGACTCCCTCCCACCGACGCTGGACGGCCAGATCCACGTGACCGCGGTCAATGTGGGTTTTGAGCCCGCCACAAAGAGCGATTTCAATCGTGCTTCTACCTCAAAGTCCCTCGCTCGAGACCCTGTTTCCCTCCGCTTCGCTCAGATCCTTTCATACAAGGTTCGAGTCTGTCATACATCTTGGACTGCCGTCTTCCCAGTCCTCTTTTTGCCCGAAAATTTCTCGCTGAAAATCAGAGTGCAACCCCGCCAAAATGTCGTTAACAAATTGCCGATTCTACGAGGATAAGTACCCGGAGGTGGACAGCTATGTCATGGTCAATGTCAAGCAGGTACGGATATTGCTCGCTCTCTTGAACGCCAAGCAGGACGTTTTCAGCTGACATTTCCGCCTGATGGGGATAGATCGCCGAGATGGGCGCATACGTGAAGCTGCTCGAATACGACAACATCGACGGCATGATTCTGCTCTCTGAGCTGTCGCGGAGACGTATCCGTAGTATCCAGAAGCTGATTCGCATCGGGCGGAATGAGGTTGTTATCGTCCTCCGTGTCGATAAGGAGAAGGGTACGCCAACAACAATATCTTGATCTAAGGACCCAATAGCTGACTCATAGACGCTGCACAGGTTATATCGATCTTTCCAAGCGTCGTGTTTCCCCCGAGGATGTGATCAAGTGCGAGGAGCGGTACAACAAGAGCAAGGCGGTGCACTCCATCATGCGCCACGTCGCTGAGGCGACTCAGACTCCCCTCGAGACCCTCTACCAGCAGATCGCCTGGCCCTTGAACCGGAAATACGGCCACTCTCACGATGCTTTCAAGATTTCTATCACGTATGTGCTGCAATTGTGTTTAGCCTCTGTTGGGAACCCTACTAACCACGGTTGATGTCTTGACAGTAACCCCGACGTCTGGAACGAGATCGAGTTCCCCAGCGAGCCCGTGAAGAAGGAGCTGCAGCAGTACATCAGCAAGAAGCTCACCCCCCACCCTACCAAGGTTCGTGCCGATATCGAGGTCACTTGCTTCGGCTACGAGGGTATCGATGCCGTCAAGGAGGCTCTTCGCACCGCCGAGGCCAACAACACCCCCGAGAACCAGATCAAGGTCAAGCTCGTTGCACCCCCTCTCTACGTCCTCACCAACCAGTCTCTCGACAAGAACCAGGGTATTCAGATGCTGGAGGTTGCCATCCAGAACATCGCTGCCAAGATCAAGGAGGCTGGTGGTAGCTGCACCGTCAAGATGGCGCCCAAGGCCGTCACCGAGCACGATGATGCTATCCTCCAGGAGCTTATGGACAAGCGTGAGCGGGAGAATATGGAGGTTAGCGGTGATGAGAGCGAGTCCGAGAGCGACGAGGGTGTTCCCGCGTAAACGGTGCATTCTACTTTCATACCATGGGGTGCCCAGCGTTGCATCGGCGCTCGCGACCCACGCAAAGGACAGGTGGAGAGAGAGAGAGAGATGGGGAAGGCTGGGCAAAATGGATAGAGAAAATTCATGCACATTTACGCGATCAATGAGATGAAGAAAAAAAAGGCTCGGTGGTCTCTACGTGCTACAGGGCACGATTGCAGTCAGATATTGCCTTTGATCCAAGGGCATTCGCCTGCACCTCGGGTCCGGGGATGACTCCATCATGTCCTTTTCGACGCAGGTGCCATGTGCCAGTCGGTAAGGGCCTCATGCTCGGGTGCCCTTTTCTTTGACGGTAGCTTGCGTGGAATGAGGTGCAGGTCCTGATGTATATTTGTTGTGATGCAACCGAGACGTTTCAATGCCAGTGATGCTTCTAGAGCCCTTCAAACAATCCTTGAGCATAAGTTAATTTTTGTGCATATTTTCTTAACTCTTTTGATACAACAACGTTGCATACGCGGAAATACCGTAAGGCCCATAATGGCTTTGATAGCGGGGAAAGTTACGCGTGTGGCTTCGTCTGCCGATCGTCCTCACCGCGATCCCTTCCCTTGTCAACCCGGGGTGTCTGATAACTCGGACCGTGTCTCCTGAATTGCTACTGAAATACTCGAGATGGGTCTTTTGAATGATCTCTTTAACTTCAATCGCGAAGCGCATCATCGCGCTGCAATCGAACGTCGCCGACGTACGTCATGATCAACTTTGGCCGTGTAGCACAACTAACCGTATCGCAGTGCTTCCTACTCACGCCAACGACGAAAGTCAATCATTAGAGTCCTCCAAGGAGATCGCCAAGGTTGCTCTGCGACTGAAATATCAAATTGAACAAGTCGTCTCCTGTGAGGTCGACGAGAGCGTCCTCACCGACCCCAACAGTCGGATCATCTCCCAGGATGTAATCGAAACAGCTAGGCGGGCCGGCGGTGAGGACTACGGAGCCTGTGTGGTATTCTGTCTTCTTGTCTGTCTGCGATGGTTCAAAATGCAGTCCAATATCGAGCTGTGGGACGCTGATCTCCATCTCCGAAGAGCTGTGGCCTGTGAGGTTATCGCCAAGCGCATGTACGAGCTCTTATTGGCCACGAATTCCACAAATCAAGATTGCTAATTAAGCGTCTGTAGCATCGAGAGTGAACCGGATCAAGACTTTCTGCTCAAGAATATCCTGTTGAAGCGCTACTCTATCTTCACCGAGGGAGAGACGACTGCCCCCGCCAATGTCATCGAGCGCTCCGTTGATCTCCATGCCCTGAGAGTCATCGGCTCCGCTGGGTACCAGAAATGCATTCAATATCTCTGGCGCGGCTGGATTTGTCAGGAAGAGGGGAATCCGACTAATTTTGTGGAATACAAGGACAAATCTAGCACTGATTACTGGGTTCATTTCCATCCAGACCGGATGAGGACCCCTTTATACCAGAATATCTGTCAGATACTGTTCTCGCTGCTCTACCTTGCCTTATACACGGCCGTCATCAACACTGTCAACCCAACTGGAGACTTGGACACTGCGGAGTGTATTCTCTACGGAATGACTCTCGCCTTCATTTGTGACGAGGCGTCTAAGTTTTGGAAGGTGGGAACGAATTACCTTGAGTTCTGGAATGCCTTCAACTCGACCCTCTACGCGTTGCTTGTGATCTCGTTTGTGCTGCGTGTCGTCGCTTTGGCACATTCCTCATCCACTCATGACGCAGAACGGCAGCTCTACAACGGCATGAGTTACAACTTCCTTGCTTTCTCTGGCCCGATGTTCTGGATGCGCATGATGCTCTACCTCGACTCCTTCCGATTCTTCGGTGCCATGTTTGTGGTGTTGCGGGTCATGATGAAAGAAAGTATCATTTTCTTCGCTTTGCTCTTCGTGGTTCTCGCTGGTTTCTTCCAGGCGTTTATCGGTATGGCTCAGGTCGATAGTGATATCGATATGACCAGGCCTATCATTCAGGGTATGGCCAATAGTGTCATGCAGAGCCCTGAATTCGAGACTTTCCAGGATTTTGCTTTCCCCTTTGGCATCATTCTCTACTATGTGTTTAACTTTGTTGTCATGATTGGTATGTCGTCGGGATTCTTCCGGATCTTTTGTTATCCATCTCTAACACGTCTCCAGTTCTGTTGAATATTCTCATTGCACTTTACAATAGCGCATATGAGGATATCTCCGGCAATGCCACCGATGAGTACATGGCAATCTTTGCTCAGAAGACCATGCAATTCGTGCGGGCTCCAGACGAGAATGTTTTTATCCCACGTGAGTCCCTCCTCCAGTCTATGTGCATATGAAACAGCATTTAATTTCTTATCAGCTTTCAACCTGATCGAGATCATATTCCTGGTCGCTCCATTTGAGTGGTGGCTCTCGCCCAGCCGCTACGCCAAGCTCAATGACATTATCATGGGCGTGCTCTACTCGCCTCTACTCGTGTTGACTGCTTGGATCGAAACTCGCCAGGCCAATCGGATCAGATGGAATCGACGACACGGGGAAGAAGACGATGACTGCGAGCAGGAGTGGGAGCATGTGGCCGAAGACGTCAGTTTCGATCTTGATGATACCTGGAAGGAGGAGGTCAAGCAGAGTACGCCGGATATCAGGGTGGATAATTGCACTCTGGAGGTTCGGCAGCTGAAGGAGCAGGTTGCCGCGTTGACAGAGCTGGTGAAGAGGCTCGCCGAGAAGACTGAGGGAATGGATGGGGTCAGTTGAGTATGAGCTAGATTGTGGGCTAGTCTGGAATTTAGGACTTATTCTGTTGGGTACTCCCAGTTGATGCCTGCGCTTTGGTTGGTCAAGTTTCCATACACTATCTAGATGCTAAGATAGCCTAGCTATTATTTGCACCTGCCTGTCAACCACCCGAGATATATATCCCGGTCCTGCTCAGGCGGCTTCCTTGGGCTATTCCCAATTATTATCTGAGCAAATTCCAATCCCACTGGGGGAAATACCCAGCCCTAAAGTTAAGGCTTCTCGTCTTTACAAACAAAAATATAGAGTAACACCGCCGTTTCATGGCTCAATTCGTCCCAATTGTCCTGAATCGTCTCAAGGACAGATACAAAAAAGGAAAAAAAGAAATGATCTCAGGTTATTTGTAGGAATAGCCGAACGCGGGGGTCGAACCCGCAACCTTGAGATTAAGAGTCTCACGCTCTACCGATTGAGCTAGCCCGGCAGGGCTGGTTGAAAAGCGAGAAGAAATATGGCTACATGAACCTGTTGTGGAGTGGAGACCCTTCGGTGGATCCCGAGGGCTGAGACCAAGCGATATCATGTGACGTGATGCCTCAGGTTGCGATATTCTCGTTTTGATCACTGAGCAGAAACGGGGATTCCCGCGAGATGAAAGAATGGCTATGGCACAAAACCATAATTTCTTAAGTGTTCCCAAATGGTGTTACTATGTCAGGAGGCAAAATAGCTAGAGTCTCGTGGTAGATAACTTGTACTGCCCATAAATGGCGCCACTTTGGGCTATACTTACGGAGTCGATTGCAATCTGCCATCATTTCATAGATTTGACTTCTCCCCAATTTGATACCATATTTGAAATTGAAGAACATGACATTTCATTGTCCTTGAAGATAGATAACTATCTATCTCCGCCACTATCTGTTTAACATATGTACAATGCGTGATCTTACAGGCCAGGGATGGCTGGGGCCCACCATTACATAAGCGCCTAGCGCGTCGGGGCGGCGAACCCTCTGGAAACCAAAATTGTATCGAAGGTGGCTTCTTCCATCTGGACATTTCCCACTTGGATGACTTTCTTGTGTGGTCTCTGCATGCGCTCTTAAGTCGCTCTCTATTGGACCCTGATTGTGGTCACCCAGTTGCCAAAATGTGAGTCTTTGCTCCCCATTGAGTCCCTGTTGCCCTGATCAGGAGCACGTTCATCGATGCTGAACAGTATACAGGGCAAAACTCGCAGATGACCCCCAGATCCAATATGCGTCCCTGCATAACCCTCTTCCACTCCAATTGCATACCTACGTTTGGCCATTCTTGATAATTTGGCCCGTGTTCTTCGCTTTTTACCTCTCCCCTGAGCGCTATGATACCTATATTCAGGGTCAAGAATGGACCTTCGTCTTCGCGGGGTCCATCATCACCGCCCAGTCGCTCCTGTGGTTGATGACCAAGTGGAACATCAACATCAACACTCTGTTTACTTCCACTCGCGCCAAGTCCGTCGACACTGCCCAACTGATCAAGATCATTCCCATCACCAACGCCGGCTCCGCCGAGATATGCCCGCTCATTCGCGACAATTCCGGCGGCAAGAAGACCATCTCGTTCCTGTTCCAGAAGCGTCGTTTCCTTTTCTACCCTGATACTGGCTCCTTTGCCCCGCTGTCCTACGCTCTTGATGCCGAGCCCAAGCCAGCCCTGAAGGAATTTCAGCAGAGTACGGGTCTCTCTACCAAGGCCGAGATTGACCGTGTGCAGCACTACTATGGCGATAACACTTTCGATATTCCCGTTCCTACTTTCGCCGAGCTCTTCCAGGAGCATGCCGTGGCGCCGTTCTTCGTGTTCCAGGTGTTCTGCGTTGGATTGTGGATGCTGGACGAATATTGGTACTACTCGCTGTTTACTCTCTTCATGCTGGTCGCCTTCGAAAGCACTGTCGTTTGGCAGCGCCAGAGAACTCTTAATGAGTTCCGTGGAATGAACATTAAGCCCTACGATGTGTGGGTGTACCGCGAGAACAAGTGGGAGGAGATCACTAGCGATAAGCTGCTTCCCGGTGACCTGATGTCCGTCAACCGCACCAAGGAAGATGGTGGTGTCGCTTGCGATATCCTTCTGATCGAGGGAAGCGTTATCGTTAACGAGGCAATGCTTTCTGGAGAGAGTACCCCTCTTCTCAAGGAATCGGTTCAGCTCCGACCTGGCGAGGATTTGATCGAGCCCGATGGATTGGACAAGAACTCGTTCGTGCACGGAGGTACCAAGGTCCTTCAGGTTACCCACCCCAACTCCAATGGAGAAGACATCTCGAAGAGCTTGCCCAAGGGTGTCACTGCGCCTCCGGACAACGGTGCTGTCGGTATTGTTGTGAAGACTGGCTTCGAGACCAGCCAAGGTAGCCTGGTGCGGACTATGATCTACTCCACTGAGCGTGTTTCTGCCAACAACGCGGAGGCTTTGCTATTCATTCTCTTCCTCCTGATTTTCGCAATTGCTGCCTCATGGTACGTCTGGCAGGAGGGTGTGCAGAAGGATCGTAAGCGTTCTAAGTTGCTTTTGGACTGCGTTCTCATCATCACGAGTGTTGTTCCTCCCGAGCTTCCTATGGAGCTGAGCCTGGCTGTCAACACCAGTCTCGCAGCTCTTAGCAAGTTTGCGATTTTCTGCACGGAGCCTTTCCGCATTCCATTCGCTGGCCGTGTTGATATTGCTTGCTTCGATAAGACCGGTACTCTGACTGGAGAAGACCTAGTGGTCGATGGCATTGCTGGGCTCACTTTGGGCCAGGCTGGTGCTACCGTTGAAGCCGATGGTGCCCACACAGATCTGTCGAAGGCATCTGCTGTTAGTCCTGACACTACTCTTGTGCTTGCTAGTGCCCACGCCTTAGTGAAGCTGGATGAGGGTGAGGTTGTTGGTGACCCCATGGAGAAGGCTACTTTGCAGTGGCTTGGCTGGACCCTGGGCAGAAACGATACCCTTACTTGCAAAGGATCCGCCCCAGTTATTGGGTCTCGTCCCGTTGAGTCTGTTCATGTTAAGAGAAGATTCCAGTTCTCCTCCGCCCTTAAGCGCCAGAGCACTATCGCTACCGTCACCACCTTCGAGCCCAAGACCTCCAAGAAGAGCAAGTCCACTTTTGTTGGTGTGAAGGGTGCTCCCGAGACTATCCAGACCATGCTTGTCAACATTCCTCCCAACTACGAGGAGACGTTCAAGCACTTCACCCGCAATGGTGCTCGTGTCCTCGCTCTCGCATACAAGTATCTCTCCACTGAATCAGAGCTGTCTCAAGGCCGTGTGAACAAATATGTTCGTGAAGAAATTGAGTCCGAGCTGATCTTTGCTGGTTTCCTGGTCCTGCAATGCCCCCTCAAGGAGGATGCCATCAGCTCTGTCCGCATGCTGAACGAAAGTAGCCACCGTGTCGTCATGATTACTGGTGACAACCCATTGACTGCCGTCCACGTTGCCCGTCAAGTTGAAATTGTGGATCGTGAGGTTGTTATTTTGGATGCCCCCGAGCACGACAACACCGGAACTAGACTTGTCTGGCGTACTATCGACGACAAGTTGAATACTGATGTCGACCCGACCCAGCCCCTGGACCCGGAGATTCTGAAGAACAAGGATATCTGTGTCACTGGTTACGCTCTGGCCAAATTCAAGGACCAGAAGGCTCTCCCTGACTTGCTTCGTCACACCTGGGTTTATGCTCGCGTGTCTCCTAAGCAGAAGGAGGAGATCCTTCTCGGCCTGAAGGATGCTGGCTACACTACTCTCATGTGTGGTGACGGTACTAACGATGTCGGTGCCCTAAAGCAAGCCCACGTCGGTGTTGCTCTTCTGAACGGTTCGCCTGATGATCTGACCAAGATCGCTGAGCACTACCGGATCACCAAGATGAAGGAGCTGTACGAGAAGCAGGTCGGCATGATGCAGAGGTTCAACCAGCCTGCCCCTCCAGTGCCCGTGCATATTGCCCACCTCTACCCTCCTGGTCCTGGCAATCCGCACTACCAGAAGGCCATTGAGAGAGAAATCCAGAAGAAGGGTGCTGCTGCGGTCGCTGCTGCCGCTGCCGCTAAGCCTGGCGAAGAGATCCCGACAATTACCTCGCCTGGTGCCCAAGCGCTGCAGCAAGCAAATTCCAACTTGACTCCTCAGCAACAGCGCCAGCAGCAGGCCCAGGCTGCCGCCGCCGGTCTTGCTGATCGTCTGACTTCGTCTATGTTGGAGGCCGAGTTGGATGAGAGTGAGCCTCCCACCATTAAGCTGGGTGATGCTTCCTGTGCTGCTCCTTTCACCAGCAAGTTGGCCAACGTCATCGCTATTCCGAACATTATCCGCCAGGGTCGTTGCACATTGGTCGCCACGATCCAGATGTACAAGATTCTTGCTTTGAACTGCTTGATTAGTGCATACAGTTTGAGTGTCATCTACCTCGATGGTATCAAGTTCAGTGATGGTCAGGTTACTATCAGTGGTATGATGATGAGTGTCTGCTTTTTGTCCATCTCTCGCGCAAAGGTATGTTGATTCTCACCGTACGTGCTCGAGTTCGCTTATACTAATATTGTTACCCAGTCTGTTGAGGGTCTCTCCAAGGAGCGCCCCCAGCCGAATATCTTCAACGTGTATATCATTGGCTCCGTCCTTGGTCAATTCGCCATCCATATCGCGACTCTGATTTACTTGACCCAATACGTCTATAAGATCGAGGCGTAAGTTTTCACCCAGATGATATGAAGTTTACTTCGTTACTGACCAATACTACAGGAGAGAAGATAATATCGATCTCGAGGGCGAGTTCGAGCCATCCCTTCTTAACAGCGCCATCTACCTGCTCCAGTTGATTCAGCAAATCTCGACGTTCTCCATCAACTATCAAGGCCGTCCTTTCCGCGAGTCTATCCGTGAGAACCGGGCTATGTACTGGGGTCTGGTCGCCGCCACCGCTGTCGCTTTCTCCTGCGCCACTGAGTTCGTGCCTGAGATCAATGAAAAGCTGCGTCTGGTTCCTTTCAGCACCGAATTCAAGGTCACCCTCACTGTGCTGATGATCCTGGACTACGGCGGTTGCTGGCTGATTGAGAACGTTCTCAAGAACCTGTTCAGTGACTTCCGTCCTAAGGATATCGCTATCCGCCGCCCTGATCAACTGAAGCGTGAAGCTGAACGCAAGGCCAAGGAGACGGCTGAGGCTGAGGCTGAGAAGGAGCAGCAACGGAAGGCCTAGATGTGACAAGAAGGCTGAAGATTTGAATGTTTTTCTGTATTGTATACATAGAGGGGAAGATTGTTCCATAGAACTGCATGGCATCTAATACATGGTTCTGTCGAGGCTGTTTATTGAGAGCTCCATAGCTTTGTCACTTTATTATTTCATTGTTTTAACCACTTTCGAATTTTCTATTTCATTAACCATTGAATGCCAACTTGAGAACATACAATGGGTGCCTAAAGTCTGGGGACAACACGCTAATTCAGCGCGTTTTCTAAAACGCGTTCTACTACCCATTATTTTTTTTTCTCCTCCTACACAACCATGGTTCGATCGTTCGGCACCCGAAATAAGTGGAAATCGTAGACCAAACGCTGAATTATCACCTGAGCAACGATCGGTGATTATATATGAATTAGAATCTAATATATCGCCTTCTAAACTAGCTGCCTAATTCGGCTGCTCGCGTAGTGTGATCTATAAAACACGCGATCTCTTCTAACATTACTAAACTATTGAATCTTTTCGGATGAATATTCCGTCTAAAGACACTTAAAATCTATCAGTTCTAGTAGCGGTTAGGTCTAGCGATTTTAGTCGGAAGCGTATAGGCGTGATCTTATAAACCTAATACCTTACGTACGCGACATTTTATAGATATACTAGGTAGCTATCTAGCTTAGTAGCCGATCTAAATTAGTAATTATAGAACGTGATAAATCTAGCACGCGTAATAGCTATATAAGGAATTCTTATATTACTATACTCGAAGAGGGTCTAGTTCCGTACTATACCCCCGGGACTATCTTCTAGTAAGATAATACACGAATCCACCTAGCAGGCGTGGTTCAAAATTAGTTTGAAACTCATAGTATTAAGGTAGTATATTAGCCTACACACTCGCCTAATATAAACCCTATTAAACCAGTATAGCAGATGCTTAAGGTCAAGGTTTTCGGCATGTTTCTAGAGCTTATTAGTATAGGAAGGTCTAAGGAAGATTGGCAGTATTTTATCGATTATATTCAACAGGCCTGGCGTGCATTAGACCAGAGCAAGATTGATAGCCTGATTCTTAGCATGCCTAGGCGTTTAGAGGCCTTACGCAATGCAAGGGGCTGGTATACCAAATATTAGGCTTTTCTGATAAAATCTATTGAATTCCCTATATTTTGGTGGTAGATTTATAGTGGTAGACTAGGTGGTGTACATAGAAATATATATTTGAAGATATAAGATGGAGGTGGTCGAAATTACATAATCGCGGGTGTCCCCAAACTTTTGGCTAGGGTGTGTGCGCAGTCTCTGACCTTGGCGGCGGAGGACATGGACACATGAGACGACAGTGCCTGCCTGGACCCTGACACCTCAATAAAAGCATCTCAGCCCTCCTCTCCTGAATTCAACCTTCAGCCAACTTGAGTTTTCACATCCAGTGCCATGATTCTCCAACTTCCAGACGAAATCCTCTGCCTCATTTCCAGGCAACTAGATAATCAACATGATCGCCTGCAAATGGCAACCTCATGCAGACAACTCTACGGCACGTTACGCTCGACCATTTTCTGGAAGGTCAAGCTTTGCAATTATCGTCCGGAAAATAGTGCAATCAAACAAGTATCTCAATTCCTCTACACGATAGTCCGAGAACCCAAACTCGCAAGAATGGTCCAGGAGCTGGAATTAGACGGCTGGGACACAGCGGCCACTTGCGAATTCCACGGCTATCCAACAAAGGTTGATTATGACAGCGATGTCATGGAGCCGCTAGTCCGAGAAGCAAGTGGTGACAGTGACCGGCAAAAGAGCTGGATCAGTGATCTCGAACGTGGAATCACGGATGCCTGGCTAGCACTACTCATTCCTAAATTGTCCAATCTACGGAAGATCAGCTTGACCTGGAATTTTGAGGCACTCTATGTCTCTAAAATGTTCGCCGAAGCTGCCAAAGCAGAGACTCCCGTCTTCTCGCATCTTGAAGAGGCCTACGCAGCGCACTGGGACACCGAAGGTGGCGCAGACACGGAACTGATGCTGCCGTTCTTCAAGTTCCCTGCCATGCGAAAGATAGGTGGTTTCAGGCTCTGTGATGGGTTTGAGTGGGATGAGAATGGAAATGCAGAGAATTCATTGCGCCATATAGAAATTGGTTGCTCAAGTGTCACTGACATTGATTTGGATATAACCAACGCGACGGACGGACTGCAGTCTTGGATACGGTCTTGCAAGGTGTTAAAATCTTTCCGAATCAGGGACGGCGGATCCAATATATCGTATGAGCCACCTAATCAGCGAAGACTTTATGAGGCCCTTTTATTGCATAAAACGACATTGCAAGCAGTCTCAATTAGTGATGACCTGGACCCTGATGAGAATGAGAACTCATTCATGGGTGCCTTTGCGGACTTTACGAACTTGAAAACTCTACATGTTCCCTGCACAGGTATTGTGGAAAGAGATGATGAAGACATGCCGACGCAGGGTTTGATAGAGGCGCTTCCATCTTCGCTGGAGCTTTTATCCCTGTACGCCCCTTATGGGGCGTTGCTTGAGTGGGTGATTGAACAATGTGACCTCTTGCTGGATTCGAACGTCTGTCCGAATCTCAAGACCATTTGCATTGAAAGCTCCAGCTTTAGTAAAGCCGAAATCAGTCCGAAGATAGAGGAACTGGAGCGCCGATGTCAGGATGGAAATGTGTCAATGCGGACTTTCAAACCCGAATCTTTGGAAGCAGCAGCATTCTGGGACTCTATTTGGCCTGTCGATCACATCTTTGTTCGATTATGATGCCTTTTATATGAGCCACGAATACCAAAGCCTGGAAATCTTGAGCGTGACTTCACTGCTATGATGAATTAGATTGTATTCATGTGAAGAGACGTTCCAAAACTTCAATATATATGGATGTAACTGGTCATAAATAGATATCACATGAATGGAAATCAACACCTCCACCTCCATGAATCGAACCCTCAACCTTACGATTCCTTATATACTTCGCAGCGATGCTCCATCACCATCCCACGATGCCGGAGTACATCACCAAGGGGCAACCCGATGCTATACTCAATATACAGTCCCCCCCTCTACACCCTTACAACACTATTAATAAGGCCCTTTTAAATAAAATTAATAAAATAGAGTCTAAAGGTCTTTTAATAGATATACTTATATAAAAAAATAAAAAAGATCTTTATCCGCGAGGAGGTGCTGCCACCACCTCGCATGCCCACCCGCCCACTCTCCCCGCCTAGGGATCTGCCCGACCATCCGTGGAGGTTATACTCGACACTGGAGGCCTGTACCCATCACATCATATGTTTGCCCATTCTCGGGGCACACCCAAAGGTCAAGAGACCACTAGGCCATATGAGGGGGGAGAGTGACTGGAATACCAATACCGGGATTATATCCCACGAAATGCTAAGAATCCATTTTTTGGTCTAATTTAATCAATGGAGACCAAAAGCTGCGCAACGTCTATTGAGCAAGGCGTTCTACATACATCGGAAACCTCCATCACATATTTCTGGTCTTCTCCTTCATACTATGTACTGAGCTGCGGGTTTACGCCATTATCAGCGGCGAGCAAGCGAGTAAGCATCGGCAATCGGCCGATAGATCTGGGATCTTCAATCGATGTCATTCCATGGCTGTTTGGCTATATTTAAATTCTTTCTTCGGAGGTTGCGGTTTTTTTTTTTTTCCAAATCGCCGAGATACACATTATTGCATACCTCAAGTGTTCTGGTCGGGTCCCTGGGTCTTTGATTTCTCCAAAACACCACCCCACGTTGACGCCCCCACTTGGAATGATCTCATCGCTCCGGTCATCTCTACGCCAACAACCTCATCTGCCACAAACTCCTTCGTTCTTCTCGATCCCAAGTGATACTCTGGCAAGATATTTTTCATCGAATATGGCGCCCAAGCAGACCCTCCAGTCTAAATACAAACTGCTCTCCGGCCATGAGATTCCGGTCCTGGGATATGGGGTAAGCATCCGCCCATTGACTTGAAGGCGATTCCGAGGCTAACAGGTCATGACAGGTGTATATGATGTATGTAACAGACATTTTTCAGATTTCTAATACCAGCTGACAAGATCAGTCCCCCTTCTTCAACCGAAAAGGTTACCTTAGAGGCCTTGAAAGTGGGATTTCGCCATGTACGTCCTTTTGAGCAGGCAAATTGCATCAGCTCACAGTACTAATGTGCATGCCAGGTCGATTCTGCCATCATGTATCGCAACGAAAAAGCCTGTGGCCGGGCCATCCAGAGTTCAGGACTCGATCGATCCGAGGTCTTCCTTACGACCAAGATTCCTCCTGAATCAATGGGATACGAAGATACGAAGCGGGCCCTTGAATCGAGCCTCCGCACCGCAGGACAAGAATACTTTGATCTGTGCGTCAACCTGTTATTCCTCTGATTCCACTTCACTCGAGATATTGCCATTACATACAAGCTTACGCACACTACCCAGCATCCTTATCCACGCCCCCTATGGCGGCAAGGAAGCCCGCCTCGGCTCCTGGCGTGCCCTCGTCGAGGCGCAGAAAGCAGGCAAGACCCGATCAATCGGTGTATCCAACTACGGTATCCACCATCTCGAGGAGCTGGAGGAATACATCCAGAATGGAGGCGGCGGCGAGATCTCCGTGGGCCAATACGAGTTACACCCGTGGCTGGATCACTCGGACATCGCGGAGTGGTGTCAGAGCCGGGGATTGTGGTCGAAGCGTATTCTCCGCTGGCACATGGGACGCGATTTCGCGAGCCGGTGCTAAGAACTATTGGGGAGAAGTATAACAAGTCGCCTGCGCAGGTGTTGATTCGGTGGAGTTTGCAGATGGTAAGCTGTGCATGGGGGGCGAGATATGATAAGGCCTACGAATGTAGAGTTGCTAATCTTGGGGACTTTGTTAGGGATTCGTGCCACTGCCAAAATCTGTGACTCCGCAGCGCATTCAGGAGAATTCGGAGGTGTTTGATTTTGAGTTGTCTGAGGAGGATATGAAGTTGTTGGATACGGGAGAGTATAGTCCTACTGACTGGGATCCGACTGTGGACGATGACTAGGCAGGTAGTCGGTCCATGAGGGACTACAGTTGAGGTAGTTAATATAACAAACATGAATGACATGAATTCCTATCTTGTTAGAGAGTAAAGAATCGAATCTACGGCGGGCTATAGGGTTAACTTAGATTGCATCGTATAGCCCTACCTACCGTGACCCTCTCCGTGTAGGACTAGAAGGAGGACTAGAAGGAGACGATGATTGTAATCTCTACTCTCCATCAAGAATTAATTCAATCTAATTCGTCATTACGCGAAGGCCAGCGCATTAGCTATGAGAGTAGCTATAAGATGAGGTCAGTTATAACGTTATACCTAATAATCGCCGCTATTGGCAGGTCGCTTCGACTACTAGCTCAATAGTTTCACTGCTGAGAACTCGATTACGATATAAATCAAGTTCGCCCGACTATAGTCCGCCGTGCAAATCGAATCGCGTGGAGCTGGGGGCTTCCAGCGGAAACTGTGGATTTGTCAGGGACTTGGGAGGGGCAGCCGAACCATCGCGGGGTGTGCGCCTCCGAATTTCTTCAATTTCTCTCGCCTTCCACGCTCCTCCATAAACCCCGGCTGCAGGAGGAAAAAAAAGAAACCCGAGATTCCCTGTTATCCCACTGATCATCGCAATCATGAAGTTGATCCTCTCTACCTCGTAAGTCGCCGCTTCTCCCAGTCTGCGCCCAAGTCTGCGCCCAAGTCTGCGCCCAAGTCTGCGCCAGACAGACGCAAGCTTGGTGGCTAACTCTCTGGGCGCAATAGAAATATCATGAACGGCGGCCGTCCGTCCGTCATTCGCCAGCCGCTGACGCAAAAATCCAACGTTGAGCTGATCACCTCTCTGCGCTCGAACTTCCTGTCCTCGCAAGCGCCCGATACTGACGGTACGAACGGGACAAACGGGACCAACGGCGAGGCGAATGGATCACACTCCGAGAAGCGTGACTATTCCTCCTGGACGGTGGATCGCGATGGAGCTCTCTACATTCCAGCCGTGGACTTCTCACAGCCTGGACTTGCCGAGGAGCGGGATCAATACGATATTACGGTGAAACTATTCTATCTACCGGGAATTCCAGCCTCGAGGCGCTGCGCACACACCAGGGAGGCAATTGATCTGGTATTGAAAGAACTACAAGTCAAGTCTATCGATTTGCTGATTGTCTCGTTCCCGGGAATTCTATTTGATGCGGACGACGACAGCGATGAGGAAGGGTCCGACTCTAGCGGCGAAGATGACTTTGACAGCACGGTGCAAACATGGCGAGTGCTGGAGTCCCTGCATGAGCAGGGCATTATCGGACAGCTGGGCGTCGCAGAGTTTGGCAGCGAGCGGCTAGCGCGCTTCCTTCCACATATCCGGGTCAAGCCCTCCGTTGACCAGATCAACCTGAAGGACTGCTGTGTGGTGCCCAAGTCCCTTATTCTCTATGCCAAGCAGGAGAAGATCCAGCTCTTAACCCACAACGACTGCAATGATATCCTCCCGGTCGGCACGACACGAGAGCTATTGGGGCCGGCGGACAAGGGAGGTGCGGGGATCCTGGCTGCGGCGCCCGATGCCACCGATGGGATCCAGGGACACGTCGAGCCGCAGTGGGTGGTGAAGTACACGGCAGTGGTGAAGGATCGCGGAGTGGTCGAGAACAAGGGGTATTTCGCTCTGGCAGATGTGGGCACATGCGTCAAGCCCCGTCAATAAAAGCTGGCGGGGGAAGGGAGGGAGGTTGATAACAGTTCATGTTTCTATTTTTTTTTCGTGATTCAGCGTGGCGTTTTTTTCGAGGGTCCAGATGAGATGAAGTCGTTGCATCCGCCATTCGGACACATGTATATGAATGGAGACGAGGGCAGTTCCCTTTATCCAATCATGCTGCGCTTGCGGCCTCTTAACCGGACATCCTCCAGTCTCTTCAGCGTAGATCCAGTTCCCTTGTGGCTCGCCCGGTATCCATTCAGTACCTCCTCGAAGAAGGGCTCCGAACGGGGGTGCGTGCTGCCAATAGCACGCTCCAGCACATACAAATCCACCGCGCGGTCCTCATCCTGGGTACTTTGCCCTGCTAGACCAAAGTCGATCAGGACAACCTCGCCCTCCATGGAGACACCCGTCGGGCTGTCCGTAGTATCCTGAGCAGGCGAGCGCAGCATCAGGTTACTCGTCGTCAGATCTCCATGCACAACACCAGCCTTGTGCAGACCACCGAGCGTATGTCCAATGCGCTTCATCAGACCCCGCACGCGATCTTCTTCCTTCTGCAGCTGATTTTGATCTAACGAGGCAGCATTCTTCTTCATCCACGCCTCCCACTGCTCAAGAACCACCCGCACCAAGGGTCCTTCAATCCACTCCATCATCAACCATGCACCTCCCCATGCACTCTCCTCGCCGCCCTGTCCCTCCCAGTCCATCGCCAGCACGGCGGGGACACTGACCCCCTCCCGAACCAGTTTCACTAAGCATCGAGCTTCTTGAATGATCCGCTGGCGAGTCAAGCGGCGGTCGAGAATGGGATGACGGTATGGTTTGGAGGGGCGGACTTTGAGGGCCGCTGGGATGGAGGGGTCGAGAGAGACGGTCTTGTACAGGTGGGCCTCGGCGCCTTGAGCGAGGAGGGTGGGGGCTGGCGTGGTGTTGGTGAAGGGGGGGGGGAGGGCCGGAGGCTTGTATTCGTCGGCCATTGTGGTGAGTGGGAGGCCCAGCAATGAGGGAGATGTCGGTGTTGTATAGTGATAGGTCGTTGAGTTAGAGAGATATAGCGAGGGTAGGTCAGCAAGCTGGAGGTGAAAAAAAGATCCGCTCGGGGATGGTGGGGCACTTGCCGACGCCGAAACGATTGGGATGAGCAATGTAGCTGCGAGAACTGATAATTGATCTTTGATTATTCTGTATAAAGAAAGAAACCGATTATCTCTACATTAGATAGAAAGGTCTATATGCTTTTAGCAGCCTAATGTATCAGATCTGTCAAATTAATCTCTCCTCTTTGAGATATGTTTTGATGCTCGTCCCGAGCCCAGCACCTGATAAGATGGGACCATCTATAGAAACCCTCGATATTCCAATTTCAGCCCTACACCATATCAACCGACAATTCTCACTCCAATCCACGAAGAGCCTTTTCCACAACTCGAACCACTTCCTCCGGCCTACTCACAAAAGGACAATGCCCCGAATCAATCTCCTCGGTAACAAACCTGGCATCCCCGCCAGCATCCACAGCATCCTGCACCATACTCCGCTGCAAAGGCACCATGATAGCCAAATCCCGCAGACAAAACACATACAGGGTCGGTATATCCTTCCATGGAGCCCTCGTAATCTTCCCCGACGCAGCGAACCAATTATGCGTGACATTCTCCTTGGCCAATTCCCACGCTACCACGGGATCTATGTCATTATAGAACGAAGACGGCGCATTCTTCGCAAAGACAGTTCCGTCCCCGTTATTCCCCAGCTCTACTTCACACTGGAAACCGTATTTCTTGATCACGTCTTCCAGGGTATCGCCCGGTTGGATCAGCCATGCACTTAGTAGCACAAGGGAGACGATGCCCTTGCGATTGCTATTGGGATATAACTCTTCGGTTATAGCTTCGCTGGCGACGATTCCGCCATAGGAATGGGCAAGTACGAGGATGTTGTGGCCGGCATTGATGAGTTCCTTGGCTGCTGTGCGTACGGCGGCGACGTCATCGTCAAGCGTGGCCTTTGGGGGCCGTTCGTCGCCACAGCTGGGGAGACGGGGACAGCGGATGGTGAATTGGGAGTGGGAAAGGCCGTTGATTAGGGGCTGCCAGCTTGATGGGAGGAAGTAGGCTCCATGGATGATTAAAATTGCTGTAGGACTCTGGTCGGACATTTTAATGAAGGTGATTGTTCTCGCGAGTGGTTGTGCTTAAGATTTGCAGGTTGGCGCAGGGGGATGCCACGCTTAGTTATAGCGAGTGGTTATTGTCGGTAGTTGGACAAGCATTTAATTGTTACATAGATACGTGGAATCAAGCATATCTCAATGATGAGAATCCTCTGCGAATTGCATTCGAGGCTATGTAAAGCACAATTAATGGATCGAAAGGAGCCGCGTCATTTGGCCCCAAGCCGTCCTCAAATCAGATCGATTGATTGAGAGCACATTGAATAGTTGCCGACGAGAAGATCTACGGCGATTTCATAAACTGCGGTCTGTAGGCTCCACAATCGGAGGCCTGATCGTCCTTGCAAGATTGCAGTACGAATAGCCAATCAAAAGGCATATATGAGTATCATCTGAAGAAAGGCATTATAGCTTAGGCTAAAATAAATGGAGAACAATGCCTATTGAACTATCTGATGCAACTCACTCTGTAATGAGCCGTTTCTTCCTAATGAAGGAATCTTAGCTTGTATTCATAGGCAAGAAGGATATATACAACTCTCCGAAGACGCTGAGATACATTGTGAAACACGTCCTGCAATCGAGAATAGAACATCAAGGCCAAGGTACACAAAAAAAATATAAGCAGCTTCAATTCAACAAGAAGCAACAAAGAAAGATGGTATAACATACTCAATAACCTAAGTCCAAGAGTACACTATATCCAAAAGGATCATATCAAAAAAGTGGAGAGCTTTACAGCCCAAGAAAGGAATGTCAAGAAAAGAAACCTAAAAATAGTAAAGAGAAAGAAGTGACCAAGACATGAGAACGTTCCCCGCCAACTCGCTCAAACAACATCACATCAAATATCCGGTATCCTGAATGGACAAGACAGACATAACGAACAAAGACTACCACGAGAAACTCTCCTCGACATAGTCAATATTCGACTTGGCCTGTCTTCTGCGGCACACCTTGCGCACATCATCGCTCAAACCACCGTTACCACAGACTAGCACGCCCATGGCACCAATCTGATTCTCAGCCTCCATGCCAATAAGGGTGTCGATGTTCGGTCGGCCGGGGAACATCTGCACGGTAGCAGAGGGACTCTGGATTTCTTTCGTACTGCGAGGTCGAGTGACGAAGAGCATGATGCGGAGTACTTCGCGGCGGCGCTCCATGGCCAGAATACTGGTCATCCAGGGCCGGATCCACTCCAGGTGTTCCGGGGACTGGATGATCCAGACCAGGGTGAGGCGGCGGGTTGCCACGGTGCCGTCGGCGAAGCCGGCAACTAGGTGTCGGACGAAGGGGACGTGGTGGGTGATACCCACGCCGCCAGCGAAGAGCATTACCGTGCCGTAAGAGTCCATGGAGTGGATGTTGCCGTAGGGTCCTTCGGCGTAGGCTTGTAGGGTTATCCGAGAGCCTAGGGCATTCGAAGCTCGCTGGAAGAGATTATCGGTCATGCCGGTGCGGCGGCGGACGAGAAGGGAGAGAGTTGTCTTCTGCGGCCCACCGAGAAGATCTTGTCTGGCGACTGGAAGGGCCTTTTCGTCAGACATGGTCTCCTCGATCTCGCTCCAGCCGACGGAGAAGGGGTGCGAGGTCCACCAGCCAACGGCTGGGATGTAGAGGTAGATGTGCTGGCCAGGTTTGAAGGTCCAGGGGCGAGCCATGCGGAGACTGATGCGCATGCAGTCACCAGGCATGGCCTCGATAGTCGCAGTGGTGGACTCGCGGCCGAAGTTGCGATACACGATGATGAAGAGACGAGTAGCGCGTTCCAGGGCCCAGAGAATGATAGTGGCAAACAGATACTTTTGAGCTACTAGGCCATTGAGATGTACCCATAGGAAACCGAAGGATACGGCAGCAATGGCAATGTGGAGGTGGAGGAACGTCTCGTAGAAAGCGTGACGAATGGCGGATGGCGAATGTAGCAAAAGGGCTGTGAGGGCAGCGGTAGCTACCAAGCCGGCGAAAAGGAAGCTGCTGGAAACCATGGACTTTGCAACGATGTTCCATCCAGCTTCCTGGCCTTTGGGGATAGCCCAGGCAAACGTGTGAGCGAGAGCCTCGCACACCACAATACGGCCCAGCCAGCGGTGGAGGAGGTTCCAGGTATCGAAGGGAACGTGCAGCATAGCGATGAGAGGGTTGTTGCGGCCAGACATGATGATTAGAGGGATCAGGTTGACGGTCGCCATAGTACCAGTACGATTACGCACAATGCCTGCCAGAGTGTCTTCCTCAGAGTTGTAAGGCGTAGTCACCGTGCAGAGAACGACATTCATGGCAACAACACTGACAACGAGGAAGCCGTGGAACCGGCTGGGCAGGTTACCCATATTGATAGCCGCCGAAAGCTGGAATTCGCGATTGTGGCGGATCCCGAACAGGGGAGCATAGATCAAGTGCTCCTTCAGCCAGCAGAATTTGTCGTGAGCAGGTACGAAGTACTTCTGCTTGTCGTCGGTGAAAGTGGCCAGTCGTCGCAGGTGGCCCGAGAATCGGAAGGCGAGAGACCAGACATAGTATGCGGCGGCAGCACAGCCAAGAGAGAGGATGGTATAGCGAGCCAGGTCATCGTTGTAGGCTTCATACCACATCTCCATGGCACTGCTCTGCTTTCCTCCTCGCTTTTCGAACATCTCTTGGGCACTGCTTAGTCCCACAAGGGACAGGGCGAGCAATAGGGATTGCATGATATCACAGGTTAAAACCGTGGTCTTGGAAGATGAGTGGTCTAGTTGATTTCGGGCAAGACCAGCTTGCTGTAGAGGTTAGGGAGTTGGAAGGCAAGGACAAATTACCAAAGCCTTCTAGAAGCGTTGTCGTTTCTCCCTGTCAGAGATGTCTTGGACGAATGCAAACCAGAACAACACCAGGCTGCTTTAGAAGGCACAAGAAAAGTGGTGACTCTCAAGCAAGATCCAACGGGTCTATCAATACGTCGCGGACTGGCTGGAGATGGTGATGATAGGGCCTGCCTAGACTGAACGTATTGGTCAAGAATCGAAGAGAGTTGTAGGTCAAGGCATCAGGTTGATGGAAAGTTCCGTTAGTCAATTGTGTGCACAGCACGGAATGAGAGGAATAACAGAGCCACCCGAATAGCTAGCAGAGGCTGCGTGTGTTTGTCGGTGGGCAACGAAAGGAATGCTAGTGATCCAGTCACTGGCAAGGGCAAAATCCGCAACTGGAGCTTGTCCACTGCATCAACAGGCAATTGTCCGAGAAACGAAAGGAGGCGACAAAGGCAAAGATGGAAGAAAAAAAGAATGACAATAGCCTTTTGTCGAAGAGACAAAGAAACGGGAAAAAAAAAGGAAAAGAGGGGAACAATTGAAGCCCTGCCTACAAAGGGGAAATGAATCGAAAAACTACTTTTTTTTCCTCTTGGGAGTTGTTCCATGCCTTTCCTGAGGAGTGGGGATAGATGAGACAGGCCAAGCCCGCCCAGGGCCAACAAGGAGAATATGTAGAAACGAGTAAGGCTGGGCCGATGGAGAGAGACCTTAATTAACCATGGGGACGAACTGCGTATCATCTCATCATGTTCGGTCTATCTATCCCGAACCCTTCTCTTGTCAGAGATCTAGGGGGAAAGGGAGGAGAATTGTTTGGCGCCACGCTCTCAAGCCTTCGGCAAGGAATGTTCATCCCATCATCGATCACTGACAAGTGAAGGAAAGGGACGGGATTGCCCTGTCACGAATCGAAGAATCAAACCGTCAAGCTTGTTTGGAGGGGGAGCTCAGGGAGGAGTACGTAGTATGGCGTCTGGAGTCAACCTTCCATGTTCCATGGGATCGAATCGGGTACCTGAAGGACCCATCGTCACGGAATGTCGCTAACAACAGTAACCTGACATGCGACATGCGACAGGTCGAGGGTCGAGGCAGTCGAAGGCACTTTTGGCGCCCGCAAGTGGCAGGGACACGGTCGGGGAACGGTGACTGGCCAGCGATGAAACATCCCAGCTCAAGCCTGAAGCAACAAGCGCCAGCCAGCCAGCAGCAGCCGAGCGTTGATGGCGCTGATCCTCGTCATCGCTAGGGTTGGCGGACGACTGGCCGTTTGAGATTGGACCTTGCTTGATTGATGGGACCAATGGGGGATTGTGGGTGGAGACTGGAAAGGCACTGAAGAGGGAAAGGTGTGGGTTTGTGGAGGAGGGTTGGTGGACTCTGCGACACGGAGTCACGCGCGAGTCACGGGGTTTTGAATGAGATAATTAACAAGATACGAACGAGTATCTGCAGTGTACCTTCCCGTCCTCGTGCTGATTTGATGATGTGATGAAATCAAGGTTAGACTCCACAGTACAATTCCTCCAGTACCGACGGAGAAAGCATCATGCACGGCTGCATGTATGAAGCATCTCTCGGATCCTTGAAACACTCAACGATCAAAGCTAGCTACTTATCTTGCATATTTCCATGGAATAACTCTTTGCCTCTGCAGTGTGCTCGGTCTGCCGTACTCGGTACTTGCTTCTTACTTGATTCCTCCTCCTAGTCTCACTCCTAGTCTCCTAGTACTCTCCCCTATCTCGGTTCCTAATGCTTGGCACGCCGGGGCCTTCATTTATGTCAGACTCCAATCTCCCCTAGATTAGTAGTACTAGGAACTAGTAAGACTGTCTAGCAGATGGGGTATTTCCCGCCGAGTTCACCCCCAAGTGCCTATCAAATTCAAGATGATAATTAATCGGATACTAAAAAGATCCCGCAGTTGTCGTCACTCACTCAAAAATCTGTGCTTTATCGCTGCAGGCGGCTGAAACAGGGATATAGGCCATAGTTAAACCGGTAGACGGTCTCGGGGTCACGCCTGTCCTTTGCAATGTCAGCCCGATAACCACATTGGCCGAGTCCAGGGGAGAACTTGGCGGTCTCTCCTCTTTGGTGGACGGTCAATTTTCCCTGCTTGCCCCAAATAGAGTGGGCCTGTCAATGGCCTCCAGCGCCGTGGTCTAGGTCTTTGACGCTGGATGATTCAACGATCTTGATTGACGGGTATCACACTGTCACTCTTCCGTGAGGAGAATTATAGATTCAAACTCAATTTGCATTCTTCATGCACATTGATACTGCAGATCCGACACTTCTAAGCTTTCAGGTGCCACTCTAAGGTAACAGGAGGTGGGGGGAGGTGGAAGTGTATATCCAAGCTGAGGCTATGATCTTGACCCACGGACGGGTAATCAAACAAGCAAATGAGTAGAAAACAAGGAAAAGAGACGGAAGGTTCTCAAACAGACAAACAAGAAAATAACAGCAAAAACCAGTCCAAGGCCGGGGGTATCAAATAATACAGGAGGTCCCAAACACCAAAAAAACCCCAAATCTAAACAAGAAGCAGGCTCACACCCACTATCGTTCACTGATGTTCACCCATGGGATGACAGGGAAATGAACGGCCTGGGTCTAGGCGCCCAGACAAGCTCGGGTATATCGCACTCTCGCATCAAACTATCAACAACACCCGTTTCAAATGAAAAACGCGACAAGACATCCGCGTCAAGACCAGTTATCAGACCCTGATAGACAACAAGACGCTGATCTCAACCTCAAGAGACTGGTGGTTGGTTCAGAAGAAGCTAAGCTCGTCATCGCTGTCCTCGTCTGAGTCAGGTATGACCATCGACTTCCGCCGGGCCGCCACTGGAACACGACTAGGGAGTATCGAGGTACGAGATCGTCCGGACCTGCGTCGGTCCTTCGCTCGATGAATCTGCTTCTCAACCACTTCCAGCTCTGACTCAGAGTCCGACTGGATATCGGCGGTCTCAGAGTTCTTCTGATGGACAATCACGACTTCGACCTTAGTGGCGGACTTTGCTGTCGTAGGGGGCGGAGCTGCCTGCTTGGTTGCAATCCGGCTTGATAGTTCACGTAGAACACGACGCTGTGATGGTACCGGCTGCAGCGATGGAGACTTTGGGGTAATGGTGGCGGATACGAGTCCACTGCTTCTCGTGCGTCTCGCTTCTTGATTTTCCACAACGACAGGGACTGGCCGTCGTCGTTTCGCTGGTTGTAAAGGTGAAGAGTCTGTGCACTCAAGGGTTCGTTTCAAGCCAGCTGATGGAGGCGACGATGTCAGACTTGAAGGAATTTCCATGAAGCGATCAGACTCGTAATCGGACCCGGGTGAGCCGCTGTCTGTGGAGCACGGGATGCTGGGCACGGGCTTTGCAGTCAAAGAGGGACGACCCCTGGCCATAGCGATCGGGAAGGCGTTGGACTTGATTGCTGGAGTACGAGCAACCCATTCTCCAATACTCTCCTCCCAACGAAAGCAGCCATTCTGCAGTCCGTGCTCCTCTAACTCGGACGAAGATTCCGGACTGGGCTGCTTCTCGTCTAGAAGAGAAATGACCGCCTCTTGAACCTCAACCGCCCACACATGATCATCTGGCTCACCAGTGTTCTCTGCAAACTCCATAGCAGCTTCTACAGCCACTCGACCAAGAAAGGTAGATAAAGCTGGCGCATCGGTCATTTTAGGAAGCCGGGAGATCATGCGGCGAGCCTCTCGGCCCATGTAGAGACGTTCATCGTCTGTCGTACCGCCAAAACATCGGAATGCTTGTCGCACTAACGAGGCCAATTCCTTGAGTAGACTCGAGCGAGACGCCAATGTCTCACAATATCGTTCTATCATGGGCGAAGAGCCAATCGAGTGACGGTGGGGATCGCTTAGAACTGCATCGTTGCATTGCAATAGACAACTCGCCAGTAGGATGCCGCCTCGTCTCAGTAACTGGTGGGACGGGAGAGAAGTAACATGTGAGAGCGGCTGTGATTCCACGTCTTTCTCAAGGGTAAAGCAAAGATAGTCGATGACATGACCAGCCTTTGTTCCTTCATGATCCGAGTCATCGAGCTCACGGGATCGCGAGATGTGCATGCCGCACAGCGCTGCCAATAGACTCGTCACATGGTTGGTCAGCGCATCTTCCACCGGGACAGGACACTTTCGAGAAAGATCAGATTTGTCAGTCATTGAGCTGGAAGAGGTTCGTGTGGGTCTGTCGGGGCCAAGGCCGTGGTTCTCTGTATGGCCTTGTTCCGGTACTGGGACCGCAACAGTCGGCAAGATACCAGCAGCTGAAATCAGAACACCCTCAATGAGCCGGGAGGCTGCAGCCAACTTATGATCCCCTTTGGAAAATGATTCAGTCGCCCGAGTCATCCATTTATTCCATAACTGGGTGGCCATCCATTCTGGAGGCATAACACCACGCATGAGAAGCTTGGAAATCTCACTAAAAATGTATGAGTAATGAGACGAGCCCACAAGTGCGTATCTGCAGAGCATTTTAATAGGGTCAACCACGTCAACCAATTCGGCAGAAGCCCTGATGGTAACGGGATAATGATAGCTCTTTCGCGTAGATAGAAATGCCGAAAGTAATGCTTGGCATGCGTCTGGCTCAAGCCATCGAATTCTCTCAATCACTGTACAGACTACTGGATCTGGCAACCACTTGTTCGTTATCATGGCCGACACCAGGTGAAGGCCCTGCGCTCGAACGGCCTCCCGGAGGGGCTTCCATCCTTGACCATGGGGTGCGTAATAGCTTTCCAATTCGGTAAAATAGGCGTCACACATGTCTTCATCCCCATGAGGGTCAAGCTCGTCCTGGACATCCTGCTCATTCGCGATGAATTCGGGCAGTCGTCGTACCACTGTCGACATCAGAGATCGAGTTCCACGGAGAGGCTGGGGTCTTGGCCTGCCAGGACCACGTTTGTCAATGCGCGTATTGAACAGAAGAGTTAGAAGGTTGGCCTGGATATTATGTAGTATGTTGGCGAGTTCCGGGTCACCGAAGTTGTCGAAAAACCCTTGCCACCAGGGGTCCTTCTTGCCATGAAAGAGCCGCGGTTGTGCATGTAGATTCGTCGGCCTCTCCTGCTCGGCCGAAAGTTGTGACTGGGCACTCCCTGGTGCTTCCCATCGCTTTCCCGTGATCACCGGGGTTGCGAGCTCAATTGCGCCGGGCAGAGTCCGACTGGCTTCCGGGCTGTGCATTGAGAGTCTTGTTCGTCTTCTTCCTCCTCTGCCTTCTCCCCGAGACGAGTATTTATGCCGCACGCGCCGCTGATCAGCTTTCTTGCCTGGGACCCAGACCGGGTCGCCCTCATCCGCGTCTGATCCAAAGTCATTCTCCGGAGCTTTCACAACATCGCTGGTATCTTGTGCATGCGTATGAATGTTTGCATTATGTTCATGTATGCTCGCATCGGTGGCAATAATCGCCAACGTCTCATAGTGCTTCTCAAGTCGGCGGTAAGTGGAGGTCAAGGGGCGCAACATGCGCTTGGCCCACCTTGCGGTGGGTTTCACGTCGTCCATTGGGAATGTATCGGGATATATCTGACAGATAAGCCATATGGCTGTAAGTGCAAGAGTTAGTGTCAATCGAAGTTGTTCGAAAAAGGATTCGACACGTACTCCAGCAACGAGGCTCAACTGCGACTCGTCATGACGCACACAAAGACAGTCTCCACGCCTAGCGCCTAGACATTGCCAGCCGCCAGCTCGTGATAAATTCAGCAGGTAACAAAGGTGGTAATTTATGTACTGCAACTCAAAACTAAGAGATGCGTGTTAAGGTAGAATGCAGGAAGAATCAACAAGTACGTCGGGCAAACAATTGTCACTCCGCGGCGAGCAAAACAAAGTAAACAAAGGTGGGTCCCGAACGCGGTCAAGCGCCCAGGCCGAGAACGCAAATGCCGAGAGCTTGCTGCACAACATGAATCATTTACAACAGAAGGAAAGAGACGTTATTTATAGTTTGATCCGTCATCGTTTATTATGACCCAAATCACAATGCTAAATGCAGAATTCTCAGGTACATAGGGCCGTCGCATCGTCAATGCACATCGAATATAGGGCCATATAAGTACAACCAAATCCATGAACCTTCCCATGCACTGCCCAGGAATAAGATCAACAGACCCAGAACAAGAAAAAGAAAACATAGAGAGGAGAGAGATCTAGAATAATACAGTATTTTCCCGCTCATCAAACCGAACCAGGTCCCCATCCGAAAAACGATCATGGGAGTATTTTGTTGTTAAGACAAGAGAAGGCCAAGAAAAGAAGATGAGAAATGAGAAACACCAGCGTTGAAGGGAACAAAATTGAGTCAAATTGAATAGTATTCATTCACTCGGACTGATTTAAGCCTTGGACTGCTTGGATCCACGAAGCTTGGGGTTGGCGGCGGTGCGCTTCTTCTTAGAGCGAGAAGAGGTCTGGTCACTGCCCTCGATGAACTTCAGCAGGTCGTCAATGCTACGCGAGTCCAGGCCGGATCCAGCGGTACTGGCGGTGCCAACAGTCTCAGGAGCGGTCTGACCGACCTGAGGCTGCACCCGAGTTCCCATGGTGGAAACGCGGGGTGTGATGTTGATGCGGCGCAGGCGACGGGCCTGAATGTCCTTGGCGTGCTTCGCAATGGAGACGGCGTTCTGAGTGAGCTGCTCCAGCCAAGTCTCAGCCTCCTTGGTGTTGCGGTCCTCGGGGCCAAGCTGAGCAAGGAAGATGTTGTAGGCTTCGCGCATCTTGCCAACAGCAGCCTTGGAGTCCTGGTCCAGAGCTAGAGCCTGGGCAAGCTGGAAGAGGATGGTAGCAGTGTTGATGGACTGTGGGCCAAACAGGTTCTCACACACGGACAGGGATGCCTCGAACCACTTGCGAGAGTCGGCGTATTGCTTGAGGTGCTGCAACATGACGGCGGCGTTGTTCATGGTAGTGATCGAGTCGGGGTGGTTAGGACCATAGATGATCTTCCAGAGATCCATGGCGTGCTTGATATACACCAGAGCGGTCTTGGTGTTACCAGAAGCGTGCTCGAACAAGCTCAGGTTGAGGTAAGCCAGAATGGTGTCTGCAGAGTCGACACCCAAGGTGCGCTCAGTGACGATGACAGCCTTGCGAGCCAGCTCCACGGCCGCCTCCTTCTCGTCGGTCTGGTAGTACAGCATGGAAAGCTGGTGATACAGCTTAGCGACCTCGGGGTGGAGGATGCCGTAGATCTGCTCGTGGAGAGACAGAGACTCCAGAATGAGCTCCTGGCCCAGTTGCTTCTGGTTCTGCATGAGCGAGATGCGGCCAGCCTCCAGGGCCTCCTCAGCCAAAGCACTGCGCGGGGAGGCATCCTTGACCAGCGGGACGATGTTCAGAATGTCATCCGCAGTGAAAGTGACAGCCGCCTTGGCCTGGACAGGGGCGCGGGTGGGGGACTTGTTGTCGCCACCCTTCTTTTTCTTCTTCTTGTTGCTGCCATCCTCCCCACTGCCGTTGGAGCCGTTAGTGACGGGAGCGGGCTCCTTGACCTGGTCCTTGGTGAAGGCAAACTCGCGAGCACCGAGCTGGAGACCCAGCTTGATGGAGATATCACGCAGGAGCTGCAGGTGGCGCAGGGAGCTGACCCATCCCTCCGCAAGAGAGAAGCGGTAGCGGACGGAAACCTGCTTCTCCATCTCAACACGCAGCGACTCGGGAGTGACCTTCTCGAAGGAAAAGTCGCCCTCGGGATAGATATCACGCAGAGACTGGTCGATCTCAGGACGAGGAGCAGAGTTGACATCAGTACCCAGCAGGCAGTTCAGGAGATGAGTAAGGCAGGGAGCGATGAAGGGAGCGGGGACATTGCGCAGGTAGTGGTTGGCAACATGCTTGAAGGCACGAGCAATCATCTCCTGGACAAGGAGAGTGGACAGAGCCTGGAGACGGGGACCCTTCTCGGTGGAGAGCTGGGCCAGCTTGCCGAGGTAGCGGATGTTGATACCACGCTTGTGCAGCAACTGAGTGAGCGATTGGCCGTCCATGGGGAAGCCAACGTCGCCATCATGAAGGTCCTGAACCAGGTCGGGCATGATCTTGGTCCGGAGGTGCTCGCAAGCTTCCCGCACTTCCTTCTCATCCTGGGCCCACTGCTCCTTCTCCTCTTCGGTCTGGGGAACCTGGCCACTGAAAACATCAGGATTGAGAGACAGGTTGAATCCAGAGATGTCAACACGATCCTGATCCTCGCTCTTCTCCTCAGTCTTCTCCTCAGTCTTCTCCTCAGTCTTCTCCTCAGTCTTCTCCTCAGTCTTCTCCTCAGTCTTCTCCTCAGTCTTCTCCTCAGTCTTCTCCTCAGTCTTCTCCTCAGTCTTCTCCTCTGAACCCTCCTCGGACTTGGTCTCCTTTGAGGCCTGTTCGGCCTTTTCAGCCTTGCGGCGCTCAACCTCAGCCTTGACATATGCGCTCATCTTGGTGCGCCAGTGCGACTCAACCAGCTCAAGTCGCAGAACCGACATGCGGTGGGGGTAGGCATCGCTGCCATCCTCCTCCTGCCACAAAGCATCCAGAGGTGCCACACGGTACAGATCAAGAACGTACTTGCGTCCATCAGTGCCGAGCAGACCCTTGGTCTCAACGCTGCCCTCGAGGTCATGACGCTTGCCATCCTTGTCCCAGACAGGGTGCTGCTTAATACGAAGGGCCTTGGACAGCTTCTCAAAGACAGGCTGGAAGTCGGGGTGAGTGGCCACAACCTCCTTGCCTTCGACACCACCATAGTCAATCTGGTGTTCGCCAGGCTCACGCTGCTTGAAGATGCCAGGGACGATACTCTGGCCGACAATACGCTTGCCCAGGTAGTCGACCACGACGGTACCAGGAGTGAACAGACCCTGGATATCAAGCTGGTTCACAGCCTTGATGCCCAAAACATCCTTACCAACAGCCACACGAGCAGCCTCGTCACCACCCTCGGAGGTGAAAGTACCAACGCCATCAGCACCGAAGGAGTAGAAGATGTTGTTATAGACAAAAATCTGCGCATCCCGAGCCTCAGTGGGGTTGAGAGGAGCGACCTCGCCGCGGGCGACCAACACCGCGCCACGAGCAGCAGCCTCATTATAATCAGCGAACAGCTTGGAAGTCAAGCGCTCACGGAACACACGATCCTGAACAGTGTCACGGGGCAGCTCACGGGTAGTCTGGAACTCCTCGTTCCAGTCCCGCAGGGTCTCGGCATTGTCCACGCCAGAGATCAAATAGCTCTCCTGAGAGCGTGTGATATCCGGTTGGTGGGCGTTCTGGCTCGAAGTAGCGGGAGTCACGAGCCAGGGGCTGTTCGGGATGGCGTTCTGGAAGGGGAAGGTGGTCAGGAGATCCTTCTGGTTGTTGGACTCCTGCAGAGCCTCAAAGGCAGTGTTGAAGGAGGGCGACAACTGAGAGATCAGAGTGAGGAGAGAGTGGGCATTGCCCTTCACGTTCTTGGGCATAATAGTTCTGGGGAAAGGATCGAACTTGGTGCTCGAGCACTTGTTCACGAAGAAGCCCGAGACGTGGGAGGTAATGGGGAACTGCTCCCCCTCGTTGGTGGTGACCTGGAGGTAGAGCAGGTGGCCCTTTTGACGGAGGTTGTAGGGCACCGGGTTCCACGGTGATAGTGAGATTGACTTCACGGTCTTAGGAAGAGGGGTCTGTTCCTTGGGCAGAATAGTCTGCAGCGAAGACTCGCCGGTCAAGTTATACTTGGCGAGCGAGTGGTCCTTTTCCGACTCGCCAGCCTTAGCAGCCTCTGCCGAGATCGCATCGTGCAGCGAGAGACCAGCGGAGATACCGTGCAGGTTATCCACACGGTCACCAGCCGCACCAACCAGCTCCCGTGTTCGCACAATATGCATGCGGGCCTCCTTCTCGGTGTAGGGATCTTCCACCAAAACAATCTCGGAGTTGGCCTTCAAGTCGGGGACCTCGGACAGCTCGACAAAATCGTTGATGCGGGTGCCATTGAACTCAAGGTGGAAGCATGTGTACTGGAAGGTACCGGGCAGCTCGACGATCGATTGGCGGACATCTTGCACCTGTTCTTGGCTTGAGACCTGTGGGGTGGAGGACAACCGAGTCAGAGAGAGGTAATTCTATGGCGCCATGCTATGTTAGAGCACATACCATCACCTGGATCTTGTGCGGCTCATGAGGAAGCTTCACGGAGATCTGGAAGAGACCTGGACACGAATCAGAAAACCGCCGTACCGCCCTAGCTCCAATGATGCCACATACCGCCCGCATTGTCGTCCTCGGCAGCGCCCTCGGGGTGGATGCCATTTGTGGGCTCTTGCGAAGCCTGAGCAACCTCTATTCGAGGGTCAGTATACCATTGTTGAAGCATGTTTCGTCGCGGTCGTTGGCTTCGGTTTGGGGTCTCGTGTGACCGTTACCGCGCGAGACCTTAAGGAATAGACGGACCTTTCGAGTGCTCCTGCTCTCCATTGGGTTGCGCCATAATGTCCAATCGGTGAATAAGATAGCTTCGGCAAGGTCGGGATGCAACGAGTAGCTACCTCACAGCTGCGGAGGTGAAGACGAAACCGATCAGGAAGGAAGGAAAACAGCGAGGACCTGCGGGAACTGAGCAGGGATAAAAGAGAAATAAAAAGTCGCTATAGTACAAAAGGGATCAGGGCAATTGAACCAGGTAAGCCAATAACCCCGGACCCCAGAGAGAGATGCAAAAGAAAATCGTCCGGTATGGGGGAAGGAACAGCGGTGGAACGGAGGAGAAAATTTCGCGGATGCGGCATACCCTCGGAAGTGCTCGGGCGGTGGGTTCGGGGAAGAGGCCGCGGAGAGTCTCTCTTCTCCACAATGTGCGAGAAAGAAGACTTGGAAAAGACACAGAGGGGGCGGGAGCAGAGGTCACAAAAATGGCCATCATGCTTTGCATTTTTACTATGTTTACCAATCTCGCTTCAAGTAGGAGAGAATGTACTCAAGAATTTAGTATAACTAAGTTAGTTCCAATTTAGGGTGATGACATAGTTGTGCTTGATGCCTCAGGCCACTAATATGTTGGGGTTCGGAGAAATCTAAAATCATCCATCTTCCCAGGGACTATGTATATGATCATTACAGAGAAGGGGAGACTATATTGATTTCTTGAATTCTCAAAACTCATACCTAAGTGGTTCTGAAGTATCTTGGATAATGTTTATCTTCTTCCTGAAACGGCTATAAAGCTTTAGCCCTGTTGCCCGCTTAGCTGCGGATGAAGGTGGTTACCCCCAGCAAATTCATCGAGTATGAAATGAAAGAAGTCTTGAAGAGGTAACCTGAACTCGAGCTGAACATTCAGGCCTTCGTCTATGGATATTATGAGTTGAGCTTCCATTGCACTAAAGGGTGTGTGCGTTCTAGATATACACCAGCTCCTAAAGCAACTCTTGAACGATGGGTTTGGAATATGATTAGGTGGTTAACCTATGTAGAGACTAACAAAACTCCAAAATACATTTTCATGCACTTCAAATCATCCACAGGATGCATTTTCTTAAGCGCTGCGAGATGTCTGAAGTGCCGAATCACCAAACCCCCCAAATGCGACTGCCAAGCCTCCAGTTGTCCACCATTTGGGCTCCACTAAGGCTAAGCCACAATGCTCTTCTTCCTGAACACGCATCCTCCTCACGCTGAATCTCATCTAATATGTTTCCAGTCTCTCCTTAAGATCGTCTCCCGTCTTATTCTCTGCTCTGTGTCCTTTTCTACTCATCAATTTGGGTCTCACACCCCGTCCATTCTCTTATCTCTGAAACACCGTTCCCCCTGAGGGTGTGGCGCTGAAAGTCCCGAAGCCTCAGCAAGTGTTGCGCTGTGCATCCGTTGGATACGAAGTACAGGTTCAAGGGTTTGCAGTGCTCCAAAAAAAAGTAAACAAATCTAAGAAAACCCGGCCTAGTACCAGGTTGGGGCCATTGAAAAAGACCCAGAATTCTATATCAATCGACAAATCGAGTTCAAGATGCTATGGAACAGGCTGGCACGTCCTCCTCCAACATTTGCCCAACGGGGGTTATTTAGACCATTTCGACACAATGGCAGAGCTCCGAAAGCTATTGGCCAGCGATTCAATTCCTCAAATCCGCAAAACGCAGGTCAATACAAACCCGATCCCACTGACCAAAATGAGTCGGAAGAGGGCCAGGGCAAGGGTCGCAAGAACGATTCAGACCCCAATTTGAGATCTACAATCCTGAAGATGCTCGAGACAGCCGCTACAACGGCTGCTTCAATCGCTATTTTAGGGTAGGGCTACTTTTTATTACACATGGCTCACGCTTGCAGGCTAATCTTGATTTCGCAGAGCGGCGGGATACTCCTACCACCAGTACTACAAGTACCTGATCCTGGATAAGATGGACAATGCGTTCAACCCAGGGGATCCTGCTCTTGAGGTTGCGGGTGTCGTATCGGGAAAACACCATTATCGCGATGAAGAGCACTGGGTTGTTCGTGACGAGCAGCCCAAAATCGACGACATCGTGTCTGGGCGACGTGGTGGCCATTACTATCTGATTATTGGTGAAAAGGGCACTGGAAAGACCTCCATGCTTCTCGAAGCTATGCGCAAAATTGACGGAAACAGCTGTGCTATGTTTGAGGCCCATGCTGATCTAGAGATCTTCCGGATTCGGCTTGGAAAAGCTCTCGACTACGAATTCCACGAAGAGTATGTCAATCCTCGGCATTCCTTAACCAAAAGGTTTGAATGACTCTGACCACAGATACACAGTTACATCGGCAGCCTGTTCAGCATCCGCGGCCCACGAGACACTACCCCGCTGTTGGATATCGAACGGGCTTTCAACAAATTGGAGAAAGTTGCACTGAGAAGAAGAAAGGCGGGCTCGCCACCTCTCATCCTCATTCTCAACAGCACACATCTTGTACGAGATGACCACGATGGGCAAGACTTACTCGAGATGATCCAGCAACGCGCTGAGCAGTGGGCTGCAAGTGGCCTCGTTACAACCAGTAAGTTGTCTTCAACCCAACTGACACCATCTTTTATGTTTCACGTATTTGTCTAAGACATTCGAACAGTTCTCAATAGCGATGACTACTGGGTATATGAGCGCCTGAAGCGCTACGCAACCCGCATGGAGGTCATCGCAGTTTCAGACTTACCCAAAGACAAGGCGATGACCGCGCTCTGGCAATACCGCAAGCAGTTCTGCCATGAGGACCTGCCTAGCTCGGTTCTTGAACACGTCTACAACAAGGTTGGTGGCCGTCTCTCCTTCCTGAATCGCGTTGCCAAATCGCACGATGTCTTGAAGACTTGCGATGAAATTTGTCAGGCTGAAAAGACTTGGTTCCTCAACAAATGTTGGATTCTTGGTATGGATATGGATGACGATGTGATGGACGAGCAGAAGTATTCGGTGAGTTTCACTTCTCTCTTATCCCATCGAGGGGCTGTGGGTATTCTGACAATGCTAACACAAGCTCAGTCTGCTGCTATGGTTCTCGCAAAGGCCCTCGTGGACCTTGAGAACGATATGGAGAAGAACTATGACCCCCACAAGGGCCACATTCTGCCCGAGATCCCCCTACACAAGGCACGCGAGATTATGACTCGTGCCGATTTCATCCAGTCCTACGATCACGACAACATCTTCACCATCAATTCGCGAGCCATGGTGCGCGCCGACTCCGTGCCCATGCAGCAGGCCTTCCGGGAAATCTGTGCCATAGATGGATTCGAGAAACACCTGGAAGGCACTCTGGAGCGCATCGGTGACATTGAAAGTCTCGGCCGCACGCGTGAACTGACGATTAAGGACCTCTGGAACCAAGGCAAATACCGGATCGTGGTCCGGGATACCAAGGGACGCGAGAGCGGGACGGTAGAATTCCGCAGTTGCGGAACGTGAAGGCGAGGACGACGATTAGATGTTCTGGACTTGTGTACTATTATTTTCACGCTACTTATTGTTATGTCAATGTATATGCTACTACGCCATGAAACCTGCAAATCCTTTTATCTTAAATGCGTACGAGCTGTCTCCTGTCATGACAGCCGGGTCTTTTATCCCGACTTCTCTCGCTTATGTTGAAGCTGCTCGTAGGACACAGACTCGGGGTTCATTTCCACGCTGATCCACAGCTTTTTTCAATGATGAAATATGCATCGCTCTGATGTCTCATAGTTTCACGGGCTTGTAGAATAAATATATCTTATCGGCTTAAATTCCGATTGTGGAGTCTGCAATTTAATATCTTGAATTCTTTTAGGTATGCATAACCTTGGAAGCTCCCAGCAGTGACATCATCACGCTCTCACCGCCCAGCGCAATCATTGCACTTGCCTCACTCTTCGTCTCACAACCTCTAAGCTCCCTACTCCTCCAATATTCAAGTGTAGTGCGTGCGACCTCTTCTGAAGCTTGAAAATGTCCCCTCGAAAGAAAGTTTCATCTGGCAGCGCCCAAGCGCAGCCTACACCTGACCCCAAGGATACGAAGGATGTCTTGAAGAACGTCACGCCCAAGTCGAGCTTGGCGCGTATCCCCTCACCAGCCCGCTTCTTCTTGGTTGTCTTCGGAAGTCTGGTCCTGAGCTCAGTGTTGTTCACTTTCACTGCTGGCTTTACACAAGGCGATCTCGGGCTGGTGAGCAAGCACCTTGAGGAATGGTGGGAAGTAGCGGGATTGATCGCGTGGAGGGGCGTGGAGGTTGCTTTGGCATGGCTTCTAGGCTTTGACGGTGAGTGCACTTTCTTTAAATGGGGAAATTATCTGTCGCAAGCGCTGGGAGAAGAGAATAAGCTAACTTGGCGGTTGCGATTTCGCTCAGGCTGGGATGTCGCCTCGTTCCTCTTCCTGACACACCTACCCACCTACACTCTCCTGTCCTTCTTCTACAATGTCCGACCGACCTCAGTGATGGCCTCGTATGCGATCACTATTCTCTCGACGGTGATCCCGTTCGCACTACTGCGTCGGCCCGCCTCGGTCCATGATCTCTCCCACGCGCCCTCCGGCGCAGTTGCCAATCGCGCTATCTTGCAGGATCGACCAACGACCATCTACACCACTTTGGCCGCGACCTCGATTTTCAGCGTTATCCTGTACGCTAGCTACGCAACATGGTTGCCCGCAAAGCTCGTCGTACACTTCGAAGGCATTCCAGATATTAGCGCCGTGCACGCAGGTCCCGCCGGTCTGCCGGTCCTCTTCCTGACCCTAATCCCCGCTGGTCTAGCTGCGCGCGACTTCTTGTTTGTCAGCTCTACCGGCCATTCGGAGGGAACGTCTAAGGAAGCGGACCAATCTATTAACCGTCAGGGTGAATATTTGGTCATGGCGCTGTACCGAAAGACCTGGGGCCAATTGTCAACGAAGACCAGGATCCTCACCTCGCGAACTATTCTGCTTGCTACAGGAGTGCTGGTAAATACGACAGTTCAGGTAGCGGGCACAATCCGAAGTGTTTCTGTCGAGGGCGCATTTACCTGGGGAGCGGTCTGGGCTGTCGCGACAGTGGCAGTGGGAGCAACCTTTGGCTGGATTGAGGCGGTGGATGGAGTATAGATACTGGTATTAAAAGAGTGCAAATTGTTCGAGGACAGTGGGGAGATGGTGATCTATCAGCGTTGTTCGTATGGCGCTCGGTGCTTGATTCAGTTCTTTTTGAGGAATTACCCATGTTTCCTGACCCCAGAAGGTAGTGTCCACTTTCCATGCGGGGACTGTATGACTATACTGTTTTGCCTTTTCTAATGACGATTCCTTTTTATCTATCTGCTCCTCTACCTCTCTCCTTTACGTACTCCGTGGTTGAGAAGGTGACTTATCGGTATTACTGAAGCAAATACCAACTAAATGTCTTGCGAGTTGTCATATGAGAAGGAAACTGTGTTTATTCAAAATCGCTAAGACACCGCAAACGATCCAACCACCAGCCATCAGAAATCTATCTGCGATAGGCACCTGTATATAAGACAATAACTCAAGCAAGAAACAACCAACGGCAAGACAAAGAGTGTATCTCTTTTCAAGACAAATGACCGGTCATCTCAATTTCATCAGACACATCATCCCGCTTTCGCCCCGCGGGCTTGTGATCAGGCAACAGCCAGCCAGGATGGATGATATTGAACGCAACGACAGCGGCAACCATCATAGCTCCATCAAGGGCGATGAAGTATTTCTCGTGAGTAATCAGGAAGCCATGCCAGCCCTGCAACAGCTCGATAGTACGATAGATGCTCCGAATATAAATGCACAACACGGAGAAAATCATTGCGCCTAGCAGAGGCACAATAGATCCAGTCAGAGACTGAAGGAGCCTGTTCCGCATGGTACGGACGACGAAGTCGGCGGCAAAGATGACGAAGATGGTGATTGAGAAGAGCTGGAAGATGATACCGGCTACCATGATGTGAGTGCCAGGTGCTGTGTCGCCGTTGACTTTGTTTGCTTCGGACGAGGCCATGCCACCGCCAATAGCTTGGATGACAAGGGAGACAATGTCGCAGGTGCAGAAGATCCAGAGGTAGAGGCTAGGTTTGAGCATGGAGGATTCTCGGCCGAGGATTTGGATGAAGCGGCCTAGGAGGACGTAGATGCCGGCTGTGAAGAAAGTGGGCGCTATATTATAATGATTAGGTATGTGGCTAGTTAAATAAAAGCAACAATACTCACCAATAATGAGAGTGGAGATTTGCATTAGGAACGCGGTCGAATTATACGGACACTTAGATGACCAGGTTCGACCGGCCCAGCCAATAACTTCGACTATAGCGCACAATGTCAGCAAAAGTTTCTGGTTGCTCATAGATTGGTTTCCAAGAATCAGTTGACTTAGAAGGATCGTGCTTACCCAGGCAGCCGATACTGAAAACGCTGCACCACCATGTTCGCTTCCAGCAGAATTGAGCAGTATGAAGAAGCATCGAGATTCCAAAGAGAGTACAGTACGCAATTCCAGCTCCTAGCGTCGGTACATAGCCGTAAGAAGTATTAATCCCAGGGACTTTGGCATGGCAGCCGTCTAACAGTACCCGACTGTGCGACATGGTGAGAGCGGAAGTTTCGGGGAGGTGTCAAGCGAGTCGGAGAATTGATTTGACAAGCCCAGCAAAAAAGGGAGGAAAAACGAAAGAAGGTGATATGCGTCGATTGGGCGAATATGTTCCGGATGGATAGGATGCGACAAGAAAATCGATGAAGCGCCGAATTGAGTGAGCGACTATATAGCAGTGAATAATGAATGACAGACCGTTTGACGTGGCAGGGCCGGACAGGGACGGCGATAGGCAGAAAGGAATAAGAAAATAGGCTTCAGGATTACGGGGTAGGGGTTCAAGAAAAGGAATAGAGGAGGGCTGTCACGTTTTCTCAGAGTGAAGAATACATATGTATAAGGAGACGGCAAGAAAGAGGGGGAGCATCAGCACTAAACCCCAACGATAAAAATACTTGTGAAAAGATCATGATTCTGGACCGTCCCAATATATACGTCGTAAGAGCTACCGGGTTTACACGCCGTCCCCTTGTCGGAGACCACCAATCCCGACCAGTGTCAGCGAGGCTGAGCGAGCAGGTCAAGAGCATCCAGTCAGACAGAAACGCTCTGTCCGTCTGACAAATGACAGTGGGGCTATCAAAAAAATTTGAACAAGTGGGGGGCTCGCCATTGCATAGCCCTTAATGTCTCTTGGGAGATGACATCAAAAAGCCCGACATCATGGCAAAATGGGCCAGATCTGATAGGAATTCGGGCCGAATAATGCTTCCGTCGCGATGGAGGTGAGACTTGCTCGCTACCCGAACCCTTCTGGGCTTAGCCTCGATGGAGTCGGGTATCCGGAACTAGCTTATTGTCCCCTCTATTCGGGGAGGCAGTGGTCGGGCATAACTTCAGTGGCCGTTCGAAAGTATTTTGAAGACAGTACTTCCAGCCCTTACCGCTTTTATACACCGCCTACCTACAGGAGCCACACGGGTCCTCGCGCAAGCGGTCGAAATCTAGTAAATTCGCGTAAAGTATTTGCTACTTTATTAATCTAGCTAGAGCAATACCTCATCGTATAGAAGTGGTCATTGGATACAAAAGATAGTACACTAGTTAGTGAAATATTGAATAACCTAGATATTTTAGCCGGCAGAAAAATAAGTGGGGCATATAGCGGGTTCTAAATACTTTTGAACGCTGACTGTGTATAGAAAATAATAACTAACTAGTAAAGATAAATAACGAATTTTTATTAACTTCTTAGTTAGAAGAATATCGAAAAAGTTTTATATAGATAGAATAGTAGTTTCTTAATAGATTCATTACTTTAAAATAGTATATAATAGGTAGATTTATAAGAGTGGTTCATATAAATAGTGAGTACTACTCTATAGTTCCAAATAATATTATATTTAACTAACATAATCACTACAATTGCTTACGTACTAAACTTAGTATAAGTATTTAAATTACTAGGATCTAATGTCTAGATACTAAATATCATAAATATAACCTTATATTAATAATATATAATCGTGGTATAGTGTAGTAGGGTAAAATAGCTGAAAATGGAGGGAAAAAGTGCGTTTCAAAAACAAGTTCGGGATTCGGGGAGACAGTGAGCGACTGTGGTTACGGATAGTCCTTGGCGCCGCTCAGTCCTGGCCAGGAACTGGACCGCCCCCTCAAAGCCTTAACTCCGATCCGATGCTCCCGCGTAAGACGGACGCGCAAGATCGAATCCATTTTATCAGTAGACAGAGCGCTGCAATTTTCCTGGCAGGGCAAATGGGCTGGATTGCCAGAGACATGAGAACCCTAGGATTTGCGCAATGAATGGTCAACCAATGCACGAGATCAATTAGCGACTTTGAAAGCATGACCTGGACGCCAGGCTCTAATTTTCGCGGCCCTCGATCCATTGCTCGTATCATGGCACCTTTGAAACCAGGATTCTTGACACACATTTGACGTTGAAAGTCAGTGTAACACGAGTACCCACTCGCCTGGGCTGACGTTGGGGTTTGCGGGGTCACCTGATTGGTGCCTCGATGAAGCCTCAAGACAGGTCTCCAAATAGTCAATGAGTGCTGATTATTCATTTGAGGCTTGACGCTCACACTGCCCTTTAAAACTCATCTTCATTTCATCTTCTCACGTCAGAGAATCCCTGAAGTCTGCTCTTGCAATACATACGATGTACAGAAATCCATTCCAATACTCACAAATCCATTATTACGACCAATTCCCAAGTACACTGACTGCGTTCCTTTTTGGCAAGAGTCAAAATCATCATGTCGACTGTCAAGACGCTCAGTTCCTTCGAAGCAGCCCAAATATCAACACTTGATCCAGGCAATTGTTTCATTCTAGACTGATCAACGGAGTATGGCGAAGGGGGCCGCCCTGCCATGACACGACAGTCAAAGTCGAATTCGGCACGCCTACGACTTCACCCCGAGTCGGCAACCCCTTGAATCATAATTGGGACTTAAAAGTTGGCACATGTATCATGAGGATTGATCGTGCGTCTAAGGTTATGATTGAATAAGTGCTTGGCATTCACCGAATTACATCGACGAGAGATCTAGCAATTATGTCTTATTGCTAAAGAATCCACTTTGGACCTCAAACCCTCTATTGGAAGATGGCTACGTGAATTTCGGCGTGTCATAAAACCCAGCGGGATCTAAGTGTCACGTCAGCGCTGTACAATGATCGATAGTTAATCTTTAGGGTTGACAAATTCTTACCTTCACGGTTGGCGATGATGTACTTCCTCGTCTCGACAATATTGTGGCCCAGCTCAGAGTTGAGCTCCTGCTGATGAATCTGAATCCTTTCATTACGCTTTGCAGCACCGCGAACTGCCGCCTGCGCGACATGGTAGCGAGATGTACGATTGACGAGCATCATATCAAAGGGTGTCGTAGTACTTCCTTCCTCCATGTAGCCAGCAATGGAGACACGGTCAAGACGCGGGCGACCGAATAGTAAGCCTTGCAGTTCCACCGGGTAACCATGGTAGTTGAAGTGGATGGGTCTGTCGGCAGTGAACAAATCATCGAATTCTTCAGTGCCCAAGGCATGCGGATGTTGACCCGCGTTCTCGAGGATGAGCAGATCGGTTACATTCACCACCCTTACTCGTAGTGATGGCGCGCGCTGGCGCAGGATCGCAGCCGCTTGGATCACCTCGAACATTACCTCGACGCCGATACCCACCAGGACCACGTCCGGATCCAGTCCATCGTTAGTGCTGCAGAATCCCCAGACTGATGCGCCGGCACGGCAGTGGTTTTCTGCTTCTTCTGGACTCAGGTACACTGGAGTCGGCTGCTTTGAACCCACCATGAGGTTGATGTAGTTCCTCGACTTCAGGCAGTGATGCATGGTAGTTAGGAACGTGTTTGCATCTGGCGGGAGATACACTCGGGCTGCGTAAGGCTTGAGCTTCAATACGGATCCGATGAACGACGGGTTCTGGTGGGAGAACCCATTATGTTCCTGACGTGCCCACGTGCTGGTTTCAATGTAGTTGAGACTGCTGACAGAACAGTGCCACTTGGTCTCACGAGCCTAAAGAAGAGATTGATGAGTGAAACGATGGCGTATAATCATGGAAGAATGACTCACAATTTTGATGAATTTGGAATACTGTACCATCATGGTATGGATGATGCCAAGAAAGCTCTCATACGACGGTAAAATCCCCACGCGACCAGTCAAAGTGTACCCCTGCATGAAGCCCTGGCATAAATGTTCACTCAGCACCTCAATGACACGACCTCCGCGAGAATTGGCAAATTGATCCCATTGGAAGTTCCGGTTGGTGGCCTCAAACACCGCATCCAGCTTATTGCTTTCCAGTTCGTCAGGGCTGAACAGCCGCACGCTGTTGGGGTTCTCATTGATGACATCGTTGATGAGCCGACCAATCGCCTTCATGGCACTTTCTTGGCCTCCTTTATCTGCACAAAAATTCTTCCAATCTGGCAGAATTGGTGGTGTGTATTTGCCATATGCTTCAATGCGCTGGCCCAGCTTCTTCTCATTGTTCTCGGGAATCACAGACTTGATTTCGTCGATGATATCTCCGTTCAGTGTGAAGAGTTCCTTAGGTTTGTAGTCCGCCAGCCAATTTTGGAGTGTCTCTAGTTGCCGCTCATCAGACTTGGCCTTAGGTAGCGGTACTTGATGTGAGTGGAAGGATCCCTCAATGAATTCGCCATCGAGTTGCTTCGGCCCCGACCAGCCCTATAATTACCGTCAGCATGCTGAAATACAGTTTTTTCTTTCATTCAAAGCCTACCTTGGGAGTCCGCAGAATCAGCATTGGCCATCTGGGCTTGAGAATTGGGTTCCCAGAACGAGCTGCCTTCTGGATTTTGTGGATCTCTTCCACAGCCCATGTCATGGAGTAGTGGAGATCTGTATCAATATTGTTGAGATCTTCCACGAAGCGAACCTGATAACCGTATCCACTAAACAAGGCCGCGAGCTCCTTGTGATCCATGCAACCGAAAATGGTGCGCTCACTAATCTTGAAGCCGTTAAGATGAAGGATTGGAAGGACGGCCCCGGACTCTTTGGGGTCAATGTACTTGATTCCGTGCCAGGAGCTAATCAATGATCGTCAGAATTGCGCCCAACTTGAAGACCAGTATGAAATACGAACGTAGCAGTTGGTCCCGTTTCTGCCTCTCCGTCTCCAACGATGCAAGTCACAATGAGGTTGGGGTTGTCCATCGCTGCACCGAATGATACGGAGAGGGCGTACCCCAGCTCTCCACCTTCATGAATCGCACCGGGCGTCTCGGCGTTGATATGGCTTCGCGCAGCGGTTAGCAAGGGTTAGGTGCAAGTGCGTTTCGGATGAATCGCTCACCTCGGGAATCCGTTAGTGGTGCTGAAAGTTGAAATTAAACGATGAAGACCATTCCCATCGACGCTGTATTCTGGATAGAATTTCTCTAGCGAGCCCTCTAGCCATAGCGTTGCGAGGAGAGCAGGCGCGCCATGTCCTGGACCAACCACATAAAGCATATCAAGGTTCCTCGTTCGAATGAGATAATTGAGATGGGAATAAACTAGGATAAGACCTGGACATGTGCCCCAGTGGCCTGTGAGAGAAAAAAAATATGAGTACATTTTAAACCCATTTGGGTTTTTTGTTTACTCCTGCGCAAGAGGTGTACTTACCCAACAACCTAGGCTTAATATCTTTGAATATCAATTCTCTCTTCATCAAAGTGTTATCCTGAAGGAAGATCATCGCTTGGATCATGAGTTAGCATGTGAGCTATTCCAGCGCATTGACATTTGGGTTACATACCGGCAGCGATGTAGGACGCCGCTCTACGGAATTTGAGTAAGGCATCACGGACTTTCTCGTCTAGAGTCTGACGAGGAAGTGAGATTTGCAATTTCGCGACATATTGTGGTAAATGCGATGGCAATGGCTCTGGATCCGGCCGATCGATAACTTCTCCAGGCATGATCGCACCAAAGCACGTTCCAAGTACAACGAAAAAGGTGGCTTTGGTGCACTCAAAGAGACGGGTTGGCGGCGGGAGATCAACGCGGGAGGAGTCCCAAGTTCAAGGAGTGGGACAGTATAGATGTGAGAGAGAATATGGAAAGAAGGAAGCAACAGCAGCAGTAGCAGCAGTAGAAATCAAAATACGATATGATTATAATCAGGAGATTACCAACTTAATGGGTCATGCCATGGGAGCCCTGGGCCTATCACTCAGCAAGAGAAATGGCTATTTGACCCGCCCCTGGTCCCCTTCCAAGTATAGCGACGTCACACTCCGTTCACCATCTCTGACATCATCCTCCAGCAACACGAGCGTTCAATCCACCTCCCAACAGACAGGATCCAATCTCATTGTTGCGACAGAAGACAAAGTCGAGTCTTACGATTACGGCCAAGCATGGGTAAGTATATCTTGGCCGTCAATGCCGGCTCCTCGTCCGTCAAAGTCACCTTCTATACCTTCGAAAATCCTCCGCAAGCTATCGCCGATGCGCAAGTCTCGGGCATCACGGCCCCGCCACCCACGCTCAAATACCAGCGTGGCCCCGTGAAAATAAAGGAGGAGCTGAAGGAGAAGCTGAACACACCACAGGATGCGTTCAAGTATATCCTCCAGCGCTGCTTCAACGACCCCGAGCTATCCGAGGTTGCCAGCGACCGCGATCTAGCTTACGTCTGTCACCGAGTGGTGCATGGTGGGGACTACCAGGACGCTGTCGAGATCAATGATGAGACACTCCATCATCTGGAGGATTTGGAGGATTTGGCACCCCTGTATGTGGAAAGAATGGGCAGAAATCTAGGCACCGAGTGCAAGGACAATCCCAAGCTAACCAAGTCGATCGCATTACTATAGACACAATTTCTCCGCCCTGGAAATCGTGCGCTTGTGCAAGAAAGAACTCCCAAGCGTCACGAGCATCACCTACTTCGACTCGGCTTTCCACCAGACTCTTCCTGACTACGTGAGGACATACCCCATTAACCAGCAGACAGCTAAGGCACACGGATTGCGGAAATATGGCTTCCACGGCATCAGTTACTCGTTCATTCTGCGCTCAGTCACTCAATTCCTGGGTAAACCTCAAGAGCAGACCAACCTGATTGCAATGCATATCGGAAGTGGAGCTTCTATGTGTGCTATCAAGGAGGGCAAATCGATCGATACTTCGTGAGTACGTTTGTGTCATGATATGGACTGGAATGGGGGCTGACAGATCTGCTAGGATGGGCCTGACTCCACTGGCAGGATTACCTGGCGCAACCCGCAGCGGCGACATTGATCCGTCGTGAGTCCACATGAATTTTCCAACGTCGTGGAGGCCGTGGAGACGATGCTAATTGACCACGTGGGAACAGGTTGGTGTTCCACTATACGAGTGAGGCCGGAAAATTGAGCCCTGGGAGCACCAAGGAAATGCATATCAGCACGGTAAACCAAGTCACTCAACCTGTTTCCTCAACTGCAATAGCTGACCCGAGCATCCCGTGGCACGTAGGCGGAAGAGATCTTGAACAAACAATCCGGCTGGAAGGCTTTGACCGGCACGACCGATTTTTCTCAGATCGCAGTTGAGAATTTCCCATCCGAGTCTCACAAGCTCGCGTTTGATATCCTAGTGGATCGAATGCTAGGGTACATCGGGAATTATTTCGTGAAGCTAGGCGGACACGTAGATGCTATCGTGTTTGCTGGTGGCATCGGCGAGAAGAGCGCACTACTTCGACGGACACTCGCTGAGAAATGCAAGTGTCTGGGTGTGGCCATCAACGCAGAGGCTAATGTCAAGGGGCCTGAAGACAAAGAAACTGTCAAGGACATCACCCAGGGCTCCAGCAAGGGACCCCGAGTACTGATCTGCCAGACCAATGAGCAGGTAAGACTTGGCATAGCGAGTGGCGGGGAAGGGAGTTGAGGGGCTGTTTGTGATGTACTAACAAGTCGTGATTAGTTCGAAATGGCATACCACACAGTTGAATCGCGACTTTGAGAGCAGTCACGGTGGAAGGTCGGTGAACAGGGCTCGCAAATGGACACAGCGACCGAAAATTTGCCCTGTACATAATTCCAAATCAGATGTGATATGTGTGGATGACAGAAGTACAGTAGTTACAGTCGTTAATGGCACAAAAATCATGCAACTCGCTGCTTTTAACAAATGATGAGTACTCCGTACTGTACGGAGTATAGGGGACTAAACCTGAATCGCGTACAGAATCGATCGAGTTTCGAGACTCAGTTTCAAGCACGCCTGCTAATCAATATGCGACAGCGTCCTCTTGCTTGTAAACTGATACATACTGTAGTCACAGAGTCATTCCAGTTTGACCATTCCAGCCCTCCGCACAAAACAAGCTCCCTACATACCAGCGCCACTGATCGTCCATCTAATCAGCCACAGCAACAGAAAGCCAAGACGATCGGTTTGGCCACTGTCCTTTGAGATTGGACAACAAGACTGAAATTGGAATGATGTGATGCATCATTTCGACCCAGGCCCTTGGGCTCGACAGCTTGCATCGGGGGAAATCCGGGTCCGCGATCCCCGATCCCCAGCATTCAGGTAGGTTTGATGATCCCCTAGTTTAATGCACGATGCGGCAAAGGGGCAAGAAGAAGAGGTGTGTTAGATCGCGATCGAGGAAGCAACAAAGTACTGTACTTTTGTGGATGTCTGTAGGGACTAGAAACGATCGGTCGGGTCTGGATAGCTCGGAAGGGCCGATCTGTAAGATGATCTGAGGTCTAGAGTACGCCGCTGGACATGTTTGATATCCCATCTGATCCCCGTTCTTTGTGCAGTATACACAGCACCTGGCTTCTTCTGCAATGTGTCGGAGAAGCCGATCAATAGGAATGGTGCACAGCACATATCAAATAATCAAGGCCCAGTGGCTGAGAATTGAAGAATTGGGAGGTCAGGTACCATGCAGGTCGGCTCCATTCTCTGTACTTTGTGCCTGAGTTCAGAAAGCCACCAAGATCGACACCGTACAGTGTCGTGCTTGGGACCTCAGTGGCGAGTTGCAAGTTGCAACCAGTGTGTCATTTTGCAGGCGTCATGTATGGAGTTGATGCAAATTGATCTTCATGATCTGATGATGCGTCTGCTGGTGGCTGGCAGTAGTTCATAATAATGGACGGAGTATTATTTCCTACTCCAGGGGGACTCCTAACCTCCATCTCGCAGATCTCCACTAGCCGACCCAAATCCGTAATTTGGACAGTTTAGCTTGGCTGGAAGCATTAGCCGTGGAGCTCCAACTGGTCGCGGAAGTTCTATCGAGGTTCCCGGGCTCCCAGAGGCGTTCCTGGTGGGGCACTCTGGCGTGAAGGTACACTATTTGTATTGTTTGGATTTTCCGATCCGTTGAGAATCGTTGCTATCCGACTATCATAAGACCATTGCCGCTGTTAGGGAGATGCAAAGCTGCAGAGGGGAAGTGATGTCGGTAATTCGATCGTGGCATAAGCACCTCATGCACTCTATCCATCCCATTAAACATCGTTCCCCTGGGAGGGACAGACCCGACAGGGAGGAAAAGCAGGATGATCGTACCCGACATGGTGGATGCTGGGGCTGTGGAGGCTGGCAGCCGGCGATCGTTATCTCCATTCCGTTCTTTTTGGGTTTCTTTTTTTTCCCTACATATCCTGGGTACCGATCGTGCTACATATCTGCAAGTTAATCGATCGTTGGGCCAGAGATGACAGACGAAAGGGGAGAAGGTTGAGGTTTAGGCTGTGGCTTTAAGCCTGAAAGGGCGACCAATCAACCTCTGAAAGGGCGACCAATCAACCTCTGAAAGGGCGACCAATCAACCTCTCTACCAGGATGTTCTGAATGTCTTCGACAGGATGTATGTACAGTAATCAGCCTAGCTCAAACAGCCCAAAAGATTGACGGGACTCGCCGCGGTGCGGTCTCCCGATAATTATGCCGTAGCGGCACAAAGATCCTTGTAAGTGTCCTTTTATGGAAAAGGGGGCCGTCGATTGATGGTAAGCAATGAATCGGCTAGTGGCTGTTCTGGGCTGTTCGGCTTCCCTTGATGGATCATGCAGTTATGGTTAGATATAGGGCTTTGGATCACTAACGCCCAGGGTTAACGTAGGGCCACAAGGCTCCATTATTGCGGGTAAGTGCATGTTTCTCTTCCCTGATCGCATCGTGCTTGCCGAGCACCTACCCTTCGTGGGCTGTAATGAGAACAACATTCATTACCATAGCTAATGATAGAAGTCAACAATCCACTACGGAGCCCGGCGTATGGCGGAATTCACGCCAGACCCAACTGGACCTACCTTCGTCGACTCCAGTGGATACCTGCTAAACGCTAGAGGGTCTCCATAATGAATGGATACATATTACAGTCCAAAGGGATCATTTCCGCTATGTTCCAGAAGGCTTCTTTCTATGGAGCCCGATTCATCCAGAAAAAGGCTTAGAATAATACATAATAAAAATGATATTTCATGTATCTAAGGACGTACCTCCTCACCTGCCTAAGGGACACACGCTAAGATCGGCCGGCTTGGGTTCCACGCATACTTAGCGCCATGCTGCCTAGGGCCTGCCTTTGTCCTGCGGAGACCAACAGCCAGGTGTGTTAGGACTGACAAAGGTGGGCTGGGCTGGCTTGGAAAGTGGTCCACGACACAATGAAACGGTCGGCTCACTGTTCATTTTTAAGAGATTGACACATCGACTGGCGGCTGTCAAGAGGGAACAAAGGATTACAGATCAAACGAGTTGTACAACGTACGTTTGGCAGAGCATACATAGGATGTCAGGCCCAGAATCGGAGACCGACAAAGATCTTCTACCCTCCCTCAAGCATCCCCTGCTTAGAGGTTAGATTTGATCGTGCTGCAAGGCAGTCATCAAAAATCATCCACAGTCAATGCGACCGGTTGGGTATTCCGTAATACAATCTCCTCCCCGATCCTTGCTCCTGCATCGCGCCACCCTGTAGGTGCAGGCGCGCACGGTACTTGAGCGCGGTGGCAGATGTGCCCTGTGGAGGATTCTTGATCGGGGAAATTATATATGCACGAAGTATGAAATGGTACAGATTGTACGTACGTACGGGATTCAAGGAATAAGAGCAGGTCAGATTTAATCTGGAGATTTTTAGGCACCAAGTACGCCTTGATAGTACTATGTTAACTATTAGTTTACACTTCGTACATTATATATGGAGTAATCTAGGCTGGAACAGCCGAGGTATCGACTAAACTTTGTGCCCTGCATCCAACTCCGTCCGGCTACGGGAGCCCCAAAAAGCGTTCATGCAATCCAGCTAAACCTTGTTTTCGCGGGAGAACTAATGCATCGAGCCGCAGTCTGGAGACGCGTTTCTCAGGAGCCCGATGTGGCGAGCTCAAATCCGACTGCGTCAGGCTCGGCTGGAACATTACAACCTTAGAATTGGGGGAGCTGTTATACCGTACCTGATGGAGATTCCGATTGCTGTAGGCTTTGATTGACCTTCTACTCAAAGACAAGCTCCTCGGTCTCGTAACCTTACATGCGATACATAAAATCCCCGTCGTTTTTCTATCAGACACTTTACAGGTCAATGGTTTCTCCGCCCTTAATAAGTGATGGTCTATTATTCTGTAACCAAACTACAGACTAGCTTATCCACTAGTATACTAAACCTCCCAGTGAGACGGCACAGGGTACTCAACGGGGAAGACGGAGCCAGAGCCGGCGCGGACGACGGCGGACATCCACTGGGGCCAGGAACCGTCTTGAACCCAATCGCCAGGCTTCGATGAGCTTGTGAGATGATGAGGAGGGTCGCGGGGAGAGTTCTTAGCAGTGTTTCTCTCTTGTTCCCCTGTTTCTAGCGCGGTTCTAGCTGTAAAAGAAACGGGCACTACCCGATGCGATGGGGCCAGTTGCCGGGTCCACCAAGGAAGAAAAGGAAGCTCGTTTCCTTGACAGTCAATCCCGCCTCCTTTTTTGGGCGGATTTCCCCTGGCGGACCAGCTCTCCTCCGTTCAAAGAGAGAGTACACTTACCCTAGATGTACCAGCCTAGCCACTGCAACTATAGTATACTATGGACAAATCTGATATAATAGTTAACACGTGAGTTTTGTGATTTAGAGCGTTGTCCTCTTTGCCACCCCCATCTGTGCAAAGGAATCATCTTTCTTTGCCAATTTCCTGGCCAATGAATTTCGAGTAGACCAAGGAGAAAAAGAGGAGAATTAGGTTAACCGCTGTATAGAGCGACACGGGGTGCGTACCATTGCAACCCAAAATGAAACCATCGACAGTAGACCCGAATAGTAGACCTAGAGCCGAAGTTTCGTCTACTCGTGTCTCCTCTCGATCTCGCTAACGGCCCCGGGGGATATTCCGCGGTAGATCTCCAGGCTCGATTTCAATAAGGATTATTGGATTATTATTGAAGAGCCGATAGAAGACACCAGTATTGAAAACGCGATATTGACTGGGTGGTGAGCAGTACCGAGTATAGTTGAGCATAGCCCTCGTTTGTGTCCCCCTAATTTCGTCCTTAGCGCGTTAGGACACACGGCTGAAACAAGCTTACGAACCAATGGAGCATGCTTGTTGGGGACACCTGGCATGTCAAGAAACGGAGGAAAACTATAATAGTGAAAAGCATCACAGAAGGAGCTGTGGCTGGATTGGGGAGCCACTCACGCGGCTCCAGTGTGGCGAAAGTCTAGAGCTGACGCAAGAAGAGTGCTGGATTCTTCAAATACCTGAATAACATGCTTCATTCTGATACGTCCGTACGGAGAGCCGAGTCGACAAGGAATTACGGGGGTGGATCTGGTCTATGTATGTAACTATTTCTTGCAGTTCGGATCAGGACGTCGACAGTGGAAGGAATCCAGAATGTTCTCATGGAGAATTTCTCTCGAAGAGGAACATAATAAAGTTAAAGTGTATTAGAAACGTACGGAGTACAATACCACAGTGAACTCCGTACGCTTACTTTGTATGTTTTGCGCCTATTGACTTGACTCGATAGTAAGTCCTACAAGGGAGCACAACTAGGAATGATGGACAGTCCTCCATACGGCTCTTGTACTTTGTTTACGGAGCTAGACTCCGTGTATCCCTGTGGATTATTGGGGGGCGTCCCAAGCCCCCGGGAGACTGTAGAAAGGCTAGAAGGCGAAAAGAATGTTCATACGTAACCGAGACTGGGAGTGGGAGCGCTAGGGCTCCTGATTTGGCTTTCCCATCGACGCGCCCGTAATGATGGAGCCTTCGGTCTCCTGTAGCGCCCCGGGCCCACCCCCTATGATGGAGCCTGTCGACGCCCCCAACAGGATCGGGAAGATGGGTTTCCTGATCGATCAGTTGACACAGGGCGCTTGCCTGGAGACAAGAAACGGAAACCAACGAAACGACATATTTGGTGATAGGAAGAAAGCAAAGAAGGTGGTATGAGACACAGGAACAGTAGCGTTGGGGTGGTGTTGGAAAACGAGCAGGGGAAGGAAGGAATCGGATCACGATTGGCGTTGTGGAAAGAGCATGTCTGTGACAAGATGCCACTAAGGGAATTGGTCACTGGCTTTCACTGGCTTCTCGGAAAGAAGTCAAGAAAGAGGGAAATAATAATGACTGGCGATGGGGATCCAGAGCAAAGCTACCCGAAACAAATCGCTTTCGTAGTCAGTAGAAGTCTTACTTTCATTATGATGATTATCATCTTTGAGACTTTCCACTTGGTCTTTCCGGATTCGTGACTGGTAGGAAACACAAGGCGTGATTACACGGAGGACTGCCTGCGAAGCCGAATGTCTGGTCTTGATTACTGGAGTCAGGCGATATTGGTTCTGTGAGGTTGGTCACAGGCTGGATTAGGTTGGTGAGTCCGATGTTGGGTGTGGCCGGGTTGGCCTGGGGACGAGATATGATTATTTCGACGGAAGCAAAAGGGTTGAGGAGCAAGCAAGAGAAACCTAGGCATCATATGTCAAATGCCTAGGGACGGGTTTTGACCCCTGGCATATTAGGGTTGCTAGGAAAGCTAGTTTCTGACTGTTTTTGAGGTTGCTAGTACACTTATAGTTAGTGAATTGATCCATCTAGCTGATGGAGCCCGACCACGCGAGAAGTCGCGACGATGAGTTCGGATGGATCCGTCTTTTTTTCTGTTCCTGCGGCTGTTTTCCCCTTTCTCTCTCTCACTGTCTCCACTCACGCCCGGAGATTCGGTTCCTAGCTTCCTTTAGTGGAGAGAGTGAGAGCTCGTCTGGGTCTTCTGGATTGATACATAAGGACCAATTTGAAAAAAATAAAAAAATAAAATAAAATAAAATAGGATAGGTTACTGCAAAGTACTTTGTATTCCGTACGCACCTATTGTCCGCGGCGATGGATGCTCACAGGGATAAAAGAAAGAGAGTTGGTTCTAGATACATCCAAGATGTATTGTGATGGATCAGAGTTTCATTTGTTGGATTTGTTGGCCTTTGATTGATACATAGCAAAAATCAGGCTCCGATCGACCCTAGCACTCCTGCAACACTACTGGGGATTAGCAGACGTTGGAGAACACAGAAAAAGGGGGCTTGGGTTCCTGTCCCCCGGGACCAGGAACGGGAGAGCCGCTCGGTGCTAAACAAAGAATTATGGAGCCCATAAGCTTAGGAGTCAACTGGAAAATACTGTACTGCCGTACAGTACTATGAAACCCCTAAGGGCGAGCAAAGAAGAAGGAAATTATTGAATTATTTTGAATTATTTTTATTATTATTAAAAAATTTTTTGGCTCTCCCTTTCGGTAATTTTGATTTATTGATTTTACGAATCGTCCCTTTTCTGTTCTACATTTATTAGTCCAATAGAATAATGCGAGAAATAGCCCTCCCATGTAAAAGATAAAAAATATCAGAAAAGAAAATAGATAAAAAAAAAAAAAAAAGGAAACAAGAGCAGATCATCCTGGTTGATTCACTCATAAGCCATCATCCTATATCTACGCAATCGTTTCCCTTCTTTCCCCCTTAGTGGAATCTCTCTTATTTACCATCTACACTGTCCTCTTCACAGAGTCGACATACCTAACCTCCATCCTCCCTCCTATCCCGTTACTCTTCTCCTCTCCATCGACGCAATCTCAACCTAAACCTGCGCGAAATCAAGAAAAAAACAAAGGAAAACGCCTCTTACCCCTACCACCCTGTCTTCCTCCCTTCTCCCTTGCGATACGTCTCGTTGATTTACACCCGGATCTACCGGACCACACTTCCGCGGCACTTCTCCTTTCCAGGGTCTCCCTTGCCGGCTGAACTTCATTTATCCCTTCTAAAGTTCTGCCCGTTGCGTTGGTTCAGATCGCGATTTTCATGACCTTCATGCTGCAGCCACCCTCGCGCTTATCATATTGAGAATTTCTGTTTTGATTTCCGCCTTTTTGGTTTTTTCGGCCTTTTTTTTTTTTTTTTTTTTTCGGGGGACTTTGTTCTTTGATTTGCGATTCGGCCTTGCTACAAACCAAATAAAAAGCAACAAGCGACGACCTGTCGAACTTTCCGCTGCTGCCAGCTTTTATTTCTCGTCGACTCCACGCCCTTTCCGATTTGTCGGGTCTGTGTCATCACATTCCTGCCCTACAATCTGCTGGTGTCCGCAGTATTTCCAGTGGCCATCTTTAAAAAGGACCCTCCTGCTCCGATCTTGACTGCATTTGCATCCACCGACCTGCGCCAGCCGTCGCCGTCTAGAACACCTGCCTTTTTTTTTTTCTTCAACTTTTCCGAACGCTTCGGGGGGTGGATTGGGAATTTCGTTTGCCTCTGTGGTAAATTCCCCTGGTCGAGAAACTACTATATAAGAATCGTTCGTGGTGGTGTGTACTTGGTAAGTTCTTCATCCTCATTCTTGAGAGAATCCCCTGCGCGTCGCAATCCAATTCCACGCCTCCGTTGCAACTTCGTCTCCACAACTATTCTCGTCTTCCTTACCAACAACTTATCTAACTATGATTGCCTCCGCAGATCTCAACATGATTCTCCGAGATTTGTCTGCTTTCAACATGGGTCGCGGCGCCTATGATACAACTGGCGTTAAGAAGCCTGGTGCGCCTCCACCACCGACGAAATAAACCAACCCTCTCTGTGATACCCTCGACTATCATTCTATACTTCTGCGCTGGCGGTCATCGCTTCTACAATTTCTTTTTTTTCTCTGGCGCATTCTCGGATGGCTGGAGTTTTTGACGCTTCAACGTTTGGCGTTTTATGTTTTCTTTCGGTCAGTCCGGTCCTTTTGCACACCTGCCTCATCTCGGGCACCAAAACTAACAGCTGGTGCAGACACCTGTAACATTATCTCTCACTCGGTCGAATTTTCTGGCATTTTTATTTTCGGTCATTATGCTTGTCTATTCGCCACTGGCCTTGAGCGACCCCATATACCCTTTTTAATTTCCTTTCTCTTTGCATCGGTTTTGGATTCTTCAGCGTCGACGCTTATTTTCGCCTTTTACTTCCTTGTCTTCGCATGTGCGCCTTTATACCTAATCTCGGATCCTCGACCTCACCTACTTTTCCGCCTCACCTCCACCTTCTCCTCCTTCCGCCAAATCCCAAGGGATTTCAACTACTTCCTCACATCTCACCTGGTCGAGCCCTCAAAAAGTGTCTTGTTTCTGTCTCTCCAATTTCCTTTGTTTCTGTGGTTCTTTGATTTGTTGTGATCACTTTGATCTCTCGGCGTTATGGCATAGACGGGACGGAACTTGTTGCATGGGATGCATGGGCTGATACCAGAAGAACCTAGACCTTCGACCTCGCGGTCAATAGCACGTTTTTGCTGATTCTATTTCTTGGACCTGTTTCTTGTACTTGGGTATTTGTATGATTATTTTCATGTTGATGTCTGTACCATAGTCTGCACACGGTTGGGAATGAAAAGAAAAAATGCATACCCCTCCTTCGCTTCCTATTTCCGCCTTCCACGGTCTAGACCGTACAGTAGCTAGTCCGATCTCCAAATAATCAGGACCGGTTCACGTAGGCCAACGGCTGTCGTGTCCCTCGGGTTTGGCACATCCACCGGGCGAGATGAGCAGAAGCGTCGGGCAGATTTGCTTAAGGATCAACACCGAGCCAGGTCCGAGCCAGGCACCGCCAGCCTGGTTCTTGATGCGGATCCCTGTCCATGCATCGGCAAATGGGTCCCGAGCGCGATGGTGGAATTCGCTGGCGCTAGACATCATCTCGCATATTGGTTGGGCACTAAGCTCCATCATGGTCAGGAACGAACTCCAGAATATATTTGTCGTACCTTACCCCACTATCTCATGAGACTTGAGGTTGGTCGTGCCTTTAAGCTAAGACTTCGCTAGTTCTCTCTCAAGTCAGGTTTGTGGCGCTTGGCTTGAATTTGTCATGTTCTCTACAGAGTAGTCATTCAGATATCTCCCTCATGCAGAAAACATATGCTAGAGGCGCAGACGCGCATGGCCTTGCTTGAGGACCATATTTCGACAAAATAGTGTGAGCAGCCAAGCAATTACATATTGACTGTAAGGTTGTCATACACCGCTGAAGGTAATTCCAGGGTAAATCATAAGAAGACCAGAAGATCTTTTTGAAGGAACGTGTTAAAGTCCCTCGGTCTTGATAAAGCAGTGGAAGCTCTTTATCGACATGTACGCTCTGCATGCCTTACCTCATATGCTGACATCTTGCGAGTTGATAAGATTCTGCGAGATTACTTCGAAGATGCCATTTGTGGTAATATTAATTGAATGGCACTGAAAGAGAAAGAAATCAAATTCGGAAAGTCTGCGGCGACTTCCCGAAGCCTGAACAACAAAACCTGGTGTATTACTTGAGACACTGATCCAAATAGTAATATATGTTTGTCCTTACCAGTATTCTAAGGATGGCTTGATCGAGAATAGTGACTTTACTGTAAAAAAAGTCCGTTCAGAATAATGCAAGTACACCGCCAATTCATGAGTATTAGTATATTAGCTGGGAACTGGATGCTATTTTAATCAGCTGATTATAAGTTACGCATCTATCTACATAGACCGGCTTAAGGAAGACGAAAGATCGTAATTAAGCTGACCTCCACATATATGGATGATATGTGGATGAGGCCGGGAGTAGCAATACCTTGGTAGGGTAAGTACACTTCAGAAAAGTATATACTGGATTGAATGTGCTCCAAGCCTCCACCCATCGGGTTCAGCCTCGGTGCCTCGAGAATGATGGGAGACGCACAGAGATAGCAATTCGTAGTACCGCTCGAGAAAGTCCGATCTTGTACAGGCTAACCTGGTAAAACACGCTGACATGACTGGCAGTAAAGTCAACATCGATCGACGTTTGATAAGGATTTTTGCGTCCGCCTCGGTATTACGTTAAGATATTGGTTGGCAGCTGAGTCAGGAGAGCTAATATCACTGGCTGAGGAGAAAACTTCTGTTCCCTTTGTGGATTTTGCATGTGGAATGAATCCTTCACAAAGTTAGCTTGTTGACACAACCACTTTCGGCCTGGATCTACGAATCGAGGTATCTGGCCAGGCAACAAGCTCTGCACCAAGGATCATGGTAAAAGACAAGCAGGGATGGCACTTGTCATACAAACTTTGACCTGGCCAGGATCATAGCCAGAGTGAAGTCCAAGTAAAGAACCTCAAGTGATTCTTCAATAAGATCTATAAGATAGACTGATGGCAGGTACCTTTGGCCTTTGTCAAGCCCCGTGACTGCTGAGGCCTCAGTTCACGCTAAGCCGTATTGGGACAACTGCCATCATCATCGACCTCCACTTCCAACACTCTCAGCTTCCCCCGTGGATTGCGACACCTTTCTTCCTCTCATCTCACTCACAAGAACAGCCACAGTAGTCGTGTTCCTGTTTCAACCTCAGATTTAGGGTCCCTACCCACACCGCCGCGCTTACAACCGAGCTTGCCAGCTCATCCGTCTGCCTGATCGCCCGATTACTTCAACAGGCGTCGCTCCCTGCACGACGGCCTAACCCGCGGTCTGCTTTAACATCATCATTACACATAATCCCACCGTCTCAGTCATGTCCGAGTCAGCGAGTGCGAATGCGCCGAAGCCAAGCAGCAGCGTCAAGCTAGTCCTGCTCGGCGAGGCCGCAGTTGGCAAGGTACGCTTGGTCTTATACCGTGTTACACTGGAACTAATGGCTGACCGCGAATTCTCCTTGCTTACAGTCATCGCTCGTCCTTCGGTTCGTCAACAATGATTTCCAAGAGAACAAGGAGCCAACGATCGGCGGTAAGAAGTTTCCCCCTCCTCCTAATGGAGGTCTAAGCCCCAAGACGACAGCGACTAGCCCCTGCTTGTCTACCATTCCATACGAACGGAAGGCTCGCTATGTCTGAAAATAGGATGATATCTTCGACGAGACACCAGCCCCCTGAATTTAACATCTGACATTGTTGATACTTTGTGCTAACGTCATCGTTTAGCCGCCTTCCTTACACAGAAATGCACTCTTCCCACGCGCACAATTAAGTTCGAGATCTGGGACACGGCCGGCCAGGAACGCTTCGCCTCACTTGCTCCAATGTACTACCGCAATGCCCAAGCCGCCCTTGTCGTCTACGATGTCACGAAGCCGTCATCGCTGACAAAAGCGAAGCACTGGGTCGCTGAGCTGCAGCGCCAGGCTAGCCCCGGAATTGTCATCGCCCTTGTCGGCAACAAGCTGGACTTGACCAACGATGGAGGCGATGATGCGGGAGCTTCGCCCGCCCCCCAGGCCGAGTCCGAATCGGGACAAGAAGGGAACGAGGGAGCTGCCGAGGACGCTGAGGAGCAACTTCCTGCTTCGGGCGACGCTCGGAAGGTGTCGACTCGGGAAGCGAGCACATACGCCGAAGAGGAGGGCCTGCTGTTCTTTGAGACCAGTGCGAAGATTGGAACCAACGTCGTGGAAGTCTTTACGGCTATTGCCAACGCCATTCCGGAGAGCAGCTTGAAGACTGGCCGTGGTGCTGGAGGTGCTGGTCAGACTGCGCTGGGAAGCCGGCCAGGCGAGGATTCGCGGGTGAACCTGGGAGACCGGAATGCTGCGACGGCCAAGGAGGGCTGCGCTTGTTAAGCCGCGAGCTATCCCGCGAGCAATCGTGGTTCTTTCGAAGTTTTTTCCTTGCAGTTTTCATTGGTCCAGGCGTCTCTTTTCTTTGCGCACCTTGTCTTGTATTGCTCGTGCGGCAATACATCCTTACTATCTGCCCTTGTGCTTATATACCTCGCCCTATCCGCGTCTCTAGTCTTCGCAATGTTAGAATTGTAAATTGTCCGCTTCATTAACTTTCAGATTTTGTATGAAGACCCCCGCAGCCAATTAGAGCCAGCCGGAGGCCCGCCTGGGTCACGGGACCATGGAATCACGGGACCACAGAACCCCCCGAAAAGAAGCCAAAACGAGCATGACCCACTAAACCTAATTGGGCACTAGCGCGCTCTAAGCGAAGCCGGCGATCCCACAGCAAATTCACCAACTCTTCGGACTGTGAGAACCACTCCCCTCCGCCGACCTCAACCCAGCACCTTCGCAGCACTCCGTCGCTCGCAATCATGGCTGCCATCAACAAGATTGCCACCAACTCGCCCTCCCGGCAGAACCCCTCCGAGCTGGAGACCGCGATTGCCGGTGCTCTGTTCGACCTCGAGAGCAACACTCAGGACCTGAAGGCCTCCCTTCGCCCCCTGCAGTTCGTCTCTGCCCGTGAGGTAAGAATTGAACATTCTGCCGACAATCAGAACTTCCAGAAATCGCGCCGAAGGAATTCTACTATGCGGTGATCTGTTATCGGTGCAAGAGATGGAATTTTGTGGTCATTTGTGGACATTATCAAATCACGACATTGAATGCCACACAACTCGATTCGGTGGAAATTGATATTGAAAAATATGGATACGATCACCAGCAAAGAGATTCCTCGACGTCGACTTCGGAGCGCAATGATTTTTTGCAATTTGTGTGCGCGCACTTTTTCTTGGCCGAACCGAAATTCTAACATGTACTTTCGCTATCAGGTCGAGGTCGGCCACGGCAAGAAGGCCATCGTTGTCTTCGTCCCCGTTCCCCTCCTGCAGAACTTCCACAAGATCCAGCAGCGGTAAGATGGATATCCCCGAGCATCGACAATTCTCTTCCCCGCGATTCGAAGTACAGTGGGGCTAACATGTACATTTCTTTTCTTCTCAACAGCCTGACCCGCGAGTTGGAGAAGAAGTTCTCTGACCGCCACGTCCTCTTCGTTGCTCAGCGCCGCATTCTGTCCCGCCCCAAGCGCTCCGTCAACTCCCGCACCAACCAGAACCAGAAGCGCCCCCGTTCCCGCACTCTGACCGCTGTCCACGAGAACATCCTCGCTGACCTTGTCTACCCCGTTGAGATCGTCGGCAAGCGCACTCGCACCAAGGAGGACGGCTCCAAGACCCTCAAGGTCGTTCTGGACGAGAAGGAGAAGGGTGGTGTTGACCACCGCCTCGATGCCTACGGCGAGGTCTACCGTCGGTTGACCGGCCGTTCCGTTGTGTTCGAGTTCCCCCAGAGCGGTGCTGAGTTCTAAGCACGTGTTGTGGATGGAGCGGGTCGAAAAAGGAGGAGATAACGGTGTATTTTGGGAATTTGCTTGTTTCTAGGTCTGAAACTCACTAGATTCAAGGAGAGCATGATGGGTGAAAGACCAAAAAATGCATTCACGGGTTTTCTTTGAGTTATGTTGCCTCCCCCATTGACTGGTGCATGGTTCTTTTTCTTAGTCCTCCGGCTCTCAATTCTCTGCGCGAGGCGACGGAGCTGAATATCCCATTCGGGCCGTGTTTCTCTCTTAATGAAGATGGGATGGGATATGTGATAACATTCCAATGGATTATTTCCGACTTTTCAACCAAAGCGCGCCGTAGTCTGGAACCCCATGGTGCCTGCTCTTAGTTTGTACATTTGAAGTAGGTGTACATACGGCGACTATAAAGTACCCAAGAGAAGTAGGACATTAGTACAAGTCCAATTGTACAAGAATGATAATCGATGTACGTGCAACACTATAGAAGAGCACTTTGGGGTATGGACAAGAAAAACTATGAACAAGACTAACACGCCTTGCCACCATCTACAAAGAGGCCTGGATCCTTCCAACGCCCAGAACCATCCAGTAAGCCAGCTCTCGAGCCACCAGATCATCTGGTTTCGACGCCTTCCCAACGTTCTGCTGTTCAAGCTGTGCCTCCGCATCCCATTCCATATGCACAAACACCGGGATCTCTAGTACATCCTCATCCTTCTGGAACGAAGCCACGATGTCACTGTCAATTGCCTGGCCGCCTTCTGCCTGCGTGCCCGGCAATGTTCCTGGAACCACTTCCAACACGACTGTAGTCCAATTTCGGCCCTTTTCCCAGACCTTCCCGGCCTCGGGAACTTTCTCGCCGCCACGCATACCTATAATCCGATCACTGAGCGGTGCAGTCGCATTCTGCAATGCCTCATCCCATACGTCGCTGTTGGCGCCGATTTCGAACTGCGGACAAAGCACAGTAACCTTAGTTGCCACCACGCCCGGGGTCACGGAGGGCGTAGCAAGTGTGATGCGAACGGGGTCAAACATGTGGTTTTTCAGAGTAAGAAGGACATGGTAAGGCCGAAGGGGAGATAGGGCATTCAGATCTGGAGCTGGGGCCGAGCCTGTAATCGAAGATGTTGAAGGCTGGGCAAGAGGACGTAGAGTCGGCAGCGGGATATAGCTCAACGCAATGAGGCGAATGCGGAAACGCGTGGACTGAGGCTTAGTCTCGGGTTTCACTAGAATGTGCTTGCATGACTTGCAGCGCTTCGCGCGTTTCGTGCGCAGGAGGACTGGAAGCGGCAGGAGCTCGTCCACAAATCGTACGTCAGGCGATTGCTCTATACGTTGGCCGAGAGATGCGACGCCATCCCAGCCGCAATCCGAGGAAGCGATACGCTGAATAAGTCCCGAATCAGTGTCCTCAGAGGCAATACGGAGGCCCTCACTGGCAGTGAGAGCCTCACGCATGACCGGGGGCTTGGATTTGGGTTTCTTGTTGCCGCCATACAATCCGCTCAGCCGTGAAGAAGATGCATAGAGGGACATCAGTCGGTTCAATGCTCCAGGCGATGAGAATCCAAATTCTGAGCTGAGAGGATCGCTTGGAGAATTGGAAGTCTCTGATATTTGTGTACGATAGAAAGATTTCAAGGCAGCAAACCGGGCTTCTGCGCCGAGGTGAGGTGTAGGTATCGGGGTTTCCTTGGAAGCAGGCTGCTCTCCATCGCGTTCGCCAGAATTGGATTGTTCATCAATAGATGCAAAGTTAGACAAGGGTGACTTCAAATCGCCGAAGGCGCGCGATCCCTGTCGCGACCGGCCGTCAAACGTAGGCGTGGTTGTTGAATCGGTCATCTTCTGCAACTGGCTGCGGATGTTGGTGGGCTTGTCGAACTTGATACCAATATCGAGTGTTGTCCATAGGCAATAGCCACACGACAGAACCCAAGGACCTTGACCACTACCGTTTCCGGTGACGTTCTCAATGGTACTCACAGCCAGCGGTGCTGTACAGACGGGGCAATTGAAGCAATTTCGCCCACACCTGGCAGTTGCAAGTGTTAGCGAAATAAAAAAAAATCGAGTTGAAACTCCTTTAGGTAACATACCGACCACCGTCACTACGCACCATGCTGCTTGGTGTCTCAAACAGGCAATTGGGACAGTACCAGCTCACAATCTCCTCCGTTATGCATCGTGGACACTTGATCTCGTGGCAATCCTCGCAGTATAAAAGTTGTTCAGGTGGGTATAAGGAGAAATTAGACCGAGGAGATCGCGGATCGAATGTCTGTTCTTCCTCTTCCTCTTCAGCCTCCTCGTTTGGTAGGTTTGTCTTGTCCTGATCTTCCTTGGTCTCAGCATCCCGCTCTGGGGTGGATTTCTGCGGCGTTTCTCGAGACCTTCGCTTCTTGGACGGGTCAGGGACCGGCGTGTCTACACAGGGACAGGATATATAGGTGTATGGAAAGGGTCGGGACATTTTGAAGGTGAAGGTGGGAGAGATTTCGTAGTACCGGTGCGAGAAAGAAAGGAGGTCGTAACGCTCGGTCAATTCATGCTTCGTGTCGACCGGAGGAATTTTGTACTACGAAGAAGGGCCTGGGAAGATGTTGATGTAGCGCGGCAGTAAAACAAATTGGAGGCTTATCTGGTTCAACTGTCAGTCATTGTACTTGCAGCACGAGCTCCAGTTCGCAGTTGAGTTGGGCGCAACTCGGGGGAGGGGGAGCGCGTTGATGTAAAAGAACTGACTAAGGAACAAATGAAAGAGAATCAATGCTTGTCGCAACCCTGTGAGTTTTGACAACCCGGAATCCAGCTTCTCAAGGGCTCGAAATAAACGGGTCGACAGAAGTGCAGTCGCTGGCGCAGCGTGGAAGTGTGCGCGATCGCGGAGAGGGAGCTGCGGAGGTCCCGCAATCAACAATCGACGTCAGAACAAAATTTTAGGACTCGACACCTCCTGCGCCTGCAACCCGACCACTTTGCAAAATGGTCTAGAACGCCAAACTCACTTCCACTCCCGAGAAAGCTTTTAACTCGAATCAAGCTATCATGATCTCCCTTCACACATTTCGCGGTACATTTTCCCGGAGATGCGTCGCTGCAACCTCCGGCGTCAGAACCTACGCTAGCCAGACGCCTGGCAATCCCATGATAGAGATCTTCAACCGCAAAACGAAGCATCTACAGAAGGACCGCGCAGCTCGGAATGTCGAGGAGAGCCGGAAAACAGATTACCTGAAAGATGAAGTGGCGCTGCGCTTATGCGAACGGTTGCTAGTAAGGAATTCCTCGAAATCAGGGCCTTGTGATCAAACGACGCCGGAGACAATTGCTGATGCGGACATGTTCTTGGATTATTAGGATATCAAGCGCGACTTCCCTAATGTGCTGGATCTGGGTGCGAATAGCTGCAACATCGCGCGGGCATTAACAACCCCGAACCTCGACATCGCAGCGCCCGAGGGCACTGCAACACCAGCATTGGCAGAGCGGATAGCGAAATTGACATGCGTGGACACATCACATGCGCTGCTGCACCGAGATGACGAGCTCCCTTTTAATAAAGAGATCAACATTCATCGTGATGTGATCCCTGACCTGGAGACACTGCCCTACCAGCCGAACACATTCGATGCGGTCCTCTCGTCACTATCCATGCACTGGATTAATGACCTACCTGCATTGCTGGAGCAGGTCAACACTATCCTCAAACCAGACAGCCCCTTCATTGCAGCAATGTTCGGCGGTGATACTCTCTTCGAACTGCGGGGATCACTGCAGCTTGCTGATTTGGAGCGCCGCGGCGGTGTCACTCCCCATGTATCGCCGCTGGTTGACGTGCGAGACGTCGGAAATCTACTGAATCGCGCAGGGTTCAAGATGCTCACTGTGGATGTCGAGGACATTGTGGTAGAGTTTCCGGACTCATTTGCGCTTATGCAGGACTTACAAGCCATGGGTGAGAGCAATGCCATCATGCACCGTGAGGCTGGACCCTTGTCACGGGATGTCTTGCTGGCCAATGAAGCCATCTACAGGGCAATGTACATGGAAGATGACGCTCCAGGTATCCCAGCAACGTTCCGGATGATCTACATGATCGGATGGAAGGATGGCGGCAACCAGCCGCAGCCGCTCCAACGCGGTAGTGGTGAGCTCAACCTCAAGGATATTCTAGGTGGTGGTGATTTCCAAAAGCCGTGAGGGTAATACAGCCCAGCGAAGGAATGAAACAATAGGAGGGTTCAACATAATGTCATAGTATATCGATTGTAAAACAACCACGCTGAAAGCAAGACACAGAGGAAGATTGTCCACAAAGGAAAAGTATGAAATACAATCAAACCTCTACCAAGACAACAAATAAAGGAGAATCCACCCTTCTGCTTCTGCTTAAACCGTCCGGCGGTCCGTCATGACGCGGACAATAGACCCAGTGCCTGTCAACTCCACCAACTTCTCGTGCCAGTTCAGCAGCACGCTCATCTGCTGGCTACTACCACCCTCACCGAGGTTCCGGGCCTGGATCTGAGAGAAACCGGTGGCTTGAGGGGAGACGGTCTTGCGAGGAGACTGGGCTCCACTGCTAGGGCTTGGCGAGGACATTCCCTTGTAACTGGTTTATGTTAGTACAGATTCGGGTTACCAGCATGCAAATGCTCCAAGCAGTACACTTACATGTACTTCATCAAACAGTCCGCTCGCTCCGACCCGCCTTCACCACCAGTCACACCCTCCAAAACACGACTCATCTCAGCCTGCCGAATACCCTGCAGTACCTCGATCACTGTAGCAAGATGCACCTCCTTAGCACGGTCGTCGCCGCCCAGCGGCGCAGTGTCCAGAACGTGGCGCAGCGCGCCCTCGGCATCACCACTGCGCAACAGTTGGCGAACTTGTGAAGCAACGTTGGCAGCATCACTAGAGGTTTCGGGCTGAGGCAGCGTGGCAGGGAGGAGAGTTTCCATGGGAAAGTTGACCGATGACTCGGGGTCGAGCTGGTCGACGTTGATGGTGCGGTAGTTGATTTGCGACATGATGGCGGTTGCGCTGTAGCTTTTGGAGGTAAAGCGTAAGAGTACCGGGAGTGATGTGATCGGTGATACAAGAGACCGCAATGAATCGAAAATTCCTAGACGTAGAGTTCGCCGATAGGTGCTGTCGTGACCTGCTGGTATGGCGGTGCGAAACCGGGGGCGGGGAGATCGGACGTATGGGAAAGTCCCCAGAGGCAAAAGGAGACGAACGATGCGGGAGGTAAGAAGGCGAGAGCAGTGTTGACTACTTGGAATTGACCGAATACTGCAGATTGCAAAGCTGTAGTGCCAATTGCCTTGACGAGTCAATAAAGAGGGGATGGATGGAGCTGCTGAGCACCGCCGCTGTGGGGGTGACGGAGTTTGAGTGCCTCAGGCAGAAACTGCTATCCCGCTGCCTGGTCCCAACAAGAGCAAGTATACCCTCGACCACAGTTTACAAGATAGGCTGTTAGGTGTTTCATTAGGGGTCATTCAAGAGTTTATAGGCTTTTATCCATGGAAATGTGATTGGAGAGTCTTATGTATGCCCGTGGTCCTGATTTTTGCTCCTACGTATGTAGAACAATAAATTTACACTGACTAGGTCAGTAACCATTTTTATCGACACCCTTTTCCTCATAGACTTGTAACAGTAAGTTAGAAGTTACATTCCCTACAAGCAAAGGATTAGCGTCCAAATATGCGAGAGTAAAGCCTAACAGGTTTACCAGCTTGGACGTGCACTGATGTACGCGCTCAGAATAGGACCAAACACCAATCCCATATTGGCAACCATGGCCCACGGAAAGATAAGTCAAACGCGGTCCTTTGAGTTGAACATGTCTGCAATACTCACTGCCATCTCAAACTATTTAATGTGGCTTAGCTCCCTTAGTATGTAAAGCCCATAATCCTTCTATTTGCCACTCTGTTTATAAACCCCTGCCATTCACATTTACTTGTAATTAATATATCGCAATTTCAACTCGGTCCTTCTGAGGATGCGAATCCTCACCACGCTATTTATCGTTGCCTTTATCTCACTGGGCTTTACTCAAGACTAGCCACCTGCACCAAGCTGAAGAACGCGGCGGTTGATCCTTCAACATTTGGTTGGTACTAGCTGTAAGTTGTATTCTACGCCTCCTTTCTTGTTTTGTGACTCAGTGGTTATCGTTATAATTCATATATTTTTCAAATTCAGGCATGGAATCCGGCGGTGACAATGACTTTTCTGCCAACATTGTGCTCTGTTGTGATGATGCTACACCCCCTGGTGTAAGTTTTATTTTAGCCTTTCCATTCTACCTCCTTGTGGACCATGATTTGGCCATACTATTTCTATTAATGATGTCTTACTGCAACCACTATCAATTAACTATCCAATAGTTGGTTAATGACGGGTACTATGTGAACTGTGCAGCTCCGACATCTTCATGAACTTGGGAGACGGATCTCACCATTTGGTGATTGGGCCTGTTGATTTGGTTCTTCCAGCTCGTACTAGATGCTACTTTCTTGAGCCAAATTGATTTCGGAGCATGTGTGGCTGGTATTGGGATCTGCCTACTATAAGCATACAATATCTGCTTACGTTCTGAAATCACAACTCTATTTACTTCTATCTCATATATCGCTCTTTGCTATGATGTATTGACTGCTCCTATGCCAGTTTCTTTGCCTTGGAATAAACCAAGTGAGAGATCGGTGCTTTCAGCCATGGAAACTCATGTAAGGTACTGCCCCTCCGCTAACCCCCGTGACATTTACCATGAAAGTCCAACGCCATATACGTCCCGGGTTCTTGCTCCAATTCAGCTTCTTTGGGCTCCTAACTCACCCAAGGGCCTGGTATTGAGGATCTTCAGCAGGAAGTACAGCCTCAGCCTAGATGTAGCACAAATAATTGGCGCAGAGATTTCTGCGAGAAATGAGTTGATAGACTCGACCGTGTTCTCATATTATGTATAGTATCAATTGAACAACTTATCCAGCAAGCCATTCTTTTCTCCTTGATTATCTGCCAAGTAAAGAGCCTCATAAGTGTCAATTTCTTCTTTCAGGCCACCGAGAGATATGTCCGCAGTTCCTGGCCAAACGTATTTTGTCCTAGCGAGCAGCTTCCAGCCAAGTAATGCAATGATGAAAAAGCCTATCATTCCATAGTCCAGGAAGAACCACATCACGTCCCACCCACCCGTTAAAAACAAATCATAACCACCTGCTAGGAGCATGAAGAGTGTGCCACTCATAGCGAAGTAGGAGGTGTAAGGCTGAAAACGCCCTTTATAAGGAAGGCTGTCTCTTGAGATTCCCTGTTTCTTGAGACTTGAGTAAAAGTGGCGGTATGTTACTGCCGTAAAGCCGTAATTTAGCAGTTGGCAACATGTGACAAGGTCGACAAGATATGTCATAACTACTGCCGAGGAGGCGTTGACTTGGAGGAAGGCGAGAAGACAAAATGAGAGAGATACAGCAAGAGCCCAGATTGGGATACCAGCCTTGGTGCACTGCGACAGGAATCGAGGTGCATGACCTTCAATTGACATCCCGTGCAATGTACGGGTCGCGGCGAAGAGCAGACCGTTACCGGCGCTAAATATGGATGTCATGATAAGTGCATTCACAAGGTGAGAGAGGCCATGAATCTTGAGCCGCTCCATTGCAATAACATAGGGTCTAGTCCGTAAGTCAAGGTAGGCTTCGCAACAGGGGGCTCTGAGAGGCCAAAACTTACGATGCAGCACCTGTTCCCGAGCCAGATATGTCACCTCCAAGAATTGCAAGAAGGGTGGTGTCGTTATACGGAATGACAATGCCCATACAAAGAGCGGATCCAACGAAGAACAGAAGGATACGCCAGACAAATGATCGAAAAGCAGGTGGTAGAACTTTTCGTGGAGCCTCGGCCTCGGCAGCTACCATCGAAATGTACTCTGGTCCACAAATTCTGGGAAATCAGCATTTGATCGTCCGGAAAGGAGAGCTAGGAACTCACGAGAAGCTAGCTTGATAGACACATGATAATACTCCAAGGAATCTCCCTGTGTTTCCAGTAGAAAGATGTTCGACAAATGCTCCAGGATCATTCCAATATCTGAAGCCGTAGCGGTCATGCAAAGGGTTTCCTCCCACCATTGTGATGAACGTGAAGAAAAATAGCCCAATCATCAGAATTACCTTGAAAATTGAAAGATAGAACTCTGCGACTCCAAAGTACCGCACGCTGATCATGTTGAGGAGCGCATATAGTACAATCATTGCGACGATAATGGCCTCAACTGGCACCTTGTCCGTCCAAAAGGTGATCATGATGTTCATGGCCACAATCTCGAACGGGACCAGGAATGCCATATTTAGGAAGAAATTCCATGCCATAGCAAATCCCAGTGCCCCATCGACCCACTCGCCACCGAATCGAATGAAAGGGGATGGTACGGGAAGATAGGTCACCATCTCAGCAAAGCACTCGTTCACGGCCCACATCACGGTACCCCATACAATAAAAGCGATGAAAAGACCCGCAGGTCCGCCCTTGGGAAGTGCAGCTCCCATCTGCACATAGAGAGCTGATTGAAGTGTTAGACAACGCTGTGGCAAACCGTATGCACACCTCTAGGCTCGGTTTGCAGTGGTAAGGTGTTCAACTCACATGTACCGATTGCACCGCCGATCGCAAATAGCTGCACCTCTTTACCTCTCAGTTTACGATGCAAGGCCTGAGGCCCAGCATGCCCATGAGCTAAGTTGCCGACTCCAACATCGCTTGTGTCAGAGGGAGGATGGCTATTTGCAGAGGGGAAGCAGGATTGTTTCTCGGGGTCTTTTGTGGTCAACATGTTTTGTTAGTTGATAGATTTTGAAAAGTATCCCACCAACTGTAAGTTTTTTAAAAGAAAAGAAAGCTGTAAATGAGGGAAGAGAGATCCCCCGTCGGTTGATGCAGGGATTAAAGTGCTTTTCTATCCATCTTCCAAGAATCCCCGACGCTGATTCTTGTCTACGAGGCTTTCTTATCAAGCGAATAGGAGTAATTTAGGGTTTAATTTTGTTCAATGACACCCCTCAAAGAGACCTCGAGACCAGTTACCATGCTCTAAGAGATGTTAGTAACTTTCTGTCAAGCTTGGACACTCATTCAGTCAATAAGATGGAGCGAGAGAGTCTGTCCAAACAGATAAGGACAGTTTATCATGTCATCGGAGAGCCCGATAGTGGTTATTTATCTAAAGTCATGGGCTTATCATAAACCATCGGAGGATCGGCTCACCCGACACGTGCAATCCCTGCAAGGCTCCTGCGCGGCTATCATTGCGATTTTGCGGGGTGCAGCAATCGCGCATTAAAGAGTATTAAAACAAAGATATTTATTAATATCAAAAATATGAATTTATGAGTTCATTGTAGTCCTTCGTGACAGAGAAGTGAAGTACCTATAGCCTTGGGGAAGGGCTAGTTGGTGTTCAGTTTACCGTGTGTTCATTCAGAAGTATTTCTTTAGATGCTAGCAGAGACCACACATATCATCTTCTTGAAGCCATGTCTATGGCATAAGAGATTTCCTATTTAAGAAAATAGGGCGAAACAGGAAAGGTGAGGACTTTAGGTGAGTAGTATCGGCCTACGTAGCCATCTCCAATTTTTATGTCAAGGTCGTAGTTCGAGAATTCAAACAAGAGTTGCCTGCAGATATACTCAATCGGTCCAAAGAATCAAAATCCACTGCATTCGCTCCTAAAACTTGAAGTCGCCTTTGCAAATATGTTCCTCGTACTGCAGATGGGGCTGAAACTCGGCAAAAAGGGTCTCCTGCTTGTATATTAGTAATATGTCTTTTTTGAAGATGAATATCAAGCTCGATCGTACCGGAGTGCTTGCCATCTTGAAGTTGTAAGCGGCCTCCTCATCGCTCACGATTTGCTTCTTAAGTTCTGTCCGATCGGCCAACAATTGGACTTTGCAGCTCCTTTCCATCAGGCAGAATAGGAATGCTGCTTCATCAACAGTTTCCCCTACAGTGAGCAGGCCATGATTCATCAATATCACAGCCTTTCCATCGCCCAAACTTTCTGCGATTCGCTGCCCCTCGGATGCCTCGTTGGCAATACCTCCGTAGTTGGAATACACAGAGTGGGCTTTGTAAAAATAACACACGTCCTGATTGATCATTTCCAGGGGCTTTGCAAATGCCGACCAAGCTCGTCCGTGTACCGAGTGCGTGTGGCATATAGCATGCACGTCTTTACGTGATCTATGTACTGCGCTGTGGATCTGAAATCCAGCTGCATTGATCGAGCCAGCCGTATTTCCACCCACCACGTCACCATCGATAGTCACACAAATCATATCGCTTGCCTTTAACATTCCAAAGTGTACACCGAGTGGATTAATCCAAAATCGATCTTCGAACTCGGGATCTCGCACACTGATATGTCCTGAAATTCCTTCTGCGTACCCCTCGCGGGCAAAGACTCGGAAGGCACCTGCCATGTGTTGTAGCTGCCATTTGCGCTTCTCGGTATGGGAATCAATTCTGGGGATACCAGGAAGGGCCTTGCCTCTGTGGGCCATGGCAGCCATAGCATCAACATCTTTGACTTTGGCTGGCAGAATTGTGGCTTGAGAATCCTGGTAAGCGGTTGCTGTAGGAGACATCGCGGCAAGAAGTCGCTCTGTCAAGATATAGTTTCAGAGAGAGGGAAAGAATAGAGTAACCGAGAATCAAGGCCTGTGTGATGACCGCAGTCATAATATCACTCTCATAACTATATACGTGGCCAAGAATCCACATGAAGCGTTATAAATCTTAACACAGCACTGAAGTCCTTCATGCAATTCCATTTCGTAATCGTCTAGTTCTGGCCGGCTCGTCCGAAGTCGGGAGTCCCGATCACAACCCCGCACGGGGGCATCCGCCTGCGTGCGGAGGAAGAGATAAGAAGTTCACCACCGACGCAAACTCTAAGACACTGGATTCGGATCTGCCGATGTTACCAAGTTTGAATAGACAGAGGCGAGACTTGAACAGTGATATTGCAAACGAACTGGCCTGGAGGCGACCTGGCAGCTGGCCTTCTTGAGACATTGCCCAGTACTAGAGCCTCATTTTGATTGGCTCAGACGAAGCTCACAACACCATGGCTGACAGTCTCACAAACAGAGGTAAGTCAAATTTGCCCGTCTGAATGGCCTTACAATCCTGACCTGGCATCCGTAGGCACTGCTCTGTTGTCAAACAACATAGTGGTCATCGCTGGGGCAACGTTCCTAGCATATATTCTGTATCACTTCATCTACCAACCTCTGTACACGAGCCCTCTCGGACAGATTCCAGGCTCGAAGCTGTTCTCAACAACAAAATGGCGGCTTGCACTTGCTGATTACCAAGGAATCCGGACGCAAACCATCCACTCATTGCATAGACAATACGGTACAGTTGTGCGCATCGGTCCCAATGAAGTATCCTTCTCTTCTCTAAGCGCATTGAAAACGATCTATGGAGCCGGATCTGGCTTTGAAAGAACAGTGTTCTATCGGATGTTCGATGCTTATGGACGCCAGAACCTCTTTACCTTCGCTGGAACCAAACAGCATGCCGAGAGAAAGAAACTACTTGCCCATGCCTACTCAAAGAGTGTGATACTTTCACCCAACGCGATAGCAAGACCCTTGATAGAGAAGAATGTCAGTAGCTACCTGGAGCTTCTGGAACGCGAGAAAGATGTGGCCGAGGAGATATTCCAAAGTCTACATTGGTTTAGCCTGGACAGCATCACCGGGTTCCTCTACGGCGACAACTATGGCGGAACACATGCAGTCGCGGGGAATAGAGAACATAGGCAACTTATTGGCGATATTATTGATCCCAGCAGACGAAAGTTGAGCTGGTATGCTACACATCTGAAGAGGTACACAAAGTGGCTTTATACCCGAACCGGAATGATGGAGAAACTTGTCACCAGCATGGGATTATTGCCGATGGAAAAGCCGGCCACGTACACTGGCATTCGAGCACACGCGCTCCAGTCATGGACCGCTTTCGAGGCCGCCGCCGTTGAAAGTCCCCCATCTCAAGAATATGCCATTATCGAAAAGCTTTGGAAACAGAACAAATCAGGTAAAGGGACACGTCTTGATGGGCTTGACATGGCTTCGGAGTTGGCGGATCATTTCCTTGCTGGCATAGACACCACTAGCGACACGCTGATGTTCACGATTTGGGCCCTTTCTCGAGAAGAAAATCGAGCATACCAAGATAAATTGATTGACGAGGTCGACAAAATTCTCGACATTGACTGCAATGACGACGGCAACCCGACTGCAGAAGCCGTGGACAAACTTCCATACCTTGATGCCGTCATCAAGGAGACCCTTAGACTCTATGCACCTCTGCCAGCTTCGGAGCCGCGGTCGCTCCCTATTGACGCAGCGATTGACGGATATTTAATTCCTGCAGGAACAGTTGTGAGCATGTCGCCATATACACTCCACCGAAACCCAGAAGTGTTTCCAGAGCCTCTGAAGTTCAAGCCTGAACGGTGGATAGGCGAGTGTGGTGATTTGGCCGAGATGAAGAAATGGTTCTGGGCATTTTCAAGTGGAGGTCGTATGTGCATTGGACTTCAGTGAGTTTTGAATCCAACCAAAATTCTCTCGTTGTTTATCTAATGGGGAGAATTAGTCTTGCGATGGCGGAAATGACGACCTTGCTTGCAGCGATCTATAGGCGTTATTCCACAAGTGAGTATAAGCGGCAAAGAGGAACAGGACCTGTCATCACAAGCCGATTTGAAGTATTCTACGATGAGACTCTTCCAAAAGCAGAGGTGAGTATAGCCACCGTCTCCACCATGGATACACTATTTTGAGAACTGATTCATTTTACATTATGCCAGGAACACGAATGTTTTATCAACTTTGAGAAAAGGCATAGCACGAAAACGACATAGTGGGATGGACTGATGCTGCTTGTGAACATATCAATATTCTTCGACTGTGTTCAGTCCTTTTCACACCAGCGTTGGGTGATATCGAATTTTTGTATGCCACTCTCCGTGCGGGAACAGAGGTTTCTATTCATGAGGTAGTCACTAGTACCTTGCTCGGGTGTCTTATCTATATAATTCTAGTACCAGACCCTCTTGCATGCCACCTTAATAGACACAAGCTAGGAAAAAGAATCTATCCAAATTCACGCCACCCGATTGATCATTTCCCCATTGCACCACCCCTCAACCGTTGCCTTAACCCCGGCTTGAAGATTGCCCAAAGTCCTCTCCGCAAACCAAGCAAGATGTGGACTCAACACCAGGTTCAACCCATCTGCCTCCAGCAAAGGCGACCCGCCCCTACCTACGGGCTCATTCGCATAAACATCCATCCCTGCCCCAAAGATCTGACTCTCCCTCAACGCTCTAACTAGCGCATCCTCATCCACTATCCCGCCACGGGCAACGTTGATCAGCACAGCCTGGCACGGCATCATCCGCAGTTCCTCGGTTGAAATCATATTCACTGTCTCGGGCGTCCTTGGCAGACAAAGGATTAGCACGGTCGATCGTCGAAGGGCCTCTTCGAAGGAAACCCGATCCGCTCGTGGACTTTGGCCCCGTCGCTCGGCTATAATAACTTTCATCCCCAGAGCCATCGCTAATGTCTGGATTCGTTGGCCAAGCGCCCCATACCCGATGATCCCGACCGTCTCTTCACTGCATAGCAAGGGGGCATTGCCATCCGCAGTTCGCAGTCGTGGATGTAGAGATCCCTTAGATTTCCATTCCGTCTCGCCCTCTTCTGGTACAGTCGTCACGGCATTGGTTAATTGAGCCAAATTTCTCCGCGTCGCAAAATACAAGCCGATCGCGTGCTCGCTGACGCTGTCGATGTTCGTACTGGGACAATTGCATACTGGAATTCCGCGGGCTTTAGCGGCCTCTTTGTCGACACAATCTGTTCCGGATGCTAGGACCACGATCAAGCGGAGATTTGGAGTGTTTTCAATGCTTAGAGTCTCGGCAGACAGCCGGAGTGTAGTCGTTATCACTATTGTGGCATCTTTGACCCGTGCGTTAAGTTCTGAGGGTGTGGTCCAGAGGTGGATAGATTTGGTGTGCGGGCCTGGAAGGTCGAAATCGGGTATTGGACAGTGAATTGCTTCGAGGACCACGATGTGGTGCTTTGTTTGTTCTGTTGACATTGTACTGTATATGGTTGGGTGATGGATGAAAGGGATGGAGGGGCAAAGATGAACGAGAGGGGGAGAATTGGAGGCAAGGCTTGATTTGGATACTGATGCACTTTCTAAAGATCGTAATTTGCCCCGTTCTTAACCGAGGTGATTCATAATGGGATCCACTTCAGAGTGTTGAAGTACGATTCTCGAGGATAAGCGTCAGTTTCATCCTTCGGTGAGAGTCCTATCTACTCGCATACGTGCCGAGGTGGCCGAGCGGGTGGATTATTCCTCGCCGAAACTCCTGCGAAACATCTAGGGTCAACTTAAATGTGAATCAATATTTTCCTTCAATTGAATTTGAATACGCTTCATCGTATAATTGCTCATCCCAGTTCCACGTACCCCTCGAGGAGTGTCTGCTTATCTTCACAGACCCCCACTTGCCAAATCCTTGCCTATCTGACTGTAAATGTCACCGAAAGGGCGTGCGGGGTATATTATGCAAGGAGTAAAAACGTCGAGGCTTCTATATACACCACAATTAACAGTTGGAGTGGGAGGCCTTGTTTTGACCTGTTCCCTCTGGAGATCTATGAAATTCCAAATCCCATTTACAAATACAAAAGTCAAGATTGTTTCTTCGCGCCTTATGGTACGAAGAATCACATATCCCCCGACTCATTCACCAGAAGCGGGGTGTATCTTCTCCGTAGAGCCTATAACGCTTATCTGCCATGTTTCCAATTCGCCAATATCTTTCCTTTTCAAATCTAACATGATTCACATGTGGGCTCCCCACAAATTCTTTTGTCGTCACATATCTCGATGCATGCTCGATCCCACAGGCTGACATGTTTGCAATCGCAATATTGGCATGCTGAATCACTTGATCCACGGGGATCATATCATCCATAGGACCGTATATATAGGTCCTCGGAATCGGGTATGCAGCAATTTGACCTTCAGTAGAAACCCTCCGCTCAAGGAACGCATCATTTGTGCTGTTCAGCCGGGTGTAGAGCTTCGTAGCTACATGGGTCGTAAGACCTGTTTTCTCAAAGGCGATCGATAATCCAATAATACCATAGGCCACGACTCTTACCATCGAGGTAATCAGTATATTCTTAGAGGGTGAGCCCAACGCAAGCGCGTTGGCCATTGGCCCGAAGATGGGCATGCTGGGGCAGGAGTCGAAAATGATCGATGTCACTGGCAGCGTGAATGGCGGATAATTGTTTCTGCAGGCCTCGGCCAACTGGACAGCAGAATGTGAGCCAGTATTGGAAAATAGATGAAGGAGAACTCGCAGGTCGGGCGTTGAGTCGATGCATTCCCGCAGCATGTTGGCGGCAGGCTGAAACCATTGCATCTGGGAAGCATCTGACTTCCATATAATGTTTGCAACAGAGTTGTAGATCAGGAGAATTTTGGCAGTTGGGTAGAGCGACTGATGTTCTGAAATGTATTTTGCAACATGCCTGGCCTGGGCGAATCCCCAGGCGCAGATAATAATCACGTCTGGGCTTGAATGTACCCGTGTATATTTCTTAGCTCGAGAACCTTGTTCGAAAGCAGAGTAAAGGAATACTCCCTGACTCAGCTGCCTGAAGCCGATGTCGTCGAGAATTGTCCAGTCCGATGGCATCGTAATTGATATGTTCGTGTTGACAAGCCAAGGAAGCATTCAATAGTCACTAGAGTCAAGCGAGTGATAGGGAGTTTAGCTAGATGCTAAATCCTTATAAATCTACAGAAAATTAGACGATTGTAAAGTAGTGTAAGATATATGCGGTACGGCGGCGTACTCACGAAGCTCCTACCACGCTAGAAGCACGAGGAGTTCGTTAGGATGCTACGCATAGAAGATATACAGAACCTGATTGAGGTGTAAATAAGAAAAGAGAGGCCTGCTGCAAGGAATTAGCGATTGATTCGATTGAATTCAACATTGGCGAAGATATTCAACACTCGCTAAATCGCTGAGGGGGTGTGACGAAGCAGCAGTAGTAGTGGATACCCGGAGAAAGGAGATAACTAGTTACTAGTTAACGTAGTTCCCAGCCACCCTGGCCACCCCATCAGAAAACGCGTCAACCTACCAACCTACCAACTTCAACCAACTACCATGCCACCAATTCGCTCTAAATCCTTACAGAAATCGGCCAATCAAGAGGGCAAGATCTTATTAGCCCTTGATGATATTAAAAATGGCCGTGTCAAATCTATTCGCGCAGCAGCAAAGCTATACGAAATTCCACGCAGTACCCTACAAACGCGTGCATGTGGTGTAGTCTCTATCGCAGAGAGACGTAACCCTAGCCATAAACTGACCTAATTGGAAGAGGATCCGCTTGTTGATTGGATTATCTCTATGGATTCGCGTGGAGCAGCCCCTCGGCCAGCTACTATAGCCGAAATGGCTAATATCCTACTAGGTACACGCGGTAGCTACCCTCCGCCTACAGTTGGCAAGAATTGGCTATCAGCCTTTATAAATCGACGCGAAGAGATTCGATCACGCTTCTCTAGGCGATACGACTACCAGCGCGTACTAAATGAAGACCCAAAATCGCTACGAGGGTAGTTTACTACCGTACAACGCGCTATCGATAAGAACGGTATATAATTGGAGGATATCTACAACTTTGACGAGACCGGATTTGTAATGGGCCTTATATCTGCGCAGAAGGTGGTTACGCGAGCTGAATACTACGGTCGGCGATTGATACTACAGCCAGGAAATCGCGAATAGGTTACTCCTATCGAAGCAATTTGCGCAGATAGCTATTCGCTACTGCTATGTGTGGTTTTCAAAGGCAAAGTTGCTATTGCGGGTTAGTTTGATAACCTACTAAAAGATTAGCGATTTGAGGTCTCGAATAACGGCTGGACTACCGATGAGATTGGCCTACGCTAGCTAGAGAAGCTATTTATCCTATCAACGAATTCGCGTGTACGTAGCCGCTTTCGGCTACTAATTCTTGATGGCTATAGTAGCCACCTTACGCCCCAATTCGACCGATTATACGCAGAAAACGATATTATACCTCTTTGTATGCCTACGCATTCGTCACATCTACTACAACTACTAGATGTTAGCTGTTTTGTAGTGCTAAAGCGCGCGTACGGTCGCTTCGTAAGCGATCTTGCGCGTAGAGGATATAATCATATCGATAAATTCGATTTCCTAGAAGACTACCAACGCGCGCGGCAGGAAGCCTACCAATCAAGCACTATTCAAAATAGCTTCGCAGCTAGTGGCCTAGTGCCAATCTATACAGAAAGAGTGCTCTCGAAGCTTAATATCTCTCTACGAACTCCGTCACCACCAAACAGCCAGCCAAGCAGCCCATCTAGCCAATTTACACCAAAAACGCCCAGAACTATCGTTCAGCTACAAAAGCAATCTTCAATGCTGATAGATCTACTACATCAGCGGTCACAAAGCCCTCCGAGCCCAATCAAAACCATGCTAGATCAGATTATCAAGGGCACTGCACTATCGCTACAAAACGCTACATTACTCGCGCAAGATAATGCGAATCTACGCGCAGCCAATGAGAAGATCGTCAAGAAGCGCAATCGGTCGCATAAGCAAATACCCTGCGAAGAGGGTTTGACCGTTGAAGAGGGCTACAGCTAGTTGCGCAGCTAGATTTGCGAGAAGAAGCACCGGTGGTAGAATCGCATACGCAGGGCGAATTACCTATTCAGGCAAATCGGCCGGCTACTAGGGCTCCGCCTAGGTGTAGTGGGTGCTGGGAGATTGGCCATAAGATCAACCGTTGTAAGAATCGTCAGCAGTAGTAAATTCAATGCGTTTTGATGGAGATAATTGATTTTGAAATTTTCTAATGGGGTAGGGTGGCCAGGGTGGCTGGGAACTACGTTAACTAGTTATGCACCTATAACTACCGCCCGCCATCCTATATTTATTTACATGATTGCGTCAGCTATCTCCGCTACGAGTATGCCTACGGTGCAGCACGTATGTCTGTCAAACTGTCCTTAAATGCCTGCAGGGATAATTAAGGCTAGTGTGTTACTCGAACGCGTCGGGTATCGCGTGAAGTAGGCTAATTTATATCGATGCTAGTTGGTCTAAGGTTTTTGTTGTCCTCGATTAAGCTTCCCGTTCTTCGGTGGACAAAATCTAACAGTCCTTACGCATTTACTAAAGAAGAATGAGGAATAGTCGAAAGGAGTCAACTCGTCTAGGCCCTTGATTCTGCGCTGACCATAGAAAATTGTGGGGTCAAGATCGCCCAAATTGCTGATAATGCTCTTGCCAAGTACGGATATGACATTTAAGCCCCGAGAAGCTAGAAATATGGCATTCGTGACTCAACATATCACACTCCGGCTTCAGCAAATTTTCGATGCTTGGGTGGAACATAAGCGCAAAGACATGGATGTTGAAACCGGTATATGGTTCTTCATTGTGAGTTACATGGACGCCTGGTTGCTTCGTGAAGTCTGTCCTGAGCTACGTGATGCCCGTTGAGACGATATCTACCCAGCAATTGCATCATTTACACGCGAACCTCTCCGCTAAACCGATAGCGAATACCAGGAGCCGGTTGGTGGCGGTGTGTACCAAGTTGCTTCCTTTACTGACTATAGTGCTAGCCCTTTTATCTTGAACGAGCAAAACGAGGCGCGCTTCTAAGGGAGACTTGATTGAGGTCTTCTTGCTTATCTTTGGCCGGAAATGATAACGACCTACATGCACGTCCTTTCACAACACATATATAGCAAACTTTTCCTCCCTATGAAGTTTGAAATGCGTCCTGGCCTCTTATACTTGTAGGCCCCATCTCTTACTCTTCTCCTCCCCCTGCTTCTGAGGGGCCGTTGAGATTTCGTACATAAAAACAGCCTCCTGTTTACCTCGAACGCAGACGGCAAAACTATACTTGGAGCTAAGGGTCAGAAGGAGATCCTCTGCCGTTGCTCTGTCCTCTGGTCGCTAACGTAGTATTTTCGAGATGAAACCCATAAACATCCGCTTCTTGTCTCCTTCGGTGACGATAAGTTTATTTTCAAGTCCTCGCGTAATGAGATTAGGAAATTTGAATTAACCTAATTAGCAATTAGCAAGACTATCTCCGGTAAATCTAACATTATAGGAAGTACCGTCGTCATTAAAATATCGCGAATACTAATTCCTTCGCTTCAGAAAATCTTATAGGGGAGGACTAATCAAGGAAATGATAGCCGCTAAATGTTTCTCTGCAATAAACGACGAGTCCGATGATGATTTGGGATAATCAAAAGGGCTAACCCTACACAAGAGTTCCTAGATCTATTCAGAGTGTTAGCTTAGGTAGAAACTGCATTTATTAGACCTTACTAATGCACCTAAATTCTATATATTAGCGCTATAATCCTAGCCTGCTCCGAGAATAACTTTAGGGGCTCGGAAACCATTCGGTTGAATAGTGTGTTTATAAGGAGACTTACTCCCGTTAACAGAAAGACTAAAGTTAGTGATTACTAGCCTTCTAAGATTTTCTATATTAAGGCCGAAATCATTCCTTGAAAGGTATATTATTCTATCCCGGGAATGCTTCTGTGGCAAAGGGTTTTTAATCTTATCCCGAGCGATGTTACCGAGTATAGACTGGTTCCGAAGGGCTATAAGGATATTGTCGGACTTTAGATCTATTTAGATTTAATATTCAAAAACAGAAGGGGAGTTTAGATAGTTAAACTGACCGGTATAAATAATATAAGACTAGGTATAGAGGTAATAAAGACCTTTCGTGATTATCCGAACTATCGGCCTAAGAATATCGGAAGGAAGGACGCTCCTAGCGAAACGTTCTTTTAATATCTATAGAGGTTCGCGGAGAGGATCGAATACTAAGTAGATATGGTTACTATACGGTCCTGGCAAGTGGAATAAGTTAAGTGCGGACAAAATAGCGCCCTTCGTAGGTTAGATTCCCTTAAGTTATACGCTGTGTGATTCGTAGCTCCTTTTCGGTATACTCTTTTAATACGTAATTATGTGTATTAATCTTTATCGCGACGTAATATAGACAGAGCTAGCGCTACCTAGTAAGTTAGAGGGAATATAAGATATATTAGTGTAGATATACTAGTAGAGATCCATTGCGAGCTAAACTGTCGAACTGATACTCTAGCTAAGTTTAGCAGCTATCTACTACCTATCGACAAGTATCGTATAGAGTTGCACTGGATAGAAATTTTTAGGGTTGTAATGAGGAGCGCGCTCCTCCTTAACAGGCTGAGAGACACGGAGGATATTAGGCGGGTTAGAAGGGGCTTTGTACGGGCTTGTCCTTAAACACCTCAAGAAGGACATCTTATATAGTTTGAGTCCTACTGTCATTGTCTCGTAAGTCAAGTGGATTTCGCGATAAAGTCATGGGGTTAAATAGAGAGACTATGCACGGACCAGTTAGTTAGCCGGAATGTGGGCCTAAGGAAATTGTTAACACAACACACGTAGTATGCTTGATGAGGCTCTTGGATAACGTGCTTTGCCTTCTCCGATGGACAACGAATCTAGCAAGAGGCTTGCAAGGGCTTACGATAAGCAGTGGCTCTAAATCTCCAAAATAATTGGCAGCTCTGATACTATGTCCTCCTATCGATTCTTCGCTCTTCGTTATTCGAAAGTCACAAGAAGAGGAATATAGGAATATATATAATGTTCTGCAGAGACGTAAGGCAGACTGTTTTAAATTTCAAGCACAAACTAAGAGTTGTATTGAGATGTAGATGGCCAAGACAGGAGCGTAAACTACTTGAGCAGACTTTCCCATCGAACAAGACATCCTCTAGTCCTTCTTATTATATGGCTCCTGTGAGTAGCTCAATTCGCCGTCGTGATACCAATGACCTGACGTGAGGCGGGCACCATCCTTGGTAAAGATTTGTCCGGATACCCTCCTCTTTTGATCCTTGAGTGAAACATGCTCGGTACTACTAAGTATTGTTAGTACTATCTATGCCCTGATGGGCAACGAGAGCATAACCAACGCTAGTTCAACTTTCTCGGCTCTTTCATTGAGCTTCGGGTTGTCTTTGATGCCTTCGCAATCATTTCGTTATATTTTGGAATTGCTTCGGTTCCTTTCTAGATGATCCGGAGAAGGCTTCGAGCAGTTGTCGAAAATGCGCGCGACATAACTGAGCCAGATCTGATTCTTTATCAGTAACTACTTTGTTGTATCCCACCGGAGAGAAAGGGAAAAACAGACACTAAGGGGAAAAAAAAAATCGTTTCTTCTTATATCGAATTAAAAAAAGGTAAACCAAGAAGGACAGGCTTTGGCCCTGTGTAAGGCGACAGCCAGTTTCATGGAGAATCTACTTGCGAAAGCAATTGTTGTGTTAGTAGGCATACGCGGCATTTATGTGATGGCCTCCTAATGTTGAAAAGCATACACATTCAATTATCTACAATGAAAATGATCTGTTTCCGCCCGAGACAGATGATATGAAGGTACAAACAAAGCAAACATGAGTGGCGCCTCTTCGGCTGGCGAATGAGATAGCTTCAACAACGGCCTCAAAGCGAACATATCTATACTGTCTCATACGGACCGGATAATGTCTGACAAAAAGATACCAATACAGAATCGACTGTAAATCAGTTGAGGATGGGGCGCATCTTCTTCGTCCGGCGACCGTAAAGGGACATTTTCCTCACTACGACTCCGCTAAAATGCGATATTTCCATTCCTGGCTTCAGAGGATACCCAGGTCTTTTAAAAGTATGAATCGGTGGGCGTTTTACCCCAAACCCACTCGATTTGTCTCCAGAATCATAATGTAAAACACGCACCCCCGCTTTTGACTACTCTCAACACTATGGTGCGAAGTGAGCTATACAAACAGATATTAAGGCTTTGAATATTATTTTTTTTGGAATAATCGCCGAATACCCTAAATTTCTCCTTGGATGCCTAGCATGGAAACCAAATACTCAAAATTACAGGCTCGGGCTACGTAAATTAAGCAAGTCACAAGCTTCCTAGGTTTGCCCTGTGTTTGTGCACCCACAGGTCTCCCGAGGCCTAACTGAGCCACATAATGCTGACGGACCCTACTACCACTGTCAGTAGGAGCAGAGTGGGAGACGTGAGGTGGTGGGAGCCACTGAATCGCTCAAATGAAAGGACAGGTTGACCAGGTTGCCTGATAGAAGGGATCTGTGAGGAATTAACGCGATCAAAATCTCCATCGAAGGTGCAATCAAAGTTGACGATGATTGGATCGGCCCCGGTTTCATATAACCAGCCGGTGGTGAAGTTGCCTGAGATTTCCAAATGGAGAGTCGTGTTTGTGATAGACCCACTGACGAATGTACCAACTGGTAATTTCGCTTTATCTTCCTCATATGTGAGTTTGATTTCATCGGAACAAATATCAGCGGGTATATGAACGAAGTCTTTCCCATAGACGTCAAAGAAGCCTGGATCAGGATCGCTGCCACTGTGGGTGGCGTTGAATGCAACCCTTGACGGATCCTGTGGATCGGGCCAGACCTTCAAAGAAGCTGTGTCTTTGAATTGGTCTGGTGCATCTATCAGGCTTGGTGGCGCAGTTATGGACACAGCAAACATGTGTGTCGTGTGCAGAGACACCGGATACAATGGATCTTTCAGAGAGCTGCATGGGATCCGATAGATGTCACTCAGCGGCTCCTCACTTAATAGGCTGTCGAAATTGAGGATAAAGGGGTTGGTCAGCCCTGTTATGTTCGGTAGTTGTGGTCCGACCCATGCAACAGCAAGCATTCGCCGAGAGGCCGAGGGGCAGCTTGGCCCGAACTCGCCGGAGTTGGGCGTCTGGAATGTCATGTTGTAGGAACCTATTCCTTGAAAGTAGGACCCAGCATAATCCTTATAATGCGGAGTGCCTGTAATATTTCGAACATAAGAGGCCAGTGGACTGTCGGTGAGCTTGGGATCGCAGGTAGATTCGTCGCCATCAGCTAGTGACAGTAATGTGAGCAATGATGAGAGAACCGGAAGACATCTGTGGAGCCATAACATCCTGAAGGTATTGCTGGGTTATCAAGGCTCGGTACAAGAGCTTCAAAGCCCTTTTGAAAGCGGTGACAGAAAATGTGCAGCGAGGAAAATTAGTGCGAGAAGACCTGAATATATGCGGTCTGTGATACGAGACGGGTATGCGCACGAGCACGGCTATACGAGGGTGGCTGCCATGGGGGTACTGGCCGATCAGATAACATCACGGAATAGAGGCACGAAGGAGTCTGGAGGGGCAAAGCCCAGGGAGGGTAAAAGTCACTGGAGATTGGTGGTAATACACAGTATAGACCCGAGCGTGGTGGTAAAAAGATGGACAAGGCGCAGAGAACGAAGCAATCAAAGAAGTTAGAACCCTGAAGCCAAGACATGCCAAGTCCAACAACAACAATAGGCAGGAACAGGGGTGAACAGGGGCGAATGGACTGAGCGCGTGGCAGTACGATAGTTCAGCTACTTCTTTTTGCACTGTCGTGGACGTACTCCGTCCATCCATGTTGACTACAGTGGCACCGCAAAAGTTTCCGACCACCCTCTTTACCGCCTGATATATACCGCCTTTATTGGAAATTTTGAACCATAAGAAAAACATATCAAAACTAGAGAATTCGATTTCTTCTATTCAATCCTCCCAAATGAGACGTGCAATTGGAGTTCGAGACAGTTTTTCCCAAAATTTAGGGAAACTAGTGGAAATCTCGAAGTGTTTATGTCCGGCAGAATGTTATGTAAGCAGAAGGTGGTCGGAACTTTTGCGGTGCCACTGTAGACTGGGGGCGGAGGCTGTAAGCCCTGAAACGATGTGGCAATTGTGGCAGTATTGAAAGTTGAGGTACTCCGTACATGCAGCCACTCAGAAACGAACGCCTTATTAAACAAATGGATGTCAGATTGATGAATACCAATGCATATTCTATGTGCAGTCCGGCTATGCCCACCCTCCCACCCAATCTCCACGCAAATTCGATAAAGACATAGAATCAAAACACCATAAACATGCCCCTAAAAAAATGCAAATATCGCTTGCTGGACCCAAAGGGCTAATGCTCGTTCTCCATTTAAGCCAGCGACCGTGTTAGAAGATGATTCGATCTCAATCATCCAACAGTCATACAACCCCACAGAAACTATTTCCCCGAACGACGACGACAACGAAGAAACCCTAAGAATCTGCCCGGATGGTATGTGGATCACTTGGAACTCGGAAAATTTGCTATGGTTACCACCGGAGTACCGCCCACGTGCTTCTGTCGTGTCATTATCAACAATATGTCTTGGTTGTCCTTCAGGACGAGTGCTATTGTTTACGTTTGATTCCTCGAATCTATTGCATGTCCTTACCGGGCGCTGAATCTCTTTAAATAAAGCATATCCCCGGAATGACATCTATTACACTCTTATATGTTAACGTTCTTCTCGCCTCAATACTGATGTCTTGAGAGTGCCAGTGGAGGGATGAAATGATTGAAGGTGAGTATTCGTGAAGGCGTCAGGGAACAAGACTACTGGAAGGGCCAGGGCTGAGGTTTTGAATGTGGTTGTTTGAACCTCGAACTTCATAGTCTTCTTGAACTTAGGGAGAAGGCCCTTGGCCACAGGATAGTGGGGAACTTGTAGTTCTCTGGAAGGCTGATTGGAGACGGCTATTCGGCGGTTTGAAACTGCGGCCCTTGAGCCTTCTAGTTTCGTCTGTTTTTGTGCATCGAAAGGTCAGAGCGAATGTGGAAGAGGAATTTAGAGCAGAACGCCCCCAACATACCTAAAGGAAGCACACATGGCAACAGCTGGCCACGACACGCAGGAATTTCCACTTGCGTTACACGCAGGGTCGTGGTGTCGTGGTGTCGACGTCCTACAATACCGTCGAGGAATACGGATAGTTGGGCAATTGTAAAGCCATTGGATGATAGATGTCCGGTACGTTGTCTAGCTCTTTATTATTTATCAACTTCCATTTAATATGGGGTTTCCAGATCTTCAACCACTCTTGCAAAGCCTCCTGAAAACAGGTAGGTCCTCTGAGTAGGTGGGAATGCCTGTGAAATCAGAGATCGTGGAGACGGGCTTGCTCGTCTCCAGGAATACAGGAACCGTGCCCGGGAACGCTGCCATGCGCTCCCGACACGTCTGAGTTCCTGGAACTTAATGCTAAAGCCCCCAGGAACAGATACTTTGTTACGAGGAACTTTGGTTGATTGATTGATTGATTGAATGATTTATTCTAGACTCGTACAAAATATTCCTCGACGGCAGACTGAACCTTAAGCCAGAGGGATCTTTCATCGTCGAGGCGAGTTAATATCGCAAAGTATGATGATTGGCATGCGTAGCGACGGCTCCAGAAGCAGCCTACCTTCTGCAGATGTACTTTCAAAATTAGAATGTATTAGACCACTGGCCCTTTTCTTATTTATTCATCGAGTTGTCTTGCCTATTGGAAAAGCACACGTTCACCATGAGACGAAAGATTCATTCAAGAGAACAGGCTATCTATATTTCTGGTTATGCTGCTCAACCGCTTGCGCCCACTTCATGATGCGCCTGGCTTCCATCATAATGTGTAAAATGCTCCATGAGTTTCTCTATTATCTGCGCCTCTTCGAAGCTGTCTGCTTTACCCTTCTTGTGAGGATACTCAAAAGCGGGAATCACTTGTATACCTGAGACCTCAGGGTGAGCCTGAGTATGGTCTCCAGGGACAAGTTCCGGTTCCATCTGCAATTTTCTTTTTCGACTCACGCAGTTGGACCGCGGTTCATCAATGGAGAGTGCGTTAAAGAAGTGGCGACGAAGATTTGTAATGCCCGTATAGTCCTTTGTCTGGCAACAAGGATGTGGACAGAAGAAGGCTGTTGAAGTTTTCAAAGCGTTGAAATGTTAGTTAATATGATTAAGAAGTGTTGCCTTAGCTAGCCACTGTTGAAATCTCTGGTCCGGTTTTATGTCTTTATCGCCTAGGCAAAATAGGCAAAAGCTAGGGGTAATAAGGGTATAACGGAATATTAACATTCTATATCGAGGCTAAAGATTATTAAGGTAGCTTTAGCAGTAGCTAATCTAGACTTGCTTATCGTAGTGTATTTCCGCGTAGAGATAGCAGAATTATATAAAGTTCCGCTAAACACGTATGCTTGCTATGTTGGGCTTGTTGAGCCTGCACGAGAACTTATTGACAAGGGAGCGAACGTAAACACGCAGGACGGTTTCTACGGCAACGCTCTGTATGCCGCCTTGTTTGGGGGCCATCTAGAGAGTATCAGACTGCTCTTAGACAAGGGAGCGGACATCCACGCGCAGAGCGGCCGGTACGGCAACGCTCTCCAGGCCGCCTCAGAGGGACGCCATAAAGAGATTGTCAAACTGCTCTTGGATAATGGAGCGGACGTCCACGCACAGGGCCTCTTTCTGTGATCAGTAATCCAACAAAAAAAATCAAGTCCAGGTAGACACCTCGGTTTGGATAGTGGAGACAGCAAAGTGCGGGCCCAGGGTGCATTAGAAATGCACAGAAATTCATCATGAGCAGATCTATGCTTAAAAGTCAAAATTTACCAGAATTGGACATGCAGAATATAAGCTAGACAAATAAAATGGGAATAGTATATGAGGATATCTCAACGTAACGAATTCAAACAGAACATATGAGCTGTAACGACGGAGAGCATTCAGAGAAGAAGCCAGTACTTGTCAAGACTTTTATCTCTTCAGATTTTCATCGCTAAGGGCCGCAGGCAACTGGTTAGGCTGGGGCTGAGATTGATCCGGAGGCTGGGTATCAACTGCAGGAGGTGGATGGCCTTCTGCTGTGGCCCCTGAAGTGTTCTGTGGTACATCATGGATGATCTCGGGAGTATTTCCCTCGGTAATGTGTTGCACAATGACCGAATCCTCTATGGGTTGTGTTGAAGCCTGCGGAGATGCATTTTGGACATCTTTTTCGGTAGACGGTGCTTGGGGTGATGTCGTTTCTATTTCAGGCACGGCGCCAGTGGCAACGGGTTCTGCAGGTCCCTCGGGTTGCTGAGAAGAAGGCTCTGCAACTACAGCTTCTGGCGTTTGAACTTCTGGCACTTGAACGTCTGCAGCTTGAGATTCTGGAACTGGAGCCTCTGCAATTGGGACTTCCGCACGCGAAGCTTCCACAGCAGGAACTTCTGGAACAGAACCTTCTGGAGCAGAAACTTCCGGAGCTGGAGCGCCAGCCACCTGAGCTCCCGCAGTTTGAGCATCCGCTGCTGACGCAGGTAGACCATCAGCTAGAGACTGCTCACCCCCAGATGGAAGACGGAAGGCCTCGGAGTTGAGAATGCGCATAAGTGGTTCAGCCTGCGGCGGCGGCGGAACTTCACCAGTAAGAAGCTCCTTCGCTTTCAATTTGCGGTCATACAGCTTCTTGTTCGCAGAGGACCGCTCCACAATCATACCTCCCTCAAGGGTTAACCCGCCGTATACACCACGGGTCTTGGAATAGGCAAAAATGCCCGCGACACCTTTAGTCCCGATCATAGCCGCGGTCTCGGCGCTTCGACCAGTGCCAAACGCTATCGAGATGTTCCCGCCCAGGGTCAGAGTCCCCGAATTAATAAAAGTCGTGACTGCGGCGTCGGTGTTGAGGACGAAAACGAAATTGGTGAATTCCATGCCGAATTGACCTCCAGCGCCTAACCCGCCCAGCGAGATGGCTGATGGCGCGGACCAGGTGCCATCAGGGAGGCGGCATACAATCAGTCCAGAGCCAAAGCGCACGGATCCTAGGAAGCCGGCTTTGAAGACGCTGCAGATTACCAGTCCCTATGGGAGAGTTAGCTCGATCGGTGGAGGGGGTGAATGGTATTGAATGGTCGTACTTTGGCTGGGGCGAGGATGCGACCGGGAATTGCGCCTTCCAGACCCGCATATTTGGGATTCACGAATGAATCGATGATTTGGCCGGCTTTTCTACATTCGCCTACAACAAATTGTTAGAGGTCGTCCTACTGCACAGCTCCAAGGATATACAGACTGGCAAGAGAGGCTGGGAATGGATTGTGGATCGGGTTTCGATACCCGGCAATCGGGGGTTGTCGCGCGTTCGAGGCTGGAGCCGCGCTCAGGGCCTGAGCTTGGGCTTCATTCGTGACTGGCCCTTCGCTTGGTGGTTGAACTTCATTTGAAGACATCACGTTGAATTGGAGAAGGCCCCAACTGAATATAACAGACGAATGGGTGTTAGGGACCTGTCAAGCCCCGTGGCGGTCTCAGGGGGAGAAGGAGATGTTGCTGTTCAGGGTCCAAGTCAGCGCTGGCACGAGATTGAGTTTAACTTTCCTGCAACGTGGGGGCCAACCTAAACAAACATCGGATTTTATACTCCTGCACAACCCTGGAGACATGGAGGTTAATTGAGAAATAGATCCAGACCCAATAGTAAAAACCAAATTCATGACCAGGGTCGCTACTTTTCGATCCTGAAACTGGTACTAAAGTCGTCTCTAATTTAAAAGTGTCACTCGAAACATAATGGTACAAGGTGTATTTTTTGACCTGTCTACTCGGCTTTTTAGAAGGGTCTATGACCTGTATCAGATTTCCAGCCCAGAAGAAAAAACATCGCTAAATGATACATCATGTCATGAGAAACAATCCCCGCATCAATGAGAGCTTGTAACGAGGATTGGAGGGACCGCAATCGCCGACGGTGTCCGAGGGCGTTCAGGACTTTCCTGACGAGCAAGTTTAGGTGGAGCAGGAGCTTCCTCATCTGTGACTGGGGCACTCGAGGAACTTTCAAGTGGAGATTCAGTCGAGTCACAGGTCTTGGTGTCTTGACGGGAGAAGAGTCGGCGTGTGAACCGCACCAGGGGCTGGAAGAAAGCCTTCATGCCACGGGCGAAGGCGTTGAAGCCCTTCACCAGCGGGCGCAACACAGCGCTCATACCACGAACGACGGCATTAAACACAATACCAAAGTGGCGATCGGGAATCGTGCGCAGAACCACTGCCCATGGCAGACATCCCAATGCGCAGATCAAACAAACTGCCCAGAGGACACCGCTGAGCCGGGTCACGCCGAAGGCCTCGCCGCCCACGTACACGATCATGACTTGGCCACCGACCATGATGGCGTTGATGCTGAGAAACCAGTAGTTCCGGAGCATGCCTTCGAATATATTGAATTTGTTATCGAGGCGTCTGTTGTTGAATTCATTGAAGATTTGCATCCACACAAACGTGTTGAATACCACTGTGGAAAGCTGCTTGGATCGGTGGATTGGGTTTGTGTCGTCGAGGTGGCCGCCGAGAAGCTTGTCTCCGGCGAAGTAGAGCATGAATGTTATGGCCAGTTGGTAGATTGCTTGGCCGAGGATCATCTTCCACATGGTCAGAGTGAAAAGCGAGGCACTCTTTGGCACGGGCTTTCTATCGAGAATCTTTTCGGTTGGGGCGTCAGTAGCTCTGTATCATAGCGTTAGTGAGAGATTTGTGTTAATCGGCGGGAAAGGTTTCTTACAGAGCAAGAGCAGCAAATGTATCCATAATCAAGTTCACCCAAAGGAGCTGCACGGCGTTCAAAACACTGCTGTTCGAACTACTGTAGACAGATGAGATGAACGTCAAAATCACAGCGGTAATGTTGACCGTGATCTGGAACTGCAGGAACTTGGCGACAGCATCATTGACGGCTCGCCCCCAGGAAATTGCAGTCACAATAGATCTGAAATTATCATCCAATAGAATGATCGAACTAGCTTCCTTGGCAACCTCAGTGCCAGCGATACCCATGGAAAAGCCAACGTCGGCAGTGCGCAGAGCAGGCCCATCGTTGGTTCCATCGCCAGTCACGGCAACGGTCTCACCGAGAAGCTTCAGTCGTTCAACCAGAATACGCTTGTCCTCTGGCGAGGAGCGTGCCAGGACCTGAAGACGAGGAATGACCCGGTCCATTTCCTCATCGGATAACTGCCGGAACTTGGGTCCTTCCATGACCAGGCCATCTTCGGTCTTGATACCACAAGAAGAGGCAATGGCAGTGGCGGTTGCGATATTGTCGCCAGTCACCATCTTAACTTGAACTCCGGCCAATCGGCACTTCTCAATTGCAGGGGGTACCTCGGGCCGAAGGGGGTCTTGAATTCCCACAACGCCAACCCAGGTCATACCCTTGAAGAAATCTTCAAACTTGGCGGAAGTTGGATCATCGTCGTGCTTCTTGGTGTCCTTGGGTGGCCAGGTCTCGAAGTCCTTGTAAACAAGTCCAATCGTCCGAAGGGAACCCCGAGCATATCGATCAATAGTGTCCAAGATCTTCTGCTTTCCCTTCTCCGATAGTGACTCCGTGCGGACTGTCTCTTTGCACATGTCAATCTCAGTGATTTGCATGGAGCAGACATCGACCATCAATTCAGACGCTCCCTTGACGAGTAGACGATACCCAACACCTGCATGGCGGTACACAACACCCATACATTTGCGAGCGGAATCAAATGGAATGATCTGAACAATATCAGCGGACCCACGCTCAGCGGCAAGGTCCATGCCAAGATGATCCTGAGCCATCTGTAGAAGAGCAACTTCCGTCTTACTTCCCACGAACCCCCGTTGACCGTCCTTTTCTTCTTCGAAAGCGGTTGAGTTCAAAGCAACGTTTTTAACAATGAGGTCTCGGACTGGAGCCGAGCATCTTCGGAACGCCTCCGCAGTGGTCATCGAGGGTGTCCCGTCATGAGTCTCGGATGACTGGGCGAAGCTGTGATCCGAGCCCCATGCACCCGCGACAACGGTCATTTTGTTTTGTGTCAAAGTTCCGGTTTTATCGGAACATATTACTGTGGCATTTCCCATGGTTTCACAGGCACGAAGAACTCGGACAAGATTGTTTTCCTTGACCATGCGAGTAGTAGCGAAGGCCAGGGCCAGTGTCACTGCCAGGGGCAAGCCCTCTGCAAAGAGAAATATTAGCTGATAGACTTTTTAATACAGGGTGTCAATACTTGCCTGGAATTGCGACGACAATGACAGTCACGGCAACAATCAAGATGTCGACAAATTCTTTGCCCTTCTCTGCGGGGCTAGTATTGGGGTGATTTGGCAGATCGGCGATGAATCGGAACAATAGGACAAAGAACAGGATGATTGCAGCCCTACAATTCAATGGTTAGTAATTGCACACAATCAGTAAAGAATCGTCACGTACGCTGAGCCCAAGTACCCAATCCAATTCGCAAGACGACCCAACTTCACTTGCAGAGGGGTAGGATCATTAGAGGTCTGCAGCGACATCATAATTCGGCCATACGAGGAGTACGGCCCAACGCTGGTCACCAAATAAGTGCCCACGCCTTCGAGGACCTTACTGCCGGAGATCAAGAATGGGTCCAGTTTTCTAGTTGCATAGCCTTCGACGATCTGCTGCCAGACTTCATGGCCATCCGTCTTCTTCATCTGGTCCGACTCTCCGGTGGCAGATGATTCGTCGCACTTTACGCCGTGACCCGAAATCAAGACTCCATCTGCAGGGATGGAATCGCCAGGTTCGAGGTGCAGGATGTCGCCGACTTTGATATCATATATGGATATCATCATGGATTTGCCTGAGCGGATGACTTTCACTTCACGATCATTATTCTGTGATTGTTAGCATGGAATTAACAGGTCTTCGAAGTTGATGACTTGCCCTCTTATTAAGCTTGGCAAATTGTCTTTCCTTCTGCCAGTCATTGACAGCAGTGACGACGGTGACGATGAGAATCGCCACGCAAATAGCCACACCCTCAACCCAATCCACGCCCGTCCCTCCACTCACCGTCTCGTAGATGCCCAAGGATAGGGACACGATGGCGGCGATGGTCAACAGTATAATAATCTTATCATTGTAGGCCATCCAGAGGAGCTTCAAGAAACCCGTGGACTTTCGAGCGGGGAGTCTATTCTCGCTGAACACCCGGACACGATCTTCGAATGGGGAGCCACCCCCAGCTGACACCGGTACTGCTGGCGTGGGCTGGGCTTCCAGAGACGGCTTGCTGATGGAGGGCCGTTTCTCGTATAATGGGGGCGTCACTTGTTGGAAGTCAACGGTACCTTCCAAACAGCCTTCATCAACGGAAAGGCCCGCGGTAAGATCTGTCCGCAGACCCCGCTCCAGTCCTTGCAAGCCACCCAGGGCATAAAAGGCAGCGAGGGATTTGGGATTTTGCATCTTATTTAGTTGACCGGGCGAGAACGCGAACCGGTTATTTTCAACATGAAAGTCGGCCTCCTCACGAGGATCTGGCTTGAGGGCTTCTGATAGAGGTACGTCATCAAATTCTTTGGCAGCTTGAGAAGGATCAACAGAGTTGGCTCTGGAACGTAAGGTCAGGGCTGCTGATGAGGCGAACGAGTCTGAGCGTGGGCGTAGGGTCTCCCCGTCGATCGACGACGAGGGTCGATGTGAGGCTTGCTGGACCATGAGTCGTGAGGGATCTGGATTCCACGCCATGTCTGGCGAGAGAGATGATGTCGGTGATGATGGACTGTGATTGAAATCTGTGGGACCAGACCAGGAGGAAGAAGCTCCAGCTGATGAGGCGGAGAGAGAGCGCTGGGAAGAAAGAAGTTAGCTTGTGTTTGCTGTTTGATAAACAATGGCTGCGTCTCACCTCTCTTCCCGGAGCATCTGGGACTTGGAGAGGGCTCAAGAAGATGCCTTTCTGGGACGAATCGTGCTGTGCGGACGCCATGGGTGTGCTAGTGACACCAATATGGCACAAAAAATGGGGTCCCTCTGATATACGTGATAGATAGAATGTGGCTTAATGATGTGGGAGAAGTGTTTCAAAATCTTGGGGTCGATCCTGCATTATCAAGAGAGGGGGCTGTGTTGTGATGCCCAGGATGCCTAGCCAAAGTGACCGTGGAAAATGAGGTGCCAACTCCAGCTAGTGGATAGTGTATTTGCCAAGAGCGCGAATTTCCAGGACAAACTGGTGGAAGACTGGAGGTGGGCGAGGTGTGGACAGATGTCTTGGTCCAGACGACTGAGAAGAGGATTCTTCACCAGGGTGTTCTTGGAGATTACACAGGCACAGCCCCAGCGGCGAATCGAAGCTCACCTCATCGAAGGATACTACTCTGTAGATGAAAGGCGAAGTGTGAAGATACAAACAGGAGGTGAAATATGACGACAAAGTCCTGAAATTCCAGCTATCATGAGGATAGCGCGGGGGAAGAAATCATGAAGACAATGGAAATGGGATCTATGCATGGAATTACAACTTTAACGAGAAGATTTAGCCGCCGACACCCTCATCCTCAGACTCTAGTCCGGTTGACCAGCCCCAGGTCAAGGGGCCTAGAATGGTTGTCAGACATTAGATACAAGCAGCTCTTGATCAGAAGGCTCCACGTCGTGTGAGGACTATCCAATGTCAGTCAGAGTCCGTCTGGATGTGATGACCTTGGGCTTGCCGCCGTCGGTAGGGTGGAGTTTCGGCTTTGCTGCGCCTCCTTGGGAACTCCAATGATATTGCAGCTGGGAAGTGCCAGTGAACCCCGCTTGAACTCTGTGTCAAGTAGATACAGGTGTAACCAGAATTACATACGGCTTGGCATCGAGCAAGGAGGTGGGAAAAACTTGTGGAGTGCGTCATATGAGCGGCTTGGTTGTGAGTCTGTACGGAGTACATCCTGATGGTCTGAGCTGAGCGGTTAAATGATAGAATAATCGGAGGCGAGGGGGACTGTCAATCATGTTTTGGGACGACTGAGCGTCATCGATCAGTGCAGGGATCATGGTTGACATCGATATCTGATACGAGTTGAGCTATGCATTCTGCTTCGTCCTTGCTCTCGGGTTGTAACGAGGCTCGAGGGTTGGATGGATGCGAGAAGGTACCTTGCCACTGGGTGTGGCGCAGGAACAGAGTTACCCTCCAGGCGATTGGTGACCTTCTGTGGCTGTGAGATGTGGCGGTGTCTCTCCAAGGGTTCCTCATGTCATGTGACCCCTTATCAATCGTATACGAAGTATACGACTGCCAGGCACCATCCAGTGTGGCTGATACAGCGGCAACCACACCATACCCTGCACGTGTCATCCGAGATTCTTGCTTTCGAAGATTGTCAAAAGTCTATCTCATATCCTGCTTACGCCGAAGGCAGAGGCTCGAGGCTGAGTCAAACACCCAATGTCTGCATCTGCCTAAACTGCGGCGAGAGACATACGAAGCCTTTGACGCGATCTCATGCTCACCTGCTAAATTCAGTAGCCATGCGATGCCTTGCCAAACTTTGTTGAGCTGACATGACAGGCAACAAGAGCAGGATGCTGTCTGCATGATTCACGTGAGGCTCAACATTCGAGGCTGCGGCAGGATTGCACCCTGGTCAAGTCGCCCACATGATCTGCACAGTGATTCTAAAATAGCAAAACCTAATCTAACCTCAATTGCGAGGCATGAAGCCATCAGATCAGATATACGTTTTAGCTTTATTTCTCAATGAGCAAGTCCGGCACGGGCCTATTACCATAAAATTAGGCGTGTGTAGTATCTTGGAAAAGTAAGAAATAGGTAAGAGAAAGAAAAGAGAAGAAAGTGAAAGGAAAGAAAGATATCAACAAGGCTATTGACGACAAATAAGGGGGAGAAGTAAGGGGTATCTAGAAGAAATAACAGATAACAGTATTCGAACAGTAGTCGAACAGAAGGGACGAGACAGAAGGGGCTTTATAAAAGCCGAAAAATAACAATGCTCAGAACAAGGTGAGGCTGAATGGAAAGAAATACACAAAGAAAGCGCTGAAAAGATGAGATTAGATGTTAAAAGAAGGTCGGTCGTGTCCATTTCTTTTGGTAAAGCCAGAGCTCCAGGTCCCATAAGCATGTTGCTGTCATCGTGATCACATGTCCCATAACTCAGAGAGCGGTCCAGGTCACCGATCGATGCTCTCCGTGAAGCGACTGCTACGGCTTCCGTCGTAGCTGGCCAGACTACGGCCCAGTCCATCCGCTCGCTGGGGCACGATCGCGATGGCGGACTGCGGTTGGGCGATCGGATGCGACGGCGTGACGGTGGTTGCAACGCCAGAATTCACGGAGCTGGAAACGGGAAGGTGGACTGGTTCAGGACGCACTGGAGACTGAATGCGCTCCTCGGCTTCCTGTGTGTATTTGGTGTCGAGTACCATCCCGTAGGGAGACGTGGGAGGCGGCGCTTGTGATGAAGGTGAGGTAGCTGGACCCCCTGCAGGCGATATGGGAGGGAAGCCGGGGATGGTAGGCGAGTCGCCGTCTACTCCACCGCCGTACCCATCGCCTCCGTGGGTGAGGACCGGAGGGAGTTTTCTTCCAGAAATTTTCTGGAATCCACGCTCACTCGGGCTGGAGGAGGAGACGGTACTTTCGGACCGCATGGTTATGGTTGACTGACGCCAACGTTTCATAAACGCCGGGGCAAGGTACGCGGCCGAAAAGAGAGGGTCGTTGCTGGAACGAGTTGTCACCTCCCGAGTCGTCCCTCCATCATCAGACGGAAGTGGAAGGATACCAGGACCTCCTTGCTGAAGAAGCTGCTTTCGCCGACGGAGGAGATAAAAGAGAAGCAGGACGATCATAGCAAGACCAGCCACGCTTCCTACAACTCCACCCACGATTTTTGAAGTGGTAGGATCGATACCTGATCCTGAGCCCGACGAAGACTGTGTCTGGCTCGTGGTAGGCGCGGACTCGCTGCCACTGTCACTACCAGAGCCCGTGCCAGACCCAGTCTGCTTGGTAGCTCCAGAACTCGTAGTAGAGATAGGGGTGTACGTGCTATACGAAGTGTTGGTAGTGCTAGAAGAGCCCGAGGATGAAAAGTAATTGCCAGCCACGAAAACTGAGGTTGAAGTGGGCCAAGACGTAGTTGAAGAGCTTGACGTCGGGATGAGGCGAGTTGACGTGTACGGCACCGAGCTGATAGCCGAGGAAGAAGCAGCTCGAGGGGATGATATGGATAGCTGTTTTGCCATAGGTATCCCGCTCTCCGTTGACTGTGGGGGCAATGGCAGCGTAGCCGTCGCGTTTGCTGCTGACGAAGGAATCATTGAGTCCGCTGACGAGGTCGAGATGCCGGTGAGAGTGAGAGTACCAAATGCCGAGTCCGTGATGGTCATGGGGAAATTGACACCGGATGATTGCCACAGGGTCTGAGAGTTGGTGTCCACCACTTGGATAACGGTCTCGATGACTGTTGTAGTAGGCGTTTGCGCCTCCTGTCGTTTGGAGAGCACTACTAGAGTCGCATCCGGTGAACCATCAAGACCGGTGTCATTTTGTAACGGGTCGGAAAACGGATCACTCAGGGTATCGGAGGCGAAAACCGGGTTCTGAAGCGTATCCACGCCGCTGAGCACATTCGGGTCTACCGGGTCTGCATCACTCGCTTCCAACCGGTGCTTTGCTCGGCTGAGCCTGCTGATGCGGTCATGGCGATGGCCATGATGAGCCATTCTCTTGGTCTAATCCCCGATCAGAATGGGATGATCGAAGTCGAAATTGAATTCTTGGAATTCCTCGCAGAGGTCAGGTCAGAGCTGGGTCGACCAGCTGCAGCGCGATAATGAAATGAAGTAGGTTGATGGTGAAAAGTGAAGGATTCGGAAAAGATGCGGGGACTTGCCCGTGAAGTTCGAGTTCAGCGAAAAGGAATGATCCTGGCCGAGGTCTCAGGAAAAGGAGAGAGAGTGAGTTTGAGAATAAGGAGTGGATGTTGGCTGATTATGTTGCCAACAAGGAGAAATCAGGAGTGAGTGAAACGAGTCACTTCAGCAAGGCAGCGAAAGACTCGAATTGTCTGGCAGTGGTCCCTGTCAGCATGTCATTCTAGATTTTAACCTGGTCATACTCGGTTTCCCACGCGGGTTTCCCCGCTCCTCCAAGAATGCAGCCAGGGAACGTACCTGTATCAAAAGGAACGACGAAAAAGGAGGGAATCGATAAGAGAGAGCGTGTGAGGCCGTAGCCTAATCCATGGCGTTGTCGAAGAAACAACCCACCCCAAAGTTGAAAAGTCGCAAACAGTGTGAGATGGTGTATCAGCGTCGAAACCCCCGGAACATCCAGCGGGTCTGACGTGACGAACAAGGAACAAGGGGAAAACGCACTAGGCGTTTGTAACACACTCTTCTTTTTGGAGGGGTTTCTTCTGACACACACACACACACACACACACACACACACAAGTCTCCAGTTGGCGAACCCAGGCCGACTCTTGGACGAGGAGAGGTGGGATTTGGAGAGGGTTGAGAGTCGCAGAAAAAGAGAGAAAAACGAGAGTGGACCAGGCGAGACCAGACCAAACACACACTCCCCGATCGAAGTCCAGTCTAGGCGACCCGCGTGGTGACGAACTAGTCGCCGGGGAGGGGGCCGAGATCCTTCTCTCCCGGGTCGACACAACGTGTGGTTTCTGGTCCACCGACACCGGAAGCTGGAAACTGCAAGACGATTCTCCTAGTGATCGGGTCAAACTCTGGCAAGTGATGGAGGTGTTTGTTGTGATCTGCCATGATTTGACCTGCGGTTTCTCGCATCCGGCGAGTTTTGCTGCGAGTCCCAACCTGGTCCAACTGGAAGCCCATTTGGGAATAGCCGGGGCTGCAGGTACACGACCAGCTCCACCAATCAGATCCTGAGACTTATGACAGGTGGAGACGGCCGGAGGGTTCTGGCCAGTCATACTAGTCCAAAAATAGACTAGGGCCCACTGCAGGTTTAATTGCGATGACTGGATTGATTGATTTATGATTTTAGTATTTTGGATTGTTCTTCCTCCTGGTGTTGTGATTGAATCAGATTCGAAATTCAATCATCATAGCCAGCCATGTCACTGGACTCGACCTGAACGAGAGTCAGCCATCCAGGATCGCGTGGCCATATCATATGTGTACCGGAAAGATCATTGATTCATGCGATCCAATATCCAGTCCTCCGCCAGGACACCTGCGCTACTGGCTTCTTGCAGCCAATAATTACCACCGGTAGCCGATGTGACCAGGCGCTTTTTATATCTTCGGGTCCCTCCATGTCGCACCACAGCGTTACTTACGTAGCCCTTTCCCCTACTCTCGTTTCAATCGGACTTACACGCACACTCTCGTCATGTGATTAAGAGTATGTCCTTGAAAAACTAATCAATCCACCACACAAATACCACAGTTATATAATTCCAACCATGAACCTTTAGGTAGGGGTTCATAGCCTGGCCAATCCGTAAGCGAAGGTCCAGGCGATTCGTTTCCATCCTTAGCATTAGAGCAATAAATAACTACGCACGATGACGCTCTCGTAAAGCCTCTTTACAAAATTGACCCCTTTAACATGAACACACCACGTGAAGCGACACACAGCGGTGACTTCCTCAATTTTGCGGATGGGGATAGAGCGGAGGTACTCAATGCAAACTCATTTTTCTACATGATAGATATTACTGGCGCTTGGAGAACATACACTGTATCCACGTCGGAGGCGATTGGAGAGTGTGGCTGACAGTTAAGTTCAACGCTCCCTGGAAGTAGAGGGAAAGTGTGCCTACGAGACTTGCAACGCGATCAACTAACTTCTATCTTCTATTTTAGAGACTTGTTAGTATCAAGAGGTCAATGGCATTTAGATCCAGTTTTTGAAGAGGACTGGAGTAGCCATATTAACGAAGGGGGTGCTTGAGACAAATACAAAATCAAAACGATGTCGATAATGGAACGATTGAAATTGCAGTACTCGGAAAGAGACGAAAACTGCTCGATCTATGTCCAATATCAGAAATCGGAACTTTATAGATCTGGTAAAGCGGACGAGAATACCGCATTGTAGCGGGAGTTATATCACGTTTGTGGCTTCTGGCTGCAATTTAATATTCGTTTTCTCTGGATATATTCGCAAGCGCAACAAGATAAGGATTCACGTGGATACTTGTACCTAAACGAGCATTCAAAGGCATCATGCATCAACTTGTACCGCGGAGAGAGAGAACAACATAGTACCCCATCCTGATCAGAAACCATATTGTAATCATCCTGCCAGGAGCGTCTCCATGTGCTATCCCGCTTGCTTTCGCAGGTCTGCAAAAAAAGGTTACTTGATACAAAGGACCAGGAAACTGGACTTGACAATTGGCACAGTTGACATCCCCCAAAATCAATTCCCCCTCTCCGGGGGCAATGCGAGTATGGGCACTATCTACGCTTTCGTCGACGAAAGAAACATGAAAATGGCGGGGGGTATTTAGATATTGGGCACGCTGCTTTCTCCCTGACCAGACCGCCTAGAATGTCTCCAGGTCATCAGCCACGCCTTCCTCATCTTCAGCGGGGATCTCGAATCCATCCTGGAAAGCGAAGCAATTAGCGACACCACTCGTAAAGAAACACACTACACATAGAGTAGCTGAGCAAGAGAAACTTAAACTTACCTCGGTCGAGTACAGAATGCCCTGGATGTGCTTCACCAGCGTGTCCTCCTCCTTCTCAATCTCCGGGTTCTCCTCAATGGCAGTCTGCAGCAGCAGCTCGATATCACGCAGCTTGGCAAAGTAGAAGTCCCGCTCCTTCTCAAGACCAGTGATAGCCTCCTTCTGTGTGGCAATCTCCTGCTGCAAAGCCGCACTCGCGGCACCACCGCCCGCAGCGGCGGCCACCCGCGGACCGCGCGGGGCAGCTGTGGTGGGAGTGACTCCCCGGCGGGAACCAGAGGAAGGAGCCCGGGGAGCACCACCTGGAGCGGCGGCGGGAGCTCCAGAGGCCTTTCGGCGGCCAACAGCATCGTATTCACCACCGGGGTAGTGCTGGTCCCAGTATCTCTTCACCCACTGGAGGAACTCCAGGTTGTCCTGCATACGGCATTTGGTGAGGGACTCGACGGGGATGGGCTTCACGACTTGGTGACGGGTAAAGATATCTGGATGGAGGCAAAGAGGAAAAATTGTTAGGACCGTGCTCGTCGCTCGTGTCAGGTGGCATATGGGTGTGGTTTGCGCAACGGGGATGGCTCGGACGTACTCTGGAGGACTTTGAAGTTCTGGAGATAAGCATATTCGCTGTTGACGTTGAACTTGACCCGGGACATGGGCACGTCCACTATCGTAAAGAAACCCCTCGCATTAGTAAACCTTGAAGCAAAGTGATAGCGGCCAGACCGCCTCTCTCCGAGACACCTCTCGATCAATAGTGGCACTCACTGAATATCGAATCAAAGATCTGGCATAGCGCAGCACTATTGACACATCGCCAGAGTTATCGCGTCAGTCCAATCCTGACCAATCCATGGTGCTGATCCTCAGGGAGCGTGGAGGGAGAATAGAAGAGGAAGAGGGGTGTCGCTCGATCATACCCGGTTCCGCACTGCTCGATCTTGGTGATGTTCAACTGGAGCAGGTTGTTCAACCATGCCAGGAGCTCTTGTCTATCGATAAATCGCAATTAGTCGCCTGTTCCATGCCATCCCGCGAGCATTGTCGATAAGGGGGGAGGAAGGCCGAACCGGGATTCGCCCATGGTGGGGTAATGATGGCCGCGGCCGAGGAATTCTCGAGAGAACGGAGGAGAAGGACGAAAGTCGGGGAGAAGAAGGAAATTCGTGAAACCAAGAAAACGCCGAAAGATCAGGGTCTCCTTGTCAGGGCTTGCCTGTCTGTGATGATGGAAAAACAGCCGGGATTGTTTTGATGCCAAAACCCACGGATCACAATGGCGCTAGACATCATTGCAGCCAATCATCGTACGCTTAGATAATTTTTATGCCTGAGGCCGGGACACACTCTCACTGGTTCGCGACGAGATCTTCGAGCCCAACCTAATGCTGGAAGTGGACGATACAAGTCTACGCGGTCTACTAATCAATTGAAAGAATTTCAAGTCAGAATCGCTGCAAGAATGCTGTTGTATATACGATTGTGAGCCATGTATAAGTCTAGCAAAGATCTCAAAAAAGTAACAAATCACGGAGCATCTATGTCCTGATATCCCCAGCCCTGTACCCAGATTTCCAAAATGTACCGTACCCAAGGTTTCCAACTCCTCCAAGTATAACCAAGAAGAAAACAACGCTAAGATGAGAGCAAACATGAAAGCTAATATGAGACGAAAGAAATGAAAACAGTATCAACAAATGCGACTTCAGATCACTCCTCCAGCAGCTCAATACCATCCAATCCGTAGCCGAAATCCATAATGACGGCCCGTGAATCTTGACTAGTCGCCAGAATCCGTCGATAGTCTGACTGAACGTTCAACATCCAGCTAGTAGTCCATCCAGGCAGATCGATGGAGAGCTCGCCAGAGTCAGTGTCGAACACCTTGACACTCATATCGTAGCTGCCGCTCACGATGCGCTTGTTCATACTGTCAAGGTGAAGCGACCGGATCAAGCCAGTGTGGCCACGGAGCTCTTTGACCAGCTCCCCGGTGTTGGCGTCGAACTGATAGATGGTCCGGTCGTTACCACCAGTCAAGATGGTTCGACCGTCGTCACTGAACTCGACACAGGCAAGACCGCGGTCCTTGCTAGGGAACTCCTTGACGCAGTGGCCATCGGTAACGTTCCACAGCTTAGCCACGCCGTCACCGCTAGCCGAGACCACGAGATCGCCGCGGAGTTGCACAGCATTGACCGGGCCGCGATGACCCACAAGCTGCTTCAGCAGCGCGCCAGTGTGACGGTCCCAGACACAGATGGTGGTGTCCTTGGAGCAGGACACGATGTACCGGTCATCGAAGCAGACGTCCAGGACGCCGGCGCGATGAGCAGCAAGACGACGAATTGGACGGTAGTCATTCTTGACGTCCCAAACAATGCAAGTGTAATCCGAAGACCCCGTCACCATGATTTCCTCGTCAAATTTCAGACAGAGGATGGAAGCACTGTGATAGTCGGCAGGCTGCTCCATTGGCGCGACAATACCCGCCGAGGGCGTGGATGGCGGGCAGATAGTCGCAAAGGGAGACTTGCCCATGGCTTGCTGCGCCGGGTTGTTCACAGGTCCCGAAATAGAGACATCGTCTGGGGGAGGGCCAATGATCTTGCGGCAGGACCAGGGATAGTGAGCATCCCACACGCGGATCGTGCGATCGCGAGAACCGGTGATAATCTTGTCCTCATCGAACTGAGCACAGTATACACTGTCCTGGTGGCCGTGGAGGTAGATTGCCGCGGCCTTGCCCTCCTTCCAGCGTTGCTCGAGAGATCGTCGCACGAAGAACATTCGCTTCCAGTCTTGGTTGGGAATGGACTTGCCCAGGCCGACGGACTGCTTCTTCTTTGTGGTCGTGGCACTGGCCGGTCGACGGGGGTACGCGCCACGAAACGCGTGCGTCCAGACATGAGGGGATGACGCCTGACGGTGCCAGGAATGGGACACCGACTCTGCTTCCATGAGAGACGCAGGGTCCAGATACGAGAGCACGTGGGCCATGACCTCCGAGGGCAAGTAGGAAACCGGATCTGAGAAGAGATGTTAGTTGACTGTAATATTCAATTGGCTTTTGCAGATAACCATACCAATGCGGATAATATCCAATTCTGTGTCAGTGAGTTCCGAGTCATCCCGCAGATCAATCCCAATCCCACTCTCTGAATCCTGGGTCAATGTCACATCCGACAAATTCTTGATCAGGTCTCGTTCCATCTTGGCCATTTCCAGCCTGGCCAACTCCATCTGTTCATTCTGCGCAGCCGCAGCGGCGCGAGCCGCCGCCCCCGCATACATATCATTCGGCAGGATGGGAGGCTCAAATCCATGGCCTGGAATAGGAGCCGGGATGGACGCCGTCGGAACGTAGAATCCATGCAGCGCAGAGACGCTGTTCAAGGACGGGCGGCGATTGATGCTGCCGGCGTTAGGGCCATGAGACCACGCCCGCGAGCGCGTACCCCAGCTTCCAGACGCAGTATTGCGCTTGTGGCCGGAGTGGCTCGCAGTGTGGTTATAGTGGCGGCTCTCGTCATTCTGCTCTTCTCCAGGAATGCGCAAGTTCTGCTTGGAGGACTTGTTGCGGAGAGTCACAGATAGACGACGGCCCAGCGCCACTAATCCATCCATCGGATGACGCAGGCTGGAAAAGCTCTTGGCTGCACGGCGCCGAGGCGCGGGCTCTGGAAATGGCTCCATCTCTTCAATCGCCGACGCATCGTCATCGCAGGCCTCCACCAGGGAGGCCTTTTGCCACTGATCGAACGTGTATTCCTTGGGGAGTGCAATTGGGTACGCAGCAGTCCTTGGGCGCGGTCGAAGTGATAGCGAGGGGCGGCGGCGCGAGGTAATGCCGACGGTATTATCTCGTGGCGACATGACGTGGGGGTTGAGCGGGTAACAGGGGGAAGACGAATTGACAAAGTAGGGCAGTTGACGAGTAGATCGTCTGCGGGTGGAGTTCCAGCGGTGATGTATAAACAAAAAATGACTGGACTTTTGCTGTGATCCTCCGTCTAATTGTACTCAAATCGATAGCGAAGTGCAATGGCGGTGTTTTCGGTCTTGGTGGATTCTGTCGGGGCGCAACGGGGTAAAGGAGGCAAGTCTAAGGGTATATCGGTGGATTGGAACAAGAAAGAGATTGTGATAAAGCAACAGAACAACACCCTCCAGGGCGAGGTGATAAAATAAGAGAATGAATGCAAGCAAGATCTGAACACCAAGAGACCGAAAAAAATCAACGAAAGGAAAAAGAGTCGGGCGTAAGGAGTGAGAAGGGAGAGAAGAAATTCCAGAAAAAGAAGAACAAACCAGAGGGTCTGAGGGCCTGAGGGAGTCAGGCGGTGAATGGGGGGGGGGAAGTACTGGGGACTTGCGAACCAAGTAAAACCACTTGGTGAAGTCAAAGTACTGTGTACTCCTCAGGGTATCCCAGATTTTGCAGGGATTAAAAATTTTCTTGAACATCCGGGGGCAAATCATGGGGGATTGACAGGAGGAGTACCGCCTACCTCGTGTTTCACATTTAACGGGGAGATCAAGGAAGTACTGAGTACATCCCGCCCCAGCCTTCGGGCAGCGGGTGGCGGTTCAGGCCAACCGATCCAGGGATCCAGCCAACCTTTTTCTCCTCTTCGGGAAAAGTAGGGGAGTTTTTTCTGATTTGTGAAAGCCGGAGGACAATAATAGAGCTTAGCTGTACTTAGAATAGGGCTGAATGATCGAATTTTTTTTTTAACGAGGATTTCCATTTAGGCCGTCGCCGCTGTTTCCTGCGACCCGTTCGTTCGAGTTTAGCCTCACGGAGTGCCTATGCTAGGGTGCTGCCATCTTTTTCATACCTTCCTTGCTAATGTGTATTTTTATATGTCTTGTAGATCTAGTTATTCCCGCCCCCTTGGTAATAATAAACCCTCTTTGTCCAGCTCTCTAGCGCCCTTGTCTTGCAGTGAAAATATCGTCTCTGCTAGTGCCTCTTGATCTGCCTGCCCCCTATATTGACACCATTCTAGAAGAATAATCGCATTCAGAGTCTAGTATTACCCGGCAGTGCGTCAGTTTAGCCCAGCCCCTCCCAGTCAGGTGGCAGTGGGCATGTCTAGCCTTGAACATCTTTCTCAATCACAGAGCCTTACCGACGGAAGTCCGTACGAATGTCTAAACAGAGAAAGCGAAAGCATCGCGACTGCAAATACAACTATCAGCCTCGAAGAGGAATCGTGTCCCCGTCCCTCAAAGAGATAGAGGCACGCAACCTATGCTATAGACAAAGGGACGAATCGTGTACCTTCTCTACTATTTGGCAGGTCAATACAGAGCTCACCAACTATGTTCTCGGTAGGGTCTTGCAGTAGTAAAGATATTTTTGGTCTAGCTGTCCTTACTATTGAGACTCACGGGTCAGAAACATCGTATCACCTCACCTCGGAGTCGAATGCATTGAAGGTGAATGTACCGTGATTACTGTTACTGTCCTCCCCAGACAATAGGGCAGGGAGATACCCTGAACCTTCATCCAGGCACAAGGCTAATAACCCTCGACGATCCAAAAAAATCAAGCCCCAATCTATGCCTAAGTGTACGAATGAAACATACAATATTATCAATGAACAAAAATAGAAGGTAGAGCAAATCCTAGCTTCGCGGATCTCAAGAGGAAAACTGGAGTATCAAGTGCGGTGGAAAGGTTAGGGTTTTTGACTGTGCCTGGTATTCGGCATGTGGATTCAAAGGTGCTCCGCTCCATATAAGATCCAGAACTTTCACGGAGGTTCTCCAGATGAACCCGGTCTGTCAAAAAGGTTAGCTCAGCGGAATGGCTAGAAAAGTGCGAGTTGGGACAAGACCTTGAGGATATCCTAGATCATGACCTACCGGAGTAGTATACTACCTTAAGCTCAATGCATGCTGGGATAATTTTTATCCTCATCTCAGTATTCAAGTCCTTTACCCCCTCTCCAGGATTCTTAAATTAAATCCCGCCTATTAAAGCCCTTAATTTTTATCTGTTGGCATTCTGCGGAGAAAATAGTGTTTATTCCAAATTGTTAATAACTCCACTTTTACACATGTGGAGCTTCGGTCATGCAATCTGGTGGGGGGTTTGGAGCTCTGGCACTCCGGTGGGGATTTGGGGGCAATCTAAATTCAGTGAATATGATTTCTATCCACATATCGCTAACCACCCATAAGATAGTGTGCTGATTGCCACATTTGAATTTTTACAGAGACTCAAACTTTGCATTTGTTCATACGGGTGATTTTTGCTAACCCTTGTTCAACTAAACATAATATAACAAAATTGATAGAGTGGAGATTTTGCTGGCTGTCTCATAGATTCTCCTGGTATTAGGACTGAAACTTGAAATTTTGCGTATAAGACACAGTTATGCTTTTCACTGAAATAAGAGTGGTGCACAAACAGAGTCAGCCTTGGCGCCCTGTGTGGTTAATATAGGCGAAACATCAGAATATGCAAGATCCAGAAGAGAGAGAGAGAGGAGAAATCTACTACAATAACACCAAGCGACGTTTCTACTGATGGTATAATAAAGCCCCATAGCGTTGCAGTTGCAGTTCTAATTTAGCAACTGCGGATATGGCGATCTGCCGAAAAGAAGATTGGTGGGACTGGCTATAGTGTTAAAACGGTGCCTTCGATTTAAAGGAGCCAGGGGTTACAGAACCCGTGGGGCAAGTGGTTTGATGACACAATCCCTAGACAGAATGCACCACATCATGTATAAATCCTGGATGCTTATCAAGGCAGGGAATCACTTATATAATGTGACATTTTTCCCTGCCATCTCTTGATTCTACTGAAAAAAAGGCAGCAGTTTCCATTTGTATTCACTTTTTATACCCTATCATGAAGTTACTTCAGACACCCAGATCCTGGCTCTAGCGGCCTGGCGGATCTTGCCCTAGCTCAATCATCTATTGTTTACGGAACCCCTGTCGGCTTTGCGCAGGTGTAACTGGCGGTGGTAGTGCAACTCCTGTCTATCCTTCAACAATTGAAGAGTTGATTGCTTACCTCACGGACCCATCACCACAGAATATTGTTATTGAACGTACTTTTGACTTTGTCGGATCGGAAGGCACCAAAACTTATTCGGCTTGCAACGCATATGCGTGCTCACCATCCGAGGGAGGACAAGCTTTGCTCAACACTCTTGGCGGGTGTGGGAGCTTAGCTACCTATGAGGTGACCCTCGATGCAGCTGGTGTCGAGGGTGTCAATGTGGCATCAGACAAGACTTTGGTCGGCCTCGGTGCTAATACAGTGCTTAACGGAAAGGGTCTCCGATTTGTTGGTGTCTCCAATATCATTATCCAGAACATTGAAATTACCAATTTGAACCCACAATATGTTTGGGGAGGTGATGCATTTGTCTTCTCGGATACTGATCTCATCTGGATTGATCATGTGACAACTTCCTCGCTCGGCCGCCAACATTACAGCTTTGGACAGAGCTCAGACAATGGAGTTACCATCTCTAATAGCTTTATCAATGGTGTGACTGAGCATTCCGCTACATGTGACGGGCATACGTACTGGGGCCCCGAGCTGGTTGGGTCGAGTGACCAGATCACTTTCTACAGTAAGTCTTCACGCAAAATCTCACTTCAGGATACATGAGACCAGAAACAGCCGATGGCCATCAAGAAAATTATGTCTACTATACCTCCGGTCGCAGCCGCGCTCTAAGCGGCAACACCCTTTTCCATGCCGTTAATAGTGTCTGGGCCGATAATAGTGGGCACGCGATTGAAGGCACCTCAAATGGCATGGGACTATTTGAAGGCTGTGTATTTGAAAACGTCCCAGTTGTTGTCGCGAGCGACTTCGTTGGCCAACTGTTCAGCTCAGAGGCAGCCTATATCGGCCAGTGCCAGACTTACCTCGGTAGATCCTGCATCACCAACATCTACTCGAACTCTGGTGCTTTCAATTATGATCAATATGGGTTCTTTGTGGACTTCTCCGGTCGAACCATCGCCCCTGCTCTCTCAGCCTCCTCAATTGAGACCAGTGTGCCCGCTGGTGCCGGAAAGACTCTCCCAACTTAAGAGGCAGTACAATGTGGTCCTTGGAGACTCTATGGAGTTATACAAAGCGACCATTGTGCATGGATGTTTTCGCACGCAAGATGGCTCAGACAATATCACCACAATAAGAATGATGATGAACTTTATTAGAGATCGATGTCAAATTGCAGGAGTGTTATATAGCTATTATAGCTTTGGAAGGCCTATTTATAGGATAAATGTTAGGACTTGCCACCCTAACCTTATGTGTGCTCCTTATATCGGTCGAGGTCATGTCAGAACATACCGTCCTGACATATTTGGTCTTTTGGCTTGTTCGATTCGCGGGTCCGGGCGCATGTCATAAAACTGAACCACTACTGAAACTTTAGACCCTAACGAAGATTTTCTCTCTCTGAGATATGCAAGGTTTCCGCAGAATTCAAGTTGTTTGGTACATTCAGGAGAGACATGTAGTAAAGTGTCCAATATTTATAGTCTAGTATGTGTAAGTATGTGGCATGTGATAATTAAGCAAAAGCAGTAATAGTTGCAATATAACAGTCTGAACTAGAGACAAGAGAGAAAGCGTTACTAGATATCCTCGGCTTTTTCTCCTTTGCGTGGCTCTTGATAGCTCAAGTGTCATGTCTCTGTTATTCAATGCATAACTGATATGATAATTTTGATAATTTCGACAATTATGTCGGGGTCTCAAACCGATTCAACCCCAGGGTACGTACAAGAATCTCAAAAGCTGCAAACCTATCTATCTCGCTGCCCCAGCCTCCAAGACGCCTCAAGTTTCCACTACCAAATACCCCCACTTTCTCCCAAGGTACCCCTTATGTTACCCCCCATGCTTATTTCAACCAAAGATCTTCTCATACCCGGTCAGAGTGAACCGATAGCGAACATCACCCTTCTTCATGCGCAGCATGGCCTCCTTCAGACCCTCCTCGCTAATAGGGATCTCCTCCACCCAGCCCTTGAGCCCCTTGTCCGCAGCCAGCTGCAGCATGTCCAGCATCTCCCGGCGACTACCCAAGTGGCTAGCACCAACCAGAACACCATTGGCAATCAAGGACTGCGCCTTGATCACCTGGCCCTCCTCCTCGGGCAGACCAACGCTCACCCAGCGACCATGCACATCCATCATGGACAGGTACTTGGCGAGATCAAAGCCCTCGGACGAATTGGCACAGTTGATAATCAAATCGAACGAGAAAAGGTGCTCCTTCTCCCACCCTTCCTCAGCAGTAGCAATATACCCATCCGCACCCAACTTCCGCGCATCCGCCTCCTTCGCCCGAGACCGGGAAATAGCCCACGTCTCCGCGCCCAGCGCCTTGGCAAACATGATTCCAAAGTGACCAATACCGCCCAGACCGACGATACCGACCTTCTTGCCGGGGCCGGCGCCGTTGCGCACCAGGGGCGAGTACGCCGTCAGACCGGCGCAGAGCATGGGCGCCACGGTGTTGGAGTCCAGGGCGTCGGGGATGGGGAACACCCAGTGCTCGTGGGTGCGGACGTGCGAGGAGTATCCGCCCTGGCTGATGATGCCGGTCTCCGGCCACTCGGAGCCGTAGGTGTCCATCATCATCACGGGGCAGTAGGTCTCGTTGTCGTTGCGACATTGCTTGCACTCGCCGCACGAGTATGACTGGGCGCCGACGCCGACGCGCTGGCCCTCCTTGATCAGGGTGACCTTGGGGCCGACGCGGATGGCACGGCCGATGATCTCTGTGGTGGGTGGTCAGTTTATGCCATGACCCGGAGCTTTGTTCTCGCCGCTTACCGTGTCCAACACACAGGGGGAACTTCTGGTCTCCCCATCCACCGCTGATGGTGTGCACGTCACTGCCACAAACACCGCAGGCCTCGATCTTGACATCGACATCTGCACGCTGGTTAGAGGTATGGCATGGCACTTGTGGCCGACGATTCGAAGCTTACCATAGTCGCCAAAGGGCTTCAGCTTGTACTACACGGTGCAAAGAAACTCATGGTCAGCCATTGGTGTTCACAGCCTCTCTTCGCACAAAAAAAAGACTCACGAAGCGCTTATGGAACTCGGTGTAGGTCTCAGGACCATCGACCTGGAAACCCTCTGCTTCCTCGGGGTAAGGCATGATGATGATGTGTGATAAGAAGGATAAAATCAATTGAAGACGTGAATTGATACTGATGGTCTTTGCAAGCTCTGAAAGACGAGTCCCTTGTCGCAGCGCAAAGATATCAAGGCAGGAAGGAAGAAAGAAAAAATAATTCCAAGAACTGGAAATCAAGCCGCGAGGGAGGGGACAAGGAGGGGTATATCAAAGCCGACTCCCCCTCCCCCGAAAAAAAATAAAATAAATTTCTCAAAAAACTCAATATCTCACAAGATCAAGGCACGACCCGCTGGATCGCCAGCCCATTGACGCGGGATTGTCTTGGATTCTCAACTCTTCCAAGTCTGCCCAGTGGGTATTCGCGGGGGTCTCAATAAGCCCCGCGTATCCCGAGTTCGGAGAAAGGGCCGCACTAGGTCTCCACCGGCTAAACTATCGGAGTAGATCCGGGAATCAAAGGGCAGTATTTTGACTTTACTTTCTCGCGCGAGATTCCATTGACGGGTGCCGAGAGTGGATATATGAGATCCCGTCGTCTGGGCGTGGGGGAAAGTGAATACTCATGAATAGTGTTGGTTTTTTTATCCAACGTTGTCTGCAATGGACGCGTAAAGACGGCGTAAAGACGGGATGGCGCGGAGGTGGAAGTGAAGGTCATTCGTGTCTGTGTCTGGTCGTGAGTTGGGAGTTTTTCCGCCAATGGGAGGCGAGGTTATCGACGATAAGAATCGGGACCGGTTGGAGCCGTAGGGCTTGTGGTTAGGGCTTGTTATGCTCTTAGCAGATATACTTCATACTCGGCCGAGGAATACAGTTCACTATACATGCTGAAACAGGTCTAGAACTTGATCTTCGGCAGATGCCGGGTTTGGATACTCAGCACAAGGTAGCAAGCAAATTGCAAGTCATTCATATAATCATATATACAACGTAGTTATTCTTTATATCCAGTCATCCCCTCCCCCTCTTCTATGCCACATCCTTCAATGACAGCTCCACGTCCAACGCGCCCTTAATCTTATCCGCAACCTCCTTGGCCTGCGCCTCACTGAGACGGGCCAAAGGACGACGAGGGTATCCCCCGTACCCATAGTACGACTGAATCGCCGACTTGGTACCGGGGATCGCAGCCTTTGTGAGAACCCAATCCGCCGCACTCAACTGCTGCTGCGCCTCCATAGCCTCTGCAAGACGGCCCTCCGACCAGAGGGTGAAGATGCGCACGCACAGACGGGGAACCACATTGGCACCACCGGCCAGGATGGCCGAACCACCCGAGATCAGAGTCTGCAGACTAAAGTCGGCGATACCGCCAAAGGCAACGTAGGGGTGCTTTGCGTCGGGCTTGGCGACGGTGGGCGCGGCACGCTGGGCAGGAGCCAGCGGGGAGGCAGGGGTGATAGCGCCGAGGGCGGCAGCAACGCGGGTCAACTTGCCCGTGTTGGCGCAGGTGAACTTGGTGCCGACGATGTTGGGGTGCTGGGAGATGCGGATGATGAGGTCGGAGTCCATATCGATACCGGCGACGGCACCGGGGTAGTTGTATAGGATCAGGGGGATGGGCGAGCCGTCGGCAACGGAGGTAAAGTACTCATAAATAGTCTCGTCGTTACCGACAGCGTAGCGGTAGTAGCTGGGTGGCACGATGAGGGCATACTCGCCGCCGGCCTGGGCGACTTCCTTGCACAGCTCGATGGTGCCACGGATGCTGTTCTCGCTGGCACCGGCGATAACGGGGACGTTGGTGAAACCGGCCTCGTCGAGGGCGGAGCGAGTTTCCCGGGTCACTGTGGCACGCTCCGCGCGAGTGAGATGCACGGCTTCACCGTTGGAGCCCATGGTGATCAGGCCGACCAGACCGGCCTTGGCCAGGCGCACGGCATGACGGCGGATGGCGGGCACGTCCAGATCTTCAGTGTCGGGGTTGAAGAAGGTCATGGTGGGCGCATACACGCCGGGGCGGAGAGGAGTGAGCGACATGATGGTGGTAGTGATGAGGATGAGGATGGAGAATGCTACGAGATTGGTTTAGTTGATGCTTTAATTCATTCGCAGCGACCGTGATAAGCCTGGACTTGACACTTACAGAGAGAGATAGAGAGGGGTCAAGGATGAGAATAGAAGAAGGGGCCGTGAGATTTACTTTTTAACCGGTCGAGGGCCATTGCCGTCCAGCATCAACAACCCCCCCACGTCGGGGGGATTCTCCGACGCATTCTGAATGGCGGAGAATTGACTTCCACCAATCACCGCCGAATGACGAAGTGTGGGGGACGCGTTTCGCGGAGGAGGGGCTTGGGGGGCTTGGGGGGAATGGCGGGCGAGGAGTGTAGACAGACGGTAGAGAGCAAGAAGAGAGAATAGACAATGGATCTCGAAGATCAAAGAAAAGCGACAGTACAATACATATAGTCTTCTTCTAGCTGTAATCCACTTCAATCATGACAAGAACAGCAAGACGGAGAATGAAAAATACCACTTGCCTTTCCTTCCTCAACCCCGCAGCCGATAAGATATGAACGTCGGCTATTGACCAGTTTCAATCGCCGGAAGAATTATCTCCAGCAACGAGACTCCCCCGTTCATTCCATTCTTCCTCTTCTAATCCCTCTTCCCTCGAGACATTGCTCTTCAATTTCGCATTCGTTTCTCTCCTCAGTCCCTGGATCATCAAAAACAAACAATCATGGCTCCTCCTAGCGTGTTGATGGTACGTACAATTAACCACCTGGCTGCTACAGCATCGGCTAACGAACATCAGGTTGGCACCGGCGAGTACACCACCGGCTTTGTCGGCGGTGGTGCCTCTGGTTCAGACAAGAAGGTCGGCGTCGTTGGCCTGACCATGTTCGACCTGCGCCGTCGAGGCAAAGTCGGTGACCTGAGCATGGTGGGCGTGTCGGGCAAGAAGTTCCCGGGTATTCGTACGTGGTTGCGACAACTAGCTAGAAAAACAAAATGACCAGACAATCTCATAACTAACACTTCCAATTCAGGTGACCATCTGCATCGCAACATCTCCCAAGCCTACAATGGCCTGGACACCTCCTTCGCCTCCTTCCCAGCCGATGACCAAACCGACCCAGACGCCTACAAGACGGCTATTGACGCCCTCCCCAAGGGCTCCGCCATCACCATCTTCACCCCAGACTCAACCCACTACCCAATCGCCCTCTACGCCATCGAGCGCGGCCACCACGTCCTCATAACCAAGCCCGCCACCCAAAAGCTAGCCGACCATCTGACCCTAGTCGAAGCCGCCCGCAAAGCCGGCGTCTTCGTCTTCGTCGAGCACCACAAGCGCTTCGACCCGGCGTACTCGGACGCCCGCGCCAAGGCCCGCTCCCTGGGCGACTTCAACTACTTCTACAGCTACATGAGCCAGCCGAAGAGTCAATTGGAGACGTTCAAGGCCTGGGCGGGTCGCGACTCGGATATCTCGTACTACCTGAACTCGCACCACATTGATATCTGCGAGAGTATGGTGCCAGAGTACAAGCCCGTGCGGGTGTCGGCGACGGCGTCCCAGGGTACGGCGGCGGCGGTTGGGTGTGTGCCGGAGACGGAGGATACGATTACCCTGCTCGTTGAGTGGCGGCGGAAGGATGACCCCGCGAAGATTGCGACGGGTGTGTATACGGCCAGCTGGACTGCGCCGTTGAATGCGGGTGTGCATTCGAATCAGTATTTCCACTGTACGTTGTCGATGGGCAACCCCCCCCCTCCTTTCTCCCCTACTGATGCAACTTGCTAACGCGTTTGCTGCAAGATATGGCTGCCAATGGCGAGATTCGCGTGAACCAGGCCAAGCGTGGCTATGATGTGACCAGTGACGAGCAGGGTCTTATCTGTTACAACCCGTAAGTTTACACATTGAATACAGACTTTCGGACTATAGACAGACCGAATTGACTGACATTGCAAATTAGATTCTATATGCGCTACGCCCCTGACGAAGAAGGCAACTTCGCTGGTCAGACCGGCTACGGCTACATCAGCTTCGAGAAGTTCATCGACGCTGTGACCGCTGTTAACGAGGGCCGCGTGACTCTGGACCAGCTGGACGCTCGCCCCCTGCCTACCCTGAAGAACACGATTGGCACCACTGCCATCTTGGAGGCTGGTCGCAAATCGCTAAATGAGCGGCGGCCGGTCGAGATTATCTCCGACAATGGAAAGTGGGAGCTGAAGTGATTGGATTGGGCATGTGTAATCAAAGAAAATTGTGGGATTTAGTATATACACATCATGAAATGAAAGCAACGTTAGCAAGATAGTCAGCATCGCAGGGGATGTATTACCGCAAGGTGGTAAAGAAGTATCGCCCAAAGCAATCAATGGAAGCTTGGAAGAATTGAATTCGCTCGTCGAAAAGGGTCAAGACTGTCCGCCCCGTTTAGTGATAAAAAAAAAAGAAACTCCGGCCTCAATCGCCCCAAGCCAAAAGCCCTCAAAACTAGTGCCTGAATATCATGGTATCATACAGAAAAGTAAAACAAACTATCATCCTGCCAGGTTCAACGCCGAGATCCACCTTTCACAATTCCATCGGGCCCCTTGTCGAATTTGACCCGGCACTCAGGGCAAAACCACTTGGCCGTGCGCGAAGGAACTTCGGATAGTCCAACGCACTCGAGGTGGAACCACACATGTTCGCACTGAAAAAGACAAAGTTAGTATAAGAGTAAGGAAATCGACAAGCAGAAAGACGTACATCTTGATTCTCGCAGCAAATCATCGTGCCGAAACTCACGTCCCCGCAAAGGCAGTAACGTGGCTCATTGGCATCAATCTCCTCCAGTACTCCGTCTTCATCCACCCGGATATCTTGCGAGGTGCTGGCACTGATACGTTTCTTGCCTGGCTTCGCTTTGCGACGCCCGTAACTAACGGCGGCGCCCCCATCTTGGCCGGAAGAAACGGGCCCTGGAGCAGGGCGCTTACGCTTGCGATTGGGTCCGGGAACGCTAGGTGCATGAGATGGCTCTCGAACGGGAGTCTTGCGGGCCGGGGTCGCGCTTTTAATACGCAAGTCGCGTCCGCCAGCGACAGCAGTGGTAGGAGCTGTGCCGAGACCTCCCAGCTCGATTGATGCGGCGGCAGCAGAACGTCTTGACGATGGTCTGGTGGTGGGTGGAGTGGGCGTGCCAGCGGGCTGTACAACTGATCTTGTTGAGCGACGCGATCCAGTTGGTGAGGGTGGAGGAGAAGAGGGTTTGACATCAGCCGTGGGTGATGTTCGTGTCTTGATGGGAGCGACAGGCGCGGCCACATCTCCCGCTCCATTGGTAGTTCCTCCTCGACTGGATTTCCGGCGCGACTTTGAGGAGGCTAGAGTAGATGCAGGTGCGTCAACGGGCTCCAGCGCTGATCGAGGCTGGGCTTCGGCTTCGGGAGCCACGAGTTCAGCTGCAACGGGACCAGGAACTGCAGCTGGGGCAGGAGCAGTGACCACTTGGTTTTCTTCCCCCCAGCAGCCTCATCCCGTTTCCGCTTTCGTGAAGATCGACTAGCCGGAGTTGCGTGATTGGAGCCTGACACAAGCTTGCTAGGGGTCGGGACCTCTCCTCCGTTGGCTGCCGCTTCTCGCGCCAACATCTCACGCTTGAGTTTCTTGGCCTCGTTCAACTTCATTCCACGGTTGCTCAGCTTGGTCTCTTCAATATCCTTGTATATCTCGTCACGGCGGGTATTCTCGATATCATCGCAATCAATGAACTCAGTATCATTCTCATCAGCCAACGCTTTCGCAGTCCGGTAGGCTTCCCATCCGCGGCCAGAAAGAGCCAACTCGCGGTGGATCATGACCTCGCTGGGCTGCCACACGGCATTCTTCTTCATCTTCTTGCGCAGTTTGGTCATTTCCCACTCGGTGAGTCGTAGCCATGGCAGGTCTTCACTGCCAATCTTGGCATCGTCCGGTGGTGGCTTAAGCAGTGCAAGAGCATTACTTGTGGACACCCCCACGCCTGAGCTAGGCCGGCGCGGCTTGTCCTTCTTCGGCGGCTTGACGGGCTTTGGAGGGATCTCCAACTCGGCCTCGGCGTCTGACTGTTCTGTGCTTGCAATGGGGGAATCCGGATTGAAACCTGCCAGATGCTCCGCAGCAATGCCCGAACGGCGTGATCTCGATTTCTTGCGCTTGCGGTCCTGAGTCGTATTGTCCAGCCGGAGAGTGATACGCGTCGTAGACGCGCCATCCTTCTTGTCCTTGCGCACTCGCTTCGGTGTAGGTTCTGGCAGTGGCGTTGGCTCTCGGGAAGGGGGGTTGGGAAGCGCCTCTAGCTTCTGACGAATACAGCTCAGTCGGTCGAAGTGGCGATCCACGACCTCGTACAGTCGGCAGGCCTCGGCGTAGGCAGACTCGCGGGCATTGATCGCGCGGTCCAGTTGACGAGAGATATTTTTGCGCACACTGATTGCGCTTGGGCGCTCGTCAGATGCAAGGAAAGGAAGCTGGCCGTAGGTCCTGGCAAGGCTGTGTACGTCTTGCGCCGAATCGAGGTATCGGTCATCCAGGCCGCGGATCAGGGTCAGGGAGCGGATGATATCTGCAGGAAGGTATTCTGTGTAGTCAATATAGTCTGTCACAGTTGCCTGCGCATCTGGATCGAAGGGGCCATCCAGGATGACCCCGCCGCTGTGGTCAGTCTCGTCGGTCATGGCCATCTTGCCGGGGTGCCAGGACGCGGCGCTGCCGTAGACCGCGCAGCGGGTTCAGGAGACGCGACAAAGAGACAATTGGGGTTTGAAGGGATGCACGAGCAGCAGACGATACCCCCGCGGGCAGCAAACATAAAGAACCCAGGAGAGACGAGGTCGATGGCCGTCCGGCAGCTGCAGGTGCAAACAACCCGGGCGATCATTGTTCCGCGAGGATCATGTGATCAGTCTTCCTAATCGGGTAATATGCTGTGAATCTCGCTGTTTGGCATAAAACAGCTCTTTTTCTAAGCACAAGGGCAAGGAGAAACGGGTCGTGGACGAAAACGAACAAAACATTCCATCAAATATGAGTCATCAATAGTCCAGTCAAGCCCTTGATGAAGTATTCAAAAAATTATGTAACTGGGTAGCCTTGGTGTATACTTGACATATATCGAATCTGAAGGTCCAGCGGTAACAAAGATTCATTGGCCTGTTCTTTAGCCTCACCAAAGAAAGCATGCCACTGTTCAGCTCACATCTCACTTGCCCCCTTGTCATCCAACATCTCCTGTTCTCACTTCCCCATCCTCACCCATCCACCCTCTTGTACCCCCAACCCATCACCAATCTCTTCTACCCTTCTTGTAACAAAACTCGTCTTATCCTTTTTCTCGTCATACTCATCACCGCCATTTCATTATGGATCGAGCTCAGCGTTTGCAGGAGATCTTTGCCGGAGACGAGGCGCTCCTCGAGCTCAATACTCAACTGACTACAAAGGTGAGGTTTTCAGTATCGATTTATTTGGTTTTGCTGGCTAATATAAATAAATCAGGAGGAGCCAATGGATGACCCATGGGATTTTCCTGTACAGGTAAAAAGTTTGATGAGAGTCGCACCAACCGTCTTGCCTGACAATTCCAATTCTATGTCTAGCCCGCACAAGAAACTATGGAATTTATCGTGGCCCCCGAACTGCAGCCAGCTCAACAGGATCGACCCGACACGACCCATCTTAGCCCCAGAAAAATCCCCGAGTGGGAACTTCGCAATGCATTCTGCCCCGCCAAAGCACTTCCCAAGTTCCCCTTCAAGTACATTTTCCCAAAGGAGGGAGAACTGCCGAAGAAAGTTGCAAAGGACTACTTCGACGGTGGCCTGGTCTGGCGACGCGGTTGGGATGTGTGAGTACATAGTGATCGCCTGAAGAACAAGAGAACGGGCCATATCTAAACACGATATAGGTACTACCTGCCAATTCCTATTCAGATCAGCGACCAACCCCTTCTGCTCATTCCAGCACTACAGGTGAAAGAGTTTCTCGATACGATCAACTATCAAGAGAACTACGACCTGGCCCTCACAACCAGAACAAAAGACGGTATGGTGCTATTCTTTGATGCTGATGATGGAACTCCCAAGCCAGTACAACTAGGCCACATCGACAACCGCGAGTCTCTAGACCTGCTCGAGACACACATCCCTCTACCCAAGGAGGGTGATGACGACTGGACAAAATCATGTGAGCGAGGGGCCTTTGACATATTCCACAAAAAGGTCCATGATGGCTTCATGTCCTTCAAGAAAAGGAAACAAAAGCCCAAGCGACCCCTTACCCCAATGGAAAAAGCCATCGCGGGAATAAGTAAGCAGCATGTGAATCAGAGAATACCAACTCGCGGCCTGTATCAACTCAAGGCCTACTTTGGGCTTCGACCGCCCATCAACGAACGGGGCTACTTCGTCAAGGACGAGGAATTCGCTCCAGTCAAGGTGGATGCGCCTGTTCCCTGGAACACGGATGGTAACCCCATCTTCTACAGCGTTGATGTGGAGTGGAATGAGTGGAACGCGGCCCAAGTAACCGAGATTGGAATCTCTTCTCTGGATACCATTGACATTCACGGTATTCATCCAGGACCTGGCGGGGAGAACTGGGTGAAGCATATCAAGTCGGCCCATCTCCGCACTACCGAGTACAAGAACTTTTGCAACAAGAAGTTCGTGGCTGGATGCCCTGATCAGTTCCTGTTCGGCAAAAGTGAACTCGTTCCAAATGCCCGCTTGGGACGACGAGCTGACTGTTTCTTCGTCGCACCGTACGATGGAACCGCGCGCACGACACGACCAGGCCTTCCACAACACAAGTTAGGACCCCGCACTATTGTGCTCGTCGGCCATAACCCAGATGCAGATGTCAGGGTTCTTTCAGAAAGATGCAGAATCTTTGAGTCGTTGAAGAACCAATCCGACAAGGTCATTCGGGAGGTGATGGACACTCAAACTCTCTATGGATGTCTACGAAAGGAGAGTCTTCGCAGCCTGGAAAATATCTTGCTTGGACTGGGGGTTGAGTTCAGGTGCTTGCACAATGCGGGTAACGACGCTCGTTTCACCCTGGAAGCACTGATTCGAATTGCCCTGGAACCGGCACGAAAGAAACCCGAAGACCCCAACGTGGAGGTGAAGACCGGCCAGAAGGTGGTGGTGCAGGAGGCTGAAGTTGCTGTATCGCAGGAGTGAAAAGGTGCAAAGCGCACACTAGCTATCCTTAGCCCAGCACTAGGTAGTCTTAGTATCTGTATGAACTAAATCATTTAGTGACAGTCCGATAAGCTTAAATTTGGGGTACAAATCAAAGTTGTCCATCATTCCATCACTGACGCCATAACTACGGTATCGGGTATCCTCCCCTGCCCCGCGCCCCACTCAAGCTTGCCCCCCCTCCAACACTTTTAAGTTTTTTTTATCATCTTCCTCCCCTTCACACCTTCCAAGACCACAGGGTCGACTCCCTTCCCTCTCAAACTCCCAACCCAAGAACCATCCCAAAAATGGCCAGTCAAGGCCCCCTAACCAGCTGGCTCCTCAACGCCACCCCAGAAGCCCTCAAACGCGCAACAACACACCCCTTCCTCGCCGCCGCAGGAAGCGGCACCCTCTCAAAAGAAGCCCTCTCCCAATGGCTCTCCCAAGACCGGCTCTACGCCCAATCCTACATCCGCTTCATCGGCATGCTCCTCATCAAAATCCGTCTGCCCACACACACCCCCAACGCGGAGACCCTGCGGAACCCGACAATCGAACAAGCCATCATCGACATCCTCATCGACGCCCTAGTCAACATCAAGACCGAACTGGCATTCTTCGAATCAACAGCCGTCGAGTACGGCCTCGATCTCACCGCCATCTCACCCGACGAGGGCGGCGCGGCCTCCGCGGGGATATCGAGTGCCGGATCTGCATCTTGCCCGGGGTTCACGGGGGCAGTCTGCGGCACGACGGACGTCTCTGTTTCCGGCGCGGAATCCGGCGAGATCGATGAGGACTCGGCGAATCCGAGAGACAAGTTGCATAAATTGTGCAAATCGCAGGGCGAATGCCAGATGCAAGCTGGTAGTGAAGTGTGTAATCCGTCTACACCGCACACGGGCGCGAATTCCGCCGTGAAAACGCCGGACTCCGAGCCCTGTCAGCCATCGCGGTTGGCGAGTGCCGCGCCCGTCGAGAATGGTCCCGTTTTCTTTACGGCGAACCCGATTACCCGGGCTTATATCGATATGTTCATGTCTGCGGGGAGTCCTGGTGTGAGTGCGTTGGAGGGGATGGCTGTGCTGTGGGCGACGGAGGTGTGTTATTTGCGGGCATGGCGGTATGCGGCTTCTTATGGGAAGAAGAAGGCGCAGGAGGGAAAGAAGGATGTTGATGCGGATGGGGGTGCGTTGAGGGAGAAGTTTATTCCGAATTGGTCGAGTGCGGAGTTTGAGAAGTTTGTTAATCGGATTGGGGATGTTTTGGATCAGATGGCGGGCAAGATGAAGGGGGTTGAGGAGTCGGAGGTGTCACGGGGGAGGTGTTTGGAGTGGTGGAAGCAGGTGGTATGGTTGGAGGAGAGATTTTGGCCTACATTGGATTGAGGCTGTCATTTCGAGGGCTTGAATCAAAAGTCACCCGAGTAGAGCATTTTATGTAGTTACAACAAGTTAGAAATAAGCAAAATTCATACGGAGAGAACGATCTAGGTTCAGACTTGGTTATATACCACAGAGAAAAGGTATACCATATACCAGGCACATTACTTGTATGGGGATATCATACATTGGAAGCTCGTCCTACATACACAGCCACCGAGGATGGCATGCACCAAGATAATAAACACGTACACATGAAAGCAAAGAACAAAACAATAACCTGACAAAGCCACGAGTTCCATCGAAGCAGACAAAAAAAACGCCAACCCCATCAGACAGAATCTTGAACCCCAAAAACTCAAAACTCCAATCTCCATTTCCGTGCAATCCAGCAAAGACAATGAGAGCAGTAAAGAAAAAGCGAAAATAAAATCCAAAAAAAGGGTAAGAATAACCAAGATAATCCCGCCAACACCGGTGTATGCGGAGGGCGCAACGATAGTCCCAAAAGTGTCAGGCAAGCCGCCCCGAGAAAACAAACCCAAAAACGAAACAAAGATACGAGGCGACTCAACATGTTGTACATCATCAGAGAGAAGGCCTTGGGCTTGGTAAAGCTAAGTGGCAGTCGCCCGGGCAGCATTGCTGAGCTGCCGATGATACGAGCCAATGGGCTGGAATCCACTGTTGAAAGCTGTTAGTCAAAGAATCTTTTCACAGCAGAAACACAGACACGAATACATACCGAGCCAAGTCAAAACCTCCCCCATCATCCTCATCCTCTTCACGCATCCGCTCCTCCTTGATCGGTCCACGACCCCCCATATCTCCATCAGACTGCAGCGGTGGCAGTGTGCGACTCGATCCTAGCCCATTCGATGTTCCAGGTTTACTCGGGCTCGCCAAATTCGGCGGAGGCGGACTGCTGCTCGGGAAGCCACCGATGATACGCTCGTCCGGCTCACCCTTGAGTGGACTCATGTCCGGCACGGGCCGAGCAGGCGTGCTGCCAATATCGGCAAACTTCCAGAATTGCGCGGGGGAGCTCATCGGCATGAACTTTGATGGGATCTGTGCCGTGCTAGGCGGCGGCAGGCGCGGTTGCTGCCGCTGAGGAGCGGGCGTGATCATTGATGAAGGGCCTTCGTCGTAATACGAGGACGAAAGCACGGGTGGTGACCCGGCCACGTTGTCCGACAATCCATAGGCACGGCTGAGATTGTTGCTGCTATTTTGCACGCGGCTAGAACTCGCAGTGTTACCATTGTGTGAGCGCGCGGGCAAAGGAGAAGGCTCCTCGTAGTCACGCGGATTCATGTGCCGCAGTGGGTGGTCGGACCCGACTCCACGGCCAAGGCGAGAGCCACGCTCGGGGGTATATGCCTCAACAGGGGCCACGGGGAACGAGCTGAAGCCAGGAGAAGAGACGGGAGGGGACTTTTTAGCGGTAGCCGCGAAGGAAGTGTCTAACGCCGCAACGTGGGTGCCCCGCGCGGAGGAAGGAGGTTCTTTGGTAGCGGGGGACGATGGGGCAGACGACTGTGTGCCCTTGCGCATCTGTTTCTTGCGGTATTCCTCACGGTGCTCAGCAGCAATTTGCCACTTCATTCCCTTACCAGGCTCATCAGTCCGGCGAGGCACCTTCTGGAATGCCTTGTTCAATGACAGATTGTGGCGGATGGAGTTCTGCCAGCCGCTCTGCGAGTGCCGGTAGAACGCATAGCGATCCATAATCCAGTTGTAAATGCTATTGAGGGTGAGCTTCTCCTCTTCACTAGAGAAAATAGCTTGCGCAATGAGGTTGGCATAGCTGTATGGCGGCTTCAGGTCCTTGGCCGAGTCCTTGCTGTAGTCAATCTCCTCCGTACTCTCCATCATCATGCCTCGATTGTAGAGTGGAGACTGCTTGGCTGTACGCTGTCCAACGGTATCGGGTGACCGCGGGGGCGGGGTGACCTGTCGCTTCAAGAATTGAGGTGCTGGCGCCAGCGAGGGACCACCGGAAGATGATGGCCGTACAGGCTCGGTAGCTTGCGATGCCGAGGGGTGAGCATGCTGCGGGACATCCCATGCTTGCGAAGCTGGATCAGGTTCCTGACCACTTGCAATGCGCTGGGCGCGCTCAATAAAGCTGGGCTGAATATTTGCGTCGTCGCCGGGCGTAACGAACATCATCTGGCAGTTGGCTACCTCGATGATATCACCGCAATGGAGAATAGCATCAGCGCCGCGCTTAAGAATCGCATTGTTCAGACGAACGCCATTACGGCCGTTGACGCGGATGTGCCAGGCAGGGGTCTCTTCGCCATCATAAAAGATTTCTGCGTGCAGACGGGAGACAAACTTGCTGGGGCCCAAATCAACATGGACATCGGGGAGCGCACGGGCAGCAATGGTTACGGGACTGGACTGCTCGGTCGATCTCTGCTCACGATCAGGTTCACGACCGATATTGACATGCAGCGTCTTGACGTAATAGGTCCAGTTGCGGCCGGCGATCTTGGCATATGCTTGAATACTCTGCTTGTTCTCGGTCTTGGTGTTGGAATGGTCGCGCGAGACGCGCAGTTCCTCGCGCGGGGTGTTTAGATACGAGATGACCAGGTCGACAATATCCTGGTGAGCGGATTGATCATGTTCACCTGCCGAGTCCTCGGCTTCGTCGGCGGACTCGTTCTTGACTGCATTTCGTGTGGGAGAGGCGCGGCGATCAACCTGTGGGGTTGGAGGATTTCGTCTCAGCGTTCCTTTTCGTCCTGGCGCGGGGCACGCGTGGGGGGGGAGGATTCGGTCTCAGACCAGACCTCCACTACAAATGAGACTCACCTTGCGCTTCTTTGCGGATGGGCGACTGGGTGACGAGTCTGGGGCCTCGGCGTCGGATGTTTCCTGCAGTTGAATTTCCTTGCGCCGCGCGCGACGGCGATTTGACAACGGCATCTCTCGTGTATTGTGTATTGCCGATGCGATTTTCCTTTCAGGTGTACTTTTGACGAAGTCGTATCACAAGATGTACGTGAATTCTGAAGCAAGTCGCAGACCGAATGCTGCGATCTTATTTTTTTCCCCTTGACTCGGGAGGCTGGTGTTGTGGGTGATCAAGTCAAGTCGAAAACACCGCGAAAGCACGCGGGGGGGGAAAAGGGAACGACGGGGCAAAGGCAGAAGAGGCAAAGATGCGAATAGGCGAAAAATCACAACAGAGCAAGTCTGGATCCGGATTTCAGCGGTCCAGTCTCGGAGACACGCTCAGAGGCAGAACCAAAGAATGAGGCGTTGTCCGAACCACTGATCGAGCCAATTCGCCACCGCGACTGCGTTCTAGCGGGTAAAAAAAAGAGAGAAAAAAGATACCAAGTAGACGAGAGGCAATGACCCCGGTGGATTCCGGGACAACAATAAACAAAGCAGAGATGAGCTTGGCGAGGAGGTTCTCCAAGATTTGAGGAAGTGGTGTGGCTGGAAGGTTTTGATTATCGATAATCCCTACGATCGACGCGATGGCGTCTGTTTGGGGGGTGACCGCCTTGTCGCGTGGGGAGTGAGGTCAGAGTGCCGCACCAGCCACCGGTACCGGGCGTTCCAGGAATGATGGACCGAGGGAGAGAGGGAAAAGCAGGGGGAGAAAGGGAGAAAAGAGGAAGTCTATGGGGGAGGGGGTACGGTGAAGAGAAGAGGAGACAAAGGATCCGAAGAGAAAAGGATTCACAGAGTCTTGAGAGACGAGAAAGAGGGCGTTGAAGATTAAGTTAAATGGGAAGAGCGCCCGTTTGGCCGTAAACAGTGGTGGAGTCTGGTCACGAGCGTGTATGGTATGGTCAGGACTGGAGTCCACCCAGTGTGGCTGGGTGGTGGATGGGTGGTGGATGGAGGACGACCGGAGGGTAATACCAATACCACTGCGACGGGATCCAGCGTGGGATTGAAGATGCTTCCGAGTGCAGGACGCAAAGAGACAAAGTACTACGCTGGGAAAAGGGTGGATTCGACATCAGTGGATTAGGAGTAAACAGCTATGTGATCGAGGTTCCACTGGAGACTTCTACTAAACATCAAAATGATGACTCTGTTTTGTCCGGCGGACTGTTACTGTTGACAATGATGACGCGGGCATGTTGAAATGTTTCACGCCCTGCTCTGGTGCTCTCAGAGAAAATAGGCCAAACATAATTAATCCCCTCCCGAATCACAATCTACTAGACTGACGAACCATCTCTGATCAAATGATTTAAACATTTTAAGCTTAGATCTGAATGCTTGTTCCCCGATCGCTCTCAGAGATCCTCATCCTAGTAAATCTCCAGAAATCCAGGTTGTACACAACCCACATCCGCCAGGCTAGGTCGTTTGCGTCACAGGCCCCCGGATGCAGTTTAGCCTCGCCCGTTGGAATGTTGCTTTGCCTCTTTGGGGGCTGACATGTCGATCGGGTTGGTTATCAACGGATGCCGGATCAGGATAGATGGGAAATCAAGAAAAATCCATCACCATGTAACCTGAGTCCTGTTTGGTCGAGTGGAGAGTCTGATTTCCTGCCTACTGTTTACGAGAGGAGACTAAATGGGAGAATCATACCTGGACGCAAACAACTGGACGATAAATAAACAGGGGGGTAGGGTAGCCTGCCAGGGAAGATCATACAGTACAGATGGAAACAGACCGGACCAATAGACTCGGATGGGTCCAGATCGATAGAGGTGTGGATAGACAGAGGATCAAAAAAAACATAGGATAAATGAGAGGGAAAAAAGAAATAAATATAGAGATAACATAGGAACAATGATAAAGCCCAAGGCAACAGGAAGATATAGAAATGACAAAAAGAAAAGATTGGGGGTAGTGTAGCCCCTGGAGCAGAGAGAACAAACAAAGACAGGGGTTCCCAGTACAAAACAGAACAGGTCGTGACTGCGTTAAAAAAAAAAAAAAAACCTAGAAGATGATAATTATAAATCTCCCAGGGCTTTCCGATATTTTCTACTCGTCGCCAGGCATTTTGGCATCTCCATCCTCGTCCACCGCCCGCAAGGTCGGATAGAGGACCGCCGTACCCTCCTCAGACTTGGCCGGCTCCTTGCCATGCTCGGGAGAGGCCCGAGTACTGGCCGTCTCGATACCGTCCATGGCGCCGTCACCCGAGGGAAGGGGCGACTCGTCAGCACCACTGTGGCCGGCCGAGTCTCCATCAAAGTGACCCTGCTCCAGCAGATCGGAGACCAAGCGCCGCAGGTTCTCCAGCAGTCGGACCTTCTCCACCCACGCGACATTGTCAACGCGCTCCGCCACCTCCGTAGCAGCTTGAGCGGTCCGCTGAGCAGCCTCTTGGTCGGGGTCCGGAGAAGCAGTTGACAAGGCAGGATCAATGAGACTCGACGTGATGGAGGGGTGCTCCTTGGTAGGAGTGCGCTCGCCATCGGCCGAGATATCCATGCGGTTTTCATCTCCTTCCCGCTCGGCGGGACGAGCGCGCTGCAAGGTGCCACCAGTGTAGCGGCGACGATCATCATGGTCGAATGCGCCGCTTAGGGTGGACGGGGGAGCCGCGCTGGAGGTAGTCGGGTAGCCGGCCGTCATATTGTCGGACATGGTGGTCGACGGCAGACGAGGGTACATGCCGGCACCGCTCTCATGAGGCGGCGACACGCGGTGAGTGTGAGCAAGAGAGACCGGTGACCGCTGGGATGTATATGACTGGGCGCTTGAGGGCGGCGTCAGAGCGGGAGTACCAGTGGAGGGTGAGTGGGCGGTAGCAGCCATCATAGGAGCAGAGGTAGTTGCAGTAACGTGGCTAGGAGGCAGCTGACTTGGAGGAGAGTGGGTTGCCCGATAGCTCATTCCGCCCTGCACGTAGTGAGCGCCGGGTTGAGCAACGCCGGCAGCGGCAACATTCTCGTCACTCTCGTAGATGGTGTTTTGCATCTGCTCCAAGAACTGGTCGATGTTGATCAAATCGTTCTTACTGCGGACGTTGGACATTGGAGGAAGATGGTAGGCTGGAGCATGACCACCACCAGGGCTGTAGCCACCACCACCGGCAGCTGGAACGGCAGCGGGCATAGGCTGGTACTCAGGAACCGGGCCGTTCAGAATTGGAAGCTGAAGAGCCTGGAGGCCAAGCAAGCGTTGGCCAACAGCCGCATAGGAGTTGGGATCAAATTGGCGTCGCTTCAGGTCACCGAAGAACTCGTTCAGAGCATCATATCCACGCTTGCGATCGTACGACTGGGTACCATCGTGGCCCTGGCTCAGCGCATAGTATACATTGCCATACGAATGAGGGTTGGCGGCCGGAGGAGGTGGGTGGGCCTGGTAGTACTGGGGAGCTCCATGAGAGTACGCGGCGCTCGAAACGCCGTTCATGGGCCCCTCAAAGTAATGCGTGGCAGCAGCATATCCTGGACGTCAATTAGCCGGGGTCATTCCAATGCCCTCAGCGACAGCAGGAAACCAGGGAGGGGGAAACAATGACTGGCCAGACTGGGGGATCCTGGGGGAGCCCAGTAGGAGGAGGGTCGGGCGTTCCCAACCCGGTCGGATCAAGAAGAAGCGCCAGTAGAGGGAGAGCAAGAAATCCAAGACGAACCTTTGGGGTTCTGGGGGAACATCATATCCGGGTGGTGATGGTGCTTAAGGCCCGGCTCCGGGGATCGGATCTCGGAGTCATCGGCATGGGTTTTGACGTGCTTCTTCAGATCTTGAGGCCGCTTAAAGGCCTTACCACAGAAGTCACACTTGTGCGGCTTCAAGGGGACATGCACGCGAATATGGGAGGTGATATGGTCGCGCTTGACGGTGGTCGTGTTGCAGTTGCCCCATTGGCAGGTCAAGTTCAAGTTGTTGGTGCTTTTGCGGCCGACATGGCGCTCGCAGACATGTTCCTGTACGATAGCCCATAGTCAGGAATACGAAGCCCCCAAATTGTGGGCAACAGATGGCAGAGTATCACTTACGTAGAGTGTTTCAGCAGAGGTACACTTCTCGGTGCAACCCACCCACTGGCAGGGGAGTTGCTCTCCGGCGCCGTTGAGAGTGCTGTTGACGGCGGCGGTCGCAGCGGCAGCCGTGGCTGTCACCGACGCGCTCGGCGTGGTGGTAGCCTGCGCAACTGCAGGCTGCTCGCTAGCAACGGGTACTGGGGCGGGCGCAGCCTGGGGCGTTGAAGTTGGGGGAAGAGTGTTTTCGGACATGATGCCAAGAAAATGTCTTGTCGTGTCTGGCGGGAATTTTGCCCAGGCACGGTGAGAAAGGAAAAACCACGTATACCGGACGCCGTCAATTCAACAGCAATGCGGGTACACACTCAGTCCCAATAATGAATATAAGTTTGGCCAGGGTTGTATCCAACAGGACTTCCAAGGACAAGGAGAAAGGAATATAGAAGGATGTAGGAGGGAGAAAACGCGTGCCTAGAAGAAGAGGGAAGAGGGAGAGAGGAAAACTGGGGGAGGAGGAAGGGGAGGGGGAAAGTCTTGGGTCTTGGGTAGTCTTGGGTAGTCTTGGGATTTTCTTGGAACTCTTAGGCTGTCTCTCCGCACCGGGGGGGGGGTATCGCTAACTGAGAATGGGAATAATTACCAAGGCCAATAATCCTTGCCAATGCCCGTCCGCAACATTCAGGGAGGAAAGAGCCGAGCCTTTTGCCCAGGAAAAGCCTTGGGACCGGGCGGAGGAGCAGCCAAGGGGAGACGACAAGACCGGGCCAAGACTGTTGGGGCTGCGGGCCTGGCGTTTTAGTGGAGCCTGAGGGAAATATGATTGGCTGGCTGGCCGCGAGAACGAGGGGCTGTGCATTCCGAGGATTTTCCAGGCTACAACTGGTAACTGGCAACTGGTAAGACACGCGAGAGTAAGAGACGCGAGAGTAAGACGCAGAAGTAACCACTCGGTAAGGAGGAAGAGGAAGTGCTGGTCAGACAAAGTGTGTTTCGGAACGTATATGTCCTCCGGAGTGCTCCAGTACTCATTTAGGGGCTATCGCAGCAATAATTGACCACAAGAGCAATAGATCCATCCACCGTTTACAGTGACTATCTGTCTATGGAATAACTCCCTGGCTCCTGTATTGCTCTGTTGGCTATTCTCAGAACACACCCTTCTTTCGTATTCCTAACACTACTGTACAACTGCTCGCCTACACAACCGACACAAATACTCCCCGGGCCCAAATCCAAGCTCCCAATCGCACGCCATCCTCGGCTTCCGGCCTCGTAACTCATCAGCCAATAATCCGCCCACCCCCTTCCTCGTTTCGAGGAGTATGAATCATAATTCGTGCAAAAAATCCATAACACGTAAAGTGTAAAAAAGTGGTCATCTGTACCGGGGCCCAGACGCCTGCCAAGACCCCCCTCAGCCATGGCGATGCGCTTCTTGGCAGCCAAGGTTTTCCTTTTTGCCAATTCCCGCTCCGAGCACCAAGGCCCCCTCCCTTTCCTCCGTGTGACTTGGCACTGGGTACCTATCTGATTATGTGCTTTGGTGTGGACTGACGGAGGAGAATGTGTTTCCGATTTCCGGCGAGGGAATTGGATGTATTAATCTCGCTGCCTGGATTGCCTGGATTCCCTCGGGATTGGGGGATTCATGATGCAGGAGTGGTGGACGGGGCTCTGCGAGGGGGCCATTGCTGTGTATTATAATAGGATATGGGATATTCTCTCTTAGATCAGATCAAGCTGATTTGAACGATTAGAAGGAGACCGTTTGATGCCAAAATCAAGTCTAGTATTCTTTATGATATTACAGATCGCTTGTCTATGGTATATACAAATCTATGGTTACAATGATACAATAACTTTACAGAAAAAGTCACACCAGGCCACCCTTGCAGTGGCACCACGCCTGTACAACACCCAAGCATTCCCGCCCTTGGCCAGGAACTCCCCAAGGCCCCAAGGACTAGCCTGGGAACGAGATCAAACCAAGGACCAACCGAGTCCCACAGACTCGACCTCTCACCCTGTTCTCATCTCTCTGCGGTCATGCAATTCACCGATTCACCGACCAGCCCTCCTCTTCGGCGGCTGATACCAACTCCAAATATTCAACCCTACCTTAGTCCCCTTCGTAACCGGATACGCCGCATGCCACGTCTCAGGATACCCAGTCCCATCCGCCCTCAAATTCTCCCAAAAGATCGCATTCCCCTTAATCGGCTTGAACGTAATCCCTTCCTCCAGCCCAGCGCCACCACTCTCACCATCCTCACACTCCAAAAACCGACACCAAGTCCTCCCAACCGGCCTCTTCAACCGCGGAAAATTCGTGCCCCCACCCTCGCAGTCCGCCCCCAGATACACCATGAACGTGCTCAGCCGGTCACCCCCGCGCGCAAGCGAGCCCGTCCAGTCATAGTGATGGCGGTAGTGGCCGGAGGCATTGTAGCGCTGCGCCCACATGCGCTCGATGTAGAGGTGCGGTCGCCAGCCTTGGAAGGCGCGGGCGCGGTCCTCGAGGCAGCGGACTGTGTCGTCGCGGTCTAGGAGGGCGCGGTCGGAGAGGCGTTTTGCCGGGTCGATGCGTTCGGTGACGCCGTCGTAGATTATTGAGGGGGTGTATTTGTTTAGACTGGTGGGGTAGATGGGGATGCGTTAGCCCTTTTTGTTTTCTTTTCCTTTTTTCTTGCTTCTTCCAAAGAGGTGCGAATAGGGGAAATGGCGAGGTAAGTACCTGATGTCAACTAGATGATCTGCCTCGGCGGCGCTCACAAAGTTCTCAATGTACAAGACGAGCGGTGCCCTTGACAGCAGATGCACGCGGTACCCTTCAGCCTCGCCGGGACAATTGGCTGGGACCCCGTCCTCGGGACTGATAAAGCTGTCGTCCGTCAAATGCAGAGTTGACGGGGCATGATCCCATTCCTCAAAGGTATCTGCGCCCTGGTCTTCATCCCACGAGGGCGAGGAAGAGTTGCCCGGAAAGAATGACCGGATCAGCGGGTCCAGAACGAAGATGTATACGGGCACGAAGTAGAGGAGCCAGGTTATAAAGGTGGAGAGCTTTGGCGAGGATGATGCCATTGAGTGTCGATGTGAGGTCCGTCGGGTGGTTGGGTATATTATATATGCGTGGGAATGGTGAATTTCATATGCTTCGAACAATAATGCAATATTGTAAAGTTGGTTGAGAAATTGGCGAGTCGGTCGTTAGATATTGGTCTTCATGCGACGGCGGAGATGGGCGGGGATGGATGAGGGGGGCCGTAGAGGGGTCAATTGGTCGTATGGGGATTTATCGGTGATCGCGAGAGGTATGCGATTGAGAACCAGCGAGTATAATCGTGCTGGAAGGGCCGTAGGCCATGTTGGAGGGAGTCTCGAGTGTCGAAGGTGGTCCGATGGAGAAGATGTCCGGACTTACGAGGCGATGTGGGTCTGGATCCGTCTGGTCTAAACCGCTCATGGTAGGTGACTGAGGATATCGTCTTCTCCGGATAAAAGTCAATGAGAGAAGAGAGAAAAAGTAAAATTGAGACGAGATGCAAAAAGACTATCCGAGATCAGATGAAGTCAAGTCATATACAAGGTGGCGGCTCTATTTGGAAATCATAGCATTCGCTGAAACTATACTATTCATTTACTGCGATTCAACGCCAACACTGATCCAGTTCCAAGGTGACTGTCCAAGAAAACTTTTTTCAAAAGCTCGCCCCATCCAAGATACAAAATCAGATAACGCCAGCCAGGTATAAACAAGATTTTCTTTTTCTGCATCCTTTCATAAGTGCATGTCGTCGTAGCAAGCAAGAGACCTTTATAGAACAGGTAAATTAACCATAAAAATACTATCCATCGGCGAACGCTAGACTCCGGCATTCATCCATTGAGTCCAGTCATCGTTGGCTGCGCCAGCGCCGGGTCGGAAAGTCGCGTTGTTGCCAAACAGATCGTCAAAGGAAATACCCAGATCCATATTCATCCCCAAGGCGTTCTCATCAAGGCCCACATTGAAGTCGGGTAGCCCATTCTGAGGAGCAGTGTCCTGCTGCATCGTGCTCATCGTGGGGTCATTATTAGCAGTATCCCCGTTTGATGGCTGGAAATTATATCCTTGCCACACGAAGTTCTGATTGGGGATGGAAACCAAGTCCGGACTGCTGAGGTGTTCGCTGGGGGTCCCGCCTTGCGAGATTGGGGAGTGTAGTCGCGAAGGATTCATAGGTTGAGTCGTAGGCTGTTGCAAGCGGCTGGGAATAGATGACTTCATCCCTGATGCGGTGCTCATGGGGAAGTTGGAGAAGTTGGCAAACGCATCGAAACTGGGCGTAGATAAACCCGTTCCTGACGGGTCACTTGGTGTGTTTGATCCCATGCGTGGATGCTGAGAGGGAGAATCGAATGGCGGTTGGGTCAGCGCGGCACTGCTGCGCTCATGTTTGAAGTGATCATCTTCTAGTGTAGACATGGGTTGTGTGGGATAAGCAAATGGATCGTCAGATGGGAACATCATGGGCATCAGATCTGGTAGATTGTTGGGGTTGTTGAATTGCTGAGCCCAGGCCAGACTTGACGGCTCTTGGCTGGAGAAAGAAGCGTTGTACGAGCTCGCAGAGGACGGTTCTGGTGTAGACATGGTCTCGGTCAGGAGCTCTGGCGTTGACGCCAGCCAAGAGGACTGCGTACCGCTTTCGGGCTGTCGATTGCTGACCGGCTGAGTAGTGTCTAAACTCTTTTGGCGACGGGTGGCAGTAGGATTCGCCGCGGACGGCTGAGCCATCATTTGCGCGGGGAATGTGCTCGAGCGATGAGGCAAGTCTTGCACTGGCTGGTTTTGAATAGACTTTGGTTCCATCGTAAAGTTGGAAGGCGCTGGCCGTTTGAGGTTAATAGGAGCCTTGGAGCTTTGGCGGTTCTTCAGCATCTCCGGTAGAGTTTTGAAGAGGCACTGTGGATTTGGTTAATGTCAATGTCGCCATAACGAGCAGGAAAAGACGTACTGTTAGACTCTGGGAGCACCTGTCCGCTGCCATACTCTTCTTAGCCAGCCCAGCTAGTGTGTTTTTGCCTTCCATAGCATCCTTCAAGACACCATCCTTGGCAGTGGGCGAATCGGGATTCTCAACGACGAAGAAAATGAGAGAAAGAATGGCAAAGTAGGTCGTATACATCGTGAACCAGAACGAGCCGTTGAGAAGTCCCCTCTTGTGCATGCCCGTTGTGATATGGACAATGTTTCGGGATACACTAACGCAAGCTGCTGCACAAGCATAGGAGCGCTTATCGACGCCACGGGCTTGGGAGCCGCCGGATACATAATGTAAGAAGGGTCGATACATGACCATTTGTACATGCGCGTAACTGATACGCAGCAGTTGACGGATTCTGATGAGGGACGAATCGATTAGCCAGATTCGCAGTTGAAGGGAGTGAGAACTATCATAATTTAGACATACCGTTCTAGTTGGGGGGACACTTCTGTGCCCGGACGCAGCGCTGGAGGGAGTTCTTCCATCCAGGCCTGGAGATCACGCTCAATTTCTCGGATCTTGGAATGGCTGACCATATAGCGCTGATCCGACTTGGACCGATAGCGCGCATTCTTCACCGGGTAAATATATTTCACCACTTTCAGCACCACGTTGCAAAGGCGTGTATGCGCATTACATCCGGCCATCAGTGGGGTATAATCGGTAGGCATTTGCATGATGCCCTCCGCAGTAATGAATTCCCCATCCACTTCCATTGGATATTCCTGATCGATGTCGTCGTCGCTCAGCATTTGAGGGAGACCCAGCAAGGTGCTAACATAGACGTCCATCTTACGGATAACCCAGAAGATACGCTTGCGCAGCTCTCGCTCGATCGGATTGAAGTCAGCCGTGACGGTACGGTGGAGACCCAATCGTAGCGCTGATCGAAGCGCGATACCTACATAGGAGTAACAGGTACTCAACTTAGCAGATGACTGGAGGAAAAGCACCATGAAACAGATTGCCTGAAGAGAGGTGAGATCTCGACAATCCGTAATTTCCAGCAACTGCCGTCCGGCTTTGAAGAATTGGAACCTGCAACAGAACGGTTAGCATTCCCGCACCTACATCGGGTGAAAAGGCGTTGAGAGTTGACCTACCCTTGACCAATCGCACCCTCGTAACCAGCCAGATCCAAAGTTCCGGCACCGTCATCTGAGAACAGACACCCGACCGCCATAACAATGTACAATAGAGGTAAAAACGAGTTCTCCTCATTGCCGAATTGCTCAGGGGGAGTTTCATAGATGCGGTCCAGACTCGCAAAGAATTTAGGTTCGATCACGAAGCGCATGAGAGAGCAGGCATCGTCCAAAGCATTGTGACACAATCGAACAGCGACCGCCCGCGGGGGAAGGTCGTGTGTAGGAGGTAGAGAGGCATCTTGCGGGGAATCGGATACCGACACTGACCTTGGACTTTCGAGCATCGCCGTCACGTTGCGAGGAGCGGGCGGTTCAACCGCACCCAGTTGTTTGCGCAGGCGGCGGACGAAGATGATTCCCGAGGTGTGTCCATGGTAGTCCCAGTGTCCCTGATCATCGCGGTCCAGACAGCCCGTGTTCCCGACCATCGTCTCCAGCAGGGACTCGTCACCGGCTTCTGGGCCGGTCTCCATGGACGTTCCATGGGGTTTGGCGGCAACTCCGCCGGCCGCCGCTTGCTTGTCCTTGCGGTGGAGTGGTAGACGGTATTCGGGGGCGTTGACGTCCAGATTCGGGTCGTCGAGATTGACATCCGGCAGGACCGTCCGCAGGAGGGCCTCGGCCTTTTGCATGCGGGCTTCCAGGGCTTCGACATACTGCGGGGCAGGGTTGCGACGACGGTTGGAGGGTTGGTCGTACGAACACTCTACAGGACGTTAGCCACGTGTTGGTGGGACAGGCAAGGAAGCAGGAGAAGAGAGCAAAAAAAGTAACGAAGAGCGGAGAGGGCGCACCATAGCTGTAGACGGTACAGTGAGTACAGGGCTGTTTGCCGTCACACTTGATCTTCTTCCGGCGGCATTCGTCGCAGGCGCGACCTACTCGTCGGCGCTTCTGTAGTGGCAGAGATTGAGGGGTGGATTTGGGGTCTGTGGAAGGGGTTTCCTGGGTCGAGGCGAATAGCGAAGGGTCGGCATCGTCATGCAGGTAGTCATTCGGGGCGGGATCGTCATCGCTATCACCATGCGCTCCGGCACCACTCGCCATGATGGGACTACAGTATATTCGAGAGGGGCGACCGGTGGGATTATTTATTCATGTAAGGAGCACGGCGGGCTTGGCGGGCGATCCGATCTAAGTGAATTAATCGATATCGCCCTCCTTGTGGTCGCATTCGTAGAGAGTAGTAGGAGCGGGGGATGGAGCGACGAAGAGGCAATGATAGCCGATTAGTCGATGAGTCGAATGGTCGAGTCGGATAGTGTGAGGGATGGATGGGGGATGGAAGTGTAGAAGGAGGGACGAATGAAAAGTGGAGTCCAAAAAGAAGAAGTTGAGCAGATCGTCGAACGGGTGTAGCTCACGGACCAGTTGAAGGAGAGACCGTGTCCAGGCGGAAGGAGGGGGGGAGGAAATGAATAATGGAGAGGATTAGAAATTGGGGAAGGGACCAAGGATGATGAAAGAAGGAACTCCTTTGCCCGAAAGCGGTGGGTGAGAAGCAGAAACCAAGGAAACCCAGGAAGAGGAGGATTCAGTTCAACCGTTAAGGTTGGTGATGGGACTTGGGAGATTATTCCAGTTCCAGAGTCAAGAGATGGTCAAGTCGGACGACCCCAAATTGGAGAGAGAGGGGGAGAAAGACAGAAGAGAAGAGGACGAGGCTGAAAGGGAGACAAGAATAATAATCGTCCGGACGTTCGTACTAGTTAAGAGACTAGTCGCGAGAGAAGAATCATCGAAGGCCACTAGAACGGAACAGACCAGAGGACTCCTCAAGGTAGGACTCCTGACTCGCAAACCATGTTCGACGCAGTCGACTCGAGGAGGAAAGCTAAGTTCTCAGCGCAACTTCCGTCGGAGTCATGGACCTTGCCCAAAGATACATCATCCATCAAGATCCATGTACTCCGTACTCTGTCCTATTACAATGTATTATGTGATTACATCAAATATTCCGATTGACCAACCGCGTACCTTTTGTTCGTACGTCGGGATTTACCAGCGCGCGAGTCCGACGCCCTGTGCACGGGATCTTCTGTACTCGGAGTAGTAGTATACTAGTAGAACTAGTAGTCCAGTATGTACGCTTGTACAGTACCTAGCTTGAGGCATTTTCCCAGACTTGGCCTCGGCTTGAGAGCGGATCTTGAAAATTTCAGGGACCCAGTCATCTGAGAAAGCACGACGACGATTCGGATTAGTTATCACATTATGACTGGTAGGGGAGTACCTCCTATGGAGAGCCAGCGCGTAACTACGGTCTCCACTACTCGGGCAAACCCCATCAACTCGGCCTCGGCGATCCTGGCGAAAAGGCCGAGTAGCTCGATGAGTCGATCGGATTTAAGAGATCAGGTCTGGTGATGGCTCGAAAGATCATTCCCGCTTTCTACAGTACTTATATACCGAGAGCCTTGTATATACCCTGTATAGCAGCAGGATTCATAAGTTAACTTCCAACTTATCTCGTCAGCCACACCTTATGGAAGATTAATCAAGAGACTTTGCCTCAACCGTTTAGCAAGACGATTCTAAAGAAATTCAAGAAAGAGAGAAAGTTTAATTGTATCTTCACCGGTCGCTATTCCAGAACCTTGAACCACCTCGTATTCGTAGAGGCACGCATATCGATTACCACATATCATAGATCAAAAGGCGTCCCAGCACCAACCTTATAAGGCACCTCGAATCGGACCCTCGCGTAATGATCCAAACCGGCCGGGGCGCATGTCGCATGCTGCATGGGTCCTCGTTGAATTGCGAATCCAACCATCGGTGGATTGGCTGCGATCGCCGAACATCAAGCGCTTTAAACCCCGCGGGGCATATCTCCGTGGAGGTGAGGGTATTGCGGATATTGCGGACCGCTACAGTTGATCCCGTGAGGCCTGAGGCTTGAGGCATTTTGGTGAGGTTATATCCCTCTCTTGAGTTAAAATTTACCATGGTTGGTGTTTTCCATCTCCCCGACTCTTTCCCGTTGTGCGAGGGGCCGTCCAGGCCAGGGACTAAAGTCTCATTTCTTAATTGCAAAGAAGTATAATACCAAATTAGCTACCATGGGGAACTTGGGGGTCTTATGAGATCAGTTCTATTCTTTTGGGGCATAGAAGAGAGAAGGTCAAGGTTGACAGGATATACCAAATTATTATTCCCGAAGGAAAGGTCATGGCAAAACTCACGCTGATGGATACCCTTGGCGAATCTAAATAACTATGGCATCAAGACGGCAGGAGAAGAGAGTCCCTCATTGGGCTTGGACGCCATCCATCTGCATGTTCCTAGATACGTTCGAAATGCATCGAATCAGGTCACTATTCATTCGAAACCGTTTTAAAGGGTAGTAGATCACTTGTGATTCCCTGGCCTAGAGACGTGCCATGCCAGGAAACGACCAGGATGGGACTGCAATTGTTGGGACCTGCAGAATATCCGACTCCTCACTGCGACGCGACCTGGCATCCAAGACGCGTCCTTCGATCATGCCCGTCGCGAAGGGATCAGTCATGCAGAGGAGAAGAGATTCTGCGACAGTAGATTCCCTCCTGTGACGCGCCCAGGAATGCCATCGCACTCTCCCGCGCGGGGTGGCTGACATGCGCCTGATTCTGAAACTCCCTGTCAGTGTCAGCACAACGGGGAAGAATGGAGAGCCCTAGAACATCAACGATTCAACCCAACCATGCAGGCTCACATAACTCCCTACCAGCAGTGACACTAAGCAGTTGGCCTGATCGCTGGTCGCCAAGAGCCGTGGCGTGAACCAATTTGCGCCCCCAGAACGCCCAGGGTCCAAGCCATCTCCAAGAGGGCGTTGTCATTTAAGCTCATCGTCAGCCCTGCAGCGCCCCCGACTTTCGGCGTCATCGCCAAAATTATGATGAACCAGAAGGATAAGAGAGGGAGGTACTAAAAGGAGCCAAACAAGGTACTGTACTGATCACGCTAACGACTTGGCACTCTGCACCTCTGCAGGGGAAAAAAGGTTAACAGGCCATTAGCAAATTCAGCTCCAGCGGGTCCCTCGCGTCTCACCTGGCATTCTACTGTAGCTGAAGGAGTTGATGATCTCCATCGTTTCTAACTTTATCCGTGCCTTACTGCCCACCCAAAGCGCTACTCGCTTTGGGTGCGCCATGGTTTCTTCGCAGTAACAGTTTCTTCGAAGTAGTACTTTTTTGTATAGCGTCACCATACAAAAGGTACATTATTATGTTAAATCGTTTTTTAGATATAACTATTTAACGAGTCGGGACTTCTACTTGAATTCCCCTCTAAATATAGATATATATCTCTTCTAGCTACCTCTTATTTCTTAGATGGAAATTACGCTTAGAAGGGTATCTAATTTGTCCGTTTATTTTTCCTCTAAGAAAAATTTACTATAAGGAACTTTCAAGAACGATTTTTGACCCTTATTCTAAGCTAAACCTATAAATTACTATGGCACTAAGTATAAGCTACCTTGAAATAATATTATTATTCTATTAGATTTAGACCTCTTCTAGTAAAATACTAAGATATTCGAGAAAAACTAGATTTGTTAAGTAAGTAGCTTTTGTATAGTCAGGCTATATAAAAGGTACATTACGAAGAAATTGTGAATTACGAAGGAACCGTGGCGCACCCAAACCGCTACCCGGTTTGGGTGGGCAGAAAGGCACGGATACCCCCGGGCACGTCCCACTTTCCCCAGGGTGGATACATTATTCACGAACGCGAATGTAGCTTCCCTGTCGTTGGAATTCATTAGTGCTTATTTGTGATTTCGGGTCTGATTGATGATCGCTGATTGCCGATCTTTTTGCTGTTCGATCAGTTCTCATCAGTTCTTATATGTGTTTAGACCCCCCGCCCCCCCCTTTTTTTTCCATAGTAGATCTTCTTCGAAGACGACCATCTTTTCACCAAATGGCCGAGCTGGCCATGAATTCACAAACCGGCATTCACAAAATAGCATCATGCCTTATGTTGTCGTCACGCTATGCTGCGCCTTTGCAGCCCTGGGCTCATTCTTGTTCGGCTATGACTCCGGCGTGATCTCCTCGAGTATTGAGCAGGATGCCTTCTTGAAATATTTCGGCTCCCCATCGGATGCTGCGAGTGGAGGGATTATCTCTTCGTATACAGGTGCGGCAGTCCCAATACACTTCCCCCCCCTGGAAATCTATCTGGCTCGGAAATCAATCATCTAAAACTGGAGAATAGGTGGCGCAATTATTGGGTCCCTACTGGCATCCTACATCTCGGATTTGCATGGACGCCGCATGGTCATTTTCATCGGCGGACTACTTGCTACGTTAGGCGCGGCGCTGCAGGGTGGTGCAGTCACCGTCGCGATGCTGATCGCTGGCCGATTCATCGCAGGTTGGGCCATTGGGTTTATGTCGGCTACGATTCCTGTCTACTGCGTATGTCCACCACATTTGGCGCTAGTCTTGGTTGTATCTATTGCATTGGCTAACTCCCAACAAAGAGCGAGGTTGCGCCGCCACGCATTCGAGGCTTACTTGCCAGTATGCAGCAGTGGATGATTGGATTGGGCATTATGGTGGCCGTAAGTGGCAATCGTCCGTTGCAGAGCTTCATTCTAACGACATCTCCTCAGCAATGGGTCGGCTACGGATGCTCCCTGCACACCGGCAACTTTTCCTGGCGCTTCCCACTATCCTTCCAAACAGCACCCTCCGTAATCCTCGTTTGCGGCGTCTGGTTTCTCCCCGAGTCCCCACGCTGGCTAATCGAGCACGGTAAAGAAGAAGCCGGTCGAGCAGTCCTCACTCGGCTACATCTAAACAGCAATGCATCCAACCAGGGGCTGGTCGAGCGCGAGCTCACCCAAATCCACCAAAGCGTCGCCTCTGAGAAGCAACTCGCTGTCCGCTCCTGGCGCCAACTCTTCTTCTCCCGCCAATGGCGCTATCGTATCCTCCTCGCATGCGGTCTGCAAGCCATGACCCAATGCTCCGGCGCAAACGTTCTCCAAAACTACGGACCTCGACTATACAAGACGTTGGGTCTGTCCACGTCTACTTCGCTCATGATAATCGGTGTCTGGGGTGCGCTGGCGCAGTTTTGGAATACCCTCTTCATGACCTTCATCGATAAGATTGGCCGGCGCAAATTGCTGATCCCGTCCCTGCTGGGTACCGGTGCGGCGATGTGTGTTGAGGCTACTCTAGCGCTGTACGTCGATTTCAGCGATGCCAATGCCAACAAGGATGCGCTGCGCGCAGCTATCGCCATGTTCTTCGTTTTTTCCTTGTTTTTCACGGCCCTAGGCATGATATCCTGGATCTACCAGTCTGAGATTTTCCCGACGGCCATTCGTGCTCGAGGATCGTCCATTGCTACGGCGACGAACTGGAGTTTGAATTTGGTTTTCGCGCAGTGCTCGCCCATTGCGCTGACTCGGATTGGCTCGGAGTATTTCTATTGCTTTGTTGCGTCTAATTGGGCTGCTATTTTTATTGTCTGGTTTTGGTATCCTGAGACGGTTGGGCGGTCTCTCGAGGAGGTTGAGGAAGTGTTTGTCGGTCAGACTCGTGATGCCGAGCCTGAAGTCACTCATGCTGGTTTGGGGAGCCCAAAGTATGAGTGGAAGTCGCGATCACTTCTCCGGCATAAAGGTATTCACCCTTTGTCGATGCATCCAATGATCAACGGGAGTTGGAGTAGCAAGAGTGGTTCGTCGCCTAGGTTATGGAGTAAAGAGATCGGTGATGTGTAATTAAGACAGTAAAAAGAATCTATACATCATTTTGAAGAATGCATCAGCTGTATTGCATACTTTGTACATTGATTTTTTTTTCTTGTATAATTATACAGTCCATTGATGCTGGCCATCTATTGATTGATGACATCCCGCATCGTGTCACCAATGGCATCGGCGCCACCACCACCGCCCAGCAGCTTTTCATTTGTCGTCTGAATGATGACTCGGCGGTAGGTGATCAACGCAGGTGATCCATTATCCTTCACCTCCAGGATCAGATGCAAGAGCTGACCCTTGGGCACAGCAGCCCGACTAATGAGCTCCACACAGCACTTCTCGGGCGGCGGAAGCGTAACCTCGACAATGCTGCCAGCCTCGTTCAGCGGCTTGATGTCCAACTGACCAACCTCATGATGAACGGACCACTGGGTCGCACTGGGGTCGCGGTACTGATACCATTTGAAAGTAAGAGAGTCGTTCGGATCGGGATCATACGAGGCAGAAGCATCAAGCTTGAATGTCGTTCCGGCCTCAAGCTCAAATTGCAGCGGCTCAAGACCCGTGCTACCATTGATATCCACGACAGGGTGATGATTTACCTTGTTCAGCTGCGGTGAGAGCGACCACTGCATGCGAGCCGCAAAATCATTCTGGAATGCATCGCGCCAGCGCCAGATAGTGGCTTGATTGGATTTGTACTGCCGGCCATCCTTGCCAGTGACTTCATCAACAGTATCGCTGAAATGCCCATTAGTCACACCCTTGCCACTAATATCCGTCGGGATATAACGGCCACCCCAGGACCCAAACTCAGGGCGTTCGGGGACGCCGAGCCCGTTCTGAATCATGTATAGGAAAGTCGGGGTGTCGCCCTCGGGAATGAACATAAAGTCAGGATATGTAGAGCCTAGTGGTCCGATCTGAATGTGCTCTTTGATCCACTCCTTGCTGATCTTGGTCGGGTCGGGACCGCCCTTGTCGAAGCCGTACCACCCGTCACCGGAGATTCCAGTCCATGCAGCCATGCCATACTGGTTCCATCCATGGACGGAGCAGATGTAGAAAATGTCTGGGCAGTGGTGGCGGATCCAGGCGCCCGTGTCGTCCTGATCGGAAATTGTGTAGACACGCAACTTGGAGCGCAGCTTGGCGGCGTCGGCGGCGGAATGGGTTTTGTGGATTTTAAGGAGGACGGAGGCGAGTACGTTGGTTCCTCCCCAGCAGAGAATCCAGAGAGGGTCATCTGTTGGGGCCTGGATGCGCTCGAGGAGCAGTTCGCCGCCCTCGCTGAGGGGAATGTCGTCGCCCACTGCAGTCATGCCGTAACTCTGCAGTACTACTGTGTGAGTTTATAAAACAAAGTCCCACGGGGTTTGGGATTCTTACCTCTGCGCCCTTCTTGATCAAAGATCTCAAGTACTGTGCTGTGGGGTAGGGGTCGTTCGGATGGGCGTGAGCGTTGAGGTTATCGACAACCTTCTCATAGCCATCGACAATCTTGTGCATGTCCTGCGGACAAACCTTGTTCTTCATCCATGTCGATGTACACGCAACCAGTCCCTCGGTCTGGAACTGATTTGAGTACAGCAGATACCGCACTAGCGATTCCGCATCATCAGGCTCATTAGAGATATCGCTCAGGATGAAGACCCGCGGCTTCGATGGGAAGGTCTGTAGCTTGGAGGGAGATGCCATTGTATGATGAGGGTAGGTTGAATGATCAATGTGCACAACACAGCTCGTGAAGGTTGGCCATATTTGAATTCAGCCAAACCCCCGCACACTTCCCGGAACCGCAGTTGGAGCCACCAAGCCCCGAGTTCGAGAAGAGTGGAGAGGGAGAGAAATGGAAGGGACGGCCCGGAGAGATGCCGGGGTTCTGCCGAAGACCAGATCCCACATGATCCAAACGAGAAGTTGCAACCGCCAGAGGCCGAATTGCTTCAACGCTGCACCGTACTAGCCGTGCCTGGGGATCCACTTCGGCCCTTCGATTCGGCATGGCTGACCAGCAAAACTCTGTTGAAAACGTGCGTCACTGCTACTGGGCCGTTCTTCTGAGGACGGTCTTTTTGTCCGGAGTCGGACCATGCGTCGCACGTTGCGGGGCCCCAGGCTCGTTTGGAGGTTTCCAGTTTCCCCCAGCGTTGCCCCAGAAGTTGTCGGATTGGACCGGAAAAGGTTGAGGACTTGAGGTATATCCAACCACCGACCAGTCAGTATATAGGACACCAAACCCCGGCTGCCGACCCTACCAAGATGCGCTAATCGCTTGTGGCTTTCTCGTGGCTTCCCGTTGATTCCTCGGGTCTTATTGCTGCCAAAAAGATGTTCGATTCAATTAAGCAGTCCGCCCTCTACCAGGAGCTTAGCCTCCGCCTGGTCTTCATTGGGTGTTTCGTCTCCCTGGGAGCCATGGGCTTTGGTTTTGACAACTCCTGGTGGGGAGGCGCTCTTGGTCTATCGCCATTTGGCAAGAAATATGGTTCGTGGGACGCCGCCGAGAATGACTATAGCATCCCGTCGGAGAAGCAGTCAGCTGGTACAGGTACCGGCTCGGCCGGTATCATCGTCGGCTGTCTGGTTGCGCCTTGGCTCTGCTCGACGCTCGGTCGCAAGCCGACCCTGCTGGTCATGGCCGGCATGTTGGCCATCGGAGTTGTGCTCGAGGCGTCTGCTGTTACGTCCTTCTGGCAGCTGGTCGTTGGTCGCATTGTGGTCTATTCTGGAATTGGTCTCGCCTCCAATGTGGTTCCTATGTATCAGTCAGAATGTGCACCTGCAAAGATTCGAGGTACGTGAGTTTTTTGTCTTCGTGATTAATGCAATGGCTAACTAATTTGTTACAGGTGCATTTTTGACTGCGTACTCATTCTGGAACACTTTTGGTTCCTTCTTGGGTACCCTGGTTGTCTATCTATGTCAGAACTTGACAAATGAGTGGGCCTACCTGTGAGTACATGAAGATACAACCAAGCAAGAAAAGCATTGAGATATTAATTTCGACACCAGCACCGTAATCCTCTGCCAGCTCATAGTTCCACTTGGAATCCTCTGCTCATACCCTTTCCTTCCTGAAACCCCACGTTATCTGGTTTATCGAGGACGGTTTGAAGAGGCCGAAGCAGCGATTAAAGATCTCTACGGGCCCAACTATAATGCGGCAGAGGAGGTTCAGCTCTTGCGGCTTCAAGTTGAGGAGCAAAGAGAGCTACACAAGGCCACCAGTGTCATGGATTGCTTCAAAGGTTCTAACTTGCCACGAACTATTGTCGCCATGGGTGTTCAGATTCTGCAACAGGCTCAAGGAATCTCTTTCATCAACAATTTCATCGTCACATTCATGAAACAGCTAGGCTTTGCCGACCCCTTGAAATACAACGTGATCGTCATTGCATGCGGACTGGTCGCCAACGTCATCTCCTTCTACACCTTTGACAAGATCGGCCGACGCACCAACATGTTCTGGGGTGCTTTCATCATGGGAGCCATGATGCTGGGCGTGGGTGGTACGACTGCTAATGGCTACTCAGTCCTCTCCCCGATGACCCAAAACGGCTGCGTTGCCATGCTGGTCCTATGGTACTTCTTCTATGGTCTGTCGTGGGGCCCTGGCGTGTGGATTCTTGGTGGAGAGATTGGAACTGGCCAGTTGCGCGAGCACACGCTGCTTTTGTCGTCGCTGGGTAGTTTCGTCACCTCTGTCCCCATCAACTTTGTCAATCCCTACGTCCAGGCTGCTATTGGAGGTCGTACCGCGATCATCTACGGCAGTTTCTCTGTAGCTGCGATGGTGTTCGTTTACTTCTTGCTGCCGGAGACCAAAAATCGCTCGCTGGAGGAGCTTGACGAGATGTTCCAGCAGAAGATTCCGACACGCAAGTTCAAGGGCTATGTATGCACTGGCCTGGGTGCTCAAATTCGGCAGCTTGAAAATAAGGAGGATGTGGCAGAGATGAAGAGTAAGGAGATTGAGCATGTGGAAGCTGCGCTGTGAAGAGATTAGTTTTTTTAAGATCAGATTTGCCTAGGTATACACTACTATCGCTCTGAGGACGAGCGATCGATACCTACATATGTTAATTTCACTTGTGCTCCTTGGGAATTCTTGATGTTACAGCCTTCCTCTCTTCAACTATAATCAGAAAGCCTTATCACGCGCTGTAGTCGATTGTTTGCTCAGTCATCCTTTTGTTTATCTGAACCTCAAGATAATTCTAAGCAGGCTCAAACACCCGTCCGTAAGGTTGCACTGTAAACTTTAGAGAAGAGCGAAACCTATACACGGTACATTTTTGAGCCAGGGTTATGTACGGCAAAAGTGATACTACGGAGTACATCATAATTTATCTACGCCATTGTCAGTTGATTTACTTTACTTTCGTGATCTTCAGGTTGGAGCATGAAAAGTCTCGCATGGGAAAGCCCGCAGGCAGTCAGAACCGCTTCCCGAATAGGCAGTTAGAGCCACCTTTACCCGTTTGAGCCACTCCAAGGCGTGAACAATATTAAGGCGTGGAAATTCACATAAACTTTTCAGTATAGGTTATTGATGCTTCAAAAACATCATCGTCCAACCTAAATGTGAACATAGGATGGAAAAGTCATGCCCCGCTCTCAACAGGGCAGTCGGAGCCACCGAATGCCAAGTTCCTGTGAGAAACAAAAGATCATGACTTTGGAGTGTGGGCAATTTATTTCTAGGCTTCTTCTCCCAGCTGGGGTTCTTTCATTCAATTCATATTACTCACAATCACAATGGCAAAGTCAACTATTACTCTGGCCTCTGGCAAGGAAATGCCCCTCGTGGGCTTCGGCTTGTGGAAGGTCCCCAAAGAAACTGCTGCCGATACAGTCTACAATGTCAGCATCTCTTCTGTCCTGACTTGAAATCAACACAAAGCACTAATTTCTGAAATTCAACAGGCTATCAAAGCAGGATACAGATTGTTCGATGGCGCCTACGACTATCAGAACGAAAAGGAAGCTGGCGAGGGCATCCGTCGCGCCATTGCCGACGGCCTCGTAACCCGCGATCAGATCTTCATCACTACTAAGCTATGGAACAACTATCACCGCCGGGAGCACGCGCTTGCCATGGCCAAAAGACAAAATGAGACCTGGGGTCTTGGTTATATTGACCTGTTCCTGATGCATTTCCCCTGCGCGTTGAAGTATATCGACCCCGCCGTGCGCCAATACCCGGTATGTGCCATCCGCAGTTTTCATGTATCACAAATTCTCCAAGTTTACTGGCTAATGATCTTCAGGCCTGGTGGATGGATGATGCCGGTACCGTCGAAACTGACAAGGTTCCCATCCGCGAAACATGGGAGGCTATGGAGGAGATCGTGGACAACGGTATCGCTCGCAGCATTGGCGTCAGCAACTTCCAGGCGCAATCTATCTACGATATCCTTAGCTATGCCCGCTACCCACTTTCCTCCCTGCAGATCGAGCACCACCCGTACCTCGTGCAGCCCGAGCTTGTCCAGGTCGCTCAAGAGAATGGCATTGCCGTCACCGCGTACTCCAGCTTTGGGCCTCAGTCCTTCGTCGAACTGCCCGCGCAGTTCTCAGAGAAGGCCAAGCATATTCCTTTGCTCTTTGATGCTGAGCCGGTTAAGGTGCTTGCCGCTAAATATATCGTGACGCCTGCGCAGGTTCTTCTGCGATGGGCAACCCAGCGGTACGTCACCATGTTTACCGGATGTTGATATTCCTTTTGGGAAGGATTCTGACACTGACGTTTTTGATAGCAACGTTGCCGTTATCCCCAAGTCAAACAACCAGTCGCGTCTTGCGCAGAACTTGGATGTCTTGGGATTCGATATGACTGCTGATGAGCTCAAGTCTATCGCCGCATTGGATAAGGGTCTGCGCTTCAACGACCCTGGTCACTACTTGCCCAAGCACCCGATTCGCATCTTTGCTTAGTGTGATGTGAAAAATCTGTATTGTTGTTATTCAAGTTCATAGATCATAGAGGGTATAGCGACGATAGCCAAGAAAAATGCAACGACTTCCCACAAAAGCCGAAAAATCAAAACCCTTCTCTAGCCGTCTTCGAAGCATAAAGTTGCAGGTTTATATGTATGTACAGTAGAATGGGTAATGGTGGAAACAGTTCTCACTGGTATAGTGAAGGCATGATATAGCTCGTCAATGGAGCATCAAGAATCTGTCGACGCAGATCAGCCTCCCATAGGTACACGGATTTCTCATATACTTGCGAGGTGAGAGATGAGAACAGAAAGTCATTGATACGGTGCCACGAGTCAGCGTTCAATCGCTTCGCAATCTTCAACATACGACCAATAAACCAGGGACGGGATGATGGTGAGTTCGCCGTAGGAGAATATTGACTGAAGTCGGGAGATTGCTCTGAGAAAGCAGGGGAGACAGTTCCATCAGTTCCTGGGCCATCGTTACATTTGAGGAGGATTTGGAGGATTGCCTCGATAGAACCGCTCATGCTAACTTCGCTGTCAACCATGGCTTGTTCCAGTATTTTGAGGAAGAATCCAGCGTGGGTAGGTGTGTACCGGTAATCCCATAGAGCAGCGTTGAGCATCATGAGAGCTGTTAAGCGGGCAACCATTTGTTTCCGTTCTCCTGATGCAGTAAAACGAGCACCTGGGGGCGCTGCAAGAATTTGGTATAAGATAGAGGTTGGTTGGACTGACGTATGCCGCGACAGATCACAAGTTTCTGGGTTATCCCTTTGGTAGAGAGCAAGTTGCTCACAGCGACGGATGAAGTCAAGAAATTCCTCACATTGGAGTCGGATCTCATGGATAGGAGAGTTCATCTGCACGATTATGATGGTTTGGATAGGTTCTAAGGACGGCGTGTCCGAGAATGCAGATGACGTGGACTCTGGAGGCGAAGGTATGGAATGAAGTTTATGAGAAGTTTTAGATGATGAACTTGGAATTTCTGACCCAGGGGGCAAGACAGGCGGGTTTCGGTGGAAGAAGAAACTTGGTCCATGGGTTTCATACCCCGAGAGAATATAATCTTGCCAATTGATTAACATCCCAAGCCGAGTATTTTCGAAAGCAACCGGTCCTCCTCGCGATCGAATCATCTCGCGCGCCGCGCGCATGTGTACCCAACTAATCTCCTTGTGACCGAGACGAGGGTCAAAATCTTCAAGTGCGGCAGCGCTCAAGCAAGAGATGATAGCGACGTCCGAGTTGTCACGAGGGTTGTTGCGCAGATGTTCACGCAGCATCGTGACAGCCCGATCTCGATGTATCAGTGTATTCAAGGTTTCGGTCTCATTCCGGACCCAGGCCCATGTATTTGCAGCATGGACTAGAATCGTATTCTGGAATGCCACGGCTCCTTTCATTGCCTCTGGAACAAAGACTTGAGTGTACCAGTTGTGGGCTTTGGTGGATCGGAAATGAGTCCCATAGGAGCAGGCAGGCATCTCATTCACATAAAAGTCAAAAAGCTTCTGTCCTTCCAGATCTAACTCCAGCGGAAGGGTGTTGAACGGATCGGTCCGTGCTGCGCTCAAGATGGTTCGTGGGGACCTTGGAAACTCGAGCAGCGTGGTCGGCGTTGACGAGCATGCTGCAGAGCTGTAAAAGTCTCTCATTTGACTCTGACTCTGGGGAGATATTTCAATGTACACATGCGACTGAAGATCAATTTCTTGATGTTGCACGGGCGGTGCATGGAAAGGTAAAGCAATCGTAGTTTCGGGCATCTCGACGACCAAAGAAAGGCCAATGGCCTCAATTAAGATTTTTGGACCAATTTCTTCAATATCGACGGATGCATCTTCTTCCTCTGATGCGGCAGCTCTCTTCCTGACTGGTTTTGGCCGATTTGAGCTTTTATCGGAACCTGCTGGCTTTCTTGCAAATCTGCATTTTCCAGCTTGCCTCTTCTTTGGCCGCCCACGCTTGGTCGGACGGCTGCGATCTTCGTCAATCTCGCCGTTGCGTGAGCTCCCTTTCCTTTGGCGGATATACTCTTGCATAACATGACGCTTGACCTGGGTCAGGTTGCGTCGACTATTGTCGGAAGCGTCAATGAATTGCCATCGCATGTTGACAAGCTCTGGATTAATGCTGGAGCCCCAATTGTCTGATGTAGCCATGGCTGAAGACTGAAGCAAGGTATGGATGGGTTATTCGCATCGAGGATCCGATTGTCTTCTCTGGAGAAACACCTTAGTGTCTGGGATGTATACAGATGCAACTTGGAAGGGGCCAATGTTCGTGAAGCTCGACAGATGTACTGAAGGTGCCACGACTTACAAGCAGAAAGCGTGTATTAAGGTAAAAGAAAGACGGTGCCCCCGAAGTGAAACGGGACTGATGATGCTCAGGATCCTGCACGGTCAAGAACAATAGACGTATCAGCTGCGGTTGTGGAATGGCATTTAACGTAATGATAAGTAGAAATAAGTCGAGCCAAGGGCTTCACCGGGCGCTCGTGCATTGGACTGGAAAAGGCAGTTTGTCTCTCCACTGGACCCAATCTCGACCAAGATACTGTGTTTAGGAAAGTCGGGGGCGGGCTAAGATCATGTCAGTTTAAAGGATTAGCATGCCTGCTTCGGCACGTGTGTTTCATCCCTCAGACATGGAAGACTGGATCCTCAAGCCTGAGCAAATCAGACAAGTCCGCTGCTCTGCAGAGTGGAAGTGGGGCGAAGGGTGGGCACAAGCATAAAGGTGTTGTGTAGTCTGACGAACGAATCAGCTGAGAATCATAATCTGCAGGGGACCCCCGCATCCCATCAGCGACATACCATCTTGGGTATGATCTTGGATGATCTTTCCTGGGCTAAAGTTCTCTATGCTCAACGTCAGACTTCTGTTTCATGAGCCACACGTGAGTAATCTCGGAGAAGCCAGTATTTAAGTTAAAAAATACCTCGCACTTACTATCCCAAACAGCCACAAGAGCAGAACCTTAATGATCTGCATAGGAGAGCAGCTCCATGCCTTGAAGTCCCAAAATTCAATCACAAGAATGTTGTCCATCATATTCCAATGGCTGGGGCTCAGAGTGGGTGGATTATAGCCAAAGGGCCCTCAAAAAAGCCAGACGTACGGAGTACCGTCGGGGCATAATTAAGTCCCGATCCCAAGTGGAGATTTACAGTACAGTTAAAAATGTAGTCTAGAATAAGTCTAGAAGGCCTAGGTAAAGGTCTAGCTGATCATGCTTCAACTTTGTCTCTTTTGACCCATCTTTCTAGATCGCTCAGGCAATGTCTGTCGGTTTCTCTTTTAATGTATGACTAATGAGATGATTTCGAATTTGGCTCAGTCTTTCAAGTTGAACTCAATGTAGGACAAGGAAGACGGACCACTGCCACTAATGATTGTGATCAATAAGTTTAATTTTATGCTATCACAGTAGACAGACGCTACGCCTCGTGTTCCGTGGATCCTCGAATGGCCCCCAAGCTCATGCTGATGCAGATGCAAGCCTCAGTTGCCCGCGTGGCAGGGAGGCACAAACAGTTGCCCTGTTTCACCTTGGGAGAGCGTCGTAAATTGCAACTATCAGCTCCATTGGATGAGCCCAGATCATGTGGGGTTCTCCAGCGCAGCGGCTAATCCGACAGGGCCCTGGCTACTATATATCTCATCCATATTTCCTGCGACTTGGCCACCAGTAGTGGCTGATTTCGAACCGTTACCTATAATGCGGAGAGTACTCAATAATCAGCCGCCACTGGTGGTCTGGTCGAGTGAAAGGATAGAATCTATAGCGGACAGGGTCCTGGCAGTTAGCACTGGTTTCAGGGCACCATTATCTCGTGCTCGCGAGTGCTGCAGGCTGACTGGTCGCTTCGCGATTGGATTCATGGACAAGTTGGGGACACGACGACGGATAGTTGACGATACTAAATCCTACTCAAGTATCGTAACAAAGGAAAGTCTTGGCAAATGAAGGCTGCGCCCGTCAATAACCCGGAAAAATGTGCTTCCGAGTCACAACGCGGTCGGTGGTATCGCGTGTTGAACGGCTCACCGCCTTCGTTTTGTGTTCAAACTCCGCGCCTCCGATTTGCGACTCCGAAATCAAGGGACTTCCTGCGACAAGACACCGCGCTGGTCTGGGTGTTTCTATGTTTCAAGTTGCCTTTTCAAGTTTCTGTCATTCCCTCACAACACCAGCGATTCCCGAATTTGTGGATTGGAGGAACTGCACTTCCCGGAGCCACGTGCGGAGACATCGCGCGGAGACTGTCAGGAATTCCACCCGGTTTCGACAGACGACCTGAAGGGCCAGTTGGCCAGATAGTCCTTGTTCCACGAGTGCCGGTAGCTCAAAATACACCCTGGTTTGAGTGTGGGATCCCAGAAGAGTTCATGCACATCCCATGATGCCTCCAAACTCCGCCATCGGATCTCTGTGCATCTAGCTCTTCGCCCGCACGCCCTTTGTTACGGACAGGGACCTGTTTGACCTGCTGGGCGCTTGAGGACTGAACAAAGCACACCGTAGCAGTGACCTCAGACACAATTAAATACCCTCTTTCATTGCATTTGCCCGACCTTCGCTAAGATAGCAAGGATGGACGGGCTCAGCGACGCAAACCATACGAACGGAACTGCCGAGATGACCGATACCACCAAAACAATGGGCAATCCCTACGAAACCAACCCAGATCGAATCCCTCGTGATGACCCTTTCCTCGCGCAAAGTGCGCAATATGGCCGATACACTCCACAGCCCGACGACTTCACCCCTCCCAACAAGCACTGGTACCAGTCCGACCCCGAATCTAATGCCTTCTGGCAGAGAGTTGCGGAGAGGTTTTGTACATCAGAGAACTCGCTAAATGTACCCGGGTCGAGGGAGGCATTCGCTGCAGGCAGTGTAATCATCCGGGTCGACCGCGAGTCCGCCGAGGGCGCAGCTGCTGAGCGATACTCGTGTGCGAATGCGAACGAATTATCCGCAGCGCGAAAGGTCGAAGAGTCATTGAGGGAGATTGGAGTTGCGGTGCCGGTGATATACTTCTGCGGAACGATTGAAGACAGGAATGTGACGGTCGAATCTCGAATCCCTGGTGTTTCACTGGATGTCGCATGGCGATATCTCAGTTCGGAACAGATTGAGATCCTGAAAAATCAATGTCGCCAAATTGTGCAGCACCTCACGACGATCGATCCTGCCCCCGAGGAAGCTTCGTACGTATGCCGCGGCCTCAATTCACAGACACCGCCATCTACCGAGGACCAGGAGCGCAAAATACTTCTTGCAACGCGGGTTTCGGAGGACGACCTTAGTCTCACACATAACGATCTTGTTCCGGCCAATATTATTGTTAAAGATGGTCGCATTGTGGGCATTGGTGGGTGGCGACATAGCGGGTACTTTGGCCTCGATCGGGCCAACAAGGTACACCGGCAGTTCAGGAACTTTGGTTCCCTCGAAAATAGGACAGATATGGGTATGACATGGATTGACCTTTATGATAATGCCTATGACCCGAGAAAAGGCCCTCTCTTGGTCCCCGTCCGAGACACGACACTTCCACTTGTGAAAACAGAGCCCACTACTTCGACACTGGACAAATATCCAGCCAGCGACGACTTGGAAACAAAGTCGGTAAGCCTGGACGGGGCAGGCGACTATCTGACGTCGAAGAAGCTCGTCGGTCTGAAGGCGGGCATTACATCGCGTGCTTCTTCAACTGACCGGTCGTCTCCCGCGACATCGGTCAAGCCGACCTCGATCAAGAAAGGAGCGTCGGCAGCTACAAAAAAGGGCATTGCAAAGAAGCCAGCTCCGAAAAAGCGCAAGGTGAATGAGGCAGACGCCGACAGTATCGACGGGCGCCGGTCAAACACCCCGGCGTCTCGCACAGGCAAGGGCCCTGGGAAAAAACAGGGCTCTGTATCCATAGCCGGATCCCCCGCGCCCGAGGATAAGAAGAAGCGCAAGAAGGAGCTGCCGGCGGATGAAGACGACGATGACGTTGAAGATGAAAATGAACTCTTTTGTATCTGCCGGCGACCGGATAATCATACATGGATGATTGGGTGCGATGGGGAATGCGAAGATTGGTTCCATGGCAAGTGTGTTAACATCGATCCACGAGATGCAAGCTTGATCGATAAGTACATATGTGAGTGTTCTATCCATATAGTCACAACCTCGTTTCGTCTAACCACAGTCAAACCCCCTAGGTCCGAATTGCAGTAAGCGCGATGGCGGCTTCACAACATGGAAACCAATGTGCCGCCTCCCCGAGTGCCGCAAGCCGGCTCGCGTCACTCGCAAAACCCCAAGCAAGTATTGCTCCGATGAGCACGGGCGAGAATTCATGCTCCGCCAAACCCGCCAGCTCAAGCTAGGACCTTCTCGAAAAGGCACCGAAGACTTGGGCAGCAGGGGCGGTATCCTCACGCCAGGAGATCTTAAAGCCGCGATTTTGGGAGTGAAATCAGTGGGAGAATTCCGGAAACTGGGCAACCAGATTATCTCCACGCCTCCTGAAAGCACCCGTGCTAGCCCATCGTCTGACGTCAAGAATGAGACCCAAACATCGGATGCCGATAAGCTATTTGATGTCCATGCTGGTGATGTGGAATATTCCGCCGACGAGGCAGCGAAGATTGAAAAACTTCGGCAGCGACGCGATGACCTTCTTCACCGAAAGGAGATGCTTGCCGCTCGTTCTACATTCGTCGGGCTCGTGCGCCAGCGATCCAAAGCCGTCGTGGAAAAACTCAAGCAGAATGAGCCAAAGGGCGGATGGAAAGATATCTGTGGTTTCGATTCAAGGCTTGCATGGGCTGACGAGGAATTCGACGAGTGGCGCCTCTCCGAAGCTGGCAAGAAGGCGCTCAAGGAGGGTACTCCCGAGGCCATGGCAGCGAGCTACCCGACCACGACCGACGCGGATGGTGACGTCGCGATGGACGGTGATGAAAAAGGAGATGCGATTTCCTTGCTTACGCGTGGTATCTGTATCAAGAAACGCTGCGAGAGGCACAAGCAATGGGTGAAGGTGCAGCAGCAGGACATCGTCTTCGAAGAGAACGCGGCAGAACAGGATCTCAGGAAATCCGAGCAAGAAGCACGTTCCGTCGCAGAGAGGGCTGTGCTCAGGAAATGGGCCGAAAAGGAGAGCGTCCCCTCCGTTGCCTAATACAGAAGCTTGTGTCGTTATTTTCCACATTGCTTGGCTGAACACGTTGAACCCTTTATCTCTTTTTCACGTTCCCCACATTGGATTCAGATTCGGATTGGGAAGGACAAAAATGCTTGATACCCCATTTTACAACGCTGCAGAAGTGGTTGGTGGGTCGGAGTTGGTATTTGCACCAGGAGGTAGTGAAACCATATCGCATCGGCAAACGGTGCTTTGCGAGGGCGGATCTGGTTGCACACTTTATCAAACCTTTGCGTGTGTGTGTACGAGTAGCAGCGATATTGCATCGGAATGAAATATGTTCGTTCTCTGATGAAACAACACCTCCATCGTAGATTGAAGTTTATCGCTTAGGAGACCATATTCCCCATTTTCCGAGACCAGTGCCGATCCGATCTTTGATGACCTCGGCGACTTGCGTGGCTTTGACATCTGAGAGCATGATGTGCGTATCAATGCCCTGGTCGAGGGTTTTCATGGGGAGAGTAGATAACAGCGTGGACCCAGATGTTGAGAAAATAGAATGAATGCCGTCATCGCCTGAAGGTCTTGCGTCCCCGTCTCCAGGTTTCTTAGCGTGATTTGGCTCCGGCAGATGATGAGCTTCGAAATAGGCGGGACCAAGTCCGCTTGTGTTAATGAGAATGATAGAGAGCCATGAAGAATATGCCCGAGCCATACGGGTAAGATTTCGCAGTGTAGCTGCTAGCAACGCAGTCCCTCGAACTGGGTTCGAAGCTCGAATGACACCCTCAGCAAGAGTGTCGAGGCCAACCACGATTAGAACGACCGGTGGGCCGGGTTCCGCGAACGCAAGTTTTTGCTGGGCTTGTCGCCTCTCTAGGAGTTCTTGCAGCGATTCTGATACTTTGCCAATAGCTTGTGCGGCATTTGGCAGGGTTTGCACTGGAAGAAGCTGCACGGCGTCAAGACGTTCCATTGCTTCGCTTCTCGATATCCTTGGCCCTTCAGATGAAGATTGCAGCGCATTGAGCAGGATTCTCGGGGCCAAGGGTTCAAAGTTGCTTGGATGGATGATGAACGCACTGGGTTCAGTTGAAGGTGCAACTCTCAGAAGATGAGATGTGAGAAGATAGCGAGGGATCTGGGATATGTCAGATCATCATGTTCACAAGTCTCTCATTCGGAGTCTTTTACCTGTCCGATGTATTCATCGGTATCTCTGCTCCTGGATCTCAACCTAGAGAAGCCGATGACAGCGCCGCATCGGAAGATTCCCGAGTTGTTAGGTTGGATGCCGGTATCCCAGTCATCTTTCAAATTCCAGCCCTGATTTTGTTCTGCTTCGTATGAGGGTTCCTCGGTGTATGTGGCCCTGCACTCTGGCTTGGTGAGGAGGGAATGGGCCAGGACGGGACAAGCAGGCTCTGCGGCGTGGATGCTGGGAGCAGAGGCCATTGTTTGTTTGGGGAAGGTACATGGATGTACTGTTACCCTCGCAGATCAAATAAGATCGATCAGCCAGTTAGACCAGGAGATGACGAGGAGTGAGTGGGGTTGGACACGGCGATACACACCAATCTTAAATGCGTAACCCGTGCCCAAACATAACCCCGACCGCTTTTGGCCATACATAACACCTTATGATAATCATGTGATTCCCCCCCTCCATTTCCTTATTCATGAACCTTTCCTTCGTAATCATCATCACAGTAGTTCCAGTCCCTATATGCCGCTGAAGTGTCTAACAATTCTAACGATTGATTTGGTTAGACAGTGGACTCTCACTAGTGAAATCACCCGGTCTCTCAATCACTCAAAGGTACAGCATATCCAAGCTAGCTTGGCCATTAAAGCTTGTCATATATTTGTCCTCCTTATGGTAGGCTTAGCAACACCGATGAAATCCCATCCTTGCTGAAGTACAATTCGAATATTGGCTAAGCTCGTGCGTCAAAATTTAGTGCTGAAAAGATAGGTAAATACACTCTGTATTCTGGCCCTGAAGGAGTCACCACGAATATCAATCATCATTTCCTGTACCTAGGCAGGAATCAAGCGCATGAACTGAGATTCTCCATCGCCTAAAGTCGCTGATAAACTCGCTATATGTCTAGCCCTTATCGCGAGCCTGGGCTCCTAGACTGGCAATATCATGGTAGTACATGGTGCTGTCATCTTCATCTTCCTCTTCCATTTCAGCTACATCATCGGGTTTAGTGGAATCCCATATCTCTACGCCTCGGAAATTGCACCCATGAATCTACGATCGACGATCAGCAGCATCAGCATTAGTATATCATGGGCAATTAGCATTCTAGTTGCAAATGTCACGCTAATCGCATTCAATAATATAGGTCAGCGATACTTCCTTTTCTTTGCGGGATTTAATGCTGCGATAGTACCTGCGATCTTTTATCTGTTCCCGGAAACGTCAGGGCGCAGTCTTAAAGAGATTAATGAGATTTTTGCTCTTTCTAAGAGTCTATTAGATACTGTCCCTACCGCTAAGAAGCTCCCGCCACGTTAAGCCTATGATCTCCCGCCGCCGGAGAAGGTATTGATTATGGATATCAAGATCCTCGATAGTCCTCTCGAAAGTCCAGTCTGATTGAAGGAATATTCGACTATGAACTTCGAAATTTCCCGAAAGCAAAAATTCAAAACATACAACAGCCAGGATTCGCATGTGGTCACCCACCATACTACTAACTGGCCGGCGTGTGGCTTAAGTACGGCTGAGCGGACGGGAAGCCCTGTTTTCCACACCCTATGGTCGTATGTGATGAGAGCTGCATCACCAAGGAATATATCCTCCGCAAGACCTTAAAGCCAATGTGAGCATCGCTTTAGCGCCACTAGGGATGGTAAGAGTGAATGCGCAATAGACATGGTGAGAAATGGGTGAGAAGGCGTAATTCTCACCCTCCATCGGGCGACCACGGCACTGAGAGCATTATTGGATCAAGCTGACCTGGCTGAAACCGCAGTCTCTTGGCACCTACACGTACCATTGAATTTCTGAACTAGGATTGTCCAGATCAACAGCGAGGCTGACTTCAATGCCCCCTTGGGCCAAAGATGTGCTCTTGGTGTAGGCGTAGACACTACCATCGTCTCATGGATATCTGTAGGGCATAACTAACATCGGGGGGTAACAATTCCTATCACTTGGCAACATGAGGATCATCTGCTTTTCTCTGGGCTCCTTGGCTCGAAGCGCGAAATTTGGTCTCCGGAAAATTTACGTGGATTTTGCTTCCCTTCAGCTCTCTCCATTATTTGAGAGATAACCGCGATTTAAAAACTCGAATTCAGAAAAGCTGGGATTGAGCTCAACTACCTAAGCAGCTGAGCGAAGCTTGAGAGAATAGAGCAATGAAGGTCGCGCGACAGGGGGTAAGTAGTCTCACCAATGAACAGGATAAGAGCAGGAAAGAATCATCGCCCCCGTTCTGATAACCGCCACTTTGACCTACTGGTATGGGGCAGAAATGAAATATCAATGGGCCCCTGGGCATCATCACGGGCTAGAAAGGTGATTAATCACCAAAACTCCGAGGGTCGCTTTCAAGCCCACTGCTTTAGAACCCAGAATTTGCTCCTAGGAATTTCTTCTGGGGTTCCAATGACCTGACCCATCGCCTGACCGTCAGTAGGCGATTCGGACATTCAAGACCAAACAATATGCCATGGTCTCGCAATATATTTTGTCGGGCCAACTCTGCTATCTCGTTTTTACCCTGCAGTTGAAGAACCTCTTCATACCAACATAGACAGTCGAGAGTATCTTGATTCGGGACCCCCGGGAGCCTGGTCCGCTTTTTCATCCCACTCAGCGCCTGAAATAGAAGAGGCTCCGCTTCAGCATATCTGGCCTGGTAATAGTACGCCAAGCCAAGCCAGTAAGAGGAACTCAACGTATCCAGGTCATGTTCTCCACATTTGGCGTTTCGTAGCGAGAATGCTCGGCGGAGGAATAATATGGCTTGTTTGTACTTTCCTTGGCAATACATAGCCAACCCTAGCCAATGATTTGTTGACATGTCCCTGCTGTCTTGCCTTCGTGTAATACTCTGGCGGAAAGCTTCTTCAGATTCGTGGTAATTCTTCAGGTCAAATAGGGCACGTCCAAGCCAGAAGGCACATTCAATTGTGTCTGCAGCTCCCGGCCCTAACAAGAAGTCTCGTCTGTTCAAAGCGTCTTGGAAAAATGGTTCGGCTTCTTCGGAATTTCCTTGCTTGTATAAGGTGAATCCAATCTGGAAGAGGGTGCGCACTAGACCTTGGTCATGTTTATCGCTATTCTGTTCCAACCCTTGAAATGCAGAACGAAAGACCAATTCAGCCTCTCGATACTTTCCTTGCTTGGAGCGCGCTAGTCCAATTGCATGCAAAGAATTCAGCGTCTTCCTGTCGCTAGTGCCCAGGCTCTCGGTTAGCCCGGCTGCCACTTCACTGTATACAACCTCCGCGGTCTGATAGTGGCATAGCTCGTACTGATTGCGGCCAAGCCAATAAAGAGCTTCGAGGGAATCGACATGTGTTGGTCCCAAAGCTTTCTGGAGTCCACTCGCTGCTAGTTCGAGATGACTTTGGGCAGCATTGTAATCTCCATGTTCGTGCAGCTTTTGACCAAGTTCGGCCATAGTGCGATAATGGGATTCAACTTTGAATGAATCTGAACATCCTGGCTTGTATTTTGGTCGAGGCTGCGGCAGAATCTGGGGAGAATTCTGTGGTAACCTCACTATCACCAATTTACCCCTATGGCATTTCTTCACTGCCGCTTTCCTCGGAAATTTCTGAGGGTAGGAAGATGTCCGCCGAAGTAATGGTGTCAGCTTCCAAATAGTATGCTGCATGGATTTTGTGGCTTTTTCTATCTCCAAGAGTGGTGGAGAGATGGAATTTTGCGGCGAAATTTCCAAGATTTGAGGGTTGTGCTGCTCAATTGCAGAAAGCGAAAGAAGGGTTTCTGGGTGATTTGGCCCGAGGACGTCTTTCTGGACTTCCACTACTTGCCGTAAGATAGATAGTCCTTCTTGGTTATTTCCTTCTTGAATTGTCAAGACTCCGATCCAATAGCGGGATTTGAGCGTGGATATACCCTTCGGCCCATAAACCCTTTCTCGATAATCCAATACCCGCTGGAACAATTGTTTAGCTTGTGAGTATTTGGACATATGGTAGTAAAGAACCCCAAGACAATGGTATGAGTTGCGAGTCTCCTTGCACTTTAATCCCCGCAATTTCTCGCGTCCCTTGGCCGCCTGTCGAAGCATAAACTCGGCTTTCTTGAAGTCATTCTGGCGGAAATGCTCCATCCCTTGACTATGGAGTGATTGCAATTCTTTGAGTTGCAATTGCATCGCGTGTTCGTACGACGGAGAATCAGTTCGAGTTTCTGACGGGTCGAACTTTACTGCAGTAGACTCTTTTCTGGTGGATGATTCCGAGCTATTGGGCGGTACATCTGCTCGTACATTTCCGCCCGGTGGATATGTGTTGCCGTCGCTGGAGTCATGTTTCCGCATAGGCTCCAACACCTCTTGGGATACTTCTGTTGAAATGCTGTCCGGAAGCTTCTCTGTCTTTATTCTCAGGGAGGCCATTTCCACAATTTGTAAGTCAGGGCGCATCAGCCATTCGTTTTCCGTGGCTTGTTTTGCAGATAATCGCTCTGAGGCGTCCGGAGCCATCGCGGCCTTTATGAAGCTCTTGCACGCCTTACTAATCTCTGGCAGTCGGGATGTTGGGAAGGGAAAGTCTTCTCCTCCCATGTATTGTTGCAGAGTGATGGATTTCCTGGGAGAGAATGGATAATCGTGAAAAATCATGTAGAACGTTAAGACGCCCAGCGCCCATATGTCAACTTTCTTTGTATATTGGAGCACGGTGCCCTGATCATTTATGCTAGAGGAGTAAAGCATGTGCACCTCTGGAGCAAGGAAAATCGGGGTTCCAACACAAGATCGAAGAAGGGCATCTTTCTCATCGACACGTTTGCTGAAACCAAAATCACCAATTTTGACCCACCAATCAGGGCCTTTGCGGAAGACAAAGATATTCTGCTCTTGTTAGCAACAATCTTTTCTGTTCTCGAAGAAGAAGATTTTACCGCAGGTTTGAGGTCACGGTGAGCAAATCCATTTTCATGGAGGAGTTTCAGGCCTTCCGCTATTTGCAACGTGATCTCCCTAGCTTCATTTTCGGGCAACGGCCTTTTGAGATGCAGATCCAGATCGCCATATTCCATATATTCCATAACAATAAACACGGAATCATCGTTCTCGTACCATCCAATGTACTCGACGAAAAGTCCTTCGTACTAGAACAAAACCGTAAGCTCGAATTTCTGGGACTAGGTTGATACATCGGGTTCTGGGAACGCCAATATGCCGTACCTTTTTCTGTGAGAATTTCGCGATCGCTTCTAGCTCTCTGTAGTAATCAATGCCCTCTGAGATGACGGTCTTCTCGATCGTTTTCACGGCCTGCAATTCCGCTTTGCCCTCGCTTGTCAGGCATTTGTGCAGAGAAACAGTGCCATATGATCCCCTTCCAAGTAGCTTTACCGCCTGCCATGTGTCCTTTCGCGGCCTGCGTCTGAAATACCGGGCAGAAGATACCCTGGACTGGAATGTAAATCGATACGTGAAGTTGCTGCTGAATTCAACTTGGATTCGGCTATCGAGTACTAGGTCGGAAAGAGAAGAGTCCATCCTCAGCTTCTTCTTGAAAGACGGTCAGTGTGCGAGTTGAAGATCAAGTTGAGGTTCAACTTAACGGGGTGTATTGGGGTCCAAATCCCCTTTTAAGAGGGGGAAGTCAAGCCTCGCCCCAGCCTCATTGCGGTAGACCAAGGTACAGCTCTAGCCGTGCACGATGTGGGTTTTTGGGACAGGGATCTCTGCCACCAGGATCCCCCAGGATGAGCAGAATGAGTGACTCATGATAAAAGATATAAAGTGGATTATATAGAAATACAGCCGCTATCATTGTTCTACTGTTTTAAAAATGATAGCTTATGATATAATTACTGAGAGACGTGTTCCGCGGTCATTTCAAGGAACGTTTTAAAATAGGGGCTTGATGGGGGCGGGAACCGGGAGAATCGCGGAGCTACGGGGCTTGAGTCTCTGTATCCGTGCCTTCCCGCCCCAAAGCCTTCCCGCTTTGGGTGGGCCATGATTTCTTCCTAATGTACCTCTTGTATAGCCTCACCAAACAAAAGGTACTTACTCATCAAATCTAGTTTATTCCGAATATCTCAGTATTTTCTAGAAGAGATGTAGATCTAAAAGAGTAATTATATAATTTAAGGTAGCTTAGACTTCGTGTTACGCTTAGGTACGAGAGGAAGAAGATCAACCAACGTAGTAGCATTTCACGAAACAACTAAGCATAAAGAAACGAAGGAGAGATGGCGAGAGAGCTATCCGTGCCTTTCTGCCCACCCAAAGCGCTTCCCGCTTTAACCGGGAAGCGGTTTGGGTGGGCAGTAAGGCACTGATAGTTATCTACGGAGAAATAGTATGTGGATGCCTTAGGCACTAGGCATCAACACTAAACACGTAACACGTAGACCGTAAAACTTCGTCCATAGTGATGTATAGATTTATCCCAGAACAAGAGTCAGAAATCGTCCTTAAATGTGCTCACAGTGAATTTTATCTAGATAAACGAGACCACGATCCTACTAGACCTAGTCTCATGTGGTTTCGTATGATCAACCAAATCCACTCGGAATCACGGGTGGGTGACCCTCTCGCTTACGGATTACATTAACGTAGATAGTACTAGTAGTGTTTGAAATCAAGGGGCGACCGTGCGGGGTTCAATGTTTCGATCCATTCGATTTTGACCTCCTTGAATGAGCACTTGGGTACCAAGAGTGTGATTTGTACAAACTGGAACGACCAGCTACTGCGCTTATGGCTCCCACTGAGCTTAATCGTCGGTTGAATTATGCCAGACAGCTGAATATCCGTTTTCTCGGCCCTGTGCAATCTACCAGGTGGCCGGAGACTCACACTTTGCATTTTTCAAACATACAGAAGGCTGGTCTCTGCACTTATGATGCCTTTGTGGAAGAAATCACAAACGACACGACGGGCGATAGGCCATGGAGACATGCAACCCGAAATCATGCTGATCGGTTGTGCCTTCTTGCGGAGACTTGCTATAGAGAGCACAGGCAAGAGGCCGGATGGAGAATGGGGGTTGAGAATGAGATTTTGCATCGTTTTACGATTGAAGTTGCCTGGTAAGTGATTTGAATACTTACCGGCGATCTTCGGATTTTCTCTTTGTTCCATTTCAAAACTGGCACTTGGTAGACATATCTGCATATCATATGCTTATATTGTTCTGCGCCTAAAGTACAGATTGTCGGAATAGACTGTGGGCCTCTGAGATACCCGCTGCATTAGGTAGAGAGGGCACGCTGGCAGACGAGCTTGAAGAGCGGCGCTGCAGGCGCAGGCCATGTCAGTGCCCACGTTTAGGGGGACAGAGCCAGTATGTTCAAGTTCACACCATCCATATATATCCCTTACCTTTAAACACTTGCAGCGTACATTCAGATGCCTGACGCCCATCTTAGATATGATCGAGGGATCAACATGCTTTTTTCGGATCGGGCCGAAGCGGCAATAAAACATAACCCGGGTCTGCCAGTGAAACCTCGGCCTGGGCAAGTTCAAAATTATGAATCTCCAGATCGAGTATACGGGCTGAAAGAAACGGCTGACTTTCAACTGCTCCTAAATGGAGCTGACAAACGCGCACCTGTGTCTACTCGCAGTCTGCGTGACACTGTAGAGTTTAGTCCATTTAATTCTGATGGTGACCCACTGTTGTATCCATTTCTTATATTGGAAGCCAAATCAAGCAAAGGGGACGATCATATGGAAGCTCAAATGCAGACTGCGTTTGTCATTAGACGCCTGCTGAATCTTCAATCTGATCTAAAAAGAGCTGCTGGCGAAGAGAGGCAGTGGGAGACTGGACCACTTGTTTGGTTTATATCTTGGAGAGCAGAGCAGTGGAGCATTTCTGCGGCTTTCATTGAATGTGACCCAGAGGATACAATTTGCTATGTATGTGCCTGTTACCATGATATCCCTAACGCCTAACTTCAGTTTGATTAACATACTAAAGATGGTTGTTGATTTGTGGACTGGCAATATCCGCTACAAAGATGGTGCTTTGCAGCTACTTCTCATCATTGACTACATTTTTGACTGGGCCCGTGACATATATCGGCATTCAATCATGAGGGACCTGCATAACTTGTCCACTAACAACCTGTCCGAGACCGACCCCCTATACTACTCAATGGCAGGCCGTGGACTCATGAAGACTACAAAATCTTCCATGCGGCCAATTGAAATTTCCGACAGAGGGAACGTGACACAATCCACTAAAAATCAACTGAAAAAATTGTCATTCACCAGTCTACCGCCAGTTGAAAATCTCGGTTTCTTGAATATTGTCCTCCCGGAAGGGGTAATTAGAGATGCCTCTATTCTCGAATCGCGATTTCTTGCTCTTCAACTCAATGAGAATGATGTGGATACATTTTTAGCCTCATTCAACTCCGATGACGAGGCCGCAGACTGGACTCGAAAGATGTTGGAGTATCAACCGCATGCGTGGAAAGTCGCTCCGGGGACTATCCAGGAATTAGAAAGGATTTCAACAGGAAATTTCCACACTTCTGGCCGGGGTGATCACCCAGATGAGATGTCCTTTCTCAATCTAGCCATTCATTTTCATATGTCACCAACATGGCAACCAGTACGACAAATCACCTGTATTTCTTTCTCTGAAGCGGCTTTGAATTTGCTTGTGTCAAGGTTTGGAATTGATTGCGAATTTTCACACCAGCCACAAGTGGCGGTAGCAACAATCACAGATATACTCCTTCCTATATTTAATCAGTCTGTGATTGATTACTTGACAGATGCAGTGTCAATGGTCTGTTTGTCAAGCTGTTTCTCCTCTACAGACAGAGAGAAGAGTAGACCTATGGTCTTAGCAGAGAGACCTGAAGAGCATTATGCTGGACTTGAACCCACAAACTCTCCTCACCTTATTACCTTGGTCACCGCAGTCTACGAAAATCACAGAATAGGCCGAAGAGAACCAAGTGATCCATATCTTTCATTTTCTTGCTGTCAGCTTAGACATGACAAGCTGCACCCAATCTCTAACGATAGGACGAGTGGAAATCTGCTACCCCTTATCTTCGCTGAAGGCCAGTGGGGGGTTTTAGTTGATGCAATTTTGCAAGAAGGAAACCCCCCCAAGCGTTGTCTGTATTTATTCGGAAAATTCTCAGAATATGAGGACTTTCCTGGTTTGCTGAGACGAATGTTGAAAGAGAGTATGTACTCCATGACAAAACTAATCAGCATTGGCTCTTGGCACGAGGAAAATTCTCGACATTTGAATCGAAGGATAAGCCTCGATGAGCCTTGGAAGTCAAAAGCGGATCCAGAGTCCTTTGACAAGTGGTTGAGAAATTTGGAGGCCATTTGGAAGCAACACGATAGTGCACGAGGTCATAGTGCCTCTTCGCCTATAATAATCGACTAAGGCTATGTGTCGTGGAAAAGTGGAGAGATTTATTACAGTGACATGGGATTGGTCCAACTCCAACCCACATTTGCTGGCGTTTTGTAAGATGCGGGTAACACTTCGACAACAGTACTGTCACTCGAATACTTGGTTACACCGCCATGGGACAGCTCAACCTGCCCTTCTTCCATTCGTTAGAGTTTTTCCTTCTTCAATCAATCACTCTTTTACCCTGATGGTTCTGGTAGCTCTCATTCATCCATATGCATACTAGTCTATACCGATTCAGCTCGCTTTGACACTATGTTCCAGATACTCATTGGAAGTATCTTGAGTAAATGAGCAAACGAGCAAACGGAATGATGCAACGGCATATTCGAGCGTGTTTTGAACAAAGTTGGTATCAGCGCAGGATTTTCCGGCTCTCATTAAATATAATTGTAACTTGTGATGGCAGCTGCCATTCCCGCTTAGCATTTAAGATGATCTAAAACATTCATTTTTCCGATGTAAGGGAAAGTCAAAGTTCTTGTTTGAGTGACCGATTAGGTAAATGGGTTTGTAGGCTGGGCCTTGATTTAGGCTCAAGGCCCGGTTCCGACTGCCATTTTCTTTTTCCACTTACGCAATTAGAACGCGGTTCCTCAATGGAGTGTGCGTTAAAGAAGTGGCGACGAAGATTCGTAACTTTTGCAAAGTCCTTTCTCTGGCAATAAGGATGAGGACAGAGGAAGGCTGTTGGTGTTCTCAAAGCGTCAAGATGTCGTTCTATGTGATTATGGAGGGTTGCCTTAGTTAGCTACTGTTGAAATCTCTCGTCCTATTTCTTGTCTACGTCGCCTAGGCCAAACGGACAAAAGCCAGGGGCAACAAGCGTATAACGGAATGTCAACATCCCACATCGAGGGTGAAGATTATCAATCTGACTTTGACACTGGCCAATTTAGGCTTACTCGTCGCAGTGTATTTCAGCACACAGATACCAAGACTGCATAAAGTTCCGCTAAACGCGTCTATAGGCGCGATTCTTATTCCTTTATCGTTGTTGGTATTATGGGCTACCGGGGGACCGTCTTCGACACTATAAGATATGTTTCGTTCTCCATTAACTCCATTAAAATGGAGTTCTATTTTAGTCAGTCCTAAGTCCACAACAAGGGGAAAAGTATATTTACTCTAATATAAGCTTAGAAAATATTGGATAACGATTCTCCTTAGGTGAAATGTTATGATATTCTGCTGAGGCTATTCCCATGTTGATATTAGTGCCTAGGACAACCAGGGCTGAGGATTCCGTTAAGGTCACAACTGTGACCTTTCGGTGGTTAACCGGGAGCCCCTCGGCGGCGATGCGGGACGGCAACCCCGCATGCAGGCCACCTCTTCAGATTACACAATGTGTTAGCACACGCGTTTTCCCCTCTTGTTGATTCTTGTTTGTTCCCTGTTTGCATGGAAGAAGCTGTATATAGACTGATGCTTGAGGAGTGAGTTTGAAACTCCTCAAGAAACAGTCTCTGTTTCAATTGGACTCAGTGCTTTGCTCTCCTACCTAGTTGACAGGCTTTCTACCCTGCAAGTAGTTATATTTTTACAGAACAGCAGATCGTACCAGCGCCCTAGGCTCATACTAATAGCACAGAGTTAGGCGAAAACGGGAAAGTGGGTGAGAACGGGGTAATCTAGGTAAGAATCCTTACTCCGTTCTCACCCACTCTCACCCCGTTCTCACCTCTATCACCTCAGTTTCCAAAGTTCTCACCCATATCACCCACACTCACCCTAAGATCAAATCTGACGCCATTTTAGAGCTCAGGGCGCATTGAGAACTGACTGCGTACTATAATGGGCTTAAGTACGGCTGAGCGGACGGGAAGCCCTGTTCTCCACACCCTATGGTCGTATGTGCTTGAGATTTCTGAGAATAGAAATATAACGAAGTTGACATTATAATCATGTACAGGAGACCTACCCGTGCCTGGGTTACGCGGTTGTAGAGGATAGCTGTTGTGAGAAGCTGCCTGCCGAGGTCGTCGACATTTGTCATGTCAGAGCCCAGAAGAAGACTCGAAGAAGCTCCAAGCCAGAAGCTCATGAGAGTGATCCGTTGGCCATCTGTAACCCCGTTCACAGAAGCCGGGTTCGCAACGAACAAGTCATCCAGGTCTGGGCGAAGGCTCATACGTTTACCCGCAGCGACTTGATAGTTGATGTACTGGCGGTACTGCTCGATGGTTTGCTGAATCTTCCACATTCCAACAAACACCAATGCTCCATAGCTATTGATATCAACGGCTAATCGGATACTCTCTGCGCTGGCCTCTCAAATCCCAAGATATGGCTCGTCACGGGAAACATTTGGGGAGAGGTCAAGTCGGATTGACCGACCATTATCAGCGATGGCCTGATGGTATGCGATAGCTGAGGCGCTAGTGTTGCTAGGATATCCCTGGTTTCCTGTCGAAGATCCAGGAGTAATGTAGTCAAGTTTTATCATATCAACACCCCATGATGCCCAAAGATCTATCAGTGAGTTGTGATAGAGCTGAGTGTCCGGATTATTGTAGTCAAACTAGCAGTAGCCGTTGACATCCTCAACTCCGCTGAAAGCAGAGCCAACAGTAACGTCGGTACCATAACTGGTCTTGTTGGTGGTGGTTTCGCATGGTATACCGGGCTGATTATCAAGACCTAGCTGGAGCCCTAAGCCGTGAAGATAGTCGGCCAGTGTTGGAATGTCAAATAAAGTGGTGTTATAAACCATCCGGCCATACTCGTCTGTGATGTCGCTATACCAGCCACCATCGATTCTGCATAGCACCCAGCCTGCAGCCAAGATATCGGAATCCGCAAGGATAGTGCATTGCTCGATGATGAAACTCTGATTCACATAGGGATATAGAGATGATGGATAGCTGGGCGTCGTGTCTGGAGACACCTGGACTCCCCAAGACTTCCATCCTTTGGGAAAAAGCTCTGATGGAAGCTATTTCATCGCCACATACTGGCAATCAGCCCTTAGCGGTGGAGGAAATGCAGCGGCCATCCTGGACGCCTGGGCTTTTTCGTATCCGGCGGATATATTTGGTACCAAGCCGATTCTGCTCTCTGCCTGTGATTAATATCGCATCTGTCAAGGCGGAGTTTGCGACTACCTCTATTGGGATGTTCTTTGGTGGTAAGATGATGAATTTTGTTGCTATTGGTGTGTTCTTCAATTTTTGCACGGCCTATGTTTCCGATATCTCTCCACTAACGATCCGTGCTTCGGGTCATTGGATTTTGCAATTTATCACAGTGCATCAGTCCTTTTATCTCAGCTATCATGTCTTACTGTACCTCGCAGTGGGACAACGACTGGCCTTGGAGGGCTCTTGTTTGCGCTCAGTGGGGGTTTGCCATCATCGGATTTATCGGGCATCTTTTCATCCCTGAATTGCCGGTATATCTCATTCGCATGGATAGAATTGACGATGCCCGTGGGGTACTCAACCGTCTCTACTCGAAATTCACCGATGCAGATGGCCATTTTGAACGTATCAAGATCAATCTGGAGGAGGCCGAGACACAAAATAAGGCTACTTATGGCGAGTCCTTTCGTGGCACTAACCTCCGCAGAACCATGATCGCAATCCTTGTTTTCCTCGCCGAACCGATGTCGGGTCTAGGATTTGTGTCGAACTACGGGTCTTTGATGTACCAATACTTAGGGATCGGCGATCGGGATCCGTTCTTGATCTAGATTAGCGCTCAAATCCTATCTATATCGGGTACTACGTTATTATTCTTGATTAGAGACTTCTTCTGTCGACGACCCATGTTTCTTGGAGGTTGCACTGCTCTGACTACCCTACTGCTCTGTATGGGCATTGCAGGCTCGGTGAATACTATTACTAGTATGCTAATCATGCGAAAATCACATTGAAATGAAAATGATTCTTGGGATATGGTTAACGCAATGATAGGAGTCACTGCTGCTGTCGGCTTCTACACTCTGTCCAATCTCGCATTTAACATTGGCGTGGGATCCAACGTCTACGCCATCGCCAGTGAGGTCCCCACGTCTGTCCTGCGCACGAAAACACTCGCCATTTCCCTGATCATCTCCAACGCCGTCAACACTATGTGGTCATTTGTCGCACCGTACATGTTCAACCCCGGATAGGGGAACCTCAAAGCCAAGATCGGTTTCGTCTTTGGTGGCTTCATGATTTTCTTCATCGTGGGTGCATACTTCTTTGTACCTGAGATGTGTCTGCGTTCATACGAAGAGTTGGATGAGTTGTTCATGAACCGCGTGTCCACGCGACAGTTCAAGAACTATGTGACGGTTGTTGAGCAGCTTGCCGCGGAAGCCTTTTCAACCGAGAAAAAAATACCGACTGTAGTAGAGACAGAGGTGTAGTAAGTCTGGAATGCTGAATACCAAATGACTCTGTCGGAGGATTTGGGGGTTTGGGGATGAGAGGATGTGTCTTATCTGTAACTAGGACTGTAGGCCAATTGCGTTTGTTATTGATGACCAGGCTAAAATCCCACAAATCACTAAAAATCGATGCTTACGAAAGCCTGGGGAAGGGCGAGAGTTGAAGAGGTGATTTATGGCCTTGTATGGTCTCAGCTTTTCAAGGCCAGGCGGGCCCAATGCTCCATCCGCCTCGGTTATTTGTATATCGAAATATACCATGAGTCCGCCCTTTAAGAAATAGGATATTAATTAATGTACAATAAGCTTAACGACGAGGTACGGCACCTAAGAATCTCTCCTCGAATCTTTGCCTTGTCCGCCTTACTCCCTGCATTTCCTATGCTGAGCCCAGAACACGTCTCAACCTCCATAATGAACATATTGCAAGCCAGTCTAAGATGATTCTTCAAACGGCGGTCGCCTCCAAACACCCTGGTCATCATGCGTCCATCCACGCAACTCTTCAGCCAGAATTCTGGTAAGCTCCGGCCGTATTGCTTCTACATGCAAGTCTCGGGTGCGGAATTCCTCTACAGAGGGCTGAGTGCGAATTTTGAAACCAATCACCGAATAGGACGATTCCAACTCCATCCACGGATCGTTCGGATCCATCGAGCCGCGCTGCTCGAGCTCTGTGGCGTGATTTTTCTCATCCGGGGCTAATTGGACTGTCACGACGCGTAGCCGTGGCAGCAATTGCATTGCAATGCAAACGTTTTCGACGTGATTGTAGAATGGGAATATCGCCGTGTAAGTTAGGGATTCTATCCCTTCAAAGTGCGCGCTCATATCGCGCGAATTTTGCATTAGGATAAAGTCATGTCCCCATTGGCCCAGCACTGAGGGGACCTGTGAGAGAAAATACTCGTAGTGATTGTAGGCCTTGAGGGAGGATCCCTCGTTGAAGAATAGGGATGTCCACGGGCGGGTGCAGAATATATTTTCCGGCGGCTGTGATTGATGGGCGGTTGGGTTGCCGTAGCTGTTCTGTTGGAGCTGCAAGATCTGCTGATCGATAGCAAAGGCCCAGCCATGGCGCTCGTCAATGGAGCTCTGCAGCGCCTCGCCGATGATTCTAGGCGGGGCGGCAATGGTAATCCATAGAGGATCGATGAACTCGAATAGGTGAGTCAGCCAGCGGCCGGTGACAAGACGCGCGAGATGGTTATCCGAAACCAGTATGAGGATGGATTTGATGTATCGAGCCAGATCCCATTTTAGCACGAACGAGCAAAACTGCGAGGGCTTGTCATGAAGCACTACGCGAGCATGGGCGAAGAGACAGGGCCGCAAAAGGGTGGCGAGGCGAGAGGATGATTGGGATAAATATTTGAGGCTTTTGTTTTGTGAGACTGCGATATCCTGATTCGGTTCCTGATGGATCCGGGCCCGAGATGGCGGGTCTATATCCAGGTAGGAGATGATCTGATCCAGCAGCTCATTTGGCAGGCGTTCCAGCGGCGACGACATGGTGTGGGCGGTCCGGTCCACCTTAGTGGTTCATGCTTCAGGTTGTCATGGTGCTTGGACAGTTTCCTGGCCGTTGTCTGGTCGGATTTGCCGCGAGGACCAATCGTCGTGAAGTCAGCCCGCTGTCTGCAAATACTACTTGGGGGGGTTGCGAGGAGAAATTGATTGAGGAGATTCGTGCTTCGGTAAACGGCCAAGGGGTAAAGTGCCGGGCAGCCCCACCAGGCCAGCGCCGCATCCTCCACTTTGGGGGCTTTTTGGTCTCTCGACTCTCGAGAACTGGGGCGTTTCGCCTGTTTGTCAGGGTTGACTCAGCCCAGATGGGATTGGGATGATTTGCTGAAGAGTTAAAAGAAAGACAATCACGGTTCATTATTCTGAGGAGCCATATATCCCGGGGTAGCACGCATTACACCTGCACCGAGTAGTCGTAGTCGTCGTAGTCGTCGTAGTAGTCCATCTGGTACAGACTCTGCCAAGAACAACCCCGGAATTCCCCCATACACCAAAAAAAGATTGATAAAGACCATTCTCCGGCTTTGGGACGCGGAAGAGTGGCTTAGACTTCATCTCATGCCCAGTCTGATGAATGTTCGAGAAATGGTAACTAATGACTAGTTAGTTAATTGTACCCTGCGTGAAAGGTGCCCGAGTCGTCACGTCCTGTATACTTCAACGCTGCGAAGCTTTGACGTCAGTGTCGATGGGGCTGGAATCGTCATGGACTTTGTGAATATCCAGAACCACGACAAACATATCAACGGCAATTCCAGCGATAGTGGACGATGGTGAACTATCCAATCTTGACAATGGACTGAATAATCATATAAATCATATAACTATACTGTCAGCTTCCAAGCCAGAGGGCCGACTTCGGTACGCGAACAAGAAAAAAGTGTGGAGATGCCCACGCTTTCAGCCAGTGGGCCCGATCGCTGAATGCGAAGACGGCCACGTTTGTTCGTCGCCGGTCGAGAGCTGAAAATCTGTGCCCCTCACTTAGCACGGCCCTGGGTTTTTGACTTTCTCTCTCTTCTCTTCTCCTCCCAGGCCCAGACACAGTCATATCTGTACAGTGAGTCGAGAGCCGATCATCGTCGCGAAGGGAGATTCAAAGACTAACCAGTGTCCGGCGCGCACAGTAACATACTCTCACCATGGCCCCCCAACTTCACCAGCGCCCTCCCTTCCGTGCCGAGCACCTGGGCTCGCTGCTCCGGCCTCATGAGCTTTTGGACAAGAAGATTGCCTTCGAGAAGGGCCAGATTTCCCAATCTGAGCTGGAAAAGGTGGAAGACAAGGAGATCAAGGACATTGTCGCTACCCAGCGGAAGCTTGGTTACCACGCTGCTTCTGACGGCGAGTACCGTCGCCACAGTAAGCTCTCCAAGACCAACCCATAGAAGTCAATGATCCGTAAGAACGAACATAAAGCTAACAAACAGCCAGTGTTCTGGGGTACCTTCTTCCCCGGTCTGGACGGCTTCGAGGAGGTCACCGAATTCGATACTGACATCTTCCGTTCCTATGCTCCCGACATTGCCGCTTTCTTGGAAGCGGGCCACAAGCCCGGTGAGACAGTGCTTTGCACTGGTAAGATCAAGCACGTTGGCAGCACCTACGTCGACCAGTTCAAGTACCTCGCCAGCCTCGTGTCCCAGGAGGAGGTCAAGAACCTGAAGATCACCTTGGCTGCTCCCAACTGGTACCACCTGCGCTACCGTGAGGGCAAGGCCTACCCCAAGGACGTATATGCCAACGATGAGGAGTACTTTGGTGATATCGCCAAGGCCTACCAGGCCGAGCTGAAGATTCTGTACGATGCGGGTTGCCGCAACGTGCAGTTTGACGACCCCAACCTTGCTTGTAAGAATGCCCTTTTTTTTTCAATTTATCCTCAGATTTATCCCCACTCACATCTTCTCTCAACTAGACTTCTGCTCTGAGAAGTTCCTGAGCGGCTTCAAGGAGGACTCCCTCAACGTCTACACCGCCGATGACATGTTCCAGAAGTACATCAAGCTGTACAACGACTGCTTCATCGGCCTGCCCGAGGACATGCACGTTGGCGTGCACCTGTGCCGCGGCAATTTCGTTGGCAGCCGCCACTTCTCCGAGGGCGGATACGACCGCATCGCCATCAAGCTGTTCCAGGAGCTCAACGTGCACACTTACTACCTTGAGTACGACACCGAGCGCTCCGGCAGCTTCGAGCCCCTCAAGCACCTGCCCCCGCACAAGAAGGTCATTCTCGGCGTCGTGACCAGCAAGTTCGCTACCATGGAGGACAAGGAGGAGATGAAGAAGCGTGTTATTGATGCGGCCAAGGTCATCGCCGAGGGTAACAACATCTCTCTCGAGGCTGCCCTGAACCAGGTCGGTGTCAGCCCGCAGTGTGGCTTTGCTTCTCACCGCGAGGGCAATGCTATTGACTGGGATGGCATGATCAACAAGCTCAAGCTGGTGCGGGAGATTGCCGATGATATCTGGCCTAACCAGCCTTGAGCGTGAGTGTTGGAATCGGTCTGCTTTGAATGTGGGAAATGCGAAAGGGGAAATGAGAAAGGAAACGAACTTCAACGGATACCTCTTTGTATATTTTGTCTCTTGCCATTAGGCGCCATTCCTCGGTTGTTTTTTTTCAACAAATACGCCATGGTCTGGGAATTTTATGTTAGTTATTGTACAGCGTTGGTGGGATTTGCATAGGACAAATGTCATGATTTATACCTCTGAATATAGGGTGCTTGGATATAGTCAAGAAACATCAAACTGCATTTAATTGGAATGGGACTTCGCATAAAAGATGCAATGGAGTTGAGTAACAAACCCACTAGAGTAGAGAAATAGAACAGATGAAACGCAAGGTGTCATTTGGGTCCCACCTCCTCCATAAAATACGACGGGTATCAAATCTTACAAGGTCCCCAGTGGCCGAGACTCATGCTAAAAGCCACTTAAGCCAACCACTATTCGTCATCTACGTTCTACACTAGTTAGTTACCTAGTTGATGGAGAGCATAATGTTTAGGTAATCTCAGTTGCAGGATGGACATCTAGAATACATTCAAGATAGCCCACCTCTACTCAGCAGGACCCAAAATATTCGACTCCTTAACAGCAGATCTCTTCTGAGTCCGCTCATTCTCAATCTACCCAATCATCAGCATCGTCGATAAGTTTCAGTTTCAACTTGCTAAAGGTACCTACCTCGTAACGAGGCTCTTGCGGCGAAGCTTCCACCATTCGACCTGTCATGGTCGTATTGGAGGTGCTCACTTCTCGGATTACTCCGACACTCTCGCTGGTGTGGGATTCTCTTCCTAATAGTAAAAGTCAGAGACTAAGTTCCAAGTTATTGAGCGAGTTTCGGAGAAAGACTTACCGCCAACGGGCTTGTAGCTGACTCGCTGTCCTGTACGGAAGGCAGGCATTGTATCTGGACTTTGCGATCTGGGATCGTAATTTAGACTTTGCTGTACTGGAATTGAATGAAGTAATGGTTCAACTTGTGGCTAGGAATGGGCTCTGAGTTGTGGCCTCTATTTATGCTCGTCGGTGGCAAGATTCAATGTGGAAGACGGGATTGTTCGTGAGAATCATGAGAATAATCTGGCGTCAGATTGACATAAACATAATAGTTTGCGAGATGAGGTTATCCGGATAGTCCTACCTGGTGGCAAAGACAAGAGTCGACATGAGATGGTATCTACAGACCCTCTACAGCGACTGTAGTATACCTACCCTGAGAGGAACGCATATCCGAATCCCACGTAACCATGAAGAACCTGATCGGTTCGAGGAGTTGCAATCCACGGCATTGGAATCCCTCCCCTCCACCTCGGATATTGATTCCGTGAATCTAACTGTGGGCGCGATGCAATACAAATCCGTTTGACCTTTGATCAGATGTATGTCATTTGTTCCTAAATTGATTCTCTATTTTAGCTCGGAAGCCTGCCTGCCCTTCTCTTCGTATCTCAAATGAAACCGATCGTTTCTATACACATCGGGAATCCACAGGAAAAATGCTCAGGGAATCGAACAATGCCAACGCTGTGATGATATGAACAACTAATCAGAGAATTAAATAATTAAATTGGGACTCGGAGCGAGTCCGGGTAAGAAACAGAGGGGATATCATAGAAGTCAAGATAAGTACCACGGGGGAGGATGGGAAAAAAAGAAGATGGAGGCTGCACACAAATGAAAAGAGCCTCTGGAGATATGGGGGGAAATGGACAAACAAAAACAAAGAACAAAAGAAAACAAAGCCCAAATGCTGCGTCGTCTTGTCATCAAACACGGACATGAATCGAAAAAAAAAATACTTGTCGGGTGCGAGGTGTTGTACACGAGGCTGGCTGGACGCCTCTCGAGGTCACAGCGGGGCAATGTTTTATTTGGCGGGCTGGGTCTTGACGTTGTTCGAGAGCCATGCCTGGGAAGTGGAGCCAAGCGGGTCAGTCATTTGTTTTGGTTGGACGAAGCAGGGAAAATGATAAGAGAAAGCTTGGGAAACTCACCAGACCCTCGAAAATACCGGTGCCATCCGTTGCGACACTGGGCGCAACATACCACAGCTTGTCCTTCAGCTTGGTCAATTGGAGTTGTTGAGTGATTTCCTCCGGGCTCAAGTCTGCGACGTAGTCGGTTAGTCAGGGGCAAGGAGGCTGGGGCGACATCCGATATTCAGTCACGGGGGAGGGCCGGAGAAAGACATACGGCCAGGGATATCCTGCTTGTTGGCAAAGACCAGAAGCAGGGCGTCCTTCATTTCGCGATCGTTGATAATCTTGTGCAGCTCCGACCGGGCCTCCTCGAGGCGGGCGGTATCACTCGAGTCCACGACAAAGATCAGACCTTGTGTACCAGAGTAGTAGTGTCTCCAGAGAGGGCGAATCTTGTCCTGACCACCGACATCCCACACGTTGAACTTGACGTTCTTATAGGTCACGCTCTCGACGTTGAATCCGACGGTGGGGATCGTAGTAACATCCTGGTTGCTGAGTTTCAATTTGTAAAGAATAGCTAGCACCAGTTAGCTTCGTTCGCAGTGACAAGCAAGCAGTATGGGCATCCATACTGGTCTTTCCTGCAGCATCCAAACCCAGCATTAGGATACGCATCTCCTTCGTGCCGAAGATCTTCCCCATCATCTTGGATACCGAGCCACCCATCTTGGCGCGTTGAGGTTGGAATTGGAGGACGAAAAGAGGACGAGAGGCAACGGCGCGGCAACCTCGAGAGAAATCCGAGTGCAGAGATGGTCAACCGGCTGGGCACTTGTACAACAGATCGCGTAAAAAAGGTGGGAAACTGGAGAAAACAGCGACTCGGAAGTTTGCAATTTGAGGCGGGGGAAAAGGGGCACGGCTGAGTCAGCCACCCCCAGAGGTCGGCGTTTCATACACGCAAAGGGTCCACTGTAATCTGATTTGCGTGCTTGTCCGTGGCTCGTGTGGGAGGGAAATGAGATGCCATTATTTTGAATGGAATCGTGTATACGAGGTGTACTCAGCTGACAGGTTTAACTTGATGGTGGTTGACGGATCCTCCCCCGAACCCATGGATTGGTGAGAATGCTCCTACGTCATGGAGGTGAAATCGCTCTCAATATGGGAGTATCTTGGGATATCCTCGCTCACTCCATATCTCCAATTTATACGCCATTTAATATAGCAGCATCATGGTCGTAGATGCTTCGAGGTTCGATCGTCGCCCGTCTGCGATCTTACACCGTCGGCTGGCGCAGCCGTACCATCGGCATGCCTGGTCAGGACCACCATCAGATGTACGCGCAGCGAGCATTGGGAAAAATGAGATATACTGGCAGGTGCTAACAAAACACAGTCTATCTACGCCGGTATCACGACTTCTTTCTCCGAGCAGCATGGCTCAACAATTGCCATCGCAATCCGAGATGCAACATACCTACTAGACTTTATTGAGAAAAAGTATCAACCGAACGAGCACCAGCCATGCGTCGACGAAGCTGTCGAGTTCATCATCTCCCAGCTCAAGACATACGGGGAGAAACATCTCGAAAAGATCGTCGGTGCTGCGATGCACAGGCACGTTGCAGGCTCCTGTCAGGATCTCTGCTCTCGCTTGTGGGCCGAGCTTGATATTATTCCCTTGGTATTGCCAGGATTGAGCTTGTTAGGCCGATTTGCTTCGCGCGCGCAAGCGCAGCCGCGATCTTGGGAGTCCAAGACGATCGCTGAACAGGCCGAATCAATGGCACGTAAATGTGTTAGGTTGGTTAGGATCGGCGCCGGTGTGGAGAATCAACGCTAAAGCTATATCTTTCCCACAGGCTCTTTGGACCGGAGAACTTTCCCCTACTGCAAGTGAGTTCTATGGGCCTCGTGGAGGTCGATACCGACTTCCACGTGTGCTTGACGAATCTCGATGATTTCAAGAAGACCGTTTCGGCGAATACGTGGGAAGCTTGCAACTTTTATGCCGCGGACCTCAAGAAGCGGAATGTAAAAATTGCCTTTTTCAGTGCAACGCCGCAAGGTGGAGGAGTGGCTTTGATGAGGCATGCCCTCGTACGCTTCTCCCACTCTTTAGGCACGGACATTAAATGGTATGCGAAATCACAGCTACTGACTTTGACAGACTTGAATACATCCCAATTGACACCACATTGATAGGTATGTCCCTCGGCCGCGACCAGGTGTCTTTCGGGTGACCAAGCACGAACACAATATCCTTCAAGGCATCACACACCCAGACGAATACCTGAGTGCAGAGGATCGGAACTTAGTGACTGCCTGGATCGAGGAGAACGCGAAGCGATATTGGACTGTACCGGGAGGTCCCCTATGCGCACCGGCAGAAGGAGGAGCAGACGTATTGATCGTCGATGATCCTCAAATGCCAGGTCTGATACCAATTGCCAAGCGCCTAGCCCCAGGACGACCGATCATTTTTCGAAGTCATATCCAGATTCGGAGCGATCTTGTTGACCAACCTGGGACATCCCAGGCAGAAGCTTGGAAATACCTTTGGGATAACGCCAAGCGCGCCGATTGTTTTATCGCTCACCCCGTGAGTGCATTCGTGCCTCGCGATGTGCCTCCGGAGATCGTTGGTTATATGCCCGCGGCGACTGATTGGTAGGCTCAACTGAATGGTCTGCGTGCATTATCTCGCTGATGTGTTACAGGTTGGATGGGTTGAACAAAACCATGCGAGACTGGGATATTGCCCACTATGGCCGGATCTTTAACGCAGCCTGCAAGAATGCGGAGATGCCGACGATTCAACATCCGGACGGTAAGAGCCTTTCGATCAGCTTGCATGAGATAGCGTGCCAACATGTAGCAATTAGAACAGTATATCGTGCAGATTTCTCGCTTTGACCCGGCCAAAGGAATCTTCGATGTGTTGGACGCATATGAGAAGTTCCATAATCGGCTAGCTCAAGAACGGCCGAAATTGAAACACCCAAAACTCCTGATATGCGGTCATGGCTCAGTAGATGACCCCGACGGAGCGGTCATCTATGATCAAGTGATTGATCACATCGAACGCCGGATTCCGTACATCCGCCACCTAATCTGTGTCATACGGCTGCGACCATTGGATCAGGTGTTGAACGCCCTGCTTTCGAAAGCTACCATTGCATTACAACTGTCGACTCGCGAAGGGTTCGAAGTCAAGGTTTCCGAGGCAATTCATAAAGGCGTACCTGTGATTGCCACGCGTGCGGGTGGCATTGCGCTCCAGATCGAAAACGCAAAGAACGGATTTCTGGTGGATGTTGGGGATACCGATGCTGTCGCGCAGCATATATTCGATCTCTGGACGGACGAAGGCCTCCACCGCCGAATGTCGGAGTATGCGCTCAGCCATGTCTGTGACGAGGTGAGCACGGTGGGCAACACCTTGAGCTGGCTCTATCTTGCCTCCAAGTTCTCCAAAGAAGAGTCTGTGCAGCCCAATGGGCAGTGGGTTAACAATCTTGCGTTTGAGGAGTGCGGCGTCCCAGTTCCTCCCGAGATGCCTCACCTGACTAGAGAAGTCGAGATCGAAAAGATCTGTTAGCAAGTGTATAATATTTGGTTATCATTTCCGCATTCAATCGCGGACGCTGAATAAATTGTCATATCCGCTTGGGACGCATTATAATGGACGCATTATAATTTTGAAAGGTATCCAGGTTTAGAGAAAAGACTCGCACAGAAGAGCATGATAAAAAGTTCAATAAACATAGTACGAGAGGGGGTATCATTTGATAGAATCCAAGAAAAGCACCAAACCACGTCCGCCAACAACCCAAAACTTCTTACGGTCTCCCAACAACACGATATCTCTCCCTTGCCATACCACCCTCAGCCCCTTCAACGCCATATCCCTCACCCACTTCACCAACAATCCTCGCCGGTCGTCCCCCAACAACAGACCAACTCGGCACCACCATACCAGGCGGAACAACCGCACCATCCAAGACCATTGCAAAATCCTTGATAATAGCCATACTGCCCACCGTAGCCCCCGCGCCAACATGGACGTGGTTCCCCAGCGACGCAGCCTCAATCACCGCCGACTCTCCAACAAAGACATGGTCGCCAATCTTCAGCGGATAGAATGAGTGGACACCGCGGTGTAACCGGCTAGGCGGGCGCAAGACTGCACTCTTGGAGATATAACTGTAGCGGCCGACGGTGATTGCGACGCTGGGGGCGTTGGATTGTTGGGGCGGATTGCTGGGATCTGTGGATGCGGCGGTTGAAGGGAGACGGTAGAGGTCGCCTCGGATAACGGCTTCGGCTTGGATGACGGTCTTGCCGCCGAGGATGATGTGTTGTGTGCCGTGGATTTGGGAGCGGCGTGAGATCTTGTTGCCCGTGTCCTGTTCCGTGTGAGCTCAAGTTGATATGGAGGTTGGAGGTCTGCCCGAATGGGCTTTGAAGCCGGTGATTGTTTAGTAGGGGCACCACGTACCGTCTCAATATACTCGCCCTTGGCGGCTTTGGGAGGCATCTTGGAAGGTATACTGTGAAGCTGTCGCTGTTCGATGCTGGTGTTGATATTTGATAGGCGCGGGCGCGGGAGCTCCGAAGGCGGTGTACACAGCTGGAAGTATAACTAGAGAACCCTCCGAGTCTTAAGGCAATATTCTGAAATAACTTATGGATAGACCGACCAGTTGATGCGTGAGAAAGTAGACGCCTCTTAACCGCAGCACACGAATCAGGCATAGATACCTCAAACCCCGGATTGCAAACATAAAATCTCATCATTGAAACTAGCTGTATAAACTACAAAAAGCGTTCCCCAAGCTAAAAGCACAACCTCTGGATATCCTGAGAGACAAACTTCCAGTCCCCAAAACAACTATCAAAACATGAAGCATGACCTCAGAACATAATATGCCGCACATTAAGCCACGCCCCCAACGAAACACATGACACACGAGTCAGGAGCTTTGACGTAGGTATATTTGAAGCGTTCAGACAATTGCTTAGTTCTTCTTCGCAGGTTGGGGCTTGGGGAAGTCGAACTCGCCATCCCAGTGGAGCTTGAGAGCTGTGGGGATATGTTAGTACTGCAAAAAGATGGAAGGCTCGAATCTGGGAGAAAACTTACACATTGGGAAGGGGAAGTACGAGGTACCATCCTGGCGGAGATAGACGTAGTAACCGCCCTCCTGGGGAATCTTCTTAAGCTGGCCCTGGGCGCCCATCGCGCGACGGAGGTTCTCAAGACGACCGACGACACGCAGCATGGCGACCAGAGAAATCTTGGTAATCTCCTGGCCGAAGCCAGTGCTGGGACCCTGGCCGTAATTGATGTACGAGGTAAGAGGGCGGTCGAGGTTGACCTCGTTGGGCTCGGGGAAGATGCTGGGGTCGTGGTTGGCCTGGACGAAGGAGGCGAAGATCTTGTTACCAGGCTGGATTTCGATCGTCTTGCCGTTCTCCTCGACAGTGACTGCATTCTGAGCCTGGCGGTAAGCGCCGAAAGTGCCGTTGATACGGATGGCCTCCAAGCAGTAGCGGTACAATGTCTCGTCGGACTCCTTAGTGTCCTGCTTGGCGAGACGGTTGATCTCGGCCCAGTGCTTCTTGCCCTCGGGCGAGGTATAGTACTCGATGATCTGGGTGAAGACCTGGCTCTGGTTGGGGACCATACCGACGATGGTCGGAATGATCTGGGACCAAGTGATCTGGGAAGCGCTCAGACCAGACTCCTCCAGACGACGGAGAGCAGCGGTACCGTACTCTCGGAGGGCATTATCATGGGGACGGAAGTTGTCCATCAGACCAGATAGCAAGCCGCTGTTGGTATCAGCCTTGACGGTGCCCTCGACGACGTTGCCGAGCTGCTGAGAAACGGCAGTGGAAGCGTGATTCAGGGAGTACGACTTGGTAGCGTCCACGTCGAAGAAGAGAGCAGAGTAGATGGTGGTGAGGATCATGTACATTTCATGCTCAGTGAAGAGGCCACGAGGGTTCTGCTCGGTCTTCAGAGGAAGACCGAAAAGGGTCGAGGCAAAGTGGATGTGGGCAAGGTTGCCAACGTCGCGAGTAATGTCAATCTGGTTGATACCAGCCAGCTTAGCACCCTTCTCCTTAATCAGGCGAAGAGTAACATCCTCATAGAACTTCTTGACCAAGATAGGGAAATCCTCGGTGCTAAAGGCCTTACCCATAGCCTCGTGCTGCTCAGCATCAAACTCGCCCTTCCCAAACAGCTCCACCATAGAGCTGCTCCATGCCGGCTTGAAGTCTTTCTGGTTCTCCAGGACCAGCTTGGCGTTCTGGTGAGAGGAGAGGTTGATACGCGAGGGCGTGAACGAGGGGCGGTCGTAGGAGTAGTCCTGCTCACGACCCAGGTTCTTCATGATGTTGCGGTTCTCGCTAGGAATGGTCATAGGGTAGTGAGCGTAGATAGAGTCGGACTTGAACCAGTTGGGGAAGGCTCGGGTGGCCAGCTTGTAGAAGACACAGCCCTGGTTTATGTTCAAGTCGTAGCGACACTCATTGTAACCCCAGTTAGTCAGGTTACGAGGGTTATAGTCAATAGTGTAGTGACGGTCACCACGGACCAGTGCGACGGCATCAGACAGCACAGCACGCGAGATAGTGTATGTCGGGGCGATACCGACACCAGGGATCATGGGCTCCTTGGGCTCCTCGCAAATGATACCGGTGTACAGCTCAACGTAGTCGGGATGCTCATATAGATGGCGCAGATTGTTGGCAATCTCGGGGTCGGAGTTGATCTCCTCGAAAGTGTCGTAGGTCTTAAGGCCAAAGTGCTTACGGAACTCGTTGAGGGAACCAACGTGCCACCTACGGGAAGCCTCAATACCAAGGATCTCGATGGAACGGAGGGCCTTGGGGATGTTACGGGGGCCAAAGGAGCTGGCAACATCCTCGCAGGCATGAGTCAGGATCTGAACAAGCTCCTCATCCTTGAAGGTTCCGTCCTCCTGACGCTGCAGACGGGCGAATGTACGCTTGGACGGATCGGGGTCAAGCAGGCTGTCGACCTTCTTCATACCCATCAGCAGCTCGTGCATGCTAACTTCCTCAGCGGGCTTGCCCATGAGATCAAAGTAGACCTGCTCAATCCATTTCTCGTCACCCTGAGCAATGGTAGAGTGCCAGCGGTAGGCCAGGTTGAACTCGACCGAACACTGGTTACCGAGACCGGAGGGAGTGGCACCAGCTTTCTCCATCTGCGCGCGGGGATCCAAGCACCAGGTGGAGTTGGTGCGGTTCAGGTTGACAATGGTGCGGAGGTAGTCGTACAGAGTGATATTGATGTACAGACCGCAAGTGATCAAACGACCAGTCTGGAACAGATCCTCATCGTACTTGGCCCAGGCCTTCTTAGCTTCCTCCTCAGGCAGACCATCACGGGGCTTGGTGAAGCGGCCGTTCTCGTTGATCTCTGCCAGCTGCTCCACAACATGGTTGTGGAAACGGTTAAGCATAACCAGTAGGACACCGCACGCAGCAGGGAGGGCTTGCAAACGGCCCTCGGAGAAGCAGTCGGGCTTCAGCTTACCACCCTGGTGAGAACGGATCAGGTCCTGCTGCTCCTTGACATCACCGTACAGAATGGAGAGATCAAGGTAGGAAGAGGTTTTGTTGAGGTGCTGTTCGCGGTAGTCGGTCTGGAAAATGTCTATGGGGGTTCGTATCAGCAATTGCGCCTGGTTGCCGGGTTATCTGCAAATCCTACCGTGAATGATGAGCGAAGCCCAGTCGAAGAAAACACTAGACACGTTGTTGGGGTGAGGGTTAAACTTCTGGCGAGCAAAGAGGCTATCGAAGAGCAGGCCAGGGTCGGGCAGACCGGTGGGCTGAATGGTCAAGGGAGGGATGGTGCGGCAATAGGGGGTATTAGCAGCGCCCAACCATGGAAGGGTAGGGTTGTTATTGGAGCCGTCCGCTGAGCGGTACTTGTAGTCGTCGCCCATGAATCTAATTTCCGCATTAGTGTACCCACTTTTGCAGAATTGCAGTACAATTGAACATTGGACTCACGAGAGAGGGGGATGGGGAAGAGAGTCCCAGAGCTCGTCCAAGAACTGATTAGTGAGGTCGACACGGTGTTTGGAGTGGCCGGGCATGTCGGCGACAAGCTGTTATTCGGAACGCGTCAGTATAATCAACCAATTGGAGAGCAATTGGTTCCTACGGGACAGATCGTGGCTCATACCTGAATGATGCGCTCCATAAGGTAGGTCTTGTCATCGATCAGTTCACCGGTAGCTTTCGTCTTGATCAGGTCCTTGACGGTGTTGAGGTCGCGGAAACCGAGCGACTTGATGTCATTGAACAGACCCGAGGACTGGTCATGCTTGAGATAGGTGCCATCACCGGTCTGGTTGGGTAAGGGCTCGCGTGAGGCGTGAATGGCCTGTGCATACTTGTCGAAAACAGCGACGACTTCGGCGCGGTTCACGGTGTGGTGCTTCTCCTCGTGAGAGGCAGACTTGCGTGAGGGCTGTGCGGCCTTGGAGAAGCGCTTGCTGTTCTCCTTGGAACTCTTGGGCTGCTCGGCGTCGCCATTGGAATCCTTGTTCCTCTTGAACTGGGTAGAGAATCTGCGCAACATGGCGACAGCTGTCTCTGGGGCTTTCTTACACGGATAGGAAAGTCAATCGGGGATTGAGCGTGGAGAGGCACAGGAAAAGAAAATGGTTAGACAAAACCACAACTAATAATTACGAATGGCTACCGGAGGCCAGATCAGGGGAGCAAGAGGAGGGGGAAAAACATAAGCCTGCACTGAGCGCGCGCATCGGCGGGTTTAAGAACGAGCTGTGCGGGCAGCTCCAAGTCAGCTCTTGCAGGACTGTGGGGCATCCACACAGTGGCGGATGTGTTATCACCAATAATTGATTGAACCATGATGGCAGGGGCTGATCTGATTGGCAATAAGAAGTTCATGAGAGGGTCAGCATCGATCAGCCCGTAACCCATGGCTAAAAACAGCGAGGAGCCAGGTTGCCAATCACATAAGCAGTTCCTCGTGGGACAAGCTGAAGAAGCCAGTGGAGCTGGTGCGGCGGTGGTGGAGCCAGTGATCGAGGTGGAAGGATCATAAGGGTACCTGTACGGAGTACTCCGTAATAATAATAAGAATAATAGTAATGACGAACCGCACTCCAAAGCAGTGGTACTGTACTGTAGCAGTAAGTGATCATCCTGCAGGCCTTTTTCCGTGGCTTTGGTTACGCTCCTCCAGGTTGGCTCTGTTGCTTGGGCAAGGGGGGGTGGGCCAGGCACTTGAACACCCCACGTCGGGGAGCAACGCTTTGGACCGGGTCTTTCCTGGCGGTTCATGCTTTGTCCCCTGATTTTTGAAATCAGTCATGTTCCAATCCTCTGTACGGAGTAAGTGTACTTCAGTTAGAACATTGTTCCGCCCCCATCCGAAACCATCGCGGGGTAACGGAGCTCTACTGTATTGGAGGAGCCATGGGCTAGTTAAGCTGAACTGAATTCTGAAACCTGCGACCATGTCGGGGACGAGAAATCGACGTCACTGTGTTGCAGCAGCAGCAGCAGCAGCAGAAATATCTCCTCCCCTACTTGATGATGGTCAGGGTTCATCATGAGTCGGGTCCAAGATGATGAATATACACTCAGTGCAAGGTACTGACAGTAGCGGTGTACTTTGCTAGCGGAACTAAATCTCGAAGAGAGTCATAGCGCCCCACACTGGATCTTGAAATCCAGCTGGAGTCCTGGACCTGATGGGGGGAATGAACACGCCAAGTGGGGGGATTGGCGGGCCACGCTTGACCTCCCGATCGGAAACATCTTGTCCAGGTGGCTGGCTGGAGGCGGTTACGAAATGACCGGGTTTTGCAAAGGGGGCGCGCGCAAGCGAAGGTGGTGGTTGGGCGAGAGACTCAGGACGGCGTGAAGGAGGGAAGATGGAGAGGGGGCTGTCATACACGAGCGGCCACCCAAATAATGGGCGAGGCCTGACCCAGCGACGCAAGGGAACCAGGCTGTGGAAGTGCTTGTATACGGGGTATTGGACACTCTGAGGATAATAATAATACAGGTTCCTCCTGTTAAGTTAAAATGGTTTGCCGAACCTAATGTGATGCCAAAATTACAATTTTCGGTTCAGATGCAGGAGTATTGTCCAGAACAAGTACGACTGTACTCCGTAGACTCCCCTAAGAAATCCATTGTTGATTCTTTTCCCACATCGACATCGGATCGGCAGACCCACCAGTTCGCCCACAGACTATGGACTATTTAGGGCCTCCTAGTGCAGCTTGGCGGCCGCCAGGTTTGGATTTCCAGGTAGCGGGCTTTTTCGTCGACTTTTAGTGGCGAACGGGCCGACAGCACGAACCGCATTACGCTCCTCGTCATTGGCAGTCGACTTCTGCCAGTCATCGTCACGAATGCATCGGAATCTGATCTATCATCCCACCGTCAGGGTCTTATTCGACTTTCTTCTATGTTTTGATTTCCTCGTGATAATGACTCCAGTACGGAGTAGCGGCACATTCCTCGCACAGACAGAATAACATCCACTTGTGTAGCTATAACGAGCAGTACATCTATACTCTCCTATCGGATAGACTGTGATATCCTTCTAGTGCCAACAAGCACCATCAACAGCAATCTTGATCCGATCCACACGGGATCTCGGACCCTCCCGGGGATCCTGCAAAGTTCTGACTCGCGTGAAGAACTAAACCATGGCTCAAGCACTGACGGCTAGTTTGGGGCACGGCCGCTCCCGAGGCTGGCTGCGATCCTCCGAGGACGAATAAAACGTACCAATGGTGACAGCAGGGGCAAGCAGCAGAAGCCTTCAGTCCCATAATAACCACACAGCGTATCTCGCCTCTGAAGCGAGTACTCCGTACATTGCCATGTGATTCTGGTCCTCTGTGGTTAGATCGATCAACCGGGTGGGTTCAGGAGGGTGCCACCCACTCCCGACTGTATCCTCAGCCACCAGAAAACGCAAGCTGAAGGAGAGGCCCACCGCCCGAAGATCTTTCTTCCCTCCTCTTCGGCTCATGAATTCAACCAGTATTTTCATTATGTTCATTTGACTTGCACGACGACAGGAGAGGAAATTTGGGTCCGTGTTAATGGCCACTGGCTCCGCAAAGTTCAGGCGGGCACGAATCTTCAGATGACGGCACAGACAGGTGGAGCCGATGGGTGGGGACGACAGGTCGATCGCGGGCCAGCCAGACTATGTCTGTACTACTGCAGTTCGCGCTACTGTACGGAGTAGTTAGTTCATGCTAGCCCGTCTTGAGTTTGTCTGTCGATTCGTCTCGGTCCATCACGGTTGGTCTGGTCAAAGCGAGCGTATCGACACGGCTGTCCTCAGGACTACCCGATCGCAAGCTCAGCAGAGCTCGCTAACTTGGTTTGACGAACGATTCAGAGGCTCGAAAGCAAGAAGGGCCATCTTCAATCCACCCGTCCATCCCTTACGCCCCTGAACCAAAGCACAAAGCACCACACGATTATTGGGAACCTGATGGCAATCCTTGTCCGCGTGGGGAACGATCGACAAGCCTCGACAAGAATGTCCCGAACCACGATCACGGCGCCCCCATCCCATAGGTCCGGCCTGAGCGCCCACTGGGTCCAATAGTGGCCATTGTCGCATAGCAACAGCAAAAAGGGTGGAAACTCCCAAAAGTCTGCCAGGCCTGATGGTTGCCCTTGTTTTTTCAGTACCCCCTGTCAGGTCCGGGAACTTGAAGTACCCCCACTTGGCAAAGGAGATTGAATTCTCCGCAATCAGTCAGAACTCCACGGCGATGTACAGGGGGCTTGTCGCTGGAGTTCTGCCGGGCAGGTTCTTTTTGGGCTGTCCCTCGTGAGGTTGGCGTTCAGCCCGAATGGCAAGAGCAGCAAGATGATCCGAGACATGGCGATTATTGGATAAGATATGGCCCCGATAGAGATCGATTATGCGTGTCGCGACGTAGGGTATTTCCCTTGTACGACGTGAGCGGGGAGGTGGTGCCTCACAAATCCCTGGATAAAAGTCAATACCAGCCCTGTGAACGTGGGAAATAATCTGGAATTAGGGGAGAGTTTTTGCCTTTCGGGCAATGATCGTAGCGTCACAAATCAAGAAAAGGGTCCTTGATTTCATCAAGAAGCGACAGGAGGGTGTAAAAATTGAAAATAATAATAATAAAAAAAAGAAAAGAATACGAGCAGAGCAAACGCCCATGCAGTGCTTGGAATGTGCCAGCCCCCACCACCACCACAAGTCGCCTGGCCCACTCGAGCTTGACGTATTCTTTCGGCTGCGCTGCAGGGATCGTCTCGGTGGGTGACACGCTGAGAACATTCTTATCCGGTCAATCCTGTTTGAGGGGATTTTTCATCCGCCGATTCTCCTCCTCGAACCGCTTCGTTTCGTCGTGCGCACGAGTCCTTCTCGCGCGGAGTATATCGTGACCCGCGTATATAGTCCATCTTCCGTCGGACAATACGACTTCTGCGCTCGAAGAACCCGCATCATGGCTCAGTACACGGGTCCCACACACCCCCACGGTCCTCCGAAGCAGTTTGTGCTTTGCTTCGATGGCACTGGTAACAAGTTCGCAGGCGACGAGTCGGATAGTAATGTGTTGAAAATCTTTCGCGTATGCTCCCAACTCCTTCCCTGGCGCTCGAGCACTCCACCCGAGACACCATGCTAATTAAATCGATTTTCAACCCCATAGATGCTGGACCGTAGCCAGAGCCACCAATATCACTACTATCAGCCCGGTATTGGAACCTACGTGACCACCAAATCGCTCACCAGCCATGGTCGCATCCAGCGCATCAAGTCCTGGTACCAAAAGGCCAAGGATTCAGCCATCGGCTCCTCATTTGACGAGCATGTCATGGGCGGCTACAAGTTCTTGATGCGATACTATTCCCCCGGCGACGAGATTTATTTCGTTGGTTTCAGTCGCGGCGCATACATTGCGCGATTCCTGGCGGAAATGCTAGACTATATCGGCCTCCTCGAAGCCGGAAACGAAGAGCTCATCCGTTTCGCCTGGAAGACCTTTGCCAAGTGGCAGCAGCGCGCAGGCGACAGCGAGGCAGAAACGGAGGAAAAGAAGAAGCTCTTCCAGTATATGAAAGCCTTCCGGGAAACCTTCAGTCGTCCGATTTCGCGCATCCGCTTCATGGGCCTCTTCGATACCGTCAATAGTGTGCCTCGCTTCGAAAACGCCTGGATGCAACGCAGCAAGTTCCCCTACACAGCGCGCAGTTCTGCGAGAGTGATTCGTCACGCTGTTGGTATTGACGAACGTCGAGCCAAGTTCCGTCAGGATCTCATCTCGGGGCCCAGGCCGCATGGTAAAGAGCACAAACGACATCGCCATCATCTGGATCCGCGTCGCCTTGAGCACCATCTGATGACGCGGCATGCCGATGCCAACCACCACTTGCATATTCGCCGCCAAGATCACTACGAGGCCTCCGCCGAGCCGGAGGTCCCTGCTATCACGGTCAACGACAACGGTGAGGTGCCCCAGAATGGCGACGCGGCTCCCGGTGCAGCACCGCCAACCTTTGAGTTCCCTGGATGGGGTCCCTCCGCAGGGGAGTCATACTACCACGCCTCCCACCACTCACCGAACCAGGGTAGCGAGAGCAACGTCGGTGAGAAGACAAGCCAACGCTATCGTGCATCATCTCCTCGACGCATCAGTCTCGCCGTGCCGAAGCCCGCGCCTTCAATCGACGACCTCCAATCCGTCCGCAGCGGCCAGTCCGGTAACCTGTCCATTCAGGTCCCCAGCCAATACGGCGACGAATCTGAGGACGAAGATGACCAGGACATTCACGAGATCTGGTTCCCGGGCTGCCACGCAGATATCGGCGGAGGCTGGAAGCTAGAAGGCGGCGAGTTGTGGGCTCTGAGCCACGCACCTCTAGTTTGGATGGTGCAGGAGGCTCGCAAGGCCGGCTTGGAGCTGGACGAGCGCAAGATGAAGCAGTTCCAGTGTCTGGAAGAGTTTGACGGCGATTACACACCCATCCAGGAGGAGATAGCTGCACGTCGACCGAGCCAGTGCGTTGAGGGCCACGGCGATAACCCTGATGTGTTCCGGACCTCGCCTGATGAGAAGCAGCGATCCGCTGCGAGCCGCGACTTCTGGCACGCATTGCACACATCCAGCACGAAGAGCGCCTTGCACGACTGCTTGATGTTCAATCAGGGCCTACCACATATGTCTGTTCTCTCATGGCGAATCATGGAGTGGTTACCATTCCGACGTATGGATTTGCAGGAAGATGGCTCATGGAAGCCGATTTGCTGGCCATTGCCTCGCGGTGAGGTTCGCGATGTCCCGCTCGACGCGGAGATTCACGTCTCGGCCATCCGCCGCATGCAAGCCGATCCCAAGTATCGCCCGGGCAACGTGATCCTTGGCGGCGGTGGTCGTGGTGTGCGTGTTGCGCCGGAGTCATACGGCATGGGTGACTGGGTCGTCTTTAAGAATGAGGGTGATGGAGTTCGCGAGACGTATGTTCGTAAGAGCGTGGCGACCAAGTGTAAGGAAGCACTGGAGCAGAAGCAGAAGCACGAGCACTGTTTGCACTGAGACAGGCACGAGTTCTTGATCAAGTCCGCGTTGCGATACTATCTGAGCAAGGCTGTGATGATATGTACCTTAATATCTACTTTATGTACTACATGCCCATCTTCGCCAAGGAGCGAAATTGACACTCTTTTCATTCCGTGAAATGCACGCTTCTCCCCATCGTTGCTCCGTCCTCAACCCTCGATACCCGTCAACCTCCTCCCGATGCCTCACCCAGCAATTGTCTCCCTTGGACATCCACCAGGCCCGTTGAAGGCATTCAAAATGATGTCAATGTGTTTTCCTATCTCCTTTTATTACAATGGCATAGATAAGGTGTAAAGGGAAGATCAAAAGATTGCCCGCAACACCAGTATCTACCTAGTCAGTCATTCCCACACGACTGTGGCATGCACCACCATGTACCAATTGTACATAACCGAGTCGGCCTTCATCTCGGGGTGCGTAGAGCTGCCTAGAACTCTGTAGCCCAGATCACAATCGTCCATCTAGACCATCCCTGCAGCACTGAGCTGCATGGACGAATACGATACGGTGGAACCACAGCGCCTGCTTGGCCCCGCGTAATTGGAGATGCAGTCCAGTTCCACGACACGGATCGGGGTTGCAGACTGTGAGATCATGGCGAGAATTAATATTTAACAGAGGAAAGAAAAAAAAAAAAAAAAAAAAAAAAAAACAAGGAAGAACAAAAATCGTAGAAGGGGTCAATCTTGAATCTCGTCAGAGCCGAATCCCACTTCGCCCGAGACATCTTACCGCGTGTCATACAAGAATTGAGTTAGGCTTGTGTCAAGCAAACCGTCAGCCTCGGCGTCGCCGGTCTCGATTTCTGTGTTTACTCCACCGCAGGCACTAAGGTTGTGGGGTCATGGCGTGGGAATCCATGGTTCTTATTCCAGGTCCATCCAGCTCGGCACAAAGTACTGTACTCCGTACAATAACGGTCGTACAGTTGGCAGTTACGATGATGTCGTATGGTTCTCGGCCAAACATATGCAAGTAGATGTTAACAGATGCCAACTAGGCCTCGTCTGTTTAGACCTCAAGAGATAGCTCAGGATATAGGAAGCGGTTGTAGCGAGACAGTAAACAGAGTTACCACGGTCGAATCGAACCAGTCCTGGAGCCATTGCTTGGCTCTGCAACGGTTTCCTCGATATTTCTGGAACAAAGCCATTTACCACCCCCGGAGGAAAAGCCCTTTTAGCCTTTTGTCTACTCAGAATTTTCTGGTCTCGATGCAATGTCATGGGCCATTGATGATTCATGGAGTAAATATAGAACAAAGAATGGTCCAAAGGATCCGTTTGCTTGGAGTTGACCTCCATGAACCGGAATTTTTGCATGTGAAGGTCACCCACCACTCACGGATTTTCCACACGCAATAGATACACCGGTTACCCTACCAAGGCTGTCCGGAGCTTCGATACACGAGATACCTGCAGGCTCTCGGATATCTAGATAATCTGCGACCGGGCCTGTATGTTATTGGCGGAGGACAGGATGCTATCTCCGTCTCGCATGAGGAAGTGATACCCTGAACTCTCGAGGGCAGAGAAACAGTCCAACTCGGTATGCTTCAACGTCCTCTCTTAAGGTTGGGGTATTCTTTTAAGATTGATTTAGATCTTGTTACTTGAAGGCTCAGGCATCGAGGTTGGATTATGATTCAATTCATGCCTAAATAGGATGGTTTTGTAGTTTTGCCGTATACATAGAGCCATAGAGCCTCTCTTAGGCAAATCTTCTGTATATAGTTTTCCAATGATTGCAAAATCAGACCAGCAAGGAACAGAGAATGCTGATATTATCCAGACTTAATCGACATCAACAACTGTCTTCTCGTAAATATTCAGACCCAACGAAAGGATCATCAAGCCCGACAGGCACCAGGCTTGTCAGGGTCCCCCCATTGGTGATTGGAGGTCTGGGCCTTGGCTCCGTTTCGCCGCAACCTTTTTTCTCCTCGTCTTTGACCTCACCATTTCTCACTTTCTCCCTGTCCCCCGACACTCCTTTTCCCTTTTCACCAGTGGCCTCTTTTTTTTCACTCTTGAAGCTTGGCCGGTCCAAGGTTCTTGATTCTTCCCCCACACACCTCCTTTTGCTCTCATCTCTACATGATGCGCCCGGCGTAAAGTTCCCCAACCGCTCCTTTCTCTAACCCCCTCTCTCGCCCTCTTCGCCTTCTTCGCCTTCCCCCCCTTTTTCTTTCTCCTCCACCACGCTTGATCGCCTCGATCGCAACAGCCATGGACGGGTCACAGCGACCTGAGGCCATGCGCTCCTCTCACTCTGCCTCACAAGACCCCACTGGGCCCAACCCCGGAGGTGCCTCGGAACGTGTACCAAAGGAGGACGTCATGATCACTCTGTCGCTCTCTCCCGAACCGCCGGCTCATCCTCGGACCAGATCCCCTTTGGCCCGATCACATCTGCGCTCGCGATCACTGGTGGGAATCCCCGGCATGCCATCGATGACGCGCGCCTACTCCTCTCCAGGGCTGGACTCTCGAGGACGATATATCTTCGTCAACGGCCGCGGGGTGCCCGCGCCGCAACCCACCATCGACTACGCAAAGCGTTCCACGCCCTTGCAGATGCGCAACGACGATCACATCGAGACCCGCCTGGGGTCGCTGAACATCTCCGAGACCATCTCTGAGAACGCCGCTCTCGAGACCCTGCCGCGGTCTCCGTCCTCATCCTCGCCAGTCCTGATGCCGCAGACTTTCCCGCGCATCGGTCGCCTGCGTTCTACTTCACCCCTCCATTTCCAGCAGCCCATCAACAGTCCGCCGTCGATCCATACCTCACCCACCTTGGGCGGCCGATACAACGAGTCCTACCCAATTCATTCAGCCTCCTCCACATCCTCCGTACCTTCGACCCCGACCAGTCTCCGCTCTCGAAGCCCCAGTATCTCGTCCTTGGAGACTATTCCTGACATTCCCGATGCCGAGGCTGAAGCACTTGAAGAAGAGCGGATCGCAGAGCTCAAGGCTGCAGCAGATGCGGCCGACGCAGCAAGCACCGCCAGCCGACGACGTGGCGCATCCGACATCTCTACGCCCTCTAGTTCCTTCGGCACCGTCCGTGGTGGAGCCAGTGCGTATGCTCCGCGAAGTGACAAGCGCAAACGATGGAGTGTCTGTGGTGCCGAGCGCCGCCAGGACCTTGACCTAGAAACCATCTGGGAAGACTGAGGGAATCCAGCCAAGGCTTGTCCATCACTCGGCATGTTTGTGACAAGATCTTTGTCTTGCATTTGGGGTGGATTTTCACGAGATCGATCCTTCCTCTCGGGGCCTCATTGCCCTGAACCACATTCGAACCTACTCATTTTACACACCGACCTTCTACCCAACGACGTACATACCACCGGACCATCTACTCATCTTTGCAAAGCGATATCATCACACGAAAAGGAGTTTCGTTACGGGTGGCGCTAGTGTGCTTTTTGTTTCTCTGATTCTTGCGGCGCGACGGGATGTGGGCCAGGCGTTTAGCTTCTCATCTATCCATTATGCTGGTCATAATTCATCTTGCTTTGTATCATCGACACTGGTTTTTCTATGGTCCATTTTGTCTTCTTGTCTTTCTGTTTCCCCTGCTCGATACCATCCACCCAGTGTATCTTATTCTCTGACCTTTATTTGCTTGTGCTACGCTCCGCAGTCTAGAACTTTTGACTGGGACTCCAATGAAGATGTTATTCTCGAAGCTCAAGCTCTGCCAATTTACTCTCCGTAGTTCACATGCAAATGACCACCTATGCCAGAATCCATAATGAAGGGATTCACCAAGTGGCTTGCAGCTCCCCATGGATCCAACGTCAGCGAATTATTCACACCCCAACTTCCCCGCTTTCTACCGCATCCTGGAGACAGAAACTTATCATTCCTCTCTCATAAATTGTCCCCGACCTTAGACACAGTGATACTTACTGTCCCCGCACCATGTCCACAAAGCCCCATGTCGGCATCATCGGTGCTGGCTTCTCAGGCCTGAGCTGTGCTGATGTCCTTCTCCAGAACGGCGTGCAAGTGACTATCCTCGAAGCGCGGGATCGGATTGGCGGCCGAGTAGGTTTTCCCCCGCATCTGTGATGTGTCTGCCTTTTTCGATGGCTTTCAGTGATGGCGTATCACTGATGAGATATCATGGTGCGTTGCTGAGTACTCTTTTCTGTTGGCTAGGTTCATCAGAGGGAGGTTGGAGGTCATTTGGTGGATCTGTATGTTCTTGGTCCCATCTGTGCTTATCAATCCTTGATTGGATCACTTTCTTATATTCTCGTCTTCTGACTCTGGACTAATCGTGATGCCAGTGGCCCAAATTGGATTCATGGGGCGGAAGCTAATCCAATCATGCACATTGCGGACGCGACGCAGACCGTCACGCACGACCCCGAAGGACGGAATATTGCCATTTCCCGCACAGGACATCTCGTCGGCGAAGACTCTGTGAACAAAGCTTGGGAGTTCTTGTGGGGAACTATCGAGCAGGCCTTTGAATATAGCAGTCAGCATGGGGATAGAATTCCTCCCGAGCAAAGTCTATACGACTTTTTCCAGGAGAAGGTTAAGCAGTCTACATTCTCTGGGGAGGAGAAACAGCTTTTCTTGGACTTGTGTAAGATCTGGGGAATTTATACGGGGGATCCTATCGAGCGGCAGAGTTTGAAGTTTTTCTTTCTGGAAGAGGTCATCGATGGAGGTGCGTAATCTGCTCTGCCCGCAGAGGAGATCAGTAAAATGCTCTTCGGTATACGTCCTCACATATACTCACAGCGAACTATTTTGTCGCATCAACCTACAAACGCATATTGGAGTATGTCTCTAGAGCCGCAGTATCACAAGCGGATATTCGATTCAACCAGGCTGTCGTGAGCATTGATGCTCCACCCCGCGATAATAAGCAGCATCGAGACCGGATCACTGTGACCACTAGTACAGGTGAGCGCTACAGCTTCGACGAGGTGGTTGTCACCTGCCCACTTGGCTGGTTGCAACAGAACACGGAGGCATTCTCTCCGGCTCTCCCACACCGACTACTCGAAGCCATTCGAAGCATATCCTACGGCCGGTTGGAGAAAGTCTACGTGACTTTTCCACGAGCCTTTTGGCATACCGATTCAACCCCGAACACCAGCTATCAACACGCATATGGAGAAACGAATGAGTCGAATTCGGCGCAGAACCCCATGTATACAACATCATTCCTCGAACCTTCATACGCGGATCATCCCGCTGGTCTGGAATGGACCCAGGAATGCTTCTCGCTTGCTATATTACCCACACCCTGTGCCCATCCAACCCTCCTGTTTTACACCTACGGACCCTGTTCAACACACATCGTCGAACAAATCGCCTCATTAGACCCCAGCTCATCTGAATATCGCAACATCTTGGTCAATTTCTTCGAACCCTTCTACTCCAGGCTTGAAGGATATGACGTCACCTCACCAGACTGCATCCCCACCGCGGTCATGGCAACCCGCTGGCAAAAGGATCCATACGCGGGTAATGGGTCTTATTGCAATTTCCAGGTAGGCCTGGCACAAGCTGACAAGGACATTGAGGTGCTTCGTTCCGGTGCTGGTGTTGGAGCTGAGCGGGGGCTTTGGTTTGCGGGTGAGCATACGGCGCCATTCAAGTCATTGGGGACGACGACTGGGGCTTACTTGAGCGGGGAGCGAGCTGCAGCACGGATTTGTGAGACTGTAGGGATTAATTCATAACTCTGGTGTATGCGCTTCCATGATTTGTCAATGTACAGAGACTGGTTACTTTTAGGTATACTATGTACTCTGTCATGAGTCCATGACAGAACAACAGAGGGAAATCCCCTAATTGTGGTATCTGTTGGATGTGAGCATCAGTGAAGTCTTGAAGCACCGTTAAGGATTTTAGGTCGGTTTTATGGTGATGGAGAGGCTCATAGGCGCAGAGGTTTTGATTATCTGGACTTTTGGTGAATTTTGTCCATGAATAGTAGAATATGGCGATTCGTACCTATTCTTGCTGTATTGAAGCGACTTGGATAGTCTTGCATCAAGTTACTAGTCTTGGGCTGCGTGGTGCGGAGGTGAATAGCGATTCTTAGGAACCTAGGCAGATCTCATCGCTAGGGCTCATATCCATATCTAACAACGTGTGTGAAGATAACCTTCTATAGGTAGGGGAATTCGAAGTTAGCCAGGATTAAACCAAATTGTGACCCACAGATGTACATATATGTTCAGCCTAATATTGTAGAAAACTCCAAATACTCGTGCGAGGACATAAAGGAAGCTATTGATTGAAAAATCAGAACGAAAATAAAACCTCATACCTTCCAATCCGCACATATACTCAAACGGTAGGGTTCTGTCGAAGGTATAGATCTGTGGCGTTCTGCGTGAGCCTGTGGAAATTGTGGTTCGATCGTAAGCGGGTCACTAGTAGATTATGACCAATCAGACCCTCTCTTCCTGCAAACCATTCCCATCCCATCTTATATCCACAATCTCCAAAATTTTCCATCCGCCCGCTTGGCCTACGCGATAGGTACTCGGGTAACGGCCGGCTGGCCCAATGGCAAGGCGCTTGACTACGAATCAAGAGATTGCAGGTTCGACCCCTGCGTCGGTCAATTTTTGTCTCATAAACCCCCTCTTATGGGGGAAGGTTGACTTTCTAGCGATCTTTTTTATAGAGTGGGCATATAGGCATGTAGGGGAGAGAGTATGGTGATTTTTGGGATGATGTGGAAGATTCAATGTAAACCCTCGAGTGGCACAATAATGAAAGCGGTGAACTGTAGAACGAGCCTGGCAAACACGAGTCTTGTTTCGCCCTTTTCATTACCAATTTATGTTCGATTGATAGACCTTATGCTAACTACTTAGTCTTTGCATCCTTGACAATCGTCCATACAAGAATCAAATGTCGCCAATCGACCTTAGAGTCAGTCCCTTCTGGGTACCCTATACCATTCCAGAATCATTTCTACTCCCAGAACGATCAAGCTATACGCTCCAGTTAAGAACAGTAGCACCTTCGTGCAAGAACTCGCACATTTCCAGCGGGAGAGTTTAAGCAGCATCAAAGGTAGACCACATATCTCACTAAATCAACCGTGTTCCAAGTCAGGACGTATAATAGGAGCAAATTTTCGACAGCGAGATTTTGTGGTGACACTTAATAGTGACCACCGTCGACATGATTAGATCAACACTATTACTCCTACACAATGTATATTTTTGTTTGTGAATGGTCGTAACTAGGATTTTATTCCAGGATTAGTTGATCACCGGGAGTTATCTCCCGCAATCCGCAATCCGCACTCCGCCGTAAGACACACGTCACCTCCAACTATTCACTTCATGACTACTCCAGCCAAATTTCACTCAGACAACAGGGTACTGAATAAGCCAAACAGGGGAACAGGAGAGATCTAGAAGGGCGCATGCTTTGACAGGATGACAGACAGACCTTGGACACAAGGGATTCATGGGGTTCACGTGACAGATGTGGCAAAGACCGCTTGCAAGCACACATCGTGAAAATCATGAAGACAAGACAAAGAAAAAGGTGAGTGTGAACAAAGGAAATGGATGAGAACAAGGGGGATGGAGGACTTGGTGATTGATATATGACATTGACCCTGATACAAGGGCTCGCTGAACTGTACCTCAGGGGGTTTCCAGTCCTGTTCTCCCTTCTTTATCGGGTCTTATCGCCATGCCCCTTGACTAAGGGATAGAAGACCCTGGACACAGTCCAAATCATCTTCTTGACTGCCGCCGGCACCGCCGGCCATGAATGCAGATACTTCGGCGCTCAGATCGGGCCCTGCTTTGCCCTGAACTCCGGATGGATATTGCCGGTTGCGTTTACTCGCGGACACAATGCCGAGGCCGGTTTTCCGGTTGGCATCGCGCAGAACAGGCCTCGGGGCATGCGATGTTGCCCGCCGGCGGATATGTGTGGATCGAGTGCCTGGGATCCAGTTCTCCTTGTCAGAGTCACCAGGGTCAAGCTCGAAGTCTGGCTTGCCGGACTTGGATGTGATGTTCTTGGACAGTTTGGATACTTGATAGAGGGATCCCCGATTCCGTTCCGTCTCTAACCTGCCCAGAGATGAAACGGTTCGAGAAAGCTTTCGCCGCTTTTCTCCCATTGATTGGGAGATCGGTGTGCGAGCTGAGTCGGCATGCAGTGAAACCAGGCTGTGCCGTTGCGATGCACTACGCGTCAGAGAGCGCTGGCTGCGGGATTGGAAGAGGCCTGGGGAAGATGTGGGGGCCTGTTGGGAGGACATAGGGGTGGACAAGGCACTTCGTGCATCCGTGTCAAAGGCAGACTCCCAGATTCTAGGGTCGCGAGAGCGACCGAACACCCGATCGTTCTCGGTTATGCCGGCCCCCGGCGTGGCTGGGAAGATGGCACTGCTACTGCGACGCAGGCCCGAGATCTTGGGCCTGCGGACCGAGAACATGGCCACGCGGTTCTTGGATGGGGACGGTTCATTCTCGCCGCGGATCACAGCCTTGCCGTCCGAGGACATGGCGATGCGTAACGAGTTTCGACCCTTGGGCGGCGACGGTGTCATCTCATCCTCCTTCCGCACCATGGCCTCGCCGTCAAAGGATAGTGACAGACGCAGCGAAGGTGGTGACTTTACGGGTGTGGTGTGTTGATGCAACACGGGCTGCTCACTCGCTACCTCTCCCCGAATATCCGAGACGGACCGTTTCCGCTTGGGTAGTTGCAGCGATGACTCCTCCACTGATGGCTCGTTCAGGTTCTGTTGTGACTCCGCCTCGTAGAACTCTTCCTGCGTGGTTGGCGGGGTCTCTCCAATAGCCTCCGTCGCCACACTTGTCTGCGTGCTCTGCAATGGCGGCTCCAACTCATCCTTCTCGCCCATTATCGGATCGGAATCATCAGACAACTGCAATAGCTCCCCGCCCCAGGACTTTGGTCGAGACTCCTCCGATCGGTCCTGGCCCTCGACCTGCTCCGCCCCACTCGACGACCCCGGTTCCGCGGACGCGTTATCATCACTCGCTGGATGACCCGACGAGTCGGACATATTTGAGCGCGGTGCAAGCAGCTCGTGTGGATGAAGAGGTTTCGATTTCCTCCGGTCGTTCTGGCGGCGATTTTGGAACCAAATCTGTCAAAGCACACAAGAAAAAAAGATCAGCCACTCGGACGGCGGGAAGATTGTGGACGCTCTAAGTCTTGGCATCGCGTACCTGCACCTCTTTCTCGCCGAGCGAGACGCGATTCACAATGTGGGTGCGGGCAAGCTTGTCTGGCTTCGGATTGATCTGATACTCGGCCTCTAAGATAGCATGGTCCTCCGGACTATTTGTTGTTGTGGATTGTGATGGTTAGTTTTGGTCTTCAACGACGCGTGATTGCCCAGTGCATCGATGCTCCGACGAAAAAACATACCTCGTCCGACGACGCTTTTGGCGAGCGAGAAGTTTGTTGTCGACTCGCGGTGGCAGGTTCTGAGTAAGGGTTTTCTGGGAGTGCACCAAGAAGGCGTAGGTCAATCCATGGGAGTCGACAGCTGGTAGTGAAGGCGAGGACGAGGCCACCGCCACCGAAAGCTCCGGATCGGACATGGTCAATTATACTATGAGTGCATTGGGGAAGAGCAGGTTCGATTAGAAAAGACAAGGTCTGTAGAGTAGAATAGGGGGGGAAAAGAGAGGAAAGGAAATTGGGATGAGGCTGGAGTCGAAGCGAGTATGCAGAGAGGGCCGTGGGAATCGCGTCGCGATGTGGACGCGGAGGGTAGCAAGAACGTGGCCCGCGCTAGTCACGACTTGCGCCCGCGAAGTACCTGCTACTTGCACGGTGCCCCCCGGAACGCGAATTTCGGTTTTACTTTTTGGTACATTTGTAGCTATATCGTGTGTGCGTTACCTCCATAGACTCAGTCCTCGATTCTATCCTCACATCCCTATGCTGGATAATTCTCCTAACTATGAACGCGATGGGCTTCCAGACGGTCTCGGAGGTAATTCGGGATCCCCACTCTGGAGTACGCCTGGTAGGCTGATGGGGCGCTCGCGTGTCTGCACGTGTGGTGGAATGGGTGAGATCTGAGGGATGTAAGGCGCCTCTGGAGACATCTCTACTACTGTCTCCTCCATGGTTATAGTAATGGTCGATGTCATCATCGCCTGAGCTTTGTTGTGTTCTCACATAGCCCGTGGAGGCCACCCGAGTATTACATAAGGGCGACGCGTGCCTGACACGCTAACACGTGACTTCGTAATCCTCGAAGAATGCAAGAGTTCATGATCCTAACGCTTTAATCATAGTGAATCTGGTTTGCCCAAAACTTTCGCGATTCGTGATTTAGGTCCTTCTTTGAGGCTGATCTGGCGAACTTTCTATGTTTACCAAGTCATTCGCCCTTGACTCCTGCTATTTAGCCCTTACAATCCTTTCTTAGAGATGCTACCGTATCAGTAGCTCTCTATCTCGCGCGCTCTACTTAGGTGTGCTAACTAAGTACCCCTTTATATAGATCATGTGTCCAGCTCAGAAGATATCGACAAAATTTGGTGTTTCTCAACCGTCGCCCGTCTATAAGTTCTTGACTGCGTTTCTGAAGTAATCAACTCTGACCTCCCCATTCCCGAGAGTTTTTCCCTGACAAGTAACTTCAAAGTGTAAAAGCCCACCACATTCGCCGAGTTGAACCCGGATCTGATACTCCACAAAATAGTGTACCCGACAGTCCACTTCAAAGTGGAGGCAGTTGGGTAAATGGACACGGGAGATGTCACAGACGAGGAGACCAATCGACGTAGTTCCTGGAGAAGATGATGAGTATATAGGACATGACAGAAAACATAAAATAACAGACCTGGATCGTTGATGTTGTCAGGTGGAGGGTCCCTCTCTGAACAACAGATGATGATTGTCTTGATAGCAGTCTCTCCTTGACGATGGAGTAGAACACCGCTTTGTTCATGAAGGTAATTCGCATGGTACCGTTCTCCCTATAGATCAATAAAAGCATCAGAAAGAAAGGGCTAGACCTAGCTCAAATCGAAGCTTCGTCATCTCTCCTTCTCCTTATTTGCTTACCTTCTTAATCACCCAGTATAGCCGGTCAACCTGAGAGGTAAGACGTGATATCGTAGCAAGAAGAGCCGCTTGATTTTTGAATGTATTTTCCGTCAAAATCGGCCCTTGGAATCCGTAATGACAACGGACCACTCTAGTTCGAGGCCGGCAAGCGCCGGATCCCCACAAAACCGCTCCTAGGGCCACAGCCATTATCCTATTAAGGAAATTCAGTAATTGACATAGACATAGAATAGGTGTGACTCACCCCATATTCGGCCTGTGGATGATATAGCTGCTTCCGAACAATCGCTGCAGGTTTCTGTAGAGATAAGGCGAAAGGGAAAATCCCCCCACGAGAATGATTTTCTGTTTATGTATCAGTATAGATCTTAGTTAATCCGTGGTTTTTTGGAGTGCCGTACGTTAATCATAATTTCACGGGCAGAGTTATTCGCCTCTTCGATCTGGTGTTGAAGCGCCTTGGCGATCTTCGCAAGAGCGTTGTTAAAGAAAACTTCGAGGTCGGCACTAGAATTGAAGATATTAGTGGTCAGTCAATTATCCTGAGCCAGTAAGGCGGATCGGGGAATTAACCTTGATAGCAACACAGAATTCCATCTTTTATCGTACCACTTGGCATTCAGAGGCTTTTCAATGGACATTATCAATGACAGACGGTGGATTGTACCAGTGGATTTATCAAATTTACATTTGATTTTCTCGAACGCTTTCATGAAAGCACTGGATGGACTGATTTTTTCCCGCGGTAAGTTTCGGAAGGCATCACCAAATCTTTCGCACATGAGCCGATAAAATTCTCTGTCAATCAGAGTGGAACCGCATAACTCTCCTGGATAACGTCAGTTCTACCAACAACGTGATATGCGCTTAGGTCGAGCTGTGTATATGGGCGAAATACCATTGCTGTGAGCCAGCTCATCAAATATTAATGGATTATCATGAGAGATCTGATAACTGGCAAGATCCTGTAAGCAGCGAGTTAGAAATGAACTATATGGAAGGTCCGAGGACCGATAGAAGACTCACAACTGTTCCACCACCGCAATCGCAGATAATTACTCCATCCCCGACCTGTCAGTACATTTGAGGCTCAATCAGAATTATGGAGCTATACAGGTTTGGTTTCGGTCATGAGATAATGCATACCAAGAATAAGGATTTATCTGCCAGAGCAAATGTCATAGCGGCCTGTGGTTCGGTGAGCAAATGGACTTCATCTCCATCTCTCGTGCTAAAGCCGGCGTTTCGAATCGCCTCTCGCATTAGCGCTCTGGTCGTGTCGGACCACGAAACCGGCACTGTGAACCAAAATTGGATGTGTGTCGTATCAAAATTTACCTCTGATGTATTCACTGCTGTCCTCAGCCTTTTCCATAAAGCGTCACGAAGACAGCCGAGAAAGTCGGTGATGACTTGAAGCGCGGTCATTCCTTCAGGAATATAGAAAATTCCCCTGGAACTCGCCCATCCTTGAACTTCACGGATCCAATTCTCAATATCCAGTTCTTCATCCAACAGGAGCTTGAACCAAGACAAGGATTCCGCGGGTTGTGCTAGAGTTTGGAGCTTCCAAGGAGACAAAGGTAGACTTGGGCTCTCCTCGCTGTACGCCAAGATGCTTGGAGTTTTGTCTGATCCTTTTTCTGCTTCCCAGCTTTGGAAAATCTGAATCTCCCTGGAGGGATTGTCGACTCTGTCATACGGAGGGATAATGAACGCAATGCCTGTGAAATCTGAGTCAACGATTGGTCTGCTTGAGAGATTGTGGACCTTCTGGAATGACGGACCTGAAAAAGTAGTACCAAAGTCGATACCAACAATAATATCCTGTTCACAGGCCATAGTGGTAGAATGAAGCACTTGCAATTTACAAATTGCAGGGAAGCACAGCCTGTAAGTGGAACTAGTCAATATCGGAATAGTTTTGGGGCAATCAGAATATTCAAAGCGTCGGACCTCCTATTTAAGATGCCATGTGTAGCGTAGAGACACTAAATCCAGTGAGATATTCCACATTGGATCTACTCGAATGGGTGGTGTCCTGAGACCTCTAGATGCCGGGTCTGGTTTCAGAGCGGAGAAACCCAGGCCTTACCTAAGAGGTGAAACTCCATGGGAGAACTACGTATGGAAATCATGATTGAGGTTTCTTCAATCTCGTAGAAAACAAAATTTCGGGGTTTGCTTGAGACAGACAGAGTAAAGAGGCACCTTCCAGCCGAGACACGTCTTGCCCGGAAAGGCTCGTTGGTGTATAACACTTTGAAGTGAAATAGGTAGAGCGTAGTTCTTCCCATTTTGTCAGTGTCGGTTATCTCGTTCTTTTACATTTATTTCAAGCTTGAAATGTGGCAGCCCTATCCAAAGCTGTGGCTGATTAACTCAAAATGCCAGCAGGGCCGATGTTTTTACTCTTTCGGGCGAGGGCAACAGATTATTCAAGTCACATATTGTGCGAGTCACCTTGAACGGGGTTCAAACAGCTTCTTCGGAGGCCCTTGCACTTTTGCCCGGCTCTCCTTCACTTTAGAGTTGCTGGGTTTGTTTGTTCGGGCATCTTTCAACGTCGTAGTATTGACTGCATATATCCGATCCCTCTAGAGAAGCTCGTACCCAGTCGGTACACGCTCGTTTGGAGCAACCACCATGTAAGAGTACCGGAAATTATTTGCGCGATTTTAAAAATAGCAAAAAGTGGATAGCCAGACTATCCGGTCTTCCTTTGAAGGAACTTCGCGTGACTCGTAGGACTGGCCTTTCTTTGACAAAACCCCGGGTGGCTGACAGGCCAGCTCAAGATTCTTGGACACCACCAGCTCATCCACCTCTCGCTGGTTGGCGGGTTTTGCGGCCTCCTCAACCTGTTGTCTCAGGTTGCAAGTTTCTTTGTTAATTTTGAGTCCCGGGGACCGACCAGGGCAATGCCCCGGTGAAGTCGTGACAAAGAAAGTCCCCCAGGGATTTTGCTTCGATACAAACTCAAACTGGATTTTGAAGCTGCCTTCATTCAAGTTCATTCCTCGATGAACATAAAAGATGTGGTGCCGTCCCTAGCCCTTCTGTTACACTTGTTCCGTCATTATCTCGGTTCGTTTCGTACACGATCAACTTGCCCCTCCACACAACAAAATGGCAAAGAGAAAGGCAGCTGCTGGGAAGAAGACACATAACTCAGAATCACAGAATGATCGGGTAAGGGATGCTAAATTTTACTCTACTGCTTGAAAGTAATAGGGTCTCGAACTCTGCATGTTGACTGTACAAGAAGCGGCAGGGTGCTACCATTCGCGGACCAGCCACCCTAGCTGAGTTCATGGCAAATTGGCCGACTGATAAAGAAATCAAGGCCAATCCTTCAAAGGTACGATTTGATGCTAGCTCCATGAGTAATTTTTCAATCGCTTAATCATGCTGACCGGAGAATTCTGTTCAGAGACGACATGGAGCTAATGATCCTAACTCTGCTACAAATAGCGAGGAAGATAGGCAACTTGAGCTAGACATCCTAGAACGAATTCGAAAAGCAAACGAAGCCGATCGGGGATTACCTATACCAGATCCACGAGCAAAGCCAACAAGGGAGCCGCCTGAAGACCACTATTATCCATGTCAATGGGCCGGTGTCGATCCAAAGGAGCTGAGCGAGGATGCTACTTCGCTGGATCACAACATGTACCAATGGACCTACAACTATGCAGATAAAGACAATGATGGAATCGAGGCAAGAATGACTGCGAAAGAGAAACAAGCTATCATCGATTACTTGTGCGACTGGTGTCTATTTGATGACTGGGACTCACTGGTAGCCTCATTTTCACCACTTACTCATTTGAATCGCTTTCACCTACTTCTGACAGCAACAGTCTTGAAGAATGTTTTTGAAAGGGTTGTCAGAAATCCTTTCTTTTATATTGACCTTGAGGAGGAATGGGATGGCAGTGGAAGCGATCTACCACCTCCGCACGGCGCAGAGCTCAATAAGATGTTTCAAAAGGCTCTGAAAGGTATGTCTTGTCGCCCATGCTGTCGATTGTCCACCGAGGACCTGATCTAATGAAGAGGTTCATGTCCTAGTATCTGAGGCTAGTGCCCATCATTGGCGTGCATCAACAGTCAAACTCTTCAATAGGTACCAGGAGTATGACGAGCTCGATACTCCTTTAATGGCGAAAGACCCCACACCGGGGATTCGATCGTACAACCTTCGAGAGAGATGCATTGATCAATTCACTTCCGACATGCTTGATAGCTCGAGTCTCATTGCGCCAATGTTGTCTCCCAGAAAGTTGAGCCTAGATCAGATCAAACTCCGCTATCAGGGAATACGGGAATGCTACAAGACTGCGAGCGACATGGCGGTCCGGTTTTATATTCAAAGAGCTGGCATTAAATTCGATGAGAGTGTCAAAGAGGTCGCCGCCTACAAAATTCCCCGCGACGACGAACACGCCCTCAACAGATGGGTTGCGTCCGTTTTCAATTGCTCCGGTACAAACACCGACGACCTTTTCGAGGGGAAAAGAGCTGTGATGGTTTTATGGCCTGCGACTTGGATTATACAGTGGAAGGTATCTCCCGATGTTAGAGAGCGTTGGCAAGAAATGGACGCGAAATACCCTCCAAACTACGACCTTGCCTATCGAGATGCCAGGGGGTCCATCATGGTGTCATATCATCGGGTATTGTTCTGGTTGAGAAAGACGGAAGGGAACCTCCGCTTACAGAGTGATGCTGGGAGTGATTTGGTTGGTTCATTCAAGATTGTGTTTATAGAGCTACTAGCCCAGCGTACTGCTTTCTGAACTTTTATTCCCGTTCCCGCCTTCCCCTCCTTTTCTGCTCTATATAGATATTCTTGTCTCCAAAGGGCGGAGGGTTGGCCAGTTCGGCACACCGGGGACCTCAGTCGCCCGCTGTGATAGGCCGATTCTCCGAAAGATTCCCCGTCCCTTCACCGCGGATGGTTCTGCATGAGCCTTCTTTTCACCTTCCTCACATTTCCCACTCTTTGACTTTTCCAGCCCCGGTCGAAGACTAGCAGGGATCTTGGCTTCTAGAAACCACTCCCCCCTTTCCGACCGCTTGGCTCCCCCCGCTTTCATGGGGTGCGGTGGTTTCGGCCTGTGTAGTATTAAAGGACCATGATCGTGCTGCATCGACTGCCATCTGGGGTATTCTACGGAGTGGCGTAGACCAGTTTGGCCCTCCCAAAGTTTGAGCCATTATCCTTCAAGAGGGATCGGACCAGCATCTTCTCGTGATGGGCCGTTTCTATGCGATCTGGGTCGCCGTGTTAGCGGCGACGGGGTCATTCCTATTCGGATACGACAGCGGCGTTTTGACTGATGTTATTACATCACCTAATTTCTTGCAGTACTTCAATACCACACAGACATCGTCAATCATTGGTGCGATCAACAGTACCTTCTCAGGCGGAGGTGAGTCTTCATGCCGAAATCCTCAACGCAACTACGTATCCATATAGCCTTCTTACCGGGTTCAAATGGGTACATTTTAGCTGTTATCGGGGCTTTGCAAGGTGGCTTGACGATGGATCGCTTCGGCCGCAAATTCACAATTCAAATGGGCGCGTCGATATGTCTCATTGGCGCAACTCTCCAGGCGGCGGCCCAGAACTTGGCGATGATCCTAGTGGGTCGTATCTTGGCAGGATGGGCCGTCGGGCTCATGTCCATGTCAGTCCCGGTCTATCAAGCCGAGTTTGCTCATCCGAAGTCGCGTGGCCTCATTGTGGGTTTGGCACAGCAAATGATTGGAGTTGGGTTCATCGTCAGCACGTAAGAATATTCAGACCCAACAACCCTGCAGATACGCCATGGGATAGGGCTATACAAGGGTAGCAGCTGATCCAGATTGAAACACAGATGGATAGGATATGGCTCCCTCCACGCATCAGATTCCAGCCAGTTTCAATGGCGCTTCCCACTGGCTTTCCAGGTGGTCCCGGCGTTGGTGTTAGTCATTGGAATGATCTTTCTACCCGAGTCTCCACGATATCTGATCGAGAAGGGGAGGTATTCGGAAGGAAAGCGGGTGTTGCACAGGCTGCATTTTGACGGTATCAACGAGGATTGGATTGAGGCAGAGTACAACGAGATCTGCCGAACGATCCAAGCCGAGCAGTCAGTGGCTGTGCAGGGCTGGATGCCCATGTTCACCGTCCCACAATGGCGGACTCGGATGCTGTTCGTTGCAAATAATACCCCCAGGGACCGTTGTTTGAAACCCCAAGCTAACGGATATCCCAGTCATGGACTCGCAGTTCAAGCTTTCACCCAAATGACCGGTATTAACGTGATCGGGTACTATCAAACGATCATGTACAAGGCGCTCGGGTTCACGGGGAGCCGTAACACGCTGGTCGCCGGCCTCTACAACTGTGTAGGCCCTATCGCAAACCTCATTTTCATCGTCTTCATCCTCGATCGCGTCGGTCGCCGTAAGCCGTTGCTTTTCGGTACGGTAGGCATTTCGCTCGCGCTGATCTGCGAGGGAGCGTTGAACTCGCAGAACCCGGATGGTCAACGTATTGGATACAGCATTGCTGGGGTCTTCTTTCTTTTCGCCGTGTCGGTAATCTTCTCGCTATCGTATGGACCTGTTGGGTGGTAAGTTCTTTCCAGGTGGGCTTTGCTCCGGTACGGCGCGACCCGTCAAACTGACCGGGGCTTGCAGGGTGTATATGGCCGAGGTGATGCCGATGCAGATTCGGGGTAAGGGTAACGCCTTTGCTGTTGCGATTGGAAACTGGGCAGTCAGTACGCTTTGGAATCAAGTCTCGCCCATTGCACTCGGGAAGCTCCAGTGGAGGTTCTATTTTGTGTTTGTGGCCTGGAGTCAGTGTCTCATCCCTGCGTAGTTAGTTCGGTCGCGCTAACTCTGGTTCAGATTTGTGCGTGTCGCTCCCAGTGATCTACTTTTATTTCCCAGAGACCAAGCAGAAGACGCTCGAGGAGATTGACAAGCTGTTTGAGCGAGCGCTGGAGCGAATTCCCGAGGATGGAAATGTGGTACTGCGGTCGGAGAAGGAGGGAGCAGGGGTTACGGCGATGAACGTCGAGAACGTCGAGACCGCTGGATGTATCCACGGGTAGCTAGTTGTTCAACTGAAAGCTGATGTCAGTGTTTTTGCTGGTCTCGTGGATCTCCACAAATAAAGTAAACCAGTGGAGTGCAAGTGGGGGGCGGGGGTGGAGTCGAGCGGAGGACTGAAGAGTCACTAAAAAATCACTAAAAAAGTGTTACGGACCTGGTCCACGTAGTCGTAGGTCGGACAGGTGACATGCCCTGGACTGCCTGACTGCCTGACTGCCTGACTGCCTCACTGTCTGACAGCATCCCCATCACCACCACCTTTGTCTTTCGTCCTCCGTCTTTGGTCTGTTGTGCGACTCTCTGGAAACATCAACCCCGTCCAACAGGCTCGGACCCGACCATCATACGATGATGGATCACCTCTCAATATCGCTCAGTGACAGCGTGCCACAAGCACGCCCAGCCCCAGAAACTCTCCCAAGAAAAGGGCAATCCAGCCGATCAACATTCCCAGCCGCTAGCACCTTGGCCCGCGCATCCCTTCCAACGCCACTCGCTTCGATTGGCTCCCCAGCGACAAGGGAGGAGGGGAAAGACCATGATCCCCAAGAGTCCATGATTCTTCCAATGAATCGTATTGCTGAATCGCGTTCTCCACTAGTGAGCTTCCCCCGCTTTGACGGGTCGATCATCAGTCTGCTCCTTTGAACTCCAGCTCGAGGGTCCTATTATTATTACCGTGTCAGCTGTCTTTGCAGACTCGTAGCTCTCCTTTGGTCTAAGATTCCCATTTCTGAAAGCTCCGAGCCACACTGCTTGAGTGACTGTTGCGCGCGGCATCTTTTCACTCTCCCCTCGTCAGTTAGCTTCGCGCTGGGTTGCCTCTCATCGGAAGTGAACAACACTCGGTCTCGGTGGCTCGGCAAGCGGCATCGAGTCGAGGAGTAGGTTCAAGGATTCACCCATTTTCCTACCTTATCTACTGGCTGTCGCTCATTAGAGCAACACCTCTCAGCGGTCATGGGCGAAGAAAGCAGTCTAAAGACGAGCCACATGGCCATCGTCTTGGGGATTGGACTAGGGGTGGTGCTGCTGATTGTGTTGAGCTTAATGTAAGTACTTTGCTGTCTGATTCTGCCTCAGCTTGTGGGGAGATGATCTCATTCTCGATACACTAAATGCTGCTACATCTCGACACCCCCTCTTTTTCTATCATTTCCAACGTCTGGTTTGTGTGGGTTACACAAGATTAATACTGACCATCCCAGTCTAACCATCCTCATCAACCGGCGTGATCGCCGGGCATTCTCGCGGTCGAGGAAGAATCCCGACGAGCGTCTGCGCAGCCTCGATGCTGTTTCACCGACTCGCACCTTGGAGCAATGGTGGGCTACCACGAAGGTTGCGATGGGTCTTTCCGAGGCTGTGGACGGTCAATTTGTCTGGTGAGACCCCAAAGCCCTTGGATGACGAACATCTTTTCGCCGCCCAAAGTGACTGACTAAGATTTCCAGTGCTGTTTGCTTGGAGCAAGTGAACCGCTCCGAAGAAATCCGCGAGTTGCGGTGTTTGCATGTCTTTCATCGAGAGTGTCTCGAAAAGTGGTTCCTGGGAGACCACTTCAATTGCCCATTATGCCATAGGGCGTACTTTGTCCCAGAACACCCCCCACGAAATGACTATGTATGGATGGTATGACCTTTTGAAATCGCAGTTGGATGGCTCTGCCCTGGATGGACGTTGCGGCTGTTTGCTTGGATGGGATCGCGCATGATATTAGTTACATACCCCCAATATTGCGATGAATGATGAGTTGATGAGCCCCATATGCGCATAGATTCCAGCGTGGATCATCGATTGACCCACTTTTCACGGGGCAACCCCATTTGCAGCCGGGAAGTATTCCGAGCTAAAGTCCCAGCTGTTGTAGTTTGACCAGTTCAAGAAACTGGATAATTCGGATGTAACATCATGCACCATCTCTGGATGAACTGGCTGTGGATCAAGTACCTGGTCCAAGATGCGAGACAAGTTCTTCTCAGCTTCTTTGCATGTGCGATAATTGCCATGTCCAGGTCGTGCAATCCAAGAGAGCATGGAAATGAACACGCTCAGGTTGCGGACCAGCTCTGCGCGCGGAAGTACCACATTATGTGGCCCTGGTTTATGAGACTGGTGTAGAAGTTCAAGTAAAAGAACACCGGAGCTTGGGACACCATATGTAAGAGCCTGTCCGTCAATTAGTAAATAAAGATACCCAAGTCTTGATATCAAGACCGGTAAACATACAATCCAAGAATAATGCCGGTCAAGATCCACCATTGGATTGCGCATGGCGGTGATGCTATTCACAATGCCCAGAACCTGGCGTGATATTTCACAGAGAGACTCCTGCCCGGTATTTGTATGCTTGATCAAAGCTCGCTGGAGCAGAAAGCATGTGTACAGGTAGTTGAGATAGAGGTAAACGATAGTCAACCACCCGTGGTGGAAATCATCTCTTGGCCTTCGGTCATAACGAAGATGGTCTGGAGTCGACTCCCACACTGCACGTACGCCCTCCCGAATTTCACTATTAGTTATTAGTCTGAGACGGTGTACCAGTAGAGGCTATGAGTCTCCCACTCACTTGCACTTTTGAATTAGGTCACGCGGTTCATGACTACCCAAAGCGATCTCCAATGTCCTTTCCCTAAAGACAGAAAGTTGAAATCGAATTCGCCCAGTTGACATTCGATGGCGAATCCCCTTCGTACTCCAGCCTGCACTGTCAAGCTCAGAAATAGCTTGGTTCAGAACCTCGCCCCCTTCTACAAGGGCTTCATCACTTAGATCCAAAGGAGGGGTCAACGTGCAGTATCGGTAGTTCAGGAGCGGTGGGCGGCCAACGAATGTAGCCATCATTTTGTCCATATAGAATGCCGATGTAAAGCAGCATCGACGCCACTGCCGAAGGAAAAAGGACAGTCGCACGAAGTCTCAGTGTCCACATGCAAACCAGCAGCGTAGATTGTAGCTGTGAGATCACCAAGACGACGCCATGCTTGATAGCCTGATCAACTGTCAATTGGGATTAGAGAATTGTACGGAAAGGAAAACGACATACTCGAATCTCCGTATAATTGTGTTCGTAGCATGACATCGTTATATTGCAGATATGCCAGCATTTCATTGGCAGCGGAGGCCTGATCGCAGAAATTGAGGCAAATCGTGCTGGCCACAGTCACTTGTTCCAACAGTCGATCCTTAGCTCCTGGATCATCGCCCTCGGTGACTGCAGGGTCATTTTCGGCGGTGATCACCAGCTGCTGCCCGCACAAAGTAAAGATGTTCCCGAGCGCCTCCCAACGAAAATTGCGTCCGGTGAATGAATCACAATACTCTTTTATAGTCATGGATTGATGCGTAGTCAACCCTCGCGAGGAATTTTGAAAAATCTTAGTTGCTAGGCTCTGCAGTTGGGGCATCAAATCGTTGGCGTTAAACCCGGTAAAGATCTCGTCAATAGAGTCCATGATAGCATCGACAACCATCTTGGGTACAACCGCATTCCATGCCCGCAGGTAGAACTTGTCAACCAGCTTGCGGCGGTCTTTTAGATTATACAGGAACAACAACACTTCGGCCCCGGACTGGACCCGATCTGGTTCCACTACCAGGACAGGGCACGACTCCACATTTTCCTCCTGCTCAAACGCGATCTCATTGCGATGCTCAGCCAGAACCGCGGTGAAGCTCGTGGAGCCCATATAGCCTGGCAGTGCAGAAGGCGGTTCCAAGGGTGCGTATAAACGCCCGCCATGCAAAGAACCCGAGCCTGGGCTCGAGGCACTGATATGGACGGTTAAATTGATGGACTAGCATTTGCCACGGTCTCGCGCATACTTACCTCGAAGTTGGCTGGCTAGTCAGTCTCCTTGACGGCGGGAGATTTGGATTCGAACTATTTTGGTCCGAGGCCCTTCGGCGGGTCATCGGGGCTGGATGGTAGAAACATTGGTCCGTGATCCTTTTCGCCGTGCACCTGCGACAAACGGGCCGTTCGTGGTCGCATCGCTGCTTCGACCGCCGACACGGCTCGCATGACTGTAGCGTGCCATTTCGACGAGTGGCCGGGGACCGCGACCGGCGTTCATCAGCGGCTCGCATTTCTCAAGAAGCAGAATTGGACCTCCAGTAGTGCAAAGGGAAAGGAGTCTAGTTGGGAGGTCCGCGGCAAAAGTCCTTAATGTTGACTAAACGGGTTTAGCGTATCCGGCCTCCTCATTCCGTACAACCCGTACATCTCTCGCACCAATTGTGCATGAAGATCGCAAATCAAGTTGATTTGCTATATTGAATTGACAGAAAGTCAAGATCATGTTTCTTTCAACATATTTTACCTCCTGGTCTCATAGTCTATCACGGTATAATCCCTTGATCTTTGTCCGTGTCTATCTATAAACCTTCGTCGTTTTGTAGAGCTCGATGGCATACTTTTGTCCTCGAATGGCATTGCCGTCCCTGGGTTGGACCAACAATCTCTATATTCCCCGCAATGCTTTGTCTCGAAGATTATTTTTAACTGTACTTTTCTTATTGACATTTTCTTCATTGTCTTGACAACAAGACTCTCGATCTTTTTTTTTTTTAATGCCTTTCAGATTTCTTTGTAATGCATCGGTATTGTTCTGGCACGGTGGTGAGAACATTGGTATATAAAGGCCCCCAAATCCTGGCATAGCTCCTTCGTGCATCACCCTTCCTGTCCACAATCAGATCCTGATACAAATTAGTTCTACTCTCATTTTCGTCGCTGAATTCGACATGTCTGGTAAGTCTACTGGCCCCCCTGGGGGAAGAAAGTCGCTGCCAAGACTCTCCCATCCCAAATTCTTCACGGGAGGTTCAGATTCTTCTAGTCCACCTAGATCAGTCACTCCAATAACCTCAGTAAATGGAACTAGAGACAGTTCCGAAAAGTCCGGAAAAGCACTTGCTAACGAGAATCCTCTTAGCATTAGCCCTTTCAACGCATCCGACTCGCTGCAAAATTACAGCTGCCAACGGGAGGCAGGTAAACGCCTGCTTGAATGTATCAATAATCCAATGGTAAATTGCCCAATCTCCCTCTCAAGTTCGACTTTCGTTGGAATTACGAATGAACAATGGGAGGTCATGGAACAACGGGTCGACTTGCCGGAGAACTACTCCCAGTCCACATTTCTACCCCCTGACGTGCCTCATGTAACGGGAAACTCATATCGGTGGACTTCCATCAAGAAGTCCCTTCCTACTCAGCCGTTCGAGGTGTGTTGGTGGTCAGGCCGCGCTACACAGGGTGTGGTCTTCTTGGAGGACGTCAATCGTCCTCGAGGGTCCAGATTCCCATATATTTCCGAAATTACCAAGGCTATCTACGAGAAAGACTTCAATATTGACACTCTCAGGTATGTGTTTGTGACTGACGTTGCCAACCCGATTACTCGTGGGTTTATCATTGGCGTTCTTTGGCCCTCTAACACCCCGAACCCCCGAGTTATAGGACCCGAGACCCCTGAATTTCAAGTCATGCTTGGTACTCCCATTGGCAAAATTGTTGCGTATCTTGTCTTGAATGCATTTGCTCGTGGCACTCGGCGGATTGCACGAATTGTGCTTTGGCATGATATCTATGCCTCTCCTCATCTAAGGTTTGACATTGAGCAGATTCAGTAGGATTGTCCTTTGTACTAAGCCTTCTACTGATGATACTTTTGGACACAGATGAATGAGGACTGGTAAGTCACCATGTTTTTGTTTTATGTTCTTTTTTTCTCTCTCTTTCTATTTTCCGCTCTCTATCTTCCTTGCCAACTTAGTAACGCAACCTGTTCTTGCTAAACCCCCGGATGCGCATACTCCCTATTTCTCAGAAATAAAGCATTTTGAATATAACTGCAATTTAATTTTCCAAATTATCAAGCCGTAAAGTCCATTCAATCATTCTGCTGTTTGAATTTGTATTATTACGCTATCTTGGTGTGGTTCATTCTCATAATTTTCATTAAACCAAAGCATGCAGGAATTTAAGCACGAGATATGCCATGAATATCATCGAAGACATATGACTGAATTTAATCAAGACCAGGACAGCTGATACCAGCCTTTGTAGCAAGGAATTTCAATCCTTGTAGGACATAATCTTGATAGAGATCATCGCCTTCGGACAAAGGAATATCAAACATGTGGTTCTTATTAACAACCGGAAGAAGATGACTTTCAACCCCGAGGCTCTTCAGCTCCTCATGAGCCTGTTCACTTAAACGAAATGGCGTCACTGTATCTGCCGTCCCATGAATAAACATTGAGGGCGGAAACCAGAGAATACTTTCGATGGATCTATCCGATCATAATCCCCATCTTTTGTCACGAGAGAAAGGTGTTGTCCGGATTTGAATGCATTTGACAGCCAAGCATCGCGGGGTGAGACATTGCCTGTTTCAACAGATGGAACTGCAGCTGAGATTTGCGGACCGGAGAAAACTTGTTGGGTCAAAGACTGGGGATACTGTGGAGCATCGGCAAAAAATGGGGTTGGAGAGTGCCAGACTGGGTCCGAATAGTACTTCCCACCATAAAAGTCGAGCACTGCCGCAACTGGAACAGGACTTTGAGTCTAAAGGTTTTGTGAGAAATGTTTCGCAAATTGTACCCGAAATGGAGAAAGGCGTACTGCCAGCAACGCAAGCGAGCCACCTGATGAATGGCCCATCAGCGTGATCCTATTTGCATCGATGCAGATGTCCACGTCACGGAAAAATTTGTCAGGTAAAGAATAAGCAGTCCATCGCATGCATTCTAGCGAGTCCGCGAGTGGTCCGTCGTAGACAGAAATGTGTGGACAAAGCCTGTAATTGGGTACGACCACGATGAATCCAAAACGAGCTAAGGTCGTAATCTGAGTCTTGGGAATGATCGCCTTGGATCCTTGCACGAAACCTCCGCCATGGAAGATGATCACTTGACCATCGTATACATCGTCAACACTGCAGCTTTTCAGGTGATTATTGATATTGAGAGAGACAAACCTATTGGGCGACTCAAATGCCCCTGTCCAGCAAGATTTGGTTGCCAATGAACATCGGCTAAGAGCGCTTCGACCTCGTCTTCTTGCTTGAACGTATATTCACGAGATTGCATCTTGATCACCTTCAGACGAACGTATAGATTTCTGTAACTTCGGGATCGATACGTATCCTTGATTCAAGATAGGACACGTTCACGTTGGTAGTTCTAGCGGATCTGAAATAGCTCTCAATGTAATGACTCAGAATCGAGAAAAGCGGATCTGAGCGGATTTGAACGGATTTGAGATCACGGTAAAGGCGATAAAACGGCCATCAGTCGATAATTCTTGAGCCCGATGAGAGTCACAATCCTTCGTTAAAGAAGACAATTGACAAGATGTAAGCTAATCGTGTCAGGTGGACAGAACGAAATTTTCAACAGAGATTCTTCCAATAAGACGGCATTCTGAACTTCACAGCCCAAAACTCGCATTTTGTAACTAGTATGGTAAGTGGGGCGGAGATCTTCACTATGTAGCTTTTGTTGGTCACTACGAGATTCCACAGCGAAGGATTTCGAGATACAAAAGCCGCTAAGCTCCCAGGAACTAAGACATAGCCGAGTCGTCGGCGCTCCCTAATAGTTAGCATACCCCTCGCCTTTTGCTTGCCATCCGTTCACCTGCTTACTAAGTGGCGAACTAGGCTAAGCAAATGGCTTCGTTCTCCCTGTTGTACATTGGTCATCTAGGAAATAATTAGAGGGCAGAGCAATGACTCCGGGGTGTTAACCGATATGCTAAAACCACAATATTAACAAGGCTAAGGATACGATTCAGATCCCGCGAGAGGTAGTCGTCATGACTGAGACTACCTTGCGATTCAGGGGAATTTCGAAGATAAGTAACATGAAGACAGAGGCGGATGAATAGATGAGTGGCACCGGGATCGCATCAATGACACATACTAGGCGTATAATTCCATGAGGACTGGCAGTTGAAGATGATTACCTATCTACAAAGACTCCCGGTTATTCCCAGCCATATCCTGCGATTGACCCTTCAAAATTGAACAAAAAGATTCAACCTAGCAATGATCGTATGATGTGAAGTACTTGCTCCTCTTCCCAGAGATAATCTTCCTGTTTTCGAAAATAATCAAGATCATTCAGTGTTTCAAGGATGTTTCGCTTGATGTTCGAATCATGTGCCGACTCATATGTGAATATCAGTGCAGCCTGCATAGCGGGAAGACCCAACGGCTTGTGGAGTCTACTATATTCCATGAGCATCCAAACCCGATAGGATTGCCTAAGAATATGTGATTCAAGCTCCTGTATCTCCGTCGGCGTAGTCGTGCTCAATGTTACTAAAACTCGACAGACCACGATGCTAAAAATAGCATAATGGCAGACTGCCATTGCCGCCATTGTCTCCCTGACGTCGAACATACTGGGAAGTGGATCGTTCAGTCGACGAGATGGTACCTCTTGAAGTAGTCCCTGCTCGTATACAAGCTTACTTAGCTCTTCATTGATCTGTTGCAGCTCCCCCCAAGCAGCATATGCTTTTTGCGATAGCACAGCTGCATCTATAGGTGTGTCCCTCATTCGAAGCATTGATTTTGCTCGAACAAGTGTGGGCCACAGAGCCATTGACCGCATTAATCTGAAGTAAATGCGCTTGAGGTCCGGCATTGCACTTCGCGTGTCAAGCGCGCTGGCCCATTCTTCAGATGCCAGGAAGCAGTCCTTTTTCTCAGTCACTGAGTATTGAATCTATGGGGCGAAATTTTAATATCCACACACGCCTGAAGTTGGGTCTCAACATACAATAGAGATATGACTATCCATGATGGCTTGTATTTCCATTGCATTGCCGCTTTTTGGAGGCCCTCTCTTCTGCAACAATGCAGCTAGGCCAGAGGCATGAACCTTGATACCATTCCTCCGTATGTTTCCGAACAACGCCTGGGGAGGTTTCGTTCAGACAGTATCTTCCTTGGAGCGTGCCAGAGACGGCAATATACTTGTCACTCACCTCGAGGCGATGTAATAATATTACACTGCATAAGGTACCCAAAGAGTTCCATTCTTCGGGGTTATTAAGCGAACGCTGCAAGCTTTGCAAGGCGCGACCGTATAAATCAGGGTTTATGCGTCTGGATGGATCACTACCTCTCAGGAAATGCTCGTAGGAGGTAATTGCACATAGAGCTGTCGCATCGATCGCTTGACAATGACCCAACAGCCGCGGTATCTGGCAAATAAAGTCCCCGACTACTCGCAAGGAAAAAGAAGGATCTTCAATCTGCAGCATTGCAATGACACGGCACGACAGCTTTTCGGACGCACTCATTGAAACATGTGCCTGAACATTGTTTGATGTTTGTAATGAGTCATTATTTGACGATATGATTTCGCCTTCGTGGATTTTTGTCACTTCACTCTTAGATCTCGTGAGCGCCTTCCGGTATTTCGCCCCATCGTCAATGATTTTCAATGAAGGTCGTGGAGGACAGACCCGGCTGCCTCGCTGACATGGACCACACACAGGCCAATGTCCGTCACACTAGACTCTCGTCGATGAGTATTTGCCTCCAGTAGCTTAACCTAACTCACAATCCATGCCACGGGCCCACCTTGACTTTCCGATGTCGACACGTCTCACAGCGGTTGCTTGCCAGGGCTCCAACCATGTTGTCCAGTCCCAATGTGATAAACCTTTGCGTCAATAAGAGAGATAATATGACTCGGAAATTATGCAACTTTGGGATGGTTTTAAGATTGCGTGGCTGGAACAGGGCTGACTTAGACTCGGACCAGCTTGCAGGTGGAGTGGGGAACTCGTATTATTCCTCAGCCGCGTCTCCGCCGCGCCTCAGCCCCCGCTCGCAATTTGACACATTATAGGTCTAGCGCGGAGATGAATAATGGTCTGAAGCGATCATCGCGCCAAGGATCATCCTCACTTCAAATAACCAATAACGAGGTGTGCCTGAAGAGCTCCGAGACAGCTATATAATCACCCGGAAACCTAAGTAGTAAATGTAGTTTCACTCGCTCATACGCCCAGAGCGACATCCCACAGTCTCATTGCAGCGTTGACGATATGTGTCTCTTCTTATTACCGTTGCTTTGCAAGAGACGCAAGAACACAGAGAGCAGTCACCCTCCATCACGACCTGTATCTGTATCACCCTCAGGAGGTGGTATAGGATTAGGGCGGAAGGGCCGAAAATATCGAGAAGATATGGAGAGATATGGACCTGAAGTTGCGGAAAAGAATCGTAAGAAACGAGTGGGAATTGCCGCTGCTGCGTGAGTAACTTCTCCGTTACGTGTATATCACATTGATCTGACCAACTCCGCCTCTCAGAGCTTGTTAGGAAGATCGATTAGTGAGGAGTCTCGATAACTACATGGATGGAACTCCCATCTACGAAAAACGCAAGTTGGACGGTCTTCGACGCTGGTAGGATTGGTCACTACCTTATCACAGCCTACGGCGATCTTTACCTATCATCACTGGGAATTTGCTGGTTATGGTTTGTTTCTTAGGCATATCCTTCATTATTTTGATAAAAATCCAACATATATGTACTCTTACTACAGTGGCATGATAGTCTAGGTTATGGCAAAGATAATTTCCCCTCAAGACAACCCATATACTCTGCGATTTGATCCCTATCATCAAAGAATCCCCAAACAAATGCCTTGGATGTAAAATGAATACTAGGGTACATATAGGACAAATTGCAAAGTAAATTCTTAGGGCGGAGTTCTTAAGAAAATTACTGTATCCTCAGCTCGCAGGATTGAGCCATGTGAAAAGTAGTGTAATTAAAAGTGACATACAAGTTTCTTATATACAAAATAGGGTAGGACAGCTGGTTCTTTAGGCTTGGTGGGTATAAGGGTCACCCACAGCTTGGTGACGCTGAGGATAGCGCAAGGCTCACCACACCAGAGGGGGGTGAAAATCAAGGCTTAAGCAGGGCCGAGGCTGACTCGCACGTTCAGGTAGATTTTACAACCCGCGCATTACTAAAGTCACCTGCAGGAATAGCCAGTTGTTTTGAAGAGAAACGCTGACCATGTACAAGTTTATCCAATACCAGTGACCTGCATAGGATAAGCCTTCGCAAATCGACATCTTTTGAGTAATGATCTTCACTAGCACCGTGGAGATCTGCATGCAGCCGTGCTTTTCCCGCAAGCCTATCGGTAGAAGTAAGAAGGTCTACTAAGAATATTGACGGTCTAAGCAAATAAGAAAATCAAATTGAGCCAGTCAAAAAACGTCATTTCGTAGCTATACGTCTGCGTCGCACCGTTTTGAAGTCTCAGCCTCCGTTATTTCTTGGACGGGATTCGCCCCCACATCAATGACAACTCGCTGATCGGGCGGGTCTTCTCGCAAAGCCATCTACAAGAAAAGGTTCTGGGCTGGCTAGAGTCTAGTATCTGCTGGCTATTCCAGGACACACTGACATACTCAAAGATTTAGCCCCTTAAAATCCTATTCTTGCCTCCTTCCGCGACCGAACTACAAATAGGATCGAACTTCCAGCGTTCCTCAATCTTTTTCAACAACAATTGCCAATTAAATCAACGAGATACCAACATGCCTCCTCTTCCCGCACATCTTCTGTTAATGAAGCTTCTTTTCTTAGCAATGTTTTCGAACATTGGGTTCTCGCTGCAATGTGACTATTCCGATACACAATTTCGGGAGCAGAAGGTCGATCATTTCGGAAAGAGCATGAAAACATTCAAGCAGCAGTACCAAATTATCGACGACTTCTATAAGTCGGGTGGTCCAATACTCTTCTATCAGGGGGCTGAAAATGACCGGATCAGCTGTCTGGTGAGTACAACACCTGTCCTCAATCAGGTACACCTTGATTAATATTGTATCATTGGATAATAGTCCGACTACTCACTTGCGCATTATGCCAACGAGACTGGCGGACTTCTTGTGCAAATTGAACATCGTTATTTTGGAGATAGCTTGCCTTTCGGACCAATCAACAGCACACTCACATACAATTGGGATTATCTCACCTTGAACAACGTGATGATGGATTCTGTTGAGTTCGTTCAGTTCATCAAGAAAAACTCCACGTTCACCAACGCGAAGACCATTGTATTCGGAGGTCTGATATTTAAGCCAAGGCATGATATTTTAGGCTCTAGTTTAGCTAACAGGTGTTGAAATAGGATCCTACGGGGGCTACCTGGCCACGATGCTCCGTCTTAACCACGGTGGCATTTTTGACGGAGCTGTCGCAACAGGGTTTCCTTTATACCTGAACGGAGCGGACTTTCCTAACAATACATACAATGACGTTCAAGCTCTTTGGGCAAGTTGATTTCTTCACTACACGGACAAGGGAAGATTTATTAACTAGGACTTGACTTGACAGGTGAATAATGTGATTCAAGATATGTCCAAGACTGCGGCGGACAGGATCAATGGTACTTTTTCTGAACTATTGAAATACTATACTTCAGGTATGTGCGGCACAAATTTCATAGAAATCAATGCTAACCTACACAAGGAAGAACACATGAACTTACAACCAAGCTGAATCTCTGTACCGAGCCCAGAAATGCGACTGACATCGCCATTCTGAGCACCATCTTCGCATCTGGGCTGCAACGACTATCGCAATTCAACTTCCCAATGGCAGCCGTGGCCAACGTTTCATTTCCCATCCAATACATCGTGAATCAAACACTTCATTCTTCTGATCCGCTAGCCGCATTGGTGGCCTTTACACCTATCTATGCGAAATCCGTGAACATGGCCCAGCTGAACTGCTTTGACTGGGCAGCTGGTGGCTCGGCTGGGGTAGGGGGAGCTGGAGGCGTGCAAGAAGGCCCTTACTTTCACATGGTTTGCACATACTTTCCGATTTCCATGGACAACACCCCGGAAAACACCATATTCCCCGCTGAAAACGCCTCCCAGTACGCCTGCGGCACCATGTTCGGCCCAGGGAAGACCAAAATGTTGACCCAAGTTGTCCTCGAACAAGAATATAATTATTCTTTGGAGAAAATCTCCAATCTGACAAACTTCATTGGTCTTTGGGGCCAGTACGATCCCTTGACTGCACTGTTTCCATATGATTTTCCTTTGAAAAGCAGCCGCCGAGCCGCTCGGAAGATCTTCGTTTCTGGTATGGCGCACACGGGTGATATGATTGCGCAGTCTCCGCTGGACCCAGATGCTTTAATTCAGGTAAAAGGGAATTTACTCCATTGACTATGTATTAACTTAACTGACGGGTGATGTGTGCTAGGCTCGTTCCACTATCGTTCAATACATCAAGGACTGGTCTGCTCTATCTTGATTGTCCAGCTTTGATAGCCATTGCAGGTAAGGCCTGACAACATTTTTACCTAATTTATGAACGTTTCGCATTTGTTCATTGTTGCCAGCGGAATCGACTTGTGACTCTCTGCTGGCGATAGGTCGAGTTTTAATCTATAGACCTTTATGCTTTGTAAAGTATACTGGCTTTTTTGACAATTTGTTTCATGGGCGTTGCAGCTGTTGTAATTTAAGGCAATCTTGGATCAATGGCAAAGATGAGCCTGGATAAAAAGCCCAAATTGATTTCCGATCAAAACAGGGATGTAATGTAGTTAGGCCACCTAGTTAATTGGGGCTAAACCCAGAATTTCCCATACAGCGAATAGTGCCTTGAACCTGAAAATAAATGAATTTTCCATAATCCCTAATCTCCTTGTTAGGACTACATTCTGATCTTGTGCCGCTTGGTTACTTGCATCAGACGTCACTTCCTGAAAGAGTTGTAATTTACAAGGCATTATTTAATGTAGGATGCTTATGGTGTCTGAATTGATGGCACTTTGTATCACCTTATCAGACTCACTTCAACTGTCGCAAACAGCTAATAAGGATAGGCTTATAAATGATATCGACTCACTATTGACATAACATGGGTGGAAAGAAGTCTGAGGTGATATTACGGCTTAATAGCAGAAAAGAGCTCACGAACATTCTTTTTACAAAACAAATGGTTATGGTTGAGAAACGACTGGTGGATTACTCGGAGATAAGTGCCGTGTTGGCTTGCGCATGGGCTGCCATCACTTCCCTAGCCTATCTAACTGTTCAAATATCTACTCACAACTCATGTGCCGAATTTCGAAAAATATATCTTGTGATTGTTCACTTGAAAATAATGAATGAAAGTATTCAAGTGATGATAGTCTTATCCGATCGTGTTCTTCCAACATATGTCTTGAGATTAAACATGACCGGGTGAAACGCAATTTGCGACATGATGATCAACTTCAGCCATCTTCCATAAGCACCATCTTTAGTCTTTGCCTGCCCTTAGTATGTGTTCACGAGCTCACAAATGATGGGAGAAGGAAATTGCAGATTGTGGTATCTGGGGCTCGTAGGCAGAGGGAGCGGGAATTGGTCTCTTAAGAGAATATTTCGATGGACTGGGTCCCCGCAGTGTTGCAGATTTTCCTTCCAGACGAGTCCTCCGCATCAAAACAGTTGATGTTGCCACCATTTGTGCAAGAGCCACCGCCATTGTCACGGTTACACACTTCCCACGACCCAGCTTCCCCATTGGCGGGCCAGATAATGCATTGGGTCCCAGGAATGTTTTGATTGCTGCCCGGGGGGATGGACCAAGAGGTAACCCTCCCCCCACATCCAGTGTCGGTGCAGCCCGCATTGCAGGTGGTGAATGTGTAGCTAAGTACACTGGGTGCTGAGGCAATCAGAGCAGTGAGGATGGAGAGATACTGCATTGTGTTTGTGTGCACACTGAGATTGAACGTCGAAGATTTGAGGATATAAATCGAGTTTCTTGGATATTGCTGTTGTGGTATGATCAGAGTAAATTGAGAGGGGATTTGAGCTTTATTTATGTTCTGTTTTGCCTCTTAGATTTACCAAGTGTCATAAGTGGAAAAGAACAGCGGCAACCTACCTAGCTATTTACCTTCCATTTTGGTTATTGAAACGATTGAATTTCGAGAAACTCCGAAAGTCAGCCGTGGAGAGAGATCATTCCTGATCTCGACTCATTTTGCGAATTTTTGAGGTCACACTCTGCATGTTGAAGAGTCAGATCGGGGCCTTCAATTTTATGTTTATCGTTATTGTCAGCGCAGACCCAACGTCAGCATCGCAACTTAGCTTGAATCAAGAAATTTCCTTATTCCCGAACCATGATTATAACTAATTTGCATTTCGGTTTCTATCTGGCCTAGTACAGGTGTTCATCTTTAATTTTCCGCCGTTGGGGGCGACTAATCAGTTCTTGGGTGATTTTGCGAAAGTCAAAGGTATGCTCGTATTGCGTTACGCCACTTACGAACTGAAACTGACGCTTCTTAATTCTGTGAACAGCAAGAAATATATCTAGATAGAGAGATGCCACTTTGTTCACTTGGCCCATATGAGTGAGAATACCTACAGGTAGCCAAAGATGTGCCCAGGGTCTCACGATATTGATTTTTTAGCCAAGCTCAAGACCGCTCAGAACCATATGCTGGGTACAATCAATGAGTACGTGAATTGTTGGAACCGAGGTGACCTAGACGCTATTATGGATATCTTTGTTGACGAAGGACTGGATTATACGGACTATGGTAAGTCTGCTTTTTATGAAACTTGATATAAGAATGCTTTTAAGGAACGAACATGTGCTAAAAGCGGTCCCTTGTATGAAACAGGCGCAATGCGCTACCATATGGATAAAGTGTCGGTTCGAACTTTGTTTGCCGAGTTCTTCGAGGCTTTCAATAATCTAACTATTGAAACTATTTCGGTTCATGGTGCACACGACTTTTGTGTGTGGGAATCAAAGTCAAAGTTTCAATTACGGCAAGACATGCCTGGTATTCCATTCAAAACAGGGGAAGTCGCAGTTTTATCATGTGCAAGTCTAATGTGGTGGAATGGGGATAAGAAAATATTGAAAGAGGTTGACTACGCAGTATGGGACAAAAATTAATAATGAGTTGGAACGGCGATTCGTGTTGAATTTGTTATTTATTTCACTATGATGCCATCCCAAACAAAAAAGGAGTTTACAAATTGCAGTATATGACTGAATCAGTTTCTTTTTACATCGAGCCTCAGAGCTATGAAAGACCACATTTCTGAGGCAAATGCGGAAGATCCATATGGCGGATGAGCGCCATGTTTCTGGTGTGTTGGCCTACTACCTGGATGAGTAGGAAGGCATCCGCCAATTGGTGATCTCTATTTTCTCTAGTGACTACTTAAGTGCCTTCTGCAAAACCTGCATATTTTGGGCTATTTTGAAATTACCCTTTTGCAATGACTTCTCAGAGTTCAGAACTCTGGATCAGTAGAGTGGGGTGGACTGTAGATCGTTACCCTTAATGCACCATTTTGCGAAGCTCAAACATTGTCTTCACTAACGTAATAACTAACTGGGTTGTTAGCCTTACTAGAGCCTGCGGCAGCATAGACCGAATATTGAGCTCTTCGAAGACTAAGCCAAAAAGGGTGTTGGAAAAAATGATCCACTTTACATCAAGTACATTGTACTTTGAAAACAGGATTGTTTGACATTCTGTGAGTGAAGTGCCCAAAATAGGGCGGTGCTAGTCGTGAAAGTTAATAAGGCCACCAGCCAGGGCGAAATCTCGTCACATGACCAGACAAGGCACATCGAGCAAATCTCAGCCGCAAATGCTTCCTTCCAGCAGGACGAAAGTCGACTTAGACTCCAAAGCATTTATTCTCCCATGAACGTCCACCCAATGACCCAATCTTATTGTTCACTTTTATCAATTGCACAAAGAACCGAATCAATCACTCGCCCGGCAGAATCTTGGAAATGGTCGGCGCTATCAAAAGCAACCGCTGTGGTACCTGCAAGCAGAGGAAAGTAAAAGTATGACATTTGCACTAGTCTAGATATGCTTAGTACTGAAGAAAGAGCAGTGTGATCTGACCTGGCCCGTATGCGGGCCTTGCAAGCGCGGTAATCGTATGTGCCCTCCACGTCCGTCTCTCAAGATCATAGACGAGGGCCAGCAAGTGAAACAAGTGGCAAAATCCTTGCCTTCAAAGGCCGTCAAATTTCAGCGACAAGATCAAAATATGCATGGATGTGTGGCCCGCCACAAAACTTTGCTAAATAAACACATGACATTATCTCCATCGGAGCGACCTTCATACACATTGATTAGCTCCTTGTCTATGGAGAGCCTATCGTGCAGTCTTAAAACACTGGGCGCCTTCATGTGGAGAATTCCGCAGCGGATAGGCTCGAGTGTAGCGCTAGACGCAGTAACCTCATGCCTTCTCGCTTCGCATGATGCAGTGCTTCGAGGAGGAAATCGGCCTTCGCGAATCAACCCCCACCTATACGCACAGGCCTTGTGCCACATACAACGCGCCATTCAAGACCCGAAGGAACGGCTGTCTTACAACACATTATGCGCAGTACTACTCTTTCAGCGAATTGAGGTATGTTTTCCATCCACATGAATGCTCAGCGAGTCTGATGTGAGAATAGGCGGTATTTGGCGAGTGTCTTGCTCCTTTCAATCAGAAATATTTGCAAGGCGGGCGAAAAAATGGTGAGCTTATTCACGCGTCGGGGGTGGCAACCTTGATACAGGAGACAGGCCCACCCAAGCCTGGGGAGATGTCCGACACTTCTGTCATAATTGACAGCCATGCTTGTATTGTATATATCGACTTCCTTATAATGATTCCTGATTTGAGCTAATCAAATGTAGATCCATCAAGCACTTGTCCAAGGGAAGGTCTGCTTCCTTGCCTCCGAAGAATGGCAGCAACTGGATGATATGGAGAATCGAACAGAGGTTCAAGCTATATTCTATCGTGTCCTGCGACAGATGACACACTGGCCTACACTCCTTTGCGAGAAAAGGGCAATTTTGTGTAACGATGGTCGGACAACCAGTCTAACTGTGTTCCTGAAGGGAGCGCGAGAAGTAAAGAAGGCTATGGATGACCTCGGTCAAGAACTCGACACGCTGATAAAGGCTCACCGACTCTGTCAATACATTCAGTCTACATGCTTGTTCGACATGGTTAGCGAGATGTACAAGATGGATGATACTACGGTTGGAATGGTTCTATGCTATCATGCAATGTATAGCATCGTCGTTCTTCGGGTTATCTGGTCTCTGGCGGATCCTTTTGATCAACTCATTCTTGAAGCTGAGATCTTGCATCTATGCAAGCGAGTGTGGATGTTAATCGAGCATGGTCGTCAGTGTATGCCTCTTGGACTTCCAATCTTACAGAGTGCTCTGATGATGACTATAGAGTCTGTTAACTGGGAGACACAAGATCGAATTATTGAGATTATAAATGAGTTGGAAAGGTTCCGAGAGCGAGGGCGGAATACTTGGACCAGGGAAGGACTTATAAATAAGGCCATGTTTTATCGAGGCGACTGGGTTACTCACGTTGGCTAGAAAACTTCAACTTGGCGAAAGACACTTCAATGAAGACTATCAAGTTGAGGGCAAGCCGAGTAAATAAACAGTTTAATGACACCGTTGGCGATCGAGATCAGATAGAAAGCAAACGCGTCAGCCTTTTTGCGACTTTCTTCCTACCAGAAATTCAACATCTCAACGGATTTTGCCAGGACTACTGATATGATTATCTGGGATAATACCACCGTTGAAATAGTCAATGAAGGGTTGTGAGTGTAGGGCTCCGAGTTTGTAATCTTTATAGTAATTTGGGCTCACCCAGCTCCTATCAGACTTAATGCCGAATTTTCCAAAACTGCGATCCGCAAGGACAAGAATATCAGAAACTTTTCAGTTCAACTAAGTACAAAACCGAGCCTATTATTACCACTTGAACTCTGCTTCTGCTTGATGGAACCCTTTCAAGGTCGTATCGTTGGGTTTCCACGCGAGGTTCATAATCCTGGTCCAATTAAATACAAAATCATGTCCATAGCATACTGAGAGACATTGAATCTTAAACGGCCACCCTCGTTAGACCGCGAACGCCCCTGACTCAAGCTGTCTTGGCTCTGCTGCAGCTATAAATTGACCTTGCTCGGATCGAAAGATCGCTTGTGCATAGCTCCACTCGTCCACTTTCTTTATTTCGTGTTTGCGTTTTCTCAGAGACTCGACAGTGGCATTGTTGTAAGTATCTGGAATTTCAATATAGTTCGGGAACAGTTGGTGATGGAGGCGTGGGCGACCTAGGGATAGGCTTGGCGATAAATGTTCATCCAAAGCATGAATCAGGGTCTGTAAAGTTGTGGTAGGGATGTGGCTTCCCCCAGCAGCCCCGGTGGCAAATACAAAGCTGCCGTCATCGCGGGTGGCAATTTGGTGAGATAGAGGACAGAGGGCGTTTTCCGGGTTTGATGAAATTGTTCGGATTAGCAGGATAGCCGAATGCGTTAGTGGTGTTGGGAGTAGAGAAGTCTAAAGTTTGTCAGTCCCGTCTTCTTTTACAGAAACCGTTCGCCCTTACCATCCATCTGAGAATTCAATACAATTCCCGTCTCAGGAACCATAACATGACTACCAAAGGGAAGGTTTGTCGTCGTGGTGAGGGAGAAAGTCAAGCCATCCTTATCAGCTGTCACCATATGTGACGTACCAAACCTGAAGCATATATTAGTGCTGAAATTGCTTGTTTGTGGTGGGTAATGGAGTAGATAGCCGTTGACAAGAGTGACATCTGTAGACATACGATTCTGGAGTCCACTTATGGTCAGGGTCGTAGAAGCTGACGTTCGTGTGAACACTATTATCATCAATGTTACGATAGATTTTTTGAATTCGGGCTTGAGATAACATCGTGCTCTCCAGATTGGTAATGTTTGGAACAAATGCTGGATCACCGAAAGAGTTTCTCTGGAAAGATCGAACGTTAGCATATTATCTTGAGGGCGGGCCAAGGACCATATCCCAAGGCTGAACATACATAAGCATATCCAAACTTGATGGCCTCGACCATCCGATGAGTACTTAAATCTCTTGTTGACGTATTTGTGAAGAAGTCGTCGTAATTGTTCAAAACTTCAAGAATGTTGAGTAGAACTGTCCCGCTGCTAGGAGCAACTGTGCTGGTCAAGGTGTAATTCCGGTATTGAACCTGTCGTGTCCTCCGGTGGACAACGAAATAACCCATAAGATCTCTCTCCGTCATATTACCACCGTGGTTTTTTATTGCGCGTAACATGGTTTTGGCAGTTGAACCGGTATAAAAGTCTTCGGCGCCGTTCCTTGAAATGTTTCGTAAAGCTTCTGCATATCTCTTCCTGGTCATGATATCTCCCCGCTTCAGAAGTTTCCCATTGGGAGCAAAGTCCGGCTGCCAGGCTGGATCCTGAACAAAAAGATTTGGCTGGGCCGGATTTAACAATGGAGCGTTTTTCAATGTCCAGTTCACCATCCACTCCATGTCATGCCCAAAAATAAATCCGCTATCAGCCACCTCAATGGCGGGTTGAATAACGGTTTGCCAACTTAGCCTCCCATATCGTTTCAGAATATGATTAAGACCACGTAGCTGCCCGGGAACCGCACTTTGCAACCAAGTCAGTAGAACATCATAGGATCAAGGTTGCTTTTAACGACGTACATAGCTCTTCCCCCAACTTGGGACGCATTCTTGTTGTTCACAAACATATTTTCGCTAGCAGATCCCGGTGCCCTCTCACGGAAGTCAACCATCTCGTATGTGTTGTTTGGAAGTCGAACGAGGGCAAATCCCCCTCCCGAAATTCCGCTGTTATACATTCCTAACCGCAGTAGTCAGGTTAATATTCAATATACCCCAATTCAAGCCGAGTCCTTTACCAGTAACCCCCACGCAAAGAACCGTGGCAACCATCTACAGCCTCGTTGTCAGCATCCAAAGTGTAGAAAATCATTTGGTTTCTCTTACGGCATCCGCAGCATTTCCCCCCTTTTTGAAACATCGAAGCCCCAGCCAGACTGCATATTTTGTTCTCACAGGAGACGGCACCATTCATTCCCTGGGTAGTAATATTTTGGGTAAAAGTATATCCAAGTGCCGAAGGGATAAAGCTTAAGGATATGAGGGCAAGACAGAATGCTTTGAGTTCCTTCATCATGAGTGTAATTTCGGTAGATTGCCAATTGATACTTATTGTCAGTGTGAGTTATAACTTCTATCCAGGTACTCACCTAGCAGTTTTTTATATGCAGATTTTAAACCGCTCAACTGGCTATATCATATCCCATTTTTCTGTCTATGACTCCAATACTTCCAACGAACAGTTTGCTGAGCTCTTCTCAGCTCCCATCTCGGTGTCAATGCATCTCACAAAAACGGATTTCAATATGTAGACAGTGTAGACCTCTGACGCGAACGGAAGTTTCAAGGACGACAAATGGCGTGTGTATCCGATTGGCATATCTATTGAGCATCTCACTCCACAAAAGGTACTTAATTATTTGCCCGGGCCTCGGCCCTTGGAGATCGCCCACTTGCTTTCTTACTGCACCGCTGTATAAATTCGTCATTTGGCTCTGTCCATCGTGTAGTTTGTAAAATGTCACTCCAATCACGTTTCGGTCCTTGGAACATGGTTGGTTTTGGTGGCCGAAGTGGATTGAAGTTCACGGTCGATGACAGCACCATGATTCTTCAGAGTCTAGCTCAGGCGCGCTTCCGTTGGCTTATCTGAATGGGCTATCGACCGTGGCGTGGTTCCCAGATACTAAGAATATTATCCGTTCAAGTCTCCGACCACGATAAGTTTCTAATAGGGTTCGGCAAAGATCTCCACGCAAATGTGGGCGGGCCTATGATGTCGTGCCGAGCATACTTTGCGGACCGAGCCGCCCGAGGAGTGGCTTGTGCGTTGGCAACTACAGTACATATTCCATATTCGCCACCCTAGAGACCCTGCTGGCAAAGCAGGCTCTGCCTAACGTGCCTAACGGATCCGAATATGGTAGATATTCAACGTAAATGTAGCTTGCAAGCTTGTTAAGAGGGTGAAATAACTATTGCTATAGGCCTCGAGAAGCAAGGGTAATAAGAAATGGACACAACCCAAGTCCTAGCTGGGAAGGATGTTACCTTTGACCGGTCCTCCCAGTAATATTAGAGGGATTGTCTAGTCGTAAAAGGATACCAAATCAAGATAGCCTACCGAAGTTACCGCCAAATAGTGGGGCGGTAGTAGGAATCTAAAATATCAATGACCTTAATCGTGACATCAGCGAATCAACATGGTCGCAACGGCAATCAAATCACTAGCCAGGGGGTCCACAAGACTTACAAGTCTCTCAATTGTGAAAGACTCTTATTCATGCAAATCAACATGGTCAATTAAACTGGTAGGACTGGGTGAGATCTATCGCGTGTCTTGTCATGCCTTCAGAACTATAATTGACAGATTATCTGACGGTAATTGGTTTTATACATAGTTTTAGTTAGGTAATACAATTTGGATGGAAGCACGCTTGACTTGTTAAGCTCAAGCATAAGGCATCTACTTGCTAGCGCCTCTGGTAAAGAAGCAATCTACGCGTCACCTTCAAAAATCTCTTTACAGAAGCCCAATGATATCAATCAGGTTGAAGTGTAGAACAAGTTGGGCATCGGTTCCGGAAAACGCCACTGGTCGCACATGGTCCAATTATACGGATGTTTCTTGAAGTGTCTTACCCAAGGACTAAAAGCAGGCAAGAGCATAAGCCCCAAAAATGACATTGGTCCATCTTGCAAAGGGTTTGTGAGGTTTTTCAGACTATTGACTAAAATATGTTATATCCAAAACCCTTAGAATAGTAGCTTACACTGTCTTCACAAGATCTGAAGATCTTAAAACGAAATGAAATCTACCTATTGCCCATATTGCAAAGGTCACGATCGACAAAGATCCAGGCGTACGAACTCGGAAAGCATGTGAGGTTGAATCCATGGATGCACGCACTGCGACAAAGCTGAAAGTAGGTTAAAATTCTACTTTGTGATGACAGGTCAGGTCAACCAGAACAATACAGGATCAGTGTATTTGATTGAAAGGGAAAGTCTTTGTTTATGAAGCAGTAAGACGAAACACATTTGTTATAGGCCAGCCATGGTATTTGTAACCTGACCATCGTACAACATATCAGAGATTGATCTTGTGTTACATGCTATAGCGTGCTAATTGTCAATCTTGATTAATCCAACCAAGAAAACAGGACCTCATAAAACGATTTGGGATCTTGGAGGAAGGGTGCATGGCCGAGACCAGGGAACATGTGGAATGTGCAGTTGGGGATCATGGCTGCGGCCGCAGGACCGAGTACATCATAATGTCCCAGCTTCGCCGCAACGGCAGGAGGTGACCATGCCTTTCCAAGGGCAGTGACGTCGTTTTCTCCGACCATGAGGTAGGTACGTGTTTGCAGGAGAGGCAGCTGGTAGATAATAGGCTGGCTGAGTAGGGCGTCGGTGACGAGGGCCATCACGTACGCATACTGTGAGCCGTAGTCGCCAGCGTAGATGTTCGCTAGCATTTGGACCCAGGTATCATACTCAGGCTTCCAGGTGGCATTGTGGAAGTAGCTGGCCTGCTCATACGCCTTGAGGCTGGCGAAATTCTGCACAACCTGGGTCTCGTACGTCTCGTCGACTGGCAAGTAGGGTACACCCTGAGCGACCCAATCCTCCAATCCCAGGGGATCAACAAGGATGAGCTGATCAACGGCGTCAGGGTACATTAGACCGTAACGAGCCGCGATCATGCCACCCATGGAATGGCCGATGACGGTGGCTTTTTCGATGCCAAGAGCGGTTAGCAGACTGTTGATGTTCAGCGCCTGCTGTTGAACGTTGTAAGAATAGCCTTGAGGTTTGCTAGACTTGCAAAAGCCAATGTCGTCGGGCAGGATCACTCGATATCCGGCTGCTGACAACTGGCGCGCAGTGTCAGACCAAGTGACGCCGCAGAAGTTCCCACCATGGAGCAAGACTGCTGCCTTATCCGTAGCTTTGTTCTGCGCCGGCACGTCCATGAACGCCATTGTGAGATTCTGGCGCTGATTGTAAAATTTGAACAGCTTTACCGGCCATGGGTAGGTGTAGTTGGACCCGTATAGGTCCGCTGGCACACGACCATCGTAGATTGTGCCAATCGGATCAGGGCTGGACTGTGCGGAGACGACCCTCGTGCATGACAAGATCGCAGAGAAGGCGCTGAGGACAGAGATGATCTTCATTTTGTGACGGCTGTGGCACAGGGGACCAGGGATCAGCGGGGCTCTTTGAGTGGCTCTCTTTTGAAGGGTACGCAAGGATTTCTATCAATTGTACGAGAGCAAGGTAGAGGTGCTTGCTCGTTCGGCCCCCTGCGCGATGCAAACCTATATGTACCCAGCCTGGCAAACTAGACCCACCCCACCCGTGTTGTACTTTTCAATCCCATTATGAAACCCATTCAGCACTAGTGGGATTTTTTTTTTTTTTTTTTTTTGGAAATAGGACTGACAAACACTCTACATCTGAGATGATTGACAGAGTGCCAGCCTTGCTGCCTCGGTGATCTTCTTCTGTCAATTTAATGTGTAATATAGTAGGTTGGCGCATTCCAGCATTTCAAGAAGGCACTGAGAACTGTTATTTCCATTACTGTAAGCTGTCACGATGTGTTTAAAATACCAATATGATCTTGGTTGTAAGAAATAGTGACTTCGTGGGTCCCACTCCCATCAAGCCAGGCGAGGCACCACCAGAGCCGAGGGAAATAGATTCATGTTTTATTACTAATGTTCGGTTTTTTGACTAGGTTAGTTAACTATCTCGGGCCAAATAAATTATTACAGATACATACTGCCTAAGATTGTCTGCACGTTTCGTGGCTCAGACCCTAAAAGGGGTCATCAAACCAAAAGCCACTGCAACTTCACTAGAACCTACTTGGAGTAGTTCCACGCTTAGGCCGTATTCACCCGCTAGTCAGGTACAACAACAGGCTCTGAGTAGATTAGCTGACATTTTCGTTGAAGTCAAACCTCCATTTTTTTAGGCGGGATCTTGAAGCTGGATCGAATTCTTCTACATACTTGAGCAGTGTTACTGTTATCCGACCGACGCCAAGGGTGGTGGGAAATGACGCGGAGTCCGAGATTACCTGACCATTGTCAGTGTAACTTCGCTCCAGGGCACGTCATCTATATTATTACAGCATGTACCTGGGCAGGGACGAGTGAAGAGAAAGAATTGAACCTATGCTACTCTTAATGCCGCCCTAAAAATTTATTGACCTCCGCCCCAATCGGTGATACAATCCTGTACTGGCCCACAGAGACCTCGGAAATTTGAGATGTCGCCAAACACTCCAGGCCCTAACAGGGCTTTGGAGATCCAAGTGCCATGTATTGTCTTTTTAATCACCACGCCGGCCTTCGTGGCGATCCGGCTATGGGCTCGCTTCAATTCCAAGTCAGGGCTTGGCTGGGACGATTGGACCATATTAGCATCTACCGTGAGTTCTTAATGCACGACACTAGGCTGCACCATGTAAACCTGACTTTCCTATCAACAGGTTTTTGCGATTATTGTCATGGCATTCATGCTCGCCTCCTGTGTCTACGGCTTTGGCCAACACATCAAAAATCTCGCAAGATCAAATCGGCTAATGACCTTGAAGGTACCTGAAAATTCTTCCTTGCTACAACCCTGCGCCTCGGTTGTGAAGTTAGAGGTTACTCTTTTTTCGGATCCGTAATAGGCCGCTAACTGCAACCTTACCAGCTTTTTTTCGTCAGTCAGGCGTTCTACAAGCTCACCATGAATACAACCAAAATGTCTATCCTCATGCTGTATCTACGAATCTTTCCACAGCGTTGGTTTCGCATTACCTGTTACGCGCTTTTGATTATCCTTACTTCTTACATGGTGGCTGCGTTCTTTGCATCTATCTTCCAATGCACTCCGGTGACACGAGCCTGGGACAGATCTATTCCTGGATCATGCATTGACATAACCACCAATTGGTACGCCAATGCCGGCTTCTCAATCGCTACCGACTTCATTATACTGGCACTGCCAATGTATCCAATCTACAAATCGAAGACTCCTTTGAAGCGAAAAATCGCCCTGATGATTGTGTTTGCACTCGGCACTTTGTGGGTTTCGATCTGCTGCAGTCAAAGGATCAACTTCAAACTGACCACGAGTTCTAAAGCGTCGCCGTGACAAGCATTCTGCGGATGCAGACCCTCAACTTCTCGTCTACCAGTCCTGACACTACCTGTAGGTATTTGCATAGCTATTCACTGTCACTTTTGGGTGCTTACCAATGTTCTCCCTAGACGACATCGCCTCCTCTGTATGGACCATAACCGAGGAAAACATCGCGATAATCTGTGCCTGTCTGCCAATGATGTGGGCGCCACTTGCTAGGCTCTTTCCCTCGCTATTCTCCATAAGGAACGGAGGCGATAGCCATGTTAGCTTGGCCGTCAGGAGCCTGGGGCCCGACACCACCTCACGGTCTCGAAGGAGTTGGACCCAGCTTCCTGGGGCCTTCGATGACATAGGCGGCAGCGATGTTAACCACAACAGCGATTTCCAAAATCGCCCCTCGGAAGATAGCACGGGCCAAATTCTTCCGTCTCGCCAGGGCGGCAAACCCCAGAATCAGGATGCAAAGGTCATCCGAAAGGTCTCGGAGTATCGGGTTTCTTATTCCAGCACAAAATAGCTTCTAAACTCTCCAGCTTGTAAAAATTAACATGCAGATACAGCAACTTACGGTTGTTCAAGTATAATCGTTATATTCACCTTCATCTAGATTAGTGCCGAGTCTATAGAATGAAGAACTTCTGTGTGGAAGATATAAGATCTGTTCGAAGCGAAAAGAAAATAGCTTCCTCGTCGCTTGACAAGAATCGCTGGTCGCTTACCGAGAAATTTTATAGGTTGTCCTGACATTTGCTTGTTTGTTTCTCATTTCAAAGCTTCAGCCCAACCTTACATGAAGCAGAATCACATAGGGCGATAAGTCGCCGACAACCGAATAATGCGTGCTGGGTGACTGTCTCAATATCGTCCCCGCATTGTCGTTATCTCGCCCGAGTGAATAGAGTTTACGTTGCACCGGAATAGATCCGGAATAAAGTCTGATATCTGATTGGTGCAACGGTACATGTGGGTTGAGATGAATAAGGTCGCATAGTTTCCCACCGAAGAGATTAGCAGGTAATTAATTGATTGTCGAGCTTGTTGTCGAGCATCATATTCTTAAAATGCCTTGGTGTAAGCGCTCAGGAAACAGCCTCCTAGACTTTGCAGCCCTCCAAATCGCCTTCAGTTTCAACGGGTCCAAATCCAATCTGGTAATTACCACTTTGCGGCTCTAACTTTACCGCGGAAAACGTCCCGTTTAAACTAGCATCCAATCAGATAACTCCCAGGCTTGCTACATTCACAATTTTGACGCGGGGAATCCATTGAGCATCCTATGATTCTGATAACACTCTAAGACTCAGATGAACGTGCCTGGAATGGATGAACTCCGATTTCATGCCGGAATTCGTTAGGATCGGCATCTGAATGTCTGGATTGGATTAGATCACTTTGGACTTCTCAACGACTTGTGGCAGGGTGAAGCATGTCGACTCCACCGCGGGGGGCAGTTTCGGAGTTCGACTCGGCGTTCAAGTGGAGTAGAATAAGGGAGTTAAGCCGTCAAACACGATAGAGGTCTACTAGCTCGGTGCTCACTAACTGAAATTCTCAATAGCTTTAGACAATTTCTCTTTTGTTTCTTCTCATTCAATCCATATCTCTATTCCTCATCTTCGCGTCTCGTACAATTTAATCTTTAAGACAATAGGTTGAGTCTCTCAGCAAAGAGTCCCTTTACGATGCTGGGCTCTACCACTCCAGCAACCCAACACACCACCACATCCGAGGCGTCATTTCAATCTTTCCGCAATGTCTCCGCCTGCAATCGCTGCCGTTTGCGCAAGCATCGCTGTGACCAGCGCCTCCCGCGCTGCGAACCTTGTGAGAAAGCAGGAACGCGCTGCGTCGGCTACGATCCGCTAACGAAGCGAGAGGTCCCGCGCAGCTATGTGTGTTTCCTTGAGAGTCAAGTCAAATATCTCAAGCAAATTTTGATTGACCATGGTATCGAGTTCAAGTGTACCATGCCCTTTGATGAGAAGGAAACATCGCGGTCGGGCATCACTGGGCATGTTTTACCACAAAGACATGAATTTTCATCTGAGAAAGTTAGAGCTGAGGCTCGGCTTGAGCGAACAAAGGAACATGCCTCGCTTAAGAGAAAGTTCAGTTCCCCAGCCGAGAACAATATACCTCCACGACAATTGAAGCGCGTCTTGCAGCTAAACTTGATTCTCAAGGACCTGCTCACGGAGAGCTTTGCACCTTACCATTGCGACAGAGAGCATGTGCAACCTTCTCCCCGATCACCTGTCTCCACGCAAGCCAGGCAGGGTATCCCCATTCCGCACGAGCCGTGGTCAACACCAGAACTGAGCGACGGCCACGCAAGCTCTGAGTCGAGTTCTGGGTCTCCTGAATCATTACAACACTTGGACGACTCGGTCTTGTCGCAGAATGTTCCCGTTATGAATGATGATTTCCATTTTAAGGGACCATGTACACCAGAGAGCAATTCTGCGGCCGACTTTGACTCGATGGATTTTAATTCGGGTACCCTTGAAACAAAGCCGCTTATTAGCACGAGCTTTCCAGCCCCTTCCCAAAGAATTTCAGTGAAGCCAATTGTTTCCTCTGAGCCGAAACAAGCGCAACCTAGTCCTGAGATAAGATTTGATTTTCCCTCTGATCTGGATCAAAGCCAGAGCGATCAATCCACTTACGATTTGCTGGATGAGTTTTTGATCGGCTGGGATGAAGACCGGTTGGGGATGGACTAGATTGTTTATGCTTGGCATGTCTATTTTCCAATTTCCTTTCCACAGTCCAAGGATCACGCTCAAGGCAGACTCGATTGTGATAATATTGCCAAAAAGAGCACCCTAATCTCTGCTTGTGCTATGCAAAGCATCTGCACTCTGGAGTAAGCTATCTTTGAACAATGTCCGGCTATTTACAGTAGCACGGAGAACACACCGCCATGGCAGACTTACCAGTCACCAATTGGTTATACCAGGCTGATGAAGGCCCCTCGAATTTTGCACAGTCATTAACATGACCCATGTATCCAGTACAAAGATTGTATATAGCATGTTTTTTTGGAATTTTGTGGTTTGGTTATGGCGCCTTAGGTAGTCTAATTTCGAACCACCACTGGTTCTGAGTTGTGAACCGGACCGTCTTTTAAGGATTACCTTCATTCTCAAAGATTAACTCATCGCGTTTCTGGGCCAAAGATTGAAATATGTCTAGACGTCTAGTACAGGGCTACAAGGCTGTGTGTCGATTGTGGCGTGAGCGTGTGATGTCAGCAGGACGTTTTTAATCTGAAAGTTGCCTGCTTGAGCCATACAGAACCAGCGGTTTTTGCCTCCTTAAATATGGCCAGACTCTCATCAACAGCATCTTGAGTGAATTGATCTTTATCTCTGTTGAGTCCATTTAAAATAACGGAGAATTTCTGTGACCTCTCGAAGAAACGATCGGCGCCACTCCGAACGATATGGTATGGATCGCCGATATCTCTAATTAAGGCGCAAGTTATAGCCTCAATGAAATATCCGGGGAGACACCAGCAGGTCCCCGATCACTCGATCGCTGCGACACTTTGTTGACCCCGACTAGCCAATTGGGAAGACCACTTATGCGATCTCCTGCATATGGTCAACCACTTTCGAGGCGAGATGCCATGGCCGATAAATGGTGTCGCACATAGTTGGGCAGCGTTCAACTGTTTCCTTCATCATTCCTTCCAACTAGATCAATATGCGACTAACGGTTTGTAGTGTCCATCTCGCCATTATCCACCCGTGGCTACTTTCGACCGTAGTGCTCTACACGACGGTCCATCTTTAACGGTGGACAATCGTCTATTCGTCTATCTGTCAATCCTGCCAATTCATCGCGAGTAGACGGGATCTCTTGGAGTCGCGAGACATAGCAGAGGGCGCCCTACGCAAACCCCTTTGAAAATGGGACCCGGGAGTCGTCAGCGACACGTTTTCGCGATAGATATTATGGTGAAAATAGCGAACATTGAAAAGAGATAAATACCAAAGGGTATTCCACACGGCACCCTCGTCGTCTTGACTGTCTGGGGATCGACCAGGGAGTTTAGAGTTGATTGAAAGATCCACCAACAACCAAACTCTACCCATAATTTCGGCCTTCAAACATCGCTATTAGAGATCAACTTTAGGCACATCCTTTCTAAAAACCGCGATAAACAACATCTTCTTCTTTATACCAGACCTCAGCAGCCAACCGAAAAGGGTTCCTTGAGGAGCTCGGTGCACGGCCGAGAGGAATCCTTGGCTCTGGATTTTAGCTTCGAGCTTATTTGACCACGACCACTCACCTCACGGTCTCACCCACGTCGGCCACACCGTAACCACCGCCACGCGGGCTCAGACTCAGACGTGGTATTTAACTAAACCATGCATTGCTGACAACCTTCTAACGGCTAGCCTCCAGGGAAAGAACTCTGCCCATTTCCAATCGGGATAGGACCGCCTGAGATATACGTATGCCATAACGTACCCGCACCTCGAATGTCCCGTCCCAAGCCAAGCCCGCTCGACCAGACAAGCGCGTCTCTCTTCAAGCTTTGGGTCAGCCTGGCGAGCGCTTTATTGGCTCGCTTGGGTGGATTATCTCAGACACCTGTGATTCTAGGGTCCAATTCCGTCAAGGGCGGAGACTGCACCCTTTGTCCCGCCGTGCTATTAATATGCTGGTTTCTTTCCATTCCCCTCCTGCTCACCTTTGCAGACGCTGCGTGGGAATGCACGGGCCGACTAACCGAGTACGAGAGACATTGCTTAACAGGGAGCACGTACGTCAGACCTTTGTCGCCTGCATTGCTGCGGTGTCATCGGCGCCGAGACTGTTTTCGCTGGGCAGCCTGAGCCGCACTCTTTACCGTGGATCTCTCCCTCGAGCCTCTCAGTGGGTGAGACGGGCGTGATCTGTGGCTCTCGCAGATAAGAAAGCGCCCACTGGCATAGAATGACCGTGGCACACGACTGAAAGCATACAATCAACCCAAATCTCACCCGGGAACCTGCCCGAGCGCCAGCGCATCGATCCGGGGATGTGCATCATACCGTCCACGAGCAAATCCTCAACATGGTTGGCGTTCCAAAGAGCAAAGGATGCCAGACATGTCTCCAGCGGCGGGTGAAAGTACGCGGTGTCCTCCCACAACGGCAAACCAGAACTATCCATCTAACTATCACCCCGCTATAGTGCGATTTACTGCGCCCGGAATGCACCCAGTGCAGACGATACGGCGTCGACTGCCCCGGCTATACGCGTCCCCCTAAATTCATGGACGAAGGCCCACAACTCCGCCAACGCTTCAAGAAGAAGCAATCCCAGTCTACTCCCACCCCTATACAACCCCCCGAGTCCATCGACGAGCGCATCATACCATCCCTCGTAGCACAATCAATAGGCAAACAACAACCCGTCGTGTTCGGCTCATTCGTCCTCACGGCGTTCACGCGCTGGTTTGGACTGAATCGATACCGAGTCCACGTGCCATGGACGGCATACGTCGCAGAGCATGGTGGCCAAAGCCCCGCCTTCGACGCGGCTATTTTCTGCGTCAATACCATTTTCATGGGTCAGAAACATCACAATACCACCCTCCAGCGCTCAAGTCGTGAGGTATACAGCAAAGCGCTTCGGCTCTTCGGTGGCCGGATTCGCAACGCAGAGGTAATGAAGTCGACCGAGAGTGTGAGCATTACCATCGTACTGAGTCTGTTTGAAGCATACTCGCGCACGAATCCAGACTCATGGGCTCACCATGCAGCGGGCACTGCATTACTGATGGAACATCGCGGCCCCAAGGCCCATCTCACCGGCTTCGATCGGTGCCTCTACCTCTCGTTTCGGAGCTTCCTCGTTGCAGAGGCCTTTGTCAGTGGCAAACGGTGCATCTTCGAACTACCAGAATGGCAGCAACACATTGACCAAATTCGAGTGGAGGACATGACTTCGCCGCGTGTTGACGGACCTATCGCCCTCTTCATCGATTTACAAGATCGGATATTCAAGGAAGTCGTCAAAGTACCGGGCTTACTAGTCCACGCGCGCCAATTACATACCACCGACGACCCGCCGGAGACAAGACGGGACTTGTCGGCACAGGTTCTCCGCAGCAGCCAGGCCTTGTATACACTATCTGCGCATCTGCGCCTCGCTGCTGCGGTACAGGGCTATCAGTGGTATAACGGCGGCGCCGTGAACAAGAAGATGCCTTTTATCGGGCCCATCCCATCCACATTCCCACAAGAATTCGCAAACAGCGTCCTGCGTGGTGCCGATCACTGCCTTTTAATCCTCCGTCTTCTTCTCGATCATCTTGAGAATGATAAAGTGTGGGCAACACACGGCAAGACAAGTGATCATGGCGATGCGCAAATCGCGGACCCACTGCCATTTCGATTTGTCTCAAAACTAAATTTTGATAAAGGCAGGATAGCGGGATCAGATGTCAATGAGTTTGAGGAGAACATTCCGTCTCCTGATAAATGGCTCGATCTTGTGGCTGCATCGATGGGATTGGAGGCATTTGATGTGATCACCTCCGCTCAAGGGAATCCCGATACTGCTCATTCTGGAGATATTAGACATCTAGACGGGTGGAATACTGCTCTATCCTTACGGTGACAACCCTACCGTGGCTACCCTACCATAACGAAGTATTGCTGATGATCATGTTAATGTGCCCAACATAACCGGTGACTACTGAATGAATAATGGAAATGAAATGAAGAAGATTCGCACGAGCTCGTGAAACTAATGGTCGTATCGCCGTAGAATCAGTGCGGACAGAAGCCGCGCACGCAGAACACCATACCATGGACGCGAGAGGAAATCGACAGCAGAGACTGCAGACAAATCGAAGATACCACGAAAGCCCCAGGTCATGACGGATTTCCTTCTCTTGCAACCAATCAATTCAACGTATCAACAAGCAGTGAACCCAGACGCCGCGCAGAACCCACTCAAAAGACCAATGATTTGTACGCCGAGAAACAAACAGCCCTAGACAATTATTGGTGGAAACCAACAAGAGACGAATCATAGAAAGGCATTAAACTGTCCAAGATGCAGCGATGAAAAAAAGGGTATGCATAATGTTGCCCATTGAGGACGGCAAGAATTGAAGGTGTCAACCACAGGAAGACAATGACAGGACAGAGCTTTGAATGGCGGGTATCCAGGCCAATTAAGCAGCAGTGCGAGTGGCCCGGGCTGGGCTGGAGGTGCTGCCAATGCGGCCACTGGGCTTACGCACTCCACGAGACTCGCTCTTGTTGCTGTCAGTCACCCGCCGGGGGCTCGACCGAACCTTGGTGACCGAGATGGTTCCACCGGCGCTCTTGCGGCTGGCAGGAGTCTTGGGGGCCGCTGTCTCCACCCAATTCTCGCGGTCTTCGTGAATGTCGTCGGTGAGGGTGTAGCTGGCTGTGACAGTGGCCGAATAGCTGATCGACCGCGAGGTTGTCGTCGCCACAGGGGACCGCGACGACCGCTTGGCCAGCATTCGGAGTTGAATTTCCTCATCACTCTCACTGCTCTCGTTACTCAGACGGTGGCCACGGGGGCTGCGTGAGTCTGCCTGCTTGTGGTTATCGTGCTCCACAGTCAATGAGCCAGAAGTTGTGCGGGCATAAGGGTGGTGGCGAGAATCCTTGCGGTGCGACTTCCGTGGCTGTCCCGGGGTCGGAGCAGGGAGGTTCTCTTCGTGGTGGGGAGCAGCACCCTCGTTGTGATCAATCTCACCAAGCGCGGCACGCTTCGAGTGGCTGTTGTTGGGAGGAGTAGAGACCACGCCGTTGCTTCCACGCTTTTTGGCCGAGACACGGGCAGGAGTAACAGGAGCCGACTGAGCCAGCTTCTCGCGCATGCTGTCCTCAAACCACCATTCTCGGAAGGAGCCTTGGTTGAGGTGCAGCCAGTGTTGCTGTGGGCCCACAACCATACCAGGGCGCATGAACCGCATGAAGGCAATGACTTCATTGGCGGTGAATCCATAGCGATAGATCAGATAAGCACCGATTAAGCAGCCCGTGCGACCCAAACCAGCCTTGCAGTGCACCGCAATACCCTTCTTCTTGATCGTAATCATGTCGTGTGCCATCTTTATAAACCTCCTGACGAGTGTGAGAGGGGGGCACGTGCCATCCTCGAAGATCATATCAATATGCTGGATGCCCAAAGCAGTGAAGTATGATGGGCTGTAGAGCTCAGAGTTCAAGCGAACGACAAGGCCAATATTGCGGGAGGTGAAGTGGACGAGAACGTTTTTGAAGGGGAGCGGAAGCTTGGAAGAGCAGATTTCGGAGATGGAGGAGGGGAGGGCGTCGTACTCGGGGGTGTTCATGGGAACCGGCGCAACAGGTTGGTGTTGGGGAGAGGCGAAAGCAAGGAAGTCTGGTGTCACCCAATTGAAGTCACCCATATCAACTCGTTCAAACTTCTCATATCTGCATGTCGCTGTCAACACCAATCCCGTCATTTCAAAAATAAACAAAGGGTCAAATCATACTCTTCAAGGTTGAAATCACGAAGTCCACACAGTCCCTGCTCCTTGGCCTTCCAAACACCATACACGACATCCTGGATGTTCAGAATAAAGTCGGCCTGACTATATCCGGCATCACGGAAGGGCATATAAGGAGGGTCGGCCTGCGCAATCGGGGCGAGGGCCAAGTGGGGTGGCCAGGATTGGATGAGAACCATGTAGCAGGCCACGAGACAGGCGGCGTTTGCGCGGCTGCGCGCGTCAGTCTTGCTATAGAAGACAACCGGGCGGTCACTGTTGGCGGGGTCGCCAAGGATCTCGTGGAAAAGGACTGCGAATCGGTACAGGTGACCAATGTGGAGGGGGCCGAAGTCTGCATGGAATGCATTGTAGAGAAGGGTATCGTCAACAGTGAAGTAGACGGGAGATCGGCGCTTGGTCGTCGGGGTAGTAGGTTGAGCCCGAGCAGCCCGCTTGCTAGGAGACTTAGGCTGCTCGAGCGGATAAGGGAATGGTGTTCGCGAAGACGGAGTCGAATCATAAGAAGCCAGGTACAGGCGATCTGTGTTGTTGTTGTTTGTTGTTAGATCCCAAACATTGGTCCAATTCAGGCATTGCAGCGGGATGATATGCGATGCACGAACCTTGGATATACTCGATCATCTGGCCTGCATGGCCGGCGTCAATGATCATTTTGTTGGTTATCTGCAGAGCGCAAGGTTACACAGATGGTGAGAGAGAAGAGACAGAAATCGAAGACCACCACAGCTCTGAGGAACAATGGTCAAGTGTGATATGGCGGGCCGGATCAATTGTCCGACAGCAAGTCACAGTAAGTCAATGATGGCAATGAAGTTCAGCAGCTCATGGTCCGATTGATCCAAAGTCCACACTTGAGAAGAATGAAGAGCGAAGAAGATAATGATAGTCCGTGTAAGAAATGCACTGTACAGGACGGTGTACTAGGTAAGAGGGGAAGTCGGAGCATGAACAGAGGTGGGAGGAGAAGAATAATCTCATGGCGTTGGGGCAGCTGCCATGCCACGCTAAGCCGCTGTTATGTTGTGCTGTTCCTATTCGGGACTAGTGCCCTGCGTTGACTCGACAACCATAGCTTGCCTCAGGCACCGCTAACGTTTTGGATTATGTCATCGCCTGAGCCCACCAAACAATCAAACAATCAAACAACCACCACCAAAACATCAAAACAAAGCGCCAGAGCCATGGATTGTCGGATATTGTTTGGCTGGTGGGGGCTCCAATTGGCTCACCAAACATGGGCCTAGCAACCACCTAACAATCCCGCAGACAACTCTTGTCTCCCTAGCAAGCATCAACTAACTCTATGGTCTTCATTGCCATTGCCATGAGCTCGATGAGCTGGCTGGCTTAATGATCCCACTCTCTCATGGTTAGTCTCGAAATCGCACATGGATGCCTGAAAGGCGCAACCTCTTTGCGGCCAGCGAAAGCACTCATTCCTGATGCCCGGCCCCCGGAGGCGCAAATACCTGGAAATTTCTCAGCTATGCTGCTGCTCCGACAGAATTCGCCTTGGTCTCGGGGATCAGATGGATTTCCGCATGTGTTATATACCGTCATAACTTGGGCCATCACTCTTGAAGGAGGTTTACCGGATTCGAGAATTGGGAGTTTCTTTATGCTATGACCTGCAGAAACGGACAGCTGTCTCTCAAGCCCTCAAGACCATAACCTGTACTATTGATTATAAGTGTAGCCCCTTGACAAGTCGCTTGAGAGATCAGACAGCAGCTTGGTCCATTCTTCATCTCAGCGCTGTGGTTGAGTGCGCTTGCCCAGGATGTTGCCACATGCGCCAGAAAAATATCCAGAGAACAGTTGCCACCTTGAAACACTTTTAAGGGGTTGATTCTAGATACGAGTCATGTATGAATTAAATGTGCTAAGGGCTTGTGTATGCCTACCTAGCCTTGACTTGTGGTGATTGATGGACAGGATAATGAGCAGATATGTAACTGGCACAGATCCGATGCCTCCTCGAGAGTAAATATCCTAACCAGTTCCAATTGGACCAATTGGCCTTCTAAGGTTGAACAAAAAAGATGAACCAACTACAATGCACATGGATTCTTCCTGTCACTACAATCACCTCACTTCTCCTTCGTCACACAGAGAGCTGACTTACAAGCTAAACTTTGGAAGAATCTGCTCCCATCACATCAGGCTGGTTTTCTAACTTCACTGTCAGAGAACCTTCGAAGCGGGGTTTGCGTTCAGTTCCCCTCCATTACGCAAGGACTTCAAACAGTCAAGTCTCTTCTCAAAGTTCATTCGAAAATTATCCTGGTTCCTGACAGAGTTCCAAAACAGGGTGGGTGATCGACAGACTACGGAGTAGTGTGAGAGCTATTCGTCGAGGCTCCGCTTTAGCCGCAGCCCTTGCTGACGCCTCTACAGCTCACTCGTTCATGTATCACATCGCGCTACACCCCTGGCATAAGAGATGAGACGAAGGCTACCACTACTTCCTACTGTACAAGAGCCCGAAACTGTTCAATTAAAGCTAATAGCGTCGAATAGCGAAGCCAATCTCAAGCATCATGACCTATTAAGCTTCTTGGGCTTACTTGTACCCCTTCCGACATCAGGAGCAGTCCAAGACAGTGCTTGGGTAAAAACGAGCTTCCAGCGCCGTTCTACTACCGCGATCGATGAGACTAGCATTGAACCTTGCTGCTCGCAAGTGGAACTGCTCCCAATCAAGAAACTCTGCGGGCCAAAGCCACTCCATGACTCGGATATTGTGACTTCCTATTGGAACTCGTGTGAGACATCACTGGATATTGCAGAACACTAATCGACTGGACTACCGCCGCGGCAGACCGGATAGCAGCTTCTGCATGTCGATCGTGATTATTCGCGACATTCAATTAAACGCACGCGAAATGAGAGCCATGGACGAACCGTAGGCCCCTGATGATCTTGACCGCTGTGCATGCGAGGAGTCTTCGAATCAGTATGTGGGAGCTCAAAACAACATAATCAACAGGGTCTATATAAGCCAGTCCCAACCTCGTTCACTGCCAACTATCCTTGCTCATCCACTTCCAGTCACTCATTTGGACTCTCCAGCTGCTCGTTTCTCACCCACGTCACTCTTTTGACCCATTTTATTCCAAATATAACGCCATCATGAAGTTCACTGGTTTTACCCTTTCTCTAGCTCTGACCAGCATGGTCTCTGCTGCGGCTATCCCTGCCCTTCCTGGCACCGACGGCGTTGTCGGTGGTCTCGAGGGTGCTGCCGAGGGTATTGTCGCTGGTGTTGCTGGCGGCCACCTCAGGCGCCAACTTGAGGTCGTCCAGCCCGTCACTGAAGGTGTGGCAAGCTCCCTGAACGGAGGCACCGGCATTGTTGGCAGTGCTGTTGGTACAGTTGAGAGTACTGGCCAGGGCGCCGTGGGTACCGCCGAATCCACCGTTTCTGGCACTTTGGGCGGTGTCAAGCGTCAGCTGGCTGCGGTTCAGCCCGTCACCGAAGGTGTTGCTAGTTCATTGAACGGCCGCACTGGCATCGTTGGGAGCGCTGTTGGAACTGCCGAGAGCACCGGGCAAGGTGCCGTTCGTACTGCCGAGAGCACAGTTGGTGGTGTTAGACATGTCAAGCGCCAACTCGAGGTCGCCCAGCCCGTCACTGAGGGCGTTGCCAGCTCGTTGAACGGCGGTACTGGCATTGTTGGCAGTGCTGTTGGTACGGCTGAGAGCACTGGTCAGGGTGCAGTTGGTACTGTTGAGAGCTTCGTCGCCGGTGTTGGATCTGGTATGTTGCTTTCTCCGCTTCCTTTTGATAGCCACCTAACTAATTATTACACAGCTGCCAAGCGCCAGCTGGGTAATCTCCCCGCAACTGCTTCTCAGACCGGTACCGATCTCCTTGCGGGCCTCTCTGGCAGTATGTCAACTTCTCACCCACACTGAATGACACTCGCTAACTTCTCTGCAGACCCCAGTGGCATCTACGGCGCTCTCGCCAACCTCCAGATGCTCGTCAACGCTGGCGAGATCTCTCCCAGTGACATCTCAAACATGCCTGCTGCTGTCCAGCGTGTCATTGCCAACCTTGCCGTCGCATAAACGTTCATTTATCGATGAACGAACACAACGTGGGCCGTTTATATGCGTGGGAGGTGTCATGACATTGCTTAATCCGCGCCATTTTCTCTTTTACTTCTTGTCTTCATTTATTCCCATATTGAAGAGCTTTGCCCGAAGCTCGAATTCTATTCTTCAAAAGCCACTGTACAATATTTGACGAGTGTGATTTTATACTTTCCACGACTCCCTCTACAAGCTTGTACGGGGCTTGCTTCTCTGCGAGAAACCTTTTGTTTGTTATAATACTAAATTTGAGTCTTCCTTCTTTCATTCAAATAATCAGTGTCTTCAAAGATCGAACCTCTTCATCCCTACGCCTCCTGGGATTTGCTCAGTCCTCAGTCTGCAGTGGTCCTTGGTGCATCACATTCGGTTAGCCGTAATAAATCCATGTTTCACATTACGAGGTCTGTCGGCTCTCAATGCGGGAATACCGTAATCCATACCACATTATTACGTGTAATTTTCGATTCCCAATCTTCAAGCTGCCGCTGTCTCTTGTTTCTCTGCACAGCAACAGCCAACAATAACCTCAATCCAGTGTCATTGAACTTGGATTGTCCTGTGGGTCAAACAAGGACGTGTCGAAAATCCTACATTTCTGACTACAATACATCATGGCTACGACACAACTCTCCGACACCGAGTTCCCATACTCACTGTACGATCCCACCCCCACCTTTGGAGCATGCCAAAGCATATCTGGCGCACATCACCAGTTAGACTGTGACACTGACACGGTGAATAGAACTATCTCACTCCCACTTCCAACCCACCGTCTTGCTTCCTCTGCCCTCCAGACCCTCGAAGTCGACACCGAGCTCTCACCATTTGTGCGGCGCACCTTTACCTTGACATCCCCCCCCTCCGACAACCCCAGCGAGCCGCAAGAAAAGAAGCAGAAGCAGGACCCAGACGAGTCAAAGACTGTCCTGCAGACCACCTACCGCGCGACCACGAACCGCATGCTTCGAGTCGCGGTCAACGGGTATATGGAGAGCCTAGGCGTGGTTCTAGGCGTGATGGCTGAGCTTGACGTGGACGTACTCAAGGCGGAAGAAATTGAGGGATGAACAACTACAGTAGGAGGGGGTACCCCCTCATCATCATCTGTCGCGTGAGAATCTTCTCGATGGGTGAACGATGCATGGGACCCTGTGAGAATGATATCTCATCGGCATTACGGTGGTGGCTGTGCCTGCGAAGGTTTGGAATCGGAACAATACGAAAATATGACAGGGGCGATGCGATACACTACGCCATTCTCCCAGACACACCGACGGTCAGGGCCTTCGATGGGATAACTACAACATCCTCGATATATGTCTCGTTTTGGTGAAATCCCCGTCGAGTGTGCTGCATACGCACAAGTATGTGGGCCGTCGGACCCCGGCAGTTTCGCAAGGGATTGCTCATTGGACCATTGGACGAATATTGGAGAAAGATGGAGGAGAAAGGCGCCACCAACGGTACGATTCTGCCGAGCTTCTTTTCCTCGAAAAGGAAATCTGGTAGAAATCGCGTGGTCCCCACGTCATGCAATAATTACAGTTCAGTGGATGAACATTTTCACAAGCCTTCCGAGTGGGCGCGGAGTCGAGACCGTCAAGCTCTTCTAAGCAAGCCCCGTCCACCTATCAAATCCACTTATGCAGGCCGTTTCCAAGTATTCCAAATATTTGTTCGCTCCCCTAGAATTGTGCAGTGCACACTAGCCCAATTAAGCTCAATAATCTTAGTCGTATAGAGATGTGGACAATCCTAGTGGGAATCGTACGTCCCAGAGAAAAAAACGACGGAGAGTCGTGAACCAGAAACGGCTCTGCCAATCATCGCGAGGAGAATTAAATCGATCGGCTCGGCATGAAGCTGCGACCGTCGGCGCTTCGTGCATTCCGTGCCTGGGCCTCTGATCATTGGTAATGTCGGCGCATCCAGCTCTCGTTCCAGGACTGGACTGGGAAGTTCTCTAGTCTTCTCTTGAGCGGACCTCGGCTTGATCCCTACAAAAGCGGCCATCATGCGCCCGTTGGTCCTGTGCCGCCAAGCTCCTCTCATCTTCTTCCGCCCTCAATTACTATTACTACGGCCTTTCACTCCTCCCCGCAACTGTCAGATATTCACGACGTCATCGTACGATTATCACCTAACCTCCAAACGCGTTCTCACACCTAACCCTCTCGCCTCCTCTTCACGCCTCTTCCAAACCAGAACAATGTCCTCCGCGACCACTTTCTTCGATTTCGAGCCCGTCGACAGTACGTACATGCGCAAATCCCCTCCCCTCCCCGCCTCTCGTCTTTGCTTCCGCGGCCTAGGCTGGGGCCCGTGGCGAGCTCTGGGAAAGCCCACCAACTAACACACTTCATCGCAACTAAACAGAAAAGGGCCAGCCCTTCCCCCTCACCTCCCTGAAAGGCAAGGTCGTCCTCGCCGTCAACACCGCTTCCAAGTGCGGCTTCACCCCGCAGTTCGAGGGCCTCGAGAAGATCTACAAGGAGCTCAAGGCGCAGTACCCAGAGGACTTTGAGATTCTCGGATTCCCTTGCAACCAGTTCAAGGGGCAGGATCCCGGCTCCAACGACGAGATCCAGTCCTTCTGCCAACTTAATTATGGCGTGACCTTCCCCGTGCTCGGCAAGCTGGACGTCAACGGCGACCAGGCCGCGCCCGTTTTCACGTGGATGAAGGAGGCGATGCCCGGCACATTGGGTCTCAAGCGTGTCAAGTGGAACTTTGAGAAGTTCTTGATCGCGGCTGACGGTAAGGTGGTTAACCGTTGGTCCTCGATCACCAAGCCTGAGAGTCTGAAGGACACGATTGTCCAGGAGCTTGAGAAGGCCAAGAAGAATGGGACTTTGGCTTCGGCCCAGAAGGCCAGCGAGGGTGCTGAGCAGGCTAAGCTCTCGTGAGCTCAATTTTGGCGCCCGCACTACGCGACTTTTCCTTTTTTTTAATCGGTGATGCGACTTCCTCACTCTTTCTATGTACCTATACTCCAGCGGTTTATCCCCCTGTACGAATGGCGCACATTTCATATGCTTTATGATGGAAATTGATACTCCATAATACGTGTTGAATATCTGGTTTGTGTTTGGAATCAATGTCCTCGTAGTTGACTGTCCCAGCTGTCATTGCCCGCCCCCATCCCTTTTTTTCTCGAACCCTTTCAAGTCATCTTTCATGCAGCAGCACTGCCCTTGGGAACCAGACCTCGCAGCGACAGATCGTAGACCACATCTTCGACCTTCTTGACCTATCAATTGGGAAGACCGTGTCAGTTAGTTCGCACTACCAGTCTAGCCACATCAAATCGACTAAGATTGGACTCACGCTGTACTTGATCCCATCACTCCGCTTACGGAGAATATCATTCTTCAGGTTGAGCAGCTGGAACCCAGCAAAGAGATCCTTGATGAAGTTACCAATCTGAAGAGGGCGGTCATAGTCACCAAGGGTGACCGAGTTCACGGCCAGGCGCGACTGTTGAAGATTCCAGAATGGTTAGCGACACAGGCAGGCGCAGATGGGGAAAATTCGAATGCTCACCAGCTCCTCGACCACCGAAATCAAGGCCAGAAGGTACTCCTCGATCGTAAGGTGGAATGCATCTTCCTCTTTCAGGTTGACAGGAACTACAGTAAGGAGAACAAAAAGTTAGTCTGAGTAGTCTCACAAGACGCTGTCAACGACTAGATTGAACGCACTCTCTAGAAACTTGCCCACTTCTTCGATCGTCAGGAACGAAGCCGAGCTCAGGCCTTTGTGCTCCTGCAGTCCGCCAAGCCAGGCACACAGCTCGATCGAGGTAACCTATATGAGGTATGAGCATCAGATACTCTGAGGCTCAGAGGGGATTCGCAGAATCGGCACGCACCAGGTTCTGCAACTCGCGGGTCCAAAGTGCATTGTACTTGTAGAACGGATGCTGGTCCGCAACAGCTTTCAGACGGAGGACCTCTTGTTTCTGAGCGAGAATCTCGACGGCAGCATCGTCAAGCACAGGCTTGACTGTTGATTAGAAGTTAGCGGGACTGCAATCATAGACCAGATCCGACCTGCTAACACTGGTGGGGCATGACCCGAAGACGAGAGAAGCAGCGACAAGTGCATCGTCATGGCACAGAAGAGGATCACATACGCTGATTAGCAGGGGTAGAGTGTGCCCTTGAGAGAATAGCCTGCGTAGACCGGCCTGTAGAGAGCTGTATCAGCCTGGATACATGGCTTGAGCTGCAGCCACTCGAACGGGTGGCACTGCCGCCCCATGAACAAAGGAGCTCACAGCCCTTGATGGAGACTCCGGAATCAAGTAATACCTTTTCTGGCGAGGGTCTGGACAATCTCGTGAAGTTCCTATCCGCCAAACGTTAGCTTTGAGCGGGAATTGTGTGGGCAGCCGCTTTGCTGGAGCTCGGGCTTGGCACGCGCAGAAATCATCTGTAGGAACCAGGCGGGCAGCGGATTGAGGATACTCACGTCACGGACGGTAGTCTCCTCGTCGATCTTGGTCTGGAGATCCTCAAAAATTCGTTGGTCGATCATTTTGGTGGTTGTATTTGAAGGGTGAGAGAGTATTGTGGTTGGATGGTGCGAGGTGCGGTAGATGGTTTGTGGTGATGCGTGCTGAGCGAGTTACGTCAAAGTTGAAGGTCAACTCAACTACCAGACCGATATTTCAGGCCAATGGGATTTGGTAATGTTTGAATTTTACTCTTTACTTGGAATTGAAACCATTCAATCTTTATTTGTTGAAGAGCCTCATTCTTCAGTTCATAGCTGGTAGGCAAGATAAAGCCACACTAGCTCTCAGTGCTATCTACATACTACGGGCCCTTTTTACTTCAAAGTCTAGATTACCGCGAATTCAATATAGGCACTCACTTCTTTTGAAATTCTACCTCCTGGTCAAAAACTCGGCTGTCCATGAGGTACCAGAAACGAAGGTCTCAAAGGTCTTTCGGGTTTCAGTAGGCGTGCATGGCCGCTACAAAAAGCAATGGTGTATTCAAAAAACTCCAAGAACGCATTTTCCAAGTTTTATGTTGTAGTCACTTCTTTCCCAGCGAAAATAGTCATAATATTCGTAAAAGGGCGCGATCGCCACCGAATTTCGTCCGTATCGCCATCCATCGGGGGCGTAGGGGTCGTGCTCAGTATCGGTATCTCGTCGAATAATCTGCATAGTGGTCAGCGGCTGCCGTACCTATCTTCGCAAGGAGCAAAAAATCTTACCCTTTGGACTGACGACCAAACCACGGCCCTTCTTCGCGCCCTTGTAGATGGTTTCGATGATGTCGATCAACTCCTGCTTGTCTTCCAACACCCAATTCAACTTGTTATTGTTACCCGTTCCGAAATCGCACATCATGTGTTTATTGCGGTAGAAGAACATGATCGTCATCGTATCGTAGAGCTCGTACATCGAGTTGAAATCGGGGACCTCGTCGATGTCGCACAGGTAAATGACGGCGAAGTCTGCACAACGACATCCGTCAGCGGCTGGATTTCCACGCTCTGGGATGAACACTCACTCTTCACCCGCTCGGCAATCTTGTATAGGAGTTCATCCTGACGAATACCTGTTAAGCAACGGTTAGTCGTACGGTCACGCGATGGCGGAGAGGATGGGCTCACAGTCGGGATCGTGGTCGCGCCCGAAGCGAATCACCACAAGGCGTTCCTCTTCGGAGAGGATGGCCTGGTCAACATGCCAAGCAGTTCGAAGGTGAGGCAGTACGATCGAACCCATGGTGGCGTGGCGAACAAGGATCAGCGAAGCGCAGGGTCCAGAAAATTGGAGAGCTCGGAGCTTATCGCTGGCAGGACCCGCGATACACTCATGTCATGTGACCGATACCTCGTCCAGCATCGGGCTGCGACAACTGCGCAGTGGCGACCACAATAGAGAAATCTGAGGATTTGGGAACTATGTTTACACTCGGCGATTGAATCCAGGATGTCTAAGGAAGATTTTTTTCGGTTTCAGAGCAGATCCTTGAGAAGCACACCTCCAACATGAGTGCTCAAGCACGCCATTCTGATCACCAGCCCAGCGATATATATATGGCCGCTGCGGCGGGACACGAGCCAATCTGTCCAGATACTTCGCGCACCCGTAGAGACTTTAGAAAAGATTACAAATTTCAAGAACGACGGACGCTCCGGGAAACAGTTAAGTCGGGAGTTAAGCTCGTCGTCACTGTCGAGTCCTGCCATAGTGTTGTTACGCTGTTGCGCCACAAGCCTTGCGGCATCACAGTAGCACACTGAACACGACAGGCAGCATGTCGCGCAACTGGCGCTCTCCCTCTTGGGATTTCAATAGAGCTACTAAGATACAGTGGTCTTTACATCTAGGACAAGGAGGCAAGGCCGGAGGCCAGAGCCTCGACGTACATCATGGCCACACAACGCCACATCTCGAACTGGCAGTTTTGAGGCTCAAAAAGCTTCTACAAGTCTTTAATAAACAAACTGCCCTGGGCACAGACGACTGGGTTCAAACTTGCTACAATAGACAGCTTCTTCTCCAAGCGGTTGGACAAGCCAACACAGTTGATGAAAAAGGGAGTTCGCGTCGATCGAGGGTAGTGTAAGCCCGATGACACTGTGCAACGAGGCATGCGCAAGCACAGAGGCCAAGTCGCGGGATCCAAAAATGGGAATAATCAATGTTGTTTTCCTTAGAAAACTTTCAGAGATTAAACTGAAAAGAACAGATACTACACTTGATCTAAGCCAATAGGCAAAGAGAGCTGGAGAAGAAAAAAAGAAGAGGAAGGACGGCAGCGGGAGGAGGTATTTAAGTGTTTCCAGGAGTGGGTCCTCTGGAGGCCGCTCACTAGCGTTGTTTAAGCGAGCCAATAATAGACCGGACAAGATCACCGACGTGGGTCCAATAGACACGTGACTTGACCGGTGCCTGGCCAAGGTCATGTGATATACAAGGGCTGTGATCACATGGCATCACCTGACTTAATTAGCCCCATGCCCTATCCCTTCCCAAAAAGGCTTAGCCCACACACCAGCAGGCGGGCACTGGCGAATTTTGGAGCGCAAAAGAGGCTCCACCACAGCGAAAGCGATCTTCTTCTGACCATCCCTCTCGCCGGCGCAGGATAATCACTTCTTTGCGACCAACTTCAACCCCCAATTTCTTCAATCCCCCCAATCTTTACAATGGCTCCCGTCGCTGTACGTTGAAAGACTACCCCACGAACCGCTTTGCTGTTCCCCCCAATGGACAGCCTCGATTGGACTTGGAGTTACTCGGGCATGCGAGCTGCTGGATATTGAAAAATCTATCCAGTAGACTTCCGTTCGAGAAACCATGTCCATCGAGACTGCCACTGGGGTTTCCAATATGATGGAGCAGTAGGCTAATTAGTTTTTTTTTCCCTTGGCAATAGGCTCGTGGCCGCAAGGCTCAGAAGGTTACCCAGAAGGTATGTTGCACTGAATTTGTCTCTCGACTACCATTCCACTCCGAGATACTAATGGCTGTTCTCGCACAGTACATCATCAATGCTTCTCAGCCCGCCTCTGACAAGATCTTCGATGTCTCCGCCTTCGAGAAGTTCCTCCACGACCGCATCAAGGTCGAGGGCCGCGTCGGCAACCTGGGTGACAACGTCGTCATCTCCCAGGCTGGTGAGGGCAAGATCGAGGTCGTTGCTCACATCCCCTTCTCCGGTCGCTACCTCAAGTACCTGTACGTTTCGTTCGATTCTGCACTCTAACATTGGGTGACCTCTGGACTCGACCCGCTGACCATTGTTCTTTCTATCTCCACAGGACCAAGAAGTACCTCAAGAAGCAGCAGCTCCGTGACTGGCTCCGCGTCGTCTCCACCTCCAAGGGTGTCTACGAGCTCCGCTTCTACAACGTCGTCAACGACGAGGCTGAGGAGGATGAGGAGTAAATGCGCTCCTTCGGCTTTTGACCTGCTTGTCGATCGACGGGATGGGTCTGTGATTGTTGCACGTTGGCTTGGTTGGATTACCGCCGGATCAATTGGTGAGGGTCATGGGGTTCTGTCGTTTTATGATATGTGGGAATAGACTAGCCTACTTAACTGTAGGCTACGAATAAAAAAGTTTATACCCTCTGATATTTCTCCTCATTTCGCCCTGGTAGAGACCATACATTTGGAGAATTACTTAATGTAGACATCTGCGATCTGAAATGTCTCAGGGTCAAGTTTATATACTCGAGAAGATTAAGAATGGAGGCAGGCATTTGTAGCCCACTAGCCTAGCAAAGTTTCGGTGACATTAAAAATGGCTTGTTCCCACTCGTCCTTGCGCGCCATCTATGTAGATTGATGGGCCCTTTCTTCGTAATCTGACTAGCGCCTGGCCGAGTCATTTCGAAGATGGGCTCGTAGAGGTACCAAGGGTATCAGTCCCTGATACCCATGTGCTAGTGATGATTCTATGCAGTGCTATCATCGGGAGATGGTTGTTTCCTCTTCTGCCCAGCGCTACCAGATTCAATGCGATGTTCCACAGGATTGTCATTATCATGCGGTCTCTCACTGGGAACGTATAGTCCCTGCCTGTTGACGTAGTATGTCTCCTGATTGGGTGGCGAGACCATATGGTCCCCTTCAAAACGCCAGCCATGGTGTTTGTACTTCTTCCAGGAATCGCGAACCATGGCCCGCACAAGATCACCTGTTGTGATGGCGTCCTCTTTAGAATCATGGCCCTTGGCGCCACCGGTTTGAACTTCTCGGGAAAGGAATTTGCGAGCGAGTGTCTTGAGGCTCATGCGATTGGGTAAACCGCCCCTCGGGGCTGGATACAGGATAACCGTGTCGATGATTGTGGGGTGAATGATTCGGCAGACATTGAGATCGTTGTCAATGGCGTGGCCGATCAAGGGTGTTTCAGGCTGAAGGAATTGGAAGAGTAGTTCCCGGGCTGCGGCAGGCGATTCAACGACCTGCATAGGCTTCTGCTGATTTCCCTGACCAGACTGGGAAGGAGAATTAGGAATGATATCGGAGGTGCCGTAGGGGATGGCTTTTGCAAAATGCTCAGGATATACCCCCGAGAATCGCGAGTTAAGATCCAAGACCTCGCCAATGGGCTTGACAAGAACATCGAGAAGCTCACGACCTTCAGGCCAACTGACAGCAGTGAGGCGAATCAATTCCAGGCCTTGTGTGGTGTAGCCCATCTCGCAGTCGAAGCATACAGGGTCCAAGGCCCCTTTGTCCAGTTGTCGAGGGGTCGTCTCAAACTGAAGAATGGATGCAAGGCGTTTGGACTCGGAGATTTTGAAAACGTGCTGAGCACCTTTAGTGCAACCGATCGACGTCCCTACAGATTCACCGCAGCAAGGGAAATAGGACTCTCCGGAACCCGTATAGTTGTCCGTCTTCTTGCGAGGTGGAATAACGGGTCGATTGGGGTGGTAGGTACATGGTCCTCCCGTTGTCAACGCACCATCCTCGCGTCGACCAGGAAAGACCTGGAAGCGGCTCGCACAGCGCTCACACTTCTCCCAACCCTTCGAATCAGTGACGCCCTGTTTGGATGTCTCGATTTCCGCTGCAGTAGGTGGTTTTGTGACATAACCGAATTCCTCAAGGCCATTCAAGGGTGTAATTAGTCTCGGCACAAAAGTGATCTCTTGTCTGGTGGTGAGACCAGTTTCGATGGGCTTGGTAGCGTCTGGAGTCGGAGCGACTGGTATTTTGTAATACCTAGTATTGAGGTGTTTCATGACCTCCTTGGCCCAGTCCTCAGAGCTCATCTTCGTCAGTTTCACGATCCGGAGTTTGATCACATTGGAGTACACGCCCGGGTTGCCCTTTGCCACATATTCCTCTTCATCCAAAGCCATAGTTACCAACTCATCGGCCGTCAGGACAAAGGACTTCTTCGAGCTGTCTTTGCTTTTGGCGAGCTTCTCATTATTTGAGACCATGACGGCATGTAATTTGGTGAGAATCGCGCTCCGGGTTGCATGAGGCGCAGGGGCCTTTGTCAGCATGCGCGGATTGAGGCTTTCCTTTCGCACCTTCCGAGGGGGAAGCTCGGATGACGTGGGCTGACGAGTGATTGGGCTGCTTGAAGGCTCGTCGGTTTCAAGATTGGAGCTTGGGCACGACGGCGAAGTTGACGCCCCAGGACGGGTAACAGGCGTTTCGGAGCTACGTCGGTCAGAGGTCCGCCGTGGTAGCTGTTGGCTTGGTTTCGATGTTGAACGCGAGCCATTCACTACATCCTCAAGATTTGACACCTTGTGAGACAAGGTCAGCGGTTCCGTCGAAGATATGCTCTCTTGGGTCTTAAGCTTCTTCGGATTATGTGTGCCGATTGTGTCTGATGATGTCGTGGTACCGGAAGAGGGCTTGGTAAGACCCGTGCAATAGCGAGCATGGGAGAACATGCAAGTCAAGAGCGCGCAATGCTCTCCTTGTGGACAAGCCACACCTGTAAATAGGCCCAGTGTTGTGAACATGGTGGGATATTGGAAGGACGCAGACCAAAGAGATTTGGATCAACGTGTCCCCGGACTTTGAATGAAAGAGTACCGAGAGTGTTCTAGTTTCTCTTGGGATATGGTTAGAAGCTCAGCTTGAATGAGGGCCAGCAGTACCGAGAAGCATGATAGCTGCCGATTTTTGGCCCGCGGTGGTTTCTTTGTTAAGGCTACCAGACTGGATATCCATGAGAAGTCTGTGGGCTCGTTCTTGCAACCAAAGAAACAGCTTTGAAAAAACAAGTCAATGCACCTCGTATGGTTGTTGGATTGGTAGACAAATGTAATTCAATAATAATGGAAAGCGGGTGGAGAACCTCCGAGTTGCAAACTAGTCAAACTTCACTGAAGCCTGAAAAATAAGGAGTTGACCCTGAAAAAAATGTGATGACGCAGGAAACCTTATCCCCGGGCTTATCGGCAGCCGGGGCATCAATCAACCCGGTTCCAGGGCTTAACTCCGGCAGGCAATCCTTTAAACGGGTTTGACTGGGAATGCATCAATTAGCCCGATTCCAGGCTTAAATCCGCCAGGCAGTGCTTTAAACAACTTGCGCCCTTCTGACCCGGGACTAATTTCCCATCTTCAAAAAATCACACCCAAATACACTATGACTGAGAATACTACGAAAGCGGACCACCTTTGTGTCCTAGTCCATGGGTGAGTGTCTCGTTCCTGCTCGCTCCGATGACGATAGAGCCCTGAGTCAAACTAATGTTTCTGTGGATAGACTTTGGGGGAACCCATCTCACCTGGATTATGTGGCCTCTGCCCTGAGAGAACGCCATGATGAGGATAATGTTCACATACTCTGCGCCAAAAATAACAGCGGAAACTGGACGTATGATGGAATTGAGCTGGGCGGCGAGCGACTGATGCACGAAATTGAGGAGACACTGGAGACTTTGGACAAAAAAGGGCAGAAGATAAAGAAGCTGAGTATCATTGGATATTCTCTTGGTGGGCTGGTGTCTCGATATGCGATCGGCCTGTTGCATGCGCAGGGATGGTTCGAAAAGGTGGAGCCTGTCAACTTCACCACATTTGCTACGCCTCATGCTGGGGTCAGAACGCCACTCAAGGGGATTCGAGGTCACATCTGGAATGGATTGGGACCAAAGACCGTCTCCATGTCTGGTCAACAACTATTCATGGTTGACTCTTTCCGAAACACCGGTCGGCCTCTTCTCAGCGTTCTAGCCGATCCAGAAAGCATCTTTATCCAGGGGCTGAAGAAGTTCCGTCACCGCTCTGTTTACGCAAACGTTGTCAATGATCGCACCGTTGTGTTTTACACCTCGGCACTCGCCAAGACGAATCCCTTCCACGACTTGGATAACATCAATATCAATTACGTTAAAGAATATAACCAAGTGATCGTCGACCCCGACAACTATCTGCTACCGAGCACTCCGGAAGAACCGGAGACAACGCCGTCCCGTTGGTGGAAGCAGCTCAAGAAGGTGTTGTATGGACTGCCATTTTGGGTACTTATTATCCTGGCCGTGCCGCCTGCAATGACCCTCTTCCTTGGAAATGCCGCTGTTCAAACATTTCGCAGTCGTCAGCGGATACGCCTCCACTCAGAAGGCAAGAATGGAATGCGCTTTGGAAGATACAAGGTGCCACTACTCGTGCAGGATGTCCAGCATGTGATGGAGGGAGTTTTTGAGAATGTCAATGCTCGACAAGAGCCTTCCTATCTCTCAAGCACCGAGGAGGATGAGCTTTTTGATTCAACAGTCGAGAAGGTTGGAACCAAAGTGAAACATCTCGACAGTGAAGCGTCTAGTGCAGATCTGACCAACCGCTTCAATGCTCATAATGACGAGGAGGAACGTGTCGTCGGCCACCATCATAAGCTTGCATTGACAGATGATCAATTCGCCATCCTTGACTCTCTCAATGCGGTGGGATTCCGGAAATATCCGGTCTACATTCACAATCATCGACACAGCCACGCCGCGATTATCGTCAGAACGCGCAAAGACGGATTTGACGAAGGCAAAATTGTGATAAAGCACTGGTTGGACAATGAGTTTGAGGTGTGATTGTTGGCGATTTCTTCTATTTTGGCACGCATTCTTGGCGTCTATCTATTTTGAGCTCTGAGGTGGGGATTTTGGTTTTGGCGGCGGTCTCTTCTATCAGAGCGAGCGTTCATACATAATGATTTTCAGCGAGATATAGTAGGTAAAGTTACACTCTAATATATATACGACAATATGAACATACCTCCCTTTATACCTCCAAAGGTACCTCATAAGAAACCCGACTGATCCCCTTCTGCCGACTGATCTTGCGTATCGTGATAGGCCCGGTCAGACTGGTCGTCGGTACGTGGGTTCCACCGCAGGGATTCTGATCAAGACCACCTATGCTTGCAACACGGACAGGGCCCTCCCTCAATGCTCCACGGCCATTCAGATCTGAACCATCTTCCACCCAGGAGATCAGAACAGGCAGGTCCTGCTGGACCAATTCGTTCACCTTGGCCTGAATCAAGGGCTTCTGCTCATTATATAACAGACCCTCATACTCCATGCATGCTTCTTTAGGGAAATGATTGGCTTTAACTTTCTTCATTTCGGGGAAGAGAAGCTGCATCGCGAGACCAACAATGTGTCCTCCAGTATGCAGTCGGGAGTGGTAGTCTCGTTTGGCGCCATCGACTTGCTGAACGACGCTCTGGCCTTCAGCGAACAGGGCATCTGGGCCTACAGACTTGCCGAAATGCAAAATTCGTCCATCCTCGGTTTTCCGCACCAGAGAGACAGTGAAGGTGGGCTCCTTGTCGATCAGAGAGATGGACCCTGTGTCACTAGGCTGTCCACCACCCTGCGGGTAGAGGATAGTCTGGCGCATAGTAATAGCCGAGATCTCTAGATCAGCATTCTTGATTAAGCTCTTTTCATCCTCTGAGAGTGACGAGACTGGTTTGTGGGAGACGATCTCTGTTGTCAGGGTTCTCAGCGAAGCATCGTGCAGATACACTGCTTCCGTAGAGGGGGCCTTAAGAAATATGAGCATCGCTATCAACAACCAAGGGACATATTATTCATACCATTGATTCTTGATCTCACGCGCAATTGCTGATATTCGTGTGACTGTTGTTCTCTCGGCCACAAATATTCATCCAGATAATCATGACTCGATTTCCTCCACCAGGTGGGTCATGTCATGCCAAGGGCGGGATTTGATGCCAGGATTCTCAGGCTACAATATTATCTTTAGTAGCCAAAGACTCCCGACATCAGTTGGAACTAAGGAATTTCTATGCTTACGTGAGAACCCAATCTCAGCACGACTGTCAAGATGAATAAATGGGTAATTCGACTCCTGGATACTAGGTGCCCCAAGTCAGCATTCTGTGGGGCAGACATCCCAACGGCACGAGATCTAATTGACAACTAGAACTCATCTGTACAAGAAATTCCCCAGACTGTAAAAAGAATTGAACACTTAACAACCGATCATCTACATAAGTACTCGTCTCCCTTCAAAGAACCCACCGAAAAAGGAATGACACGCGTGGCACAATTTCCCCAAAGCTAACCTTAAATTGATCACTTCCATACCCCGGATTTGCCCCCGCAATGCACGCCCCTCCGACTCCAACCGAATTCCAAAACTTCAAGGCCAATCTAATTATCCCCTCGGGACTTCCTATTTAGTCTCTTCCGCTCTCCCGTGCTCGTACGCTTCTGATTTGACGCTAAAGGACAGGGGTACGTCGTATTGCGTCCGGCCGAGTCATTTCGAACCTTGCATAGTAACATCTGGCTTAAAGCGATCCTATCACTGTACAGTATACCAGAGGTCTGAGTTGTATTGTATCATATTTGTGGGCTGTAAATCGTATCCGTGCGAATTGATGCATATCGAGTGGAGAGACAGTTTCACAAAAATCCGGGGTAGGGTTCTCTTTCTGGGCCTGAGTATGGCACTTGTTTCTAGGCGGTTTACCTGCGTCGTACCAGGAAGGGTGTTAATCGAACTGATTTTTATCATACCAGGAGTGTATGGTATTTAGAGCTGAAAACCTGAAGTGACGGATTCTTGGAGAAGGGATGCGTTCTACAGGTGGGAAATGGAGAAGCATAGGGGAAGCACACGGGGCCTACGAGGATACCATTCAGGAAAGAGGCGAGACTAAATCAAAAATTCTATATTTATGTCATTTATTCATCAGTTTGTAGCCTAAAGAGAAGCAAATTGAAAGCCCTAATACGCCCCCAATGCCCCAATTTGCAGTAAAAGTCAAAGAAAAACAAGAAAACAAATCACCCAGAATCTGGTCGAGTGGGAGTCATTGTTGACAGGCCGTGAGGGGGACATCACAATTGGGCAGAGTGCATGATCCTAAAGAGGGACCAGTTGAGAGGCAAAGTACTCGGATAAGGGGAATCAACCGGCAAAGTGGAACAGATAGAAAGATCAGCATCCAGTTATATCAAAGAAACGGACTCAATACTTCAAGCCGTTCTCTGAGAAAGGTTCTTGCAGACCATCTCTGGCGGGACCTTTGTTGGAGTAGATCTTTTGCTGCTCCCGCTCCACCGCAAACTTGACCGCATCGTAGATGTTGTTCACGATCTTCTTGGGTGGATAGCGTGGGATAGTACCCTCCTGCCAGACACCAGTTCTGACCAGGATGGAGTACCATTCATTCTCGGAGATCTCATTGAACTCATTGGTCCCACGAATGTCAGACTCGGGTGTGTCGCCAACGAAGTAGACTGTGGAAGGTGGATGGGCAATGTCATGGGAATCCTTACGCCACTTCCCCAAAAGTCTAGTCGCAAATTGGAATGTACCCATCTGCGGCTTGCCGAAGGCAACGGTCTTCAGCTCTTTCCCGGCGACAGCCTTGTAGAGTGCCTCGAGCGAGGCGCGTAGTGCGCCCATGCCGATGCGCGAGTGCTCATGTGACGTCGACCACACCACGTCGTTGTGGGAGAAGTAGATTGGAGGGCCTTCGTCAAAGGTCTCCGACCGTGTACCAAGCTTACCATTCACGGACATCAGGCAGTCCAGAATGATTTGCTGATCACCGGCCCAATCACGACTATCAGCAAAGACGAAGATCGCCTCAATCTGGATTGCGTCAAGATCGAGTACTCGCGAGTTTTTGTATTCTTCGTCTGTCAGTTTGCGGAAAGGTGTGGTGTCGTGGCGCGTCTTGATAATATCGCCGGGAGTAATGACATTTCTGAATCCATACTCCTCGGCGACAATACGACACTTCTCGCCTTCGCCGCCGACAACCAGGACAGTGTCGTAGCGTTCGGCCATTTCGCGCATGGGAGTGTGCCCACAAATAAATTGTCCAGGGCAGACTTCATATTCAAGTTGGCGACTCAGATCCTGGCATCGTTCCTTTTCGGTCTTGCCACCTCCATTGGTGAGGAAAATGTACGGTCTGATTAAGTTCCATGTTAGTCGACATTTCGATCTGGAAGCTAGGAGCACGAATACTTACACTTTTACTCCATAAGGGTTCTCGCCATTGATGTACTTCATGGCATCGATGGCCTCGGGAATGACCTGGCCGCCTCTGATAAGGACGCCATCGATATCGAAGGCCAACGCAAAGTCATCGCTAACCATCATTGGCGGGATTGTCAAAGGGGTAGTCACAGAAGAAGACTCTTCTTCCGAGGATATGGCTTCGTCATCAGAGTGACTTTTATCCGTTTCAATTTCCGAGGTTAGGTCACGATCTCGGCTAGAGGCCATCAAGTATTTTGGAGGCATGACGACGTTGGGGCCACCGTAGAGGTCGGCCCGATCGGCATCAAGACTTGAAAGTCGGCGAACCTTTTGGCTCCCGAATCCATCAGTAGTCGCCATTGTGAATGATGAACAAACGGGGTGGGTCTATGAGCGGATCCGATGCAAGGTTTCAAGGGAGTTGATTGTTCCCTTCAAGGATTCAGATGCAGTAGATCACCAGGTACGGGAAATCACGAAAAGCTCAGCTCAGGTCCTCTACGGACGCAAGAAATTGGGTTGAAGGAGATCGAGAGTGTATCAGCAATTATCGTGAACGAGGTGCAAGCTGCAGTAGGAAGCCGAGAGTCATGCAAATCGTATCGAAAGCAAGTTAGGACTATGGAGCATGTGGGCCGGGGGGGGAATCAGGGCCATTAATATAACATCCTGAGGCCTATCTGCTCGCTGCCTCAACATCCTCTACTTGTTCTGTTGTAATACAACAAGGTAGACCCACTATTCTCGAGCTCAGACACGCCCTTCGTCATCATCCCGACCATCTACTTGTTTCCCATCGGTGACGCTCGATCGACCCTCAGGCGCCTCAAAAACGAAGTGTATTTGGGCGGATCCACATCGACTTGCCCTGGGCGCGGTGACCCGTACCCACGAGCTTGTCCGTCGGCGCTGATTGATCCGTATGAATGGAGAAAAGACGCAAGTGTCCCACGTTTACGGAGTGGAGTCTGCCGGCCCCTCGTTGCTGTGCATGAATGGACCGTTGACGTCGCGGGGAGGGTAGGAGTCCTGCCAGGATAAGGCTCCCGATGATGACATGGCGATCATTGCTATCATTTCCGAGCAAGACACAAACGGAGAGCCGTGTGCATGAATTTCCGAACCGATTGACGCTCTTGAAGTCCTATGCTCGGTGAAGCATTTTCGGCGTGGCGTTGGCTCGGCAGGTGGGAAGTAAAATAGACAGGAACCAGGCTTTCCCGGGCCAGTCTCGTCGTACGGTGTTCACTCAATTCGCCATCAAGAGAATTTCCGTATTCCCGATTCGACCAACCAGTCCTTGGCCCCTGTTCCACCGTTTCTGTTCAGAGTATCCCGAGATAATGTTGGAAGTGCGTCGTTGGCCAACGCGTGGTCGAATCAACGCGCATTACCGTGGAGCGGATGGGGAAATGACGTCATGATCATCCCCAATGGCTGGACGTTCAAAGCCTCAGGAACCGAAACATCGGGAATGCTTGCAGCTGAGATTATTAAGAAACTTATTTAGTAATGAATCAATAGATCAGTGCATCCATTTGCAGACAATATTGGCACTAACCTGGCGGGATTTACCGGAAATACTGTACCCGCTCTCGCCCTCTGCGGTGGTAGTGGTGGTGAGGACTTAAAACGCTAAGGCGAGTTGTGGTATGTGGCGCCGCCAGTGCTACATCAGCCCAACGTTCATTCGGCCATGGTGAGGAACAGAAAGCCACCACTGCAGCCAGCCTCTCCTGGAAAACATGGAGGTTCTCACCGCGGCGGACCTCTCGCTCAGCCGGCGCGACCCTGTACTTTAATTGGATTAATGGGATTACTAAATCAGGAGTGCAATGTGTCTGGTACAGCGTTGACAAAGATCGAGTACCTTGTGTATTTTATGCACCTATATAGACAGGATAATGGCTGGGCTGGCGCCTTATTTACGAGGGCGATCAGGCTTAGGCTCAATAAGAAGACGTCAGCACTGTTGAGATCGCTTGCTCTGATTTCCAGGCAAATGAAGACGTTCGTAGTGCCTTCAAATCCACGACAGCCACTACAGACTTAACCACTTCATAAAAAAGCTACTTAAAGCGAGCAAGGTGTCAAATCATGATGGTTTCTACCATGTTGTCGTAAACGACTCATGCCAATCGGATGATATTGCTTAATATGGTAGGCATTTTGTCGCTGAGATCTTCCCCATTCAGTGAAGCCCAATTCGTCAAGCTCTCGATGATCCACATTAGGTCGTGTATACTCAGGCTCGAGCAAGTCGCGTATTTCTCCCATGCCATATTTAGGATTACCTAGGTCATGTGCTTGCATCGGATTTTCCCTTGAGTCGTACAGGAATCTATTAACCTCGTGTTCTAGCTATACTCCTCTCCCAATCATCCGCTTATAGCCTTGCATAATAATCCTGGCGCTTGGCCTTAGGGTATCATCTAACCACTACAGGTCTGTGCGTATGGGCTCCAGAAGATCACTCTAACAGTTCCCCGAGTATTCTAAGTTGAGAAGACTAAGCTTAACAGACTGCAGGGATTTTAGTAATGGTTTTCGAAAACTGAAATTGTGAGGCTATAAGGTGTTACAACGGAAAAGGCTAAAATAGTGAAGCTCTAGACTATTGTTCGACCAGAAAGATACTCGTTAACGGGATTCGCGGGACTATAGGGCTAGGATCGAGTATAGTCGAAAAACTAACATCTTTTTGATCTCTTGCTTCGCTGAGAGCACGAGAAGATACCTACTGCTTTCACTAGCCTAGCGATATGTTCTAGTTCCCTTAACATCAAGTAGGAGATCTACGTGACTAAATCCAGGGCGCTTCAATATCATCACAAATCATCATACTCCTCGCATGGCTGTTCTAGTATCATGAAATTGATGCCAGTTGTGAGGGACACAGTATCAAAGCTACGCTCAGAGACATGGTGCTTGTGTTGTGCCAGGATGCGGAGCACAATCCGAGTCCCGTGCCATTGCTCTTTATACTCTTCCGGTGCCTCTGACCAGGGAAGCGAGTACTGGGACACTTCCCATAAGCCCATTGTAGGCCATCTTCGCGGAATAGGGTAGATGAATCCGTAAGGCAGTGACCTGATGGTGGGCGTTCCATACAGCTGAGAGAAAAGCCACCCATGTGCTGCGGGCGTAACTCTGACTCTTCTCAAGGCTGGAAATCGATTAAGACCGTAGACAAATGCATTCTCGTCGCTCCGGGACGCCCGAATTTCGTTCTGTTGCCGTAATAATATTTGATAGTGCTTCCATCGATTCTCCAGTGGCATCTGTGCATCGACCTGTCTCTGTCGTGAGAAATGGCAAGAATAATCCTGATCCCAGTTCTTTCGCTGTGTTATGAATTGGATGTTCGCCTTGCACTCTTTGAGAAACTAAGATGGAGGATCGCTTTCAGGGCCAATCTCCGGCGATCGGAGACTTGATGTTTGAATTCCATGCTCTATCATCGCATACCATTCATCTTCCGAGGGAGAGGGTGTTGGAATGAAGCGCGCCTCGTCCCATATTACTTCTGTGACTTGGCGTGGAAACTTGGGATGGTCCGCAAGCGCGTGAAACATCTCGATGTCTCGGGGTTTGGTGGGGAGGAATACTCGTGAGAGGCATAAAGGGGTGACCTGGAAGACTTTGTATGTCGGTCGCAGAGACTTGCGATTGCTATTGGTCAAAGACGACAGAATCAGTGCTAGAATTTCGGGGATTACGACAGCGAACCAGGGCAGCTTGCCTTGCGCCGAGGCCCCAGCTCCGAATATTTGTGACTCCTGTAACCCCTGAGATGCCATCAGATGGCTGGGAGTGCGAGTTTGTTGCAAGGGCATGAATGAGGTGTTGGTACTGAACATGACGAGCCCCATTGTGTGTGTGCGAGGATCTTGGGGGTCATAAAGAGTGGTTTCATTGGCACCCTCATTACGAGGCCCGATTTAGTTCATTCGGCTATTTACAAGCACGATAATCAATCGCCTAGATTAACAACAAACCATGACTCTGGTTTGATGCTCCCATAGCAAATAACAAAGAGATCTTTTTTTTTTGATTCTTAATGAATAAAAAAGAGACGGTGCTTAAGGAGCAGGGAGAAGCAAAAGAGGAGCATCACCTCTTCCATCTCGCAATAAAGGCGCCTCCCACTTTTTCAGCCTCACATCATCCCACAGAGCATACCCCCACGGCCACTCTTTCTCAAGGTTTTGATCACTGTACGTATTCAGCGCATCCTCTAATTCTTGTTCAGGGCTATGTGGGACCAGACCGAGTTTCCGCCAGCCCAGATTAGGTTGATCAATAGGCGGTAGGGTTGACCAAAATTGCTCGAAATTTCGGACACAATGTCGATCCGCCGGATCTGTGAGCGGCATTCGGTCCTCCCAAGTTGGAAACCAGCCATCAAGAGGAGAAAGATAAGCGGTATTGAGGTTGGCGATTACCATATTGCGCTGTGGTATTGAAGTCGTGTGTAGAACACGGTAGAGGAAATCGGGTCCCAGGGAGGCTAATACTTCTGTATAAGTGGGAAGCAGTCGGAGGTCCGCAACAGTGTCAATTATCGCGGGTGGTGGACACTCGTCGTCGGGCAGGACATCCCAGAAAAACCGGCTGGGTTCATTTTTCATGGCTTCGCGCAATCCGTCGGAGATCTTCTCAAAGACTGGATTGTATTTGGACATGAGATATGACCATACACATCCCATTTCATGAACTTCCCAAGGGGGCAAGACCCCCAAAAATAGCCGATAGTGTTTCTCGTCGGTGACATAATTATCGAATAGGACCTGACCCTCACGTTCACGCCACTGTCCGCTCATTTCGGGAGGCCCAAGGATGTTGGCGTACATTTGTAGCCGACATAATGCTCTCATAAAGCGACACTTTTCATTATCGGACATTTTGAGGGGTACTTCTCGTTTCCACTGAGCAGGGTCGATCCATGGGGGTCGCGGTAGATTTATCGTGTAGTCCTCGTAGAAGAATTGTAGCTTTTTGAGTAGTTGTAATACATTGATGGTTTCCTCCAGGTCACCAGGTTGGTATAGTCGAGCTGCTAATGTTGGAGAATATTGTCGAATTTCCTCCCTCCGACGCCAGCGGTCCAGTAAACCAATGGCCTCTTCTTCGTGGTGTTCAAGCAAGAGGCCTTTTGACCTGATTGCAGTAATTGCCTCGGATAGGTCCAGGAATTCTCCGTAACCTCTCCTGAGAATATTGTGAAGAACATCCTGTCGAACCATGACATATGCTCTGTGACATACTGGTGATGACAGTACGATGGATTTGAGATCATCCAACTCTGAGATCTGTGACAGAATGACAATCAGCAGCTCAGCTGGTAGGCCTTCAAGACTAGGTTTAGCCTGAAAGCGAATGAGTTAGAATCAATCTCAGCCGATCAAATCGTTCAACATACCATGTTTTACAGTGTCTTTGAAGTTTCTGGATGGTTGAAGGAAGGGGCCAGCCCTCGCATTTAGGTGCTTTGGACCTGAGCGGGGGCTGTAGGCGGGTCCAGCGTTAAATTATCGGGGAATCTGGGCTGCGGTACTCATTGCCTCAGGCAACCTACCAGGTCGGGCGGTTTAGCGCCACCGCCGACTCACCATGCGGGCTTTTGGGCACCAGACATACAGCACTACTGTTAACGCCCTCAGCTCTTCTACACATCTATAAATAATCGACTTGTCAATATGGATTGTAAATAAATGAAATTGACCTGCTACCTGCCGCGCGCCTATTACAAGGGGTAACGTTCGAGCGGCATATAGTTGTTTCATCGCGCACGACATGTCAGAGCCAATTGATCTGGCTATTTTGAGAGGTGACGGTAGTATCACTAAGCGCTTCTTTGCATACAAAACATATTATGGCCGCCAGCCTTTATTTTGAGAGTGGGGAAGGGGTATGCGAGAGCCTGCACAGCCCTCTAGCTCAGGAAAGTAGGCGAGGATTGAGTATCAAGTTGGTGAGCAACCTGGAGCTAAAACTGCCCAGAAAGCAGTAAAAATGGAAGTGAAACATAAGAGTAGAGGTAATATTGGGTATGCATAGTCTATATTATAATTTCACACAATGTAGCGCGAGGCTCTTTGCTGATATGCGGGCATTTGGCTTAAAATTTGATACATTCATTGTGTCAGGATGTCAAAAGCCTCGATTTGACCTCGACTGGCTTCTCGTAATTTTAGAATATAACTGATCTTCCTTTCCTCCAGTAGACGTGGATTCAGGTCAATCTTGAAGATTTATAATCCTTTCTACAAGATACACTAGCCTTGAGACATTGCCTGCAACTAGCTGAAAGCACAACGCTTCATTTTGCATCTCCGTTATCCTCACCATCCTGTTTTAGCGATGGGTCTTTTCGGGCATAAATCCAAGGAGAATCAAAAGCTACAGTACCCCATCGGCGGAAAACGCACGAGACCTAGCCCTGGTCGACGAACAACTGAGACGTCAGTCAATGCCCCTTTGCCAGGCTATCACGGTCCACACTTCCATCGAGGGCCAGCTCAAGAAGACATATGGAACCAGCGACAACAAAACATTCAGATATCTTACGAGGATATACGTGGTCGCTCGCACACGTTCCACAGCCCTATCGAGCAGCATCAGTATTCCAATCCATATGAGTTGCGACCGGGTCCATTCACCAAAAGGATGGAGCAGGAGTATGCAGATTATAAGAAGAAGGCAGAGACTTGTGGCACCAATAGATCTGCAGTCAAACAAGCAAAAAATGTGCCCGTTGGCCGGAACTACGTCCCTGAGACTATTCACGGCAGGCAAATCATGACAGCAGTTGACCTTGCTATAGAGGGTCGAATCCAGGCGAACGCGTAAGAGCTAGGCCCTTCCGTTTCTCACAATAATTTTTCTTCCTCTGCGAATAACCTGGCAAGCTAACACCATCAATCTAGAGCTGCACAAGCCCGTGCCGGGTTCCAGCAAAAATATCCTCAAGCATATAAGGACAATGCAATCGTGAGTCATTGGATAGAGGCTAGTAACGCACGAAAGGCCGCAAGTGCCTATAGAGAAGCAGAAGTTAGTCTCCGTAAGCTTCATGGGAGATGGGAGCAGAGGATGGTTCAATACGAGCAGCAGCAGGTACACCGAGGCTCACCATCGGGGTGCTGAAACTGTCAGCAGCTAATGTCCTTTGACGAGTCCATTTTGATATCAATTTTGCTGACTTTTTGTTACTTTTTTTGTTTATTTCCTGTTCCTAGTTTATTTCAGTTCTTGAATTGCCTTGTTGCGACCTACTCGGGTCTCTTGATGCTCAAATTTAGCACAATCTCTTTGTTCCCAGCTTGTTATCTATCTTTGTCTATGCAACTGTGTTTCTCTATTTCTCACAGGGCCATTTTATGAAGTCCATCTGACCTGAATTTCTTTGTTCGCTTGTTTCATGGCTGGGACAGGATTCTTTATTTGATACTCCAGGCAATCTAAATTTCGATCTATAAGATTCTTATGCCATCGCTTATATTCCCGAGCCCCATTTCCAAAACCTATTATCTTGATTATTTCAACTAGAATTTCATCAAACATTCTAAACATGTCTTCTGGCACTGGTAAGTCATCAAGGCCTCTCATTGGCTCTGGCCGTGACACCCATTCTTCTGAACAGGAACCCAGAAAATGGGAAGACTTTATAGCTTTGGGGGCCCGGCGACAGCAGTGGATTGATGATCCTTGCACGCCATGTACAATTCAAAGCTCACAGCTGACGATGCAAAGCCTTCATGACCGGGGTTGGTACATCAGTAAGCGAGCTCCCGAAGCCGTGTACTGGCTTGACTTTGCCGAACTACAAGCTCTGGGCCTCCCCTGTGATCTCGTTAATCCGATCATGAACTTCAATGTCCATAGGTATGCAGGCGAGACATGGGGAGTGGAAGGTGCTGACTGGGAGGGCTTCACTGGCCCCGGTATCATAGTAATTTCTAACATAACAAGGACGCCGAATTCCCCCTCTCCTCCGATGTCAGAAGTGACGAAGGCTATTTATGAGAGAACCTTTGACATCGACAGTCTTCGATATGTCATTATGAAGAATGTTATGAATGAGCAAACCGTCCGGTTGATCAAAGATCTTCTCTATACTCCCGAGAGGAGTGTCCCATGGCCGGGGAAATCTGGACAACGGGATACCTGGGAAGGGAACACACCCCCATATCAAGCACTGCTGGGGACCCGATTGGCAAGCTAGTGGCATATCTTGTCCTAGGCTCATATCGGCGTGGGAGGAAGAGAATTGCACGTATTGTGACTTATCGAACCGGTGATTTACCATGGCCTCATATGCAATTTGATATTGAGGCCCCTAAATCTTTATGATTTTTATAACTTATTCAATTTGAAATAGAGGAGTCTCAACGAAAGTCGCACCGTGTTCACTGAAAAATATATCATGCTCCGCAATACATCTATCTATACAAAGCCTCTGTCATCAGGCATCAAGCAATTAATCACCCAAAAAGCCCTGTAACAAATGCGAACAAGTCATGGATAATGTACAAGAAAGAAAAACAAATACTAGGTAAAGTCCCAGCCAATTGGACAAAAATGTGAAATATTTAAAACGAAAAGAAAAAAAAATGAAAAATGAGAGAGCACAAGCCATCGCTCCTAATCCACCCTTAATATCAAATCTTGCCCCCTCCTCGAAGGCGTCAAACTCCGCCCAGTCGCCGATAACCTCTGAGCATTGATATCCTGCGGCCGCTTCTGAGGACTTCGCGGATACAACACAGCTCCGGGGAACGCCTCTGACGGATACGGAAGTCCACCAGAGCCCGTAGATGCCGGAGCCCGACTGCGGCCTCTCTCGAGCCAGAAGTCCTCGGGACAATATGGAACGACAACCTCACTCGGTGGACGCGGGCTACTGCGGATCTGTACGCGCTTGATATCGTCTCGGCGGACGATGCGTGGTCGGGATACAATCTCTGCTGCCGGTGAGAGACCGAGGCCGTTGGAGGGAGGGGCTGGTGTCGCTGGTCCAGGTCCAGGTATCAATCTTCCAGATTGAGTCGCAGCTTGCTTTGGGCTTGGCCTGGGACTTGGTCCTTGAGCTGGACTCGGTCTGCCAGGGGACATGTCGCCTAAGATACGGCCTTGACCTGTACTAAAGGGCGTCGTGAGGGTTGTATTTGCCGAATATCGGTGGGAAGAGCCAGAGCTATTATGAGGAGTGCCGCTAGAGTTTGAGGGCGGGGAGCCGCGGCGAGCAGTAGTGGAGAAGGCTGGAGCTAGCGTTATTTCTGTAGAAACACCTTGTGCTGATAATATTGAGGGTGATTGACCAGGATATGGCAGCTGCTGCGGAGGGCGAAGGTATTTTTGGGCTGGGAAGCCATTCTTGAGAGCACGAGGGTTGGCCGGTAGCCCTGCCATTATGCGTGGAGACTCGGATTTTTGAGAGCTATTTGATTGCGACGGTTGTGGCTGTTGGAATTCATCTTCTTCAAAGAGAGTTTCTCCACTGACGGGGCGATGGCTCCATTTCAGTGGCTTTGGATATAGCCCTACACTTTGGGGAACCATTGGCTCTGCGAGTGTATTCTGTGAAGATAGTGTCCGCGGTGAAGTCTCCCACTCATCCCCAGAGCTCACAGCAACTCCAATTGGCTCTATCTCTCGTGGCTTCTCTGCATTTGGAACTAACATCACCGTTGCAGTGGTGGGTGGATTCTGCGCAGTCGGCGTGCGAGTACACGGTAGCTCTGAAACTTCCTGATGTCCTCTGGTGTGGCTGAATGAAGAAGGCCCTGCGGGAGTTGGCCCCGGAGAGGGTGAGGAACGGCGCGAGGACGGGCGTGAGAACCCTGGAGGCTGAGACATTGCACCTCCGATCTCGAAGAAGTCATTATCTGAGTCGGACCCGATTGTGTGGTTCCTTTGCTTCCATCGCTTGCAGCAGAGGAATACAGCCACGCCAATGATGAAGGAACCAGCCACGCCTGATGCAACGGAGACACCAATGACGGTGCCGGAGCTGATGTGGTTTTTAGCAGTTCCATCGTTTGACGGAGACGAGGTATCAGTGCTAAGAGTGTCGGAGGTGGTTTCCGTGCCGGTAGCTGCTGGGATTACTCCAGAGCCGGATGATGTCGTTTGGTAAGTGATACTTGAATCACTGGTATACGAGACAGATGTTGTAGATGTTGGCAAGCTTGATGTTGATGAGCCCGGCTTATTCTGGGAGGTACTCCCAGATGCTGTTCCAACACTCGCTGTTGCACCGGCGGTCGTAGTGGTCGAGCTGGGCGGGTCGAACGTCGTCGCTGTAATTACAGAGTGTGTCTCTCGTATGGCGCCAGACACCGAATCGCAAACATGATAGACACTATTCCCCTTGCTGGAGATATAATTCTCGTCGCACAGAGCATACAGGCAGCTCAGAGCAGCCTCTCCCAACGTCAGACCAATTGGTGTTTTTGTCCGACACAAGCACTTGATATCCAACGCAGACGAGCATTCATCCGATGTGTATTCTCCCAGAATGAAATTCTCGACACATTTTTGGGCACAGTCGGGTATGATGTTCCAGAGAGCAGCATTCGAGGTATCGTTTGATCCGCTTCCTGAACATAGAGCGACAAACGGAAGAACCGCGAGTATCCCGTAGAGAGGATGGAGGAGCATTCTGCAGCGACTGTATCTCTTGCTGTGAGTTAATGCCACCCTTTTTTTCATTCCTGGACAGACTGCACTAACATATAATCAACTTTGCGTGGGAATGACTACCCTCGAAGCCATATGATCTTTGAGGTTACCATCATCGAACTGACGAGCAGAGCTGCGCAAACAAAACGCCAGTATGAGAGTGAACCGCGACGCAAAAGCGAAAAGAAATGGAAAGAGAAAACATTCCCAAACAAGCCCAAGAGTCCCATAATTAAACATTAAGGCCCTCTCGAGGCGCGGCCCTACGCGCGAAACCGATCTCATCTACTTTGACGCCCATCAGCCCAGCGGACCAAGCAGGACCACAGCACGCTGGACTTGAAACACAGCCGTTGCGGCGGTCCTTGTGTAGGCGCCGTTATGAAACTAAATGACATTGTGGGGACTCTTTGGAGACCAGCTCAAGCGAATTATTATCGATCTGGAGTGTCTTGCCTTCTTTTTCGCGCTGGTTGAGTGGCTGTAGTGTTAGCGCCTGCGATACGCGCCGGGGCGAATGGGTGGGCGCTTACAGTGTAGGGAGTCAGCTCTTGCGCTAGGAAGTGTTTCAGATCGCAAAGCATGCTGCCGATCAGTCAATTCTCTATGAATCGTCTAAGGTGTTTGAGGGCTGGGTAGGATGTGAGGGCGAGTGATTAACTATTTAGATTGATGATGATAAGAGAACCTTGGGTTGGGGATCGGCGATCGGAGGGTTATGAGCCATGGCGAACGTATAGCATATCTGATCTCCCACGTGTGCACATTATTTTGCTAGCCTGGAGTGATCAAATTGCGGCTCCATGTTCCTGGCTCCAAATATTTTGTTCTTTATTCTGTATAGCTAGTTCGTGGATTAACCGCCCTATGCCGATCATGAACAGACATGACGGCCCCACCGAGCGTGGCCCGGGCATCATGAAAGGGGGTGAAAATCGATGAGCTGGTGCATATCAAGGCAATTTCTACACTAGAAAATAAAATGCAATCTGCAATTGAAGGGATTCAAATAATTGCCATTCCGTCAATCGTAAAAGCTAACCGACCCCGGGCGAAGAAGCGCAAGCCCGCACAGGTCATACAATATGAGGTGGTATCATTTGAAAAGCAACAAGGAACAAGAAACCAAAAGGACGCAACCCGGCAAGATCGTAACAAAGGAAATAGGGGAAAATCATCCGCATAGTGTATGACCGTGCCGAAATTAGGGAATTATGGAGGATGCAGCGATGCCAAGAAGGGGAGGGGGAGCCGCAGGAGGCTGGTTGGTCGGACCGCAGCGGAACCACGCTAACTCCGGTGCTCTGAACAGACTCAATGCGCCCGCGATGCTTGATGGGCTTTCATGAATGAATCGAGGCATGAGATACATGTCGCATCACGGGATAGTCTTTCAGAGCATGATCGGCTGAGGAGGCGGAGAAGCGGCGGTTGGTCGATCGGGTTGGCGATTCTAGTATTTGAAGATAATGTAGCTGGAAGCGGGTTAGTGAGTGGAGATCTCTTGAGGAGCAGACGGCACAAGGGATCACCGCAAGGGCCGATCACATACATGGCGTGGATAATACCAGGAATCCAACCCAGGATGGTCAGACAGATGTTGATCAGGAGGTCAGCACCACATCCGCGCTCCAGGAAGACACCCAGAGGAGGCAGGATGATGGCGAAGATGATCTTGCAGATATCGCTGTACAATCGAGTTAGTTGCGCTGATTCGACGTCTCTCGCATGATCGGACTGGGAGTGCGACGAGCCGGCTCTGCCGCTTTAGGCGGCTTAGAGCAGCAGTCGGCCGGTCCAGTCGGGCATTGGGGAGGGAAGAGGACGACAGGAACAACAGTCGGAGGGAGGCGGGAGCACTCGGGAAGCACTTACGAGGCAGTGAAAGGCATGGTGACGGGGTAGTACGAGGAGGTTTCGGGAATTGGAATGAAGATTCAAGAAGAGAGAGATTGGAGAAGGGAGAAAGAGGCGGGAATGCGGAGCGTGGGCTCTTTTTAAAACCGGGAGAAGCCAGCCAGAGAGCAGCTCAACCCAAAAAACTGGTGGCTTTTGCGGGAGCTCTTTCAATTGCGTCATGGCCCGCCATGCTGTGGCTCAGTCGAGTATAGTCCCAATGAGGACTGCTGATTGGTTATCTTGGTTATTTGCTTGCGGTCAAAAGCGGCTGCCTGTGGCTCAGTCGATGAGATAAGCAGCCAGTTTCCAGGATCGTCAGTTGAATCGTCGTCATAGTATGGAACGTGGGCAGTCTGATGATAGCTTCACATCCCGTGTTCTATTAGCAGAGACTGGGCGTTGTACAACTCCTGTTTTCCCCTGCCATCTATGTAACTAGCCCTATCCCATACGCCTACTTCATATTCAGTCGACCCTGAAATCCACAACCCGAAATTACGATAGTCCCCGCCTGAGCCTGGTCACGGTTCAGTTCCACTACTTGACTCGACAGCAAGGCGTGAGTTATCGACTGCATGTTCTGCTGGGCTGCAGCCGTAGGCCCCAGTATACGGAGTACTCTTGTACTACTGTACAATGCAAGAATGGAAACCGGCCCGACTCCATTTCCAACGTCCTATCCGCGGCCTCCGTTTGCTCGTTGCCTGGCACGCCATTCTTGGCACCCTGAGCTGGGGCTCAACTCGTCGACTCGTAAAATCACAAAGAACAAGATGGAAAAAAAAAAAAAAGAATAAGGACTTGTTCTATAAAATCACTATTTACTTATAAATACCATAAATAGCATAAAAGAGTGATCACACAATCTGTAGGTCGAATCCACTATTCCTCCTATAACCAAGTTCAGCAATCCTAAATTCTACCGGTACCTACTCATAATCCAGCTAGGTGTGACCCTTGGTCTCATGATGGTGCCGAACCTTGGCCTCGTCGTGCACAACTTGCATCGTCACCTGTGGCGCGAGTCTGCCAATGCCAATTCCAATTATTGCCAACGGCCCAGCCCTATAACGAACCCCCTTGCCCATGCCCCCCACCTGCCAAGGCGTGACCCTAGCCCCATTGGCCGCCTGTGACTTCACATAAAGCAAGTATAAGCAGGTTCGTGCCACTTGTTACGGTGGCTGGAAGGCGGAAGAACAGGAGAACTAAAAGTTTAAGGCTGACGCTGTGTTGTACAAGGATCATCTGGGATCTCATCGTGGCGGGGTTGGAGTCTGCTGTGGCAGTACGTACTCCCACTACTATGGACAAAGACGGTGGAGATCTCGGAATTTGTACCGCAGATAGACTTATTATGTATTGTATATTCAAACGGTCTTATTATAGATAGTCGATCGCGGTTCTATTTTAATCACCCGATCGTCTAGAAGACATCCAGCTGCGGGTTAAAATCGACATCTTCCAACAACGAGCTCCACTGCGGCGCATCCAACTCGGGCGCTATAGCCACGAACTCAGACCATAGCTGTTCCCACCCTTCTTCATTGATGTCGTTGATCAAGGTCCCCCCACTATCCACTGACTCGGCTAACATCGCCGTAGATATGGTCTGCATTGGAGCCGAGTGGCCGGTGCCGGTAGATGTCAGCACAGACGCGTGCAAATTATGGGCAGTCCTATCATTTTTCTGCAGCGTGGACATCAGGGTCTGAAGATTCTTTTGAATGCCCTCCATCAGGTAATTTGATTCCTGCTTCGACTTCTCCAACGTCTGATACGCAGCCAGCACCTTAGTCTTCCGATCCTCTGCATCCGGCGCAGAAGGATTGAATGAGACGTCCATGGCCAGGATCAAAGCCGCGAAGAAGACGTGATGCATCACCGTCAAGAACTGTCCTGCTTTCAGTCCAACCTTGAGGCCGATCTCATCCATTGAGCGTCGTAGCTCCAGTACAGTCTGCGCAGATTGAATGCACACTTTGTGTGAATATGCATATCTGGGGTTCGTGATGCCCTCTAGATGATATGGCCGGTGAAGGCGGCATAACCGGGTGTGGACGCCGAAATGGAGGGTAATTCGCTGCCAGGCGATGGTGGGTCGCTCTTTGCATATCTCCCGGCTTTGTTCAATGCTGACAGGGTCTGTTTTGAAGTACACGGGGAGTTCGTTCAGGAAATCTTGGAATTTGGCATCCAGTGCAAGGATTGTATCGTAGTCGGGTTCAGTGGAGTCGAGTAGGATAGATGGTAGGGCGTCGATGACTTCCTGACACAACGAAGAAGATTTCACTCGCATGATGAAAGCAGACATGGAGGTAGGGACTGACAGAGGAAAGTCCTCTTGAATCCCTGTCGATGTGATAAATTCATCATCGGTATTGCAGGGGAGGTTGACATTCATGTGTTGGGGGTGAAAGGTATACGCAGCTTCATGTGGACTTCCATGAAATGAAAGTAGCCTGTGATGGTCAGCACGACTCGGCGAATCAAAGGTTATTGCAACGACATGTACCAGTCAGAGGCCACCATATTCCACCATACGCGTCTCTGAACCTCGACATCAATCATGTTACACCCCTTCAGTTGCCGCTCCTCGCGGCTTTTGGCTGTGTCTAACCGGTGAATTTGCATCTCTCGAGACATCAAAAGACAACGATGGCGAAGAAGATGGACTTTGAGTGGAAACCCATCTGTGTTCATCAATAAGTGGGCCATTGTGCTAATAGCCACGAGAGCAGTAGTCGATGGTTGAATGAGGCGACGTGGGTGTTCTAGAACATCCAAAGCAAGGCGAGTATATCTCATGAAGGCTGCCTTGGCTTCTTCGCGAGTCGAGTGCAACCTCTCAAGGAGCCGAGGGGTCCAGACCAGGGCAGCTCCGGCAAATATACTAAAAAGCAACATGATACTCGCTGGTGATGGTTCCTCACCCTCAAGCAAGCCCTCGTAAGTCGTTTCCATCAACCGTTTTGTAGACGGGATATGAAGCACCCCAAACGTGGGTTGCAGTGTTGTTGCAAAGTGATTGAACAGCTCTCGGGCCTGCCGTAGGGGAGGGAGGTTTCTTGTTATATCAAACATGTTGGGGCCCTCTTCATATTTGCCCTGGGTGGCCAGAAGATAACTGAAGGGGGTAACATAAAGGCCGTGCGAAGCCTGTCGGTTGTCAGCGTATGTGCAAATTGGATAATTTATAGAATGGCTGGAACCTACCGACACTGGTATTGGATTTATACATTGACACTTCTCCGCTGGCCTTTGAGAGGCATTCGACTTTTCAGCCAGTGCTTCCTCTAGCCTGCGAATGCGGAACAAAAGCTCATCGGAGCCACTTTGAGACATTAGCCAGGGATACATCGGACCGACACTGCACTGACTTACTGGGAAGCTAGCTCCGCTCGAGTGGAATCTTGATCGACAGCATTTTGATTGGAGTACAATGAAGCCGAATTCGTCACTGCTTCCGGGGCACCGGTGTCTTCGGGGCTCTGGCCAGGATACTCACATGGGATCTTCCTGATGACACAATTCGAGCAGGGTTGCGCACGGTCACAACGCCGCTTCTTTTGACGGCACTCGCGACATGATAACTGCGGCTTGTTCCATCGGTAGACCGTTGTAATGGGATTGCCTTTATTAGTCCGCTTCATGCTGCTCCGTAACTAGTGACCAATATTGAGTCGTTGGTGAGGTATGTAGATCGGGTTGTCCGCGGACATCCGCGGATGGCTGATTCTTATATGTAATAAGGAGCCCCCAAAGAAGTCAACAAGCCCATATAGTTCAAGCCAACAAGCATGATCTATATTCATCGGTGTTTGACATCTCAAGTCGAGACTGGAAGGTAGTAACTTGTGAGGCCCGCGGGGGTCCGCGGGCGGATATCCGAAACTGGTTAGCGGTGTATGTAATTTGTGACAGCCCAGGGCCAATATCCATCGAGGCGATTTTATTACGAATACTCTCGCATTACGGGCCATTTTTCGACCCGCGACTCTTGGGGTTGGAGAAGCTTGATTCCCCGCGCTCCAGTGCTTTCTTTAGCGAGTATTCATGACTTGGTCCTACCTCCCAAGTCTGTTCTGATTCATGTCAATCAGGATTAGTCCTAGTCGGGGCGTGCTTCGCGTCGCGCGCAGCTTACCTCGAGCTCCACAGAACAGAAGGTATACCACGAGCAGCTGCTCTCCATTTGCCTTCACATGGCTCACAAGCACACCAGAAGCCATAGTAAGTTACTCACCTCCGTAGATGATCATATCACGGGCTGACAAAAGTCTCAAGAACACACGAGATATATTATCCTCCCTTCCATCCTCCCCGACTCCACTACTCGCCCAAAATTCGGTCCCGCTGCTTCTCGTCACCCCGAGCTTCGCGCATTGGCTCCATCCCTCTGGCGAATTTCTACCCCAATTGATGCGCCAGCTATACAGCAATCATTCCAATACTAGTACACGTTATGCCGTCGCTGCGGTAATTGATAAGATTCCCGACGGCTCTGCTCCAAACCGATTAGAGTCCGAGGGCCTGTCTCTCGTGGTCGTTGACAAGGAGAATGTACATGGAAAAGCCGTACCTCCTCGTCGTTTTGGTGGGCCTGCCAACGAGGAGTCTGATCTCTTGGTATCAATCCGCAACAAACAACCAAGCCAGAACCCTGCAGATGTTATATACGAGGTCGGCCTACGTCTTGCAAATACAGTCTTCGTCAATGGAAAAGAATCAACTCTTTTCGGCATGCGGTGGACTCGTGATGGAACGACGAATGCATATACCCTGGCCAGCACAATAGATCTGACAAGTTGTGCCGTCACATCTACCCCGTCATCTGTGGGTGTCAGCCTGACACTCCCCCTCTATCCTATTGGTGAACGGAGAAAAGTGATCGCTAGTATGGGGAATATCCTACGGCAAATTTCAAAATCAAGCGACCCGACTTCGCAGGAGCCAATTCCTGCATCCTCAGAGCTCGAGAAGGACCTTCCTCGGTATATCAAAGAACACAATATTACGGACCAAAGGGTTTCTGTTTGGGCTCTGGTTGAGAAACCGGATGTCATGATCGCAGACCACAACTTGCCCACACAGGACGACTTGATCCAATCACTAACCCAGGGCAGCAAGCTGCATCGAGTCGTGAGTGGAGGTGGAGGCTGGGGAAAGAAGCAAGGCCTCCTTTCCCTTGACCCAGAGGTCAACTTTTCAGGCTCTGCCCGGCGAGATGCCCTAGTTGGCCTAGACCAGCTCTTCAATCCCAGCACGAATGCTGAATCGGATCTCCCACCATTCCTTGCGAAAGGCTTGGTCGGTGACGACCTTTCCCTGTTGTCGCAGGTCGCAACAGCTGGTGATTTCATTCAATTCTTCGTGTCGGTGGACCCAACAGGTGTGCAGGGCGCTGTTGCAAGTGATGCCAACGCTTCGGACGGCAACATCACATACCGCTTCGGGATGGTGTCGAGTGCGGAAGAAATCGCTTCATCGGAAGCAGTGGATGGAACTTATAAGATCACCGTGTTGCCGAACTGTTTCGGAGCACTGTCTGAGAAGGCAATTGCATACGGTCAACCAGTGGCGCAAGGTGGAGAAACATCGGAATCCTGTACTAAGCTGGATATCCCTGGATGCCGGGTTGTCCTGAACACTGTATAATAATGGACTGTAAGATAAGGCCATATGTAAAATTAGCATCATTTATGCTTACGGAAAGAGCAATGAGAATCGGAACAATAAGTGCCAGCATGTTGACGTATACAATCCAGTGGAGACCCTTCATAGCGCCAAGACCACGTGACCAAAGCACAAGCGTGGTGGCCTCTGACCTCGTAGTCCTCTCCAACCTCTCCGATCACAGTAACCTCCTCGCCCACGGCTTGAGTCAGCACATCTCGAGTCTCCCGCCATCAATCAAAAGCTCTAAGCTCCCCTCGAGAATTCCGTCCGAGCCCCCAATACCATCAAAATGGCCACAGAACTTTGGTACGTCGTCATCCAGCCGCTCTCAGCCCCCCTGGGTTGTAGACAGCTATCGAGCTCCGGTCCTGTCTCGCCGGTCGGTATTGGCTTGCAATGATGAATATTTTGCTAACTTTTGTCTGTTTCAGCCCCGTTTACGCGGTGAGTCTAGCTCCAGCATAGCTTCCTCACTTCCGCAGTGCTCGAGTCCGATCCGTTGCCTCCGTGCCTGAATAGCTCCCCTCCCCACATCCATGATCGTACACACCCAGAAATGCCGAACAGTGTAACTGACTCTTTCTTTCAGCCCTTCTTCGGTGCGCTGGGCTGCACGTCCGCCATCGTCTTCACCTGCTTCGGCGCTGCCTATGGTACTGCCAAGGCTGGTGTCGGTGTTTGCAGCATGGGTGTCCTGCGCCCTGATCTGATCGTTAAGAGTACGTTAAGCTCAATCTCGAGCTATCGCTATTATCCGGGGATAATTCGCTGATGACGAAACTTCTAGACATTGTCCCCATTGTCATGGCTGGTATTATTGGTATTTACGGTCTGGTCGTGTCGGTCTTGGTCGCCAACGACCTGACCCAGAAGCTACCCCTGTACACTGGTTTCATCCAGCTCGGCGCCGGTCTTTCTGTCGGTCTGGCTGGTCTTGCTGCTGGGTATGTCCGCCTGATTCCCCTCACAAATCACTAGCACATTCGGTTGTTTCGTGTCTAACCGTTGTCTTGTGCTGCAGCTTCGCTATTGGTATTGTCGGTGACGCTGGTGTCCGTGGAACTGCTCAGCAACCTCGTCTTTACGTCGGAATGATTCTGATTCTCATTTTCGCTGAAGTCCTGGGTAAGCATCACTACATATCCTAGCGCTCGTCGAATGAATACATCTAACCGCTTGTCGCAATACAGGTCTGTACGGTCTTATTGTCGCTCTCCTCATGAACTCCCGCTCTAAAGCTGTTTGCTAAACGAGACACGTCTCGTCGAACGCGGAATCCGAATCTTGGACATATCGATTCTTTGCGATATGGGCGATGCTTCGCTTCCGACATATTCTTGCTCAAGGCTCTTGGCCCCGACAAAATGCTGTGTCAGGACCGAGCGCAAATGCGATGCAAGATTGGAAAAGATTTCGGATATGATAAACACATCTGTCTTGAGAAAGGGACTTTTTCTTTGTGATCATTGTGGTATGTAGAATCGGGGAACAGCTATCAAGCATTCAATCCCGAACTGGTGGAACTGGTTGTGGGTAGATATTGGCTTTTTTTTAACATTGCATGAACGCGCGCTGGTTTACTGTACTTTATACGGGTCTCGTCTCGATTTGGGACTGGCTCCCCCTCCCTTTTCATCTACAGTGGCACAAGGGCTTGACAAGTCCCTTATCGGCCTAAATGCCCTCCTGTGGACAAACCCTCTCTCAATCTTGTTTTCTCTCGGCTTGGCTCTTTCTTGTCCTTTATTTTTTTTCTTTTGGTCTGTCGGGGCTTTTGTATTCGGTATGGTATAGCAATCCCGATTTGTGCATTACATTGCTTCCTTGCCATCTGATTGTAGAATAGCAGGTTAGAGATTACAAAGGCATGTCATTGGTCTTACTTGATCAAAGTCTTCATTGTAGTCTCTAGCGCTACCGAGCAAGAACATGAGGAAGTCAAAACACAGCAGTAGGACGGATATCAAAGAAGAGGTTCTATTGGGCAGATCCACGATGCATGGGGGGAAAGAAGCGACACAAGAAGTCAACAGTCATTGGCCCATAGGATACCAGCCAGCAATCGGTTCAAAGAGATGGAGGGAGAAGTGGTGATGATTGGATATTTGATAGAGTATAGGAGCGGATAAGAGAAAGGAAAATTCACGCAATGTACGAAAGCCAACAGAAAGGGAGATATATGCCCGGCAAAACTCAGACAAGACTAACCCTCAACCCAAGACGATGCAAGACGCAGGCCAAAAGATGCATCCGATGAAGAACCGAACAAAATGAGAAGAGAAACAAAGGAAACGAGAAGTAGAAAAGGCAATAATAGTCTAAGCCTTGTCGAGTTTCCGTCTAAGAGTGCGTGTCCTCCGCATTAGCTTCTTGAACTTGTGCTTCTTCATCTTGATCTTGCGCCGTCTCTTGGTGCTGATGGCGTGGATAGTCCGGTTGTGGCGCACGCGCTCAATGTATGTCATGCCAGAGGTAGACCCGGCAGGAGCGTCAATGGTGAGTCCATGCTCCGGATCCTCCATGTCACTGCGGACGAAGGGGCCGGTGGAGGCCTCGTAGGTCTTGCGGCCGTCAGCATGGCGCTGCTCCCGGATCGTCAAGACGGTGGAGTAGGTCGAGGTCTCCTGCTCGGTCAAGGCGTCGGCCGAGGCGTTCATGTCCATAGGGACGGGAGGAGGGGGAGGGTGGAATGGGCGAAGACGGCGGGTGTATTCCTCCACAGTCATGCCAGCCTCGGGACCGTCGAGCATACGCAGATCTCCATTTGCATCAGTTGTGAAGCTTTGGTGAAGCTGGTTGAAAGGGTCTTCGGACTCGGCCATGACGGGTGCCGGGTTTTCCATGGTCTCAACGGTAGAAGAAAGGGTGAAGATGACATCGTCAGCATCGTTCTTGAGGAACTTCTTTGAGAAGATCGCATCGAAGGCTTCGGGAGTCGAGATGGGGGGAACAGTAGTGGTCACGGAGATGGGGCGGTGGATGGAGAAGAAAGAGGCGACGTGGACGTCTATCACAATTAGTTAGCTACGATCAAAACACGCAAATAGCGAGAGAGAAAGAATATAGTTCCAAGGAACTAACCATGCGGCTGGCGGTGCTGGGTCGAGGGGACGCTCGGAAGCTTCGAAAACGCCGCATGTTGCTGGCTAGCTTTCGAGGAGCCGTTCCGAGCACCATTCTCCTTCCCACGTCGGCGAGCAGACTTGCCCTTCTCGCCTGACGAGTTCACACCCTTCGCCGGGGTCGAGGTATCCATTCGGCGAGAGCCATCGCTGGGCGGGACCGGCGGTTTAGAGGAGGAAGAGGAGTACTGACGCTGGTGCACATGTCGGGTTGCGCCGAGCACGGAGGAAGGGACATTCTGGGTGGAACGAGAGATGCCGGACAGAGGCGCCCATGCAGCCCGGCGTAAGGACGTTGACAACATGGTTGGCGTAGGACCCAGCAACTGGGAAGACGGTGAAGATGAGTCTGAATCGGAGGCGAAATCGTCGGGTCGGAAATCGGCGTCTCTGATCATGCGGAGCTTATGTAATATTGCTGCCTCAGGTGTCAATATTCACCAGGCGTCACTTTCTAACTCTATACACTTGCTTGAATTGGGAGATTGAAAATACGGGAGTCGCATGATGGAAAAGGGTGTTGATATGACTTAATTCGAGGTGATAATATTGAATCAAGGAAATTATGATAATACAGAGGCACAGTCGTCAGTCCAACACAACTGCAGGGACAAACCAAGTGGTATCATCCTGCATGATCAACAGAAAAAGAGATCGAAATGGAATGAAAGGACAGAGAGAAAGATTGAAACAGCCAGACGGCAAAAGACACCGTCGCTGAGACCGAAGCGTAGCGTTGGGTAGCGAGCTCGACCGGGCTTTGGATGCAACGTAACCGAACCAAGGATTGCGGCAGAGAGCCGACGACTCCTCTATAAGACGCCTCGTAAAAGATAAGAATAGAAAAAGGAGGTATGGAGTAAAGAGAAAAGTGAGAAGAAAAGAGAAGAAAGAGTACAACACAAGAGGGAAAGTATATCAGGTTGCAGATGACAGAAGAAAATGAAGCCGCCGAGGTATGCAACACAGGAAAAAGGTAGGGCTAGAGGGCTCGACAAGAAACGGAAATCAACTTCGTGGCAACAATGACGTTCATAACAAAGGCCACCGGTACTTTTTGAAAATATCGCTGCCTTATAGTATTAAGGTATGCAGGTTCTTCTGGATAATCATGTCCTGTACTGAATCCATGGTGGCCTTCAGCAGGGTAGTGTCGGTGGCGTTGGTTCGGTGGATGTAGATCTCGCGATCGGGAATGCGGTTTATACCACGGAATCGGTCGGAAAAGTATCGTACAGCAGCATCAAAGTCGGTGTTGGAACCGGTGTAGTCTGGGAAGTGTTTCGAAATGCTGGAAATTTGGAGTTTGCCCTTGAATAGATCCATCTTGTTCAGGAACAGAATGATGGGCTTGCGCTTGAACCACTCGCCGTTGACGAGCGACTCGAACAACATCATAGCTTCGTGCATTTGGTTCTGTGTGGAAAGAAATGAGCAACTAGTTGCGCCAGCTTGACAACAACAAATACTCAAGGCGCACTTACGGCGTTCTGGTCTTCGACCAGGCACTGGTCATACCCAGACAAAGCAACCATGAATAACAAACACTGTACCCCTTCGAAGCAGTGAATCCACTTCTTCCGTTCTGACCGCTGACCTCCAACGTCCATCATACGGAAGTTCATCTGACCCAGTTCGAATAGTGTTTCGGTGATACCCGTTGTCCGAAGTCGAGCCTGAAGCATATCCTGATTATCCGGAAGCCAGTTGGGTGTGAAAATGCGATCCAGGGACTCGTAAAAGCTGCGCAAAAACACACATCAGCATGGAACTCGAGTCGGTATGTGGTGAGTGTCTGACTTACTAATACATGTTATCATGAAGTGCGAATTCGTGTCCTCGAGCAACGGCTTTTTGAACGCCCGCATCCTTCCACATTTCCCTCATCGCATCGCGGACCGTTAGGTCGGAGAAGGCTTCATCGGACCCTACGTCCGGCTCTATACCTTCTAACAATTCCGCCGATTTCTGAATGGGTGAATTGGTTAGGCCATCATCGAGAATTTCCGCACATGAAAGTGCAAGCGTACCTTTGTGGTTTCATTCTCGAAGTCTATGCCTTCTGAATTCATGATATCCAACAAAACTTTGAAGGCAATAACAATGTTCGAGTAGATAACCGCTCGTGTTTGGTGGCGCTCTTCCTCGGGGAAACCTCCGCTATGAATAATTCGCATTTGCTTGATGATGGTTGACTTGCCAGACTCTCCCGCACCTGCCGAGCGGTTAGCGCGTCCAGAGCGCCTCAGACTCGAAAGGGAGTATTATCACGCACCCAGCAGCAAGATCTTGATCGTCCGGTCCAATGTCTTCTTGTCATTTTTGAGGCTTCGGTCGATACGAGCATTGCGCGATATGGCTTCCTTGTCCGCCTCGGCGGGTTTGGAATTGATACAGCCCATGATTCAGGGTTGAGGGACAACACAGACGAAATCCAAATTCTCTAAAATGCTGGTCGTTAGCGATGGATCGAGGAACTCGCAGCGAACTCGAAAATCGGCGCGTCAACGGTGTGCCGGTCAGATCTGAATCAGGGATGCGATGGCCTGGCACCACACCGGACGAGATGCTGAGACACCGAGACTCGACCAACTCAAGAGTACGAGGCCGGTGCGAGGTGTCTTTCGACGCCTCGAACCCCCTTGAACAGACGATATGCATACCTGATATCGAAGACCGATCTGTCCACCTATCAAACGAACCACGCGACAAATAAGATCAAGCGTATCCAATGGCCTACCAGTGCAAGCTCTGGTCGGCCCGTTCCCCACACGCAGGCCCTGCCACGTTCCGTGAAGGGATTCTGCGCCACCGGGTTTCCAATCGGACTAGGTTATCCTCCGAGACCAAGCACCGAGTCCGTAACGTGGTAGGTGCAACGTCGATTCGCAAGACAGGTTGGAGGCAACGGGAGGGACGCGGAATTGCGTGGTTGAGGGGGGCGAAATAGTGCTGAATTCGCGTAGTGAGGACGATGGGCGGGAGTGTTCCAAAGTTTGAGCTTCGAGGCGAAGATCTATAGCTGACTTCGGTCCAATGGATGCCAAGATTTCCAGAACCGAACACGCTCCAAACAGCTGCCGAACACCACGAAGGCAAGGGAGGATCAGGTCGTCCAGGGGCCGAC